ATTTTTTATTTTTTTTTTGTTTTTTGTTTTTTTTTTTTTCAACGGGGGTTTCCCAACGTCCACAACAACCACACCTGAAAGGAGGAGAGTAAAAAAAAAAAAAAAAAAAATTTTTTTTTTTTTTTTTTTTTTTTTTTTTTTTTTTTTTTTGGTTACGAAGATGCGTCAGGAAATAAATTGGTACCTAGAGTAAAGAAAGATAAGATATAAACCTTGACAAATATTCAGTGACGCAGCTCGAGATACTTTATTAACGATCTTGCGTCAGTGATGTTTGTTCTACAAAGCTGGTACGTTGACATGACACCTCAGCAATTATTATTTGGCCCCGCATGGTTGAAAAGAACTTCATAACTCGATATCAGACCAATCGTTGCTCTATTAGATGCATATTATGCATTTAGGTACAAATTGTCCCCTGAAATCCGTGCCCCTATTTCAACAGATGCCTCTAGGTACCTACCATATATCTCTGACTGTGCAGAATGAAAATCACTGCTTCACGAGCATATTCTACTATATCGTGGAATTTGGTTACGATCACCCATTGTCCACGTCAACTACTTAAGTAAAAAATAAAGAAAAAAGGTGAAACCATATCAGCTACGGCATTAAGTTTCGTCCCGCGCCAATCATCATATTATAAGGTTCAGGTGAGTCGGACTCAAGAATATAGGTACTTAATGTAGGCAAAGGAAATATCTTATCTATTCTAGGAGGTAAATAAGTAGTATTGATCGCCTCATAACGGAGAAAATCACGGTAAAAGACAGAACAATGTCCACGTAGGTGCCTACAGGTAGGTTAGGTAGATAATCAAAGCACATATCATAAAGGTCACCCTTAGAGTATGGATTGTGCATTACCTTTCATTCCCATTCTTTTTTGTCCTTCTGTAGCTAAACAAAGCTATTGTATTCTATTTCTGACAAACAATGTCGATTTCTTCGTTGCCTTGCAATAAATATTTCTAGAAAAAGTACATGGTGCCCGCGCCGACGCATACGCCCTTACAATTCAAAACACCGTTCGAGTGTGAACTATTTTCTAGAAATAAGAAGTTTTATCTTGTACACGCGTCTTTAATTAATTAAAGCCCTCTTCCACTTTCAATCCTACCTATTATAACCTGCAACCAGCATTCCAACATCCACTGCCGAGAGAAGTGCGTACGAACTCGGCATCAGCCAAAAGGCGCATCCAGCAACTTCAAAACCATGGAAGTCAATCGAGTTCACCTCTTGGTTACCCAATTTCGCAAGAAGATAACGAAAATGGCCATGATTCAAGACACAATTAAAGAGGACGTCGGTATTTTCAATGGCGGCAGTCCCAGGGCCAAGGACATGTTCGAGGAGAGACGCCAATATTACCTAGATCTCTTGGGTATCTCAGTCAAGGAACTTCGCAAGGTGATGAACACACCCGAGATAGAGCTCCCACCCGAGGAGATTTTTGTCGAGGATGTGACAAGAAGGGTTAGGCCTCTTACGAAACGCTATCTACAACGGCTCGTCCGTCTGGGACGGATCACCAAATGCGACATGGATTGCATAGTTGATGGAGGATACACCAGCGTCGAAGCGTTTTACGAAGATGTTTACGATCACGTCGGAACGTTCGGCGCTAAAAAGAAGGAAACTCCGGCCGATAATTCAAAGTCGGCGACACAAAGTATAGAAATATACGACGAGGTTGGTTTCTTAGTAAAGCAAGAAGGAGGTGCCGACCAAGACGATAAGCACAAAGTTTCCAAGGATGATGATAGCGACCCTCAAAAAAAATCACCCGAGAGGGAATCGACGGCGTTATCGTTAGGCTCGGGGGGTATAATACCACCCATTAAGTTGGAAGCGCCGACTGAGATACCAGACGACGAAGAGAGCGATGAGGAGGAACAAGCTTCTTCCGACGAATCAGACCCAGAGCCAGCCGAGCAAGATCCTCCGTCGGAAGACGAAACACCTTTGTTAGATGCGGAAGGTGGCGATTCTGATAGTTCGGATGGAGGCTCTTCAGTGGAATGCCATGTGGATGATAAGGAAATCACCATGACAGAAATCGAAAATGCCGATTCCGATTCCGATGAATCAGATGTAAGCTCTGTGTTCGAGAGCAGCCCTGGCGAAGAAGACTCGATCACGCCCGACGCGGAAAAGGCCCCGCAACCCTTCCTCGCTGCACTTCCCAGGACCAATATGCCCACGAACGACGACGACGATGACGACGACGAGCAAGGAGATATCGACGTAGACTACGACGAGCTACTGGATGTCTGGCTGCCTAGCCATAAAATGTTCTACTGGCAGTACGAGATCATCTACGCCGCGATACTGACTGCGTTCCGATACAGAGAGAGATTCCAGTCCGCCAGAGACGCGTACAAAGTCGACCCCTTTGCCGATTGGGAATAGTGGGGGACGACAAAACATTTTAGATAATATAGGTTAGCTACCTAATTAGCAACATCACCCTAGCTCAGAGCCGATATATAGTGACGGCCTCACCATGTAACTATCATTGGCTGGCACATAGTAGTCATATGCGAATATACGAAAAAGGATAGGGGGCTTAGGTTAGCTAGGTAGGTAGGTGCTTCGCTCAAAAATTATTAATGAAAGGGAAAATTCATTCACATAAATAAGCCTTGAGGAACTACAAGTTGGTATGGAAAAAGGAGTGACTTGATTTTAGTGTATCCAAACCTCCTATATGCAAGTCCCAGTGACGCCGTGCTATTAACATTGAACAATTACATTGCTGTGTTAAAACATATCATATCATAAGCCTCATTGCCCTGGTTCCTCGCCTTGAACCTCATAACTTTTGCGCCTTGCCTATTCCCATCTCCGGGATCTCTCTCTCTCTCTCTCTCTCTGTCATATCCTATTAATCAGGCAGGTAGCCTAGAACTGGAGGCTAGTAACAGGCCAGCTCAGATCGGGGGACACGACCTTGCCGCCCTCGAGCTGCTTATCGGTGTACGCGGGCCAGGCGATGAGCTGCTTCGCGGAGTCCACGACGCTGAAGGTGGTGAACCCGTTTCCGGGGCCGAACTGGCCGCTCCAGCCGGCGCCCACCGTGAAGGGTCCGCAGACGTTGCCGCTGGTGTCCGTCTGGCTGGCCGGGAGGCTGGCGCTGCGCTTGACGGTGAACGCGCAGGGCGTCGCGTCCGCCAGGTGCGTGTTGATCTTGAAGCTCCACGTGCACTGGTTGTCCCCCGCGTCGCACACGTGCTGCAGCCCCTCGATCGTCCACTGCGGCACGTCGGCGACTGCGGACTGCGCTTCGGGCGAGGGGGTGGGTGCGGCCGTGACGGTGGCGGTGGCGAAGAGGGTGGCGATGATGGAGCTGACGAACTTCATTTTGGTGGTGGTTTAAAGTTTTTCAGGTATTACGATTAAAGTGTTGTAGTTATTACTTTAGGTAGATGGGCGGAGGAAGTGCTTCATTAAATTATTCTGGTGGTGGTGATGGTGATGGTGATGAGATAAATGCATATTGGCAGGAAGGTTTGCCAGCCTTTTATACAGAAATTCTCTACAGCCATCATCATCATGATATCTAACTGTTTCCGCAACACCGACCTATCGGTAAGTTGAGTAAGCTTCGCTATACCCCATTCGACTCAAAAGTCATGAAAGAGATCCAGTTGTCAAAGCTCGTATTGACGTAGCGGGTCTTTCGTTCGTCTTTCCATAGTCACATGACGGGGGGATAATCCCGAGAGATCCATCGAGAGGATCTAAGATGTAGCGGCGGGACTGTGAGGCTCATGTTCGTATTTCCCCAACCCCGGACTTTCTTTGTGTGGGTGGCCGCGGAACTACCACATCATCGTATGGTGATCTTGGAACTTGGAGCTTAGAGCTTGGAATGTAGCCCCGTCCGTTTACAGCTCCTCCCCACACGGCAATGATCGTCGGTCCGCAGCCCTATGGACTGTCGAGCTTGTTGAGCTATGGCCTAGTGAACAACTGTTGCGGCGTACATAGTACCTAGGTACGCTAATAGCTGACGTCCGAGTCTATTTTTGGCTATTCCGCGGAGAGGTTAGGCTTCAGGAAACGTTCTGGAAAAGGCTTCATCCCTCGAACCAATTCGCCGAATTTCGTCTCCCCCAAATCACGTCTCTTAGCCATCATTAGCCGGGCTTTATTCGATAAAGGAATTTGCATAACTAAACGTAAAGCCAAGCTCATCTTTTAGGCCGAGATTTGACCAATACGAGATTTTTTTCATGGACATCTGACAACCTAATGACTACCTAAGGTGCCTAAAGGTTAGTGTATGCGGGTCGAGCATAATACCACACCGCATTTGACGATGATACGACTCTGTATCCCCAAGCTGATAATAAGGCCACAGGTGCAACCACAGTGTATCAACGTACTTCATAGCTAAGCCTATGATATAACAACATTCTGCATGAGGATTCTGGATTTGCTGGTCATCAGTTTGTTTCTTACCCGAGACACTTTGAGTCCAAAAACCCGGTTGGTAAGTCTTCAGGAAAACTTTAGCCAATTTCGATGGCCATCTCGTATCCGCACGAAATCTTCCTTCTTCCCTATTCCTGGAATGGCAGCAGAATAGCCTAAGACAACCAAAATCCGTATTCATACGACTTCATGCCCAAAGTAAGCATGCATTAAACTCACCTCGGCTGTAATTAAGAAGTCTTGTGGATGCGACACGACGTGTAGCGTATAGCATAGGCGGGAATTACTCACCTAGTCAAATACGCTATTATTAGCCCCTTTTCTTGGCCAGCGTACTAATATACGTGTATCGTTTAACTCTGCTTCAACTGACCTTGGGGGAAGACAACGTAGAATAATTGCAAGCTAACAGAGGTCCATGCCAAAGACATATCAGTATAGCTTTTCAAGTAAATGTGGGATCCACGAGGTATCAATTTCTCTCTCAATTCTTATAGGAGCGTTCGTATCTACCTAGATACATTTCTTCGCATGGTTGCTCGTAAATGCACTCCATTCCACTGCGTGGGTGATGCGGTCAATAAAAGCGAGTGTATGTTGCCTAAGTCAATAAATCTGAAAACGAGCGTAAATCCTTTCATAATGTGAGTTATTCGTTCTAATCCTATCCCAGGTAATTTTTGATAGTCAATGAGAGGATAGAAGTGGAATGGCAGGAGTGTGCCAGGTACCTAGTCCAGAGTTTAGCGGCATCGATGGCTTCAGTCGAGCAGCAACGGCAACCCCACACGGTTTAGCTTAGAGTTCTTCGACACGAAGTCGGCCGTACTTCAAGATCGGGTACTCTTCCTTTTCCCATCGGCTCCTTTCCTTCGAAACGGGTTTCTCGGATGCGACCATAGAGACGGGACCCTTAGCCGGTGCTCCCAATGGCTTGATTTCTCGCTCCACAAAAGCTACTCCAGCATCTCGCAGCGACCTGCCGTTGGAGTCTATAGCCTCGGCGGAAATTGCCTTAACACTTGTGTCGTGAATTCGAAGCGATGTCTCGAAACTCTTTTTTTCTGCTTCGCCGATGAACTGTCTAGACCCGTAGTCGTCAAGGACGGCATAGAACCTCCACGACTTAGTCTCGGTGTCGCCATTCCAACTGACGTAGGCCGTGATGTCCTTTTCGCCTCTCAAGGCCACGATAGCCGGTTCCTCGGTGGGAAGACCGGTCCAGTTGTACCTGAAAGCACGATAGTTCTCAACGCCGAGGCCGAGATAACCAGAATCCATGTAGGAATGGAAGATGGCTGTGCCATTCGGTAAGTACTCGGTCATAGCACCCGAAGAGCCCCAGTTTACAAGAGCATTCCCGTTCGGAAGTATTTGGGTAGAACCTTGGGACTTGGATAGGAGGCCGTCAGGTGGGAAGAAAACCTGGACTAATTCAGCCTCCCACGACGTAGTGTTCACCTTAATAATCTTTCCGCTACTTGTTGGAGCAGTGTGGACTTCAGAACCTCCACTGTGCTCAGTCCCATGTGCGCTGTTGTCGTAGAGGCTAATGACCTCAACGCCATCGTATTGGCTCATCCATCGGGCGTGATGTTGAAAGCAAAATTCGGCATCTTTTGCCACTCTGAAAGAGCTATCCTTGCCGTTCAACTTCCAGATGATGCTCCCGTCGGTGCCGTTGATCTTGTGGATGCTGCATGCATCTCGCGCGGATATGAGATAGTTGCCTTCCGAGTCTTTATCCACACTGTTGATGTGAAAGTAATCCCATGCATCCGAACTATTAAATCCTGAACCAGCTTGGCCTGAATTAATTGGCAATATTGCCTCTGTAATTAATTAGAAATTTCCTAGTGCGGTTGTTCATAGCGTGGCTGTACGCACCATCTGGGGAGACGTAGTCTAGACTTGCCCACTCAAATAATAGTTTACCGGTAGCGATATCGAGCTCTGTAAGCCCTATCAGCGTCTGTTCTCAGTCATGTCAGCATGTCAAGAAGCGAGTAGTTACCCTGAACGATAGAGTTGACAATCCATTGCTGTTCGTGACTCTCGCCCCAAGCTGTGAGATCGCGTGCAACAGGCTGGTATATCTGGATAAGCCCTGTTTCCTCATTGACAATATGAAACTCATGCTTATCCACGAGTTTGTGATTGCCGGCCCGAAGTTCTCGAATTGTTTCATAGTGGTTATCCATGATGGTAATATGGCCGTGGCCGTGTCCATATCCCGGATTGTGATCACCTTCGAAGCTGAACAGAATGTCTTTACCTCTCCAGCGCGCTGGTTGAAAGTTGGTCGACCAGATACTATATATGCCATAGCCCGACCATACTAGATCGCCGTCGTCGCGGAATATGTACGGGCCAGCTTGTCGAGGACCGTGCTGTTCTGTAGGCGTGTCCGGGAAGCCTGCAAAAGGGGCAACAAACAAATACCCCCTTTCAACATCTTCAGTTGCTGGAATCGTGATATTCAGTCTTGGCGGAGCGAGGTCTGAGCGAGACTTGAGTTGCCAATCCGCTACGGCTGGTGTTGATAAAGCCAAAACCAAAGCCGTTTCAAGAAGGAAAATGCTCTTCATGGCGGTATGCAAAAGGGGTACGTGCTACCTATGTTAGAAAGTGACTCCATTGATCAATGTTAAAGGAGGGTACATTAACCTTGGTTTGAGACAAGAACCCTAGATAACCACTTCTGATAATTATGCAAGAGCAGGTAATGGACTTTTCTTTATTTATTCTTCTACGGAAGTAAGGTATCAAGGAAGTTGACTGGTGATCTCGGAGGCCAAGGAGACTACATTCAAGTCCACGTCCAGGTACGAGTCTGCCAACTTATACAGCAATTTAACCGATATTAATATCCCTACCAAGTAAAGATGTACCTCACTTGTGGTAAATGAATTAACAAAGCGATACCTAAATAAAATAATACTACCTACCTCCAGCAATCATGACGCACATATAGCTACATCGGACAGCGATATGAAGGGACTTTTATAGATTTGAGTCGAATAGCGAAGCAAGAATCCACAATGGCATCATTTTAGCCTACATAACATTAAAAAATAGGTAGTCGCATATATGCAAAGCACCGTGTCTATATTCCATAGGTCCATCCTTCGGAGAGCAACCCCGAGGTCGGGCAGAGTTTTTGACCTGCCTTTGGACAACTCCTCAGGCATTGGCTACGCTAACTGCATCCCTTTTGCGTCAGGGTCGCACAATATCTCTATACGTCAATTTCAAAGAATATCACAAGCCTGTATGTGGAAATCCTTCATCCATCACCGTTGCTGTTGAGACCCCTTGAACCAGCCAGTTCTTCGAACCTTCTCATGATTTTCTTGAGGTCATATTAAAATGGCTACTTATCGTAAAACGCCGGCGGTCTCCAGCCGTGCACTTGAGGAACATAGCGACACGGAAGTAAATCTGAACGAACAAGATGCTGCCGAGCCGTCAAGTACCATTCCTCATGATCCGGAGTCAGGGGAACGCCAACCCCTGATGGGCCTAACCCCACCAAACGAAGATGGCTGGAAAGCTCCCCCATACTTCATTTGGATCGAGATGGCGATCATGTCCAACGTCTTCCTTTACGGATTCGATGGCACCATTACGGCGGCCACGTACGCCGTGATCAGCTCCGAGTTCGACGCCACCAACACCGCATCATGGCTCACCACGTCGTATCTCATTACGAGCACCGCCTTCCAGCCTTTATACGGCCGCGTATCCGACATCTTCGGCCGCCGGATTTGCTTTTTCATTTCTACCATCACGTTTGCCGTCGGCTGCTTGGGATGCGGTCTCGCAAACGATATCGTCTTGCTGGACTGCATGAGAGCTTTAGCGGGCTTCGGGGGCGGGGGGCTCATGACTATGGGTAGGTCATTCGAATAACCTGACTGGTTTAAGCAATAGTACTCTTTCTGATCAAAGCTACCTAACCTTACCTGCCTAACTTAGCGACTATTGTAAACTCCGATATGATTCCCTTCCGTCGGCGTGGAATGTACCAGGCAATGCAAAATGGCATATTTGGCTTCGGCGCGATATGCGGTGCCTCGTTTGGGGGCTCGATAGCTGACACTATTGGGTGGCGCTGGTGCTTCCTCTTGGTATGTTTAGGTACCTCCTAGTTCATCCATCTTCGAAACCCCTAAACTAATGCGAGGTATGTAGCAAGTACCAATATCTGCGGTAGCACTCGTTTTGGGTTATGTGGTCATCAAGAACCAGCAGATCAACTTCAGTAGCGGCTCAGGCTTGAAAGAGACCTGGCGCATAGTTGACTTTCTAGGATCTTTTGTCTTAGTTGTGGCCATCTCTGTCCAGCTTGTCGGGTTGAGTCTAGGCGGAAACGAGTTACCTTGGGGAAGTCCATGGGTAATCACCTCCCTCGCTGGAAGTGTCATACTATTTAGCATTTTCTTCTGGGTTGAGGATACGACTACAGCAATCCCCGTCATACCCTTACGCATGTTAAGGGGCCGTTTACCTATCTTCATTCAACTAGCCAATGTTTGCGCTGGCCTCTCTGCTTACGCAGTTAGTTAACCCAAATGATACTTCCTTTTCTTTAAGCTTAACCATTTTATGTAGTATCTTTTTCTCCTTCCCCTATTTTTTCAAATCATACTGCTTGATTCGGCCACAACTGCAGGGGCAAGACTCGCCATCCCATCCCTAGCAACTCCTATAGGAGGCCTCATCGCAGGCGTCGTGATGTCTCGATGGGGGAAGCTGATAACTCTAGTCCGTATTGGTGCCATATTGATGGCCATTGGGAATGGACTTGTAACCTCACTAAACTTTGTGGATTCCAATTGGAAATACTACATTTACATATTTCCTGCCAACCTTGGTCAGGGGATCATATACCCTGGTATTTTATTCACATCGCTGGCCACTTTTGAACACGCAGGTTAGTTCCCCGTCATAACCCTCAAAGTCACTGTAACTGATCCGACCTAGATCATGCCGTATCAGCATCTACTGTTTACCTGATTCGATCGCTTGGTACAGTTTGGGGTGTATCTATCACCTCTGCGATCGTCCAGACGACATTTAGCGTTCTACTCCCAGACGTCTTAAGTGATGTACCGGATAAATGGAGAGTACGACCCTTCTCAGTTACCAGTTTCTTACCATGATAAAGCCTTAGAGTTGTACTGATGGATAATAACGAACAGGTAATTGAAGCGATACGACACTCTGCGGAGACTTTACGCGAGCTACCCCCAGATATTCAACTCAAAGCGCGAATGGTTTACTACGATGGATTGAGATACTCTTTCGCTGCTTCGACCGCCTTCGCAATTATCGCATTTTGCGCGGCGATGTGTGCCAATGGGAGAGGATTGCGCAAAACAAGCGGCTAGGAAACGGTTGCGTTTCCCCTCAAAGGGCTTTAACCCCGGGAGGATCGACGCTGTCAAGTCTCATACAACTAATAGGTATACTAGCATATGATTGAGAGAATATGCACACCTCCCTTTTCTTACTAGGTTTATGCACGTAGGTATGCTTAGAAGTTGACACCGATGTTGAATGGTACTTAAAATACTCTGCAGGCAGGTGTCGGTGTGGTATGCGACAATGAAGGACATTGTTTTATATAATACCTGAGCTTTCATTGGCGGCGTTTCTAGATACAAGACTTGGTCTTATTCCCACATTTGATGGGTAGTTCTTAGTACCTACCTACCTCCTATTTGTATCAATGAGAATCTCGCGGGGTTCACCTAAGGACATTGCACAGTTGAATGGATCAACAGGAGTATAAAGGATTATGGTTTAACTGTTGATAACATGTCTTGCCACGAAGAAAGGTCGACTCTACTCACGGCGGATCTTTAGTCCTAGATAACTCAAAGCGTTCGAAATAATATCTTTCAGCGGTACCTACCTAGGCAAGGCGAGAACTTTCCCAACAAAGCCGGTTTCATAAACTTGTATATAACGATTCTCAGCTCTTGCGTTCAAACAAGGCATCTAACTTAGTACCTGTTTAGCCGTGGACTGGCGTAGGATAATAAGTAGCATCCACAAAAGCAATCAGCTGCATAGTGAAGATATCAATCAAGGAGCAAATGTCATCTTCATCCCTCCCTCCGCGAGAACCAAGTTCCCGTACCCCCCGACCCACCGACGAGGACTCCCCTCGCCGAAAGCGGTATTCGCTTATCGTCGAGATCCTCGACGACGATGGCTTCGCGGTGCTTGGGCGGCAACAGCAGCAGCAGCGTGACGGGATAGACCGACCGCCGTCACGTAGATTGAGCCGGGGGACGTCTACCAGCCGCCACCGACACCACGAGGGTTCTTTACACCAGCAGCATATCCCAGACGCCACTAGACAGTCCCGCAGGATGTCGACGCCGTCGAACGCGGCGAACATCGGATCGAGGGACCACGTATCGGAACGGTCCCGACACGCAGGCACTACCACTAGATCACGTACCGCCCACGCCAGCGAGCACGGCGGCGAGGATGACGAAGAAGTCTACGAAACCGCGGCCGAAGCCAACCACAACCGCCAGCACGCGGTATCTTCCGGACAGCAGCAGCAGCAGCAGCAGCAACAGGCAAGGCAAGAAGATGATGATGATGATGACACCGAGCTGCACTCTCCCCCCCGCCCCCCAGCCCAGCGCCGTCGGCGCAGCTCCACGCACACCAGCAGCACGCAGACGCGCATCCGGGGGTACGGCCCGCGCAGCGTCTTCACGTCGCCGTACAACCTGTTCCGGCCGCGGCACGCGGACCCAAACGACCTGGACGCCATGGAGGCCGCGTACCGGGACGGATTGCGGCTCGGCCAACGGCTAGCCGGGCTTCCGGACCCGCTCCTCCACGCCGCCCATCGCGTCTATCACCCGCGCGCTGCTGCTGCTGCTGCTGCTGCTGTCGCTGATAACGGGCGGCAGCGGCGCGAGGACCCCGAGCAGCGTGGGTGGCGCTGTCTACTCCCGCCGTGGCCTTTCAGGCACGCGCGGCGGGGTCCGCCGGCGGGGGAAGAGGTAGCGCGAAGTAGTAGTCGAGCTCGGGGATTGTTGAGGTGAGGTTAAAGGAAAGACTAGACGAGGCAAGGTGTTTGAATTAGATAGAGACGTTGAATTGGGTTATTGATACCGAGGTTGAGGGTGGATATTAAAAGAGAGAAGAGATATTTAACAATTAGAAGATCACATAAGCAGTAGAAGGATAAAGAACCAGTAGATCATCATTCAAGAACGTCAGAAAGGAATTAGTACCAAGGGTATCTATATTTCTATAATGTAGGAGCACCGCAAACGCCTCGCTGTCGTTCCACTTTCTAATTTGTATCAATACATTACCGCGAGTAGATAAATCAATATAAGTGTGCATCTCCTTTATACACCGGGCAACCATCAAAACTTCGCAATTATGCTCCCTGTCTATAGCTTTTTAAATACGTAGGCGAAGATCTCGCGACTCTTCAGCAGATTCACCACCCGTAGTCTCTCGTTATTCAGATGAGCCGAGTCCGATGATTGGCCGCATGGCAAATGAGCTGCCGGCGCATTAAACTCTTTCTCCAGGAACCTTATGGCCGGGATCGAGCCGCCTTCTCTGATGTAGAGGGGCTTGCGGAGCTTGGGTTTGCCGTTCGTGCGGTTTCCATTTATACCTGCACCGTTCCTGACACCGTTGCTCCCCGTGTCAAACAATGGAGCCCACGCTTGCATGAGAGCTTCTTCGAGGGTCTGAAAGATGTAATTGTTAGGGTCGCCAAGCCAGGGTTCGGCTTGGTTGTCGATCTGAATACTCAGCTTATTGTCTGACCCTAGATTGCGGAACTCTTCCTCCAGGAAGGAAGTTAAGGAGCTAGTAACTTCTTCAACCTCTTGTCCAGGGACGAGTCGAACACTAATCTTAGCATTTGCGTGGCTGCTAATCAAGCTGCCATCAGGACCCGAGACTTTAACTTTGTGGTGTGTGAGATTCGGCTCACGCCACCGCGCCATAAGACTAGCCTTGAGCACGTCCGCCGAAACACCATTCTGGCCCTGTTCCATAAGAACTGACAATATATCATCGTATCGAGCTTCCTCCTCAGGTGTTAAGGGAAGAATGCCGTCGTAAAACCCAGGTAGCATGATGTGGTTTCGCGGGCCCTTTAGCTTCGAGAGTAACATCATGAGATCAGATAATGGCTCATTGACCATATACGAGCCGTCAACACCGGAATGAAGATCCGGATTTCTAGATTCAACACAAACAGTCGCGTGCATAACACCCCTTAGGCCGTACGTAAGGCACGGGGTCTCGTCGTTGAGCCAATAGCTGTTAGCCAAAAGGATGTAATCGATATTGCCGATTCGATCCTTATTTTTGCGTACGGTTTCCTTGAATCCCCGGGACCCGGATTCTTCTTGTCCTTCGATGAGAAAAACAACATCTGAATCCAGCGACTTTGCTTGTATGAGGTCAGTGACAGCATAGAGAGCAGCCATAATGGGGCCCTTATTATCGCTAACTCCGCGACCATAAAGATATCCATTAGTTCCGGTGAGTTGGAAAGGATCATTGTTCCATTTCCCGTTTCTGGTCTCCGCTGCTACAACATCATAATGGCCATAGAAGAGGATCTTCTTTCGCTTCTCGGCTGGCTCAAGTTTCCCGCTGAACTTGGCGAGTACTACTGGATGATGAAACGTATCTTCATCGCTCAACATGTCAACATCTCCGCCAAGTTTCTTGAACAATGTGCGGAGGAAGCTGGCACCTCGACGACAATCTTCCGCATACTCGGGCCTAGAAGAGACTGTTTTGAATGATACAAACTCTCGGAGAGATGTTATCATCATATCCTCATGCTCTTCGGGTGACGGCTGCTCAGTTGTCTCTTTGTTCTTGAGCATCCAAATGGCGACATTGTTATCGTTGGCACCTGTAATATACATGTGCTTTCCATCGTAGGTAGTGATCGCAGAAGATAACACTTTGCCATCGTGGGCCTTCCACTGGGTTAAGCATTGGTATTTCTGGTTGACGTTCTGTGACGAATCGCGCTGATATTCCCCATAGTGGACGGTATTATGTTTCTGTTGAACTGTTAGAAATTATTCCGATTGCCTGACTTAGTTCACTTACGCATGCCGTTCCAGCGCGACTTGCGCTCCATAGATAACCCCAGCCCATCTTAATAGCCATAACATCGCCCTTATGAGCCTTGATTGCTCTGAGCTTCTGCTTCGTATCGAGATCCCATAACTCGATGATGCCGTCTAACTTCCCGCTGTATAGGAATGAACCGTCAACAGCGAGCGACATGACGGACATAGCATCCTGCTCCCCTAGAACCATTATCTCTTCGATTCCGTTCTCGTACCCGTCTGGACCGATTTCATGTCCACCAAGCTTCCAAACTTTCACAGTACCGTCTCCACCACCCGATATTAAAACATCCTCATCTGGTTCCGTGTAGGTGGTCGCACCCTTTGCCATAAGCATACAATAGATGTAACCGTAATGGGCGAACATCTTGTTTGCTCTCTTATCCGTCTCCAGTACGGTTTGAGATCGGGGTATTAAGTCGTACCGTTCATCCGTAGGTCGGGGCGTACTGGCTCCACCAACAGCTCGGGAGTCGAAGAATCGGTGGTTCCTTCTGTCGGGATGATTCGGGGAATCGTGTGGGACACGCCTATCGGGATCTTTTAGACTAACCCATTGTATAGACGTATTTTGTGCACCATAGTACACGGTTTCGTGTTGGGAGGAATATGAGACGGAAAAGATGTCGCCAAAGGAATCGTTCGTGCTATATATCTCATAGAGACGCGTCATGGTTCGGGGGCACCATACGTTCACAATTGGGTCGCTGGCGCTCGAAAAGAGAAGGGAGCCATCTTCAGAGAGGAAGAGACACATAACGCTGCGTTTATGGGCTTGCACATGGTGTGTCTTCTGAAATGTACCCAAAAGCCACACGATAATTTCTCCATTCTGGGTTCCAGCGTATATACTATCATTCCCAACGGCGAGCGCAAGAACAGAGCTGTCGTGCTTGAGGTTGTGGTGTAGTTGAGGTGTTGTATGAGGAGGAATTTCGAGAATCGGAGATGGAGCCGAAGTTGCGGTTGCGGTTGCGGACGGCATAGCTGTTATTTATTAGTTAACTGCCGTGTTTATAAACATCGGTATTAGCTAGAGACGGAATATAGAGAGGGCAAAGAAAATAATTTTTCTTTTCCAGGAGAGAGATTTAACTATGGAGTGGGCTGATCGTGCTGGGATAAATATTCAACAGTGAGATTGGACGAAATCAAAAATGACGTGTGGCATCGAAAGATACGAAGGAATTGAAGGTGGGGAATTTGTAGACATTAGCGTCTGCAGCAACTCGATTCAGGGGATTTCAACAATTTCAGGTATATCCACCATCCACCCCAGATTCCAGTATAGCGGAGTGGGGCCGGTACTCTGGGGTTTTTTTAGTGAAGTAATCTGCAAAGCTTTAAAGGTTTAAGCTTTAAAGCACCTGCAACTTTGGTCATCCTGACAGCTTCGCCTGATAGGTGTAGGTACCTATTTAAGGCTACTAAGTCGCCATTGGTCAATCTCCTTAATCATCTCCCTAGATGGGAAAGTTGGACGCTGTTCCACAGGCCACGCGACAGACAACCTTTATAATGGAGTATAGGGGGGGTTTTTGACGCGAGTTTTAGTAACATTGGTTACCTGTTAGAGAAGGCTTATTACAGGCTTTATCTTGCCCTATGATAACACCATCATCTCTACCAAAACAGAAACGGACGACCTTGGTCAAACTTACGGGGTACAGTTCCGACGCTGTCAGCATAAAGTTTCTTGAGGGCTTCGTTGGTATCCTTCTTTTTAGTCTCTTCGTCCTCGATCTGTTGGCAGCGTTGACACGTGCCATCCCTCTCGCCGAGCCCTAGAGCCATGGCTTATAGATGTTTGGTTTCTGGATGCGATTATGGGTGTTGACTCATCAAAACTCATTGAACAGAGGAATGCGTAAAAGAGACAAGTTCGAGAGGGCGACCAGAAAGGAGCGGATCTGGGACTTTTTAAGTAGGTACCTAATGTGACAAGTTCCTGACACCGGAATTACGGTGAGCGGAATTTTCTTTTCTTCTTATGGACTCGGAAGATCGATTGGCCAGTTTGGCAAAAAGGCTGGCGACTAACACTTAGGGGATGGGCATATCGGTCAGACAGGATGCCCCGGCTATGGCGCCTATGACGCGATATCCGGCCGTCAATACGTGAGATATGATAAAGTGGACTTCATCTTATGTGCCGTTATTCTATAATTGGTACTTAGAATACCCTCAGGAGGTGTCTTAGATATGGAACGTTGTATTATATATGGTACACAAGAGGTCTGGGCGTGTAAAGAACATATCAAGACAAGACGAGACAAGACGTATCGTGATCTTGGTGTAGGTAGTTCTTATAGAGAAGCATGTTTCCGTGTTGGCCAACCGGGAGGATGCAAGGGAGGCCTTAATTTAGGCCTACCCAAATTTTGTTTTTCTTTTTCTTTTTTTATGAGAAGAATTATGCACTTTGGCATTGTTTATACAATGACGCCTCTAGTAAAATGTCTTATCTGGTGGCTTTTCAAGTTGGTGAAAATAAAATAAAAAAATTGTGTGAATACTACACTACATAAGGAAAAACATGAAGGAGGGAGGGGAAGGGGGGAGAAGATTGGAGTGAGTACCTAGGTAGAGTCGTCTTTCCTATAGCTGAAAGAGGTATCATAGGTACCAGGTATTAGGTAGCTCTATCCAGATACCAGGTAGCTTCCAGGTTATGCTCTTTTTTTGTAATCGTGCGACTCTGGATCAATATACCTGATATGTTATCTACATAGGAACTTTTAGCGACTATACGTGGTTATACATCTCCGATATCGGCACATACATGATGCATCCTGATATTCAACATAAATCCTATTAACTTCATTTATACTTTGATATACCCATGGAATTACGAATAATCCTTTTCATTTGTATGGAGATGTACTGCTAAACTGGAGTCTTGAATTAGGTATTATACATCAGAGCTGAAGCCATTAGAGCGGCACTAAGAACCATGGCAACACAGTAGATCAGTTATACAAGGACAAGGGCCTGAGCCGCTATGGCGGTAGGGCGGTAAGGCGGCTATCGCTTAGGTACCTAGGTATTGGTGCTAATCGTTAATCGGAACAAGACTTATCTCTGCCTCCGACGTGGTCTGTGCGTGATTTGAAGCAACAATTTTCTGTATGGAGGCCAATTCTCCATCACGATTTAACAATTATTTGCGAACTTACAATACATACACTTCGTCGAACCCCATTCTCACCGACGACACTGAAAATCGATACTCCGGTCCTTTCGTCATATACCTATACCGGTCAAGACTTGTAATAGTCTTACAAGCTATTGTTTGCGACGCCGATCGGTAGAATTCTAGCCATCCCAACCCTCCGAATCTTGAAATTCCCTGCCACTAGACCACAGACCACAGGCTCAAGATGGATCATACAAGAGACCCTTGCCCGTGGGTTATTTTGAACGATTTTGGGGGTGCATTTGCCATGGGTGTATGCGATCAATTTCATTCTACTATCATTACCTCTCGGGAAAATTGAGAATGTAAACTAATGCTCGTCTTTTATTAGGCAATCGGCGGAACCATATGGCACGGTATCAAAGGTTTCCGAAACAGTCCGATGGGCGAGAGGAGAATAGGAGCAATCACAGCGATTAAGGCGAGGGCACCGGTATTAGGTGGAAACTTCGGTAGGCACTTGATACTATAGAACATACCTTAGGTACTCAATCTTGTCGAAGCTTACCTTTGGAATAGGCGTATGGGGTGGTCTATTCTCGACGTTTGACTGCGCCGTTAAGGGAATACGAAAAAAGGAAGATCCTTACAATGCCATCAGTAAGTCAGCCTATAACTTGCCAGCCTGATGGGGCCGTAAACTAACTAGACCATCAGTTGCTGGCTTCTTCACAGGTGGTGCTCTAGCGATCCGAGGAGGATATAAGGCGGCGCGAAACGGTGCTATTGGTTGTGCCGTACTCCTTGCCGTTATCGAAGGTGTCGGTATAGGTTTCCAGAGAATGCTCGCGGGCTCAACGAAACTAGAGGTATACTTCATTTACTACCAGGTCCCATGCTCTCAACGTTCAGAAAACTAACAACTCATCCAGGCACCTCCACCACCGCCAGACACGGAGAAGGCTTTTGCGTAGATTCCTTTTCAAAACCGAATGCGACGAAAACACATATTCCCACTCTGCTCATTTCCGAATTATTCGATCGGTTTCGTGTATTTCTAAAGGGTTTAGACGGTCTTTGCATAACCAACACGGACGGGCTATGATTGACATGTAAAATAACAGGAGAGGATATTGCCGCTGTGTCGAGGCGGGACTGGCTGTTGATAGTCCTCCATAAGTCATGTCCTTACCCAGCGGACATTCACATCCAAATACACTACCTAATGTTGACGGACACAGATTTCCCTAGATTTCCCGTATCAATATTCCTCGTGCTGGTATGTTTCTATCTAAACGATCTAGTCTAACGATTCTAGCAATTTGATTTCTTACACTTTCTCGGCATTCCACCTCCAAACATCCTCGGTTACCCCCTCTCCCACCACGACCATCTCGACTATAGACTTATCTGCTTTATCGGGGTGGAATATCCTCATCACAGCTTTTCCGTCATCGTCAATCCACGCCCGAAACATCCCACCGCAATTATGATCCTGCAATATACCGGCAGAGGCGGCGACTATTCGACCAGACTCGTCACGCGAGACCACGCTCTCTATACCGATCATACCGCCCTCTCCCTCTCCCGTTCGACCCCAACGATCTCCAGCGCTCTTCTCCAGCTCTCCACCTCTTCCGGCAACACGACATAAGGCATTCGACGCCGGTACCTGAGCCCATCGCGCAATCGAACCGACCGTTCTGGTAGCGGCTACCCGTAGGAAAGAGTCGCCGTTTCCGGTACCTGACAGCGCAATAGACCGTGTTGTTCGCAAGCGATTGGAACTCCCGTTAGTATTCGTTTGGGCAACGGGAGAATATATGAAAGGAGTCGGTAGACAGTCGGCGACTAAGCTGCGTAAGTTTGCCGACAATTCTATAAGCGGACCCGGCGAGGCATTCGAGACCCATCCGGGATTTGCCTGACTTGCTCCCCTCTCCTCTTCCCATTCTTCCGCCCAGAAGCCGGCGCCGACGACGGGTGTGTCGCCAATGCGCCCGGTAAGTTTATTCGTGAGACCTCCCGTGCTAGTAGCTGCGCATACCACGCCATCCGCATCCAAGGCGACCGCGCCGCACGTACCCTGGGGTAGATATTCCTCCGCACTCCAAGTCGCCAGACCCTTTCCGACTTTCTCATTTTCCAGCGCCCGGATGTGCTCATCCCAGCGCTGCTGAGTGAAGAAATACTTCGGATCAACTAGTTCCAGCCCGTACATCTTAGCCAACGTTTCCGCCGTCTCTCCGTGGACAAGCGTGTGGCCTTGCGCGGACGGCACGTCGAGACCAAGCGCCTCTTGGCCGTCGGATTCTGTTGTTACTGTTGTCAACGCTACACCCGATTGCGCTAACCCGGACTTGGCCTTCTTGCCCAGGTCCTCGTCGCCGTGCTCCAGCATCGCCTTGGCGAGTAATATGGGGTTCTTGACCCTGCGCAGGCCGGTGACGCCGACGCCGCGCTTGGCGTAGCCCCGGGATACCATGACGGAGGCTTCCAGCTCGTTGATGCCGTCGCGCGTGAATACCGCGCCGTGGCCCGAGTTGAAGAGCAGGTGGTTCTCGAGTAGGGTTACGGCGTACGTGGCGATGTCGAGAGCCGAAGGGAACTTGGGCTCGGAAGAGAGGAGACGATAATGCCCATTTCCGCTGGATGATAGGGGAGTGCGGATATAGGCGTCTGCCTTGGAAACCTAGGTATTCCATGTTTTCTTCTTAGTCTTCTTTTTCCAGCTTACTACCTAGGTACCTAGGTAATATATGAGTTGTATTGTTAGGTTAGGTAGATACCTACGATGGTGAGGAGCGCATGTCTGAATTCCTGATATTTCTCCGGACCAAGTTTTTCGGGCGTTATGTTCCCGGCGCCGCCATGAATAATTAAACGCGGTTTGACTTGAGTCGCATTTCTTTCGGGTTGTCGCTTATACTCCATTTTTCTGCTTCATGTAATTCATTCAATTGTATACACTTCCATTCAATTTTATCATATTATGATCTTGGGGAGAATTAAAGAGATTGGCCCTGGAGATATATGATACGGTGAAAGCTACCTAGGTACCTGACCTACCAGTATCTTCACATGATAGAGGTAGCCATCTTAGGTACCGGCATTATACCGTGATTAACTAACCGCTAAAAGCAGGTATCTCGGCAGTTAATCCACTATTACTCCCCGCATAAGCGATCCACAATGGACGTCAATTTGGGCGATAAGTCCACCCATCATATCAGGGGAATACAGGTTACACAACATAGGAGGTACCTAACCTTTATTATAGCGTACCTGCTTTAGGTGCCTCATAATTAAATAGGGCAGTTGTATTGAAAGATACAGCCAACTCCTTTAACATTCTTATTAAGTCCGAAGTTTGACAATTTCAACCGTCTAATCCTACAATCATCAACAGTCAAGGGTTACGAGACATGTATGATCCTTTGTGCTGTAAAGAGCAAGCCATCAGCCATCAGCCACCCTTCATCCTTTAATACTACAAGCTAATTCATTCAGCTCTCGAAGATGTCTATTACTAGATGTCTTCTTCACCCTCCTCATCATAATCATATTCTAAATGTCCACCTGTATCACCATATCTAACCATAATGTTGTGGTACCTAACCATCTTCACTTCCCTCCTCGCAGCCTCGGTGCTTGCAGATAAGCAGAGGCGACAGGATGGGACGGACCCAACCCAGCCCGTAGGAACAAATCCGATCTCGAAATTCGAGACGAAATATCTCGGCCAGCAGAACCCGAATAACAGCTGCAGTCATCGCGACTTAGGCTTCACGGGTGAACTTCAGGGGAAATGGTACGCCGTATACGGCGATACGCTGTGGTGCGCGTCCGGCGTAACGGACCCGGCTAGTGATCCCGCCGGCTTCCATGGTATTGTCAGGGATGCCGTGTCGCTTATGACGGACGATCCCCTTGTTGTGGTGGACTTACATCTTAATGATGATACCCCCGTTCGGCACCAGTTGCAGTTCGTCCCTTTTAACACCGCTTGGGGCGAGGACAACACGTATGGGTTCGGTGGCACGAGTCTATTTGAGACTGCTAACGGAGCGGGTGGTGTATTCTATCTTGTCGTATGTTCATTTTTCCTGGTTTTACTCTTTTCTCAAAGCACTTTTACAGCTTAGTTTGGTACCTAAATAACACCTTTGTAGAACGCCAACGACGCTGGTCTAAAGGGCACAGGAGTCGCAAAAGTAGAGCTCGTAAACGGTGAGCCAACGGTAATCCAACGCTTCGGGGATAATGGGTACTGGTGGCCATCGGACAGCACACCTCGGTATGGCGACGTCGCTGCGTTCCGGGACCCGCGGTCCGACTACGTGTATGCGTGGGGCGGAGCGCCGACGTCTATCACGGATTCTATCGGCGCTCAGTACGTATACCTACTACGCGTCAAAGCTGCCGATGCGTACGACTTGGATCGGTACGAGTATTGGTGGGGTCCAGACGGTTGGAAGATGGGACAACCGTTGACGGAGTTTGGTGCGCAGAGGGCGGTCGCCTGGTTTATCGGTCAGGGGCAGCTCGTATGGAGCGAGTTTTATGAGTGCTATATTTTCGTGCATCTAAGTCAGTATTCCCTAGTATATCCTTTCGCCGGAGGTTTTGCTCTTGCTCCAGATCGCTCACTCAGAATTCTATGTAGCTAACATTAGATATAAATAGGTCCCGGTGGCTCCGATGTGCTTCTACGTACTGCAACGTCCCTGGAAGGACCGTGGACTCCTGATGTGAAAGTATATACAGCAACTCCTATCGACGGCGGCTTGACATATGCCGGCGTTGCACACCCCTATCTCAACCCTAGCGGCCAAACGCTAATAGTCTCGTATACCAATAATAATCATATCGAACTACTCAAGGTCACGTTTTCGAAATAGAAAATTTTGAATATAGAGCGTGGCCTTATTTTGATGTTCCAATATGCGAAAGATGGTATAAACAAAGAGAGTCACTTTGAACAGCAGACTCAATGCAACGAGTAGTTGGAAATACCAGTTCAACGGATGATAGCAAGCACAATCACCGAGCAATGTATACTAATAATTGGTTTACATTAAGTACATGTAATTCATATCCCATATCAGTCGCATCTTATTACCCAACCCTGAAAATGAATATCAGACACGCTAGCGTGCGTCCTTGTTGAAAGGCTACAGTTATACTCCGTCGTAAAACCTCCACTCGGACTTGAAGTCCTTCCTAAGCTCCTTATCTAGAATCAACGCCCTCAGCATCTCAATGGGCATGACGTTAGCGCGTAGAATCCGGTCGTGAAACTCCTTCTCGCACATCTTCCCGTGTCCATCTCCTAAAGCCTCCTTTCGCAAGCGCATCAGTTGCAATGCGCCAAGCATATAACCGGCTTGGTACAGAGGTGAATATTCGCCCCCTAGACTTCGTCGAACCTCGCCTTCGGCCGTCGCGCGTTCGTGGCCTACCTTATCAACTAGTAGATCTACACATTGTCGCGCATCCAACTGGCCCAGGTGGAAGCGTACGGAGAACAGGATCCGCGCGCATCGGTGCATGCGCCAGAACAGAGACCCGACTTTGTCTTCGGCGCTCACGAAGAAGTCGCCTCGCTCCCAGAGCACCATCTCCCAGTAGAGCGCCCAACCCTCGACGAAAAACGGCGTGTCGAAAAGCGCCCGGCGGTAGTGGCGATGCCGCTCTCCCATGAAAATCTGCAGGTGGTGGCCCGGTATCATCTCGTGGAAGGCCGTCGCGCGCCCGAAGTGCCGGTTGTTCCCGCGCAGCGACATCAGCTTGGCCTCGTGGGGCATGTCCCGCGTCGGGTACGACATCTGCATGGTCGGCCCGCCGAGGAAGAACGGCGACACCTTCTGCCGCCGCGCCTCGATCATCGTCATCCGGATGGCCTCCTCGGCCACGCGCGGCACCGTCACCAGCTCGTGTTTCTTGACGTACGCCGCGCCCTCGTCCACGAGCGCCCGGATGAAGCCCGGGTACGCCCCCGGCGCCTCGTACAGGTCCTTCACGTGCTCGAGCGCGGCGCGCCAGTCACGCCCGAAGCCCAGGCCCTGCGACGCCCGCGCCATTTCCGCCTCGCACCACGCGTACTCCCGCTCCGCGATGCGAAGGAGCTCCTCCGGCGCGTACGGGATCATCTCCGCTTCGAGATCGCTCCGCAGGCCGTCGCGCCCGATCGGTTCGCCGACGATCGCGTCGTCGTCGCCGGGCTTCACGCCTACCAGGACCTCGCGGAGGAGGCTCGCGATGCCGCCCAGCGCCGCGTCGAGGCGCTTGTATGGCTCTGCTACCCACCAGTCGAACAGGGGGTCGAAGTCCTTGTAGAAGGCGTACGTCTCCCCGAGCGTCTTGCGGAGACTCGAAACGCGCCGCGCCGCGCGGTGTCCGGTAGCTCTCGAATACCTGCTGGCGTTGTGATTGACGTGATCGCGCGCCTGGAGAACGAGTTTTTCTGTTGCAGTGAGGCTGTCGGCAAGGGCCTTGGGGTCGATGGGGTCGACGCGGCGGCGTTTCTCGCACCAGGCCGTGATAGGTGTAGCGAAGGGTTCGACAAAAGCTTGGAATTTCGCATCCCGTTCTTTATCGAGTTCAAGCGTGCGTTGCGCACGCCGTATATAGTTCCGGAGCAGCAGGTAATCGACTCTATCGTCCTGTGATGAATAAGACTCGAAGGGCTGTCTCTCGAGATCCGCGAGTTCATCTCGGTAGAATTCCTCCAGCCGCGTGTTCCGCGACACGGAGCCTTCGATGTCGTAGTATGCTGTCAAGTCCCTCCAATCGTTCCATACACGCACGATGCGATCCTGAATCGACTCCGGAGGTAGCTCTTTAGACGGCACTTCCACCTCAGTCCAGTCTTCCTGTCCATCGTCGTTCTCTATCACTTCAATTTCCTTCGCTAGTTCTTCTACTACGGCATTCGACTCCAGAGGTGATGAAGGATTAGAAATAGCATCGCTTTGGGTGTCCTGTCCATTCTGGGTGATTTTGCGAATTAAATCGTACATCTCCTTGGGGTCTCGGCTGTGTTCGAAATCCCACCCGGCATGAGACAACTTGCTTTTCATATCAGCCGATAAAGAACGCTTCATCATGAGCAAGACGGTCAGGCGGTTCTTCCGCCATTGCAAGTACTCCGACAAACAGCTATCATCGGTGGGCGCTGGAACGCTTGTGGTAACATAATGAAGCAGATACCTTGTGCGGAGAGCCTCGATCAATTCGGTGTTCCATCGAGAGTAATCTTCCGGGCCGGAGAGCTTATGCCTCTGCTGTTGCGGGGTTGTTGTTTTACCTTGGCTGAGCGAAGCCATATTGGACTTGTCGTCTTATTAATTAAATTTCTCGTGTTTGCTAAGTTGCAATTCTACCTACCATTTCACACCATATCACTATGAGTTACGTTGGGGATACCGATGGGACGGGCTGAGCACAAGATAATAAGTTCACGGATACATGACTTACGTGCCTCAAGGTAGGTGGCTTGCATGCGTGCCAAGGGCATTGATAAGTCTACGGATAATTCCTAAATAGGGGGCCGAAGGATCGTCAGGACGGAGGCTATGAAAGCTTTGGCGGGGTCGAATGCAACCTCTTTAACTTGTAGGCTGATAACAGATTAGATGTCGGAGACTTCCTCCCGATGAAGCGTCGCTTGTGTAAGCCCATCGTTTTTTCTCTTTCTTTCTTTCTTTCTTTTTTTTTTTTTTTTTTTTTTTTTTCGGCGGCGGCGGCGGCGGCGGTGGTGGTGGTTTGTTTGAAGTTTAAAATGGGGGCATCTGTAGCACCGCGCCTCATCACAAAGAAATATCGAGTTAAAATAGATTAGTAGTCTTGTTTACCTAAATGCGGAGTCTAGACGGCCTTACTTTTACTATCCCATTTCTCTCGCATCCACCTTGAATTTACTTAGAGAATATAAGTGTGGGCATAAGTGTATTTATTTAGAAGAGCATTCTTTTTCGTCTTTGGACTATGCCCAATGGTAATATCCGTTTCTTTTTTGAGATAAATACCTAGACTATAGTACAAATGATAGTCCAGTCTCCAAGCAAACCTGTCACACATCCGTGAATACATCATACGCTTTCTTCATCGAAGCAGCCTGCTTTGCAGCCGCATCCGCCGTCGTGTTCCAATCTCTCGAAATTCTCCAGAACTTGACAGAGAGTCCTTCTTCCTTCCACCTCTCGAATTCACCCAGAAGCATTTCCCATAGGTCTTGATTCTTGACATTTCCACCCGCTCTTGTCCTCCAGGAGTTCCCAGTCCAAGTTCTTGCCCACGTTGTAGATCCTTCGACTACATATTCCGAGTCGGTAGCGATTACAATGGTGGTGTATCCTTCGCGGACCCAGTTTCGGATGCGTAAAGTAGCGATTACAGCACGAAGCTCAGCCCTGTTGCTGCTTTGTATTCCCTCGTCGCCAAAAGGTCCCCTGGTCTCTACCCGTCTGGATACGATTGCTGGATCGCCTGCGTGTCCCGGTCCCAGGACGACCGCCCAACCCGCTCTGGGATCTGGTTGGCCATTGTTCAAGCATGCGCCATCGGTGAAGGTGAGAATCGATTTGCGATCACCGCGGCGGATATATCTGACAACAGTAAGCCTTAGCCGAGGGAAGAGGTGCTCTAATAGATGATATGCTCTCCTATAGCATCCTTACCTGGTATATCCTGAGGATGTTCGCTGGGCGGGGAATAGCTCTGTTGGCGTGATAGAAGCTGTTGGCGGAACGAATTTGGTAGGGATGACCCGACCCATGCCTCTTCTTATTTCTAGACTGCCAGAGGGGACATGGCCATTGTCATCTTCGTCTTCGTCATCCTCATCATCTTCGGACATGAAACTATAATCCGTGGTACATTTCCCACAAACGACGAGGCCGTGCGGGCCGCAGACGATTCGACCATTGGGCAGCTCGCAGGGGCCCTCTTCGTCATCGCTGCTTGATGGGCCAAGCGGGTAAAGACCCTGGGCGAGGTACCATCCGATAGGCATCTTTGCAGTAACCCGCGTTAGATGGGAAGAGCTGCGAATATTAGCCCAAGTAGCCTGGGAGTTGTCGTAGGAAAGAGTAAATTGAAGTGTTGCCGATAAAAAGGCAAGAGAGGTGTAGAAGGAAAGCTTGCTTAATGGGCAACAGTTTTGGCTGTGCCAAGAGTATCGGGTAGGTACCTAACCTAACTTAATGTTTGGAGGTTAGTGAAGCAAACGAGAGTGGTTGTGTGCGGACTGTTTGGTTTTCTGCCTTGGGACAACCTTAGATTAGGTACCTAAGGTAGGAATAAGGATTAATGCAAACCGTAAAGACTTATACAGTGAAATCTTGCACGGTTTACTGTGACGAACCTATACTCGAGTACTCGAGTACGTGGGAGTATAGTGCCGATGGTTCTTGATTTTAGGTAAACAGTAGCGATACGGGTCAAGTGTCAAAGTAAACGTTGAAATGTTCGTCAGGAAGGCGTGGAGTCCTTCCCCTTGTATTGGTTAGATATAAGGCTTAGATTGATAGCTAAGGAGACTGGAATGAATGACTAGATACATGAGAAATGCTGCTTATTATATAGAATGTCTTCTCTCTCCTTTCTGGTGTTGGTCTTGGCTTGATCTGGTTGATCTGATCAGATCAGCCAGATCACTCCCACACTTCCTTAGTCATGAGGCTATTCCGAGATTTACCCGTCAATGTGACGTTAGAACCCCTCTTCCTAGGTCTTGAACGTGATCCCCGTGATCCCTGGGCTTGTTTGGTTCGTAACATTTACCTTAGGTTAGGTAAAGGTTTCTTACGAATTTCCAAAAAAATGGTATGACCTTATCCTAAAAAGATATAGCCCTGTCTTAAAAGGGTATAGGTTTTAGCTTAATCTTCACTTAAATCTTCTTCACTTGATCTTTTCTTATATCAATCCTCAGGCTACAAACATCAGTCATTATAATGGTCAACATACCACAGATGAATCACAAGAGATAATAAAAAAAGTCGGTGATTAGTAGCGAATAATAAGATTCAAGTTAGGTAGAATGTCATAATTTTATGGAATAATTGCTTCACAAATATTATGAAATAAAAGAGCCATCATGTATACTAACTGCTAATGTCCCTAACTCTCGAAGCTGATATTCACAACCTAAATTTCGAAAACGACTTGAGGGCCTTTGATCACAGTCTCTGGAAGTCCCCAGGTAGCAAGGAGGTGGGTTGGAAGCGTGGCGGCGGGATTCGGATCCAGTCTACCTGTTGCAGGATCTCGTCTGAACGCCGCAATTCCCGTGCTACCAAGGTCGTTGGCCACAAGTGCAAATTCCTGGTTGGTGTCCGAGCTAAGACTGACCCAGCGTGGCTGTATGCCAGCAGTCGGCGTGTTTTCGGCAAATACGATGCGCGGCGGGTCAGTATCGTCGGTGATAGTGAAGTGTGCGATGTGACCGGAACGTTCCTGAGAGAATCGGTTCCAGATGTATATGTCGCGCTGGTTCGACGCAACCACGATACCGGCAAATGCTGACATCGAGGGCTCATCATCGCTACTCTGCCCCGACGACCGTCCAAATTGGACAGTACCGAACTGTGGCCCGGTGTCGGTATAGTTCATTCGCACCAAGGCGATCGCGCTCTCGACCCCTCCTACCAACAACAAGTAGGGCGTTTCCCTAATTATAACAAAAGCCATAGTCCCTGGTATAATTCCGTCCGGTATATCCCTAATGCCCACGATCTCGTACCTGTCATCTCGTGTGTCGAGCAATGATAAAGTTCTGTTGCCGGCATTTGCTATTACAAAATAGCGGCCAATCGGATCAAGAATGGCCTCGCGGGGGCCGGGAAGCTGGGCTCTTGTGGGATCAGCGTTACCAAGTGCCCAGAGAGTTTTCATTAGTCTAGGGGCGTTGTCCTCCCTTGAGATGTCCCAAACATCGATCTCACCGGTTATGTGGGAGCACTCGACCATACGAGTTCTGTCGGTATTGAATGCCAGGTGTCTTCCCCCATAGGAGCCTATGCCGTTGGCACCGAACGAAATTTCGTCGAAACGTGGCCTATTACCATCCGGCTCGGCTGAAGAATCGCCGCCCATATCCCTATACCCCAGCCTTAACATGTTGGTGTCCGAACTTAGCTTGTTTGCCGCATAGAGAATGTTGGGTGGTTTGAACAGTATTGAAGCAGGCATCCAATTTGGTATGATAAGTCTTGAAGCTATAACGAACTGGGTGCCGTCGAAATAAGCAAGTAGAACCTGGTCTCGATTACCGATAATTATGTGCCCTAAGGGAGGCATCGAGGGGCGTTCAGCAGCCATTATGTTTGAGTAGGAGCTTTTTTTTTTCGCTTTTCTAACTTGAAGAGGTATTACGAAGTCCACAATGAGATAAGTGGCCAGTATTCAATACCTTGACTTGTACTGATTTATGTGAAGCCTAGCGGCGGGAAATGATAAAACATATATACACTCAGCTCAACTTGGCACAACTAACCTGTAAATTATCGACGGAATACAATTACTGTTATGGAACAGCATCTCTTCGGAGAATACTTTTGTTCGTAAATAGCTTCTTACGACCAGACTTGGAAATAGGCATGTATGTCTTTGTGTTTTAATTTGCCTGGGATTTATAGAATTTCTATAAAACGGCGTCTCGCCTCTATCAGAAGTGCCTAGGCCATTAATTGTTTGAATATCGATTCATACCTGTCCAAGTTGTAGGATGTTTAGCATGTTAGAAGCTTTTGAGCCACACCTTTCGAGCTCGATATTGGAAAGAAAATAAGAGCTAGAGTGGTTTGGATAAGAGTTTGGGACTAAGGAATATGGCAGTTAACGACTTGATATCATACATTAAAAGATATCGGAGTAGAATGAGTAAAAGGGGTAAAAGAAAGACCCATACCACGCAACACAAATATGCAACATGCATATCCTGAAGTAATAATCTGAAAAAAAACAGGGATTGATCTACCTCGTTTCAAGTTGCTCTAATGTTCTGTCGTGTAGAATAACTGTCTTGTGAGGCTAGTATATGGGCTGACACGTGTCAACTGTAGCCTCTGCACATGGTTTGATTCTCTTCCCAATCCACTTATTAAACAACTGTTGTTGTGAAACAGGGGTCGTCAGCATACAATGACGGAGCCATTGCCTTGTTCTGAGATGCTTATAAATGATTCACTGAAGCCGATAGTACTGCAGTTTGATGTGTGAAAAATAAGCTGGATACCTACCTGTTATTCATAACTCAATCCGACAGATCTAGGAATAAGCGCGTCATCATGTCGGGAAGCGAGCCATTGCCTCGCGCACGAGCTCGTACCTTTGGTGTTGAGTTGGAATTTATAATCTTGTGGTTATGGGATGATGAGCCGGACCCATATCAAGAGTGGGCAAATGAATTACCTCCAATCCTTAGAATACCAAGGGAAAGCAGCATTCCGCTCCCAAAGAGTCATGTAGACGGGATGGTCTACGACGCGATTTGTGATGTTCTAAACAGACACGGTATACCGGCTCGACGAGACCCACCTCGAGCTTCCGAATTCCGCGTCTGGAACGCCAAGTCGGACTCAAGTATTTACCTTACAGATGAGAAAGCTCGGTGGACCGCTGTCGAACTGGTGTCTCCCGTAGAGAGTGCTTCACCCGTGGCGTTCAAAGTAATTTCCTATGTCCTAAACTTAATAGCGTCTACGTACCGGATAAAATTGAACAAAACTTGCGGGTTTCATGTACACGTGGGTGATGGGGAAGAGCGAATGCCTCTGGAGGATGTAAAGAGAGTCGCTTCTCTACTCTGGGCTGCCGATCCCATTATCGCCACACTGCATCCATCGGAAAGGAGAACAAACCGCTACTCACAAAGCATTCGCGAACGGAGTCCACTTGCTCAAGGGAGTAAAATAGCGGATGTATTGTCGAATGCTAACCACAGGGAAGATGATACGTGCCTTCTATATATTGGACGTAGCATGAGGCACGGGGAGCAGCCGATATCTTGGAGATCAATGAACCAGTTGCAGAAGCACATCCAGGCCTTTAAAGACAATCGTAGCAAGCTTGACTTTCAACCGTTTATCTACGATGACACCGAAAGGTCCTCAACAGGCAAGATGGATTCACCCACGGCATACTCAGTCTCAGGACCAAATGCATCAGAGATCCAGGCTCGCACCGAGAAGGCCACAAAAACCATCAACGATTCCGAAGTTAAACGCTCTAGCCACCCGTATTCATCTACGCTAAGGCGTCTCGGTCCGAGGTTTTTACTCCCCGAAAGACTGCCTGATGATGAAAGCATGTCTACAAGACTCGACGCGAAGGCCGAGTCCGACATCGGGGTTTTCGCCGGTGTAAGCGAGATATTTTCTTGTGAAAGCTCGTGCGTGATATCCCTACTGCTAGAGACCCGGCAGAGACCCAATTATAGCTTCTTTCGCTACAGGTGTAACGATCTCATGGATCCTCCATGGCGTGCCCCTACGATCGAGTTTCGAGAAGCGGCGGGCACCACATCTGGTCGATGGGCGGAAGTGTGGGCCAGCATCTGCGTGGGTCTCACGCATTTCGCGATCCACGCTCCGGTAGATGTGTACCTCTCCGTGTTATTTCATCTTGACGAGGCCACTTCTGGCGAGGCTTCGTATGATGTGGTTGACTTATTGGGCGAAGTTGGACTATTTGCGGAATCTGTGTTTGCAGAGAAGAGGTTAACGCAATATAAGGATGAATGGGGGTTAAAGTATGATTCCGAAGGGGAAAATAATTCACACTGAGTTATTTTTTGAATGAGGGTTAGACCATAATATCGGTAATCTTCAAGTAGAGGTTACCTTAGATACCTCCTGAATATAAACATTCTTGTATTCTTAAACTAACGTATATCTCTTTTCCATTGTCGTTCGTGGTGAACTATGCTTTGACCATCTGAAGAAAGCGGGTAAAGCCGGAAAGAAAACAAACGCATTAACAGGTATTTAATATGCATATCTTATAAAGTCTATGTTACATCACCTGTAATTTATGTCCTCTTTGAAAGAGCCTTTCATTCGTCGCATGTATGATGCATACTAGGTAGTAGGTATAGCCGGAGGTAATATTCTTCCCTTCTCTATTCAAGTACGACGATAGTCTCTTATTATATACTCCGGCTTCCTTCGGAATTTCGGTATTGCAATACCCACTTGAGTATGCGTGTAGGCAACTTGAACCAACATCTCAACACTAACGATAATTAGCTTCATTCATTCTTAGGCCCTTGGTGACATGAATACTACAACCCAACCTCTCGATCCTAGTATCATCCGTGTACTGATTTCCTGGGCGTTTATATTGTAGATAAAAGAAGTTATACATAACATCATGGCGTCGACGTGGGTTCCGGACGTATCTCCCGACAGCCCATTTTCGCTAGCCAATATCCCCTTCGGCATCATCAGCTCGCCGGCCAACCCCGCGCCGCACGCCGCTATCGCCATCGGCTCTCATGTACTTGACCTCAAAGTCTTATCTTCGTACCCGGACTTTGACGATCTCTTCCCTAGCTTAAAGAATTACCCCGACATCTTCTCAAACTCCACCCTCAATGAGTTCGCAGCGCTGGGCCGACCGGTCCATCGAGAAGTCCGCAGGACTATTCAGGACCTCCTGTCAGCCGAGACATCACGGTCAGAAGTCTTAAAGGATAACTTGGGACTTCGACGAGATGCCGTAATTCCCCAGCAGCAAGTTAAGATGCATCTACCCATGAGCATTGGCGACTACACAGATTTCTACGCTGGTTTTCACCACGCCTATAATGCTGGTGCCCTGTTCCGCGGACCTCAAACGGCTCTGCAGCCGAACTATACCCACCTCCCGGTCGGTTACCACGGCCGCGCTTCTAGCATCGTCGTTTCGGGCACGCCGATCAAGCGCCCCGTCGGCCAGATCATTACTGACCCTACAGCGGAGCCAAAGCACCCAACCACAGCTCCTTCGCGACGTCTAGACATCGAGTTGGAACTAGGGTGCTTTATAGCGACTCCGAACGATATGGGCTCTCGCGTCAAAGTCGCGGATGCGGAAGACCATATTTTCGGATACGTCTTACTAAACGACTGGAGCGCGCGCGACATCCAGGCGTGGGAGTACGTTCCGCTGGGTCCCTTCAACGGGAAGAACTTCGCCACGACCATCAGCGCTTGGGTCGTCCTTGCAGATGCCCTTGAGCCGTTCAGGACCAAGGCGATCGACAACTGGACGCCGCTGCAGGGGTACCTGGACGAAGGCAAAGAGGAGAATATTTTCGGAATTGATTTACAAGTTGATTTAGAGAGTAAGTACCTAACCTAACTTAACCTAACCTACCTTTATCTCAATAAGGATGATATCCGAAAACTAGATCTAATGCAGCGTAGCACCGCAAGGCGACTCGACGACTATATGTACAACAAGCTCGAAGTACCTCATATGGTCGTTCCCGCAGATGATTGCGCATCACACGCTAGGCGGCTGCCCGCTGAGAACAGGGGATCTTCTTGGTTCCGGAACCATCAGCGGGCCTTCGCTACGTGAGAGGGGAAGCTTCTTAGAGCTAAGCGAGGGTGGATGGAAAGACATCATGCTCCAGGGTATGGACGTACGCCGCTTCTTGAAGGATGGTGACAGGATTACAATTCAGGGGATTTGCGGAGAACCAGGTCAAAAGGTTGGGTTTGGCGAATGCACTGGTCAAATACTAGAAGCAACACCGCTATAATAGTTCTGATATCAGGCTTGGAGTTTACGAAGAAATTAAAGGCCCTAGGTATTCAAGTCCCTATCCTGGTATATGAATAGAACTTGAACTGCTTAGAAATGCATGGGAGATGCCGTATTCCCCTTTATTTTCTACTGACTATAAGTCAATTTTCATTGTCCGTGATACTGCTCCTAATCACCTAAAATAAGAACATTGTTCTTCCCCTGAATATATTGGAACTACTATCGCGCATTAAATACCAGTCTTTCCCATGTTTATTCAATGCTATTAGTAGGTATGTCACTATCAATGAATATTCCGATCAAATAAAGACTTTATACCTGTACAATAATTGTTCTTTCTCAACTATGTAGGTATATAAACATGATGTTAAATACCAGGTACCTTTTGATCATTTCTCTCCTAACTACAGTATTCTACTCGCCGAAAACATACCTCTCAACACCAGACTTACCCTAAGTCTGTCTTATTCATGAAATACGTACGCAATCATACTTGGAACCCGTTCAGAATGTCTCCAGCAGTTCCAACCAAGCGAGCCGGCCAAGAATATGGCGTGATCCGCAGTTTTTTGGGGAACGGCCGCTACAAGGTCCAGGTTATTCCCACGGACGGTAGCACCAAGCCTTACATCGTCGTCGGAGTTCTTCTTAACTTGGTCCGTACAACGGTGGGAGATTTCGTGCTTGTATTTTTTCGCGAACCGAAGTCGAAGGAAGCTATCATCACTCGCGTCTTTAGTAGAGCCGAGGCTGAAGTGCTAATAAACCGTGCTGAGTTGCCCAGGCACTTTGATCTTATTAGCGACGATAATTAGGCGAGACACGACTGTGGAATATCAGGTAGCTCTGTCTCGCTAAGTATCTAGGCGCTAGTTCGAGCTATTTCATAAATTTGAGAAATAAAACAAACCTCGTATACCCCTTACCTCCCAGGACAAGGGGAGAAAATATCCGGTCTTTGATGTTTAGGTGTGATTATCTCAATGTGTACCTACCTGTAGTCTGCTAGTAATTTGCAATAGTTACTAGATCTGCATTATGAATCCTCAAGTGGTCCATAAAGCGCCAAAAAACGCTCCAATAATAAGTCCAATTACCTCCTATGGAAAGAGCACTTATTTTACATTCAATCTGATATTCACATTACAAGTTAAATCAAATAGCAATTAGATCTCCAAGTCGTATGTATTATTATCAACTTTCGCTATGCGGCGGCCAGCCAGCCCGCATAGCCTTGAGTAGAGGGCATCAATGTCGGGACGACTCTTTCATATGTACTTTTCCTTGAACGATCCTTGCAAAATGGGGGTATCTTGTGTTTGCTCCAGCTCCAGTTTCACTTCTCACGTATACTTTTCTCTCCACTAGCTACCTCTAGGTAGGTTTACCTTTTCCTCCATGATCTGAACAATAATCTCCGCACCTTTTTCCTATCTGTAGACGGCGGTAGGCAGGGATCATCTTAGTAGAGACCGACGCAGATGTCACCGCGGACTCGGGCAGTCAAGTGGACCTCTGCTTCCAGGTCGAGCTTGATACCGACTAATAGAGCGGCGGACTTCTGGTTGCCGTTCTCGTCGGTCGCACCCCTCAAAAGTTGGCCTGGAGAGAACGAGTTAGTCATGATGATCAAATCTGCAAGGCTTGGTATCCCTGATCTCACCTGCTGGCTGAGCTAATCCCGCCGAGGTGGGCAGCTGAGGCAGAGCTGTAGCGGCTTGGGAGAGTTGGTTCTGAGGGCGACGACCGCCGCGGGCCTGGCCGTCGGATTCCGAGTCGCTGTTGTAAGCGACGTTGTTCTTCATGGGGATGGCGGAGGTACTAGAAACCATGTTAGTTGGACCTGATATAATTAATTCTCGAAATAACTATTGAGCAACTCACGTGCTAGTGGTGGCCATTTTGAATTAGTCAATAGGATTGATCAAGGGAGATCTTAAAAAAATGTAGGTAAATGGTGAAGTAGCGGCGGATTGGTGATCGCGTTGCTAAAGTCAGGCCGGCTGAAGAAATGAAGAAGGAAGCTGGTGATGAGGATGATGCTGTTGATGCTGGATGAGGAGGACTAATTCTTCACTGACGAGTCGAGAATCAAGTGTTCTTATATCTGCAAAGCTCGACTTAAACATACATCCCGTTTCTCCAAAACATCTTAATCCTACTACTATGCAAATCCCTTCCATCCGTCTGAGCGCTCGAAACGCAAATTAGTGTTGAGCTGTCCGCGACGCATATCCTCATACCTAGTTCACGGCGATGTAACGCACTCGTCCGATATGGTACGATGGAAGTCGTCCAATCATTCCTTGACACAGTTACAGCGAAGACTCTCATTGAACGCCTAGAACCAGGGTTGCAGTGGACCCTGATCCAAGCGTTGAGCCTCAGACATCAGGGGTCTCGTCTTACCCCTGTCCCGCATAACAGGTACGCTCAGATCTGATCTGACAAGTGGCACGAGGAGTCGGAAAGATTAGACCGACCGATGAACGTAATAGAGTTGTTTTCCCTTGAGAAGACCCTAAAGTCGATAAAGGTATAGGTTTACACTCTTCCTGGGGGCGTACGATTATGGCTTGCTACTCTACTTCTGCACAATAGGCCCCTTACCCCATTTTGAGGCATTACAAGTTCGCAATTATGTACATAGGTAGCCTATCAATTATTAGGCTTCGATGTGCCATACGATACGCCTCTATTTGACGTGTCCGTGGTTGAGATGTTTTTGGGATTAAATTACGCGTATTTCCTACCCCGGAATAGTTACCTGTTCATCTTAACACGCAAGACCCCGTTGTGGGTTGAGTTAATTAACCCCAGCCAAAGACCCTGAACGCCAACAAACGTCCACTCCGCCATGGCCAACGGCCTAGACATGGCCTTTCGCTACCCGTACGGTTCGTCTCCGTAGCTGTCAAGTTTCGGCCCTCGGGCTAAACATCCCATCTTTGATGATCATCCAGTAGTTAACTAGGTATGCGGGGACTCGGTCTAAGAAGGGAGATAGATGGGTTGTTGATGTCAGGTACCTAGGTAGGTAATTGTTTGAATTAGGGGTATCTTTAGTGATTCGCCCGCGAATTATACGGCGGTTAAATACCTAGGTGGAGTTACTCTCTATGTACTGTTTACATGCTCCTCCGCGACAACCTCGTCTTCAACGTACGGTTTCTTATACCCTGGTCCACTTAATTCGTCTGCTTGTTCTTCAAGAGTATCGAGTCTGTCGGTGATAGAACTCGCCGCAGTGACAGACGCGGTATCGCTCAGACCGTCGGCTTTTCTCGCCGCAGACCAAAACGAGATGTTGTCGGTCGCTACACTAGGTGAGTGGGGGATGGTCCCAGATGTGTGTTCTGCATGAGAGTTGGGGTCGAGGTGTAGCTTGCTTAAGTCAAGCTGCGCGCCGTCAACGTTTGCTTCTCCTGTAGCCTGATCCTCTGTAGCAGCTCTATCCTGTTGTAACGGCTCTGGATTTGCTTGTTCAGTCGCATCAGTCTGTTGCTGACTACGAAGCATTTCTTGCTTCTCTTCTTCCTCTCTTTGGGTTTGCTCCTTGTGCTGCTTCATCTTCTCGTCTAACGTCTGCGCCTGATTCGGGTCTGGTTCAGGCTTGCGTTCTTTTTTCTCACGTCGGGTAAGTTCTACCTCGAGCACTCTAGTTCCCATCGGGACCTTGGTAATTAGGCCGTCGTCGTCGCGGTCAAAGTATAGTGCCCAAATACCCGGGAACTCCTCGACTGCGGCGAAGCCTTCCCATCCCTCTAGGGTCATGCGCCGGTCCTGCCGGGTGCAATCGAACGGCCCTGTGATATGAGGTTGCGCGTCGGCTCTAACGCCATATTTGACTTCATAGGTGTCCTTATCAACATATATCCAGTTTAGCATTGGCGGGTCGTCGCTTATGGTGCTGACTAGACCCTCGTATGGTTTATCGGGGTATGGTAAATAATATCCTGCGAATGGATGCCCGGTATTTGCAGCATTGGTATTATCACCTTCGGTAGATGAGTCGCCAGTCGTAATATAGAGCTAGGATATTCCCGTGTAAGCGACAGCTCTTGTTCATATTATGATGAATAGCAGGTAGGTAAGAGATAGTTTTACCTTATTATCCTTTAGCACAACTAACTTCCCATTGATGTCTCGACTTCTTATCGACTGTTTTACGCAAGAAACCACAAGGTTGCAGCGACGAGCTCGGTGTTCTTCGCGTTTATTCTTGGACTGGCTTTGTCGGATTGCCTCCTGTGTCCCTAACAGAGCAGGGGCAATCGTGAGCGCCAGTATCATAGGTATAGCCATGGCAACTTCTTCGAGAGCCTCCTGAAGTGTCTTTCCTTGAAACGTGAAAGTCTGTGATGTATGAATGTTTGAAGACATCAGCTGTTGTGTTTAAACTCGTAGTTACCAGGGTTGTGGATGTGAAAGACACAAGGTGTAAGTGAACGTTGTAATTCGCAAAGATGGCACTGACAAGTTCAAAGTAAAGGTAGGTAGGTAGGTAAACAAGAAAAATGTATGTTTCTTGCAATATTCAACGAACTTTCGTAAAATATGGTTAAAAACTCTAGAATTGGGATGGAGCGTGTTCATGGATCCCCCTGTCGTCGGTTTCAGATGCGACTCTGTCTGGGGGAGCTGGACAGACTGGGCCCATATCATATGTTTTCCAGGACGTCGGTGTTCCATCCCTTCCCCGTGCATCTAAAATCATGCGTTTGCGTGTGTCCCAGCCTCATCTTCGACAATTCTCGTGCTGATCAGGACCTAGCTGCTGGCAGCTCGCCGTCGGTTCCATGACCTTGGATTGCGAATAACTAATTTGCATACCGTACCTGATACTATGATATTCATGCTCTCTGTATTCTAATTTCGTAACACGGCTGGTCCACGAAAAAAACGAATTAATTAGGTGCGGTCAAAATATAATGTAATAATAATCGACGCCGGCGGAGAAATCAACATGGTCGCGGATATCCTACAATCTTTAGCTAACAACGCCGATGACGCGGATGGCGTAGCGCAGCTAGTCGTGACGGCACTCGGATCCGGAGGGCAGCATTACATCTGCTGGAAGACTCATGCGGGTGAATACAGACAACGTAGGTCTTCAATTCTCGCCCTAAACCTACCTTTTTATCTTTTTTTTTTTTTCTTTTTCTTTGCTCACATTGAAGTATAGGATCCCATGGCCTCCCAAGGCGTTTGGAGGACTGGTTGTTTCCACTCGATGGCAGCACCAGAGACTTCGAGACTTTGCAGGTGATACTCTCCGGAGAAGACACGTTCTGGGCGTCGGATAGGAATGGCGAAGTTCGCAGCGAGCCGTCGGGTACCCAGCAGCAAATGCTCCGAAGAGCTCTAACATTTAATGGCGGAAGCCCTTCTGCCAAGGACAAGCGGCGGATGAGCAGGGCATGGGAACTTTCAAGAGGCGATACAGAGCGGCCGCGATCCAGCACGCTGCCGTCTATATCACCAGCAGTAGACCATCTTCCTGGACCTCATCTAAAAGCAGACCCGGCGACCCATAGCCGGTCATCGTCTGCGGACAAGCTACGCAGAGTTTCCATTGTACCGATTGCTTTCCACCAACGGGGACGGTCGTGGGCTACGCGCCCGCGCAGCTTAGTATACGGGGGCGAGGATTTAGGGGTGTTGAAAGAACAGCCAAGTCCGCAAGGAGTCAACAACACTCCGCTGACGCCAGTGAAATCGGCACCTTTGACGAGCGCCAAAGCGCCGGAACATCGCTGCACATGCGGCTACCACAAATATGGTACCGCAGAGACAAATAGACCTGAGTCAACTAAAAGTACAAAGCCCCGGTCGACCTACGCGGACGCAAGCGTGCAAACAGACCCTCCGCCCAGCCCCGAAGCGAGCAGCACAGGCGCGTTCAACCCCGGTCAGCAGAGGAAGGCCGAGCACCACCGACGCCGGGAGTCCTCCTACTCCGCAATCAGCACGGCGGATTCCTACAACCCGTATTCTTACCCGAGCAGCAAGCGCTCGAGCTTCGAGACCATTACGACGCAGCCCGACCCGGGATACTGTGGTCCGGATACCGGGGGTAAATATACCGGAGGGTGGCAGCAGCCACCACCACCACCACCACAGCAGCAGCATTGGGAGCAGCTCACGAATCCCGTGGCGATGGGTCGAATGCAGGCTTACTTCCGCTCTTCGACGTACGTGCTTGGGGCCGCTCTTCAGCCCCAAGGGTTAGCTTAGGAGAAAAAGACTGGAATATCCGATTTCCCAGTTCAGCGTATTGTTCGTTGGGTGTGTAGGTCAGGTGTCTGAGCGCACAAGGAGTGCAGCAAGTTGTGGGTTGTACATATAAGGTGTAATATCATCCATGGGAGCGCAAGGCTTCTTTTATTCCTGTATATTTTTAATTATTGGCTATCTTGGGGCTTTTTATACGTACCAAGATAGATAAAATTCAGCGACCGGCCAGGTGCTTGGTATATTTATTGCTTTCTTATAGATTACTCATTGTTTGTTCAATCCCTCACTCCTTCAAAGTGTACATAAAACAATTATGACTTGTCCATCGGATCAAAGCGTTATACGGTATCGTAGTGTCTTGTTCTAGACCCTCATCAGTAAGACTGATACCTACCTAAGCTAGGGTACCTAACTACGAAGACAGGAGTTACGAGTCGTTAGACACACTGACCAATGGTGGGAATAATTTTCTAGGTCTATTTCAATGCCTTCTTACGGCTATAGCTAACCTCCATTTAGTCTACCTTTCCTTTCGCCCCTTTTAAGTTTCCTATTAGTTTCGCAACAGCTGCGATGATATTGTTCTTTAGGCTACCAACATTACTTTCGGTGATTTCGTCAGCTCCCACGAATCTTCGGATTAATATATTATACAGGCCACCGAACGCAAGCGCGATGACTGTGCTAGTGAATATGATCACGTTGTACGGCATACTGAAGTCTGGTGTTGGCAGACTGAGAAGAAGAGATGTGGTACGTAGATTCGACACCTTTTGGCGCGCTAACGGAGCATCTGGGAATGTGGAGGGCAATATAGTTATGATGGCTGCCGCGACATCGAAGCCGCGGTTCGCATCTGGTGGATATTCGGTGTAGCGTAAGATAGATTTTTCAAAATCGTAAGTAAGAGTAACTGTACTGGCAGGTGGAATACGCATTCGTAGTTCAAGTTGCGTTCCACGGACGCGGTCTAGGGCTGGCCGGTAATAAATCTCCTCGATAATATCGTTCTTGGATCCGGGTACACCGTTGACGTGGGCCGTAAGGGTATGAAGGTAGATCTTCATGAACCAAGGAAGACTCTCCATGTAAAAGAATTCAACCTCGGTATCTGGGCTCGGGTTAGTAAGGATAGTCCTTACTCCGCCTCGCTCATACCCATGACCCGTAAAGCTACGCTCCGCATATAGAAGCGGAGTTTCGGGCTCGACAATCTCATCAGCATCCGTTTTAGGATGTTCACCTTCCCGTGACATATGGGGAAGGATCATAGAGAAGTCAGATTCCAGGGGAACTTGGTAGCATCGGGAGGGTCTGTTTGCATCTTTGATCTCGCTTGCACCAGCGGTTATATAGATATCCCTGGTATGCGGGACTTGGATACAGAGAGGAGGGACCGCTGGGTCAGTCAATGGGCAAGTTCCCTTAATCGTCTTACCAAAAATTTGGTCAAGCGCCCACTCCTGACCCTGGGCGTGGTCGGTGGGAAAGCAGGTATCATCAGAATGATATGGTTTTGACGTGTTACATTTTAACTCATGGGCCGGAAGAGGTCGGGGGATGGGATTATCTACATGATATTAGAAGATTTTACCAATGAATGGGGGACAGCTGTAGGTAATGCTTACCTCTAGGGCGTTTAGACCTTTCGATGTCCAAGACCATATCGATCGTTTGCTCAATCTGCAGCACGCACTCTTGGCCATCCGGACATATAGGTCGAATATCAATGGCCATGCTTTGCCACGATGCGTCGAAGAGTTTGTGACCGTCAAGTAGAGTCGATATTCCAGCCTTCCCCTTGCAAGGCAATAACTTCAAAAAAGGGGTTAAGTTTTCTGTACAAACTACCTCCCTCGGCAGTACACCATGTAATAATTGCATGTTAGCTAAGGTGGTGTTTGAGTGATCTCCTTCGGGTTGGAAGGACATGACGGGCCGAGTTGTTCTCGTCTCGTCGATGAAGTTCAGCGAAGCACAAAAAAGGCCGGATAATGCGTTTGTTAGACTCAACCATTTGCGGCTGGCCCTATTGGTAAGAGGCACCTAAGGGTTAGCATGAAGATTCTAGGTAGAATAATCTCGGTAAGCAGGGTTAACGCTGCATAGGTAGCATACTCTTCGTCAGTGTCTGCTTCGATCCATGCCCATAGCTCGACACCTGTTCCGCCTTCTTTCGTGCCATCCCACGGCCTCGCTCCCCAGCTCTCGGCGTCCCATCTTCCCAAACTGAACCTTAGATGCAGCTCTCGTGTTCCAACATGTTGTAATATCTGTCCTAAAGATCGAGGGAAGTATCGGAAGTTGTGCGCTTCGAATTGCGACAAGGTTGTATTGGATCTAAAGTTGAAGCTGGCGAGGACGGTAGATTGAGGCAGCGGCTTGAGAATTAATTGTTCGTAGTAGTCGGAAGCAAGAACAACGGTCCAAAACAGAATCGAAAAGGGTATCAAGTAAGAAAAGAAATGGCGCATCGTTGCCGTCGATAGTCCATGAGGACGACCGTTTTTTTTTTTTTTTCTTTTTTTTTTCCCTTTTTTATGGTGTTGGTTAGTTGTAGTTGTAAGATGGGGAGTTTTTGGTTTGGTTCGTCGATTATTGGATGCGAGATCCAGCAACGTGGAATAATTCCAACAAGGCTAATCCGTAGCAGAATGCTTGCTGACTTAGGCACCTCCTATGGATCCGTGTTACCTTGACAGGTACCCTTAACAGCCTAACTGTTGGTAAGAGATAAGGGACCCCTGGCGGCTCTCTAGGCTTTCCGTCAGGCTCGAAAATTAATGGCCGGGTCTTGGCATTCTCAGATTTTCAATTCTGTCAAACAATAAGTACTATAAAAAATAAATAAAAAATATCGCGATATTTGTTAAAAGATTTCGTATATAATTATTACCTGTTTCAATTTTTTACGATTTATTCTTGTGGTTATTTTCGTGTTAGAGATGGTACTGTTTCTAGAGAGAAATGCCAAGACCCGGCCATTAATTCTCGAGCCTAATGGGCTTTCTGGTACCTATGCCAGCTATGCCCCTGCCGAGCCCACTAAGAAATGCAAGCTGAACCCACTAAACATGCTAAACAATGACCTAATTGGTCCCCGCAAATATCAATCCTTTAGGAGCTACTTTTCTGGACGACCAATTAATTCAGCCTTGTTCCAGCTGCCTCTTATTGTACATGGACTTTTTTTCAACCATCGCACCAACGTCAACTATCAACTTATCAACTCATCAACTATCACCAACTCTCTTTTTTCTTTCTCTTTTCTTTAAAGAAAACGCACCTTCAACAACTAATTAATAACTTTGTCCCATTAATTACTAATCACTAAATACTTATACCCAAAAACTCTGTACTTTTGGGTCTCCAAAAGAAAAATGGCGGCAGAGCAAAGAAAGCTGCTTGGTAAGATTGAATCCAGCCGCTCCTATTTCCAGACTCGTCCAGCTAACTTACTTCCCTTCTATCCAGAGCAGCTTATGGGGGGGCCTCAAACCTCGCGCTCGGCCCAAGTCTCGCTGACCGACCCGAAGGTGTGCCGATCCTACATCGTGGGCACCTGCCCGCACGACCTATTCACGAACACGAAACAAGATCTAGGGCCGTGTCCCAAGATCCACGCGGAGTCGCTGAAGGCTGAGTACGAGGCCCTACCCGACGCGGCGCGCCAGAAGTACGGGTTTGAGATGGACTACGCGCGGGACCTGCAGAAGTACATCGAGGAGTGCAACCGGCGGATCGACGCGGCGCAGCGGCGCCTCGAGAAGACGCCCGACGAGATCCGGCAGACGAACGTGCTCCTCAAGGCCGTCTCCGACCTCAGCGCCACCATCAACTGCGGCCTGCAGGAGGTGGAGATCCTCGGCGACCTCGGCGAGGTCAGCCGCGCCTACGAGGAGTTCTTCAAGGTCCGCCAGGCCGCCCAGGCCAAGATGGAGCGCGAGCGCGAGCTCAAGACCCTCGCCGACACCAGCGGCCCTTCCGGCCACCAGAAGCTCCAGGTCTGCGACGTCTGCGGCGCCTACCTCTCCCGGCTCGACAACGACCGCCGCCTCGCCGACCATTTCTACGGAAAGATGCATCTCGGCTATGCTCAGATGCGGAAGACGTACGAAGCCCTGCCGAAGGATATCAGAGGACGTCCGCGCCCCCCGCTGCAGGACGACGGACCCATGCGGGACGAAGGCTACGGCGATGGCGGGTGGAAAGGAGGGCCTAGGGGACCCAGACGTGGTGGTTACGGAGGTAGGAGTGGACGCGGTTTCCGCAGCGGGTGGTAATACAATAACAATAACAACATCAACAACATCAAAGCATGTGGAGGAGTTACTGGCGTATAGCTTTCAGTGGTCAAAATTGATTGGACATGATATCATTACATTACGGGTTAGGCACACATAAAATACCTATATGAGTTCTTTGGTAATAGATGCCTTTTGCTTTTATTTCGGTCTTTCTGGTATCTCTAATGCTCTTATCCTGGGCTGTATTGCGCGAGCCTGTAATCCAAATTTCCTTCTCTGCGGAATTGTCCTTACCATACACTCTATTGGAATATTTACCTCTTTTTTTCTCCTTTTCTTTTTCTTTTCACTTCGCTTGCAAACTTCTGTAGGAGCTCACTCTATTAGAAGGGACTCTCTCTAAGCCCCAGTCTGGGCGTCAAGAGCGGCCATCTCATCATCCCATTTCCCAATAGGCGAACTAAGCTCAAGTGGTAGAACAGAAGAATTCGTCGCAGCTGCCGCGTTGTTTGCCGTATCAGGCTTCTTAGCCGGTGGTAAAGCTGGGAAGTCTTCCGCGGTAGGAGGAGCTTGTGCCGGCTTTTGCGCTTGGGGCTTGCTGCCATTTTGTGATGTCGTTGCTCCTGACGACTTATAAGCAGCATCCCTTTCGCCATCGTAGTTAAAGCCTCCTCCTCTACCTCCTCTGCCGCCGCCTCTAGTCGAACCTCCTCTCCCGCGTCCGCCGCGCCCTCTTCCTCTGAAATCATCGAAGCCAAACTCCCTAGGAATTGTGTCGTTATCCCTCTCCGCGAACCTACTTCCGGCTATACCACCATTATTACTACGCGCGCCGCGAATACCGCCGTTCGCGCCCCGAAAGCCAGCTCTCCTATCTCGCTCGTCCTCGAGATTCTTACCCTCGTCCCAGCTACCGCCTTCCTTGGCACCCATAGCTTTCAGTTTCCGCTCGCGATTAGCAGCGCGCTCGTCATCCATGCGGCGCCTCTCTTCCTCGCCTCTACGACGTCGCTCAGCTTCTTCGGCGCGACGCCGCCGCGCCTCCTCCATACCCTTCTCGTAAGCGATAGCGTGCGAGCGACTGTCGCGCTCGGCTTGTTCGAACCGTCGCGTCTTCTCCGCATTCAAGATTCGCATCTGTTCCATCTTGCTCGCGAGTTCAGACTCGGTCAGCTTCGTGCGGGGATTTGCGCCGGACGCCAGCCGATCCGCGAGGGCCGTATTCTGACCGGACTTCGCGGCCGCTGCTTGCGCTTTCTTATCGCTACCCCCAATCCCGCTACTAGTAGTGCTTTTAGCCGGAGACCCCTGCTGCTGTTGCTGCTGATGCTGCTGCTGAGAGTCTACAGCTGGGGGCTTTGGCGAGTGCTTGCGCGGTCGCGGATGATGATGCGATGATGACGACGGAGGCTGCTTTGCGTGTGCGTGTCGCGATTGAGCGAGAGACCGAGGCGCATTCAGGGTTGGAGCAGGCTGGACCGGCGCTGCAGTGGGCTGTTCGGAACTCGTAGGTGGTAATTGATTCTCGACTACCGGAGGAGCGCTTGGTTCATTTTTCGCTGGAATCTCTTCTTGAATTGGTACGGGAATTGGTACGGGTTCGAAGTCATCTGCAAACAGATCGTCGTCCGTGCGGCCGTTGAATTGATCGTCCATGGTAAGTTTGAAGCTATGGATTGAATGTTGCTAATTGTAAAATGCGAGAGTGAGATGAGCGATGGATGAGACCAAAGAAAAAACAATTGGATTATAGAAAAATGTTAGACTCGTATTTTATTGAATAACTTTTTTACCAGCACGTTATGAATAATGATTTGAAGGGATAAAAAAGTCAAGCCTCGACACCCCGCCACCTAATGTCTTTGAAGGTTTGCTCGAGCCTCGAGGAACGGGCGGGGCGTCAAATCCACCTTTCCGAGTTGCAGGTGCCAGGCCGCCCACAAGATTTAGGCGGAGAAAATCCCGGCCCGCTTTCCCCAGACGGCGGACTTTGAAGATAAGTGGATTTGGAAACCCGTTTAGGTACCAGGAACCCGAACCCATACCCGTGGATATTTCGATTTTTTATTTTTTTCATGTCACGTCACCTAGGTAACTTTCAATATTTTTTCAACATTTAATAGCCCGCCTAAATTCACAAAGAACCTGTTGGCAACCTCTTCACTATAGCCTCCCTCAACGCGTCAAAGTTTTCCGCCATTTCGAGTCCATATCTTTGGCATACAATCTGAATATTTCCCCTCTTCTTATACCCCTCAGGGCACACGACAATGGCTTTTCTGGCTCTAGCGCAAAGTCCCAGTTCGAGTAAGCTGATGGGGGCCTCGGTTGCCGAATGAAAGAATAGGACCACTATATGGGCCTTTTCCTGCATGTCGAGTTCCCATTCCACCTGTTCCCGAAAGGGCTCGCAGGTAATATCCTCTCGCCAGCTCGAGTCCCAATCTGGTCGATACGGGTTGATAACAGTGAGGGGCAAATCCGTAAGGGATTCGGTTAACACCTCGCGCCAGTCCCTATCATCAGTTGGAGTAGTAGTACCAGCTAAGAAGACAGATAAAATGCCGTCGTGATCCACCCGTGATGGTGCAAGTATTACTTGGTTTCGGGGATGAGTTTGCGGCATCTTGTCGTTACGAAGTTATTACGCGTTGAAAAAAAAACAAAGAAAAGAAAAGAACAAAAGGTAATGCGATCAAACGATCAAACGCGGCTCTGGCTTGTCCGGATTGACAAGTTGGATTTCTTAAATGCTGATCATGTTACACGCGCTCGTTACAGCTAGAAAGCCGTGGACCAATTAACGTTTGCCATTTCAGCCTTGTAAAGTCCATCAACTAATATCAGTTCAGCTGGGCGATATCCACACACATCTCAGTATATCGCATTAATAATGCAACTCTATGGAACCTTGAATAATGAAATCTTACTTATTAGCATACTAATACAGAGTATAATTCCACGCTATTCTGTTATACTACTAAGTATTAGCATTACTAGCTCTTAGCAAACCACCACATAACTCCCAACAACATACACAAAGATAATACCTTAGATACCTAACCTTAGGTAGGTACAGACGTGAATGATAAGCTCGTACCACTTCCACTACCGTATCTAATATGGTTATCTATTATCTTTTACTATACGATTGTTATCAATGGTGGCAACAACCAGGATCCCCACCATTTTGGAGAAGTGGATATGATAAGCCATCTCATATACTAGGTATCTGTGAAGCCCCCCCTCCCCCCCCCCCTTGTTGATGAATGTTAACTCAAGGTTTACAAGATTTACCGAAGGCACGAGAAGAAGCCACCAATGTTTGCCCAAATCCACGAGCCGACTTGGCCCACACCCGGCGGCGCAATATTTCCCGATTTTGGGCCACACTTCCTTAAAGCTGGTTGCTTTGGGAAGGTCAAAAAGGACAAAAGAAAGGGATGTTATACGACAATGCGGGGAGTCGTCAAGGGGGGGCCATATACCCAGCTACCTACCCAGCTAGTTATCATTGAATGCCCCAATTGATCTAATTCATCTGTTACACCCTGTTCTGATACGCGTTTCTCTGGAAATGAGGAGGTTGAAAGATGTCGCGACCCGGGGTGCGTGGAAGAGATAAGAAAGACATACTCTATATCCCTCCCGTGCCACGGACCACGGTTGCCCATGAAGTTCTCCTTTCTTGTCTTCACGAATTGGTTCTGTAATATCTATCGTCTACCCATTAGGCATTAGACATTAGGCATCATGGGGTTTCCCTTCAAGGGAGCAGACGTTTCCGATAAGACAACACCTGCGATCAGTCCCAACCCAGATAACGACGCGACACCGAATTACTCTGACGAGAAGCTTCACGATATAGATGTAGCTACTGCCATCAAAGACCTCGACCAGATTCAACATAACCACCAATGGGACCCCAATCTCCCTCAAGAGAATCTCGATGCCATCAATTCGGCTCTTAAGCATGGGGATGTCAAGGAGATTATCGAGGCCGATTCGCAGTTTAGCCAAGATTCCCCCTACGAGGAAGTACGTGCTGCCGTGCGCAATACTGATGGCGGAGAAGTCGCATGTACCGTAAGAGCCTGGGTCTTAGGAATGATCTTCGTTACCCTCGGCTCTGGTCTTAATATGCTATTAAGTATGCGCAGTCCAATGGTTAACTTCCCAGCTTTGGTCGTGGTATTGTTGGTCTACCCAGTCGGATCTCTATGGGCCAAGTTCATGCCGACAAGAGTATTCAAAACCTTTGGTCAGGAGTGGACTTTGAATACCGGGCCCTTTACCATTAAAGAGCATGTCGTCGTCACCATTATGTCCAACGTCTCCATCTCATACGCATATTCCACCGACGCGCTGCTCGCGCTCCAAGGGAAGCCTTTCTATGATCTCAATTTAGGCTGGGGTTTTTCTTTGATGTTTACGCTAAGTTCGCAACTTATTGGAATCTCCCTATCCGGCATGTTTAGGCGATTCCTAATCTACCCAGCCGCCATGATGTGGCCTTCTCAGTTTGGCTATACCTCGCTTTTCTACGCCCTCCATGACAAGAGCAAAAGCGATGGTACCAAATCGAATGGCTGGGTGATAAGTCGTTACAGATACTTCTTCATTGTGACGAGCGGCATGTTTTTGTACTACTGGATACCTGGAGTACTTTGGCAAGGTCTGTCCGTGTTCGCTTTCGTAACATGGATTAAACCAGAGAACCCCGTACTCAACCAGCTCTTTGGCGGGTTCACCGGACTCAGCCTTATTCCGCTCACCTTTGACTGGACTTATGTCTCTGCCTACCTGTTGGATCCGTTGCTAGCTCCGACGCAAGCCCACGTCAATACTTTGATCGGCCTGGTCTTCTTTGTCATTATTCCGTGTATCGGAATGGTATATACCGGTGCCCTGTAAGTCTACATCGCCTTCGATCTTTCGATCTTTCGGGATTGATTGGATCATTCGCTAGTGGGTGTTGTTTCTAATAAGTCTGTAGTTATTCTGACTATCTTCCCGTCGTAACCTCTCAGACCTATGACAACACACAGAACGCATATACCGTCTCCAAGATTCTCGGGGACAACTTCACTCTCGATTTAGAAAAGTACCGTAACTATTCGCCACTATTCCTGTCACCTTCATTAGCTCTCAATTACGGGCTCTCCTTTGCCGCATTGACAGCTGCGCTTGTGCACACAGCCCTTTTCAATGGAAAGGAGATATGGTATCGCTTCAAAACTGCGCGCAACCAGGAACCTGACATTCATCTCAAGCTGATGAGGAAATACCGCGAGGCCCCCGAGTGGTGGTATTATGCGCTTCTAGTAGTATCGATCGCATTCGGACTTGCGACCGTGCTAGCGTATGATTCTCAACTCCCCTGGTGGGGGTTCTTCGTGTCTGTTATACTAGCCCTAGTGTTTGTGATTCCTACTTGCATGGTGATGGCGGTTTCGACTATCACGCTGTCTTTGAACGTCATCTCGCCGTTTATAGCTGGTTTCATATTCCCAGGCCGTCCGATTGCAGTCATGATATTCAAAGTCTTCAGCACGATCACTTTAGGACAGGCTCAGACATATGTACGTCAACCATTTCTTTCTTCCCGTTCAAACATTTATCAATTTTCCAATATACCTCGCATTACAACTTGCGTAAGTCGGGTTTAAGAGCTCTCTAAGATTTACTGACCCAAAATAGAGCAGCGACTTGAAGACAGCTCATTACATGAAGATCCCACCTAGAGTCACCTTTTGGTGTCAGGTCATAGCAAGTATATGGGCCGTGTTTGTCCAGATTGCGGTTATGAACTGGACGTTAGGAGCCATTCCGGATGTTTGCACCAAGTGAGTTATAACACCGAGAGCTATTTATAATTAATAAACTAACTTGTGCGTAGTACTCAGCCTAGTCATTTCACCTGTCCCAATGGACGAGCCTTCTTCTCGTCCTCGATCGTTTGGGGAGTTCTAGGACCGGAACGTATGTTTGGTCCCGGATCTATGTATGCGAACTTCAACTGGTTCTGGTTGATCGGGGCTGCCGTCCCAGTCATTTTGTGGTTCCTTAGCCGTAAGATGAAGATTGGTTTTGTGCGCCATCTCAACGCCCCGATAATGTTCGGTGCCATGGCATGGTTGCCTCCAGCCACTCCTATCAGTTTTTCATCGTGGGCAATATTCGGCTTGATTTTCAACTATGTCATACGAAAGAAATACGGCGGCTGGTGGAGGACGTACAACTATGTCACAGCTGCGGCTCTCGACGCGGGGCTTATCTTGTCGACGATCGTCATCTTCTTCGCCATAACTCTACCGGGAGTTACCATCCCCCAGTGGTGGGGTAATGTAGACGTGTTCAATACTGTTGTAAGTACATGGCGTACTGGCGAGACTATTTAGTTTATACTGCTGCTAACCATGACAAACAGGATGCATCGTACACGGGATGGCTTAAGACGGTACCAGAGGGTGAAACATTCGGGCCAGAAACGTGGTAAAATCATAATATAACAAGCTTTAAGAGCACTTTGAAAGACATTCACAGAAACAGCTCGATACTCGAATAAACCTATCAATCACTACGATAGTCACATCGCGGGTAGATTAAGTACCTCTAGGTACCTACATGCAATTTCTATCGAAATTTTAAAAGGGCAAAAGCTTGACGAGTCGCATTTACAGTGGGATTTTACCATATATAGGTACCTGGTATATTAGGTACCCTTACATGATATTTCATCCATTAGTACCGTGAGTCTCTTGTCTATTCAGCTTGGCTATAAATGCTAAGACCGTAGAAAAGCCCTCACGTTTGATAATAAACTACCTTCCCACACTAAGATGATATTACCAATCCCATAACTAATGCATAAATTCAAAATTTCCCAGGTTACGGCATGAGTTTTACCAAACTGTCTCTAGCCCGTTGACCCCCACCGGGCGTTCTGCGAGGGTAGTAATGCGGAATCCATGACGCAGGCCTTCCTCCTCGTTATGTACATCGTAGTCGGAGATAGCAGTGTGCGCTGTAACTCTGTTGTCCCAGAGCGACACGGTCTGATCGTCCCACTTCACGCGAACTTGGATGTCCGCACTCTGGGAGATATGCTATATGAGTGCTCACAGAGTTAGATGATGTTCAATTCGAAGTTAACATTGGGAAGGTTAGGTACCTAGGTAGGTACCTAGGTTAGGAAGCACGAACCTTGAAGAGCAATTGCAGAATGGCATCGGACTCCTCTGCCTTCAATCCTATGATCTTCTTCGTGAATCCCGGGTTCACGAAAAGCGCTTTCTGTCCAGTGACCTGGAAAACGAGATTAGACATAGGTAATTGGCTACAAGAAAGGGTCAAGGACTTGGTACTTACTGGGTGCACCCTCACGATAGGGTGGTCCGATTTGACAGGTTCGCGACGGACAAACTTTCCATCCCGACGAGCGCCTTCAGCCTGGGGGAACCCGCTGTGCTCAGCTCGTAATCCCTCTAGCAGTGTCTTGATCGGCTCCGAAAGCCTCTCGTAAGCCGCGACCTGAGACGTCCACGCGGTATCACCTCCCGTAGCAGGAACCGCGAGTAAAGTGAGAAGCGTGATCCCAGGGGGCTGGTGCTCATATGATACGTCCGAGTGGTACCCGGTAGTCGTCAAGCGCTCGAGACGGCGCTGCGCTCTGTACAGGTTATCCGGACCGAGATAAATATTGTGGAACTCGATGGCGCCGTCGACATGAGCTCCGACGGGCTATTGTATTCAAATGTTAGGTACCTCCTATCTTAGCTATTAACCAATATTTACCTACCGCTAGGTATAATAACTCCCAAAGGAAAAGTGGATAAAAAAAATATCACGTACATGAACATGCAGACGCCCAAAGTACTGGCCGAACTCCTTCTGCTTCTGGACCCCGATGTCCTTGAAGTTCTGGCCGCGGAACACGACGACGCCCCGCTCGGCGACCAGCAGGGCCAGCTCGTTCTTCTGCTCGTCCGTCAGCTCCGAGAGCTGCAGGCCGGATATCTCCGTGCCGACGCGGGGCGTCAGCTTGGTCACGACTACGTGCGGGTCCTTGAGCCCGAGGAGGTGAGGCTTGGCTTTGTCCGCGAGGAGGCCCCGGTCGACGAACTCGAAGGGCTCTGTCGGTGGGAATGTCGTTGATTCGTCGTACACGGGCAGATAGCTGGCGTATTTGTACTTTTTAACAAGAATTAGCACAGATATATATATTTTGTTATGTTATTACAGAATCTGGTCTCTTACTGAGGAATGTTGCGCCGTGTCATAAGCCTTGCTGAGCTTCTGCTCCGCCTTCCCCTTTAACTCGGATGCGCTGGGCAATACTTCTGCGACTGAGGGCGCCATTGTCGATACAATTCGTTAGTTTGGATAACTTGTACAATTCTCTCCACTCATATGAAGGCCAACGCGTCAATTATATATAGGGATCTTGATCTGACGTTGGCCTCGACCGCGTTATCTGATACTAGGTTTGACCCCCGCATATTCCTCATCATTTCCCCATATGATGCGATTCCGACGATGGATGTATCTCCAACAGGTACCTTAGTGAGCACGTCAAGTCCAGCCAAGCCAAGCCAAATCTACTACCCTCCATCGAGCTGCCTTTGAAATAGCTTTGGCCGTCTGTCATTTTTTAAGGTTTCGTCACATGTCGTGGGGATGTTACCATTGATAGCTACTATAACCCACTACTGGGGGAGTATACGGAAATCGAAAAATGGGTTGCAGTAGCACAGGCTAGGGCAATCATGCAAGTGAGACCAAAATGACGATTTTCCATACTGGGGACGACATCGGCGACAGATAAAATGGCTGCTGGGAATACATATATTTTGCTCTGTGGCGACAGCTAGTATCTCTTTGGTCTTGGACAATCAGTAGCCAAGCACCAAAACACGGCCGGCTCTTCCAGGGATAGACTTAGTGGTTCGAACCAGGAGAAATCGCCGTCGATGGAGGCCATCGAGACAACAGTCTCCGAGCACACTCCACCTAGGCATCCGCTCCTCAGACTTTTATAGAGAAATTTCAAGCAGAGCCCGAAGTACGAGAACCTTCATCGATTCGATCCGTCTTTTAGGTGGATGTGAAGTGAAGAAGAGATGGTGATATAGCAATATCTCCCAAACAAAGAGCTTGATTCTTATGATGGGTTAGAAGCTCGTTAACAAGATCGACTTGAAGGTGACCGCCTAGGCTTGTATTGCATTCTTCGCCCTGGACCTAGACAGGAGTAATCACGTCTTCAGGCAATCATGAGTGCGGATATTTACCGGGACAGTGATAAATCACTCTGTGCGTGTGCTCCGTTATGATACTCTACCAATGGCTTACACTTTCAAGACCGCTGCAGAAACAGAGTACTCATCGCAATTAATTGCTTCAGTATCGTTATATTAGGTACGTGGCCGTCAAATTATATTGTATATACCAAAATAAGCACCGCGATGGGATATGAGACTCAATGAGTCCAGACGTAAGTAAAAAGAATACAAATCACCCGTAATTTCTTGTTACGATTCTAATGTTCAACGGGAGCAAAACGAATACCGAGAAAATACGAAAGATGAGGGGAGCAGGCAGTTGGAGTTGAGGTAGGTTCGCAAGTTGAGAAGCTCGGTGTTTACGATGAATATGTTAGACTCAAGCATCTTGTTAGTTCTAGAAGTTGATGATCGAGTGCGCAAAGTTAAACGGGGCTTCATCCTCTCAGCTGTCTAGGAGATACCTCCATTCTTGCTTTAGGTTTCTTTTTGTGTGTGTTTAAAAATAGGAACCGTAAAGATTTTTTTTCTGCTTTAAATATACCTAAGTGCTTACTAGGAAAAACTATAAATATGACTAGAATTCAAAATATACGATCACTTCGCAATGAGATTGTAGTTATATCAAATAAGTATAGGTACTTCCCTATTACTCCCCCCTCTTTTGATGCCCCTAACCCAAACCGAAGCGATACACATCGACGAAGCCTGCTGCCGTTTGAAATGCCCTCGTGAACAAGGTGAGATGGACTTCGCAAGTGGGAACGCTCCGCAGAGGGAGAAAAAGTATAAAAGGCTCATGTTGCGAAAAACAAAGACCTACCTATACATCCTTCTTAAGTTTCTTTTTTCCTCTGTTGTTCACCACCTAGTTCGTCCGAAAAAGACTCGATGTCTCCCATGACACTCATCGGCAGCTCTGGGGTCCATTGCTCCAACGTCGGGGTTGGAGGAGACATATAGTTACCGCTGTTGTAGCTGATGTTTTGCTCTGAGAGCGGAACGGGCGTGGGATGAGGCACCCTTTTGATTTCCGGCGACTACGACATGATCTCCCACCTCGGCGTGGGCGCTACGTGTCCGCACTGCAACGCCTCTCCCCACTGCGGAGAGCCTGTCTGTCTCAACATCGGAACTTCATATTCGGTCATGGGAGTGAAGGATATTTCTTCCGCCCACGCGCTCGAATTCTCGATATTTGCCTGGTTGACAAGTTCTGAGAGGTCGCAATGGAGTTCTTGCAACATCGGGATCACATCCAACACGACGCCCGTGCGGATGTATTCAAAGATCAGCTTGTCCTGGATGTTGCAAAGATCCGGGGTCTCCACAGACTCTAACGAGAAGAGAAACGTTCTCGTGATATCGAGCTGTGCTCGTGCGCTCTGGTCGAGCTCTGTACCTAGAAAGCGACGGTATCGCTCGGTCAACTCTTCACGTCCTAAGCACTTACGACACATACCGTCTCCCTCAGTGTATGGTCTGACGGTGTCGGCGCCATGTTCCCGTACCAGGCAGCTGCTGTAGAGAGGACTGTAGTTTGCACAATACAGTACTTGGTTGTCGATGTCGATATGCCCGCAGACCATGAGCTTCAGGCTCCACTTGTGACACATCTTGGAATATATTAGGGGATGCAAATGAAAATGTTAGGTATAAGGGGGTAGGTTAGATAACTGCTAGAGTAGGATTTGACAGATACAGTTGTCGCAAAGCTATCAACTCAAGGAGTTAGCAGACTCAATGGAAACGTCTTAGCATACAGAACTTTGAATCTTCCGTGAAAAATTACCCTTAGCACTACTAAAGGGCTTCTTCACCCGAGCCAGCAGGCGTTATGCAATTGAGTTTGCTATCTGCACTGTTGCGATGAAGTCTTGCTTTAACCCTCGTATGGTGAGAACCTCTAGGGGAACTTATAAGGGTCCGGTCTATTAACGCTGATACCTTAAGTGTGTATGTAGTATAAAGACACAAAGCTATGGTTTCTAATACAATGTCATACACAATTAGATATTCTTTCACTAAAAAGCCAAGTGAATGAATGGATTATTCAATGGGATTATTCAAGCACAACAGAGGCAAGTAAAAAGCCAATAGTTCACCTAACATAGAGCTGTTGATTGTTCAGTTTGAAATCAAAGCATACCTCTTAGGACACCTAGAAACCTAGACACCTACCTCAACTAGCCTCGACAACCTGCCCACCCTGAACATATTAGGTTAGGTACCTGTAATAATCACTTCAAGGAAATCTTTAAGTCGGGTGAAACCCGATCAACGAAATCATCGCGTAGCTGCCCAAAGCAAAAGTAATAACATAGGACCATGAACCATCGTTGAAGAATGAAACATATTCAAATTGATAACTTTTGTCCTCCCCCCAAGTCGTTCCAAATACATCTATAGTCGTTCCACAGAGCTACAATCCCTTGCCCTACCTTCTTTGGGACCCACCACGTCTCTCCGATTCCAAGAATGCATCGAATTCTTTCTGAGCTTTATCTTGCTCGTAGTTCTTGCCCTCTTTGTCCTCGTCTTGCATTGTATACGCGAAGCCCTCTGTCCTCGGTTGTCTCTCCTGGGGGTTTTTTGTCTTGTCTTGTCGTAGCTGGCCCCAGCCGCTCTCCTCACCGGATGAATCTCCCCGAGCCCACTGAGCGTTTCCAGATTGGGTTTGCTGTCTGATACGGTCCCAAGCGGAGCCAGCTTGGGCATTACGGGTTTGTTGGGCTTCCGCCCTCCTCAATGCGGCTGGGACTGGAGAGGCATCGTCGGCATCATCGAAAAGGTCCGAGTCATCGTCTGAATGCCGCGAGCCTGAATCCGAGCCTTGGAACTGGGTTCCCTTGCCCCAATATGATTCAGGGGAAGATGCCGACGAGCTTCTTCTGTCTTCTGCATCCGAATCGCTCGAACTGCTATTTGACTGACTTGTGAACGAATCACGTTCATACTCTCGAGATGCCTGATTTCCCGACTCGAAGGAATATTTATCATGTGGGGATGGGGGAGCAGAAAACCCCTGGGAAGACTGAGAATTGGGATCTGGATGCGCTGGAAGATTTTGCTGCGGACCCTGGTTCCCATGCTGCATACGAGACTGGTTGACAAGGTTCCTTCTGACATCTTCCACCCAGGCCTTCATGCGCGGATCCTTGAGTATGCGTATGTCGTAGGACTTTTCCGCAATAGAGCTGTAGAAGACGGTAGATACGATCATGGTCAGAGGGAAATAGCACAAGAACCGAATTCCATGCCAGGCGTAAACGGCGGAAGAATCTTTAACAATAGGAAAGCGTCTGGAGGGGAAGGTATAGGGATTGAATATCGTCTGGTTCGGCTGATAAAGGGGGAACTTGAAAGTCTTTCTCGTCCTCCAGCATATAGCACCAGTTATCAATAAGGAGGTAGGATTGATAAGAGCGAGCCATCGGGATGCATGAGCAGCAGCTTCGCTAGTAGCGTCAACTTCTTCAGGTGCTAAGCGGCGCCGAGAAAGCTTAGACGCTTGGATGGTCTTGTTGGTGACGTAAAAGACGCGAAGAGTATCCTTCACAAAGAATAGACGCGTCCAGGAGGGAAGGCCAGGCAAACGTTCAAAATGTATAGTTGCGCCATCTTGAAAGTATTTCTTTTCGATTTGGGCCTGGTCAACCCGTCTTACGTTTGGCCAAGGAGGATTGGTAGTGAGGTCTGATGACGAACCATCATTGAAGGAGTGATCAGTGCCGTTGTCAGACATTTAAGAAATTAAATCTAAGGGAAAAAAATCATTTATTTTGAAATTGGGAATTGGGAGTTGGAAGTTGAGAACTTTGGGAAATTGGAAGTTGGGAATTGAGAAATGGGAAACGGGAAATGGGAAATCGTGAAGATGAAATCATAAGATCGGGAATGGAGTGCATCGGTAAACTGTATTTGGTGGGGTAACCAGGGAAAGCTAGGTAGATCAAGTCATGCATGTACCTAAGGTCGGGAGCTTGGGCCATGTACTTGATGTCGTACATAAACGTCATTGAACTACTTATGCAGGTAAGCCACAGATATCGGCCTAGGTACCTCATATACGCTGGTACATAGTGGGGAAGGGTTTCTTTTTGTGGCTAGTTGCGTTTTATTGGCTGAGCACATGCAACATTTTTAACTTGTGTTACCAAAACTCAAAGCAATTTTAAATCGCGACGCGGTTTGAAGACGCGTCTTATCAATTCAATTTCAATATTCGAATTGCTTTGCTATTGAACTTCTCTCACCCCTCCAGCTCGCTATACGAAGGATCTTAGCACTTGAAGCTAGGACCTTATTCTTTACCGCCAACGTTCAATCTTTTTTTTCTTGGTCAATCGCCCAATTCCTCCACAAATATCATCTACTTGAATCTTTGTTAACTAGACCAAAATCTGTTAACGACGAATTATGGTCAAATAAATTCACCAGAATAATACCACTACCACTACGATTACCACTATGCCCCTTCGCAAATCTTTCTCGGAACTGAATACCTCTTCTAAAGTATGTCTCTTTTTTTTTCTTTTTTTTTGTGTAAATTCTACGACGCTGAATTGCCAACATAATTCGTTTAATAAAGACCTGAAGACCTGACTGAGTATTATATATAGACTCGCCAACAATGGAGTAAAACAAGGAGCCATTCAACCGTAGCTCGAGCCGCGCGAAATCCAGTCTCAAAGCCACTTCAGCCCATATCCGAAGTCACCAAAAACAAGCTCAATGCTTTCAAGCGTTCGGATCCAACTAAACCCGATGATCACGAGGCTGGCGCATCTACTGTCAGCACCGAGGCAACTTTAAATGCTGATACTAACTCCAAAGTCGAGGTTGAGGAGACAGCTAACGTTCCCGCGCCCAAAGAAAGCACCACTCCGCCTTCAAATCGGCTAGCATGGCACGATCTTATTGGGACGGCCGAAACCGAAAAGGAAGAAGAAGGCTCTCCCAATGAAAAGATTGGCTGGGATACAAAAGAAGATATACAACATCGGTTAAGGCTATCGCCAGTGATGCCAGGTAAAAGAGGAAAGAAACGAGCCCGAAGTTCGTCGCCCGTATCATCACCTGCCTCTCATTCAAAATACCGCGTCCCAGCTGTAAACGTCGAAAAGTTGTCGCGAGCGCTTAAGTCCCCTCACGCCGACCCTGCGCTGGAATTGTGGGACAGGTTCTCTCAAAATGGATCCGCGACCGTCGCGCCCCTGGGAGTAATGAATTCAACTCTAGCCCAAATCATGGTCTCATCTTCACCCCGACCGTCGAGGGTAGCAGGAGAAGGTGGGCTACGAAGGGCTATCAGCTGTGGAGAAAACTGGCCTAAACGTCGAAGGGTTGAACGGACAGAAGCTGCAAAGCCGGCGGAGATCAATGTCGACGAGAGTCCTAGTCGTAGTTCGAAGTCGTCTATGGTTAACGCCCTGCTGCAAAGCGTAACGGGGGAACTTAATAGATCCAAAGCGATCCAGGCCTGTCAAGATGCACCTGAGTCCCCGTTACACAAGAAGAAGTCTTCTCAGCCAGTAACACAAATTCCCAGTTCACCCACCAGACGAATGTCGTTTTCAGGACCCTCTCCGGTGTTTGCTTTAAAAGCTATAACAACGGAAAATTCAGGGTCAGAAGAAACATTAGTAGGCAATTCTTCTGACTACGACGACGAAGATTTCGATGACGACGCACTCATGGAACTAGGTGTAAGTATAGGCGAATCCTGTGGAGAACCGATAAAAGAACTAGCGGTGCCGCCGGCAGATACTGGGCAAGATCAGAAACAACTCGACCAAAAGTTGGAGTCATTTGATGATGATGATGATGATGATGATGAATTTAATGATATGGACGACGACGACATATTCGCTGTCGCCGGAGACTTGATAACGCAAATTGACGAGACACACACACCACCTCAGCCTCGTGCTACTACGCCGCAGAAAATCCCAATCCCTATATCTGATGACCTTGCTGAGGATATTTATGGCGATGATTTTGGGGGCGATTTTGATTTTGACGCTGCTGAAATGGCTGCTACGCAGTCTGTCTCTTTTGAGCAGATGGACGGATCGTTACCTGTACGTTGGCGGTAGTGGGAATGAATTGAATTTGGTTGCTAAGAGTGTTTGTAGGTAGCCAATAAGCCCAAGACAATTCAGAGATACCTAGTGACAAAGGTTCTTCAAGGCCAATATGTCGATGACCACGGACGTGAGTCAGTAGAAAAGGTAGGTTTTCATCATGAAGTAAGTAATACTCCAGAAATATCACTAACCCTAGCACTTCCAGATTCTCCTCGTTCAAGTCGATCGAAGTAATATCATGAAAACTGTCCATCTTCGAGGGGATTGGGTAGATACTCCTGCCAGCCCGAAGTCTTACGTTCACATACTTGGCCAGTTCGAACCTACTGGGCAATGTATCATCGATAACTCACAGAACATCCTTATTCTGCACCCGGACCAGCTTATCTCAGCCACGGTCGTAGCAGATAGCTTTACTTGCATGCGCCGAGCTGTTCTGCAGGATCGCGTCAAGGCCTCTAGTGACAAGACCCCGCCCTTAGTGTACGGAACTTTACTGCACGAAATCTTCCAGGAGGCACTTATGTCCAATAAATGGACACCGCAGTTCCTGGATAGTGTTATATGTAATATAACAGAAAAACATGTGGAGGACTTATACACGATCAAAGTCTCCCTCAACGATGCCCGCGAACATCTTAGATCAAAAATGCCGGAGCTAAGGGGTTGGGCGTCGGCATTTGTTACACGTTTCCCGAAGGTAATTTTTCCATTTGTATATTGTCTACCTTAAGTGAGGATGGTTTTACTGATCTTACTAGCCCGATGCTGTTGTACAAGGTCGAAAGGGCGACAAGGCGAATATGTGCATTACGAAGCTCCTCGATGTCGAAGAACATGTGTGGTCCCCAATGTATGGGTTAAAAGGTAATATCGATGCCACGGTTCAAGTAACTATGAAAGATGGCTCCCAACGGCGTACCTTAACCGTGCCTTTCGAAGTGAAGACGGGTCATAATGCTACGAGTAACCACCAAGCGCAGACGTCCCTTTATAATCTCTTATTGTCGGATCGTTACGATGTCGAGATCGCTTATGGTATCCTATACTATATGGAAACATCTCAGACGATTCGAATCCCGACAATCCGCAACGAGCTTCGCCACATGATTATGCAACGAAATCAGCTCGCATGTTATATTCGGGAACGGAGCGTCCAACTTCCACCTATGAAACGAAGCACTAACACATGTGACAAATGTTACGCGAAGGTGTCTTGTTTCATATACCACAAACTTGCAGATAACGGCGATCACGAGACAAGTGGAATGAAAGCCAAGTTTGACGAAGTCGTTCGGCATCTGACTCCGAACCACCAAGAATTTTTCTTGAAATGGGAAGATCTATTAACAAAGGAAGAGAAAGAGAGTCAAAAATTACGCCGGGAACTGTGGACCATGGTGAGCACCGAGAGGGAGAAGCTCGGGAGATGTTTTGCCAACGTTATCATTGAGGAGGGTTCTGCTCTTGAGGATGCCAACAACCCGAGAATCAACCGATTTCGATATACATTTATCAAGGAAAATCCTGCTCCGGGATTCTCCTTCCTTGATTCTCAGCTTGTCGTGGGAGAGCCGATCGTTGTGTCTGATGAACAGGGCCACTTTGCTTTGGCCATTGGATACGTTACGTCCGTGAGGAAGCAAAAGATCTCTGTCGCCGTCGACCGACGACTCCACAATGCTCGTGTGCGTCAGCCGGGGTTCAATGAATCGGATAACCAGGTTTTTGCCAGCATCATGGAGGTGGCACCCGAAGGGGCGACGCCTGCTCAATCTCAAGGTAAAGTGAAAGGTGCACCACTCAAATATCGGCTTGATAAGGATGAATTCAGCAGCGGCATGGCGACCGTCCGAAACAACCTGGTTCAAGTCATGGCAGATGGCGTGTTTGGATCAAGAGAAATTCGACGACTTGTAGTCGACCTCGCTCCACCGACATTCAAGGCATCCACGACGCAATACACGGTCGCCGACCAAGCAAGCCTGAACATCGACCAAAAGAGGGCTATTGAGAAGGTTATGAGCGCCAACGACTATGCACTTGTCTTGGGCATGCCTGGCACCGGTAAAACCACTACGATTGCCCATATCATCCGCGCACTTGTTGGTCAAGGAAAAAGCGTCCTCCTAACCTCTTATACGCATTCGGCCGTGGACAATATCCTATTAAAGCTGAAGAACGACAAGATGCCTATTCTTAGACTCGGCGCGCCAGCAAAAGTCCATCCAGACGTGCAGGATTTTACCATTCTCGCCGGACAGCCGATGGCTAGTTTCGAAGAGATCCGAAGCGCTTGGCACGAAACACCAATCGTGGCGACAACTTGCTTAGGAGTAAATCATCCGGTGTTTAACGAACGGACTTTTGACTATTGTATTGTTGATGAAGCATCCCAGATTACACTACCCATATGCCTGGGACCAATCCGCATGGCACGTACATTTGTCCTAGTGGGAGATCACAATCAACTACCTCCTCTGGTTCAGAACGAAGAAGCTCGTATCGGCGGTTTAGATGTCAGTCTCTTCAAATTACTCTCTGACACGCACCCAGACTCGGTGGTGAATCTCGAACACCAATACCGCATGTGCGAGGATATCATGACCCTCAGCAACACCCTTATTTACGAAGGTCACCTCAAATGCGGCACAGAAGAACTCCGCCATCGAAAACTCGAGGTGCCTTTCATGGAAAACTTGCGGCACAAGCATTATAATGCAGACACTATCATGTGCCCCGGTACACCGCGGTCGTTCTGCACGTCTTGGGCCAATGACAGCTGCTGGCTCCGCAACCTTGTAGATCCCGAGGCAAGAGTCCGCTTCATAAACACGGACTTCCTACCTTCGTCGTGTGAAGAGGCCAAGGGAAACCGCATCGTCAACCCCATCGAGGCGCGCATCGTAGTGCAACTCGTCGACGCGCTGCTAGCGACGGGCATCCCGGCGGCCGAGATCGGCGTGATGACGCACTACCGGTCGCAGCTCTCGCTGCTGAAGCACGGGCTGCGGGCGCACGGCAGCAGCATCGAGCTGCACACGGCGGATCGGTTCCAGGGACGCGACAAGGAGGTGGTGATCCTGAGCCTCGTGCGCAGCAACGAAGGGTGCAACATAGGCGACTTGCTGAAGGACTGGCGCCGCATCAACGTCGCCTTCACCCGCGCCAAATCCAAGCTGCTCGTCGTCGGCAGCCGCGACACCCTCAAGGGCGCCGGTGACCACGAGATGCTGAGCCGCTTCGTAGGCCTCATGGAGTCCCGCTGCTGGGTGTACGACTTGCCCGCCGACGCGCTCGAGAGCCACTTCTTCGACAACGAGGCGGGTGCGGGGACGCAGATTACGGCATCAGGGGGGGGAGGTGCTGGTGTTATAGATCTTACGAGTCCGAAGAAACAGCAATCTTCCCCGGCCAGGAAAGTACCAAAGAAAGGCTTCGTTGGAGGAAAAGGAGCTGCTGGTGCCGATGGGAAAGAGAACCAATACCAGCGGCCTGAGAACGGAGTCAAGAGAGGCAAGATCACGGAGAGGGCGCTCCTGCGAGGAAACCTCATCACGCGGGATATTTTTAACGACATTACGGACGGGCGGTTTTGATATTTTTTTTTTTTTTTTGAAACCCTCTGGACAGAGGTAGAGGTAGAGATTAGAGGTCAAGCAAGCGTGTTTACTTGGATGCAAGACATGGAGTATTTCGCATAATGCGCATCAGGAGTATCGGCGATGGATAGCATACTTTCAGCGTTAGGATGTTTGGCGTATTTGTATGTATTGGGAACGGAAGTGAGTTGGCTCTTTTCGAACGAGCGGCACCGTGGGTATTTTATGACTATGTTAGTTGGGTGTAGCAAGATAGCAAGCAATAGGGTAACGTCGAGGCCGATGAATGAAGTATAAGACTGGTATTATTCATTAACGTATCGCGTTCGTTACGTTTGATGTGAAACCCTATCGGGTGTATTTTACATACTCGTATGTAGCATGATTTGTTGAAGTGCATAGAGACCTAGAATATTCGATGATTGAAATTATTTGATAAGTTCCCTTAGATTTAAATAGGAGGTACCTAGGTAATAACAGACTCCTTAAACAGACGCCTCTCCACGTCCCCTTTCCCGAAGAGAAAATTAAACGAATACAACATAGTCATATCTCGGATGTCACGATTTCACCTATGCGCCGAATTATTCGAATCTTCCGAACTCCTAGCCGAGAGGTAATCTGGTAGTACCACGAGCGCTGACGGCCTTCGAAGGAAGGACGGGGAAACGTTCTCCTCGCCGGCGTAACTCCCGTTAGAACTAGGCGCGAAACCATTCCAACCACTGACGATAGGTATACCCCTTTCCCCGTCCCCGTCCCCGTCCCCGCCTCCATTTCCGCTTCTTCTCCTCAGTCCCTCCGCCATCTCCACGTCGCCATCACCATCGGGTGACCCCACATGTGTCGCCGTTGTCGTCCTCGGCCCGTTCCAGATCAAGTCGACGTAGAGCGAAGGCTTATCCTCGTCGCGGCCGAGGACGTAGCGGCGGAAGAACCAGGGCAGGTACCTGGCGACCTGGTGGCGGACGAAATCGCGCTTGCGCACGGCGAACACCAGGTCGAGGTCCTCGAGCGAGCGGCGCTTCGTCTCCTCGACGAACAGGAAGACGAGCACGAACGCGAGCAGGTTGAGCCCCGAGAACAGGCCGAGGGAGCCGCCGTTGTGGAGCCGCGCGTAGATGCTGTTGCTTGGGGAGTAAGTAGGTACCTAGGTAGAATCGGTATGGTTGATAAACTCGGAGAAGAACGTACCTAGGGAAGAACATCTGGATGAGTCCGGCGAAAAGGAGGTTGGTGGTAATTGCGAATGCGCAGCCCTAGGAAATTTGAAGCTTAGTAGGGGGTAGTTATCGGAATCAACAACCATTTGATTGTGCTACATACAGCTTCGCGATGGGATAATGGGAAGCTATCGTAGAATTAATACAAGCATCACAAGTCCATCAGCACGGTATACTAACCTCTCGGAAGCGAGCGTGAATGGAATTGGACCTAGACAAGTAATTGGATTTTAACAGAAGTAGTGGATAGTTGGTCATTGGAATGACATACCCATCCCTGGCGAGTATACAGCCGCAAATACTATCGACCGTCGTTAGTAAACTGTCTTGTTTGTTTACCTAACCCGACTCCTGACTCCTTTTTATTTGCTTACAGAATATGAAGAAAGCAATCAGTCCGACCCTGGCATTCTGGCCGACCGTCAATGTGGACAGAGCAGCAGCCATCATGAGCAGGCACATAATGGGTAATGTCATCACAAGCCACTTGCGGCGACCGAGCGTGTCTATGGTTCTGATTGCCGGCAGACCGAAAATAAAGTTAACTGCCCCTGAGAATAGATGAGATTATAGGTTGATAGGTAGGCATATTGACAGGTTGCTATGAAACGTACCAATTCCTAGACTGTAGACCATCGGCATGAAAGCGTCGTTGCTATTTTTCAGTAATCCGCTAAATAGAGTACCTAGTATCGTTGATTATTTAGAACGTATCTCGTGGTATATGAAAAGTAGGTATGTTGCTCGTTACCTGAATAGAACGCTAGGATATTCACTGTTCTCACATTGTTAGTGGTATAAACCTTTATACACGCTTAATACTACCAAGCAATCTTAAATAAAGTCTCAACGGTGGATTGGTGGACTTACTCCCGCATAATTGTTGAGCCAGAGAGACTATAGAACTACTTATCAGGGCATTCCTTAGCCGTCTTTGTATGAACAGCTCTTTGTATTGGATCAAATAACTCTTGAGACGGGTGACCAACCCCCGAGGAACGTCGTCAGTTGAGTCCTCTAAATTAGAATCCGAATATTCTTCAAGCTGGATTGACTTATAGACCAGATAAGTATCTCGGAGAGCCTGTAACTATTTAAGTGAATAGAGTTTAGTTTTCTATCCTACATGTAATACCGACGTCTGGCGGTACTTACCTTCGTTTTTCGGAGTCTCAACAGGATATTGTATGCTTTTTGCGGGTCATAACTAGAAGTTCTCTGTCGCATATAATATCGAGGGCTTTCAGGACAGAACCAAAGCGCTATCATGAGAAAGGTACTTGGAACAAAGGGCGCGCCCAAGATCAACTGAAGCGATCGTTTGGCATCGTTTGCTGTATAGAAAATAAGGTTGAACGCGAAGCCAACCATGATTCCGAAGGCAACCCTGCCCACCAAGATTAGTTTGTATGACCATATAGTCATTCAACTGTTATCTCACCATAATTGCCAAGCAAGGATGAAGCTTCCTCGCCAGAAGCCAACTGCAGTCTCTGCTGCAAGAATAGGTGTGCTGCAAGCTTTAAGCCCCATGCCTATCCCAAGAGGGACGTTAGCTTAACAGTATCCAAGGTGTCTTCAGTAAACGTAAGAGCCATAAAGCACATATAATGACAATTTACTCACCTATACCGTTCACTATACGAACACATAGCAATGCCTGCCAGGTAGAACACCATGCAGAACCTAGGGAACTAGCAAATATGAGGCAGGCAGCAACGGCTATGGCGCCCCGCCGGCCGATGAGATCGTTAAGGGGTAGGGACAACCAGCAGCCCAATAGGGCAGCGAAGAAGAACGGCGAAGCGTTAGTTGCCCCGAGTTTCCAGTCGTCTAGCTGCGGGCTACTATCTCCGTCAGAAGTGGTAGAATCCGGCTTCGTCGAAGTCACGTTAGGAAGTCCAAACTCAGCCGCGTACAGCGAAGCTCCGTTGATCGAGGATTGCACAAAGCCTTGGAGAAAAGCGGCCAGCGATACAGCGAGGATTACGGTAAACATCTTTCGTTGTGAGAAGAGAGCATCCTTCTCTGCTATCAACGCCTTCTTCTCATCCTCGCTAAGCTGGACAGGGAGATGGTAACCGGCCGTGGGGTCCTCAGACCGAGCGACTTCGTCGTATGAGCGAGCATTCTGGGCCACGCGAGCTGCTCGGAGCAGTTCCTCCTGATCTACTGCCGACAGACAATTCATCCAGAATATATAGACATCGTGCTGGAGCTCCTCGTCGGTCAAGTAAGCTAAGAAAGGTTAACAGAGCATGTAATACACACTTCAATGTAGAACTGTCGTACCTAAAGGGTTCTCGATGATCCCCTGCCTATTTTTCCGTCTTCTAGTTACCTGCGCATGATATTGGTCATGACCTTTCCCCGAGGGGGTAATCGTCCTATCCAACTCCATGCTATTTATTATAATGCCTTAATGGAGGTTTCGTAGAGGCTGATATGGACCATGAATAGCTTGGAGGAGAGATATGGCTGTCAGCCATAGGTTATGGTGCTAACTACCTAGATACCCAAGCATCGGGATTCACTAAGGACCAGAGCATATTGAGCGGAACGCATAAGACAGAAAATGGTCAGGAATACGGTATTCTTAGGTGAAGCATCCTCACCCAAACCATACCTGAAGCCTCGTGCGTATTGTGTAATACCTCTCGGTGAGCAACACCATTTTACACACCCTTATCGATATGACATAACACATACGTATGCCGGCACAATTTGATTGGAAAGCTACCCGCGTATTGTTGCACCAGCTGAAAAAAAGGCTTCCATCTTATGCAAGAAGCAAAATTTTGCTGAGCCTTCGAAGGATGTGTGATATCTGTCATGATAGTACAGGCGTATATGTAGGTCTAGCAAGCGCTAGCCCGTGCTCAATTTCCAATTTCCAAGTTCCGTTAACTATAACGGAAACTTGGCCGGGCAATAGTAGCAGTCCTAAGACCTAAAATTGGTATTTTTTCACGTCGATCTTACGCCTTATGTATAATTTGTACTACCCTTCGTTTTATGGTGGCTTCAAAATCCCATGACCGTCCTGGGAGTCCGGCTGGCGTAGTACTACTTGTGGTGGCTGAAGTGAGCATGAGGAAAGGGGGGCTAAGGAATACTTTCTCTTAACTAGGCTTAGATCTCCCTCATAAGCTTATGAAACCCATAGGGAATAAGCAGGAGGGCCATCAGGATAACCCCGATCTATTCCAGACCTATCCAATACAGGTAATTTATAGGTGTCCTGTCCGTTTAGAAGAGGTAGGCTTAGCTTCGCATATCGGTAAGGGTAACTGCCGAAACAGAAACGTACCTACGTAGTGGCCCAGGATTACGTGCCACCCAATACCCTATTCTTTTTTCCTTGAATTCATTCATGGCGGTATTCCTTATTAGACTCTTGAGCCTATATTACACCCTAGAAAGCGAATTAAACCTTGGCATGGAGACGGATCATTGCTAGGTTGTAGAATTGGATCTAGAAGTTCGGAAGAGCTGATTAATGCTAGTTGATAGAATGTCATCGGCCGACAAATTAGACTTCTAGCTGACAAGATACTGACATGGATCCGTTATCCATCTCTGCGGGGGTTGCACAGGTCGTTACACTTGCTGGGACTCTGGTCAAGGGCCTCAGTCGCTTCATCGTGAAGACCATACACATTCGTGATTCCATTCAAGAGGTCCACGATGAGATCTTTACCTTGCAAGTGGCGTTGAGTGAGATTCAAAAGACCCTCAAAAAACGGCCACGACAGCTATCTTTTGAACGCGACCATCATGCCAACATCCACCAAATCATACAGATGTGCCAAAAGTCGTTGGAGACGCTGTGCCATGAGCTTCCTGAACTTAAGGACAAGGCAGGACCTGTTGAGCGTATACGACGAAGCCTCGAGCATTCGTTAAAGGAGGAAAGAGTGGTCGAGATTATTCGTCACATCTGTTCATATAAAACTGTCCTTCAGCTGAGTCTCACAACAATCTCGTTGGGTGCTTTGTGGGAAACAACTAGCTCGCAAAATCAAATCCAGGCCGAGATTCGAAAACTAACCGACGCCATCCGACTATCCCCTCACCTATTCGCCGGCCATAGAAGAGATACACTGCTAGTTCATACCCGCAGCGCTCGATCCGAAATAGAGAAAGGGGACATAGACGAATGCACCTTAGAAAGAGTTATTGGTGATTGGCGCGAGACTGCCGACGATGTAGCTACAGCAGTTACACTCAACGAAACGGATAGGGCGTCTCTCGACACACGCTCTACGCAGAATTCGGCCTTGAGTGTCGATACATTGTTTTTATATCAAGACGCATTTGATCCAGAGCCAGATTACAAAAATGTGCAGAGCAGCGAAATTCTCGACTATCAGCTGAAGGCCAACCGAGATGTCGTTCGAAATTTATTGCAATGTGGTATCTTCGTCAAGGCGGCCACCTACCAGCAGCGAGGTATTGGGCTCATGAAACAACTCTTAGAGAACCAGGACTCCCATAGGGCAGACGACGCCTCGGACGACAAGCTTATGGATATGAAAGAAGAGTTAGCAGATACATTCTTGCAATGCGATAGCCTCGAATACCACAATGAAGCTAGGACAGTATTAGAACAATTGATCTCCGAAGTGGTCAAGGCAGAGGAGAGCCAAGTCGACAACAACCGGCGAGCGAGATTATACCATAAACTGGGTGATATTCATTTCAAACAGAACAACGTCGGGCAAGCGACCACATTTTTAAAGCGCGCTCTTGATGGTCGAATTCGAATAGACCCCAGACCCCTAGAACTCGTCGAAGAAACGGCCGAATTATTAGTCCAGGTCTTGCAGCAGATACAGGTGCATGATGAAGCCCGTGGCCTCCGTGATTGGATCCGGCAAGAACTTCGACACGAAGCCGTCCCCTCGCCATCTTTAACTCAGGCAGCGCCTAACAATTCGAATATGAACGGTTTAACCTACGCCTACCAGTGGTGTAAAGACCAGGGAAGTAAGTTTCGCTTGATCATCTGTCGTCCATTTCACTCTCACTCCCAAAAGAAATAGACCATTGTCGCTGGATCTTATAACGTTGCATATTTCCATATTACCAAAACAACGGTTGCTGACTTTCGCTTTTCTAGTGAACGTAGATAGCGAAACTTTTAGCTTCGATTATTGCGATCCGGTATCAGGAATGACACCGATGCACAAAGCGATCCAGATGGAGAATATCGAGGTGCTGCAGCATATGGTGTCAAATGTAGCACATGTAGAACAACGCGACGCATCGGGGTCAACGTTACTTCATGTAGCAGCTTCAAAACGCCAGCGCGACATATGTACGATACTTCTTGAAGAGCGGCATGCGGATCCGAACGTAATAGATCATAGCAATATGACACCACTCCATAAATGCCAGACAAATAACGGAGGTGTACAAGTGGCCGAGTTGTTGTTACGACGGTGCCCTGACCTAGTGGATCGTGTGGATGTAATGGGAAAGACGGCGCTATATATGGCGTGCGAAAAAGGCAATACGAAAATGGTGAAATCTCTATTATCCCAAGGCCAGGCCAATCCAGATATCCAAGGTCCTGGAAAGCGCACGCCACTTATCGTAGCCATCGACTTAGCAGCTCAGGACTCGCAAAAGATACGCATCGTAGAGCAGCTACTGAAACATGGTGCAGACGCTACCATAGGGGATGCGGATGGCCGAACCGCCTTCATAGCTGCGAGGAACGCGGGGCTAGCTGCCAGTGAAATCAGACGTATGTTGAGTTCAGTTCCACCGAGAAGAAAAAGCACTGCCACAACGAACTCCGCGAGCAGTTCAAGTAGGAGGAACACGAGTTCGAATGTCGGCGGGATATACGGTTTGGCCGAATTGGCGTTGTCTCGATGAATTTGGGTTAGACTAACAACGGGCATATGGCTGGTTCTCAATCATACCCAGACTACGCGTGTCTATTTTCGTTTTTCCTTCTATAATCTGTTATACCCCATTGTTTCCTCTTATGATCTTGGTGGAATAGGAGGCGTATCGTGTTTGACCTTTCATGTATGATAATAGGTAGCTCAATCCTAGATGATAGGCAATACTTACTTGGTATTCGATCATCCTTTTGATTGAACTTCGGGTTCGGCTGAGGGGATATGTTGTGGTTGAATGTCACAGTGCTTCACCTGCTACGGAAGGCCCATAACTTCCATATGTTGTCAGGGCACCCTTACTTTCATCCTTCCTTTCGGCGCAAAGCTAAGATGTCGGCAAGCTTCAAATGCCCCTTTGCGCCCCAGCCAGAAGGGCCGCTTTCAACGTCAGGTCGTACGGCTATGTACCAACCCCACGCTCGTCTGTCGAGCTCACTGGTCCCGAGGTGTTCCGCCCAACTATCAAATAGAAGTCTCAGCGCACCAAGCAGCCTCGCAACGTTCTCTTCTTTCTCCTGATTTAACATTTTGGCCGTATTCCGCTTCGGCGTAGTTTTACTTGCTTGGTTCGTTCGCGTAGAAGTTTGAGAAACAGACAAATCTTGCTCACGGTCTGCGGAAACTTCTTGGTCAGCCCCTTCATCATCGTTGAGATTGTCCACTCTGGTGGCAAAGCTCTTGAGAAGGTAAGCCTTCGCGACTTCCGGTCTATGAATAGGCATTCCCACTACGCCCGCCTCATAAGATCGACTGGATGCCGAGCCAACACCCTCAGATTTATTTCTCGCAGCCTCGAGGTCCAATCCCCACACAGCCTCACCACCGAGGGCAGCTTGCTCTCCCGTAATCCGGAGACGTTCTGCCAGTGCGTCTTTAAGACAGTTTCGTATTATCCTCCATCGATCAGGTCCGAGCATAACACCACCGTACCAGCGAGTCATTACCACAAGCGTGTTAATAGTGTTTGCTTCTCGCAAGTTTTTTAGTAGGAAATCACCGCACCCGCTCTCACCATCATCGAACGAATCTTCTTTAATTGTAGTTGCTCCAAATAAATTTGTCGGGACTTGAACGCGATACGCCCAGGCATTATGCGTCGCATTCTGCAGAGATGGAACCGCTGCAAACAGCGACTGCATTGTCGATTGGCGTTGGGATGTTCCCGTTATTTGCGTCGCGCGAACTATAAAAGTTGAACCTTTCAGGGTGACGGGCTGACTAGCCGACCAAGCGTTCAATTGGGGACCAACAGATGATTCTGATGGCGCATCTTGGTTGACATTAGTTTTCGCAGCCCCTGGAACAGCCCCTGGAGGAGTATCCGTACTATTAATTACGTGATCTCCCGACTTGGGGTGTTCCTCTACTTCTTCATCCCCCTTCCACTCGTAACCTCCTCTCTTCAACACCGTAACTTCACGACCCATCACCTTCACCCTGGGCTGGCCATGCCCCCAACCCTGATCATCAGCGCTAGGTCCCTTTTCTATGCCGATCGACACCGCCTTACTTCTCGAATTGGCGCTCACGACCGCCTGTGCTAGGCTTAGCCGACTCGAAGGGGGCTGCTCGGGCATAGTATATCGCAATAGTTCAACGGCGAACGCGAGGACAAGAGGGGCGCGATTCGTCAAAAGTACGGTATCTGCAATGATCTTCTCATCCGTCTCTACAGGCAACGCGAATGATGCTTCAAACTCGTGCGGCGCAACAGGCTCTGGTCCATCAACATAGCCCGTGTCATTTGACTGCCTAGAACGTTTGGGAGCATTTTCAAGAGTAGATCCAGTCCTCTTAGCCGTTGACGACGTGATTGGATTCTTCAGTCGGGCTTTGCAAGCATTGTGCAGAGATCGGGCAGCTTTGGTGTCTTTTATGGCGGCGTTGACATCGGAAAGGGGGGACTCAGCTATCTGTTGAATACTGCACTACCTAGTTATTTACAAATCATCTGATGAATACCATATTTATGGGTGGTCATTCAGCAACATACCTACGGAGGTTTTTTGCCTGAAGTTCTTTAATTCGGCTTAGGGCGTCTTTCATAGGAACCCTCATACCGATAGTCATAAGCCGGATGAGCTCTTGAAGGTCTTGTTGTGATGCCATCTTCGCAATAAATTTGGATTAGGTAACTTCATTGAATTCGCGATGGTAATGGATAGAAGGTAATTATCCAATTTAGATGAACGCGTCGAATAATGTTGGAGAAAGCGCGTCAAGCTCAGATTATGACTAATCTAAGATCATACATGCTGCATTGCGTCAGCATGGTCGAAGCTTTATGTTTGAAGCTCCTTCCATGGATGTCGTGATATTAGGTACCAGGTATGTTAGGTATGTACAAGGTAAGCACGGAACTTCGATGTATCTCATCAACCCCGCAATTTAGGTGGAGAAACCCTGCAGTGGTTGGAACTTGGAAGTGGCCTTACGCAGCACAGTGTCATAGTGTACCTAATTACGGTACATGTATGCATGCATGTACCAAAGTACCGAATCTGGTTCCTCAAATTATCGGATCGTCGTCAAAGTCTCGATCGTCAACTGTCAAACCACAAAAAAATCCGTTGCCAGAGTTGAAATCATTTGATCAACTTACAAGACCTCGCCCCCTTTTTACCAGATCTACATCGTCATCAGCTCCATAGCGGCCGGATATCGTTACCATTAAGATCAAAACTGCACTGTTCCTGAATTCGGGAACGTTTGCCCGGAGCGTCAGTTTGGTTAGTAGAGGCATGATTCGTGCGGTCATTGACCTCCCGTAGGATGGATCGGTAGCCCATTGCGTTATCTGCCGCTTTCATTCACGCACCTCCTAATATACCTCGTTAAAGTAATACCCCTCGCGGGTAAAGTACCTAAGCTTAGCAGAGTACGATGCGGCCTACATACCCGCATAACCTCGTTATGAGGGGAAGTCTGGTGCGTAACTCCAGAATAAAGGGGAATGGCTTCAAATGGATTGATGGCGGTTGCAGAAGATTTGCTACGGCTAAACAGCCACCGCCGCCACCACCAGGGCAGCAACGAGCAACTCCAAAGCCGCTGCCCTATCAGCCTGCCAAGCCAAAGCCGAAAGTAGCATCGGAATCCGCTCCTAAGTCTGTGCCTAGACCTACGCTTCATTCTTCATCTTCTTCCTCTTCGAGTGGATATGAAGACAAGAGGAGACCAATCTCGGAGCTAATACGTGACCACTGGTTCCCTCTCTTTGGCGCCGGCGCCGCGGTGGTGTGTATAAGCTTCTTCACGTCGTCGTTGGTATTCTACTGGAGAACGCAACCGGCCGAGCACTGGACGCCGGGGCAAGAACCCGAGATGCCCACGGGCCGGCCGACCATCCAATCGCCTCGGGAGTTCGACCAGCACCTCGACAAGTCCGAGTGGCGCTTCGGCATCACCAAGCTCCGACGGCACATCGGCTCCGAGCTGGCCCGCGGGCACGTGCTCGAGGTCGCCGTGGGCGCCGGCCGCAATTTCGACTACTATGATTGGAGCGCGGTGACTGCGGGCTTGAAACCCGCTGAGCAGAACAAGGAGAAATCCAGTTGGTTTGGTTGGTCTGGAAAAGGAGGTGGTGATGGGAAGAAGGAGAAGAAGACCGTATCTGAACCCCAAAACGAGAACGCCATACGTAGCTTTACAGGCTTGGATATTTCACCTCCCATGCTGGACCTTGCATTGACGCGGATCCGGCAAGTCGTACCGTTCATGGTAGAGCAAATCCCCAAGAAACCGATATTTTCCAGACTGGCCTCTAAGACGGCAGACGGCAGCGAGGAAGGCATCTCGCTCGCCAACAACCGCATCCGCCTCCTCAAAGCCGACGCACAGATAGCTCTTCCCCCTCCCCCTCCTCCTCCTCCCTCCTCATCCTCCAACCAACAACCCAACCCCAACCCCGAAAAATACGACACTGTAATCCAAACGTTCGGGCTCTGCAGCGTGCGTGACCCAATCCTCCTCCTCTCCCGCATGGCCGCGGCCGTGAAGCCCGAAACGGGGCGCATCGTGCTGCTGGAGCACGGCCGCAGCTGGTACGAGCTGGTGAACGGGCTGCTGGACCGCAGCGCGCGCCAGCACTTCGCGCGCTTCGGCTGCTGGTGGAACCGCGACGTCGAGCTCGTCGTGCGCGCCGCCGAGCGCGCCGTCCCCGGCCTCGAGGTCGTCCGCCTCGAGCGCCCCGGCTGGATCACCCTCGGTACCCACGTCCTCGTCGAGATGCGCGTTCGCGAGATCCACGACAGCAACAACAACAATTTCGCACATGCTCCCGATGCGACTGGCACTACTACTGCCACCTCCTTGGACGCCGACGACGCGGACCGCGACGACGCGAAGACTGCTACGAGTTGGTGGTCCTCGGTCGTTTCTATCAATAGCAAGCCTAAGAAGGACTGATTTAAAAATTAAAAAAAACCGCTCTGAAACGTGAGTGCGAGCGTTCTCCTGCGTTGTACTGACTACCTGGATGCTGCATGTTGATTATAGATGATGATGAGATGTAACCTTTGGCATAACACTATAATAGGTGTTAATTACCTACCTGCCTTGTATATACTTTGCATCTACTTAGCCATTGCGGTATTGTAATTTGTACAATACCTATAACACTGCACTTGAATATCATTAGGTATCACTCACCCACGCATTTACATCAAATTCAATAAAAATAACTTTTGAACGGGGATTTCATTTTAATTTTTTGAGCGCCTTTTTTGGTTTCCTTTTTGTTTGTTCCAATGCGCTCCTGACATTTCGATCCGTCTTTGACTGGGGGTTTTTCTAAAGTGTCTCTTCTAACCAACCAGCCTTTTTATTTTTTCGCGGCTCTTTTTGTGTGGTCTTCTAATTGTACATATCGATTTCCTTCTTATGGAAATCAAATGGCAAAGGACAATCGCTATGTTACCCTCCTAGACCCGCCTGCATATCCTTTTTTGTTAACCGCCGACAGCCGTTTCAGTCCGTTGGATACCCCCCGGGTCGCCCTCCATGCGACCCGAGCAGTCGGAAGCAGTCATCTAAGCGCGCTCATCTAATAATATTCGTACACTCCCCTTCCAGTCATCAACGTACGTGAGCGGTGGATGCTCAACCATTGACTAACGAAATAATGGTGAAAAGTGGCAAAATGAACTGAGAGGAATAAATGCAGAATGCGAGGACCCCAGATGCGCCGCCAACGCCCCAGCCCAACTCCTTTTAAATCACCGGTGCGGCCGTCTTCCGTCTCATCATACATAGCTAAATGCTTGCCAGCTGCACGGATAGCTTGTTCGTTAAATGGTAATAAAATAAAGAATTAAGATGGGAAAATTGACCAATAAAAGGCGTTCAGTAGTCGTCAAGTAAACCATCCAGTTCATCTAACTCGACGGTCTCGGGACTTCTATCCCAGTCCAGGATGGAGTCTAGCTTAGCCCAGTTTTCTGCTTCGGAATCTTTCTTCACAGGTAGCATCATGCTAGGTCGCATTGCGGGACTGGTCATGAACACCATATGCGGCAGCAGACTCGGCGCGAGAGTCCTTGGCGGTTCGCCAAATAGCTGTTCGTTTTGCATGCCATCATCTATAGGCGCTTGGTCGAGGGGGTCGACCCGAAGCAAATGACCGCCAGCTTTCCGTTTTTGCAAACCGTCTGCTGTCTGTGTGAACTCTTTTTCATCCTTCTCTAATGGCGGCTCGTCCCCTCTTGGGTTGCGGGGTACGTTAAGTGGCCGATGGCGCCCAGACACTGAACCCATCGGAGTGCTTGGCATGGGAATATCCTCATCCATATCATCGAACTCAGGTGAAGACAGATCAACTTCGGGCGAGAGGCTGAGTTCTCTTCTCCGGTCGCAATCGGCATCTTCGGAAGTGGAAGCCGAGCTTGAAAGTGATGGTGTAATAATGGCACGTTGAGCTGTGGGGTCTGGGAGAGGTAAATGGGGACATGTGGTCAGATAAAAATACGTGCGTCTTGGGTGAACGGTCTCTAACTCCTTAGCCAAAGGACAAGGCGCTACAGCAGACCAACATGATCGCTTCAAATATGTAGAAAGTCGAGAAGAAATGATGGCGCAAGGATTCGCAGATCTGAAAAAATGAATTAGCTCTGTATAAAATGCTAAGGTTGGTGGGATTATTAAACCTACTGTTGAACGATCTTAACTTGGTCCATGAGGGCGGTAGCTAACTCCTTGACTAAGTGAGGTCGATTGCGAGTTTCCTCCAATCGCAAGATAACGGCCTCAACAATCTCGTCGTTTATACCTTCTAAATCGACTTTCTTTATCTCTGAAGATTCGGACAGGTCAGACTCGTCCATCTCAATGGAGACTTGAAGACCAGGCGATGGTGGCGGCGTGCGATCATACTTGGCGGGACTCGCTATCCGTTTGGAAGCAGGTGCAGCCGAAGAGAGCGCAGAATCATTGTGAGAACGTTTTAACTTCTTATTCGGATGCGACGAGCTCTCGGAAGATGATCTGGAGGACGCCATACTGGAGTTATTAGGCGAAGATCGATTTACTGGTATGTGAATTCCGAGAGACGGTAAAGACAACGATTTGCGACGAGTATTGTACGGCATGGTGGGCAAGTAGGAGAGCAAATGACGAAGGGTACACAGATATTGTTGTATTCTATATCGATTGCTTCTGCATGAAGGGAATGGAGTACTTGTAACTGACTCGCAGGCGAAACACCAACGGCAAAGAGTTTAAGAGGCGAGTGAGACCAAGGGGACCAGGTATAGAATTAGGGAAGATTAGGGAAGATAAAGAAAAGATATCGTTACTAGGGATCTAGGAATGCGAATATCAAGGTAGATGAGGGAGAAATGGGGAAAGGCGGTGGGAAAAACAACGATGATATCGCGACAGCGATGTTAAACTGACGAATCGAAGACAGGGAAAAGCAAAGTAGTGGCTTCGGTTTGTATTGGGTGAAGAAGGCGGCAAGATGGCTTGAGAGAGGTTGCCTATATTTTGAAGTGGGCGTGTGCGTGATGGGAATAAAAAAAAAACCTGCAGAAATGTTCCTCACTTGGGGGGGGTTGTTCAGCAGGGGTTAGAGGTACAAACCATACTGGGACAAGCATCATAGTTACTAGGTATCCACTTCAAGCAAGGCAGTGGACAAGGAAGAAGAGAAAAAAAACTATTCTGCTGCGAATCCCATAAAAGAATTGAGAGGGACTTGGAGGGACTGGAGGGACTGGTTGTCACTGCAGAAGTAAGTACACTATGTACCTTCTTGGCTGTAGCGTCATGAGCAAGGATAATCCCTTGTACATCTATTGCCCCGTTTGGAACTATCATCCAATCAGCTTTAAGCTTATCTAGCTCTAACGGCTGGTCCAAAATTTTCATCTGGCTGTTACGATTAAAGAGACCAACCAGAAACTTTTTTTTTTCCTCTCATCAATTTTAAGGGTCCATTGTCCGTGCTTCCGAGCTCCCTCGATTATCGATATCCATCATATTACGCAAAGGATTGCCACATGAAGTTAAAGTCTTCCAGGTATACCCATACTCATATTATTTTGTACGTTCAGTTATGACTACCTACCATGTGACCATAGTATGGTCTAGGTGTATTTGTGTATTTGTACAAGGTTTGTGATAGTGACGACTTTAGTTTGTAAAATAGTCGGTGTCAGATTCGCATGATCTGTTTACTTTCGAGATCGCAAGTCTGCAGAGACAGCATGGGGGATGTTCAATCCAGATGAAAAGAGGCGGTAAGCATTGTATGGAGATGTACCTAGGTAGATATGCAGGCAATGCATTGTGCAGGTTGAGAACCCCAAACTACCAAAATTAGGTTACCTTCATATTAACCAGCTAAGACGTGGTTGGATTCGTCAAACGGTTGTTGCATTTTACAGGTTCTGATATTTTATAGGTTCACCATTCGGTAATTGGTCCAGACTCGATACCAAAATGTTATTGCTACCAATTTCCCACTTCTTACGAATCTTTCGTAAAAAGAGAAGGCCCATTTACACATGCATAATATAGCGTATGTATTTTTTTAAGAATAGACGCAGTGGGGAAATCTACTGTTGTACAAGGCTAGCGGGAAGAGAAAAATGCTCAAGAGGAAAAAAGAAAAAAAAAAAAAAAAAGAGGCAAGAGTCTAGGTCTGGTACTTGCGGAGCAAAGCGGGCGAAAACCCGGTCTAGCAGGGATATATCTACATGCATACTGTGGATTACATGTACATACCTATATACATGGTCTTAAGCTTGACTGATACCTCATATTGATACCCGATATTCGAATATTACCAGTATCCATGTTGAACTCCCCGCGTTCACGTAGAGGGGGAGCTCTAAATTCACCTATGCTGCTATGTTACCTCCTTCCTACCTAATGTGTGACGAAAGGCTTACATCCCCTAATAGGTACCGAATAAATTCAAATGCCGCAAATAGCACCGCCCATACATCGTGTATGAGCTCTAGCTAGAAGGCGGGTTGGCTGACCTGCATAACTGTTTTTGACTGGTTTTAAGTATCGAGGTAAGCCAAGTTAGCCAGTTACATAGGTACCTAGGTACATAGTAGTTAGTTCGACATCGCCTACATTAACGCCGCACCAATCAAGTACAATCTAACTTCCTGAATTGGTTGTTGGCCGGAAAATTCCCGCTAACCGCAACAAACGTGGCCCTGTAGCCTTCGATACAGGCATATACGGCCACATATACATAGGACAGCTACCTCGAATGCAGCTAGTATGTGCAAGGTATGTAGGAAAGTATGTATATATGTACCGGAGAAGTACCGCGGCTAAGCTCTTTTCTTTCCTCTTTTCTTTTTTTTTCCTCTCTCTCTCTCTTCCATCATTTCTTTTTTATGGGCAAGACTAAACCAATCTGAAACTTGCAGATTTGCAAGACGTTAAGTAATAAGAAAGGTTGAAGTCCCGAGTCGTACGTTTCCGTTACGCACGCGAGAAACTTCCTTAAATGCGCATCATCTCATTGGATCATTAGCTGTACATCACATCACTTTTCAATTTCTATGTTATGTTCATCAGAATGTCATAACAGTTACTTAGGTAGCAGGTTAGGTCATTTTTCCCTCTTCATTTCACTTTCATATTAGAATACCAACAAGTAATTTGTAAATCTTTTTCAACCCTGGAAACCGGGTCATTTTGTATAAGTCCGATAAGATTATGTGTAGCCTTGGATTTGGTCGCGCATCGAATCATACCATTTATTAATACCCCTCTCCCTCGTCCCCTCATTGCCTACTCTTTGGGGGTTTCTTTTTCTTTTTCTATGATCTGTCGACCGTCGAGTGAGCCTGACTCGCATCTGCCTAACCCCTCAAAAGTAACCATTTATCATACCTAACTGGTCACAGTTAGGTACCTAAAGCGATGATAATATATTTCACAATAATATGTAATGCCAACACTTACTTACAGTACCTTCTATAAAGGTACGTTGTATCTGACCACCCAGATGTTGTTATTCTATTCCACGCATGTCGAGTATTCCACATTTGCAGTCGGCCAGCCAACAACCAGTTAACCAATGAGCCCAACCAAGAACCAAGAGAAAAGGTTCGCCTACTTCATTCGGAACTAGACTTGCAACCAACTTGCAAGCGAGCGGGATCTCACGTCTGTAAAACGCTCTTTTTAGGGAGCGGGGCGACTGAGCTGAGATACCTAATGTTAGGTATACTATGTACCTTCGTACCTCACTCAGGTACGTGTGTACGGATCCGTACTTGAGTCAGGATACGTAACGTTCTGTACCTGCCCAGGTAAAGCCAAGGTAAAGGTACCTAACCTGAGGTGAGGTGAGGCCAGACCGTGCGATGGACCCTCAGGAACTGTCTTAGATCATCAGCTCCACCTTAATCCACCAGGTATTCCGGGTATCGCAGTGCTCAGACCGCAGACTGCCTTCTGCCAAATCTAAATCTTGCTTACCTTGCTTACATACATCCCAAGTCAATAGTTAGATCGTATCGATTCTGTATCGATTAGATACACAATCGATTGCGATTTATTACTATGTAGTAATTCCACGTGCCGATCACCGTGCAATACGCATCGCACAGTACCGAACCCACGCACTCGGGCCTGCCGGTCTCTCGGGACGCTGGCTTAGGCCGTACTAGCTTAGCCACGCTGGAATCTCGTACTTTTATGCAGCTTCGGCTTCTGTATCATAACACAGCCATGAACATACCTTAGGTACCTAACCTAGCAGACGTTGTGGAAGACTAAAAAGGGACCTCAGCTCTTAGTATCCGCCGAAATATCTATCCGGTCCGATCGGAAAATAATTTGATACCCTAGCATTGCTTAATTTTCATTTGGGACCCATTTTATTCCCCTTCGCATTTCATAAAGTCATGGGATGCGGTTGAGATCTCCTCATCTCCGTCTAGCTCAGGATGGTCCGTGGTTCATTTATCTGCCCGTGCACACAAAATCTAACTACAGGTACATCAAATGTCACAGCTTGTTACGGCAGAATATTGAATGCAATGTTACCGGTATCCACGGACGTAGTACTACAACCGACGGCTTGCCGAATCCCGTGCGGTTTAAGTAGATGTGATGACAATTTACAACATGTCATACAGAGCCAGCTTCTCTACTTCACTAGTGAGCTTGGTTTTTGCCATTGAAGAGCTCAAGGGTGAAATCAACTAACCTACCTAGGTACCTAAGGTAGGTTAGGTCTGGGTAGTCATATATCTTGTCCCTAGAAATGGAAAAGGATAGAAAAGACAGGAAATTACCATCAATGCTATTGGTCGGTTCCTGAATGAAGTGAGGCTCTGCACTAGATGGTTTTTTTTTTCTTTTTTTCGTTATTGTTTATTTGTTTGTTTTCTTTTTTCCCTCTTCGTTACCCTACCGGAGAAAAGGCTCGCATAAGCTCACATGAGAAATATAAGTGAGGGTCAGATCCACATTATGGGGTCGACGAAATGGGCTATTCCGAGCTTATATAAAAGACGGTTATGCCAACGAGGCTGATATCAAAACACAAAATGGCCCCCGCGGCACACCTACCTATAGTTGCGGAAAGACAGGCTCAAGCAAGTAGATAGTCTCTAAAGCTTTCCGAATGCTTTAAGATCTTTGAGCTAGGTAACATTTTCTATAGGATATTCTATTCAAAATTTCATGTCTGTGGAAGTTATGTTTGGTAATAAGGCCTGCACGTTTAGTATAACCTATAAGTATTAATGATATTTTACTATTCTATGCCCATCCCACGACTTGCCCTGGTATAGACTCCCCGGAAGAATCAATCACCTAAATAATACTAGACGACTCGTCTTGATGCGTAAATCGTTAATATACAATAACGTGCTCTTGTTAACGGAAGCCGTAGAATGCTCCTCCTCTGACACGAAGATATATAAACCCGGGGAACTGGAGAAGCTTAATTGACGTTGTAAGAAAATATATTAAAACCAGAGCTGTTATGGCGAACTATTACGGCGTGCGATAATTGCCGAATCTGCTGCGGAAACCTTGGTGCCGCGTTCGCTTTTCTCCTCCCGAGGCCTCATTTGCCTATCTAGAAGCCGGCAGCCAATAGAATTCATTCATATCGCCCAGGCCTACTATTTACCGTTGCTATGAATGGCGTGGAAGACGTATAGATACTATACAGAGTATGAACATAATTGGGCGTGATAATCCGGGGAAAAGGAGGCTCCAGAATAACTGGTAGGTAGTATATGGTAGTATATATAGTATCGAACGTCTCTAAAAAGAACACGAGATAGCTCATCTCCCTTCAGGTCCCTGCCACATCCCGATGCCAACTTGGATATCCGCGTGTTAATATTATTAGCCCAGCCCTATCCTCGAAATGAAGCTTTCAACTCTCGGGACTGCCACCGTTTTAGCGTCAGTAGCATCTAGTCATACAATCTTCTGCCAACTCAAGACTAGCGAGAAGACATGGCGTAGGTTTTCCTCTTTTTTTTTCAGCAAAGCTGACATTTTTGAAGATGATTCCACTGACGTTTTAATAGCCGTGTCACACGCTATCCGGACACCCACGTACGATGGCGTATGTATAATCTCGCCCGCTCTTGACATATGACACATGACGTATGACAATACTAGCTAGCTTTCAAGAGGGCTAACATGTTTGGGGATGTTTGCTACCTAACCTAGCCGCAAGCCGATGTGAACAATAATAACTTGGCATGCAACGGCCCGCCGAACCCGACTACGCCCTCGGACAAGATCATTAACGTTGAAGCCGGCGAGACCGTGAGCGCCGTCTGGCGCCACACTCTTCAATGTGAGGCCTCCAATACATACCTTACCTAACCTAACCTTAGATACCTCCTATGTAGTCGTTTAGACTTGGCTCTTGCTAACCCGAACAACGCGGTAAAATAGCCGGAGCTAACGATGTCATGGACCCGGGCCACAAAGGCCCCGTTATGGCGTACCTGAAGAAAGTCACGGACGCGACGAAGGACAGCGGGGTGGGCGGTGGCTGGTTCAAGATCCAGGAGGAGGGCTACGGCAACGGCAAATGGGGCACGGACACGGTTATTAACAGCGGCGGCAACCAGCAGATAAAGATTCCCGAATGCATCGAGGATGGTCAGTATCTCCTTCGCGCTGAGATGATTGCGCTTCATGGCGCGAGATCGGCGAATGGCGCTCAGCTATACGTGAGTCTTCCCTACTGCATTACGTACACAGGCACTTGGATTCATTGCTTGACCATAAGTTTCGACAGGGTGACATGTATGTGATATATGTATAAAACATGCTGACGCGCAAGACAGATGGAATGCGCCCAGATCAACATCACTGGTGGCAAGGCAACAAAGAAGCCAACGACGGCGAGCATCCCGGGCATCTACAAGGTATGTATGAGAGACTGATATTTAACAACGTGAATTATCTGACACGTTCGTAGTCTAACGACCCCGGCCTACTCATTGACATCTACAACAAGCCCCCCGGAACCAGCAGCCCATATAAGATCCCTGGTATGTATCGAAATTCTTCTATGGTAGGATATAATGAAGAGGACTAATCTAGCCATGTAGGACCCTCGGTTTTCACTTGTTGAGTGACCGTCTTGTTCATGGATGGGGTTAAGCGAACGAATTCCGTGCGCCGCTGAAGACCCGTAACGACGAGGCCGCTTGGTTTATTTGATACGAAGTAGGAAGTATGGTATATCCGTAAAATTCTCTATATAAATATTACCTTATCCTACGAGTATTAAATCCGAATACCTCACATGGTTATTCAACTAATATCATGGAGACCTATGCATTGACAGCCGGAATCCTTGCTGCTGTATTCATTACTGTCTGCCTTAAACTCCTAGTAGATCGTACCCAACGTCAACAAACCTACTGAACGCCCCAGACACCAAGAACATTCTTCGTCCCCCTCTCTCCAGCCCTCGCGGCTCGTGCCTCAAGCTTTTTAACTCTCCTGACAAGCGTACCGACGCATATCGGGCCGGCAATCGTGCACAAGACGATCGCCCACGTCACGACGAGGAAGAGTTCCGACGCACCCTCGCTAGCATTATCAGACGGCCGCCGGAAAACGCCTTTACTCTCTGCCACAGCCGAGATCAAGAACCCAATCTCGCCCCTCGCCACCATCGCGCACGATACGATGGCAGCTGGGTAGAGCGAGAGAGGTTTTGCCGGCATGGAATTTCCCCCTAAGCCTCCATCTCTACTGGGCAGGGATGGGGCGACTAGTTGTTGAACCGTCGCCCGCGATGAATCTGCAACTTCCCTATTACTTCCTGATGTCTCATTCTCGACGGATCGAGGGGTAGCAACAGAAACTGGCTCAAGTTGGATTTCTTCCGCAGGCGCCCTATTCTTTGCCGGGGATGCATTGGTCGATTTTCGCGGTCGGCGGAACCTAGAGAAAAGGGCTTGATACCGGGACGAGACGGACGAGACAAGTGTCCCTATAAATCCGCCGGCAGAGAGAGGTATTCGTACCAGCCATAAGCCGCACACCATCTTCCCAATCGCCATCAGTATGCCGTAGATAACACCGCGCCAGGCTACGTCCCCTGAAAACATGTCAGAGATAGGAATAGAAAAGCCGATGGAAGCGAAGAAGAGCGGCTTCAGGATCCGATGAGCGGCTTGCGAATAGTAAGTTTCATATACTTCAAGGGCAGAGTGTTCTGGCCTTTGCTGCTGATGTTCTTGTTCTTGTTGTTGCTGTTGCTGTTGCGATTCCCTGGAAGTTGGGGCTTGGGATGTGGCAGAAGCATTACTGCTATTATCAACAGTTTGCACCGTCGTTTCATCCAACGACCCAGAAAGCCCCGAGCTCTCTACATCAGACTCAGCCTCATGCTCTCGAGAGGACTCTCCTTGCAGACTACCTCCTAACGAATCCGCCCACCAACTGACTACGATGCCAGCAAGATACGCAGCAAGAAGCACAGACGCTCCCGCAAAACTAGCACTCACAACCAGGGCGATCAGGAGCGCAGTCTGAGCCAAGAAGGCCGTGTGTTTCGAGCCCAAGACGTTATTCCACCGGGACCACCACCACCCCTCCACCCTATCCTCATCATTCCCTTCTATCTTTGCCCTCCTCATAATCAACGGCATAACAAAAGGCCTCAGCACAAACCGACACGCGAGCGGGACCGCGCCCGCGAACGCTAGCGACACCAGCACGGGTCTGAGCACCGTATTCCCCACGTCGATCCTCACCTGCCCGTCGCCGTTACCATCACCATCACCATTACCGCCTCCCCCGGCCGTCGCTGCCGCCGCCCCTCCCAAGCTCGACACGATCTGCACCATGACCAAGCCCAAAACATCATCCATCATAGCCGCCGTCCCCAGCACCGTGCCGACCCTCGTATCCGCGAGCCCGCTCGCCTCGAGCACCGCGAACGTCGTCCCCAAGCTCGTCGAGCACAGCGCGGCGCCCGCGGCGAAGCACTGCGTCGCGGTCCCCCCTCCTCCTCCCATCAACGGTCCCAAAACCGCAAACCCGAGCGCCATCGGCGCCGCGACGCCGGTAACCGCGACGCCGGCGCTCAGCGGGAGATTTCTGCGGACGGCGTCGACGCGGGTCGCCGCGCCGCCCTCGAACACGAGCAGCACGAGCCCGAGGTACCCGAGGTGGACGGCGGCGCGCTGCAGCTCGGGCGGCAGCCAGCCGGCGCCGGGGAGGCCCCAGGCGACGCCCACGAGGACCTGGCCGACGAGCCCGCAGTACAGCGCGCGGTCGAGGAGGGCGTTTGCGGCGTTGAGCGCGAGGAGGAAGGAGGAGAGCACGAGGAGCTGGGTGAGGGGGGGCTCGTGGTAGGGGAGGGATGATGATGACATTGGTGCCGTGGGGTAAAAGAGAGAAAAAAACAAAAAAAAAAAAAAAAAAAAAAGTACGTCTACAGTACCTACCTACCTAAGGTAACAGAGGTAAGCGGGAATAGTTTGCATAATTTTCAGTACCTAACCTTTGATAGGCCCAAGTTGTACCAAGTATATGGTAGGTTAGTTGGTGTTTTTGGTGTTTGCATCGGGGAAAACAACAAAAGAACCTCAGTGTAAAGGATAAGAATAAATAAATAATAAATAATACCGACGTCATCAACGTCTAACCGCCAAGATAGGAGGTATCCATAAAATGCTTGATTATTTCGGGTCGATGAAAAAAAAAAAAAAAAAAAAACCCAAAATCGAGAAATATATACGATCTAGCATTATATTGAAAGATGAAAGATATAATATATGTGAATATAACCTACGATGGATGAATAAACACTTGTCGAAAAACCGACATTGGACAGATCATTACGAAGACCAAGTTTTGTAAATGAAGTACCTAGGATACCTATCATCTCCATTTTCATAAGCAAAATACGAATATACATCTGCAACTAATAACGAAAGCGGCATCGTAATAGCATCGAGCGTGATGTTAGGATAGACCCGTGGTTGGCCGTGTCTACCTCTATATATTAATACACATAACCGCGCTGGCACGCAACCCCAAGAAAACAGAACAGAACGGAACCCTTGTACTGTCTTCCGAAATCCGCGCCTCCTCGGGCCCTTAATTCTGAATCGTACAAGGTTTCCGTGAATTCACCGCATACGCCATGAAATGCCACTCGTCAAAACATTCATATCTACCGCGTTTTTTTCTTCTTCTTTTTTTTTGCGCCACTATGGTTGGTATCGCTTTCTCAAGAATCCCATTTCCACCTTCATCTGGCCTCCCAAAGCTTCATGCTGTGCCTTGTACCCTGACGTCTTGGTTGCTCAAGACCCGTCATGATTAGTTATCGTCTATTTAATATCGTATCGGAGGATGGACAACCGATTGATGTCCATTACTCGTTGTAAAAAGTGGCTTGGGATAGTTATGATATTTACTGATTATGCTGTCTCGCAAACGCCATAAACTGGTCCGCGATCTGTATTTTTGAATTAGCTCTAACCCCGTCAAGGCGACGAGAAATCGAAAGTGGGGTGATACTCACATCGCGATCTGCCTTGATAAAAGGCTGGTCGAAGAAGTGATACTTGTCCTTCGTTATCAGCTCCATAATGACCATGGTAAGGCCGAATGGCTGAGGCCAGAAACTGGCAATTCTCTCAAGCAGCACGCGGACTACTTGCTGGCGGATATCAGCTTCCTCGGGGTCATTGAGATCTTGACCAAAAATCTCAAAGATGACGTAGCTGAAGAATTCGGTGACGGGGCTGAAATTGCGTAGACGATCAACCATGCTGCTGATGAGGAAATATCGACCCTCGGGTTGCAACTCGTGCACCAATAGCGAAAGCGTCGCGACATCAGGGGAGCCGGGGGTATATACGGACCTCTCCTGACGGGCCGTTATAATGGCTTGATGGCTAAAGAAAGTCACAATAGCATCGATGACTTTGCAGTTAACGCCGAGCGGGACGTTGCCATACGTCGTGTATCGCGCCTTGCTTTTGTTAATGGCATGCGTGAGATGGGCAATGGCATCCTCAGAGGGGGGGGCTTGGACAAGCTGCTGCAAGATCTCCGAAATGCCAGTTTGTCTCAAGTATAATAGGCTGGGAGCAATGTCTGCTTGAGCATCCTGCGAGATTAACTCTCCAGTTTCAGATCGCGGGCCACAGTTGAGTACGATGTTTCTCAACTGAGTGCAATGAGGAGAGATGCTTGAGCATAGATCGACGGCATTAGCGGACATATATTCAGTGAAGTCATGAGCTAATATGACGAGGTGTTTGACAACCGCACGGTAGTATTCCTTCACGACATCCGTTACATCGATAGCTTTCATGTGTGCCGAAACATGCCTTAAAAGAGACTTCAACAGTTTCGTGTAGGAGATCCAACCGGCCTTAGATTCGAGTAGAATAATGTCAGGCATGAAACGTCGATGTCCAATGAGGCTGAGCCACGCAAACGCGAACCCGGGGAAACGCTCAGGATTAAGCTGTAATAATGCCCACGAGAATCGATTTAGAAACTCTCGTCGGCACAATTCGATATTCGAATTTTCCGCGAATGCCGAATCGATGTCATGCAAAAGCATAGAGAACAGGCGGAAGAAGACTCTCTGGTTGAAGTGTTCGCCTCTTGCAACGTGGTGGTGGTTCAGCACGACTGCAAAGAGTGACGTGACAGCCTCAAGAACTGGGAGAATCCCAGCCCTGGGGTCCTCTTGATCGGCACCACTCTCCCTAGCAAAAACTATGACCATCTTTACGAGAGCATCCCCGGCAACGAATGCTTCGGCAGTGCTTCCTCCCGCATGCAGCACCTGCTCATAGTAATTGATCGCCATATCAATGGCCCTTCGCGTGAAAATCACGAATTCATCCTTGTTGGAGATAATATTTCGACTACGAATCTGCTTCACAAACGCCAACCGCGCCTTATCAGATACGTTGTAATTGTTGTGGAGACGAACCCATTCGTCAAAAATGTAATCAAACTGCTCGAGCTGTTCCGCACCCTCCCTGCTCTGCGGTTTGGTGAGGCCAGAGCTGAGGAACTTCGACTTTAGTCGCTGGCCAATTTCAAGCTCGGGGTTTTCGTTGATCCAATCCCACGCGACTTCTAAACTGCGTACGAAGTCTGCAAAGAGCGCGATAGGTCGTTCATTGAATAGAGTCAGATCTAGGAGTTTATCAAAGAACTCTAGATAGCCTTCTTCCCTCTGGACGAGCATCCTGGACAACATATGATCGATGCTGTGCAGGTCAAGGAAATCCGTCGGGAGCAGTGCCGTGATCAAAGATATGTTGAGGATATTCTGAGGCGACTGTTGGTAAAAGCTGATCTGCACCCGGTCGTGTAACGCGGTGCCGGAACTTGCAGCGATCTTTAGTAACTGCTCCAGGATGTGAACGAGGCTTTCCAAGAAAAGAGTATTCTCCACTCCGCTGAATAGCAACTGACAGATCTTCTCCGCGGCGTAGAAAGCGAACTCGTCCGAGTTTTGAGACGTGTTAATGATGAGCTGGGTGAACATATCAACGACTTCCAAAACAGGATGAGACCTAGGCAGATCGCTAAAGTGTTCCTCGTCTGTCGAGGTCGTGGTGCGCTTGAGTTCGGACAAATACCTCTCGACCTTATCGATTAATCCTCTACCATCCATATGATGGGCCGAAGGGCGACCGTTAGTCATTCCACCATGTACATGAGAATAGGGTAGTTGCGTATTGAGGTGTTGAAGAGACGAGGTTTCGGCGGGTGTAGCAAGGGTAGGTACAGAACTGTATTGATCTTGCAGGACCTCGTTGGCAATATTTCTGGTCGCATCCGAGGTCGATGCGCCGTGAGTCGGGCCGGGTTGGGCGGCACCTCGTGGTTGCCGGGCAAAATCTTCATAAATAGCCATCTGCTCCGCATTCAAGCCTGCCAGGTTGGGGGATAGCTTGTAGGGATGCGGTATCGTCATTGCCCATCTGCTAAGACCAGGATCGACGTACGGCTCATTAGGCCGTTGTAGACGGTGTCGACGTCTTGCCTCTATTTCACCCTCTATCATCTCTTCGATCTCCGGAACCGCTCGTTCCTCGGCTTGCTTTTCGATTACATTACACGCAAGCTCCAGGTTCGAGTTCACGCACATTATTATCGTGCCTTCAGGAAGCGAGTGAGGTAGTTCACCTGCAGCGTTTCGCATATAATTAGTGATGTTAGCTCTAAGAGGTTCTTTCGACGTAACCTGCGCGAGACTTCCGGCAGTGGCCTTAACCATGTTGATCGCGGATGTTCGGAGCTTGTTCTCATCAGGCTCAGTTGCGAAATCTTTGTGAATCATCTGTTGAGTACTGATCGCAGCGATAGTGACGGATCGATCCACAACCGGTTGGATTATATCCTGCAGTGCCTTTGTTACCGAGGTGCGGACAATTTCATGAAGACGGACACTGTTGATAACCATCTCATTCGTTGGTGGAATTTGCAAGAGGCCACTAATATCTGGAACGGTGGGTGGTGGCATGGGGTGCGGCGTAATGCCGGCTGGGACAGCACCCGCCATGCCGTTCAACGACATGTTCTCAAAGTGCTCCAGAGGGTCTTGTGCACCTATATCGATAACTTCCTCGACCGGCACACGATCCTGGAGTTCAGTAGACGGCTCGATGCTCTTGTGATCCAAATTAAGATCTTTGCAGAGTACTTCGATCTCGAACTTTTGGTTTAGCTTTAGTTCGGCGTGATGGTAAAGTTCAATAAGGAGATGAATAATGTCCATCAACCATGGGTTTGGAGGTCGGAAGATGGTCGATTTCGAAGCCTGTATTAAAACCTTGCAGACGAATGGTACTACGACAACTAGCCTTTTGGTGTCATGCGCCTCGATGAGTAGTTGTTTGAAAGCGATGTTTTTATGTTTAATCGGCTGGTCCCTAGCTATAGTTAAGAGCCCTAGCCAGGCCCCTAAATACTTGAGGTGGGTTCTATCGGTAGAATTCTGCAACGTGCTCTCTGAGTTTAGCATCCGAGCAACACTGATATAGGTTTGCCTGAGCACTTCAGACCACAGACCCGTATCTTGGAAGAGTTTCACTAAGTCAAGGTATACTTGGTGATAATTGGGTTGCATCTTTGCCCGTTCTTCAACGAGATGGCTGGCAAACCATTGCTGATGTTGATGTTCCAGAATTTCATGGATCTCCCTGAATGTTGTTTGAAGCGAGGAACTGGTCAGGTTGTTGAGACCGAACTGAATTCTGTCTTGCACATCGACAACAGGATCTTCAAAGGCGGCTCCTGGAGGAGGAGGGTCTATGTTAACTGCTGCAAAGGGAGCCGCGTGGAGCTCTAAACCATCAACGGCACCATTTGTTAGAGTTTCGTTCCCAGTGTGACTAGGAGTGCCGGTGCCGTTTTGCGCACGCGCCCGGTCCTCTTCGTCCTCTCGCACAACCTCTTCAGCCTTCCGATAAGCTTCGGTGCCACGCAAGCCAGGAATCTGTAAAAGTTGCTTACAGAGTCCTGGCCACTCCCTGAAACGGGGGAAAATCTGAATCAGAGCTTGGAGGCCGAACTTATACATCGAGCTATCGATAGTGTGATCCCGGACAGCCTCGAGAATCATGCCCAACCCAATTTTCAATGGTAACTCGGATATCAACTTGTGGGATATTATCCCACCAAATAAAACCGCAGTTGTGGCTAATGCTTCAAGGGGGTAGTCTATGAAGTGAGAGTATTCGTCGAAAAGACCGTGGATCATGCACGCGAAGATATCCTGATCTAACGGAAACCGCGAGTGCTTGTATTCCTCGAGCTTTTGGACGACATACTTGACCTCGGACTCCTCTCCATACATCTTCTTATAGTGCTCCTCCATCTTGGCAATTGCGGCTGGTGGGAGCCCGTTACCGTCCTTCCCATTTGCATCGATGATATCATCGTAGCCTTCACCGTAGTTGATAAGCCTAGGATAAGAAGTGATGCACGCGCGCTGAACGATAATCAGCTCTGGCAAGGGGTTTCGCGGTAAAAAGTCCTCCAGAATCTGGAGCATGGCGAGTACTGTTTTTACGTGAAGAGGAGTAGTCGTCTTGGGCACCGGCTGTCCTTCTCCGCCTCTTTGCGACTGCAATTCAAGATTCGCCTTAATCATCAAAAACTGGAGTAGAGACTGGGAGATGGCAGGACTTCGTTCAGCATTGTTATGGGCCCACTGAGCAAGATCGAGATGACCCTCGGCGTGTGCAAGAGCGGCAAGATCGTAACCGAACCCGTTCGGTAAGTAAACGAGTTCGTCTAGCCAGCCATGCTTGATGACGTGCTCAAATATGAGTGTTAGATCCATTGGCTTCATGGCATGCGCATCAACAAGTCTCTGCGTGACCCAATCCCTGTCCTTTCTCCAGAGGCTGTCTAGGACGAAGTCGTGATACTCGGACCTTCGATGTAGGAAATTATCAAACAAAGATGCCAGAGTTTCAACTGCCATCGGCGGCCACGGTTTCGGAACTCCAAAAGCAGATACTATAAAGATATCCAGGTTAGGAACTACCACCTCTTGAAATAGCCGTTTTGCTTCCGTGCTCTGCGACGCGTGTAGGGAGTGAAGTGCAACCTGAAAAATTGCTGATAATGCTAAAGCCGAAACCAGAGGATGTTTCACGGCAACGGCAGCTCGCTCACGGACTTCGGGGGGAGACTGTGCATACTCGTCGAGCGTAAACGTCGGTTGGAGGCCCGGAATAGTACTGGCATCAAGCTCGTCTGGGCTCAAAGATGCAAACGCACATATGAAGGACAGCTGAGTTTCCGGGTTTTCCCAGTGAGACCCACCCCATAAGCTCTGAATACTGAACGGCGGAGATTGGTTGTCTTGGGCTTGCGCGATGGGTAACAGAGCCTGATATAGACGTAAGAATTGTGCTGACGACACGCGCACGTCCCGCTGATCAAAGTATGCAACCACGTCATGCCAACGGAAAGTTTGTGGAAGTATGCGACGAAGAGCAGCGACAAGCACGGACGGGTTATGACGATAAGTAAGGCTGACGGTCGTGTACGTTAAGGCCGCAGAAACCTGCTCCTCGCTTAACTGTATATTACTCGGTCGACTCTGGAGGTAAGTTAAGCAGGTTTCCTCGTCGCGAGTGAAGTCGGTGCCGGTCTTCTGAATGTAAAGAGCAAGCGCGTTAGGGGGTTTATCGCCTAGCACTCTGATCAGGTCCAAAGCAGCCAAGACCTCCATGGGAGGTGCTTGATCCTGTTGCTGCTGTAACCAGCGGGCCTGTACCTTAGCACTCAGCTCGTGTTTAGCAGCTGAGTTAAAGTTAGGCGGGTGGCCTTGGATATATCGGTCGACTATATTAGCGATGAAGGAAGGGGTGAGGTCGGAGTGGTTGCCGTAATCTGTTCTCGAGATTATATTTACAAACGTAGGGAAATTTGTGGAGAGAATTGCATCGGCTTTAGCAGTGAACACGGTTAGCTTACTGGCACTAGTCTTTGACGAGCGCGCAGGGAATGACATACCCTTGGTTTTCAGATCCTGTCGGGAGCCGAACTTGAACGCCAAAGCTAAGATAGTCTTCTCCAAGGCATCGAGCTTGAAGTGCTCCATAAATGTAGATAGGTCAAAATCGCGGAAGATATCTTCGTTAGCTGACTCGATCGATTCAGCTATTCTGGACGCCTGGTCGAGATCGTGTGATATCTTGGCCATTTCGTTTACTAGGAGCGAGTAGTTGCCGGGGTTGGCAACAGGCCGGTTGATGCCAGGAAAGATCTGAGGGGCGTTTCCGGCTACTAGCCGGGTGAAGTACTTGGAAAAAACCTCCATGCCGTGATCATCGAGGAGCTATAGAGAGAGAGAGAAAGTTGAGGTGATATTAGCGCAAAGTTCTAGGTTGGTAAGTTGGTAGGTTGATAGGTTGATAGGTTCCAAGTTAGGCTGATAGAGAGAAAAGAACAGCCAACATACCTTTTTCAGTTGATCCACTTGTAACTCCCACTTGGCGCGGTCCTTGTCCTCCTTGATTGTACTAAGAAGAAGGTAGACCTGGGCGACGACAATTTTTGTGAGAGAGTTGTTCCCCGCGGTCGGGCTGCTGGTACTGGGACTCGCGCCAGCACTCAGAGGACCGGTCTGTGACGGATGGGGAGAGTGTGTAAGTCCTGTCTGCAGGTTCTGAGCAGGAGCAGGTGAGAAAGTTCCGGATCGTGAGTGAGACGACGGTGGGGGGACCATGAGGGTGGTGATCTCGAGGTCGGAAGGGGAGAAGGAGGGAAGAAGCGAAGGTGATATGCAATTCCCCTAGAACCCCTCACAGAAACATGCACACAAAACGACGGGAGGAAGAAAAAAAAAGTATCACGAATCACGCAATGGCGCCTGTCAAAAGCGACAGATGTGGTCTTCGCGGGAAGTATGTGGAGGGCGAGGGTAAGCGCAAGTTCACCGATGCTCGGGGCATGGATGTCATGAGCTTAGGAGGAAGACGTGATGTTGGACTGTGCGAGGCAGACCGGGGGGGTCGTTGTCTAGTATCTGGTTGGTTTTGGTTGGTTTTGGTGGGCTGAAGATGAGAGAGAGGATGAGGATGAGGATAAAAAGGCTGGAAGCTCTAGTAATATGTACCTTAGAGGTAGGTAGTCAGAGTTGTAGAGTAGAAAGAATAAAGTGAGATATGATATGATGTTATAGCAAGGTATCATAAATCTTTGTCTGAGAAATGAAAAAGGAACCACTTTTGACGCGCTCCGAATATTTTTTTTAAGAGTAGTATAAGAGGGTACGTATCGTAGGTGGGCAAGTGGTTCGGGATTGTTGGTTTTTTGGGTGGACTTGGTGGACTGGTGGATAGACGACGATTGGGAAAGGTTAGGAAATCCATAAGTTGGTTTGGTAAAAAAAGGCAACAATTCAGCCCTCTGGGCCCTGCTTCTGGCGCAAAAAAAAACCAGCTTGGGCCTCTTTCTGGTCTTTCCCTTTTCCTGGGGCTGCAATTGAATGTACCTCCTTCTACTTTGATCCACTATATTCGAATTTGGCCAATAATAGTGAATGGAACACCGTTGGAGCTTCTTGAAAGCTTAAGAACGTTATGTAATGTCCGTGCCGGAAAGCCACTTGAGCCACAATCTACATTCAAATATACCTAGGTTAGGTACGTACATATGTACAATTGCACATGCTGTACAGTACATGCAGCCTGTACTGTGTATCTACCTGGTACAGTACCTATTTGAACCTTATCATAGCTGTACTTTTATAGATAAAGGCTGATAAGGCGGGTAAAGGGTAGCCTTGTAGGCAGCTTCGCGGGCATGTGCATTAGACATCCAGATAGCGATTTTAATAAGCTTTATTAGTTTGACTTTAGGTGGTAAGTATAAATCTTTCAACCAACATTAGATTCAACGCCGTTGTGCCACGCAGAGACTAAATTCCGTTTCGTTTACAAACGTCATCCAAGGCCTATTGAGCTATTATATATTAGGCCGGTACTTTGTTTAAAAAAACCCAAAATCAAAAAAAAAAAAAAAAAAAAAAAAAAAAAAAAACAAGGCCTTCTCCATCGGAGTTTTTCTAGTCACGAACCTCTTCACAATCTAATTTACTCCGTGTTGTAGAATATATGAACCCCTTTACGATAAGTGTTCTGGTTCAACTATGCTAATATACAGGGATGATGGAATATAAAATAAAATATAATAGCTTTACAAGTATAAGCTCATACCAAATATCAATGAAACGGATCAAAAAAGACATCCGTCTAAATAAACTCAATTATTCGGAGTTCCCATCTTTCTATCAATATTCGGCATATCATCCGCCACTATTATCACCACCACCACCTCCTCCGTCACCCCGTCCGTCAATCTCTACCCCCTTTTAACCTCCCGTCCCCCTCCCTCTCGTCACCTCACCTCGCCTGACCTTCCTACACTACACCCCCCTCCACCGACCCCCCAACTCTACACAACGGCCCATTCTGCGTAGGCATCCCCTCCCCCTCCTCCGCACGCACCTCCCACCCCTCGCTCCCCACCGTCGCCGCCGCGTAGAACACCCCCCACGGGTCCCGCTGACGCTTTATCCCCAGCAGTCGCCCGTAGTGGCTGCCGAAGAACGCCTGCTGCCACCCCGGCTCCTCCACGTCGCACTCGTTCACGTACGCCCCCGCCCCCGGCGACGCCTCCCGCCACTCGTCCATCGCGCGAGCCAGCCTCTCGTGCGCCGCCTTGAACACCGGCGGGGGCAGCAACGACGACCCGCCCCGCACCGTGGTAGACGTAGCAAAGTCGAACAGGTCCGCGTGCATGATCGCCTTGCGGAATGCCGGGTTCACCGCGCTCTCCCAGTCCCCATCCCTGTCCCTGCCCCCGTCACGACCACTAGGATATCCCGCGACTTCTTCCGTCGGCGCCATGTGGATCCCGTGGAACGTGTACCCGCCGTCCTCCACCGAGCGGCGGATCGCGCGCTGCGTCGCCGCGAACAGCGCCGGGTCCTCGAAGTTGGCCCGCGGCCAGAGCCGGCTGGCGAAGCGCGAGCTCCCGGGGACGTCGCCCGCGCCGCCGCCGAGGGAGGCCCAGTTCGCGGCGGGGCGCGGCGCGGGGTTGGGTACGTCGAGCCCGATCGCGTTCAGGTCGTTTACGAGCGGCTGCACGAAGTCGAACAGGTACTTGTCCGACACGTTGGGGAGTTCGATGTCTGCCGTGAAGGTGAAGCTGATGTTGTCGGAACGGCGTGACAAGTAACTATCTAGGTTAGGTAAGTTTAGAGTCCTACGTGTTAGTATTACGGATAAAAGCGTGAGGGTTTGCTCCGCCCAGTATATAATTCTGAACAATAGGTAGGCGTAAATAAGGATGTCATCACATACTGTGGATTTGTTAGCACTGATGTATACCTACCCACTATATATTTACCAGGCGGTGCTTTCTCTCACACATACCATGCTGTGCCGCTATTATCAACGATCTTCTTCCCAAACTCATGATATAGGTCGAAGCCCTTCCAGAAATTCGTAGTGTTGATAGGACCGGAGACCTTAGACTCGTCTGTAGAGAAAGCTATAGAGGAGGCTAGGACTTTGGTTGGCGGATGGACTTTTATTATGACTGAGGTTACGACGCCATAAGTGCCTGTTTGCGTTTGTGATTAGCAAAGGATATGCCTGTGTTCGAACTAGATAATAAGTGAAGAAAGACATAAGCAGGACATATGGCTTACTCCCGCCGCCACCTCGCAGCGCATAGAATAGATCGGTATTCTGATACGGATCAGCGGTAATAAATCTGCCATCAGCCGTCACAACTTGGATAGATAGAGCTTGATCCGCGCCGAGCCCGTACTTGGAAGCCAAAGCAGAGTGTCCGCCACCCGCCATCCAGCCACCGTATGCTCCGACGGTATAACCTCCCGCAACCACCGCCGTCATGTTGTAGCGGGTCATGTATGCGAACATCTCCCAGCTCTCGATCCCGGCGCCGACTCTAGCCGCTCTGCCTCTGTACGCTCCGATTCGATAACGGGGCAGGAACTCGAAGTCTTTCAGCCAGTGGGTCCAGATGCTGAGGCTCCCGAAACCGACCGATCGCCCGACGAAATCATGTCCGGTATTTCTATAAGGCAGAGATAAAGACGTGGAATTAGTCTGGTAGCGCTCTCGTGTCATGGCAATATTCCGGCTAGCATTTTGTCTTCAGAGAGGAAGCTTACTTGATGACTAGACGGAGATTCCTGTTCCTAGCGAAATTCACCGCGATTTGGATCTGCCTCACCGTCGTGACATTAACGACATAGGCAGGGAACGCACCCTGCGTACAGTTCCCACCAGTTTGCTGTCCAGACGGAGTGTGGCAAGTGCTTCCCTCGGGCCACTCTGTTAATACCGTGACTGGATCGTTAAGATAGAAGCGAGTAGAGGTCGCGTCCCGCATAAGAAAGGTACACGCAGCTGCGTCCTTGTAAGGTCCGTCGTAACATACCGCCGCTGGAGGAATCCCCTTAATCAAGGCACCTCCTAGCGAGCGGTTCAGTCGCGACCATTCTTCGTCAAGAGGCCAGCCCGGAGACCCCGGATATTCTCTACAGTCGGGTCTGTCGTTGGCATTCAGAGATCCTGCAGTAGATGTATTACCAAAGGCTATGGCCGAGAAGTCACCAATATCGTCTTCAGTAAGCTGTTCGGCTTCAGAAGCGAAGTTGGCACTTATAAGGTTTGCAAGGAGAGCGAATAGTATGGGAATAATTGAGAACCGCATCTTTGTCAGCAGGTAACGGCGATATGTCTTTAGCACGATCTACTTGTGAGAAAAGAAGAATCAGAATCATGGCCTTTCCATGGTACTTATTTATCATGCTCTATTCCTTGTTGGAGTAATCCTTCATTCTATTATAACTTGTAAAGGAGCTTGTGAGCAATATTTACATTAGGTACCTTGGGTACTCATTAGAATATCATACCCTCTCCTCCAGATATGTGACGTCCCCGCTATACTGCACACCAGCTTTTTTTTTTTTTTTTTTTAAAAAAAAAAAAAAAAAAAGTTCTGAACGACTAACAACGGACTGAGCCGCCCTCGGAGTTAGTAAGACGGCTGGACAAGTACAATCAGAGCACTTCATGATGCTGTGGAACGTTCCAGCCTATAGATATAAAAGTCGAAAAAGGACTAACCAAGGAGGCCCGTATGCATATAAACCACCTAGAAACTTTCGTGGGGTGGATAATATTGGAGATGCTTGACGTCTGATAGGGATGGTAGGTCTCAAGTAAGCAGCCTCGATTCCAAGTAACACGGCGCCATGAATATCGCAAATTCAATATTCCCAGTATATAATCATTGGTCATCATAGCGTCGTCTCCAGACTTCGTAATGACGCGGCGTGAAGATTCGTTCGAGCTCCTAAGAATCGATAGTTACCTAAGGTTGGGGTTGGAAAAACCTGATGCTGGGCGTGTTCTAGAATCTACATGCAGTGATTCATCTTGGCATATATATCATGTGAGCCTCCTCTCGAAGATTTTCGAGTGCTCTAATAGGTCTCGTTAGGATTCCGTATTAAAGTAGATTATTGGACTCGTAGTTTATATGTGGTCGAGGGTCGCATCCAAATGAAATACACGTGCTGCGGATGCTACGTTTACACATCTACCTAGCTCTTATGTAGATACCTTAGGTAGGCAAGCTATTGGCACTTATATTTCTAATACTACACTAATCATCTTGGTCCTTCTTCCTAGGCCGACTATATGATACATTAGGTACCTTCCCTGTACGTAACTATATCTTTATGCCATGCTCGCCATGGTCATAGGCATAACATGGCTAACAAATGAGCGTGCTTGAGCAGACACACTCTTGGCCCAAGATACTTACTTGGTAACCAGAACTGAATTTCACGTGGCCTCCGCTGTTTTTAACTATATTAATGTAGTATTAGCTTAACCTTACAGATATTAACACCACATTTTAAAAAAGCGCGAAGATCGCTTGGCTGGTAGGTAAAGAGGTAGGTAAACTTAATTTGGCATAAAAGGTAACATTTAAGGTTCGCACGAATTTACCTCAAGTGAAATATGACATTTTCTTCTTTATGAAGGTACGTCTCGGAAGTTTATCTCTTGAAACCTTCGATGCTTGCCTCTTATCGAATGCGAGGCAAGCTGTTTGAAGAGGGGGGGGGGGGGGGCTGAATAATGAGATGCTACCAGGTACGGACGATACGCGTCTGCAAGGCGATATGTCGTATTCGCACGGAAAAGCTCGCCGAGAATCAGATTCTAAAGTGCAAACGCCTTTCCCGTCTTCACTGGCATCCTCAATGATGAGCTAAGTGTTAATATAACGAGAGTAGTCATAGGACAAGTACGATGATAGATGATGATGCTAAGGTTACTGTAAGATACAATAGTCTACCCCCAAATAAAATACAGGTAACTGTACCCCTATTCATATGCCATTTTAGTCCTGTTAAACGCTCGGTCAGTAAATAATATCCGGGTAACGAAACGACGAGCCGCCTTACCAGTCATCAGCAGTCAGCGGGTGAAAACTCCCAATCATCTGTCGGCCAGGATTAAGCTTGATGAAAGTAACTTTCTTCGTCAGCTCTATCCTGCGATTGTTCTTCAATTTCCATTTGCACTTTCTATTCGTCGGGTCGGTAACTTCTCGGATCGTGCCAAACATGTACGGCGTTTCTGCCTGGTTAATAACAGTGTACCGGACGCTGCACCACGTTAGCATATTCGAGTAGATGACTTCAAGATGTACCTGGTAGTCATTCAACATACTTACTAGCCGTCAATTGCATTCCATATGGGAGTATATGGTTGGTATAACCGCTTAATGACTCTACTACCATGTTCGGGCCTGTACTATCGTCAAGTTTCCTGAGATTTCGGTTCTTTTTCCATGTAGGCCCGGGCTCCTTCTTGAGCACCTCCTCGGAAAATATTAATCTGGCAAGTCCGGTAAGGTTTCGATGAGCCATGTCGTATTCTTCTAGGTCTATATCCTTCAGTCTTTTTCGATCTAGCGCATCCCAATACACCTCGAAATTGTGCTGGCGGTATTTCCATAAGCGATTCTCGTAAGCTAGTAACATTTCAATTAGCAAGGGAAAAGGGTCAAGCACCTTGAGGCAAGGGTACTCTGTAGGATTAGGGATACATACACGGGCTCCGGCGAGTTAAGTCGATAGTGTTGGTGCGTGTAGCAATCGCTGCGACCCCCCGCGGGTTGGTATACACCTGTTTTCCATCAAATGCAACACATGAGCAATCCACATCAAAGCCTGTCAATATTTCACTAATCGATTTATAAAGTCTAAGGATGATCTGATTATCACTAGTCAGCTAACTGGCTCTGTTCGACTCCCCCTCCTATGAGAGTAGGGTAAAAAAGGAATATTGTTCTTGTTACCTGAACGTGACGAAATGGCCACTTCGGCGCAATGAACGTGATCGCATTCTCCGATCGAAGTGTTAGACCTTTATTGGGTGATAGCTTCTGATTCTTCCGAATTACGTTTTCGACCTCGATAATACGTCTGACAGCTGCGTCTTCATCGTCAATGCCATAAAAGAATATGTCGACGTCGCTCGTGCTCGCAGTTATTCTAGTGAGATGAATCAGTTTCTTATATCTTGGGTATATATATAGGTACCTAAGGTACCGATGAATACCATCATGGAGAGGGTGATTAAATACTGATAGTAGGTTTCAGCCGGCTTTTCTACTGCGTGGTTACCCTTTATATCTACGTCTTTGCGACGAGATAACAGGGGGAGGAGCGCAGAGGATCCAGCTACGACAATATTGGACCAATCTGTATTTATACTATATTAGATTTGAATGCCTAACATAGACGGCGGGCTGCTGAATCCCAGCTTGCTCACCTAAACCAGCCAATATACCTGTTATATGTGCAGTATGCCATTAGTTATCAATCGTCTGCGCCGTGATGGAGGAGATAGTAGGCAGTTTAACTAACCCCGGGTGAACCCATCAAAGTTGCATTGATATTTCTCTAACGATGTAACGATCGCAAGGCTTCTATCCTCTTCTCGCTGGTGGTCTTGCAGTGGCATCAGGTACCGGCTTTTATCGGCTGACTCGTAATCTATTGCGCGAATCTTGAGCAAGTTTTCTTGTCCGTTAAAGATTGGAACGAGGTTGGCATGGCAATCGATTTCTGGGTTTGGATTGGTAAATTCATGGCGCAGCCACTTTTCGTAACCTATATATGGCTGTAGGAGAACGCGCGTTGGATCTCCTTGATACCGATCAAGGTACGAAATGAACTGCGAAGGTGGTTCCGGAAGCAAGGCATAATCAACAAAGTCATCTGACGCTGCAACTTCCGTCGTTTCTGTGCTCTGTGTACTTTGGACACTCTGAGCACTTGGGCAACTTGTTGCGCCTAAGGAAGACTGCGTGTCATTGAACCTTTGAGAGAGCTTATATCTCAACGATTTTGCGAATCTCCGGAGGCGACCCATGGTCTCTGATACTTTTAACCTAGACAGTCATGTGGCTGTGGTCGTAGTTTCAAAATGATGTCTGCCTAGTAGGTACTTCACTCCAGAAACTTTGAACTATAATGTTGATATAGTCGTCGGATATGTGCTGAGCTTGAGGTTCTGTATTCGGGTTTCTGTGTCTATCCCTTTGGTACTTAAGGTACCTATCTAAGGTAAGTAGGAAAATGGCTGTCGTGGGGCTCTAAGCAATTTACGTAGACCTACATGTGGTCGATCTTGATTAGCTGCCATCATGGTGGGCAAGGTAGGCTGGCGTACGAAACGAGGTTTGGTTAATTTTTTGCTCAACTGAACCCATAATTCGCTGTCTTGATGGGTGTGTTTAGGTGCCTAACGACCCTTGAACTTAAGGCATATGAAGAGCAGAAATGACAAATTTCCTGATGGTTGTGTGACATCGACACGTAGGCACCTTATTGGGGATAAGGTGCCTTGTTGCTGATACTGGAGGAAGGAACAGTGTACCTACTATTACTGTATAAAAGGAAATTATACTGCTAATTAGCCTCAAATAGATTCTTCCTTCTTCAGACATTATTAATACACCAGTCTCACCCCCATTGTTATTTGATTTACTCGTTATTTGCTTTACCTTACGTACGTACCTACCAACATTTCCAGTAGTATTTCTTGTTATGTTACAATAAAATCCTCTTTTCGCCTGCGAACAAATGATCAGTGGTTCTGTTATGAATTGCTTAGATTGAATGTCATTATGAGTGGTTCTTCTGAAGAATATCCGCGCGAAGCGCATTCCAGATGCCGTCTATGTAGTACCTGCAAGAGACTAGATTTCGAAGTCCTGCTTTCCGATGAGATCAGCCAACATGGTATTGGGAAGATTTCGGAGTACAATGACCCAGATTGTCCATTCTGTGGCCTCATATCCGAGGCGGTTGATCGTGCCTGGGGAACATCTGACAGGAAGTTAGCAGAAGGATGCGAGCTCTTCATCCAAAGCAGGAGCCCTTTATCCATTCAGGAAAATGGCAGCACTTATCATCCCCAGCCAAGGTTATTACTGGCCACTGACCAGGAACCTCCAAAGTTCCACCACAACCAAATGCCGTTAAGACGAGTTGATAGGGAAAAGAGGGGATATATCATCGCAGAGATCGAATCTATCCCCGATGCAAAGTCAGTACTGAATTACCTTCCGCGTCGAGAGATAGGAAAGGAAATTGATATCACGCTTGTGAATGACTGGCTCGAAGAATGTCAGGGGCACCAACATTCCAGGCTATCCAAAGAACAAGACCTTGGCAATGACCTCTTTCAACCTCATGCGCCATTTCGACTTATTGACGTGGATAGGAATTGCATAGTAGAGAAAGATGAAAGATGCGACTATGTTGCTTTATCATACGTTTGGGGCACGACTCCGACCATCAGCGATTCTCCCGACAAGTACCAGAGTTTGGCCCCAATCCTCCTGGCACTTAGAAGCAACATAGAATATATGAAAGCTAACAATATACTATCCGAGTTGAAGACCGAAGCACAACTAAAGGCTCGGGTTCCGCAGACAGTCAGAGATGCTATGGAATTCACACGACGAATCGGGAAGAGATACCTGTGGGTTGATACCTTATGCATCATCCAGGATGATCGTAAGGGTAGAGGCCAACTTATCGCACGAATGGCCGATATATATAACTCCGCGGCCATAACAATAATAGCTGCAGTGGGTTGTAACGCGGACGCTGGCCTAAGCGGCATCAGTCCTCGGACAGGCAACCCTATCAAACCGGTTAGAATGACGACTTCTGGCGGAACGGTATTTCATCTCTCGGTTTGCCTATCATCACTTTGCGAGGAGGTTCGAAGGGAAACCTGGAATACGCGCGGGTGGACATTCCAGGAGCAGTCACTTTCGCAGCGCTGCTTGTACTTCACCAGAAACGAAGTCTTTTTCAACTGTGGAGAATGCCAGCGGAGAGAGGGCTACGACTATGCAATGGAAAGGAGAGTGAAGAGAGAGATTGAAATTGATATTAGGACAGGACCTCCGTGGTGGAAAAGAAATATTCGACGTGATCTCGATCCAACACCGTATCATTATTTAGGAGGTATGAGCGGCAGGGAGCTAGATGCTCAAACCTACCAGACAGCCGTGCAAGAATATAGCCGGAGGAATCTGACGCACTCCCACGATATATTCAACGCTTTTGAAGGAATTTTCAACAGGTCGGAGATTACCAGAAATACCTCTTCGGAAAAGTTGAGCATCCGTCAGGCACAGGCTATCCCTTCTCACCTGCTCTACCGGGCGCTACTTTGGTTTCCATTACCTAAAGCAAAGAGGCGAGACCCATGCATAACGACAGGACCAATGCAAGGGTCGACCGAAAAGCTCTCGTCGTGGTCGTGGTATGTGATATTCATTCAGTATCCGCTGTGATGGCTGGATAGGAGAGCGTTAAATTCGGGACGAAGTTTGAAAATATATTTCGCTAATACGAGAGGATATATAGGGTTTCGTGGGATGACCCCGTCGAGTTCGTCTTCGCAGATAATCTCTGGCTACCTAGAAAAATATCACAGGCTCCTGTCAAGCGGGTGCCTTTGCATGTTCCAATTGTACGTTGGTATTATGGGGGCTCAAAAGGTAAGCATTGGACCACCGATATTTGGAAAACCGTTTGCGAAGCTCAAGACTGCGACTCGACTAGCGAGCATGCTTCTGGGGAAATTGATCGTACCAGAGACTACCTCCACTCCCGTGTTGGTATAGATGTCAAGACATTGATAGACGGGTCATCAGGAAAAAGAATAAAGTTATTTTATAGGCTGGGTTGTGGCGAGCTCGGATTTTTCGCGCCATATGTAAAGGCTCGACAGTTTCATATGACGATCGACTCAGGCAGCCAAGTTGGAAAATTAGATGTATCCGGTCATCTAGGAGAGTTCAGATTCGACGAAGGAGACAAGAGGGACGGGATAGTAGACGAGCTTGTACCCATAGTTGCTGCTAATGTTACTAGAAGCACGGATGCGCAATCCATCTTCTTGGGTTTAACCACCCGCATGGGCGTTTCGAAGAGGGTAGGAATTGGGTACGTGTACTATACCAACAAAGACTTACCTAAACCACAGTGGAGGTACAAGTTCTTTAAAATAAAGTAATTGGTAAATGGGGGGAGCCTATGACTTTCCATTAGTTGAAGAAATGAGCAATGTAATTGGAGGTACTGACTTACATTATGTGATTGAGATTTAAACTGAAGTAGGTCCGAGTAGCTTTTCTGTTTCCGCAGCTGGTCAAGTTACCTATAGTTAAGTTTTATCCGTTCATTCATCGATATTGTTCCATTTGCCTTGCTTTTCAATTGAGAAAGCAACATTTATTCCATAAACCCGTCTTCATCCGTATATGAGCCATCGAACCTAAAGCACTTTCATTAGTACCCCTTTAGAAACAGGTGCTTGTGGGGGCCATGGGTCGTATTAGGTAGTAACAGCTTAACTTACCCCTGTTCACCAACAATCACCTTGGTATATTTCTCAAGCTCCTCTAGCTGCTCGACACAATCGGTCAAGCTCTCGTTATACGAATAGCTGTATATCTGGGCCCATTTTCTCCCTTCCGACTTTTTGTCAGCGCTGAGATTTCCGCTCGCCACAAGTTCGGCCTCTAGAACAGCCATCCGGTCTAAAAGCTGTTTGCGTGCGGCTGCAGCGCTTGGTAAGTATTTCTAGCACGGTTAGTCTCGAAAACTGTTATAAATAGCCAATTTTGTGTTTCCTCTGAACGTACGGGTACTTTTCTCTCTGCCCAAAGGGCACCTGAAAGAACATATAGATTCGTCAATATGGTAGCAATTGCGTCTCTCCTGTGACCCAACAAGTCTACCGCGAACTTAGTGTTGTCCCTGATGAAGTGGGGATGGTAAAATAGAGATGCCTGGCGCGCCGTGACTATACACTCGAAAAAGCGCTCGCAGGCATCAATGAGCGCTGAATATGGTAAAGGATTGAAGGGGGCTCGTAGACGTATCTCGTGACGCGTGAGGCCCTAGTTTCTATTAATATGTTGGCTCTGAAAGATGATATGAAGGATCATTGACTTACTAGCAGTTGCCTTAGCCTTACAAACCCTTCGCGCAAGCGTCCTTCCAGTATCTCGGAGGCTCGTATATCATCCTCTGTGGGTTCATTTCCTTCTTCATAATAGACGTATTTCGATACGATACCTAGGGACTTGTCAAATGGTATGTAGGGAATGTAGCATGATATGACTTACTTCTGTAAATAATACTACAATAGAACATCATTGTAGCCGTGGCTTTTCTAAGATTGTCTCGAGCAACAAACGGCCATAAAACCCAATTAACAATAACAGAAACCACAACGCCAATTATCATAGCAACTCCGCGTGTAGCGGCCAGTGTAGCTGGGGAAAGGCTACCCCCAGCTGCAACTTCTTCTAGCGACACGACTGTGAACGAAACGCATCCCACAAGTCCCGATTTCTATAGCACATTAGAGAAGCCCTTAAAATTACATGTCATGAATAATATTACTTACCGGGTGCGTGCTTTGTGTATATCTGTACATCATGGGGAGCATAAAGATTGCAGCAAACACAGTCATAACGTATGGGTTACCATCGCCAGCAGCATACGATAGGCCTGCCCAGAGGGAACCGAGGACGGCGCAGAGTACTCGCGTTACCAAATCCTTGATGTTACCGCCAGTACTAGAGGAATCGCCATCAGCTCCACGAGTTGAGTTATTGAAGAGAGGTACCATTACTCACCGAGTTCCCATAATGAGCCAAGCCATCACAACTCCCCACCAGACTTCATAGCTATCCCACCACCCATGAGCCCCATTAATCCAAGCAGGTATGGACAATAACGAAGTTACCGCTGCAGTCTTGAGCCCAAAACGCGTCTCAAATCCCTGTAATCGATGAAGAATCTTCCAAATTTCATGTCGCACACGGTGACTTTTTGGGCTCCCTTCGTCCTCAGGTTCATCAGCTGTCATTGTAGCATGCGAAGAAGTGTCTTTTTCTTTACTCGTGATATCATCACCTTCCCTCGGTAAGGGTTGAAAGTCACTTGATTTTATCTTTTGCATGGTTTCCGCTATTTCGCTGAAGCTCCTAAAATATGAACCCGCTGTGAGGCCGCCTCGGTCATGTCGGACTTGTGCATTCGTGCGGTGTAATGCCTTCCAGAAAGGATAGGATGGGGGATGAAGCCTTGGATATTTAGGTCTCCTCTGCTGCATCGCATTAACTTGTACTAGCAATTCTTCAATAGCCGTTGCTGCTTGGTGAACAAGCCGACAATATGTAAAGAGCCTGACAACCTCTGGATATTTTGCATATGTAGAAGGCAGGCTATCGCTAGCCAACACGCTGTCTTGGCACTCACTGAAGGCTATGATACGCCTACGCAGCTTTATTAGTGATCCGGGAACATCATTCGACACACTCTTCGGAGGGCCGAGGAATTTTCGATGGCCACACATCTCCATCAAAACTGCATCGCAGCTTTGTAAAGCGGTCTCCATAGCCAGGAGGAGTCTCTCTGTCGGTTCGGCTAAGTTACTAGCAACAAATTTGGCGAACTTATTTTGTTCCTCGCTTCCTGCGTCGTGAGTTTCTTCTCCCATATTTAAGACGAATTCCTCGAAAATAGGCCGATCGCGGCCTATTCTATATGGAGAGTGATCATCTAGCTTGTCAAGGATTCCAGTTTCGCTATTCAAGCTAAGCAGTGCACGAATGACACCTTGGATCAGATTGCGGAGCTCCAATACGTCTTTCGGATCAAAACGTGTGATAGAAAAGTCGATCACAAGATCCCTATACGCTTGTGAAATGCTTACAAATGTCTGTGTTAGTCTTCGGCGTGTCCTGGTGCTGTCTAGTCGAGTTAACCCAAGACCATCCTTTGAAAGAGTTAGTTGCCAATATCGTAGGTATCATAGAACGGGCGAGGAGAATTACCAGCATGACAGCAAAAGCTTGATGAAGAGCAACGGCCAGCGGACGTGCACCGGCATCTGGCATCACCGTGCAACATATAACAAGAGCGATAGCCTGTCCCAGCACCCAAGGAACACCATAGGCGAGGAGCTTAGACCACGAGACCTTGCTGCCCGATACCTCTGCCAGACATGTATAACAGATGGATATCCCAGCACATATAATGGCCTGATATAGGCGAATATAGTATGAACGAAGACATGCGATAGAGAAAATATATATAAAAAAGAAGACAGCTAGAACGCCGCCATATCCAATGCGTGCCGCTGCCGTAGCGGTAGATACCCATAAACCAAACGCTCCCCATCCTAAGCCTGTTGCCGTACCTATTATTGTTTGAAGAGTCCCGTCGACTTGAGCTCCTAAGGTTCTCCCAGGATGGTTGACTATAGCGGATATAACCGTGATATAACAATAACGGCCTAGCCTATCTCGAACACTGGGGATTACGCATAGGATATATGCTATGAAGACAGCAAGAAAGGACTTAAGCAGTTTAATACCAGCCCTCGTAGTGGTGACTCGACGAACGACTCCTTTTAGTTCATGCCACTGGTTGGGGAAGAAGTCCCGCGCAGATAGGGGGTCTCTTTTTCGGAAGGCATATGGGAGAGTTGACTCAGCCTGCTTCATAAGAGCTTGATAATCAATCTTCTCAGGAGGAAGGAAGATGGCATCGAAAAATCCATCACGCAGTTCAGTAACTCCATAAGAATTATTTGCATAATGTTCATCCTGTACGGTCATAGGCCTCTGGAGGACCTGATGGTGAGGGGCCTGATGATGAGGGACCTGAGTAGAATCGGTACGAGTATCAAATATCCTAGCTAGAGAGTTCGTCGAAGCATCGCGGACATGGCGTTCTGGGTGTTCTGGACGTCCTGGGCGCCCTGTGCTAGGGCTATGGCGACGTAAAAGACGAGAGATGCCAGCATCGCCGTGTACATGCTTTGGGTGCTTCTCTTGGGAAGAGATGTTATTTCCCGGGTTCGCCCCGTCAGGCGCCATCGTACAGTACCTAAATAATTGATATGCTAGACTACCTAGACTCTAGAATCTGGAATGAGGATGCTAGATTCTTGATGTCTGCCGAATTATCTTAGGCCACGAGGGATTGATTGTAACCAATATGGTGTTGCACTATAATAGTTGTTGTTCTTGAGAAGTTTACATTCGCTGAAATCCAGATACAGGTAGATAGGCTTTCACAATTCATTTCAGGTATTTATCTACTATTTATCATTCACTAAGCACCTTACCTAGGCGAAAGTTAAAGTTCGCTCTTCTACGAATCGTGCCTTGTTGCTGTTTCCTAACTTGAGAGCAACAAGGTAGTATTTCGACGTCACGACCGGAAAGCGACCCACATAAGCATCACATGTACACACCTTAGGTAAAAATTGAATGCACTAGAATGCACAATGCCTTGAATGACTAGCATACCTAATTGTTATGCACATATCGTATTGTAGAGAGGTACAAGCCAATCAAGAAAATTTGTCGAGTTACATAATTGAGGTACCTAAGTACCGATAACGATAGTTGCCTAACGCCTCCTGCATCAGAGACGAGGAGAAAAAAAAAGAAAAAAAAAAAACAATAAATTTTACCCCGCCAGAATGTGAGCCAGCCCAGTGCCAGCAGCGTGAATGTCCAAACAACTTTTAGCTCACATAAAAAAAGTAAGTGGAGACCATTCTTCTAAAATGCCCCTCCAACCTCCAGCCTCCAGACCTGAATGGCCTCACTTCTTTTTCTATATCTCATAACCATCGCTTTATCAACAATAACTTTCTTTCCTTTCTTTCCCAAGAAGAACACCATCTGAAATCAAAATATCACCAAAATAACCAGCCATATTTCGTATAGAATACTCGATCAATCTTTCGTCACCTTTTTATTAGGTCCATTAGTTATTACCCCCTCCCAAGATGGCTCAAAGTAGGTGACACCCTCTGCGAAGCGTCTCGTGCTGCCCAACAAACCCGGGCTATTGAGACCAAGTATGAAACATAACAAGCTTATTTATTTATTAACCGGTTGAACAGATCCGGAAGAAATTGCGAGTATGTGCCTCGTCGAACAACTCTTGCGACACGCAAGACGTTACCGCCAACTAAGCTAACATCCGCTTCTTCTTTTTGTTCTTCTTCTACAGCTATGTTCGTTCAATACTACTATAACCAGTTCGACCAAGACCGAGCCGGATTAGCAAGCCTCTACGTATGCGCATTTCGAGAATTTTCTTTGGTTGATGCGAAATAAACTAACAATGAATACAGCGTGATGCCTCCATGCTGACTTTCGAGTCTGCCTCCTTCAAGGGCACCCCCTCCATCATCGAGAAGCTCCAGGTAACTTAATCGGTACCATCACATTGTTATAGCACCAAACTTACTCCCATTTTTCAGGGCCTTCCTTTCCAGCAAATCAAGCACCAAGTCTCCACTATTGACCTCCAGCCTGGTATCGCTCCCGGTCACATTCTGGTCCTCGTTACCGGCCAGCTTCTGGTTCGTTTACGCACAGTTCCCTATAATACGTTTGAGCCAAACGCTAAACTTATATCTTTATAGGTTGACGAGGAGCAGCGACCCATGAGCTACACTCAATCCTTCTACCTAGTTCCTGAGAACTCCCAGTACTACGTCCACAACGACATCTTCAAGCTCGTCTACGGTTAGATATGGAGCAGAGCTAGGCGGATTCAACGGCCCCCAGGGCCGGAAAAACGACGAGTGTGCGATTTAACAAGCTATAAACGCCTGTGGGGGATGTCGGAGATGGTCATTTTCCATAGACTAGGTACCTCTTAGTTGCAGACTTGCCTTTAAGGTCTTTTTCTGTTTACCGTCATTCGCCCATTTTCGGATCGGTTGCGAAAAGGTTAATTTAACGATTGCTTCATATCAGGTACCTACCTCCTATGTAGATTCAAGTATTGCCTGACCCATTAAGTCACACTGCGCATCCTACTTGTGAACAGTTGCAATTCTTTACTCAAGCCTACCTAGGTACCTACCAGATAGTTTCCCAAAACCAAGCAACATCCCCGTACCTCGTTTATGTGCTACCAATATCACCTATGAAGATTTGGTTATCTGTCTCTCTACCTAATGCACTTTAAGAATAGAGTCTATGCTGGCAACAGGCCATCCGCGTTACCGTCTTCCTTAGCCGCGGAATTACAAGCTTACTTGGGTACCTAATCCTGGAATACTAGTTCGCTCACGGTATACCTAGAAGAGACACTCCCCGGGAGATCGTGACCCAAGGTCCCTCGACCCAGCCATGCCATCCTTCCCCCTCCCCCCTTTTACCCCAGCTTTTTACCCCACAGTCCCTCCGCATTCCTCCAAGTCCCCGAGGAACAACAAGAATAAAAACACGGGGGATTCTTATAACTTAGGTAGTAGCAAGAGATCTTCATCTTTTTTATATAGGTACCTAATATATATAGATGTTCCTTTCTCGGTGGCTAACCCTTAGGCACGCTGGTTCTTTACACAATGGAGGAGAAAGAAGCTTCGGTCTCGCTCCACGAGAAGTGCGATTATAACGATAACGATAATGAAAATGAAAATGTTGACCCCGTCCTATTGTCTTCGTCTTCTCCCCCGGAGGGCGGCGTCGCTTACGACTCGAAATTCGAGAAGCGAGTCCTCCGCAAGATCGACATCCGACTCGTACCCATCCTCGGCGCGCTGTACACCATCGCCATGGTAGACCGGAGCAACATCTCGGTGGCGCGGATATCGGGGTTGGACGAGGACGTGGGGCTGGACGTCGGCGACCGGGCGTCGGTCGCGCTGCTCGTCTTCTTCGTCGGCTACATGCTGTTCGAGCTGCCGAGCAACATGGTCATCCACCGCGTCGGCGCCGCCAACTGGCTCGCGCTCATCGTCTTCGCCTGGGGCCTCGTGTCGACGGGCATCGGGTTCCTCGACAGCTGGGTCGCGCTCGCCGTCCTCAGGTCCCTCCTCGGCGTCTTCGAGGCCGGCTTCTACCCCGGCTGCGTCTACCTCATCTCCTCCTGGTACAGGCGGTACGAGGTCCAGAAGCGGCTGGCGACCTTCTTCATGACGGGTTCTGCGCTGTCCGCCTTCGCGAATGTCTTCGCCCTCGGCTTGATACAGATCTCGAAGACGCACCCTGCTTACAAGGGCTGGAGGTGGATCTACATTATCGAGGGCGTCATTACCTGTGTCGCCGCGATCCTTGCCTGGTTTATCATCGTCGACTTCCCGGATTCGCACCGCAACAAGTTCCTCTCCGCAGAAGAGGCGGCTTTCGTAAAGGCCCGCCTTGCGGAAGATCGTGGGTCCGAAGAGCGTCAAAAGGTCACATGGGACATTTTCGTCGAGACAATAACCGACTGGAAAGTATGGTCGTTCTCGCTGATGTACTCGGCCGGTGCCGTAGGAGTTTACGCATTTCTCTTCTTCCTACCCCTTATCCTGCGCAACGGAATGGGATATTCGCAGGAGCTCGCATTCGTCCTGTCGGCTCCGCCAGCTCTGTTTTCCGTCGTAGAAGGCATGGCTGTCTCGTGGCTCGCCGACAAGATGCGTCTACGAGGACCGTTCGTTATCGTCCAGGGTTTTGTAGCAATCGTTGGGCTGTGCATGACAGGTTTCCTCAAGCAGCCTGTTCCGAGATATGTAGGAACATTCTTAGGCGAAGCTGGAGTAAATGGGCTCGTGGTAACTACACTTGCTTGGCAGGCGAACAATCTCCGCGGTGATGCCAAGCGCGCCTGTGCCACGGCTGTCTTGATTACTGTTAGTGGTCTCGGTGGCATCTACTCGTCCCTAGTCTTCCGCCAACAGGTTCGTCAAGAATCTTTGAATTTCCTAAGTGATATATGCTAACTTGAAGCTAGGACGCCCCTGATTATCTACCTGGCATAATAGCCGTGATGGCTATTTGCGTTGCTGCTGTGATTGCCGCTTGCATCTCCATAGTTCTCCTCAAGTGGGAAAACAAGCGTGTAGATGAAGGTAAAAAGATTATCGATGGCCATGTTGATTTTCGATATACAATTTAGAGAAAACGATTATAAATAAAACGCTGTTAGAATTCAAAAAAGCTACGCTACAGATAGGCACCTGAGGCAATTCGACTTTAAGGAGTATACGAGAGATAAATTCATCAGGCCATCACGGCCGCGGATGGGCTAGGCTTCCAATATCCATCCTGATATTATCAAGAATGAAAGCTGTAAAGAATATATGTGACTTAGGTACCTACCTAATGATATCCACCAGGTAATCAAGGGCAGCGGGTGATATACTGTCATGCTAGATGATATTACCTAGGTAGTTATCCGTCTCATAGGAAATCAAATTCCAACCTAGAATCTGATAGAAGGACCAGTTTAAAATAATATCCACACTTCTCTTTGGCATATTATATCATAGTGGGCCACCACATTTTGTTAATTCGAAGCTAGCATGATTCAACTCCACTCAGTCCATGATACCCTCATTCTGAAGACCGACACACAAAAGAATTTCACCCGAGCAGGGTTAGACGAGAAAGCAAAAAGCTTAGATTAAGCTGTTTCAAAGCTCCTAACTGGAATTGAACCAATGCTTTCGGAATCAGAATCCGACGTCCTAACCACTAGACTATAGGAGCTACCCGATGTGCGACGGATAGCTATCGTCTCCTTTGTTCTTTCTGTTGGAGAAGTGCGGTGCAATGCTGTTGCTTCTTCGGCGGTGGATGGATATTTAGCACATATTTCTTGTTGCTCAGGCCGTAGTGTGTTATAGTTTGGATAGCCTCAAACATCATCGTGACCAGAAATAGGGGTAATGAAGTTGAATATACTTGGTATCTCAATCCCGGGCCCACCACCGTATAAAGGTACCTTTCGGAAAGCTTCCTATATAGCATCTAGATAACATGTTTTTTTGATAATAGACAGAAATTTGTGGCCATGGAACGAACAACCCGACTATAACATACAAGTTCTTTGGCGCCAGAAGTGGCGAGATGATACGATAGTTGTCTAACGTAGTTAAACCCCCCACGTTAGAATAGAATGATTACTTGAGGTACACTATTCTTTGAGATTTCCAGGAAGTCGAAAGGTATAAAGGTGATCAAAGAAGATGAATCGTAGAGCTTAACGAGAAGCGGGAAACAAGTCTGGATCTCGCCTAAATTCAATATGAGGCAAATATTCTGTGACCCTTATACTTGATAGTGGAAGTATTTTATTATCACTACATGCTGATATACAACTGCAGTACTTATCAGCTCGACACAGTTTCGATGGACTTATGTAGAGAGAATAGAATACCATCTCCCAAGAAGCTTGAGATCCTACAAGAACAAAGTCATAATCTTTAGAAAGTGCTATTACTCGAAAGCTAGCTTAGCCATATACATTTTAGGTGACTTCATTTCGCACTCAGCTATACAGTTGATTTCATCTGGGTAATATCTTTACGAAGCACGTGGTGACCAAATATTCCACCTTAGTTAAGAGCCGTAACGCCGTTGGCTTCGTGATTTTTTCCAGTATTCTATTAGCTCAAATCAAAACCGGCCCCGGATTGGATGGCGTAGAGTAACTTGCTTCTTAGCGTCTCCTTTGAGCTATACCGCGGGAGTTTTAGAAGATTAACACAGGTACTCGTACTGGGTAATCTCTCCTCATCAGTGCCGCCATCTCTGATGCTAAAATGGGGGCTTAGCTGCGAGAAACCCAGCAACGGTGCTCTTGGTGTCGATGTGACATACTTGAGAACCTCGCGTCGCTGGGGATCCCGGAACTCGCGCATTACCTGCCAGAACATTTGTACGGTTGGATGTTCCATGCCATCGTCACCCACAGCATAGAGACCAGAATATTGAGTATTACGTCGAAGGTCCTCTACATCGATCTCGGAGCTGTCACCACCAACAAGTCTTTGTAGTTCTAATTGATTGAACATGGACAACCACGCAGGGTTGATGATAGACCCAAGGCCTTTGAGGAAGGCCCTGGTTTGTCGATAGGGTTGCGCTACGAGCCGGTGGTTTACAACGTAGGATATATAAAGAGGGCGGTTTCTGTTGGTAACAGGAATGTTCTCGCCATTCTTGCAGAGCGGACGCGTAATAGTGAGGGTGTTACCATTCGCTGTCGTAACTTGATCCGTGATGGTAAAGTCTAGTGCAAGGTCTACAACCTTACCGGAATAATTTTTGAGACTGATAAGTCCTTGATATAGCTCCGGGTCTAAGTCTCGTAAGTCGTTCAGGTTGGCACGGTAATCGTTTAGTGAACCTTGTCCTGATGCTGACCACTTAAGGAGAAAAAACCCAGCAAAAGCCTTGTCGATCAGAATGCCTTCATACATGCATTTGCCCACCACCCGACCAAGAAATTCATAACGTTTGGCGAGATCGATCATGGCTTCCCTCCACCTTGCATCATTTTCTGTATATCCATAATTACGAAGGAGTTCGGCATGATTGTCAAATTTGCTTGGGTTTGGGTATAGTAGATTCTGGCTATTGGTAACGAAGAGGCCACGACCGGAGCTGGGATTGAAGGCTTCGTCAGTGACGCTCATTAGGAACTCCTTCGTGACACCTCCACCGTCAATACCAGCTTCGGGCTGGTTAAACTGGTCAACAAATGTTATCTGGATGGGTTCCTTCAACCCATCACCGAGAGGGTAGAACTGCTCGTATGCGTCATCGAACACCTGCCCACGCTTGACCCTAGCGGAATGGCGGCCGAGGACGTCTCTGCCTCTAGCAGAAGCAGAAAGTCCATTAAACCCACCCTCTCCTGATATTACCGATAAACGCCACCGGTCAGGATCTACATGACCACCTCTGCGCTTTGACTTGTCAAGATATACGAATTGACGGAATATTTGAACTCTAACTTCGAAGGGGATGACAAACGGCATGTTTCGTAGAATTTCGAGCTTGGGTCCGACTTGAGCTAGGAGTTGCTCCCGCTGGACCCTGCGTAGTCGACGCCGTTTCTCAATTTGTGCTGCTCGTGAGAGGCGCTGTCCTGTAAACGTATGAAAGGTATCAAGTGCATCCTCGTCTGAGTCGTCCGAGTCGTCTCCATCTTCATTCATTTGTTCTTTTTGCTGCTCTTCCAAGACGACAGCTGATATGAATCCGTCCATGTCGAATTTTGAGGTCATTAACCAAAAGCCTGTAGGAAGAAAGCACCGGCGAGAATCTCTTTCGTATAATGAACGCATGGTTGTTGTCGATGCAGCTCTCAGGCTCAAGACATCCATCCCAATGATACCAGAAAATGATGACTGGGTATCTTTAGGCTCTTCCTCTTGCGTGCCGGATTTCCCAGAACCGATCCCCATGAGACTATTGAGTCGGGTCGGTCTTGAAGCAGACGGCATGATATCTGCTAGGTTATAATACAACGGGAAAGACAAATTCTTGAGAAAATTGATAAGCTGCTTCAAATCGTCTAGACTGAGACTACTTGAACGTATTCTCGACGTTGCAGGGCTCTGGTGGGATAGTATTTGGCTTTCCGGAGGTAAGAAGTCTTCATCGTCGGTGACTCGGAGAAGGAAGTTGTATAATTCTAGGAATAGCAATATAGTCCTCCATTCTCTATCACGTATATGATCCGGGTGGAGAAGTGTGACGATTGTTGAGGGCTGCTGCTGTGTTCTAGGCTGCGTGATGGTCTTGAATATGCTTGTACTTGAGGCTGCTTGCCAGAAATACTTAACTGAAGGCGTGTATATGGGGTTGGCTTGGCTGGCTATAGAGATGTCGCCTTGGAAGAGACGCATTTTGATGTCATCGCCATGGCTCGGAAAACATCTTAGTAGTACTAACGTATAGCCAGCGAGAAGGCTCGCATCTTCGGAAAGACGGCCGGGACAGACTGCGGTACTAGATTACTCTGTTAGTATAAAGAGCTATACGTGCTTCGAATATTGGCCACGAACGAAGTAAATCTACTTAGCAGATCAGAGATACCGTCCTCATCTACGAGGAAATCTAGCTGGCTGAGTGCCCAAGTGGATAATGGTGTAGAATCTTCGACGTCATCACCCTCGTGTTCAGAGATATCGCCATTGTCACCATCGGCCTCATTGCTCGCACCGTGTCTATCATATCGTACGCGAATGTCATCAACAAGGATGGAGAGCTGGAGATAGAGCGCTTCAAGGTATTTAAACCCGTAGGTAGAAGAAGCTACCCTATTCAAAGCAATAAAATGGGCCAAGAGGCAGAAAGCGCCGTTCTTTGACAGGGTGCCGACATGGTTATGTTCCGAGATAGTATCCACGATACTCTGCGATAAAAGTTGAAGATCTACATGGCTTGCTATCCGTGTAGGATCTTGCTGTAGGGATAGAAGGTTTGGTGAAGTAAGGAACGAGAATGCGAAAGCTTGATAAGCTGACAATACAGACGCTCCTAACAGCTGTTAGATCATGTAATAATAGGAATGTACCGAGAGATGTGAGATCGAAGAAATAGCTCTGCTGGGCTAAACTACGAAACGTACCTTGTGTATGTGGTATGAGAGGGGCTGTAGCTGCTTCAGCCACCACATCCGAGTCTAGTATTGAGTTGGTATCCCCCTGAACATTCTGTTTAGAATACGTGGAGAGGAGCTTATAATATCGATGTAAGACGGGGGTAATAGAATGGGGTCGGTTTTTGATAATGAGAACTAGGAGTCGGAGAAGATCTAATGATGAACTAGCTGATTGGCTATATCACAAAGTGTAAGCAATCAATACATTAGGAGGTAACTATGATTCCGAGCATGCACATACCGTTCGAGAGCTCCTACAATAAGCACAGCTAGTCGATCCAAAGAATTAGGGCTGAAGAGATCCAGGTTCGGATGGAAGTTTAGAGTAATTAAATCCTGAACTAGCAAGTCCAAACGTTTCTGGTCGTCTGCTCGTGCTGGGTCGAATAGAATATGAATAAGGGACAGGGCACTAATCACTCGAGTTGAAGGGTCATGATTCGGAGGTTGACTGTATAGAGCATCAAACTCTCCTCGACATGCCTGCTTGAAGTTTCGTCGGTCTTTATAGCCCCTCCACAGCCTTTGAAGTCTTTTAGCAGCATTCAACTCGTCACGTTCCCTCTGTCTTCTTTCACGTTCGATTTGTGCCTGCGCTACGGTTTTAGAGGCGCCAGAACCGGAGGGTGACCAACTTGAGGTGGCCCAAGGGTTTGTATTCCGCTGGCCGCTCAGGTTGACATTTCGCGGCCGTCTCGAAGTGCCTGTAAAGGTTGGGAACATGGTGGGATGGTGTAGGAGTTGTTTCGAGGTATTAAAGGGATTTTAAGTTGAGCCTATTTTGCCTTCTTTTCGTTAAATAGGTTGGTGATGTCGTCGAGAAGTGTAGTAGTAGATTTTGTTCTATCTACTATGCGGCGTGAATCAACATCGTGTGACAGTGACAATCGAGGAATATAGTGGCTATTGTGAAGATTTTGGGGGTTGACTTGTCGTATTTGACGTAATATCTAGGTACCTAACCTAGGTAGGTGTCTGCCTAATTAAAAATAATAACCACGGACAGCTACCTAGCTGCTTATGTTTCGAAGGGGAAGTGCCGGCGTCCGAATATGCGCAAAAGATGTATGAAACAAGTATGCGCATTTGCGTAGATCGTCGGATGAAAAAGACGTGAGATGGACATGCAACTTTGGAAGCTTAGTAAGCCAAGGTACCGTCCAGTTGATGTTGTACCTGTGTAGTCAGCTGTTTTGGTGATGCACCAAATGAAGTTTCTGTTGTCTTCTAAACGTCGATGAGCTTCGGTTTGTTAGGTGCTTCCAGGCTCGGGCAACGCACGTCACAGGGCTGTTTCGTTATCCTTTTCATACCCACTTTTAGTAAGGTACCTTTACGTCCACCTATGGGTCTATTTCGGTAAGCGGGGTGACCCCCTGTAAGGCAGTTGGTACTTAGGTAGGTAAGTATCTCTCCGCGAATTGATAAGATAAGATAAGCCACGTCCTAATTCTTATCTGCATGCATTCAATAGTATTCACGGTGTAAGCCTTTACACACAAGAGGTGTACTTTACCTAAGTATAAGTACCCAAAGTTAATGCTGAATATTGATTAATGGATTTTATTTGTTTACTTTCATCAAAGCATGCTTATTTACCTTACATAGGTACATGTCACAATGACAGTTGGGAGAAAGGTAAAGGGTAAAAAGTAATTATCTTATCTTGAAGTTATAGTTACCCATAACAAACATGTTGTATAAGCCAGCATATGGACAAAGACAGAAGGGTTATAGTACCTATAAGACGAAAAGATGTAGTAAGGCATACAAATCACTTAATAGTGATTCTAAGAGATATATACACCATTTAAAAATATAATAAACAATAATATAAAATAACATGTAAGTGGCCTCTTGAATAATGTTCTTTATATGTTTATATTTAGGTACATACATGCGTTAGGTATCTATCTTTGTATACTCCAAGATACCTATTGAATACCCATGTGTCTACATATGAGCTACATATGAGGTAGCGGCGGCCTTCTACGGGTGTGGCGTATAATACATTCATTCACGTGGGAACCTTGAAGGACATCTACCGGCTTCAAGTCAATTGCCATCAATTTGACATTGCATAATCCACCTGCCAGCCTGCTTCTACCTGAGTAATATAAGGTTCAGCTACCGCACGCTCTGTCCATCTGTGGGCAGTTCCACAGCATCGATTTCTCCTTCCCGAGCCTCTGTGGCACCGAGTGACTTAGTACACGTATATTCCATGAACTTACATGCACCTAAGGTATAGTAACTTACTGTAGGCATATACATAAATACCCAAGTGTAAGGTACCTTAGGTTCAGGTAAGTGTAGTGTAAAGTACCTTATCCAGATATCATTGGCCAAAGATATTTCATATGTACTTAATATTCTAAGTTAGGTACCTTGTCGTAAAGGCAAAATTTGCCGAGGGGCTAAAGTACTACACCTAAAGAAACTTAGGAAAGTACGATTTGGAAAAGTGCACCTGGGCAGTTGGTACCAACTTGGTAGAGGGCAGGATATTGAAAGGTCCAGTGCTGAAAATAGCTTGGTGGAGGCCCCACTATTTGCAGTCGAAATTTTTTGTGTGGTTGATCGCAACCAAGAGAGGCACAAAAAATCTTCAAGATCTCAAAAGACGAACGGACCCTCCCCTTCTTTCTTCTTTCTTTCTTTTTTCTTTTCTTTTCAACGACTTGACAACTTTATCGCCAGCTCGTCACCCAAAACTCCCCCCCCCCCAAAAAAAACAAAAAAAAGAGATTCAGTTATAAAGTACGTTCTTTACAGTTCGTACTTCGTTTCTGTTCTCGCCAAATTTTCTTTCAGGACAAAAACACCAAAAAAATTCGGAAAATTAAAAAAATCCACCATCATCACCATCTGCTAAGGACCTCAATCCACACTCGCCTCATCTATCGACGCGCATTAGTCCTTCTTTCGAATAGGTACCATTCTCAATATTTATGACCTATTTGCCCACCTTACGGTAGAAAGTGATATCCAGAAGCTCGAGTACGCTTAGACTTTTAGATCATCATCACTTTTCTTTGAAGTCCCGACGACAACCTTTGTCAAAAAGGTCTTCATTCTCTTGCGATCATTATTCCTTGATCACGAGAACGTAATATTCTTGCAGCTCTCTTTAATTGCCTGGTGCGCTTTTCCCCTCCCCCTCTCCGCTCGTCTGTCGCTCGATCAAGTCACAATCGAACCCGACCTCGTTGCGACTTCCATTTGCGCTTTGCTTTGACGAGCATTTGCACCGCGTCCCCTGTTGTTTTTTATCACCATCACGCTAACCTTGTGGCGACTTTTCTAGTCAATCAATTTTTCGTCACGATGTCTGCTGCTCCCATCTCCGGCGCTGTTGACCAGCTTGCCGCTGATCTTAGCAACACCTCTCTCAACGGCGGTGACGCTAAGCCTACCTCTATCAACACCAACGTTGCTCCCGACGTTCACGGCGACGAAGCTGATGCCGCTGGCGCCACTCCCAGCTCCGCTCAGACCCCTCACCCTGCCGCATCTGCATCCCTTTACGTTGGCGAGCTTGATCCCTCCGTTACTGAGGCAATGCTTTTCGAGCTCTTCTCTCAGATAGGTTCTGTTGCCTCCATTCGCGTTTGCCGTGATGCTGTCACTCGCCGATCTCTCGGATATGCCTACGTCAACTACAACACGACCGCGGATGGCGAACGAGCGCTTGAGGAGCTTAACTACACCCAGATCAAGGGGCGCCCGTGCCGCATTATGTGGTCTCAACGTGACCCCAACTTGCGCAAGAGCGGACAGGGTAACATCTTCATCAAGAACCTTGACGCTGCTATCGATAACAAGGCGCTTCATGACACATTTGCTGCTTTCGGTAACATCCTGAGCTGCAAAGTTGCTCAGGACGAGAACGGTAACTCCAAGGGATATGGGTTTGTGCACTATGAGACGGACGAGGCTGCAGCTCAAGCTATCAAGCACGTTAATGGAATGCTGCTTAACGAGAAGAAGGTCTATGTCGGTCATCACATCCCCAAGAAGGATCGTCAGAGCAAGTTTGAGGAGATGAAGGCGAACTTCACCAACGTCTACGTCAAGAACATTCAAGCCGATGTTACTGACGAGGAATTCCGAGCGCTTTTCGAGAGGTTCGGAGACGTTACCTCCTCCTCGTTGTCCCGCGACAATGAAGGAAAGTCTCGTGGCTTTGGCTTCGTCAATTTCACTACTCATGAAAGCGCAGCCAGGGCGGTTGAAGACTTGAACGGCAATGACTTCCATGGTCAGGACCTCTATGTCGGTCGTGCTCAGAAGAAGCACGAGCGCGAGGAGGAGCTGCGCAGGTCCTACGAGGCTGCCCGTCAGGAGAAGGCGAGCAAGTACCAGGGTGTTAACCTTTACATCAAGAACTTGGATGATGACGTCGACGATGAGAAGCTGCGACAGATGTTCGCTGAGTTCGGCCCCATCACTTCCGCAAAGGTCATGCGTGACACCGTTACCGATTCCGAAGATGATAAGGAAGGAAAGGAGAAGGAGAACGTGAAGGAAGAAGCTGACGAGGCCAAGGAGGAAGGTGAAAAGAAGGAAAAGAAGCCCGAAAAGAAGCTCGGCAAGAGCAAGGGTTTTGGATTCGTGTGCTTCGCCAACCCTGATGACGCAACGAAGGCTGTGGGTGACATGAACCAACGCATGATTAACAACAAGCCTTTGTATGTAGCACTAGCTCAGCGAAAGGACGTCCGGAAGAGCCAGCTTGAGGCTAGTATCCAAGCTCGCAACCAACTCCGGATGCAGCAGGCTGCGGCGGCAGCTGGCATGCCTCAGCAGTACATGCAACCTCCCGTCTACTACCCTCCGGGTCAGCAGCCAGGCTTCCCTCCTCAGGGTGGTCGTGGTTTGCCTTTCCCTGGCATGGGTATGCCCGGTGCCCAGGGTGGCCGCCCCGGACAGTTCAACCCTAATGCTTACGGAGGGCCTCAGGGAGGTCGTGGCGGACCCATCCCGCAGTTGCCTCCGAACATGTACATTCCCGGCCAATTCCCACCTGGCGCCCCGTACGGCCAGCCTGGTACTCCTCAGTTCATGGCTGCCATGGCACAAGTGCAGCAGGCCGCTATCGGCGGTGGTCGAGGTGTTCCGGCCGGCCGTGGACCAATGCAAGGTATTCCTGGCAACATGAGCATTCCGGGCGGACCAGGCGGTATTCCCGGCTACCCCCCTAACGCCCGACAGGGTGGTCCCGCGGGTCGTGGTGGACAGAACCAGCGGAATGGCCAGGGTGGCCAGTTCCCTCCCCAGGGCGGACGTGGCGCCTCAAACCAGCAAGTTGGCGGTGCCCCGAACGTGCAGCAGCAGGACCTGACTCCCACTTCACTACTTCACTCGCAACTGCAGAATCAGACCACTAACCCCCAACAGCAGAAGCAGATGCTGGGTGAACTCATCTTCCCCAAGATTCAGGCCATCCAACCCGATCTGGCAGGCAAGATCACTGGTATGCTTCTAGAGATGGACAACGCTGAGCTGGTCAATCTGTAAGTCGGGAAAAAAGCTTGGTTATGACATTTACTAATACGTTGTAGTATTGAGGATGACGGCGCTCTCCGAGCCAAGGTAGAGGAGGCTATGGCCGTGTACGACGAGTACGTTAAGGCTCAAGGCAACGCTGAGGGCGAGGTCGGGAAGAAGGAGGAGAAGACCGAGGAGAAGGCAAACGCATAGTTGTAGACGCTTACACCCAGAAGGTTTTTTTCGACGTACTGTCCTACGAGCATGGATTCTGCCTAATACTTGGTCGATTCGGAGCGTCGATTATTTTTTCACGACGGGTCACGGAAAAGTTATGATTTTGATGGTTTATGCGTCCTGGCGCGGACGACTCGGTATTGATTTTTTTTCATCCCTTTTCGCATCTCATCCCTCATGCCCTCTACAACTATCATGTCCTTTTACGTCGGAATGGATCTCTTCGTCCTCTAGGTGCCACTGCATCTAGTGTCCGACTCGAGAGACATTTTTCTCGTACTATTTGCATGTATTGATAGACTATTTGCTCCTCGCTCAGAGCACTGGCCGGAAGCTAGGGTTTCGGTCATCAGGCGTTTGTGGTCACAGTCGGTCAGCTTCATGGTAATTGATAACCTGGCACCGAACGGAAATCAGGCGGCACCAATGATTCTGACACAATACCCCCTCCCTAAGGTTGCCGAAAGGGACATCTCAGAATGAAGCAGAGGTTATTCTAAACAGGAACTTCTGATAATGAACAAAAAAGATTTCTTGCACTATTCTTTGGAACATGCTTGGTGATACGTAGATACCTACCTAGAATACTCTTGCGGGCACATAAGAATGAGCGAGACATGTATGTATAAAGGTATGTGGGTATGGGTGGTTATTATTTGCTGATACTTACAGCTATCCATCACACCGCGGCTGTGGTTGGTGTCCATCCAACAAAACCAGGCTAGAAAAGGAGAAAACTCGGTCGTTACGCTGCACGGAATTTCCGCGTCAGAAGATGCGTTGTAAGCGCATGTAGATATCGAGATCCTCGTCGTACCGATACTACAAGAATTAGTTGAGGCTAGGCAGGTAGTAGAGGGCCACATAACGTACCTACGCGATACGGAGGCTTTTGGCTATTATATGCGGTTTTATACCAAGGTACTGGATTGGACTCTACTCTATTATAAGTAAATAGTACAATAATACCTATCTTACCTAAAGCAACAGATAGGGCAGACAGGGTCAGGGTTTAACGAAAGGTGGATACTAGAAGTGGTCTGATAGGACGATCTGCGTACTAAGATCGAATGCCATATGAATCATAAAGTATTAGGTACCTTGATAGGGAATATGTTACGATGGTTTAACCAGTTGTAAGCTCAGGTGTTTGTGTACCAGTTACCTTCTAGTGGTTGTTTCCCTATACTGCCCGAAATGGATGCATCAGGCACATAAAGTTCAGATGTTTTTGTACAAGGCATGCCATACCTCTATCCCACTATACGAGGTTACCTAGTTTCAAAGCTGTTAACCTTTACTCGAGAATATAAAAAATAAAAAATAAATTACATACGTCTACATAATAATAGACTTGGTACGGAATTTTAAACACTTACATAATTTAATTAAAGTACGAAACACCAAAGGGAAGCTGCCCAAGGAAAAAAGAAAATAGTCGGGGTTCCCACCAAGCAGTTGGAAGAAGGCAGCTGGAGCCCTGGAGCTTAACCCTTACTACCTCCTACCTAGGTACCTTAGGTAGGTAGGTAGGTTCCTCTGTATAGGTAATACCTTAGGACAATGCATACCGTACCCGTAGTTCCTGCTTTCCCCAAGGTTCTTCTCCTCTCATCACAGTCATCATCTTTCCATGTTGACATCAATTTTTCACCCTAAATGTCTTGGCAAGTAGAACAGTGAGGCCTCCTCTTTTGGTATTTTCTGTTCCGAGTTCCGCTTTCTACGTTGGATCTCCTTTCGGGAACCTGCAAAAATCCACAACCTGTATCCCAAATATCCCACCAAGCTAAAGACAGCTACCATAGTAAGCTTGTTAAACCGCTAAACATAGGAGGTACCTAACCTAATAAAAAACAACTAAAAAGAACCCCACATCATCTGAGCCTGAACTCAACTCTTTTTTTAAAAAAAATCTTTTTTTTCTTGCCCCGTCGTTCCTTTCCGTCAAACCCACATCGCTCTCCCAAGTTGGTTCCAATCCCCAGTTCTAGCTTCCCTTCTTCCCTGCCTGGAACCTACCTAGGCACCTAAGATATCCGTTTTTTTCTTTTTTGGGCTAGCAGCCATGCGCAAAGGGTGAAGGCTCAATTCCGGGTTGAGACAAGAACGCAATAACCAGAAGGATCATCAGCGCACAATGATATTCATCCGTCTCCATCGAAGACGCCCATTTATTATCCCACGATAGCATTAACCTGGCGTTTCTCGATTGCAGCGTTTTTACACATTTTACTAATTCAAGATCCCGTCGTAATACACGTCTGGACCTTATTAACGTGATTTGACGCTCATCTCTTGAGTACCTCCTAACCTAAACCAACCTACTTCCGGCAGAAGTATTCGATTAAACGCCCTTCAATTCGATATCTATCCAGGTACCTACCTATATATTGTGAACAAGAGCGTTATCTCGAACTTCCACCAACCACGACTGCGCTAAATATCTATCACGATGGCGGGCAACAGGAAGTTGATGTCTCTCGAGGCAGCGCTCGAGGAGGAAAGGAAAGAGGTTGAGAACCTGGTCTCTTCAATGCAACAACCTAGAAGACCTCCATCGGTTGGCGCTAGATCTCCCTCTCCATTTACCAGTCCTCGATCGCCTGTTCGAAGCATGTTGGACATTGGCGAAGTACCCAGAAACACGACTCGGAGCCCTCCACCGCAAGGTCCAGTTCGCAGCATGCTTGATGTTAATGGCCCTCCTATCCAGAGGAGAAGTATGTTGGATGTTGGGGGATCATCGACTAATGCCCCGTCGAGTACGCACACATCGCCGACGCTATCTTTCAAATCCCCACTTGCGGATAATTCGAGTCGTAGTAGAAGCATGTCAGATGCGGCTTCAAATCCCGTGATAGACCTAGGGCCACGATCGCCACCTCTACCAAGCCCGAGATACAATGACCCGACGTCTGCCTATAAGTTTCATGATATACTACCAACCAACGTTGGGCAAGCTATGCCAATGAAGCGTGGTCAAACTCCCATGCGATCAAGCTCCATCGGGGAAGCCCTTCGTGGCCCTGATCTATCTAATCTAGTACTTCCTGGAGAACGCGGGCGCTTTTCGAGGAAAACAAACAAGTCGAAGTCTCCCAATAATCGTTTTAGCCTGCGCTCGAATTCGCCATTTGGAAACCCTTCCGGACGCAACCAGACACAGGATATTATGATGACTAATGGTCAACCATTAGATATGAATAATGCGTATAGAAAATTGTCAGACGCCAATTTACTTTATGGTGGCTCAAACTTAGCCGCCCTGGCTCGTAAGCGGCAAGATAGTGAGGGGCACGGTCGGATAGAAAAGGATAATCTAAGTCCGTACGGAGAATTACTCCCGGATGAAAGTGATGACGATGTTGGCAACTCGTCTGACGAAGAGATGCAAAGAGGAAGGAAACTCACCCCTCGCGCCGAGTCCCAAGACAATGGCGAGGGTAGCACAGCAAAGAGTCTGCTTGCCGCTATTGAAGATGAGCGTAAGTTCATTAATATAGTATATGCTGTATTGCCCCAAAACCCCCAATTTGACTAACAGTATTACTAGGAAAACATGTCAATGCTACCCAACCTCAATACAGGTCACTCTTTGACGAGCCTAAAATTACGATTACAGGTCCCACGGGAGATAAGGGGAAGCTGGGAAAGGGTGGAAAGCCAGTGGTTCAGCCGTCCACTAGTTTTGATCAGGAACCTCTGTCTGGAACACAAACTCCTTATGACCCGGATCTAGACGCCGACGTCGATGCAATCAAAACCGCACAGAGCCTAATATTATCCTCCACGCCGATTCTCTCAACTCCTGAAGTTCACCGCTCTATTCGTATTCTATACCGTGGTGAATTCAACAGGATACAACGGGATGCCGAAGAAGAACACCGACGTCTACGCAAATATCTAGTCGCGACGGATCTCAGTGACGAGTCTACCCACGCGTTAGAATGGGCTGTTGGAACTGTGCTCCGCGATGGGGATACATTGATAGCCATGTACTGCATGGACGAAGAAGCTAGTGGGTCTGTTGATGCCAGCAACATGGTACCAGATGAACCCAAGGCGATGAAGGAGCAAGCTATGGCCATCAGCGCAATCTCGAAGGGAATGTCTAGGCCCTCGTACCGTACCTCTAGTCCCGGTCCGTTTAAGATGCAAGGATCCTCCATGTCACCTCGTATCCGAGCTATCGATAGTACTGGTAGCAACAACCCCTCCCCAGCGCCTAGCTCTCGCGGAAAAAGCAAGTTGCAAGAAGAGAGAGATCGAGCTGTTCAGGACATCACCGAGCGGGTGTCAAAACTGCTTCGGAAAACGCAGTTGCAGGTGCGGGTGATTGTGGAAGTGATTCACTGCAAGAATCCCAAGCATCTGATAACGGAGGTGATCGATATCTTGAATCCGACGTTGGTGATTTTGGGTAGCCGTGGCAGAAGCGCCTTAAAAGGGTAAGTTAAAGCATACCTAATATAACTTCACACAACTATGGATAGGTATGGGGGCTAATGTGATATTATAGAACTCTCCTTGGATCTTTCTCGAATTATTTAGTAACTAAGAGCTCGGTTCCAGTCATGGTCGCGCGTAAACGACTACGTAAGAAGAGCAAATACCAGCCACCGCCAACGAAACAAGTGAATAACTTGGCCAATCCATCAGCGAGGAGTCTCGAGATGGCAAGAGTTGATTAGTCGTTTGACGACCCATCAATTAGACGCAAAGCTCGCAGAGCCAAGAAGCGCAAAGCCCGTAGAGCTCGCAAACGTCACCGAGCTCAAAAGAAGGCAAGAAAAGCGTAACGCCAGAATATGCCCCTCGTGTCCATGTCAACTATCCGAAAGGTAGATAATAAGCGGGGACACAAAATTCGGGTAAGATTCTACTCGATATATATGCGCATCATGCGAATCGAGTTGGCTGCTACTTAGATAACTACTCCATTAGGGCGTGCATTCAGGGTTATGAGGTTATGAATTTATTTATTTTTTTCTACTAAGTCGTGTTTCATGTGATAATCAGCGATAGGAAAATAATTAAATCACGTTCATTTGCGCTTGACGTGTGTGTGAATATAAGATTGTGAACTCCGTGTAGTAGGTATATATAAGTCATAGTATTGTACTCAAGCCTCTAGTTACGGGAGTATGTGAACATACAAGCATATTGATAGAGATTTAAAGAAATTTAGGGAGTAGGTAGTAAATGGGAGCAGCGGTAGCCTACTTTAAGTTACGCTGGAAAGGGGCTGAATTGCTTCACGCGTAAGGGATAAAGAGTATCATGGCCACACCGGTCCTATAAAACTGGCAATGTCGAAGACCTAACATCAAGTTCCGGTCCAAACCGGCCGCTTCGAGACGAGCGTGGAAGTCTTGCCTGTGAGCGGCTGGCTTGCGGGCCCAAGCTCATGGGAGATATGGTCTTGGTGTCCTGTGGAAGAGATACCAAGCGACACAGAAGGGAAACTTCACAGCGTTACTGCGCCCTACCATTATACATTGAGTACCTGGTACTAATCCAGTCAACCCCTATCGTAACTACTGGGGCTCCGGTGGCGATGAAGTTGATGTCCTATTTTTGACATTGGCAAGTGCCATTAGCTATCTTCCACCGGACTAGATTTCTAAAGATCAGTCGAACGCTTGATTTATAGCTGAGCTATCAGATAGGTACGATTTGACTTGGCCAATTTCAGGATTTCGTTGCTCTCAGCTGAATATCATGCCTGTTACAACTCAGTCTTCTTTGTTTGAAGGTATCAAATATTCCTGGTAATTCAAACCTATCACTTTGTGACACTTCGCTTGTCGTTACGAGGGTATTCCCAACGCTCTTCCCCCACATCGGGTAAGAGGTGCGTCCTCAACTCCTAATTGGTTGCAGCATATAGCCCTATTATGACTGGTGGATGGTATAGGATTCAAAACTATTTTACATGTACTCCTTAAAAGATCAACATTTGCGGCTATAGTGTATCTTTACCCCTCAGTGGTTTTGCTGTCATCCATCTATCTATCTTGATGAAAATGGCTTGATAGCATTGCACACTCTCGCCTCTTCCATATCGAGCAGCTTCCCAGCTCTTTTCTGGCCAGCATTGGAGTTTAACTTGATATACCCTCTACATTACTTCACCACATTACTTATTCTTTAATTAGGTACTACTCCTCTGTGTACGACGAGTATGACCAATTTATGCTACAGAACACCGCTGCTATAACGGTGCATGTGAACATCACACCTCGTATCCACGCCGAACCTCAAATCGAGATACCCACCTTTCTCTTTAAGACGAAACAGCTTCGAAAAGAAAGTGCCTACGTTTCTACTCGGAACTATACCGGTGCTAATCAGTGCGGGTCTCAGATTGAGAGTGACTAGTATCAGCACTCCCTTCCAACGTAGCTTGTCAATAATGACACTCTAAAAGACATCCACCTCATGAGAGCTTGTCGACGTGTCTGATATACTAGTATAAATCGTCCTTCTTTGCTTTTGCCCTTTTGACTGATGGAACTGTCCTATCCATGGAAGACCCCGCTTTGCTAAGCAGCGATCTTATGAGAATACTAGTTCTTAGGTCTCTCCATTTCACCACCTTTCAACGTGCTCAGCAAGGTAACCCTCTTCATGCTCTTAGTCTATGATTTTATACATTGGATTTCCATTGCTAACAGGAGCAAGCATACGTCGCTATAGGGCCTGGTGGATACCTCCAATGGGGAGAACCAGAGGCAGCATGTGTACGGTTCGGGCGACAAGACGAAATACCAAGACGGGGGACATGAAAGAATTACACATAGTACATGCTTGATCTTGACCCAGTACCCACGTTTCCAGCCAGCATGAACTGCGAAGTTACCTCGGGGTCTTGCAGCATACTGTTTTGTTGGTGCGTAGGCAAAAGTCGTTAACAAGTTCTCCCCATCGTTTGGTTTTCATGCTACGTGAAGTGCTGTCCCACTACTTACACAAAGTAATTGTGCGTCAAAAGAAAAAAGAAAAGGGGGAAAGATACCACAACATGTAATACAAGATGGTCGTTGGCCCTTTTGTTACCTATTGGGAAAAGCTATAAATCGGTGGCTGTGTAGATTACGTTGGGATATGTTTCAGGTAGGACAAGTTCTCGAAGACGGAGTTAGCGAGGAATGTTGATAAAAAAAAGGCCAGGGGTTGGTTTGCCCATCTATCCATTCCTCTCCAGGTTACCGGTGGATTAACTCAGACTTCCAGGTTGTACACTGGCATCCCGGAACTGTCTTAGATGGTATGTCTGGCTTGATCTTTTCCCCTTTCTGCTACCCTGCACAGTATATCAAAGTGAGAACAGACCTCTTCTGACTTTGAACTCACTTTTTTTCGGTCAAAGTACTGGTTCTGATGGGTGTCTCCCAATGCGGCCAGTCTCCTCACATCCTTATTCTATTTGTGAACGCCCAACAAGGGACCGGAGCATGGAATAATATTCCTAGTCAATATCGCCACGCCAATCTGATTCTATCATCCCTGACCCACCTACCCTATCGAGTATTACGGTGTGAAATGATTGTTATTAAAAGACGAAGCTATTAGACCAGCAGACGTGGATACGTGTACTAAGCGATAACAGTCGGAATACCGTAAGGTAGTGTCCAGCTGATGTCAAGAGGAGCAGCTATACCTAGAACAGTCATAAGAGCTAAGGAAAAGAGATATGTCGTCATCTGATAATAAGTTCAGGGTATTGTAGAATCTCTTTCATGAAATGGACCTCGTGACTAGTAGTATTGAGAATTTGGTGAGGCTAAATCCTTATTTTGGAATGAAGATGAGATAAGGATTTATTAGCCCCCCCCCCCCCCCCCTCAAAAAAGACGTTGAAATAACCAAGGTCATGCGTTTGTTAATCGATAGGCAATAGTGTATGCCTTCCACTTTCAGGTACAATACCTTATTCTTGCTACCTTAGGTTAGGTATTGTAGGCCTTGACAATGCATTGTTGATAGTGGAGTGAAACACCGCCGCATGAACCGAGTGGAGGGGGAGGAGGGGCAGAGGTAGAGAGGGTTAGAGGGGGAGGGGAACCTGGAGGAGGGATACCTAGCCCAGTACGTACCCTACATACCTAAGAGCGGCAGAGCGGGTCTCGGTCGTAACAAATGACCGGGGGGTGTACCGGCATCTAGCCAACTGCGGGGTGATAAGTGATTCGATGGTGCGATAGTGCGATAGTGCGATAAGATTCGACGTTATGGCAAGCATCATGATGTGTGATGTGCGGGGTAAGAGAGTATATAATCTCACGTAGGATAACAGGTATGTATAACTTTTAAAATCTCCAGCACGTAAACAACTTGGATAGGAGGTTAACTTGATACTTAATAATATAATAGGTCACCAGGCCATATTCGGCTACTTATCCAAGCTACTTATCCAATAATAATGTGATACAGGCCAAATGTTTATTGATTGAACTATATCAAACTGACTTCTGGTTTGTTTTTCAGAAACGCGTCGAAGTGCTTGTAGCTGGAGTTGCGCTAGAATATGATTGGGTGGTGACTGTGAAAGATGATTGGTTCATGCAAGCACTTAACTCAAAGACAACTCATAGGTTGATTATCTTACTATGATTGGTCGAGAACTTATGATCGCATTCCTTCCGACGCTACCTTGACAGGGGGGGAGGGTGGAAGTTACGAAGAGACAAGAGACAAGAAAGGATGTACCATATTTAGGATATGACTTTGATAATGGAAGTTACCTTACTTTACCATAGTACCTAGGTACCTTAGGAGGTAGGTACCTAAGCACCTAAGGTATTGTACAATATTGACTCACTCACTTATTCACTGGCTGTCTAAGTCAAAGTCCACCGCAGGGAATGTAAGCTAGGTACTCGACCCTTATATATACGTAACCGTACAAAGTAACCAGATAATCAACATATTATCGCCCTTTCCTGTCCAAGTGCATTCCCCAAACAGGCTATTATAAAGTTTAAAGGTATTGGCCCTCGCATCTGGTCTGTCGTACAGAGACCCAAAAAAACAAAGTCAATTTATTGGTTTATCAGGGACCTCCTGCGACATCCCGAAGGTTGGAGGGCTAGAGGGGTCCTCAAAGCGAGATCTAAGTGGTTCAGCGGGAAGGAGTAACCATAGAAGGTTGAGATATGTGCAGAGTTTCCCAGCCTCTCAATTTCGCACAGCTGTTTCCTTCCATTTTCCTCTACCTACCCACTTGCCCTTTGGAACTTGCCGGCGCAAACGATCCTGCTCCCCTTTGGCTCGTAAGAGTCTACCTGCCTACCTTACCTACCTAAGATCAAGGTAACTACCCTCTTTGCGCATCTTTGCATTGCATCTTTGGTAGTTCACCTTCCCGCGACGGGCATCGTTTCATAGGATCATCTTAACTACCTCTAGTAGTTTGAGTACCTTACCAGGCTTACCTACCTTAAGGCTTACATAGCTCACTTTACCGTGCTCGATATACCAGATACACCTCAATACCTTGACTCAAATACCTTCAATCAAGTATCAAATATTATAAGCGCGGAATTTAACAGCTCCCATCCAAAAACCCTGACCTATTTGCGAAATCGCATTGTTATCGTGCCTTTTCTTTAGCCGTTCAACTTGAACAAACTTGCCTACCTAGACCTAACCCAACTTTACATGCCTGACACCTTCGTACCAACATAATCTACCTACCTCTTTACTTCCTGGTCGCGTTAGCTGGCTTCGCCGACGATAGCATCCCGACCACTAAATTCGATACTATATACGACCCCAGAGCTTGCCTGGCCGGTCGTTTCCGATCTCGATGCGCCCCCTGGTAGCTATCGAGACTCATAATCACGTATCACTTCTTAGCGTCACTATTGCGCCCGGCACATTCCTCGCCGCATTAGCATTCACTTTCATCTTTTTTTCCTTCTATCTAATTTCAATCGGTCATATACCGCTAAGGAATTTCCTACCTGTGCGCCTTCCTCGGTTTTCATTTCAGGTACCGTTATCTATTTTACCGCAACCCCAGCCGAAATTCGAGCCACTACCGCAACGGAAGGCGCTACCTCCCATTCGAAGATCGCATCCTCAAAGGTCGCATCCTCAAAGATCACATCCTCAAAAAGCCTTACCAGCATTACCCGCGCCAGAATTTGTTACAAGCTCGGAAAAGTCCCTGGTACCGCTAACGAATAACCGGCCTACAACGCCAACCCAAAGTTTGCGCTCGTTATTTTCCTCGCACCCCAAGCTAGCGTTACCAAGCTCAATTACTAGCCCAAAGAGCAGCTCGAAGTCAACTGCGCAAGCCGCTCTTAAAGAAAATGACGTCCATGTACTCCGAGACCAGCCGAGACGACACAAGCTTCGTGACTCCAATGTCACCGTCGCGACAGAAACATTTCGGGTTCCCACCGGTAAATTTAGGCTTTGGCTTCTCGGACGAGGATATGGACCCGCAAGACGAGAGCGACATGGACGACATGTCGGTGTCCGATCGCAACTACAGTCCACCGGCTTGGCGAAGGCTTGAGAATGGGGATCGATGGTACGGAAACTGGCGAGAGAGTAGGGATATCTTGGGCGCTTTCGACCAGCCGAGGCGCATAAATCATACCAACAACAGCATCTTCCAGAATGACATTTTTGAAGCAGCTCGAAGGACGCGCTTACCAACGGGAAGTCTGAGTCCCGAGAAGGGTGCTACACCTGAACCCGAAAGTCCTACCGAGGATGAGACACTCGTCAAAATGAAGAGCGAGTCGCCGTCCAATGGACACATGAATGGAGGGACTATCCAAGATGATATGATGGCATCCATATCGCCTAGTGGCGTTAGGGATAATTGTAGGTTTTGGGATTCGATACACCTGGGTATGGATGCTAACTTTAACCTTAGATATTCGATTAGCTCTGCGTGCTGATATTCAACAAAGAACAGAACCAATCGAAGCTATTATCAACTTTCTGAGATCGAAATCATGGGGCAATATAATCGTCGCAACCTTCGTTGCGTTCCTATCAATGACGGCCATCCGGACGCTTTTCCAGCCCGCACCGCCGCGACCGTCGCCTGATCTGGTCAAGGTAGCAGGTATTGCTCGCTCCTTCGAACCATTGATCTACTACTCAGAGAATGGCGTATCTCAAGTTGGTGACCTTCAAGCAACCGGTGTTGCGGTGTGGGACCTTGGAGAAAGCGTTCGATCAAGCAACATGACATCGGCTCCTATCATCGTGAAGTCACTTGACGAGCTCTCGGAAAGCTTGAAAACTCTAGCTATCGAGCTTACCAAGTTTTTCTCCAACGTTGACGGCGATATTGACAGCATATTGATCGTCATGGATTGGGCCAGGCGAGAGCTATCGCAGGTGCAGGCTGTTCCAAGCCAACCTCTCTCTACAGCATTCGCCAACATTCACACCCTCCTTTCTCTAGCTGGCATCTTCGAGAATCCGAACACAGGGATGCCGACGCGATTGGGCGATATAGCGACAACTATGTTTGGCATGTCGCAACCTCAGCGAACTCGGTACACGCTTCAACGCACATTTACAGAATTCCTGTCAGTCTTAGAAGAAGCCATTGAGAATGAGCTTCACCATTCACTGTCCCTATTCGCCCTATTCGAAGCTATCGATCGCCAGTTCCTAAACTTAGCTCGTGTCGTCGTGCGAGAATCATCCCAGCAAGATGAGCAGCATGCCGACTTCCTCTCTTCGTTATGGACGCGAATCTTAGGCCCTAAAGTGAGTGAGGTCAAGAAGTATGAGCGCAATCGCGAATTACTTCAGAATGTGCGCGAGAAGACGGTACGGAACAAAGGAATATTAGTTGAGCATAATGGCAAACTACTTAGCCTAAAAGCCAACCTTGAGACTTTAAGACGGAAGCTGGTTTCACCACTAGTACGAAGTGTAAACAGCAGCACTCTCTCCCTTGAGGAGCAGATCAAAAGTCTTGAAGATGTTGGTGTCTACCTCGAGAACCTGCGCGCGCGCCAGAGGGGCAAACTAATAGAGATGGTGCACGGAAGTGGCAGCGCCAGGGCTAGTATCGCAGGAAGCGCGAGGTTAATCCATGACCAAGGGAGTTGGGCTTGATGGTATTAAAGCGGGAATATAAATAAAGGTTCGGGTTGCTTTGTGATTATTAAAGCTCCGGAGTTAAAGTTGCGCGTACGGGTTGTGCGGGTAAGTCCAATTTCGTTCTTATACACCCGCTATTTTTAATAAGGGGCCATCTTTGCTGACTTTACTATGCAGGATACTCATAAAGAGCGGACTTGGGAACTCTACTACAGTATGTACAAGTGTACAATATTGGGTTGTACGGTATAGCATGTTTACTGGTCTGGTTAAACATAGGTTTGGAGTTTTGCTTTGTTTTATTTTTATTTTATTTTGTGGTCCTTCTTTTTATTCCATGCAATGGAAGCGAAGTATAATAGCAATCACAACCTATCGTACAGCATCTTGTTTGTAAAGGTCAAATGGTGTCATAGCTGGTAGCATAACCCTAAACAGGGCCATTCGATGCATTAGCTATCTAGGTAGTCTAGTGTACGGGAAAAGCGCCGAAGAACCATGCCAAGAAGCCAATAGAAGTCATCATATATCCGTGTTACCCTTAAACCTCTATTACATACCTATGCGGTCATGCTTTAGCCCGGTGCTGTATGCTACTACTTTATATAAAAATGTCGAGAATTATTAGTCCGAGAAGAACACCAGGGTCGTCTGCACGATTTGCTAAACTCCGGTCAGGACATTGCCCTATTTGGTTCCTCGGGGTGGCATAACGCCGAAAAAAGGGGCAGCCTCCTTCTTTCGGAGACCCGATTAAGCACCTAGAACACCAAAATTCGGGGCCGGAGAATGACGGAATAATAAACTGACGATGACCCACACCATAATGCGGTCGATGCAAGTGTCAAGATAGGCTAGTTGCCTTCAGTCGCTTACGAACTTGCGGTGACGGTCATCTGCTTCGATGGAAGTCTCTCAGTAAACTGATTACTGAGTTGTGCAGTAAAGATGACTCGCTCCTATAATTATATTCATGTGAGGTGTATTGATACGCCAAAAATAGGCATATGTACGGTTCGTGAAGACTGAGTAAAGATAGAAAGAAGCTGATCTGATAAAATAACCACACTTGCAGCTGCATGCAACACACTTGTTAAACCCCGGTATCCAACCATAAGTCATCCATAGTGTCAACCACGCTAAAACGCTCGGACTTTGCAGAATGGCACCATACCTTCTAAAGCCCTAGAAGGGCCCTGCGCATGCAATACCCGCGGCGGCGGCGGCGGCGGCGGCGGCACGTAACATAGGTAAAGCTCGGGGAGGGGTGACAAGGGGGCTCTCCGTTTTCTCCCAATTAGTTAAGAAAATTTCTATACAAGTAATTTTAGGTAGGTACCTTGGTAAGCAATATCCCGAACAAGTTCGGACACTACGATACCTATCACTAACTGGAAGTAGTATACTTGTATGTTTGCAAGATGGTTGTCTCACAGAATCCTTCGATAAAAGCCCACCGTTGCTCGCCGCTGCCCGAGTTAACTACGTTCTCCGAAGCTACTTTACTTACATACCTTCCAACTTAACTAGACACCTACTAGAACTAGACTCTGCCACTACCCCTTTCCTTTAATTCACCATGGCTACTCCTCAGCCCAAAGGCACTATCCTCGTCACCGGCGCAGGCGGCTACGTCGGCGGGCAAATCGTCCGGGAGGCTCTGGAGTCCGGGTTCAACGTGCGCATCACAGCACGCACCGAGTCCTCCGCAACACGCACCATATCGAACTACCCGTCCTTCGCTTCCGCGCTATCCTACACCCTCGTCCCCGACATGACAATCCTCGAGTCCTACGCGCCGGCCTTCGCAGACGGTGCCATCGAAGGGATAATCCACTCCGCGTCCCCGGTCAACTTCAGCCCCCAGGACAACGTCCGCGACCTCCTGGACCCGGCGATCAAAGGCGCCACCACGATCCTCGAGGCCGCGCGTAGGTTCGGCCGAGGCAAGGTCCGCCGCGTCGTGGTCACCAGCTCGTTCGCGGCCGTCGTCGACCCGGAGAAGGGCGTCCGCCCGGGGTACACGTACGACGAGAAGGACTGGAACCCGGTGACGTGGGAGGGCGCGGTCACGGCCCAGAAGCTCACGGCTTACATGGCGAGCAAGACGCTCGCCGAGCGCGCCATGTGGAGGTGGATGGACGAGCACGGGGACGACGTCGCGTTCACGCTGGCGACGATCTGCCCGCCGTGGGTCTTCGGCCCGTACGTGCGCGCGCCGGCGACGCGCGCCGCGCTCAGCGAGTCCGTGCTGCTGCTCGACGACATCGTCGACGGCGCCGCGGTGCCGCCGTTCGACTACGGCGGGTACGCGGACTCGCGGGAGGTCGCGGCCGCGCACGTGCGGGCGCTGGAGGCCCCGGACGGCGTCGCGGGCGGGCAGCGGTTCCTCGTGGGCCAGAACTTCCGGTACCAGGCCGCGGTGGACGGGGCGCGGGAGGCGCTTCCGGAGGCGCGGGCGCGGCTCCCCGTGGGGAAGCCGGGGGATCGGTCGCCGGAGGACGCGCACCGCTTCGACGGGTCGAAGGCGGCGAGGGTGTTGGGGGTGGAGTATGGGACGCTGAAGGATACGGCGGTGGAGACGTATAAGCAGCTGTTTGAGATTAGGAAGTTGGAGAGGGAGGAGGAGGAGGCTAAGGCTAAGGCTTGATTGGGGAGGGTCAGTAACGGTTGGTAAAGTGCATGTGATAATTTCTATAAAGACGGTAACGGTAACGGTAAAGCCAAACAGAAAAAAAAAATAAAAATAAAAAAAGCGACAAGATAGATACCTTAGGTAAAGATATTAATTTCGATTCAGCCCTATCAACCCAGACCCGAGGGCCTGTAGATATAGCCTATTGATACGATTTTTATGAAAAGCAACGCAAAACCCCGATATAGTATATCATATCCCCTGAAAGCTCCCTAGCTATAGTCGAAAACAAAACCACAGGCTCGCCTTGGGGGAGATATATGCCATTATCCCACGTTTGTCGTTCTATCTCCTTCTGGCTGCGGCTGCAGCTGCAGCTTCAGCTTCAGCCTGGCAATCGTCGCACGTTACATACACTTTCCAAGCTATCATCTCAATAGGTTCGCATTCGGGAGTGCCGACGAACTCGCATTCCCTGACATTCTCCACTTCAATGGTGATTGAAGTTCCGCAGGTTATCTCTTGACAGACCCATTCCCTCGTGTCGTACTTACACATGGTTAGGTGCGGTGCCGAATATAATCTTGGGTACTTTAGGTAGGTAGGTTAGGTACCTATTTATGTATAGGTTCCGTGATCAAGAGGATCTTGTCGATATCGATGAAGAAAGAGATAGTGATTGTGGTAAAATTGGCTTGCTAGATGTAGATGTGATGGTAGGTAAGGTAGGCAATGTCTGTTTTGGATTGTCTGGGTATGAAAGCAATTCTGAGGACAGGGGGAACCTCGTTTATATACTTTTTGGAGGGCGGTAGAAATTACCACGAACACAGGTGAAAACATAAATAGGACTGAAGCATTGGTGAGAAATGAGGACATGAAACAAGAATCTAGTTGTGTAGCTTCATTGCGTTACCAGGAAGTCTGTGTACACTCCCCTACTTTACACCATAAGTCACCACTTTAGACAGATGATCAAATACTTGACAAAAAAAGTAAAAAGCGCCAGGACGTCATTAAATTAATGATCAGGTTAATAGGTAACCTGAAAGTGTTTTTCATTTCCGAATGTCTTGGGAGTCTATTGTTTGGGATAGGTTGGAAAAGAAGAACAGAAGATATTAACGGGTTTGTGTACTTCCTATAGTATTTTGTGCGAGTACATTCGATCTTCTACAACCACAGATCCCTTTAGTACACCCATGAATACTTGGACGAACATAATATAATTTGACATTTTCCCACCATATACTGAATCATATTCTGATTTGCTTCAGTCCTGTACAGATAAGTTTCGGTGTACGATAGGGGAGTGCACATGGACTTTTGGTAACGCCTTGTGTATCAGTCCTGACATACGAAGATCGTTCTGTGTGAGAGTAGTGGCTGGACTATATGAGCCTCGTAAACAATACCATGCTTAAGACGGAAATCTATGATTCTTTATGGAGGGTTTGGGGTAGTTAAATTTAGTCCAATCTAGGTAGTTTGGCCTGTTGAAGGCTAGCAGTGTGGGTAAAGTACCTATATTAATAGGTATCTGAAGAACATACAAGAAGGGGAAATTGTCAGAGATCCGTGATGTATGCCGTACGTAGAGTGGAAACTAGAGACAGTAGCAAGTATTGGTGAGATAGTCGCGTTTGCCCCTAGAAGCACCTCCGCCGCTGATGGAGTTCGACATATAAATACTAAGGTACCTACACCAACAGTTATTATTACCTAGGGATATGCTGCGATCTAATCATTTTACTTCCATTATACTGTACGCAATTGTCAGATAGTGCCCATGATGGATGTCGTATACAGAGTGAGTGTCAGAGAGGGCCAGTATGCAGCATATTGTGGATAATCTAGCAACGCCTGGCCTTCTAACCTCCTTCGAGGGAGATGGCTATCCTTTATATAGGTAGACAATAGACCCCTTGTAGTATCCATATATCCACATATTCCTGACAGCAATAATCCATATATATATGGTAAGGCGAGAGTGGAAAATAGGGGATAACTTGTTTATATTGTTTATATTGGTTTAACCTTGCTAGAGTCTAACGGCCCTAGAGGTCTATTGACATGATTCCAAATAATACATAAACACCAAGTATATCGCATCCCCCGAATTGAGACGATTTACGCAATTAACTAGGGGCTTCCATTTTAACATTGGCCCCTGCCTTTGTCCCTGCATTGCGAGCACAAAAGTTCCTCTGTTACGAAGCCAACCTCTTTAGGAGTACAACTGGTAGTGCCGTAGTCGCGGCATCTTTGCTCATTGATCTTTTCAGTGCTGACTACAAATCCGCAGTCTTCCTCGCGGCAAACATATACCTTGGTGATGAAGGTACACATGTTGGCTGCGGCTGACGAATATTACCTTCGGTACGCAATGTATGAGTTTATCGTCCAGGAGATTTTTGGCGGTAGTGTTGTCGTTGTGAGACTATGGTTGTAGAATTGGTTTGCTATCAAATGTGATGGGAGTAGGTGATGTAGGTTCGTAATCGGACTGCTTTGGGTGTAAAGTCATTTCAAGAACCTGGGGGACTTTGTTTATATAAGTTTTATAATAGAGGAAGATTGCACAACCTACAACTCCTGATCAGTATCATAACACGCTCAAATGAGCAAAGCTTAGGTCATGTCATAATCGATAGAATTATCAAATAAGACTTTAATCTGGACTTACGGCTACCCAACATAGTCATGTCATGATGCAAACAGCGTCTCGTAAGAGTATATTGAATTATAAAAGCCCCCCAAAGACCTCATGCTTGAGATGGAAACAATTTCCCAAGTTCGAGAAAGATATCTCATCTTAAACCTATCCAGAATGCCCCTCTTTTTCTAGCCTCATACAGCGTTGACGATATTCCCCTTTCTTGACTTCAATTTTGTCGGTCGATTTACAGAGTGGAGTGCCTTGGTCTTTGCAAATCACCTTCCGTTTAGTGATTGAGGTTTTTTTTTTTTTTTTTTTTTTAGTGCGACGGGCACGTCTAACGACGATGGCGACGTTGGAACACATGGCTTGTTTGCTAAGAGTTGCTAACTCGAGAGACGTGCAGTAAAGTCAGATGATAATTGATTTTATGGTGGCGATTAAGGCCAAATAGGACCTAGACTGGTGGAATTTTCTTCGTAGGACGAGAGAATGTTTGTCGATGCAGAATAGATAATCGGATCCGATATCTCGTTTGCTCTCCGAGGGCAGACTGTCTATATACTAGTAGACAGGTAAGTACCTTCCGTAAGGTCAATGTCACCACTAAACCCACGCATGGACAATTTATTGAGACGAAAGATCACATCCTGAGTATTACCTCCACGCATAGACAGAGATATGACAGCGTCATGGTAAAAAGATACCTGAAGTATACCAGGTATACGTGGAAACAATAGGTAGGTCAAGTATACCTGTTGTTGGGTAGGTGGTTGTTGTGGTGCTACGATTCCGCCTTGTCTTAACAAGGCTTTTTTTCGGCTCAAATCAGGTAACCAAGCGTTGCTCATTCTTATTTCTGCAAAATAAATATGAATATCGGCATTGGATAACTGAGCATAGAGGAAATAATATCGATGGGACATTTGTAAGGCAATGAGTCTCAACTGTATCAATAGACACATCGTTCCTAAAAGAGAATAACTATATTATTTAACCTTCTAGGTGAAACACTAGGCAGTTTTAATTAATGAACTCCGATTTAAAGTTATCATCGTTATTATAATCGTCAAGGATCGATTAAGCAGCCTTTTCTCATCGTCGTTCTTTAAAAGCAATCCCTCTATATTAGGTACCTACTTGCTTAAACTTTAGCATCACGAGTCCCCTATACAAGCATTAAGAAACAATACTCTCATGGCCTTTTCCCCACAGAAGGTCAGGTGTCTACTATTTGAGCTCGACACTTGGGCTCGTAGGTTAGACCTTAACACCATCTGCACTAGACCGTTGAGTGCGCGATAGGGGCTTAAGTTTAGAAAATGTGAATGCTCCTATTGCGCTTAAGCAAAAAAAATAAACAAATAAATAAGTTTCCACGAACAAGATTTAAATACCTACGATTTCAATACGGCAGTGGCTGGTGTTATTTCGTCACGCTCGCTATGTTTCATACCCCATATATTGGATCGGATTGTCGTTTCTTTAACCCCCAGCAACAGGACCGGTATAGGGGTGTCGAAGCTTGGAAAGTTTGTTAGAGTTTCGTTGTAAGTTTAAATTCCAAGAGGTACTATGTAGTAGTGTTAATATTTTTAGGTAAAGACCGTGCACTGTCCGTTATGGCTGCCCTAAGGGGTTCAAGATTCTACATAGTACCTAAGTGATTTTTCAATTATTCTTCCCCCGTAGCCGAAGACTCATGTTGTTTGAGGGTTTTGAGTTGACCTAACTAGCGTGAAAAGATTCAATCTTTAGTGTAAGTGAGGGACAGTCTTGGCGCACCAACTTTGAGCACGAGCAAATTCACCAATGCCATCCGTAGGAACTTATTCGAGTTTGGCGTTTCTCCTTCTCACCCTAATAACTATTCCCTACATTGTGTTATATAATCTCGAGTTAACTAGTATGAATTCTTTAGTGAAAACTACCGAAATAATTGGTACTGAGATTCTCATACCTGCCGAGTGTAGGAAGCAGAAACCATTTTTCAAAATCGGGGCCTTTTCAGTACATTGTACGTAACCTTGCTACTTGGCGATGTATTCATTCCTTGTTTTTTGCCCTTATAAGGGTCCACTTTTGACTCCTGAGATGTTCCAAGGCGAACGGGCCGGGTTGGCATAACAATTTGACCTATGCACGTACCAGCGCCATCGAAATAATTGACACATGTAATAGGCAATGTTGAGTCGTTGACTGATCCAATCAGGGCCGAGAGTCTAGGTAGTATGTAAATCGTCGCTGTTGTAGTGGTTAGGTGCCAAGTCGGAAGCTTATTAGACACCCCAGAATAAACGGACGTATTCTCACTGACTCAGAACTCAGAAAGAGTTTACTCCCCTAGTTACTCCCTATTTTAACCCCCTAAATAATCTATCAGGTAGTAAGCTAATATCCTATTAAGCAACCGAGAAAAGCAATAATTTAGGTAATTATCCCAAGTTAGCAAAGCTACGTCGACAACTACCTATCTAGGTAAATCGAGCTACGAAGTTACTTTTATTAACACACTATGGCCTGCCAAGTTTTCTACAACACGAACAACTCAAATTCGCGTCCGCGCAAGCGATCCGACCCTAGCTGCGTACAGTATGCGTTGTCATTCGTTCGTTCAGTCCGTCTTAGTTGAGATTTGAGGCTGAGCGGCATGTGGGTCGACAATACGAGCTCAGGGGGTAAAAGCTGGATAATGCTGGGTGATGCTGGGCATGGCGCCGGCAGATCCACTGGTCTCCCACTGGCCGGACTGGCTGACTGGGTCTTCGACTGACCCTGTTTAAACTTGATGTTTCACTGGTTGTGGATCTTCTGGAAATTCCGGGACAGACGAGGACAAATGAAGAACGAAATGAGGTTATCCCTGTCAGTTCAGGGTATCGGGACAAGGGACGGTGATGCGATCCGATTTTCGATCCCTTATTCCCCCCAATAATCTTGGAAGCCGTTCTGCATTCTGCGGCTTCTAGAATATGCTGATCTCTTTATTTATTCTTTCCTTCCGCTTGAATTTTTTAACCTTTTTTTTCTTGAGTTCTAGACATTAGAGTAGACTTAATAGAGTTTCTTAATACTCATTACACTCGTTGCTCTGTCGCCTCATCGCTACAGTATTGTAGCTGTCATTCGCTTTGCTAATCAATTATTATTGGTTCTTGCTACTCGTTATAATACAGTAATATACATAGAAGATGCGCTTCGCTACATCCGTCCTCGGCCTCGCGGCCGCTGCCAACACGGCCCTTGCTGCTACCGCCGCTAACACTGGCATCAAGGGTTTCAACTACGGAGCCTTCTTCCTTAACCAGGCTGCTAAGCAGCAGGTTGATTTCGAGTACGAATTCAACCGCGCCAAGAACCTCCCAGGCACGAGCGGATGGACGAGTGCCCGTCTGTACTCTATGAGTAAGTTAAATTCCACATCCGAACCCGAAGCTATTCCCATAGCGGAGTGGTGTATATATAGTAGATCTATGTGCTAATAGTATCCAATTAGTCCAATGGGGAACCGCAAACAGCGTGATCAGCGCCATCCCTGCGGCCATCAACACCAAGACGAGCCTGCTGCTCGGTCTCTGGGTTTCCGGTAGTGACCAAGCCATCACCAACGAGATTGCAGCTCTCAAAGCCGCTATCAACCAATACGGATCCGCATTCACCAACTTAGTTGTCGGTATCTCTGTCGGTAGCGAAGATCTCTACCGTCATGACAACAACGAAGTTGGTGTTGGTCCCCAGAAGCTCATCGACTGCATCAACCAAGTCCGAAACGCCATCGCTGGCACTCCTCTCGCGGGTATTCCCATCGGCCACGTCGACACCTATGACTCCTTCCTGAACGGAACAAACCGCGCCGTCATCGACCACATCGACTGGCTCGGCTTCGACGGCTACCCGTACTGGGAGCAGACCCAGCCCAACAGCATCGGCAATGCGCAGAACCGCTTCTACGACGGACTGAACAAGACCATCGCACTCGCCAACGGCAAGCCCGTCTGGGTTACTGAGACCGGCTGGCCTGTAGCCGGAAAGACCGTCAACCAGGCCGTGCCCGGCGCCGAGAACGCCCGCATCTACTGGCAGGACGTCGCCTGCACCCTGATCGCGCGCGGCATTAACCTGTGGTGGTACGACCTTCAGGAGTCCCAGTGGGGACAGGCCTCGCCCGACTTCGGCATCTTCCCCGCCGGCGACCTTAACACCGTCAAGCCCAGCTACGACCTCTCTTGCGTAAGTGCCTACCTAACCTAACCTAATCTACAAATCCATTTCTTGATATTCTTGCTGTATCGATGACTAACAAGCTACCTAATATAGTAAACGCCAGTATTATGAAAAAAGAAAATAGGGATACAACTGTATAGACTTCCTTCGCATAGATATTGTAATCGCCATTGGGTCCCTAGAGCAGGCTTGGCGTTAATACCCCTCTTGTTCATAAGCCGTCTGGGTATAGAAGGTTCATATTGGCTCCGTTGCTGGCAGTAGTGATGGGGATCGCTTCACTTGGATATATCTACAGTCAAACTTACTGCATATAAATATAAACATACTACCGGCTACCTAGCCAAACTCACACTCACAATGTTTTCGTCTAGATTTGGGCGCTTAAAACAATTAGAACGTGTGGCTTTAACCCGTAATTTATTGGGAGCTAGTTATCGAGGATTAGCAGGATTAGCTTCACAGAATTTAGGTTGTGGTGTTATGGGCATAGTTATGATATCCGATCTCTTGGGTCAGTGTCAATGAACCTGACACAAACTAAGAAATGTCAGTACGAGAAAAAGGGGGCTACTCTTATTTTTGATACCTATCAATAGACGTAGCGTCGAATTAAATGTTAAGTTTAACAAATATTCAGGCAGCGTAGGTATATTAGGAGGAGTAGTTTGAACCCATGTATTATTCGATTTTGATCTAGAGAGGTAGACAATGCAAATTGTGTGGTAATCAAGTACAATCCCTCCTATTCCAAGTCATACACGATCTTTGCCTATCCTGATACTAATTTATTTGTTAGCCTCATCCACTTTCCTCGTACCCATACCGCAAGCCCGTGACACCAGATCATATCTGAAGCAAACAAAAAGTAACTACTAGTACATATTGAAAAGCAATACGCTACAAAAGTTTTCGAGGCCGGGGGTTAACGAAATTACGTTAAACTTGTGCGCCACCAACAGTCACCGTGAACAGCACCGGATCGCCAGCATTAACCTTCCCCGACTGGTCATCGCCCCCATTCGGCTGCACGTCATCATAAGCAAAAGCGTATCCTTTCCTGTCGACATTGTTCTCATGCACGACGCGAGCATAATGGTTCGTCGGGTCCCTCTGGTAAAACGTATGCGGCAGCGAGGGATGATGGCGCGCCTCGAGCAGGGCCGAGCGCACGAACGCGGCCGCCAGACGGGGTATGATGGCGTTGCGCGTGGGCGAGGGCCCCGTCGCGAACGGCCCGCTGTTGCACCCGAGGATGTCCGCCGTGCTGGGCTTGCCGAACTTCTCCCCGCCGATCCGCACCTCGCCGTTCTCCGCGAACTCCGCGCTTAGCACCCCCGCTGCCGCCTGCGTGTCGATCTTCAGCCCGTGCCCGCCCTCCTTCTGCTGAGCCAGGAAGTGCTCCCATACCTCCTCCACGTACGGCTCGTAGTACCCGCTGAAATTCGCCCGCACGGCGTTCCCGTGCGTCGCGTTCAGCACCCGCAGGATCCGCCCCTTGCGCGTCACGACCAGCTTGTCCCACGGCTGGCCGTCCCTCTGCGCTTGCTCGCGCAGCGCGTCGGCGACGCGGTCGAGGCCGTCGGGGGCCATGCCGGCGACTTGCTGCACGTTGCCGCTTGTTTGTAGTAGCTCGATGCCTAGAGGCAAGCGGGGCACGAAGTCGACGTAGCTGATGTTGGCGTAGAGCTGGGCGTCGTTGAGGGTGAACTCGACGAAGCCGAAGTCGACATCGGCGTTGGGGTCGGACGGGTTCAGGACGCTGGGCTCGACCAGGCCCGGCCCCGGGTTCAGCAGGAAGGTGAGCTTGGCGTCGCGCGAGAACCATATCCGCCCGCCGGCCATCTGCGGGATCGTGACGGTGACGGTGGACCCGGGCGCTCCGAGAGGGATGGTGCAGTCCTCGGTTAGCGGCGAGCCGATGCGGGGCGGGTTCTGCGGGAAGTAGAGGCTTTCTCCGTCCGCTTTGACGAAGCAGCGTTTTCCGCCATGTTGGAGGGCTATGCCGGTGATATAAGCGTAGACCTGGTCGGAATCGCTATTATTCTGTAAAGCGACTTTCAGGGACTTGGGCATGGTTACGAACTTCCAGTTTTCAGCTGATTTATTTTGGACTGTGTTGATTTTGCATAAGTGTGAAAGACGTTATGTAGAATGTTATGAGTTAATCTATTTTAAACAAAGCTATATGAAAGAGGTAGCTTAGGTACACTTATATAATAGATCTACAAGTCGGTGTCTTGATTTCTAGTCTCTAATAAGTAAGTGTTTAAGAGTGCTGTCTAACCATGACGTAGGCCTTGTTTGATTTCAAAGTAGCACTTGGCAAATCTCGCTAAATTGGACTCACCAAAGAGACTTTTTAAACAAGGCATTTTATAGTCACACAGGTACCTAATGTTGAATATTAACTCGTACAAGAGATACTAGGAACTTACAATTGAGAATACAACTATATTTCAATGCGCCAGACGTGGAGTAGTAAGGGTGGGATTCTTTTATTTTGTAAACCGTATAAACGTTTACCTGTTAGGTACCGTACTCTAATTGTTCTTGCTAATATCTCAACTCAATCAGCTTTAATAAATATTTTAACTTTATAATAACAAGCTTTTGCTATGTTAAGTATTAGACGCTGCGCCTCAAAATAGCACTTGAAACCAGGAGTTACCTAGTGTCATAGTCGGTACCTAATTGTATAACACTATGTTACTATAATATAGGAGCGAGTAATAACTCTTAAAGGTAGGTGATTGTTCAGTATTTCATTATTAGTGTTATACTATCTATGTTGGTGAGATGTTACATGGGACTCAGTGCGACCGGCAATGTAGTATTCTTTCGGCAGTCATCATGTCAGGACGGAGTCACCAATGGCAAGGGTCTCGTACATCAAGAGCCTCCAGATTTCAATACGACTCTAGCTTTCGAAAAGAACTTAAGTGACATCGCACACTTATACCACATTCAACATGAACGACAAGATTGCTTTTGTGCACTAGATATTCAAGGTGAATGTCATCTCTTGATATCTGTGTACGAAGTAGCATCTGTTCCTGAAGTCAAACTTGAGTATAACGGAACATTGATATTAAGGAAACTCTTTTTATATCATATCATTATATTATCAATCATGGAAGAAAAATCCAGGCCGTTCTGGTTTCGGTCCACAAACTGAATGAATGCTTCCGACCTGGGAATGATGTTCCTAGCTGCTTGGGGTAAATTTAGAACTAAAATGTGTTGGAGCTGCTAGGGAACCCCTGAAAGTTGAAGGGCCCATCTCATTTGCGCCTCTAATACTCAAACCCCAATGTGCCGCTATCATTTATGGGGGGTAGCGACATCATCCAAAACCCTCTTCGACGCAGCATGGAATCGCAGTTGATCTTTCATTCTAAAATTTATCTTTTAAGTTTCCACTTGAGTTCTACCCTACATACTTACATCTAATCCCAAGACAAGACTATTGTCAAAGAGATCATGGCTGGTGCCAGTAGCAGATCAACTATTGATGCACCCCCCGCCACATCCGAAGATAGAGTTCTCGCAAACGAGTGTGAGCAGAACCATAAAAGAATTAGAGCATGCATTGCATGCCGTAATATGAAGATAAAATGCGTTTCGGTCCCTGGTTCGAAAGATTGTGAGACCTGCATAAGATTTTCCCGTCCCTGTCAAGACCCAGGGCCGCCAAAAGCGCGGGTGAAAACTTCCCAGAAGTTCAGCGAACTGGAGAAGAAGATCGACGCTTTAACTAGCGCGTTAGACGCTGAGAGGAAACGGTATCAGCAGTCTCTGAAACAAGCGAGAGAAGACGCAGAGTGGTCTAGGACGCCAGACTCTAGTTCCAGGGGTGACAATACTTCGCCTTTCATCGAACGGCAGGATCACCACCCAGAAATGGTTACCAGCGACGGCAATGGTACGGATAACCCCGATGTTGTTAGTCGTGGCTTGGTAGATATTCACACCGCTTCTATGCTTTTCAACCACTGGAACACCCATATGCGCCCGTTGATGCCTTCCATCTACTTCTCATCCGGGGAGAATGTAAACACCATCCGAGCGAAGAAACCCATATTATTCTTGACAATAATCACCATAGCTAGCACTTCTGTCGAGCCGTCTATTGTGCATCCTCTTCTAGCACAGCTAAACAGCGTTCTAGCGCAGGAGGTCTTTATCCAGGGCGCAAACTCTCTCGACTTGCTCCAGTCTCTAGTCCTCTTCTCACAATATTACATACAACCTCCTCACATCAAGGCATTCGCGCTACCTCAGCATATCTACAGCGCCGTGGTTATGTCTCATGATCTCAGCTTAGAAACGGTACTCAGATCTAATGAAAAGGGGGATAGCGAAAAGGAAAAGGAAGCGTATAGAACTTTACTAGCCGTGTATTTTGGTGCATCATGGTAGGTTCTCACTTATCTTTGCCTACATCATCTGTTTATGAGTTAACTAACGTTGAATCTTTCCAGTTCAGCAACGCTTCTACGGCGACACCAGCCACTGATATTTTCACCGTCGTATCGGGCGTGCATGGAAGCTCTAACGCGAGGAAGCAATACGTGGACTGATGACCATTGGCTATGCAGTCTCGTAGGTCTCCAAGAAATTTTCGATGACGCCTCAAAGACGTTGAATGCGTCGTATACATGCACGGACGAGTCCTTCGATGACTTCAGAACACAACATCTACTAGGAATTTTCCGACAGAGACTAGCTGACTGGAAACTATCCCCATCAGGAGACCTAGACCCTCGTGAGTGTAATTTTATCAGCACTATTGACTACCTCCTACCTGAGGTTAGATTTCACTAACATTTGACATCTTGAAGGCCTCAAAAATCACGCAGTATTAGTAGCTGAGCTCTACATCCACCAAGTGGCCGTCAGGGTTTACGGTCGCCAAATACGCGCTTGGCTGAAGATCAAAGACAATGAGAATCCAAACCAGACACCACCGGTATTCACCGCGACACATATCGACGCACTTTGCCATTGCCTCAGCGCGGGTGCTAACGCTCTGAATATTTACCTTTCACTGGACGATACCCTTATCCGCTCCCTCCCCAACGTATTCCTTATTTGGAATCTATGTGTCGTAGTTGGCTTATTGAAGCTGGGTCATTTCGCTGAGGATCTATCGCATTCTCGTGTCAATGGCCCTAATAATTACAACCCCCCTTCTCCGTTGGATCTGCTCGAAGCGTTGATTCAAAGACTCACTACCTTATCTCTGCACGGGTATTTCCCTCAATCACGACCATTCATAGTTGCATTTAAGAAGCTCAGGACGTGGTACCAGCAGAGGAAGATTATCTGTATTAACAGTAATGGCGGTTGCGATGATGGAAGTGCCGAGCTTGTTCATGATGTGCTTGAGACACAAACCCCACCAGCGTCTCCGTCGCCTTCGCATTCACGGATCCATACACCTGTCCGACCGCAGCCAGGGTACCAAGATCCCTTGAGGAACAGTTACGACACGCAAGCAGATCAGAATAGCCCAGCTTTGATGACTGAGCTACAGTCCACAACGCAGCCTAATATTATTAACTGGGACGTGGGTTCTCACGCTTTTGATCCTACCTCCAAAGCACCAACCCATAGCACTGGGGCTCTAAACGCTATTAATTCTGATCCGGTCTATCCCCCTGGCTATTTTAATGGTAGCATAGGAGATATCGGGTTTGGCCTCGACGATATGAAGGATATTGACGACTTTATGATGCAGACGGTTGATGGGGGATTATGGTCGTTGCTGTAGGACAGCGATCTTGGATCCAGAGGGACTTTGTAAGGTACCTTAATGTAACATCAGTGGCTTAAAGTTACGCTACCTTAGGAGGTAGTTAGTGTGTAACTAAAGCGGGCTATCTTCAGTACCATCGAGCTGAGTGGTGATCCCCCTGTGCTGAATTGTACGGATCCGCAATCCGCAATTAGGTACTGGGCTGGCAAGAATTGTCTAGCAAGGTGATTCCTCATGACCCTTAGAAATGAGAACTTCAAAAGTCTTTTTGTCAGCTTTTTCGGATTATCAATACTTATTAACATGGGTCTTGGAATTTATTAGACTCGATCATCGGCCCCAATCAGCCCCGAGAAATCTACGATATTTGGTGTACCTACCTCTAACATAGTAAGTAGTATGGAGACGCTAAAGTCGGGGAGAAAATAGAACATAACACGGGTGTGTCTTTAATCGGTCGCTCTGCCCTCCGGTCAGGGGTGTGCTGGTCTCGGCCGGTGCCGCAGAGCCCCGAGATCAACCATCATTGATTGCTTCATCGTCCCGCGAATTGCTCAATGTTAATATCATATTGACGTCGAACCTCCTGCCCCTCCTCATGGCTTTATTTAATAGCTGCTTTGTACGAACAATGTACTTTATTCCAACCTCTCATATCATTTGTATCCTATTACCTTACATCCTCTCCCCTCGCATAAAATACTACCTACCAACATGACAGCACGTGCAGTCCTCATCACCGGAGCTACAGGCAAGCAAGGAGGTGCCGTTGTGAGCGCGCTCCTAAAAGCAAACGCCGACTTTGAGATCCTCGCTCTTACTCGAGATGTTCAATCGGCATCTGCTCAACGGTTGGCCCAGAAGTCACCCAAGATTAAGTTGGTGGCGGGTGATATGGACGCAGCCGACACCATCTTCAGAAACGCCAAGGTGATAACTAAGACGCCGATATGGGGAGTTTTTAGTGTTCAGGTAAGCCTCTTGAAAAAGTTTAGGCAAATATGGAAACATGCCGATATACTAATATCATAGCAGGCAGCTATGGGCGGCGGTGCGAATCCCCGAAAGGAAGAATTCCAAGGCAAGGCTTTGATCGACGCCTCGCTCAAGAACGGCGTGAAGCATATGGTCTATTCCTCGGTCGACCGCGGCGGCGCTAGGTCGGACAACGACCCGACCGACGTGCCGCACTTCGTCAGCAAGCACAACATCGAGAAGCACCTGCAGGAGAAGACGCAGAGCGGGGAGATGGGCTGGACGATCCTGCGGCCCGTGGCCTTCTTTGAGAACCTGACGCCCAACTTCTTCGGCAAGGTGTTCGCCACGAGCTGGAAGATCAACCTGAAGCCAGACCAGAAGCTGCAGTTGGTCGCGACGAGCGACATCGGGTTCTTCGCCGCCGAGGCGCTTCGAAAGCCGGAAGAGTGGAAGGGCAAGAAGTTGAGCCTGGCCGGGGACGAGCTGACGTACGAACAGTTCGCTGCCGTCTTCAAGCAGAAGACTGGCAATGATTTGCCCACCACGTACCATTTCGTCGCCACCCTCATCAACTGGATGTCGAAGGAGCTGGGCTCCATGTTCAGGTGGTTCCGCAACGTCGGGTACGGCGCTGACATCACGTCCCTGAGGAGGATGAATCCTGCTCTTAAGGACTTTGGAACGTGGCTGGAGACTGATAGCCAATTCAAGACTCGTGAGACATCCAACAACCACTGAGCCAAAAGTGTATTCCTTATTAGCTCAATTGCTATTATTAAGCTATCTGACCCATGAGTGGTACCACTCACACCTCGCTAGGTCAGGCACCTAATGCGTTTGGGTTATCCTGTATATTATTGGGAGGTCATGTCTATAATGGTACCTCATATAATTTCTAGTTTTTGGTGTAATATAGTCATTGAATATATGTTATGTATATGAATAATACTATGCATCAAGGTTTAGCTTCTTTTCTCAGTTATGAATGAGTGCAGTTAGTTTAGCAAGGTTATTGTAGGTACCTATAAAGCTTTCATGACACATACTCCGCTATCTTCTTAATTTCTATCACGCACGGGTGGTGTTGCCCAGGGCTTTCGTAGGCATCTAGCCTAGGTAGATACCAGGTAGGTAGTTTCACACATGGGAGATCATTAGAAACGAACATGCCCTAAAAAGCTTGCAAAGAGAAGGGGAGTACCTTAGATTGAAATTAGATAGGTAGGTAATTTTCATTTGGAGAGAATATGTAGATTCCAGCGGTGGCGTTAACATGACAAAGATGGTTACCAAAATTAGAACACGCGAGGAGAACGACTAAACTATGTTTAAGCTAGCAACGATACATGTCTCCTATTCAATTTTGAACTCCTCTCACCGTCTCCTAAACGCTCCCGACATTGGAAATAGCACTCAACAGTTGATCCTTCGGAACCGATCTCAGGTAATCTTCCCAAGTTACAGGCTTGACTTGAGGATATTTACCGTTGTCGTTCTCGGGACCAAGAAACGTCTGTCCGTTGATCATATAGTATTGGAAGAACCTGTATAAATAGATGCCTTAGCCTTCAATTCAAGGAGGCGCACAGCGAAGTTCATAATACTTACAAGAACATGTATGAGAAGATATTCTGGGGGTCTTTTTGCCTTAGTTCGTGCATGTGCTTGTAGAGCTCGTCTACCGAGCCCTGGCTTTCGAGACCTAGTTTCACACCGTACACTTTCTCGAACGATTCGGCAATCTCGCGAATTGTTGCTCGTCCACCTACAACTGTAGAACTCGTCAACATTTTATGTAAAATCAGCTTCACCGTGACACTTACGCTTCTTGACACCGACGGCATCCTTATCGACGCAAACAGCTGCTGTGTACTCCGCCGCATTCTGGTAAGTAGTAGCTTCCCAAACCTCCTCGCCCGTGCCCCAGAACTTGAAGGTTGCGGAGGCAGCGTCGAAGGTACCGAACCTCGGACTGAAGAAGACCTCCGTAAACATGCCGACCAGGACGTGCACGCCCTTGACCTTATCGTGCGCATCGAGATACGCCTTGACGTGGATCATCGGGTCCTTGGGGAACAGCTCTCCGAGCTTGAGCTTGGTGTAGTCCAGCGACCAGTCCGAAGCCACGTAGCGCGGGACGCCCTCCTCGGCGCAGGCGTCGATGAGCGCTTTCTGCCCGTCGACCATCAACTTGCCGTCGCCGAGGTAGCAGCAGACTACCACGTCGCATGCGGCGACGAAGGAACGGATCGCGGACGTGTCGAAGGCATCTCCCTTGGTGAGTTGGACTTTGGAAGATAGCGTCTCGGGAACTTTGGCGGGGTCCCTACAGTACCCCTTAATCGTGACGTCGGGGTATTTGAGCAGTGCCGATGCGAGTTCGCGGGCAAACTTGCCTGTGATACCGGCGATTCCGACTGTAATGGCCATGTTGAAAAAGTTACGATCTATACTGGTTTATGAAAGGCAATCCTCGATAGAATATAAGATAGGATATTCTTTTGATATCTCGTTTTCAGTTCAAGTGCGTCTTTGTTCGTTTTATACCGGTCCGTTGGTTGAGGGGGGTGCGCTCGGAGATCCGTGACGCCGAGACATGGTGATCGGAGCATATTCACCCCGGGTTACCAGGAGCATGATAATTTAGTAATAGTATCGGGGACTCTTGTTTCGGCACGGGATTCCAAACTCAATGACCAATAATATTATATAGAATATTATACAAAACATTATATGTGGACTTCGCTGTACGAGGTAGTGAGTGTACCCACGCTCTCTAGAACTAGGAGTGCTCTGTATTATTCGTACTGATACTCTTCTAAACCCTCATCATTCTCATGCGATAAAATCAAATCAAAACCGAGGGAATATCTAGTTGTTTGGACGGAATCTATACCCAGAGTATTATTTCGACTTTCTCGTGAAGAGCAAATCCTAAACCATGAGTCCAGAAGAAAGGATAATTCCTTGAATTTTGGAGCAAGACCAAACGGGTACCGTACTGCGCGTTTAGCCTCACTGTTTTCTTAAAGGATTTAAGAACATGGCTGTTTCTTAGCAATTAGAATACTTTTAGAGTCTTTATTGTGGTTATACTAACTGAAGGTATTTTTCTGATCCTCTTCGCTACGTTCTTTTTCGTAGGGATTATCGTGCTCGCCAGATGCCTTATTCTTATCGGACGCCGATGGCTTCTCTAAATAACCTTTAATCCTTCCGCTATTCGTGTGAGTGGAATATGTCCCTATGAAAGAGTTTAGTATCGAAGTAATCAGATCAGTAATTGTAATAATATTATTCCGACACTTACCACGTCCTTGTGGCATCGGATAATTTGACGCAGGGTTCGGTCGGATTTCGAACAGTACTGCTTTGGCATATGCCGCCGCCATTGCAGCAGCGTATGGTTGCCACGTCTTGTTTGCGTGCTTGTCTGCGTAGTTGCATACGCCCATGATGACCCCAACGGGAATGCGATTCATAATACCAGCTGCTGCCATTTCTAGACCAATAATCCCCAAATTATCTCTTAAAACGTCCCGTTTTGAAGCATTCCTGACGAGCTTTTCGCCTGATCCTATTGGGCCATACCACACTCTGGTGCGTTCTGAAGCAGGACGTTTCGTTCTCTCCACGATAAGTTCGGTACCGTCGCCTTCGTCTTGATAGAACTTATCATGATCCGGCCCAGGATGCATAAAATTTCCATTTGCGTGCCGTTCGTTCTTCATAGACTCGTAATAAGGGAGAAATCGGTGGGATTCCTGTGGTGTATCAAGCTTGATGCTTCCAATAGCGGATCTTACTACTGTCGCAGTCTGAGCAAGAACATGGCCTTGCCGGAGGAGCTTAATATCTCCCCCTATATCTCTACCCAAGTCGTATGCCACAACTCCTGAATGTTCCGTATCTGGCATACTGACAAGAACATCGCCTAACCTAATGTCTCGCAGAGGATCTTTTTTCAGATCGGGAATTCCTGCCGCCTTTTACCAATGTGATCAGTAATTTTATTCAAAAGAAATTCTTAATATAAGGCATAGAATACCCTGACTTGGGGAGTGAGTCTTAGGGGTTGACTATTATCTTGACTTACCACGCCTACTAGGAGACCAAACCAGAAGTTGGGGAAGAACTTCTTTGCCTGACTGGCCATAGCAGCGGCTGATCCTGTACCATACTCCTGACCAGCCGGAAGAGTTACAATTGCAACATTATGTCCACACATGTCACCGGCTTGATAAACGTAATCATCACCGGGACCCATCGGAAACCTGCCGGCATGCTTATGATCCAACATATGCAAAGCAGCTTGCGCTTCGATTTCTAATGGGGCGATCCATATGATAGAATAGTCTTCTGGATTTAAGATGTCCATTGCTTGGTTCCCGATGTAATCAGACGTCAAATTTGGTTGAAATGTTACTGAAACTCAAAACAGTACTGATGCGAACAGATAAGAGAGTGGAAGTTTAGAAGGCTTACTTGAAATAATAATATTTACTTGGGTAAGTAGATAGATATATGATTTATCGAGCTGAAAAGCGCTGCTGCTAGCCGCCAGCCTGCTTTTTTATTGATGCAAGTTGGCGGTTTTCAAATTCTAAAACGTTAAACCTAATAGAGGACGCCTTCTCATTGGTAGTTTCATTCTTGTAATGCAACCATTATCCATCAGCGACGAGCCACTATACCCCACATCAAGGCGAAAAATAGCACAGCCTGGTGGTTCGAAGCCATCTCGGCGTTTAATTGGCAGTAAATCGGCCATAGACAGCATCCTTTATACCCGAATAGATTAGTACCTATTCAAAGATATATCCGGATACCCCAACAGTCCTCAGGCACTATGACTGCTATTCTCATAACTGTTTTTCTAAACAGTTAGAATTTTTAAAGGAGAAGGCTAATGAATTACTCGGTACTCAGGCTGAGGTATGAGAATGTAAACGAGAGCGTTTACAATAAACAGGAGGTCAATAGTTAATACACAAGCATTGGAGAGAGCATCAGATACAAATTTATGTGGCAATATTCTTGCTACACTGCAACAGACTACAGTAGTGGCATTCATTTCCATTTCCCTCATTGTTGGCAAGACCACTTACTGTACGTGGGAAAAGATTAGACATTGGGGTGATGTGATCATTTAATTTTATCCTGGAGAAATTATTGACACCTGTAAAAATATGTAGACGGTGTCCAAGAACTTGATCACCTTCACTATAGTACTAAATGCATACTATGCCGCTGAACTGTCCCGGAAGTAAAAAGCATTAAAAGGCACATGTTGGATTTGGATGTGGATCGACTAGTACCACTTGCGCTATAGACTCACTTCCACCAAATCATGCCTTCACGGGGTGTTCATGTTGGTAATAACAATAAAGATAAAGATGTACGATAGGAAATTGTCGTAATGACATAACTTGAGGCTTGCATACTCATTCAGTTGCAAAAGGCAACATTAATATCGGTGGTACTTAGTGATCTTGAAGCTTATTATCAAACGAAGCAATCTTAAAAGGATATGAAGAAATAATATAATGTAAGGATGCCAGTGCTAATACTCGTGAGTATCTTAACAACCTGTAAACTTTGGTAATAGAAGGGGTGCATAGGCTAAGTATGAGCTGTTAGTTATTGGATATGGTGCACTACGGAGGGAATTCTCCGTGATAGTGTCACCGGCTGACCTTCTCGCATACCTCGGGCTCCTAGGTCCACGAAGTCGGACTGTCCCGTCTTGGCAAAGACCCTCCGGAACGAAAAGCAAGAGAAGATAGCGCCGTTGAGCGACCGCCGGAATTGCAGGTTTAAATTCTGCGCCACAATATCCCTTACCTTTACTAACCGGGCGAATCAAACGAGCTTCCGATGTCTCGTGTAAAACAAATCAGTAGACTTTTTTTTTTTTTTTTCGCTTTATCCAGAGCGTACAAGCCGGTCACGACATCGCCTGGGATATTGGTGCCATCTCTGGAACTAATACACTGCACCACGATTGTTAAACCGCAATCCAGACTCGCCCTTCTTTCTGGTCCACTTACAATATACAATATCTCTTCTCTGATAGAAATTTCCCAAACAGGCAGGTGTTCGTGGTAATCCGCGCCATTCGGATTTAGCATCACACCATCCTGTTGTTTGCCGCTCTGTGTTCCAACGCACGCTGGCGGGGGGATAAAGAGGTTCAAGATATAACGGATTCAATTATCTTTTTTCTTTCGTCCTGCTTCTATTTCATTTCGCATGCATTGGCGAGATGTTCCACAAAGATCTTTAATCTCCTCCCCCCCTCCATCTACCAATCCGACCCAAGTTTTCTGGAAGAGAAAATGACGGGGCCCATCGAAACAGCAATAACAACACCGGCGCCGGAAGATGTTTCCGACGCTGGAAAATCGCACAAGAAAGCGACGGTGACGGAGGCGCCCGTCGTGCCAGGCGGCGACAAGTCGACAGTCACCTTGCAGCGCGAGGCAAGCGAGGAGGACAGCGCCGGAGAGACTCAGCATGACGACGACACCGAGTACGTAAAAGGGCATCCCGTTATTCGAACCGGTAACTAATTCATAATTTTGACTCTCTCTCTCTCTCTCTCTCTCTCTTCTTTTTACGAGCTTCGAGGTTAATGCTTGAGATTAGGCTTCGACGTGTCGAAATTCCTGATATCGCTCCGCGATGATGGTGACCCGGCATTGACGTTCCGCTGCATAGTCTTGGGGACCATCTTCACGGCTCTCTCAAGCGTCATTACTATGCTTTACATTTTCAAGCCGTTTATCGTACAAGTTTCGGCCGTCTTCATCCAGCGTATGTCCTTATCTTCTCCTTTTGAAATGGCCTTTTAGGTACCTACCTACCTGGTACCTAGGTACCTAACCTAACTTCTTTCCGCTCACACTTGGTACCTAGTCCTGGTCTTTATTTTCGGCGAAGCGTGGGCCCTCGCAACTCCTCGCCCGGAACGGTTCAAGTCCAAGTGGGTACAGAAGGTGCTCAGATTCCTCAACTTTGGCCAGCCATTCGGGATCAAAGAGCACGTGGTAGCGTCGCTTATCGCATCGTCTGGTAACAATGGCTTGTCCGGTGTCGAAGTTTATGCCGTGGAGCGATTGTTCTACGACAAAGCCGTCTCTGCTTCTACTGCGGTCCTGGCTACCTTCTCCATGTCACTCTGTGGGTTCGTATTGGCTGGCGTTCTACGGCCGCTTATCGTCTACCCCGCGGAGATGGTTTACTGGTTGACGCTGCCCCAAGTAGTGCTCTTCCAGAATCTCCATTTCGATCGGATCGCCAACCGCGGCCGCCTCATCAAGTTTGGCTGGGCTCTTGCATTTGCTGCCGTCTGGGAAATATTCCCGGCATACATAATACCGTGGTTCAGCGGGATCTCCGTCTTTTGCCTAGCATCATTGGGCGCTCCTCAAACGACCCGCACCATATTTTCCACCATTTTTGGAGGAGCCTCTTCCAACGAGGGTCTTGGACTTCTGAACTTCTCGCTGGACTGGCAGTATATCCAGAGCCAGTTTTTGTCGCTACCTCTCAAGCAACAGCTCAATTCCTGGATCGGGTATGCCATCTTGTACTGCGCGCTGCCCGGGCTGTACTACAGCAACACGTGGAACGCGAAGCGTTTTCCTTTCATGTCGACGGCTCTCTTCTCAGCAAACGGCACCGTATTCCATCCAACGACGATTTTGAACGAGCGTGGTGTTGTGGACGAAGAAAAGCTGAACGAGGTCGGTCTGCCGTACCTGACGTCGAGCACCGTATGGGGGTATTTCACCCAGAACGTCGCAATAGGCGCGCTGATAACCCACGTTATCATATTCTTCGGTAAAGACATGATCACCGCGTGGAAACAGGCACGTAGCAGGACTCAACCCGACATACATTACCAAGCGATGTTAAAATACAAGGAGGTGCCGCAATGGTGGTACCTGGTCCTTTTTACTCTCTGCTTTTTCGCTGGATTAGCTGTGAACATTAAAGGCGAGACGACACTCCCGGTATGGGGGTATATCATATCCCTTATTCTAGGGTCTTTTATCGCGCCGTTCTCCTGCGTTCTCTACGGGTTGTACGGAACCGGAGTGGCAACCAACGCGATCTCCAAAATGGTCGCCGGCGCCGTGCACCCGGGGCTCCCCCTGGCCAACTTGTACTTCGCCAGCTGGTCGCATCAGGTCATCCTCCTCGCCGTAAACTTGGCCAACTGGCTCAAAGTTGGACAGTACACGAAGGTACCCCACCGCATCATGTTTTTCACCCAGATCTACGGGACTCTCCTCGGGGCGGGCTTGAACTACGCCGTGATGACCATCATCGTCAACAGCCAGCGGGAAATCCTTCTCGACCCGCAGGGGAACAGCGTCTGGAGTGGCTCGGCTGTTCAAAGCTTAAACTCGCAGGCAGTAACGTGGGCGCTGGCGAAGCAGATGTACGGAGCGGAAGGACGGTATCTTATCGTTCCCCTCGGCATCATTATCGGTCTCGCCATACCGGCCTTCCACTGGGCTTTGATCAAAGTGATCCCCCGTCTAAAGGAATGGCCTATCAACACGGCGGTGATTGTCGCCTACAGCGGACTCAACTACTACGGAAACACGTCGTGGCTGTGGTCTTCCATAGCCGTTGGCGTCTTTTCACAGCTCTGGTTGAGACGTCGGCTACCGGGGATTTATAACAAGTACAATTACCTTATCGGTGCAGCTTTAGACGGAGGGTCTCAGCTGGTAATTTTTATTCTGTCTTTCGCCGTGTTTGGTGCCAGCGGGACGCCTCATCCGTTCCCAACGTGGTGGGGAAACCCATCCGGCAACCCAGATCATTGTCTTTGAAGTTTGATATGCAGTAGTTAGGAGAATTCATTTAATCGCCTGTGTTGAGTATTATTTCTTTCGTGTTATTGTGTTGTCCTTAGCATTACAGTTCCTACTACAGGCTCTTAGCAGCTTCATTTTTAAAGGAATCGGATACCCTGGTCATCCCGGTCCCACTATATAATAATAGTACGGAAACTTACGGTACGGGGCGCTCCCGATGTGGGGCTAGACTTCGGAGCCGTGACGTAATTCAGCAGGTGCGATGCTGTCGCCTGCTTCTATTCAACCTCACACCTGAGCCAGTAGTAGAGTGATCTAAACATTTCGCATAAGATACTAGGTTCTCTTACGTATCCCATACATTAACACGTTTGGCTGGGGCTTACATTTAGGTAGGCATAGCTCCAAAAGTACAAGTTGAAGGCTTTCACCAGTGTTCCGAGTAACAGCTATACTAAGTAGGACCCGGCTATCCAGCTCTACAACTATCCGTAAGAATACAGCTAAGTTTCTAGCATAACCTCCTATACTATGATATAAATCAATTTAGTCCAGGTTTAGTACCGATCTCTATGACGCGAGTTATCGGATGAGTATGATACCTTAACAGTCAAAATCGACCAAAATCATCAGCATTCGTCTCTACGTTATAAGATGGTCCAACCACAGTTAGAATACTTGCCTGTTTTATAATATTTCCGTCTCTATTATAGAAGTCAGAAGTTGAAAATTAGCTCTTCGCATGTGCAACAGGTCCCATCTGCTAGCCAAGACATTGTCAAACTTCTCACCAGGCATCTAACAATGACCCACCACTAATTGAAAAAGACATCACTTGTTTCCAAAAGCGTAACCGGGTTTGGATAGAATAGAACAAACAATACCTACCTACGGTTTGAATTTATAACGTGCGCAGCTGCTATACTTTTCTAGGCTGAGCCGCGCTTCCACCCCCCTGTTGAGAAGGTTTGAGGTAGTTTTTCGAGCCTATGACAGACCAGCAATGCGATCTAGGCGCATGTCCCCGACAAAAATCGCACGAAAAAAAAGCCTTGTAGGGCGAGTCCAGCCCACGGTGAAATGTCTCACAAGACCTTATAAGAAGAGTGCTTCCCGGTCTGCATTAACTTCCGCTAGATCATGTTGTACGCATGCCTTTTGGGGGGGAGGGGTTGTCTTCTGCTAAACCCCAGGAGTAATATAGGTAGTAAATGTCCAATCTTTGGGCACCTCCTTAGTATTCAGCATTTCCATCCAAGGAACGTTCATAATGCGTCCGTCTCCGGCGTTACTGCCACTGCTGGTACCTCTAGCGAGTGCCGGTCGTGATATCGGTCGACAGGGATATGGCTTGATTGGATATGGCATCGAGATGTACAACCCCATCTGCGCCTACGCATGCCAGTATTCTTTCGGGTCGAATCCGCTGGTATGCACTGACGAGGCCTCGTTCGATGGCTCTGGTATGGGTGGAATGAACATAAGACGCAGCGAGGATGGAATAGTTCTTCCCCAGAACGTGAGCGCGATGCCGTCGTCGACCTGCCATGCCGAGTCCGAGCCGTTCCTCACATCGGTAGCCTGGTGCATCCATGAGAAATGCGACGGCGAGTTTATCTGGAAGATCGAAAAGTGGTGGCAGTCATACGTGGTCGGGAACTCACAATCAGATCCTCCACCGTCCCTTTCGTACGGCGCGGCGCTTGCTTTGGTGTCCTCACGGCCGAACAGTACTTGCTCGAGCGGACAGATATTGAACGAAAAATGCCTCGTCGATGAAACACTCTACCACGCTCAACATGTTTCTCTCAATTTCAACCAAAATATTGAGATCCAGCATGAACGTTTCGGTCTAGTCATCCTCTTATCTGGCGTCGTTATCCCTGTTGGTTTCTCGCTTTTACGCTTCCTCCCCTTTCCAAAACGATGGGCAAGCGCGCTCAGTGGCCATTTCATCTATCCTTCGCTTCTTCGACCATGGCGTAACTCGCCGGTTGCTGCCGTCGTCGGCGACCCACCGACAAGAGGCCAAGCACTTTTCATAGGGTACTTGATCCTCCTTAATATTTTCCTCAGCGTTCAAGTACGGCATTCATCCAGACGCCTTCGGGTACTGATGAGATGACGGCCCTGGCGAAATAATGGGCGACCTAGCGAATCGGCTAGGGGTCCTATCATTCGCCAACTTTGCCCTCCTGGTCCTTTACTCATCGCGAAACAACGTGCTTCTGTGGTTGACCAACTGGCAGCATTCAACCTTCGTCCTGCTGCACCGATGGGTAGCGCATATCGCCATCCTCGAAGCTATCCTACACTCCCTTATCTTTCTCCACGCCTGGATCCGGAAAGATAGACTTGAGAAAGATCAGGTTCTGCCGTATTGGTGGTGGGGTTGCATTGCGACAATCGCGGCGTCGCTCGTCCTGCCCCTTTCCATTCCCCTACTTCGCCAGCGCAGCTACGAGCTTTTCCTCGCAATTCATATAGTGGCTGCAATTCTTATTTTCCTGGGCTCATGGTATCATATCATCCACCGTTATGAACACCAATGGGGCTACGAAACTTGGCTATATGTTGTGTTTGCAGTTTGGGGGTTCGACAGGTTGATTCGCTTGCTGCGCGTTCTTCGCAATGGAGTTCGGACCGCGAATATTACTGTTATTAACAGCGACTACGTCAGGATTGACATAAAGGGCGTCGTTGGGGCGGGCCATGTCTATCTCTATTTCTTAGACTGGCGTTTCTGGGAGAACCATCCTTTTAGTATCGTAAGCTCAGTCATTCAGCAGGGTGATACATCATTGAATGAAGAGAATGTCTCACAGGCGAAAGACGTAGTATTGGGCGGTGCGGAGTTTCGATCACAGCGTTGAAACGGGCATGGTATTCTACTTGCGTATCTTAGATGGCGGGACTAAGGCACTACGTTATAAAACCCAACTTTCAGTTTTGATTGAAGGTACATACGGCACTCATGAAGATCTCTCGGATTATCCAACCCTTGTCTGCATCGCAGGCGGAGTTGGCGTCACTTCTGTTTTTCCTTACATGCGCGCACATCCCGGTAACGCATATTTGTACTGGGGCTCCCGTACCCAAGCGCTTGTCGACTCGATGAAGCCTTTAACACACAATTTCAATATGGAGGTTTCAGTGGGCCAGCGTTTGAACATTCAACCCATTCTAGAAAGTCAGCACGGAGACTTCGCAGTTGTGGTGTCTGGTCCCCCAAGCATGATGGACGAAACTCGTAAAATCGTTAGCAAACTTACCTTGAAAAAGCGAGTCAAATTAGTTGTAGAATCATTTACTTATTAGTACAGGATCACTTTAAATTTAAAGCTTCTTTAACAAAGTCAAACCTTTAACTTATACACATGTAATTGATAATGTGATCAATTCAGTATATCGAGACATCTTAGATACAGACTTGCAATGAGTTAGCAGAAGCACCATGTCATTTTCTACATAAAGTATGCCTTAGGTAGGAGCCAATTCCGAATACCAAGGGAAAGACAAATACACACAACCAGACTTCCTTCTACTACAGCTACCCCTTCCTATGTTTTCAATTGCCTGGAGGGACTTGCCAGTCACAGCAACATGTCATGTCACAACTGCGGTAGTCTCAACAGTATCGTATCAGAAGTCAAGTCATGGTCTGATTTAAGAATAGTTTATTGCCTAATTTGGTCTGCGACTTGATCGTACTGAGCAAGTTTAAGTAACAAAGCGCGATTTGGAGGACTGAATTCAAGGAACCCTGAAGTTGGAGAGAGTGAACTTTCCGTAACGAAGGCCAACTAGCACCAATATGGCACCGGAAACTACCTAATGTACCTTATATAGGCCGGTGAATCCTGAGGGTTTGAAGGTGTTGATTGTCCTGTGTCATAATGCCGCGAAAAAGAAAAAAGAAAAAATAAGAACTCAACGCAAAACCAAATGACGATCCGGTATTCCTTGGTAAACCTTGCTAGCACAAAGAAAGGACAAATACCTAGTAACAAAACCAAGCTGCCTGTGAGTCCTCACGGAGGCTCAGTATCTTGCTGCTAATAGAATCATATTCTAATCAGTGCAAGAACGACTCTAATGTGACCAAAGAGATCAAAAGGAAGAGCAGCACAGATATGGCAGTGGCTTGACTAGGGCGAAGAAATAGCTCCAAAGCTTCTTCAAATCTTAACACTTAGATGCAAGCTGCGTTAGCTTAGCATGGATATATAGCAGCAGGTTGGCGCATGTGTGTCGATCTCCATCAATATGGTGGTTCCGAGAGTTCTCTCTTAACGGAGGAGTCCGGCGAGTCACTTCACCTTTCAGTCTACTCCAAGTTGAGCGGAGCGACGAGGTATAATTTATGAGGGTTATCGATATTAGATGAAGCCTTAAGATTGCCATCCACCCACTGCATTGCCCAAAACGGGCCCAGGACAACGAACGTGTGGAGGAGTGCTCTGTGGAACGTGCCTCTATGGAAAGGGGTTACCATCTCGGCCATCGAGAACGTACTCAACACCATCACTGCTCCCAATAATTCCTGTGTCACTTTTGAAATCAGATACCCTGTCCTTCCTGACGAGCCATTTACCCCCTAGAAACTTACGAATGCATGGGTCCGACGGCTTTCGCTGCTTTGATTCGTACGGTACGAGCTTTGCGTTGTTGCTGTCGATGGCATTCACCGTACAGCCGCATGCAAGGCTGGGGATTCCCTTTTGACGTTCGACATCTTGAGCCATTGTCGTCCATCGTTGGTGCTTACTTCTGAAGCTTTCAGATTGTTCTTCCAGTGTTCGTGCCCCGTATTCGGCTGATTCCGGTGCATCATGTCCAAGTTCTCGCGGAACTGGTGTCTTCAACTGTGGTTCAAGCGCCAACTCACGTTCATGAGGAGGGCATTGCTCACAAAGCCCATGCGCATATCCGATATCACGAAAGTACCAGATTCGAGTCTTGGGCAAGAACATGCTAACGCTGAGTGTATGAACAGGAGCATCCCCGAATCGTTCATAATAAAACCCACCAGCCTTGTCCAAATGGTCGAAATACGCCTTGTGCTCTTTGCTTCGAAAGAATTCCAGAGAGCCAATCTCAAAGTTGGAATAGAACTGGCAGTTATTGTACTCTCCATCACCAACACCCCCCTCAGCACCTGTATGTGGACGAATCACATCGTCACGATCTTCAGCCGTATATAGCAACCATTCTAAATCCGCATCTTCATCTATCAAATCCTCGTTATTGTCGATGAATGCTTTGGTACGCTCCCAAAGAGAGGGGAAAGACCGGGCGTCGTCGAGGATGGCCATGTTAAATCCATAGGCCATGTTATTATCTCGCATGAAACGGAACACATCGTAGTTGATGTCGCAAGAGAACTTCACCTACAGTGTCATGGTTAGCTGCTGGTATACAGGAGGATCTTACTGGCAGACACAAACAACTGTAACTTCTAACAAACCCCTTGACGCAATGGCTAACTTACAGCAGGTTCGACTCGCCAAAACAAATCATAGTTGGCCAGTCGCTTCTCTGATGCGAAGATACCAGCGTTCCAACGGCACATGTGATGGTAACTTTGCAACCACGCCTTACCGACGCCAATACCGCCCATGAATTGACGGCCAACGTCAAATCGTGTGACATCAATCCAAGGGGGAATGCTCCAATGCTCTTCAGGGATGCGTTCAAAGTAGCATTGGGAGTCAGTGGCCTTCAACACGGTTGCTTTGAATTCGTCAGTGAATTCTTCATTGTTAAAAAAGACCCAGTCGTATCGGTGGGTTTTCCGTCTATTGAATCGAGCTTCCACCTGGAGGATGCTGGAGACCATCTCTCCGAGCTCCTCGTTTCTCACGAGAGAAATAAATGCCGCCTTCGGACGTGTGTCGACCAATTCTTGCATTTGTTGGGTTGACAAGTCCTGTACATCTAGGATGGTATTCTTGCGTAGCCACTGGATCGGATGACTAGCGTCTGCCTGTATAGTGTATCCAGCAGGAGGGTGTGGCATAGGGGGCACATAAGCGTCAACAACTGGGGTTTGTAGATTGATTGACTTTGTCTCCCGGGTGGAAAACCAAGTGCTCCCAACAAGGGCAGACGCTAAGAAGAGAAGAATGATCCTGCGAAAGGAGATAGGCCTTTGAATAAACAAAGTAGTATTAATGGATTGGTCACATTGGTTGTTATATTGGGAACGTACCTGATCCGGCGAGGAAGAAAGTTCCAATTGGATATTCCTTGGACCTTGCTATGGGTTGGTTTAACTATACCCTCAGGAGCAATAGCTGGAATATCATCACCTTCTTCCTTTTGTAGGGGAGAAAGACTTATAGGGGTAAGGTCGTCGATGGAAGAACAAGACAAGGTCGTTACGTGACCTTTAGCCCTAGGTGGTCGGGACATATGAACACCTTGCCCGCCGCCTGTGTGCCGAGGGTAGGCTTTGGGGGTATGGAACTCCATCTATCTTCCGTTTTCAATGGTTAATACAGGCGGCGATATTACAAGGACGTTAGGGAACACTTTACAAGAAAAAAAAGAAAAGAAAAACTAACCTAAGGCGCCGTCGTGCTGTGATGTGATCTGAAACGGCAGGAAACCAATTGAGGATCGTTGAAAATGAATAATTACAGGTTAACGAAAGTGTAGACGAAAAAAAAAGAGACAAAACAAAGGTGCAATTGAAGTGAAGGGGAAACGATTGACGATACGTGGTGGGATATTTGTCCTAGAAGACAAATCCTAGGGATGGTTGTTGGTGAGTGCAGAACGAAGAACGAAGAACGAAGAACGACGTAGAGAATGAAAGAAAAGAATAACAACAGCAGGTGTTTGTAAACGAAAGTTTTCCATCTACGTTGTGGCTGTTAGTGTTGTTTCAGGAAAACGCAGCGTCTATGCTTCACTCGAAATTGGAAAGTAGTTTGATTGCTGTTGGCTAGGAGGAAACAAACAGCCTTATCAAAATTCAAAACCCCCCTAGTGCCTTTCACCTGTCGTTTGTAGAATATCAGGGAAACAACCGCAATCCATAAGGAGGTAAGTCCGGTAAGGAGGTACCTTCGAACGCAACTGCCTCAGTATAAAGTTTATGGAAACCACGGAGACGATTCACGGAGAGGAACCACGGGAACGGTCCCCACCCGTCAGTCAGATGCCAGCCAGCCAGCCACGGGTTGATCCACGAGTCCCATCACCCGCCTAATCAACCCGTCTGTTATCTGATCACGGGGTCACCCATATTGTTCAAGCAGGCACGCTGCTTAAATGTTGGTAGACACTGTAGAACTTAGGTAGTTTCCTGTCCATCCAGACTGTATTGCATAATCCTATCATGTCACAGACTGACGTTATGACGTTATAAATACAAAGCAATATCGAATTAACGAAGGTCAACGAGGGCTGGGTTACCTACGTTTCTCATCTTGGAAATCAATAATGAACAATTCCCTATTTGCTACCTAACTCCTGCCCTTACTAGAAACGGAGCACATCACGTTTCAACCATCATATCATCCCCAGCCATGTCGTCCTCGTGTGTGAGCTCGAGGATTCGTGCATATTGTACAGTAAGGCGTTGGAGTTCCCGGAATTTTCCTACATTGGCAGTTAGCATTCAACTCAATTCAAAACCCAAGTCTTTAATCATGCCGCAAAGCTTACCTAGAATCATCACTACGCCTTTTAGGAGGTCCTTTCGGTCCCATCCGCAGATATCATCGTCCTGACTATACCATCCCTTGCCCTCTGCATTCTCCCCCTTTTTATCTTGCAATACGCCACCGACTAAACTGTTGAGAAGTTCTTCTACCTTCCCCCGATGGCCCTCTGCTCCTATCCGTTTCGCGTACATGAACAAATACAGCCGGAACTCGTCCTTCGAACCCAACTGCAGCGCACCGGCAATCCGGTTCTCTAGATGGGCGATACTGACACTTGACTCGAAGGACTCGAAGCCGTCCCTCGAGAGGAGGGTCTTGATTAGTCGCTGTAAGGTATATGCTCTCCCCTTTAGTAGGAATTCGTTCGTCGTATGTCGTTCTAAGTAAGGAATAATACCGGCCGAAACAGTTGCTCCATCACCCTGACCGTCCTTTAACGATGCAGATCCAACTGCGGTAGATTGCAAAGCTCCGACTGAAGAATCGTTGCTATTCCAGTACTGGCTGCCCACAGCCCACCAGGACTCAGACAGTCGTTGCCAGGAATACATCGTTGGAGAATAATAGTACCCGTCGCCATTTGTAAGGGTAACAACAATGTGACCGCTAGAGTTTAAGTGGGCAGATGTAACACCCGGACCGGGCATGGCGCCATGCGTTTGGAGCGAACTAATGGCAATCTCTAATACAGGCGCAAGCGAAACTGGTGGATGGGGCGACGATAGCGTGTTAATATTCCAAACATGACATATACCAACCGCTGTAATGCAAAGCAGCCACCAATCGCGACACTCCAGAATTACCGGCTGGGACTCCAATACCATCGCATTTATTAATCGACGGCCCGCAGGAGTCCAAGTATATATACTGCCGTCTTCGCACGCTGCTGCCCAGAATCTCTTGCTACCAGTCACCAGGATGATAGCCCGTGGAAGGTAATCTTGCCAGAGTAGAGTACCGCGCTTCGTAGCGGTGATATGAGAGGGTTCTCGAATTGATACCGGGTTCTTTGCTTCCAAGATCACATTCTCCGGTACTTTCGATGCTTCCTCTAAGCTACTCTCATCCTGCAGCACGCCTCGTTCTAATGGGCGAACGATATGCGACCTAACTTTAGGTACTGCTAAACGAACTTGAGAGACTGCAATAGAGGGATTAAGAATGGCTGGTCGGAGATATTCCGGCGTTGGTATGAGACCATGTTTAGGCGGTTCAAGAGTTGCGGGCTCGAGACCTTCTACTCCATTTCTCATTATAGCTCTTGGCCCAGACGCGGATCGCTTGCTTGGATGCTCCTCGTCGTCTTCGCCTTCGGACACAATAGCTTTCCTTTTATTTCCAAGGAGCATAGCTGCCAACCCTCCCTCAGGTAATCCGTCATACGGTTTCGAGAGATCCAGTATCGTTTGTGGGGCGTCGTTCTGTGCGGCTTTGGAGGAGCTAGATCCAACTAGCTGGCTTTGCGGAAGCGATGATTGACCAGTTCCAGATGATGAAATGAGCATGGGCGCTACTCTTTTCTTCCCGTCCTTGGTAATAGTTACGCGTGATTTCAATTCAGTCACCCGTTCGGCGACTTTATCGGCCGACTCTTCAGCGGCGGGCGCCTTTTCTTTTTCTGGCTGAGCGTCCGTCTGTCCATTCGTCGGTGGCGGGTTTGGTGTTGCAGTGCTACTGCTACTCTTAACGCCATTAGCTGTAGGGGGTGCATCCTTCGGAAGCGGATGAAAGTCACCCATTAGCGCTCCCATTCGCGATTCGGCACCTTTTCTCTCCCCTTCCTTGCTGTGATTTTCTAGCTGGAGCCCATCAACGTCTTCTGCTATTCCCATAGCTTTCCGAGAAGCGCCGTACTTGGACAGGGCCTTATCCGTTTCCTCCAGGTTAGCCACCCAGCCCAATTCCCCGGTGTCGAACTTAACCGCGACAATGCCACCGTCAAGACTTGATGCAAATAGGATTTGTCCATCGGGCGTCCAAGCAAGATCTGATATTGATTTTGATGCCATATCCTGCAGGATGACCACGGGTCTAGATGTATTAGTGTTCCAAACGCTCAAGGTCTTGTCTTGGCCTGCCGACGCTATTACTGTGACCAAAGACCCCCCGGGATGACCATTAGTTGCTCCATTTTCCACAGGCTTCTTGGTGTGGAATAATCGAGGAGAAAACATGCAAACTTCGGTAGGACCTTCATGGCCGATCAAGTTGATTTCGCTGTCCCACCTACTTCGCTCGATAATTGCAACAGAGCTTACAGGACCATTGACAGCATTAGCTGCAGCAATGTGGTTACCATCTGGTGACCACGAGCATCTTCGAAAATAGGTAGTTAATGGGGAGGATTTGAAGGGAGCGCTAATAGTAGTTTCGAGTTGAAAATTATTAACCATATCATGTTGAGTCGCATTAGGGGCTGGGGGAGTAAACCGGAATATTTTGATAGATCGATCGTCGCTAGCAGTAGCAAAGAACTTATTTGCAGGGTCGAAAGTAATCCCCTTCACATGGCTTTGATGATTCCCAAGTACCTTGAGCTTCTCAAAGGTATGTCCCGACCATATAACAACCTTGGAATCGAGACCCACGGAGACGAGGATGGAGCCGTCGTAGGACCATGCGAGATCTTGAACATCATTATCGTGCCCTATTAATCGCCTTGAAGTCTTCCAATTCTCGACGGGAGGGGGCTCATTCGTTCCAAAGGGTGCGATGGTAGGTGGACCACTTTCAAGTTGATATATACATATAATCTTGTCGTCTGCTCCTGATGCGAGGTAACGACCATTGGGTGAAAAGCGCACGGAATGGATGGTACCGAGGTGATGGCTCATATGGCAGAGCTGCCTCGGTTTCGTGTAGGAAGGATCGTCGGCGTTGTAAATGGATTCTATTGACCAAACTCGAACATGGCCATCTAAAGAAGATAAGTCGTCAGCGCAAGAAGAGCTTGGAATGACCAAGCATTGCTAGAATAACGCACCTCCACCGGCGGTTGCAAGTCGTTTGCCATCAGGCGATACGTGGCAGCTATAAACCTCGAAGTCTTTCTGCTCGCCTTTAGAAATTATCAGCCTCGTTTCCTCTCTACAAGCATAGCAAGAGCAAGAGAGAGACAGATCTCATACCTCTATGGCTCAGCCACGATGGCTTAATGATGCGCATGGTGACTCGATAATCGGAATTGTAATTCGCATGTCGGCATAAGCTTAAAGTTACTTAAATAAAGATGGGAGAAACCCGATTTAAAAAAAAAAAAAAAAAAAGAATGCGCGCTCAGAAGTTTCAGTAAATGGTTTGGTTTGTCGAAGAATCCGTGGCGCGCGACGCGGCCCGAGTTTGGGACAATTTATTAAAAGTTTACGTAATCTCTAAGCTCAGCTAGACCTAAGAGAAGTGCTATGTACCTGAGTACCTACAGAGGTGCCTATCTGAACCTTATGAGCACGGCTGCACGGAGCCACGGGCACCCCACAAGGCAGCCCCCTACGCCGACCCAAGTATCCGGCAGTCTGTACCTCCCTAACCCCACACATGTGCGCCCAGAATCACGTATAAGATAATATCAACCTTGTCAAACACTGGCTGCACATCGTGAACAAACATTTATTATGTGCATAGAAACTGAATAGTCAAGTCCATTGATCAGAGAATGCAACGAATCTCAACTGCTTTCCCCTATCCGACGGCAAATGCATCATGTCTAAAGCCGAGCAACAACTAATTCAGAGTTCAGATGGAAAGAAACGAAAAATAAAGGAGCATTTCCGATCCGGCAACAAGATCCGAAGACCAATTATCATGCCGTCGTTGTCCATAACCCCTATGGGAAAAGGGAGGCTATTCTTATGCGTAGTTCCCTTTCCTTCCCGACTCCTCTCAAATGCCAAGTCCCTCCTCCCAACGCCCTGTAAAGTCATCGTCCATAGACTGCATAGGTTGCGAAAACATGGGGAAAAAAGAGGAAGCGGAAACATTGTCCGCAGACCTGCTTAAGAAGTAGGGTATATGGAGGATCCCTAATAAAGAACACATCTGATGATAGTGTCGCATAGTATTATTACTGCTGGTAAACGCCCGAGTCATCGTATCCTGAAAGTCAATACTAATGCTCTGTGTAAGTAAGCGTGTTCTGCTCTGAACGAGTCATGAGAGATGCCTTATTCATATTGCGATAGGGCCAAGTGACGTTCAGGAGTAACCATTGCTTCCATATCGAGTTTGTTGGCGATGGAGATCATTGAAGTAGGGGTGATGGCAGGCTTGCTTGGCAGAGATTCGACCTGCGGGGTCGTATACGAGTAAAGCCTCGAGGAGATCTAGGCCGTTCTCATCGAGATTTGAGCACAGAACCGTCGAGTGATCACGTACCCACTTGGGGAACGAGGGTTTAAAGTCGGGGTAAGAAGTGACTCCAGGCCAAACCTCCTCAGTAGGCGTACCCAGTAAGCTAAAAACATTGTAAGCAAAAGTTAACCCACATAGGTCACATTGAAATGGTAGACTGACCGGAATGTCTTGAAGATCTGGTCAATCTCCGAATCTCCGGGGAACAGGGGTTTTCTGGTGCACATCTCGGCAAAGATACAGCCCACGGACCACATGTCAACGCCTGTAGAGTACTGTCGACCGCCAAGCAGAATCTCTGGAGCTCGATACCAGAGAGTCACGACCTCATGAGTGTACGTTCTAAGGGGCACTCCAAAAGCACGCGCCAAACCAAAGTCAGCAAGCTTCAGATTTCCGTCGCGGTCGATCAGCAAGTTCTGGGGCTTGAGATCCCGGTGCAGAATCCGGTGGCTATGACAGTACCGAATTCCTTCGCAAAGCTGGCTCATGAACCGACGAACCATTCCACTACCGAGTCCGAGACGTCCCAACTCAGGCCCTGAACCTTCAGGCAGGGCTTTACCGCGACCACCATCGCTGACAGGGAGTGCCTCCATATACTTCTTCAAGTCGAGGTCGAGGAACTCGAAGACTAAATAGAGCTTGTGGCCCTCGGCGTGGACGATGTTAAACAGTCTGACGATGTTAGGGTCACGCATCTCCTTGAGCAGAGAAATCTCTCGGATGGCGGTACTAGGGACACCCTCATCCTCAGATTCGAGTCGGATCTTCTTCAATGCGACGATGCGGCCACCGTGTGCTAAGTCTCGGGCTTTGTAAACAACACCGTAGGTGCCTGAAAGCAAATCATAATTAGTAAATAGGTAGATAGCAGTTTTGAGGGTTCAGATGTAAAATTTTAGGCTTACCTTCGCCAATCTTCTCGAGTTTCTGGTAGTTCTCCATTTTCGAGGACTGTGTGTTACCGTACTGGATTTGAATCGAATCGAAGGAATGTAAGAAACAAAATTCGGATTAAACGAGGGGGGTGTTAGATGATTATGGGAATATCGAATTCTAGAAGGTTATTGCGCCGAGAAAAAAAAAAGTTGAATCCGGTTGCTATTTACTCGGGCGAATTGGATGGTGGTGCAGGTTGTGCAGGTTGGGGGGTAACGAACAGAAAACGAGGGGCAACAGTAGGAGAGAATATTGACGACGGTAACCAGAACCAAATATGCCTGTCAATTATTATCAAAAGTGGCGGACAGAGATGATCCTGTACGATCTCGCAATTTGTTAAAACTCCATTGGTACCAGAGAGTTAAGTCTCAGCACGAAGTTCGGTTATAATGCGAGGACCCGGTAAAAGGTTGTTGGCGGTACGTGGGTTGAAGATGGGATTTTACAGCTCAGTAGTGGGTAAGTGCAGTTTGTTTTCCAATAATATAAACAAGTGGCCCATTGACTTTTGAACTTTTGGAACGCGCTGACATCTGTGGCTAATCAAGCCGTACCGCGTTTTGTGGCTCAAGAATTTAGGGCGGCACTCAACGACCCTTAGGACAGGTACAATACAACATATGCATGGCTTAAAATATACATTTTTCTAGGTAGCAAGGTTGTATTGGCATAATCTTATCGCTAATCTTTTCTTAGATCACTGCATGGTCGCGTACCTCTAATGCACAATACATTGTAACAAATTATGCATGCATTTTCACATATTGACAATATCTAAATGCGAAGAACCAAAGTGCATACAAAGAAAAGACTACTTCTAGTACAACACATTATAATAATTCCTTCTTCTATCCGCCATGACGCTTAATCTCACTACCCTGGATGCTCATGAGCAACCAGATGAACAGCTCAAAGCTACATGGAAAAGATATTCGAGGACTGAGCACGAGGAATTCATAAATCATCCAGACATAGACGAACTAGACCCTCCAAACACGGTAGGCTCATTCAAGTTAGCCGGACATATCCCTAGTGAGAGCCTCAGGGCCTCTTTTGAGCAACTCGAAGGTGCGGACTGGGACGAAAGTCAGTCAATTGAAGACGCTCCTTTTTATTTCCATCCTCTACTCCCAGGTAAATACACAAATCCACCCCTTTTATATCTACGACTTATTCTCATACCAGAGCACAGGCTTGCTTATATTTCCTGCTCTGATACCCCCAAGAACCCAAAAAGCATTGTTATCCCGCATGGTTCATAGGGATCTAAGCAATCCTACTCACCAGACTAACTTACACCTACATTATGACCTCCCCTATCCAGAGCAGCAAGATAATGCAGATGTGGATTCGCGGTCGTTCTTCTCTTACTCCCCAGATGCATCCGCAAAATTCCTGCCAAAAGATCCGAGCGTCCATAAGGCTTTATCTATCAAGCAAGTCCTCGAAAGGCGGTTATCCTGGGTCACGCTCGGGGGTCAATACGACTGGACCCATCGAGAATATCCTAACCAGGCGCCTCCAGATTTTCCCCATGATATTGCCAATTTCCTCCAGACACTCTTCCCGGATACTCTTGCCCAGGCTGCCATTGTCAACTTTTACAGTCCGGGGGATACAATGATGATGCATCGGGACGTGAGCGAGGAATCGGACAAGGGTCTCGTAAGTCTCAGCATAGGCTGCGACGCGTTATTCATGATTGCGCCCAATGGTTACAAACACAAGTCGACCGGCGAAGAAAAATCAGAAAAGCCGTACCTTCTTTTACGACTCCGATCTGGAGACGCTATCTACATGACCCAGGAATCACGGTATGCTTGGCATGGTGTGCCGAAGGTTCTTAAGGGCACCTGTCCAGATTTCCTAGCCGATTGGCCGGCAGTGGGTGACAAGTTTCAAGAATGGAAAGGGTGGATGCGGAATAAGCGCATTAACTTAAACGTCAGGCAGATGAAAGAGTAAATTTATGTCGATTTGAACGGCTTCAGAATTATGCTACGAAGTTTCTCTCGGGGTACCTGAAATTTCCTCAGTTCATTACCGTCAACCTAGAACTGGAGCATGTCCCTTAGATACGATTATAAGGAGTCTACACCCGTGTTACACTATCCTCAAATCGTCCAGACCCAGGGTGCGAGACATAGTCCTAACATAGTATTATCTGAACGATAATATGCCAAGGTTATCCTCTTCGATTGAGCTAGTGCAGCCCCTTTTACGTTTTTTGTTTTAGAAAGAAAAAACAGTCCGAGCCTTCCAGCGACGTAAACAGTTAAAACAACACATTAACAATTCCGTCTCTAGATCACAACTTCGATTGCCAATAACGTGTTATATGTTCGATATACTGTAGTTTATTGCCTTCCAGGCCGAAATGTGGAACCTTTTTTTTCATGGTAGCTATCGATATTCTCCTATTTCTCTAAACCGTTTGCGCCTCACCGTCGGCCCTCATACGGTCATATCTCAGTACACTCTGCAGCAAAACTTCCGCACCTAGTACACAATCATCGGGGCTAGTGTACTCCTCGGGGTTGTGACTGACACCGTTCTTTGACGGAACGAATATCATGCTCGTCGGACATCGCCGGCTAGCATACACGCTGTCGTGCCCCGCTCCGCTGCTCATATCCCGCACAAGGCTACTGTCGCCAGTGACTGCTGCAGCCGAAGCTCGCACCACGTCGATGCAGTCCGGGTGGAATATCGTAGCGGGAGAAACGAAGTCCGTCCGCCACCCGACGCTGAGCGGCTTTCCTGGCGTCGAATCGGCGAGGAGTCCGCCGACGTCTTTCCCCGCTGCTAGCGCTGCGAAGTCCCGCTTTAGATCGGCCTCCATCGCCTCGACGGTGGCATCAGCAGGAGCACGGATATCGAGCGTAAAGCTCACACGGCCCGGAATCGTGTTTGTGCTGCCGGGGCTCAGCGTTAGGATGCCGGTCGAAGCAAGTGCGTTATGCGCAGTTGCTAGGCGATGCGTATGCGTGATTAAGCGGGCTGCGAGCAGCATCGCATCAGCGCGGCTTTCGAGAGGTGTAGTGCCAGTGTGTGCATCTAGTAAACCCATCCTGTCAGTTTCAATCCTCCTTCTATGAATAAGCACGCATTAGATACCTCGCCCATCAACGTTGACGGTAAACCATTTATACGCTTGAACCCCTTTTACGACTCCGACTTTCTGCTTCTCCGTTTCTAGGATCGGACCCTGCTCGATATGCAGTTCGAAGTGGGCGGCCATAGGAATGTTCCGATAGCTCGCTGGTGTTGAGCCGAGATACCCAATTCGCTCTAATTCAGACTTAACTGTCGCCGTACCTCCGCCTACTTCTTGAGTTTTATGAGCGCGATCGAGGGGGATCTCCCCAGCCCACACCCCTGAAGCCATCATGCTAATTGGAAATCGAGCGCCTTCTTCGCTGTTGTGACGTATTAGCCCAATTTTCCTTGCAAGTCTACCTTAAATACGAGGTAGTGGTAGACGTACTTGGTCCAGTTCACAACCCCAACTGGGAATTCAGTCTCCACCTGGTATTCCCGCAGCACATGAAGCATCTCGATGCCAGCCATAATACCGAGAATCCCATCATACCGACCGCCACTTGGCTGTGTGTCAAGATGAGATCCGGCGAACGTCGCTGGACCTTCGCGTCGACCAGGGCGCACGGCGAATATGTTACCAATGCTATCGATAGTAACAGTACACCCTAAAGCCTTGGTTGCATTGACGAACCAATCTCGAACCTGTTTATCCGAATCGCTCAGCGCGAGCCGTGACATACCCGTCTCATTTGGCGCACTATAATTTGATGAGAGGTAAGTCTGTTACTTTGTTGGAATACTGGATTGGACTTACCTTCCCCATCGCTTCCCTCTCCCGAAAGAGCATGTGTGATGCAATGCGCCCATAAATCTCTCCTTCTGCACCTTTAGGGTCTTAAGCAGATCATCCTCCTGCTGGCTGGTAGTTTGCGTGCTATAATATTGCGATGTTCCATATAATAGGTTTGGTTGCAGAAACCGCGAAGACGACGCAGATAACCGTCTACTGGTAGGAAATTGGAATTGCGCAGTAGGTGTAAGACGGCTTACACGATAACGCGTAGCCAATGGACTACGTATTACAGAAGCCATGGCAGATAAGCATAGGAGGTGCCTTACCTTAGGTATGGATTGACTACTTCCTACGGAGATGAAACCAGGATTAAATTAAATAAATAAGATACGCGAGGAAGTTAACAGACTTTATTGTTGTATTAAGATAGCAATAATATAGCAATCAAGTAACAATAACATAATAAGATAACTACTTGAAAGCGAAGTCGGAAATACAGTAGTTAAGTCACGTGCTGATGGATATAACCGTTGGGATTAACTATGATATTTATTAGTTCCTTCGAACTAATTTGTAATTCCATGTCCTAATAACAAACATATAAGACGAAAAATACGTAATAGTACGAGGCACTCTAGTTTCATGCCCGTTGCTAGTACACTTGAATGAGGTACTATCAAATTGTGTGGTAAGGGAAAAATAGGGGGCCGAACCGCAAGAACTTGTGATAACGCGTAACAGTATATCATCATACGTAAAAAGTAAATAAATAAATAATAATAAAAATAAAGTCTCAGCCGGACAAGATAGCTTACAATACGAGAACAGAAAATTAGAAGGTTATGGTGGTTAATGTTGACTTTTCTTGTTCGGCATTTGGGTAAACAAAACAAACCCTGTTAAGGGTTGTTAAAAGCCACCGTAATCATCCATAGTTGTTGTTGATACGAAATCTATAGATACATATAGACGGTATCCAGTATATTGACACCTGGATGTCCCTCGGCCGTCCATTCCGTTGTCCTGTGTTGCAAGAGGTGGGTAATCACGACACAGGTGCTCTCTGATAGGCTACCTAAAGCATGATCCTTCTGCACAGATGGACTGTTAGCTAAACCAGTTATTGAATCATATCAGCTGTATACTTCCTTCGCCCCATTTCTTGCCAATGTCTTTCGTCCCTGTCACGGCACAGTCCCGTGGACCCGTCAGTGGGTCACCGTCGGGTATATAAGGTAGCTAGATGAGGGACCTCTCACCATTTCCCTCCTCCTTTCTTAGTGCAACAACAATTATCTCTACCGAACCGTTATGATCTTCCCCTCAAGTTAATCTTACTGCTTTAGATACCTATATGCTACTTCCCAATACCAATTCGACGTACTTATTCTCAACAAAGTAGCATATGCCATGGAGACGACAAAGCCAGCTGTTATCATTGTCTCAGGAGCGTTTCACCAGCCACATCATTATGATCCACTCAAGGCAAAACTAGAAGCCGATGGGTACGAGGTCTTTATTCCGCTACTACGAAGCTGCAGTTCTCAGGCCGGAATAACATGGAAGGACGATGTTGCGTTGATCCATGAGATAGTCGAGCCGCATATGGATAACGGGAAGGAATTCATTATAATATGCCACTCTTACGGAGGCGTCCCGGCTTGCGCTGCTACGAACGGATTTACTGTCGAGGAACGGAGAAATGGTGGTAAGAAAGGGGGCTTTCGAGCAATTCTTTTCATGACTGCCTTGGCTCTGCCGCGGGCCGGCCTGGATGTCCTGCAGTGCTTCGGTGGACAATACCCATCTTGGACGACCCATCAGCCTTTTTACCAGAAGGTAAGCATCACAGCATCCGTGGCTCATCGTGTGAATTATCCAGGAAACTGACCAAAGGGAAATGGCTAGAATGCAATATGTCTCGCTACCGCCGATGCAAAACAAGCTTTTTACAATGATCTCCCCGATGATGTAGTCGAGCAATGCTTCGATTCACTAGTCCCTTTTTCTCAGGACTCGCTTGAAACACCTGTAGAGTTCGCGGCACCCGACCTTACGATCCCAAGCGCGTACTTGATATGCGAAAATGACCTCACAGTGCCCCTGCACGTACAAGAGGCTTTTGTAGCCTCAATACCAGGTATCAAGGTTGAGAGATGCTCGGCTGGACATAGCCCATTCATTAGTCAACCGGATCGAGTTGTGGAAGTGGTAAGGGGGCTTGTGGAATGAGGAAAAGGGGTTAATTCTGAGCTTGGGATACGTACTGATTCCAATTCGCCGAAGCGTTTCCAGGATAGGTGTAATTTAGCCAAGCAAAGAATTGATTTGCTTCTCCTGTTGATCGAAAAGGTGATTGCAACCATAGTTACCTAGGTATATATGAAGTTGGGAACAGCAGAAGGCTAATATCCAATCTGAAGTGTTTTACGCCGTTGGCACTTTGCTGAATCTATATTGTGCCCAGCTAAAACTCTTTTCAGGTAGAGTCCATAGCCGTTCGCCATTAGAACCTGCGGTACCCGCGACGTCATGCATCGGAATAATATGATCAAAGTTCGGGTGCACCTTTCTTGCGGCATGGTTTAGTTGCTGGCCCTGTTGGCTCGGAAAGTCATGAAGATTGTGGACGGCCATGCCTGCGCCGATAATGAGAATGCCTTCGTCCCGTAGACTTTATACTGCATATCCTAAACGGTAATGTATATCCGTATCCTCATTGCCGAATAGCGAGACCTGTACAATAGGTACATTCAACGGATTGCGCTTCGGATCAAAGTTTATAAAGCATCAATCAATGACAAGGCGTAAATGATGTGGCCAGCGAGGAATAGTCGTCAATCTCTCAGTCACCTTCTCAGCAACTTCGGGACTTCCCCTATTCGGATAGTCATATTCGTAGTAGTGTGGCGAAAAACCGTAAAGTCGTAAGTCAGATCTTTTTTCTCGGCCACGTTGATCTGGACCTTGTCTAAGCCGCCTTGTCAATGGGTAGGGGGGGGGCAAAGCAACGGCATTGGGTTTGACTTTCGTCGTGATCTTCTTCCTGAGTTCGACCAACTTGGCATAAGCAGGATGTTGCGTGTTTTCTATGAAGTTGGGGCCGCCGATACCAAGGAAGTAGACAGGTAGTTGTGGATGATCTTCCAGGAGCGAGAAAGCAGGCATCTCGTTCACGACGTGAGTAGCTAACTATTCGTACATACGGTGCCGGCTTTACCGGATACTATCTGTATACAACTAGGTGCGTGTGGTAGATGAGCGACATGGGTGAAAACGCAAAGATATCATGAAAATGAATGTAAGTTGATGGAACAATAAAACTATTGGATCACTACGATCAGGACATGGCGGGTGATGTCTAAGAGTTGGTTAGATGCGGTGTGTTCGAATCATTCGGATCGCAAGATGACAAATACATCCTCCAGCTATACAGAACACCAAAATTTACAACATTGTAAATATCAGATATGATCGATCATATGGTGCAGATTACTGCGCGTGCATATAGACAGTCTAGATATTCCGTAGTGGAGGGGCTTCCGCGCGCGGCGGTGTTCAGCTTTCTAACATGAGTGTAGGTCGTGCGCGGGGTTTATAGCAAGGTCAAAAGGTCGACGAATCAAGGTCGATGAATCCTCGCGCGCGGCTTGTGGGTCTCGGCGAACGACGCAAAGGTCATGGAGCTATGTAACCCCTACGATTAGGTCGGTTTTAATACCTACCTCCTAAATGATGGATTGATGAAGTGATATGATGACATTTCGTCCTGGTTGACCTTGGAGCTCGCATCTTCGGACGAGTATGATTACAAATCCATGTTGGTTAAAAAAAAGGCGGAGCATTCGGGTGTTTCGCGATGAGACGTAGACTCTCGTAAAGTATTAAAGGAGAGGTATCCTAACTTCGAAATGAGTCCAACTTTTATTCTATACCATCACAGCTTCTCTTTAGACTTAGAGCTTTAAGATTCATCTTCAATATCAACTATCCAAGCACAATGTCGGTAAATGCCGTACTCATTCTCGGAGCCGGACCCAGAGTCGGCGCCTCCGTCGCTCAGAAATTCGCCAGCAGCGGGTATAAAGTCGCTATAGCTTCTAGGAACGGAACTGGGGCTAAGACCGCCGAAGGCTTTCTCTCGCTCAAGGCGGACTTCGCCAAGCCCGAGTCGATCCCAGCGTTGTTTAACGCAGTAAAGACCGAGTTCCAGACGGCTCCTAGCGTTGTCGTCTACAACGCAGCGTCGCTCACAAACCCCCCGGACAAGGACTCGCCCTTGTCGATCCCGGTGGACAGCGTTGTGTCGGACCTCAATGTCAACACTGTCAGCCCCTACGCGGCGGCCCAGCAGGCCGTGAAAGAATGGGCAACGTTGCCGAAGGAGGCCAGGAAGACGTTCATATACACGGGCAATATCCTAAACGTCTCTATCCTCCCTCTGCCAGTTTTTCATAACCTAGGCATAGGCAAGTCGGCTTCGGCATACTGGATCGGCGTCGCAGATGCAAACTACTCTCCTCAGGGGTTCCGGTAAGTCTAAGAAAAAAAAATAAAAAAATAAAACAAGCTCCATTTAAAGGGGTTTCTAACATTGTTTGTTCGGTAGGTTCTTTTATGCGGATGAGCGCACCGAAGATGGCAAGGCTACGGGGGCCGCTGTCGATGGTGCTGCGCATGGCGAGTTCTATGCGCAATTGGCAAGCCATGAAGGAAATGTGCCATGGCATGCCACATTTGTGAAGGACAAGGGTTACGTCCAGTTTAAGTAACGAGGCCACGCCTGGATAAGGACCTGGGAAATTTTCAAGAGTTATATTTGAAAGCCAATGTGAGAGGTCTAGAGCCCATAGGAGGTAGCTACTAGGTAAACATGATGTAGTAGTCTTCAGACAAGTAATACTAGGTCTCCTTGACTTCTAAAGCACGTGGCGAGGTCCAGGCCTGTGACGTCACTTGCATTTCTGTTTTTCCATACGTCCTCCATGATTTCAAGTGCTTTGCGTATCGTGCCGAAGACGCTAGGCGGTTGTAATGCAGCCGCCATTGTACGGAAGTGGGCTTCCTGTTCCGGCTGTGCGAGACATCCAGCTACACAAAATGGCCATGCCATCGTACGTAGTAATGCTGCTGGTGATATTTGATGCGTCAAGAGATCAAGGACTCGGCCGACGTGATAACGTACCTCGATGCTGCCGGGCTGCCATCCAGACACGACGATAATGAAATACAGTAAGGTTGCATGAGCCCAGACGCGAGTGGTTAAGCGACTCTGACCGGCGGGTAGCTTTGATTGCTGGAAGGTATTTATGTTGAAGGAATCTAATAAACTGGTACCGCTCTGTGGTAAAGCCGGCGATTCGGATTCAAGCCGTATAATATGTGCTTCTAAGCAGCCCTTTATCGCTGTTGCGCGACGGACTAGTTCTATGACATCGAGATTTCCTGCTATTTTGCACTGCTTCTTCCATGAATTGAGGGCGGAAATTTCGCCAATCTGTAGTAACACCCAATTTTGACATCCTACAACGGTCTCAAGATTGATCACAGGGCCGGTTCCGTTGATATCACCAAGAAGGCAACGGTGGTGCTCGTAAAGCCTGGGTTGGTCTTGAAGCACCGTGCTGGCAATAATATCATCAAATATTAGCAGAGCGGATGAGAAACGAAAGGCGGCCTGCTCGGCACTTTGAACTTTGACATCCTGGGCGGCTGAGATCCATGTCGGCGGTCCTAGGTGATTTACGACGGCATTGAAGCGTGAACCAAACCCCTCCGATTCTACTGCATCGACGCTCTCGAGAAGTTGTTTAAAAAGAGCCAAACCGGCGTTGAGATGCGCTTGGTAGTTATCGAAGCATAATATAGCAATCTCGAAACGCTGCATCTGCACGATGCTCGCCATGATCCGCGCAGCACCATGTAGATGCTCTGCGATACTTGAGCCGCCGATAACCTGTAGTGACTGCCTGAGAATTCCGAACGCACCCTCGGTCTGCGCGAGCACCGTCTCCCAGATAGCATGGTGATTAGCGTTTTCCTGAGCGAGGGAGAAGAAGTACGAGCATTGGCATAGAAGGGCCTGTTTTACTACTGGACTACTTATAATCATTTCTAAAATCCACGATCGACCGCCTTCGAGGGGAGAAGGACAATAGAACGGGAAGAGGAACGGAAACAAGTTTTCAAGGTAAAACGTGATATGAACAGCACAACGCCGTCCTAAAGTCACCCCGCTGCGATCTTGCTTGTCAAGGAATGTGCAGTCGGACCCGCGCTGGAGGTGAAGGGTAGATGCGTCGGGGCGTGGTTCTATCTCATTGACGAGACCTTCTGGTGCTGCTGTCCCAGTGGGATCGTTAGAGACGTGGACTGTGCGGAACTCGCGGCGGAGATGAGCATTTTCTTTAACTTCGCGTTTGAGACGCTCGCTCATCTCTTCTTGTCTCGCACCGCCATCCATCCATTCCGGCTTCTCCTGGCCGTAATGACAGGTGATGTGCAGTGTGGCACAGATATCACATACAGGGCGGTTTTCATCGCATTTTTTACGTCGTAAGCGACATGTCCAACAGCCATTAAAACTTCTTATCGTATTATTGTGGCGCGACCCACGAGATAATGCTATATCCATGGATATATGTCTTGCATGTTAGGTTTTCCGCGAGTTTGTAATAGGGTATTTGAAGTTTTAGAAATTTGTTGTTAGTTGTAGGTGGATTTCGCGGAACTTGAAAACAAACACATGTCGAAGTATGCGGGGGATTTTGTTGTTTATTGTTTATGTGATTACCTGTTACCTACCTCCTATATTAGATAAGCAAACACTTCATATTATGCCCCAACATATGAAGCGTATTAGATTTATTAGCGGGCAGACAACAATAACCGACATTCTGAGAGTCTTGAGTGTTGAACAGAATTGCACACACGTAGCCTCTATCAACCACCAAATGGCTCATCTCGCCAATCTACCCATCCTTTCACATACAACTGCAGTTTGCAGCCCAAGAACGAGGGACATGTAAGTGGACCAATCCTAGCGTCATCGGACGGGAGGTCATTTATCTCAAAACCGCCGCTAATACTTCATCAGTGACTAGCGGGCTGCATCCATTTCCATTAGCCTTCAGCTTTTCCCGAGATGGGTGCAATGGCGTTGTTTTTGCCTGCTTGGCAGGCGTCCTGAGTCTTCAGCTGTCAGGGGTATGGCGTACGGCGCTTCGTGAATAAGGGCGCGCCGTACTGCATAGATAGGGAGTAGCAATTTCTCAAAAGGATGATAAAAAAGCCAAGGTACTTCTCTGGCTGCTTGTGGTGATTGTCATACTGGGCTTTCGGTATATTGTGCCCGTCCTTTCTTTAAACCTGGGCTGCCTGCCTTTGCACGTCTTTCTACCTAAACTATCCTCAGCTACCCTTGAGGTTTTTCATTCTTGAGTCTAGCTAAGAAAAAACGTGGGAATAATGCCTCACTTAGGGTCGTCGCTCATTTGGGTGTGCTTAGGTGCATCATTGGCGAGAGCGCAGGACGTTGTTTACGTTACTGATCTTTCCATATTTACCGTATTGGTAAGTTCGATGACCCTCGATTAGAATACATAGCCTCGACTATGCGGAAGATGTACAACTTATAAGAAAAAGAGGGCTCGCATGTTGGAAGACATATCTGACTGGTAGTTAGCTGCTTGGTTAAGATGCTGATTCTGTCTAGGCTCCATGTGCAGCATCCGCAGTATCTGAGAATGTCCAGGCGCAGACATACCAAAACTGCCCCGAAGCAGTAACGGATCTCCAATCATGTGTCTGCACAAAAAATAACAATTTTGCTTCGATAGCAACGGGAATTGCGAGTTCAGTTAGCCGCAGCTGTGGTTCGACCGCTTCTGAAGACCAGGCCAGTGCGGCGAGCGTGTTCGAAGCATATTGCAACCAAGCGTCGATTACACCGTTTCCGACTCCCTCTAATCCGGTCACGCAGTATATTACTGACTTTCCAGCATGGCAAGAGCTTGCACCTTGTGCCGCGAGTGGGCTATCTTATATTGTCCAGTACGTTCTGCCTCCTCTGTTAATCCGTACATTTAATATTTTTTTTCCCTGACCGTGGCATAGGAGTATGGTGAGTTCGAACTAGATATTGATCAGATCTTCGCATCGTTTAACATTAAGAGGAAGACTTATGATCTATGCCCTGCGGACCCGAACCTTCTCGCAACGTGCGTATGCGACAAGAATCAGAATTCCTTGCTTGCTAGCCAAGGTATTAACAAATCGGTAAAATCCTCATGTTCATCACACGTTGAGGACATAGACTCGGCACAAGCGGTATTTTCAGGTTACTGCGGGTTAATGAAAGGGACCTCGTCGTTCCCAACGACTTCGGACCCTCCTGGTGACAGTGAGTCGCAGTTTTTAATATTTTTTTGAAACATTCTCTAATCCACAGGACAGTGACATATCATATCACCGCCTTACCCGATTATAGTTCGCTAGCCCCTTGCGCGCAATCTGCTGTATCATACGGAGTATTAAGCGTAAGCTCATAAGATTTGTATAGAATCGCAAAATATGACGGCTGACATTTATGTTTGAAGCAAACCTACGACCTCTGTCCCGATGGCCCAAAGGCCCTCGCATCATGTGTTTGTTTAAAGAGCGGAATGTCTGGCTCTATGAGCAATGTCATCACCTCCGATGTCAAATACTCATGTGACTCGACAGCGACTGAAGATGTTAGCTCGGCATTGGCTGTGTTCGATTTGTATTGCAATGCTGCCAAGGGGTTAACAACTCCAGCTGGAGTTACCGAGTCTTGTAAGTTCAACACGCTGTTCTTCGTTATGTAAATAATAACCGCAATAGTGGAACAAACAAAGGCCACCTTGAACAGCGGGGCTTCTGGACCGAAAGAAACCGGTATTTCCGGAGCATCTGGAAGTTCAAGCTCCGAAGGTCCTCTAGAGTCTGGAAGCTCAAGCAGTGATTCGACTAACAAATCGAATACGAGTACAATTGTCGGTGCGGTGATTGGCATTTTGGCCGGTATTGCGTTTATAGGTCTTGTAGCATTTTTCTTCTGGCGACGTCGGCGGTATGACCAGAGCGATGACCGGATAGGACCACAATCTGTTGTCCAAGAATACGCTGGAAAACCCGAGCTTGACGGTAACCCGAATCCAGACGCGCTGAAGGACCAGGAGGCTACCCGGATTGACAACGTTTCACCCGTGTCTGCTTATAGCTCACCCAATACGTCGGAGCTCCAGGGTCATAGTGCCTATCCCCAACCGCCCATTCCGCAGATGCCTGAGCTACGTGGTCAGGATCATGCACCACAAATGCCAAGTCCTGTCTCCCCACATACTCCCCAGGAGGCAAATAGTCAACCGGTATACGAAGCTCCAGCTCAGCATAGGCCTCAGGTGCATGAGGCACACGGCCAGCCTAGATCAGAACTTCCGGGTATGGGGTGGCAATCTGGACCCGTGACTGAGTTTCATGAAGTAGATGGAGGATATAGAGGATAGGATAGTAATGGATATAACCTGGGCTATAGGGAGAGAGGGGATGAAAAGGTTAGGTAGATAACTTCATGGCTTTATATATTCGATTTAACAATTAGAATATAGAGAGTAACGACGGAATTACGCCATCTTCGAAAGGTGGTTTCGTATCGGGTAAATACGGCGATGAATGAAATTAAGTGAATAATACTGCTTTGTTAGTGATGTGACGTAAGGGACGTCGGATATTTTCTACTAGTTAGTTCTTCAGGTAAACTTGATGAAAGGTATTTGATAGGTCGTAGGAGTGCAGATAACCTAGAATGAAGCATGTATGGGATAAAAAATAATTGGGCACTGATTTCGAAGTGATGAAGAGGTACCTCCAAGTACATGGTTCGGTGATGGTCCAAGCTTCCCTAAGCTTGTCGAATTTAGGTTAGGCATACAACAATGGGCGGTAGCCTCGTCGCGCCTACCACCCGAAAACAGCTTGTTTCTTGATTTAGCGCAGGCGTGCGTGTTATCGTTTTCTTTGTGAAAAAGAAAAGCAGAACTTTCTATTTTCTGCACTTTTCATACCCTTGCCTCTTTCATCACAGTCAACAACTTCTTCATCCCTACAACATTGGATGACTTGACTGATTGATTGATGGGTTAATCGTCTCCATCTCACTCTACTGTACTCTAATTTCGCTCCTTGACTAACTTTCTCTTTTATTTAATCCGTATTATCGTATTTATTCTTCTTTTTACCATCTTCATCGCGATCACCGCCCACCACACGACCGCACGATCGCCCTCCCGTTTGTCTTAACTACAACCCCGACAAGATCCGATAAACCATACCCACGAGAAACTCGATTCACCGAATAACCGCATCGTATCCCTGATGGCCATATTTCAATCACGTACTTGACAAAATGGCAGCTGCGGAGGTAGACCTCGGCTACCTGGCTACCCACTTGGGTATGCCTGAGGATAACCTCACAACTGTTGTCACAGATCCCACTGCGGGTCTTGTCAAAGCCGTATTGGCCGCTGTTGAGGCTAAGGCCCATGAGTTTGACGCGTTGTTTACCCAGAAAATTCAGCTGGAAGTCGAACTCGAAACTTCCGTACGCAGCGCCGAGGCCCAACGCGATGCAAGTAATGAGACCGCCAAAAAGGCACTCAAGGATGTTGAGGAACTTCGCCAGAAACTCAAGAATGAAGGTCTGTCTAATCGCTCTTAGAGCTCTCTTCGAACAATGTAAATGCTTACTGCGACAAACAGAGACTGCCCGTCAGGCGTTAGAGAACGAGCTACAGTCCATTAAATCATCAAGCTCGACGTCCCAGTCGGAAATAGATAAACTCCGTGTGCGTATCACCTCGCTCGAGACTTCGAATCGAGAGTCGCTCGCGATAATCGACACCAAGAATTCTGCAAACGAAACGCTCTCTCAAGAACTACAGGCCCAACACCAGAAGAACTTGAAGTTGAATCAGGAAATAACCGCGCTGCAGCAGTCCGTGCAAAATGCGAATAACGCCGCCAGCAGCTCCAAAATCCGAGAGCAGTCATTGCAGCAACAGCTGCAGATGGCTCAGAGCAGTAGCGACTTCTTCGAGAAAGAATTGAAGACGAAGTCTGCCGAAGCCCTCAAGTATCGGAAAGAGAAGGGAGCTCGTATTGCCGAATTACAACGCCTCAATGACGATGCGGTTTCCAACGTGGAGTCTCTCAAGCGCACTGAACAGCAACTTCGCCAGCGTCTTGATGAAGCACAGAAGAAAGCCGACGATGCTCTTACCAGAATTCAGCAACTACAAGAAGCTGCGGGTCGCAGAGAGGAAGATTTCCGGCAGGAATGCGACAGCCTACGGCGACTCGTCGATTTGAAGGAACAGCAAACTCTTACGTACAAGAAACGTGTCCAGGAAGTCGAGGCGAGGGAAGAGCAGGTGAAACGCGAATGCGAAGATAAGATTCGCCGAGTCAGCGAAGAACTCGCAAGAGCCAATTCAGATAAGGAAGAGCTTTCCCAGGCGGTCGAATCACTCCGAGAAGAAGTTGGTCGTTTGGAGGCTATAGTCGCAGCTGGTAGCCCTGCACAACCGGGCTCTGCACCACAGACTCCACGACCGTTGAACGGCTCGATGTTCCGTTCTGGCTCACCGTTCGCGACACCGGGTTCGACACGAAAGTCAATTTCCGCGACACAGTTGATGGAGGATTTCTACAAGGTTAAAGGACAGCTTAACGCCGAAAAGCTTCGCAGTAGCAATCTGGCAAAGGAGTTAGACGATGTTATTGACCAACTTGAAGCCAAGCGCCCGGAGCTTGAGGAGCTCCAGGCGGATAATGAACGACTACAGCAGGAAATGAAGACCATGTCACAGCTCTCAGACGAAAGTTTCAGAGAGCGAGATCTGGCTAAAAAGGCAGCGCGCAAGGCTGAGGCGGCGGCCGCCGATGCGGAGAAGCGGAATACGCTCTTGCAATATGAAGTAAAGAGCCTTAGCGCACAGATCCAGATGCTGACTTTCAATGTGCACTGTCTTGAGAAGGGCGTGGACCAGCTTACTGCGGACGAGAGGCTAATACTCCAGAGGCTGGAGAGAGGCCAGATACACGAGCAGATGGGAGATGAGGAACTGAACGCCCATACTTCTATCCTAGAACGTCTAGTCGTCTTTAAGAATATAAGGGAGCTTCAAGAACGGAACGAACAACTTCTTCAGGTTACTCACGAGCTCGCGGAGAGAATGGAGAATGAAGAGGCCGTGGCAGCGAAAAATCAAGCCATGGAAGACCATAGGGAACGTATTCGACTGGAACAAGAACTCGAAATATTCAGAGATACATTACGAGGCTTCCAGGTGAAGACTGAAAGTATCACGAAGGAGAGAGACATGTTCCGCCGGATAGTGGAGTCAAGAGCATCTGCTGATGAAATGGCCTCGGCCCTTGGTCGTTCTACACAGGATGGCGTCCTTGCTAGCATCGAGCAAAATTCTCCTGCAAATGACGACGGTTCCGATTATACCACTTTGCTCCGGGATCTACAGCAAAACTTCGACCTCTACCGGAACGAGCAAACGGTTGACCGCAAGACCATGAAAGAGCAGCTAGAGAAGCTCTCTGCAGAGAGGCATTCACTTCAAGCTGAGGTTTCCAAGTTGCAGAGTCAACTCTCTCTTGCATCAGAGCGGTATGATATCCTCCAGTCGAATTTTGCCGCCTTGCAAAACGAGAACAAGGAGCTTCAAAAGAGAAGCCAGACTATGTCCGAGTCCGCTGCAAAGCAAGACATACGCACACAGCAAGTAGCCGAGGATCTAGTCGAGGCCCGAGGATTACTTGAAAGTATGCGAAGCGAAAATGCAAACCTCAAAGCGGAAAAGAAATTGTTGAAGGATATCCACGACAGACTAAGCCAGGATAACGAAAGTCTAATGCAGGAGAAGTCACGTCTAAATGGCTTACTTGCTACGCAGCAAACTCTCCAGAACGAACGCGATCTGAGTGAATCAGAAATGAAACGACGCCTTCAATCCCAGATTGATTCTTTAGAAACCGAGCTTAACGCCACGAAACGCAAGTTAACCGATGAAGTTGAGGAAGGGAAGAAGGCGCAGCTTCGGAAAGAGTACGATGCTCAGCAGTTCCAGAAACGGATTGACGAGCTTACTACAAATTTGAGCCAAATACGCGAAGAGCTCGTAGCTACGAAGACCAGTCGAGATCACTTACAGAGCCGAGTTGACGAGCTAACCATCCAATTACGCAGTGCAGAAGAGCGCGCGGAGAGACTCCAGCCAAGACCTACACCAAGACCAGGATCTATCGTTCCTGTATCTGATGAAGGTACCACGCAGGTTGATTCGGACGAGCGCATACAAGACCTAATTCATGAGGTAACGGATCTCAAGCGCGAGCTGGAGATGACGAAGTCACATCTAGAGAATGCTCAGACACAGGTTGAGAGATATAAGGAATTAAGTCAGGCTTCTGAAGAAGAGCTTGAAAGGATCAACTCTACACAAGAGCAGTACCAGCAAGAGATGGATGCAGCGATTTCAGCCAAGGATGCCACAATCAAAGAACTTGAACAACGAGTCGAGGATTTATCCGCAGAATTGGCGAGGTCTAACAGTGAATTATCAAGTCTGCGTGATTCCCAGGCCGAGGTTGCTAAGCGATTTGAGGATGAGAAAGCAATACTAGACGAAGAAATCAAGCGGCTGAAGGACGAGGAGGAAAGATATACAGCCTCTTCACAATTCCATCAGCAAGACCTTCGTGCGCAGGCCGAGATCGCAGCCCACGCACAGCAAGCGTATGAGGACGAAGTTATGAAGCACGGGGAGACTGCGAAATCACTATCTAATATTCGTAACGAGTACAATCAACTAAAGACTTCTGCGGCAACATGGAAAGCAGAAGCCGAATCAGCGAAAGCTACACTGCTACAGAATGAAACTTCGTGGGACGAACGACGCCAACGATTCGAGCGGGAAATCACGGAACTTCGTGCTCGTAGAGATGATGCTAATGCCCAAAACAAGATACTACACCAACAACTGGAGGATGTCACGAAACAGGTTTCAGCCTTACAGCAAAGTCGAACCTCAAATGACGAGTCCCTCGAGGCCATCGCTACGCAACCCAGTAGTTCTGACGCCGATAAATTCCGGGAACTGAGCAATTACCTTCGTCGCGAGAAGGATATCCTGGAAGTACAGTATGATCTCAAAGTACAAGAAGCCAAGAGACTGCAGCAGCAATTTGAATATGCACAGTCACAACTCGACGAGGCTAGGTTGAAGCTTGAACAAGAACGCCGCTCACAGGGTGACAGCGATCGAAGCTCTATGGCCCACAAGGATCTCATGAGCAAGCTAGAGGAGCTCAACCTCTTCCGGGAAAGTAGCGCCGCTTTGCGGACAGAAGCTCGTCAAGCGCAGGCCCAGCTGGCCGAGAAGGCTGCCAGAATCTCGGAGCTAGAATCTACTATCCAGCCTCTCGAGGCACAGATTGAGGAGCTTCAGAGTCAGCAGGCCTTCAGAGAAGCTGAAATGAAACAGCTTCATGAAGATCGTGATCGCTGGCAAAAGCGAACCGAAGATATCCTCTCAAAGCATGGTAGAACAGATCCAGCTGAGGTTGAAGAGCTCAAGCAAACTGTTGCCAAACTTGAATCGGAAAAGAATGCCCTGCAGGAAGCTGAGGCACCTTTGAAGGAGAGGATACAAGAGTTGGAAAAGACCATTGAAGAGAAAGAAGCTTCTTGGTCGGTAACTCGAGAAAAACTGATCAATTCTGCTAAGGAGCGGTCTAGGACCCTTACTAACGCTAAGAATGAAGTTGTCGCTGAAAGGGATAGACTTCAGACGAGGTTGAACGAAGTCTCTGGTCAACTCTCAACAACCCAAGCGGAGCTCGAGCAGTCCAAGAAGGCAAGATTCAGCCTAGAGGAGCAGATTAACAACTTCAAACGACAAGTCGAGACGCTTCAAGAGGAGACACGAAAGAATTCTACCGCCGTCTCTACTCCAGCAGATTCTTCTGATACCCAGGCCCTGTCTACTCTACAAAACCAACTGGCCGAGGCACGCGCAGAGTTGGAGAATGTTTCATCTCAAAAAGCAGCTATTGAAGAGGAGTTGCAAAACACTCGTGCTCAACTGAACTCAGCAATCGCCGAACGAGACCAAGCCATCGCCGAACGGGACCAAGCCATCGCCAACTCCAAAACTCAAGCGACCAATGGTGACACAACGATGGAGAACGGAACGACTGCTTCAGAAGAGAAACCATTAGGCGTACCGCTATCCGACGACGAGCGCAAAGCTCTTGAAGATAGGATCTCGGAGGCCGCAGCCAGGGCTGCCGAATGGGAAGCTAAGTTTAAAGAACTAGATGAGAAGCATGAGCAAATTGTCAAGACGAGGAGCGATAAGATGAAAGAGTCTCTAAACAAACGCCTGTCCGACTACAAGGCGCAAATGGAAGAGGAAAGGGCTCAGATGAAGCAGGATATTGAAAAACTAGAAGCAGACTTTAAGCTTCGTATGGAACAAGAAAGGAAGATTTGGGAAGTCGAACATGGCAATGTGTCCAGCGACATAAAACCTCCTGCTACTCCCGCGCGACAGAATTCTTCTAGTACTCCAGCAGGGACGCCTTCAACTTCAGTGGCAAACTTGAGCACGCTGAACGACAAGGAGATCCGTGACCTTGTATCCACTAACGCAACGATCAAGAGCATTATTCAGAATAACATTAAAAATAAGCTTGCAATCGAAACCAAGAAGGTACGCGAGGAACAAGAGGTGTTGAAGTCAGAGTGGGAGCAAAAGGTTGTTCAAGCAAGGGAGCAAGCAACTGCGTTAGCGACATCGAGGAGTAACCTAAAACTCAACATGACGGAGAAGAAAATCCAGCTCGTCATAGCTAAGCTAAATGTTGTGGAGACGGCTGCAAAGGAAACGCCGCAGCGGCCTGTTGGTGAAGTTTGGGAGATTGCGAAAGATGCAAAACCCCCGCCGCCAATTCTTAAGCCACCAGTTCCAGCGGAATCGCAAACCGCTTCGACGGCAAATACAACAACGAGTACGTCTCTATCGCACCAACTTTTTTTATGAGTTATTTGCTTTGCTAACAACTTTCCAGTTCCCAGTTCCCAACCTGCAAACACGGCAGCAAACCCGCAAGAGACAAAACCTACCCCGGTCAGCAGTATCCCAAAACCGGGCGTAATTCCGAGTGCTCCCGCAGCCATGAATCCTTTCTCCCAGCCAACTTCTATACCTCAAAATCCTTTCGCTCAATCTTCACAACCTCCTACCTCCCAGCCGGGATCGGCAACCCCACAGCCACCCGCTCAGCCCTCAGCAGTATCTCAACTTCCGAAAGCCACCGGTCTTCCAGTGCCAGCGATGGGCACTCGTAAGCCAAGTGGACCTCATCAGGCGCGAGGTGGTGGCCGTGGCGGAGCAGGAAACCGTGGGGGCCGTGGACAGGGTCGACCCAGTCTGAATCCCTCAGTCGACAACTTCCAACCCGGGAACAAACGTCCTCGTGGGGACTCAGAAGCTGGCATCGGTGCAAAGAGGCCACGAGGCGGTGGTCCGCAATAGAGATGCAGATCCTACCAGTAGTGCGCAGTCGCCACCCGAAGTTCTAATTTGCGCTGCACTCGTGCTGGTACATAGTCGGAAACCTCACAACTACTAGGGCTGGATATCGCTCTGTTATGGATTAAAGAATTTGTGGTCTATTTTCTAATGTATCTCATACCTGCAGCTTAAAAGGGGGCTTGGCCAGGTCGGCCGGGAAACGAAGGCGTTAGCATTGTTGTAGTTTTATTGGTAATTAGACGTACGCATGAATGGTACGCATTATCTCCTTTGTGCAAATAGTTGGCGTTTTCCTAAAATCGTTGATGTTACCCGGAGACATGACTGGTTAAGTTAATTCCTTATTAAAGAGAATAGATGGACGATGTAGTAAAACCTTATACATATTAGGTTAGGTACGATTGCTATTTACGAAGTACACGCGAATTCCTTCACCAATTAAAGACAATGTAGCCTCTTCGACACACCCACCATTTCTGCTTCTATGGTATCTCTCTAAGGGGATGATATAGGCATATAACTTCAGTTATATAATCATTTGACACCGACTGGTAGCCTACTGAACCAAGACGCCTCCGTTCGTGCTCACACAGCTACCGGTGCTGTTAGTATCCTTCATCAAATAAATGTACGCCTCCGCCACCTCCTCAGGAGTCCCAACTTTTCCAAGTAGAGACGTCTTGGCCATCTCCTTCACCCACCTCGCCCAGTCCTCGCCCGTCTGCGTGTCGGTCAGCCCGGGGCTGACGAGGTTGACGCGCACGGGCGCGAGATCGAGCGCGAGGCCGCGCGTGGTGCCGTACAGCGACGCGGCCCACCCGGACACCGCCGACATGCCCTTCAGGGGGCGCTCGGCGAGGCGGCCGCTCGTGAAGGTGAGCGAGGACCGGCAGCTCTGGTTGAGGTAGCGCGGGCTCAGCTTCGCGAGGAGCAGGGGTACCACGTACCCGAACTGCATGCTCTGCCGCAGGTAGGCGGCGTTGACGTCGGCGACGGGCCGCACCACGTCCGGGTCGGCCGGGTCGGCGACCCGCGCCGCCGTGTACACGACGTGGTCGAGCGGGCGCCCGTCCGCGCTGACGACCACGTCCGACAGGAGCTGCTCGAGGCTCGACTCCGCGTCGTCGTGGTTCACGTCGCATACGAAGCCCCTGACGCGCGCGGGGGCAGCGCCGGGGACGGCGGCCCGGATCGCTCGCACCGCGGTCTCGACTCGCTGGGGGTTCGACGAGGCGATGGATACTTCGAGACCCTCGGCTGCGGCAAGCTTGGCGACCGCGAGCCCGATCCCGGATGTCCCGCCGATGACGAGGAGGCTGTGGCCTGCGATCGGAGGCATGGTGGAGGGAGGGAAGCAGGCGGGCTGGTAGGTGCAGTTGCAGGTGCAGGTGCAGTTGGAGAGAGACCTTAACTGAGGTAGGGGAAGTTTTCGAGAGTGATGTAGACAAGTGCTATTCACCCAACCATAGCCTAATTCTTGTTCTATCCACCATATTCATAGCCGTGTGACGGTGATGGGAGGAATTATATAGAAAAAAAGGGACATTTTATTATCTCCGTGTTAAGGAAACACGCTCTTCCTAAGTAAGTGTAAGGTCAACTCCTTAGAGGAACTTTTCTCCGGTCCGGGGATTGAATCCGCACAGAACGAGTAGGAATCGGTCGCCGAGAGAGCGACCCGCCTTCTAACATATCCTCCATTGTGCTACTCAAGAATCTATTCGTCCCCGAACCAGTCGGTCACATGTATGGATGACGGAGTTAGGGTGCATGTTCGGAGTTTAACAGGGTTGGAATTAAAAGCTGGCCATGCATATATTTCCGATTCCTTTTGCATCTGAGATGCTTGGTACACACCACGTACCTACCTCCTATGTACCTGTACCTATCAGATCATCCCGCTTTGTTGTGTTCCAATACCAGCACAGCTTCGATACCCGATAAAGTCCTTAACGCCCAAGTGCTTATGGCTTTTTATGTCCCCAAGACCGTAGCAGACATCAGCTGATATGTCGTTCATGTTACTAGGTCTTACTAGTCGTAGAGGTTACATTTGATATCTTCAGTCTCCGGTTAGGAATTTTGGCTTAAATATTTCCATGTTGGAAAAAGTAACCTAAGGTACCTTAGGTAGTATACCACATCCATGTTAAAGGTAGTATTGGTGTTCATATTCGGATTCAGAATCAGAGACCTTGGATGCAATGTTATTGTCCAGTCGATTTTGAGGTGATTTTTGTTAAGTAAACGAATTATTTTCATATAATCAAATTAGTATTTAACGTCAAGACAAATCCGGAGACTTATACTTGAGTTCAAGAAGAGGAAGCACCAATTTGAATAATAAAATCCATTCATATGATTGTCTATTTGATCAAGTTGCTATCAAAATGTGATACTAGGCTCGTATAATGTATAAGAGATATCTCACCTGAAGTGAAGAGTCTGGTCTTTGATTAAAACCAGTTGTAGTAAACCACGTGATTAGAAAGTTGTATTCGGTTTTTAAGATTTGTGAGCATTAGAGCCTTTAGTTCTAAAAATTAAGGTTCCTTAATATTGCTTAAGGGTAAGTTGCATTATATAGAAAACTTCATTATTTCTCAACTCTAAAGTTACATACCTACCGGAACACATCGACTCATAAGTGTTGGGGACTCAGCCAAACACATGCACCTATAAAACTATACAGCACCATATATAGAACAAGTAGGTATCTGTCTCAAGACTCAAGCATTAGGCACGGGGTTCTAATATTATTATCTGTACCTGTCTTCTTTGGTCGCCGTTTAGGGGACAGTGATGCCCAATATATCATTTACAAGGTCTAATAAACTCTACGTTGAAGTACCTAAGGTATTTAGCTTCAAGAAACTTGCTTTGACCTTCAATGTATAAGAATATACGCACCGAGGAAAGTAGACAATTAGGTAGTGTCTTAGATCGGCTTACGACAAACTTGTCGCGATCAGCATCCAGTTGTATCAATTACAGTCCCAGGACGAAGCCTTAACTCTAATACCACTCACTACCAACACTTAAGACAACCGAATTGCAAAGTTGATGCAGGGCAATATATAGGTACCTGCCTAAGGAATGTTTGTAGACTCAATAAACAGACCTTATTTTAACACTATCATCGCATGGCGGAGATTAGAGGTAGAGAAGCAAACACATTGCTCTGTAAGGACCTATAAGAGACTGTAGCTACCTATATACCCCGAAAGTGTCCTTTGTTCCAGGTGCCTTGATTTGAATCCTGAAAATCTAGGTAGACGTTATGTTGGAAGCATTAGGCGGAAGAGATGGCGACTACTTTGAAGCTTTCATAATTACCTAGTAAAGGAGCGAGGATGTACCTCAGAGAACATGCTGAGGGAAACAATCAGGTCCAAAATAGGCAAAATCCTTGCAGATAGTCGAGTAGATGCGAAGTCGGAGTCATCCTATGGCCCTGCCAGAGCAAAGCAAAGCGGTAGGCTCTCTGATATTCGTATCCAGCAACCGGCAGGTAGTTTCTTAATGTCATCATATCTTTATGCATGCCATTTATTTCAGTATATAATAATACCGTGCATCAGATGCAGAAAGAGCTCGCGAATATCTGTCAAGACACATCCCATGTCCAATTGCCAGGTAGAGGCAAACCGATCGTAGACGCCAATATCCGAAGTGTAGTACATGCGTCTTAAAGAGTTCAAGTTCGTCAGGGGTATCGTCCGTCGTCTACCAGGCGCATAAGGGCGGTCGGGTCTACCGTCTCGAAATAGTTGGCGAGTGCATAGGAGGTACCCGTGGCTAGTCCGTATACAGTAGGGATCGTGACTGCGGTGTGGGCCGGTGACACCGAGGAGATGGTTCATCCTGCACGCACCATACATACATAGGCGGCGGTGAACCAGGGTTCGAGGAAGAGGTAGATCCAAACATGCATTGCGTTGCATCGCATGGATTTGTACATAAGGTATCCAATACTTGATATATCGAACCGACTTTTTAAGGCGCACGGTCAGGTTTTGCCGCCCGCAAGCTCCTGGTGAACCTCGGCCGGACGAAAGGGTGACCCGTGAGCGAGCTATGTATTAGGTGTCTCGGGACTAGTCAAGGTCACATACGTGCATAGATCGGAATGTGCGCAGGCCAAGGTCAGTCTGAACCAGATGGAACCTTTATATGGACGCGTTAGTTAGTTACACCTTTTCATATTTTACCCCAGAGTACAAGTCTCATATCGGTTAAGAACAGGTTATCAATGTAGGTTTCAAAGATTAATGAGCTATGAGCTATGATATCCTTTCGCATTGGCTACCTATAATATGTCTATCTGATTAGATGCGATTATTCTTTCAATATCGAAAAGGAAACCAGATTGATAACCAATTGGTATTTGTGAGCAGGGCCAACATGTCATTCGTCATTCTATGATCTATAGTATATTCTCTATTGTACTATTTTGTAGATCTCGTTTGATCATCTCCAACTCCCTGCATTTCAAACAATTAATTTGGTGAGCAGTTTGCCCTGGTTTCCACCAGAGAATAGCCGCATCCATACCTTGGGCTGCTCCTCGATCTTTGCCTCCACGACAGTCTGGCCATTCTGGAGTTTGATTCTGCCGTCAGCCGCAGCGCCGATGAGGTCCTTGAGGATGCCGGGAGCTTTGTCCATGTAGTCTAGCATGATAAATCCGCGGATGTTGATCCTCATGGAGACGACTTCGAACCAGTTCCGCAACGCCATGGGCTCGTCCGAGTTGTACTCACTGACTGCGCCGCAGACGGCAATGTTCCCATGCTTCTTCATGCGCGTCAGCATAGCATCCAACACATGGCCCCCCACATTATCCAAGTAGACATCAACCTCATCTGGAGTTGCTGCCTTTAGCTCCTCCAGGAAGTTGGGGCTCTTGTAGTTGATGCACACGTCGGCACCGAGCTCCTCGCGCACCCATGCGCACTTCTCGTCCGAACCGGTGATGCCGATCACGCGCTTCGCACCCAACAGCACTTTCGCAATCTGCACGGCCATGGATCCCGTAGCACCAGCAGCCGCCGAAACCACGACGGTATCTCCGGGCTTCACGCCTCCGGCAAAGGCCAGGCCGGTGTATGCGGCCAATCCGGATGCGCCAAAGGCACCGAGGTAATGAGTGAGGTCTATATCATTAGGTAAAGGGGCCAGAGACTGGGAAGTGGCGGCTTCTAATATGACGAGCTCGCTCCAGGTGCCGAGGTGGAAATCCATAACGAGATCCCCGGGCTTGTAATTCGGCGCCTCAGATTTGATTACCTCGGCAATAATGCCCGATCTCATGGGCGACCCCACAGGGACGGTAGGCACGTAGAAGCGCTCGGGCGCGACAGTGCTCTGGATGAAATTGCGGAGGCCGGTATCGTTGGAGAAATACCGCACTTTGCACAGGAGTTGGCCTTCCTTCAACGGCGGCAGCGTAGTCGTCTGCAGTTTAAATGTCGCATCGGGGCCGGAGAGCACCGGAGCGCCCGTAGGCTTAGAGGCGAGAACCCACTGCTTGGTGGTGTAAGTTGTCGTAGAAGATGCCATTGTTGATGATATTTTTGGTAGGTAGTTGTCGTGGAACAAGTTCTTCTTTTCTTACGTTCTCGTCGTCTCAGTACTTATATGACTAGCTCACCAATGGTTTAACGACTACGAATTTAGTACAAGTTCCCGATGTTCACCGCCTTGAATAGGTAAGTTCCATACTACCCAACCATCTCCATCATTTATGCTACTTAGTTCCATCTCACCGTCTTCGGATTGCGAAACGTCAGGACGGATGATGGTATACCAAGCGTTTACTAAGGCTCGACTGGATCATAAAACTCAGATAACTTCCAGAATGAGAGCAAATCTGGGGAAGTTGAACGGAGATGACCGATTGGTGACTAGTCGGTTTACCAACCTGCTTCGAGATACCCCTTTTAAGGGTAATAAATATTACTGTATTACCAACCTACCTAAGGTATCTATCTACCTTAACTTGCCTAAATATATACCTACCTCCCAGGTAGTCATTGGCTCTTATGTACTATTCCATGAGAAGCTACGACGGTACTGGTACGATTGACCCAACTAGTCGTTGTTGACTTCGTGCTCCGAGATTTAGTCGAAAAATAATAATCGCCGTCGAACATAGTGATAACATCCAATAAGATGCCGAGACATAAAAAAGGAATATGTAATAATAAATAGAGTGAAATAATGAATAGAGAAGGTTTAACTAGATTGCAGGAAAGAGTTGGAAGTAGGACAACGACTTGTCAGTTTGTACTTATTTAGCTAATCCTAGTCGGCCTGCTTGGCTTTCCGTAGTTGTGGTATTAGAAACCAAGTAAGTATGTTGGTATGATAAATATCCCGCACGAAATCCTGGGGGCTCTGAAGTTGTTTTATTATTCTTCCTACATAGTATATGTTAAATTCATGGCGACCGAAAGCATGGAATGCTTGTCTTATGATAAAAGATTTACTTTTTCTTGAGCCATTTTGAATCAACGCCTGATTGTCTGGTCATAAGGCATTAGCTCGCGCGCCGGTGAAAGTCAAAAACACGTTAGGTGCCATGATCATCATTTCTAATGACAGATTCGTATGCTGCAGCAGCAGGGGAACATGATAGTAGTAGTAGAGACATGGCAAGTTGCATACCAGGTAGGTAATCCACCACAACTGTCACACTAACTTCATAGCGTCTCCGCATAGTTTGAATTAGCATATCTTTAGCTTAGTCTTAAACTACCTCACTACTTGTTATGATCCAAGTTTCAACGGGAACTTTCCAATTAGTTGTCTCCTTGGTTCGGCTTTAATAACGGGAGCTTTGGTTACGCCAGCAAATACATTTCCGCCGGGATAGTAAGTGTTAGTGGCTCCAGTGCCCCATACATATTCCACAAGTAACTTACAAGGTAATTTCTATGATAAAATTATGTTGTAAGTTCAAAACGTCTTTCTTCGTACAAGCCATAAGACTGAAGATTCTAGATGAGCAAGTACTCAAAGCCAGGGAATTTCCCATACGTAGTACAAAAAACCCCTTATTAACTACTTACGGAATGTGTATGGAGCACCGGAGCCACTAACACTTATTATCCTGGCTGAGGTTGTATTTGAGTCTCCTTAGCCTCTCCTTAGTCTTTCTAGCAAGCGACATCGACATGGGCAAGCTAAAATGAAGCCTTTGCGAAATTTGGACTAACACGAAAGAGGACCGGCCCAGTTTGCTACATAGTACTTGGGAAAAAAAATTCATTTTAAGGAATCGTCTCTCCGGGTTCTCCAACGTTACATAATCGCCAAATTCGTCTTGGATCGTTTTCTCGCCCGCTCAACTAGTTCAACACCATTACGTATACGGTGTAGTGTCCAAGGCGTCGGGAGAGGATATCTTCATATTGACCGCTGTCGGTTTCATGTAACAGCGGAGAGCCTAGCGCAAACCGTTTCTTATTACATTACAAGCATTCGAATTAGTTAGTATCGTAATTTTCGTCTGATTCCCATCTCCCGTGGTGAATTTTCCCTACCTGCGTGAACCCGCAGGAGAAGACATCAAGCCCATTGTTGTTACCCAATGGGATCAAGGCGGATAACCACCGTAAGACGGCTGCCCTCTGTTTTGCCAATCGGGGCTTTTTACAATATACTATACGGATCCGTAGAAGAGCTACTAGACAGCCTTGCGGCTCGGAACACACACCTTAATTACCTAGCACACACCTTAATTACTTAGCTACATAGTATGCATGTAAAATCTCATGCCGTATGCCAATGTCAAGGGTGTGTGTATGGATGAGGGCATGCTAGAGTCTCAGGAACACTAGGCCTTACCACCCGGCCCGGTACATAGTAGTTACCGGCGTGACTGCTTTAAATACCCCGTAATGTAGCATATATACCGACCTAGGTAGCGTTCTTCTTTGCTTTTCTGTTTTGATTCTACTTCCTAACCTTATTTCAAGCTATCTTTGATCAGCGTATATCAGATCTGTCATTCGTTTATAAAGTCTTATATCAGGGCTGGAACTTGGTCTATATCCTGGATCCATCACTCTACGATACGCATTTGCCACTACCTACGACTATTGTACGAGTCAGGGACCTTCTATAACGTCGAATCCTGCTATGTTAAACAAACGTAAGAGTTTTCAATTTAACGACTCCTTGGGTGTTTAGATGGTAGACAAGGGAAAGAAATAGGAATCTGAGATAATTACGGGGCCAATACCGACGAAAAAAATTATCTATGCAACCCTGGGTCTCTCCAGATTTATTGTCTCGACTTCGATAGGCCTTTCAGGGTGATATCTGATACAGTGCCGCCACACCCTGCCATCCAGGATACTCTTAATTCTGGAGCACCGGTTGTTATTATAAAGAACATTTACTCACCATCACTACAGATTAGAAAAACTGACTACTATACTCTTCCCTTTTTTTTGGTCTTTGTCAATCAAGATGGCGAGCATGTCGATTAATGCGGTCCCTCACGTTTACATGCCTATATTAGACTTCGTGAGAGCCGAATTTATAATCAATATTGTTGTGGGCGTTTTGGTTTTGATCACAGTTGGGTTGAGAGTCTTAGGGAGAATCAACGGGCCGGGACTTGGTGCGGATGATTATCTGGTAATCTTCGCGACGGTTTGTCTTTCCTTTCTCTCCCTATGTGCTACGGTCAAGATTCTGACGTGGCGTATAGCCTCTAGGTATTGCCATGTTAGTATGCCAAGGCCTTTGTAAGTTCTGATCCCGATCCTTGATGTTTTGAGAAGCGAAGTGGACTAATAGTTCATGTAGTTGCACCTGTAGGAAACGGCTATAACTTGGCCGAACATCCAGAACGTAAGTCATACGAGCCTAAACCTACGATCAACTTCTCCTATTTGGCCTGCTTCCGCCAATATGTCCAATCATGAAGCCCGAAGCTGTCGAAAAATGGAACCAATACTAACTTCAAGACTATTTATCAGTTGCACTTAATATTTCGTTTATCCTCCAGGTATGAGCTTCATTAATATCCAGTTGATTTTTGCGCACTATGTTTTGCTTACACTCTACTAGTTGACGTTCTGTATGCAAATCATATACGTTACCCTTCTGGCAACAGTAAAAGCGAGCATGTTGTTTTTCTTCTTACGCGTTTTTACTACCCCCTTCATGCGAAAAGCTGCTATGATCTGTCTGGCTTTCGTGGGAGCATGGATGATATCCTACCTTTGTGCCTGCATTTTCATTTGCACTCCAGTCCACGCACAGTGGACTGGCCTTGGTCAATGCGGTGCATATATTCACATGATTCAATCTTTAATCATTACGAACGCTATCGGAGATATTGTTATCATGGCGCTCCCGATGAAGATTATTTGGGGTCTACAAACGCGAACAACGGACAAGATTGGAATCACTTCGTGCTTCGCGTTGGGTATTGCGTAAGCCCCCCCTTTTTTTTTCTCTTCTATGTCACGCCGAATACACCCTGCTAACTACAATGCAAGTTGCGTTATATGCGCTATTTTCCGAGTTATCTACATTTCCACGGTCGACCTGAACAGCAATATCACAGGAACGATGCCTACCACGGTTTTCCTCTTCAGCCTGGAACCCAACGTGGCTATTCTTTGCGTCAGTATCCCCATGCTTCGGCCGTTTTGGGTGAGGTACAGGGAACGAACTCGCGGCGCCTCTAAGCTACGCGAGTACTCGGATGAACAAACTATCGGATCCAAGGGCATGAAGAATTCAGGCCAACGAAGCAAGAATGCGAACACCTTGACGGATACTATGAACATGACAACGTGGGAGATGGACGACTACAACAACCAAGAGACGAACAAATTTGATGGCGCGGGACAAACGTACGCAGATGAATCAGGGTCGGAGAAGAACTTAACCGCATCCCCCCAGCAACCAGGAAAGAACGGGATTGCCGTTGAGACGAAATGGACTGTTACTCGGAACTAAAAGTTGGGAATGTCTTTTCAGGGGACATGGACGAATGAAGTTTCAAAAAAGGGTACAGCGTAGCGAAAGTTTTTTTTTCCTCTTTTCTTTTTTCAAAAGGCTCGACAACGGCCATATACCAACCACATACGGGTACGATGATTTAATCACTAGTTTACGCGATCTATGTTAATAAAATTACAGTCGCATTAATGCACCCAATACATTTCTGGTATTTGGATGAGCCTCAGGTTCTTGTTCACGGAGAATACTATGACCGCCCATCTACCTGCCAATGCTAGCCGTGGCTTTTCATCGCTCTTTAGGAGCATTATGCCTTGTAAAAAATACATATGGTTCATTCCTTACACGACGCTCATTATATCGACATAGACCTTCTATCTATTCAATTGTTTAAACCACATTCACCTCATCCTTTTACCATCGGTGTGGTTAGCAAGTTGCATCATCTGTGATAGGAGGGGAACATATCGTTACGAGAGACGATCAACCCCTGGCGGAATCCTACAGGGTTCAAGTAATAGAACAGCTGTGATTACCGTGGTAAAGCCTAAGTATAATGACATGTCGTATACTATGTAGAGAATGAAGGAAGTGAGATTAGGGAGCGGAACGAGGATCGGATTATAGATTCAGGGGCTATAAAATCCATCAGATCGGTATTGCGTACGCCACTCTGCCACTGGATCTAAAGTGGGAAAGAGATTTTTCACTCAACCGGATCAAGTCGAACCTGGTATCCGGGTCTTCGATACCCACGACCGATCCTTTGGGACTTCTTCGATAGTAGATAGTGTAACTATAATCATGGGTTCGGATGCTTAAATATCTCCCCGGTATCTGGAACCTCTCTGCTAAGCCTCTAGAATAAAACGCAAATAATTTTGCGTGGCCCGCAACAATCAAACTCGATGTGTAATTGATCTCTTATTAGAGTTGATGGTTGATGCCCGAATCATGTAGATCAGGTAGCTACCTAGACCTAGGTAAGCTACCTTAATTCTATAATTCTCCGGGGGAAAAAAAACCTATCTCTTTAACTTTCTCAACTGAGCGGGCCAAGCCGCTGTACATAGACAGACCCTGTCAACTCATTTAGCGGTGGCGGCGCAAATACCAAGTCGGTCCCCACAAGGTGCATCTGATTATGGCAACTCCGTCAACTCCGGCAACGAATACGGCATTGAAGCAGAAATAAGAATCGTGCAGGTGACATGCATACTACCTAGGTACCCTGTTCAAATAGGAGAAGTGCCAGGGAGGAAGTTGACAATGTGTATTACATTCGACTTTTTGGGTCGGGTTATTCCGCGCAGGATGACGGGAAGGTGAACCGTCAAACTAGCATACTACGGTACAATGTACTTCGTATACAGAGTACTATACTATGTACATAGGTAGTAGTATCAAAACTGTCTGTGCTCGTCCTATACGGAGTTGTCTCCGACAGGCGCTAGGGGCAATCTGCAAATAAGCCTCTAAGACGCTTGTGAGCTCGGTATATAGGATTACGTATTAGCGCAGATGTATATTTAACTGTCCGTCTCCCTGGGCCGTGTTGAGGTAAGTTGATTTTCCAAACGAGACAAGCCAACGTAAACTGCACCATGCCGGGAAGATTTCCCAAGCAAACTTCACAACGCCGTGACGACAGCAGTATAATGAAATGGGTATAATTAATACCACCGCGGGCCTCCATAGATTTCAAGAGTATTTATTGTCATGATTCCACTCCAACATTATCTCTCCAGCCATATTTGACAACCCACCAGCTGATGAATTGCCCTTTATTACTATAGTACCTACTACCTTTGAAGCCAAGGTACCGTCGGCACTTCCAAGCTGAAGACAAATGGGACGATGGCTTAAGCTTATTCGCCTAAGTTATGGCAAGTGAAGTGCTTGAATCAACTAGAAAAAAAACCAAATGAAATGTCAACTGATTGAATCCGTGTAATTATTAAACAACTATTGAACTTCAGTTTTGTCGTATGCTCAACGGTGGCTAGCTGGGATGGTTTTCAGGAGCTTCAAAATCTCATAGTGTTATCATTTACTCAAGATAGGTGCCTAATGCTTGTGAGTTCATTTTCGTTCGGTCCTTAGTTGCAAATAACGAATTTAGCATTTTGCTCGTAAATAATAACCAACTAAAATGCCCTACCTAGGTACCTGGTACTTTAGGTTATCTGGCTTTATTATACTGTTCTAGCTATAAGTTTTGTTTTGTGTAACAATTGCAATATACAACTCCCTGCAGTTGCGAGAAAGGATTGAAAGAATACCTACCTTCTAACTATAAGAGTATACCTATCTTGTACACCGCCATCCAGATTCTCATATAAGTCCTGACATTAGGTATTCAATGGCTTACCTTAGGTACCTGTAAACACCTAAGGTCATAGTTTTTCATTGGCGCCTTTGACAAACAACCGCCCATTTAACTTTATTTTCTTCGCATTAGGTTGCACAAGAAAATATTCGTCTTTTCTCATTGGCTCGCAACACTTCAAGAACGATAAGAATCAAAATTAACATGTAGCCAAACAATTCATAACAACATTAACTACGGGAATCATCACCAAGTGCCCAAATAGTTTAGTAGAAGTCAGCATCGAACCTACAATGCCTGTCATATGTTGAAATGGGAGATTATTAATATAAAGACACCCTCATCATTTTTCCCGTTACCAAGATCGTCCCATCGTATACTAAGCAAGCAGTTAAAGAAGCGCGATACGCGAATGCCACCTATCTCTTCATCACGGAATTCTCCCTGGTGAATAAATAATCGCATCAATACCTAAGGTTATGAACAATCCTAAATACACGCTGTAATATTAGTATAAGGCAAAGCCTTCGCATGCGGTCCGGCTCATCGAGCCTCACGTCCGCCACTAAACGCTACTATGTAGGTACCTACGTAAAAGCCCTGAACGTACTAACGTTAAGGGGGGAGGGGGGGTGGACTACGGAAGCTAACCTTCCCTACCGAATTGGGACGAGTTCACAGAAGTATGAAGATTCTATTCGCGGGATAATTGATCAGGACCCTGACGCGTATCCACTTATTCTTTTCGAGTCCACCGTCTCGCTCTAGATTCCCTATTCGCAAGACGGTGGATAGCTCAGCTGCGTCCGAGACGAGAAAAAAAGTATCGACTCACGATGTCGTCTGAGTTCTAGATGCGAACTACCTATTTGGTGATTTTTCTGGGAACGTGTCATGCCCGTATGGGGTGACATTGGCTCCCCCTGACTTGCGGGTATGTAGGTACAGATTGCTCATAAATGAAGATAAATAAATGCCCACACGTATCCGTACGACGAACAGAATCAGCTGTGTAGAGCCGCCTACCTTTCGCACCAAGTACAAGGTCCGGATTAGACGACTTCTGGTTCTGGAGATGAAGTTCCTCGCAACACTACAGCTGCTCGCGGCGGCTGCCGAGGCCGCCCTAACATGGCAGAATGTGAAGATCGGTGGAGGTGGTGGTTTCGTGCCCGGTATCGTTTTTCACCCAACGGTTAAAGGCGTGGCATATGCCCGGACAGATATCGGCGGTCTATATCGTCTTAACAACGACGATTCGTGGACAGCTATCACAGACGGTATCACGGATAATGAAAACTGGCATAACTGGGGTGTTGATGCCCTTGCTCTCGACCCGCAAGATGCGAACATAGTATATGCCGCAGTTGGAATGTACACGAACGACTGGTAGGTCGCCATACCTAACCCTAGTCCTTAACCCCGGAGTTACTAATCCTAGGCCAGGGACCCGAAATCTGGTTCTATAATACGCAGTAGCGACAAAGGAGCTACATGGAAGGTAACCAACTTACCTTTTAAGGTTGGTGGAAATATGCCGGGTCGAGGTATGGGTGAACGTCTTGCTGTCGACCCGGCCAACTCCAAAATCCTGTACTTTGGAGCTCGCAGTGGTAATGGACTATGGAAAAGTACAGACGGTGGTGCAACATTTTCCAAAGTGTCTTCCTTTACTGCCGTGGGAACTTTCATCCCTAACCCTAATGACGTTGGAGGTTACAATGGAGACAAACAAGGGTTAGCGTTTGTTACATTCGACTCTACCAGCGGTACGACAGGCGGCGCCACCAAGAGGATCTTCGTAGGTACGGCTGATAACACTACCGCGAGTGTTTATGTATCTGAGGACGCTGGTGCCACATGGAATCCCGTAAAGGGACAGCCAGGCACTTACTTCTCTCATAAGTGCGTCCTTCAACCAAAGGAGAAAGCATTGTATCTCACGTACAGCGATGGCACAGGTCCATATGACGGGACGTCGGGTGCCGTATATCGATACGACATTTCTGCAGGTACTTGGAAAAACATCACACCGGTCTCTGGAAGCGACCTGTACTTTGGTTTCGGTGGACTTGGTGTAGACATGCAGAAGCCAGGGACAATTGTGGTAGCGAGCTTGAACTCGTGGTGGCCAGATGCGCAGATATTTAGGTCAACCGACTCGGGAGCTACCTGGTCTAAAATCTGGACATGGGCGAACTACCCGAATATGAACCTGTATTACGGACTCTCGGTAAGTAGTTCGGCCCAATATTTAAGAGAAAAAATATACTGATACTAGTCTTTATAGGCTTCAAAAGCCCCATGGATAAAGACAGGTTTTCTTGACACCGACACCAAGGATCTTGGGTGGATGATAGAAACATTGGTCATTAACCCTCTCGACAGCGACCATTGGCTGTATTCCACTGGATTAACGGTATTCGGTGGTCACGATCTGACAAAATGGGACACAACCCACAATGTGTCGATCCAGTCGCTCGCGGATGGCATCGAGGAGTTTGCTGTTCTGGAACTTGCTTCGCCTCCTGGAGGAAGCGAGTTATTGGCTGCTGTGGGCGATGACAGCGGGTTTACGTTCAAGGATGCAGCCAGTCTGAAGACCTCTCCAAATACACCATGGATGAATCCTATCTGGGCTTCATCGTCAAGTGTAGACTACGCCGGAGCATCAGTAAAGAACATTGTCCGGATTGGCAACTCGGCCGGATCGCAACAAGTTGCATTGTCAAGCGACGGCGGCTCTAGCTGGTACGTGTACTCCGGCGCGGACAATAACATGAACGGCGGCGCGGTAGCTTATTCCGCCAAGGCGGACACGATAGTTTGGTCGACATCTACAAACGGCGTGCAACGCTCCCAGAACCAAGGTAGTTTCTCAGCGGTCTCTAGTCTTCCCTCGGGTGCTGTGATCGCATCGGACAAGCAGAACAACACCGTCTTCTACGGCGGTTCCGCGGCGAACTTCTACGTTAGCACTAACACGGGGGCGTCGTTTTCAAAAGCCGGGTCTTTGGGCAGCGCCACCGCAGTCCGCGACATTGCAGCCCATCCGACCAAGGCTGGCGATGTCTGGGTATCAACCGATGCAGGTATTTTCCACTCGACAAACTACGGCTCTTCCTTCACGCAGGTCTCTACTGCTCTTAAGAATACCTACCAAATTGCGCTTGGGCGTGGTTCAGGAACAACGTGGAATGTGTACGCGTTTGGTACAGGATCTGCCGGAGCGAAGCTATATGGCAGTGCGGATGGGGGGGCTTCCTGGACTGACATTCAGGGCAGCCAAGGATTTGGTGCCATCGATGGCTGCAGACTTGCTGGTAGTGGAAATCAGGCGGGACAAGTGTATGTAGGAACGAACGGGCGTGGAGTATTTTATGCCTCCGGCGAGATCAAGAAGCGTTCGATGGTCTTTAAGGCATAAATCTTGTATTTTGGCCACTAGGTTAATTGAATGTTGAATGTTGAATGTCATGGTTGAGTATAAGCCAATACAACTGTCCGGACTTGTACTATGTAAAGCAGCTGTGAAATGTTAGTGACAAGTATGTGTGTATTGTCTACCTCCTGAGGAGGTATGTAAAGAAAAAGATTATTATTTTTCCTTTTTACAAACAATCCTTACATAAGAAGAGCATGAGAGCCACGTCCGTGGCTCATGAGTGGCACACTCACAGTTAGTTACCATTGAAAGGTACAGGTAATGGGAACCCAAATCCAATTAAATCGTAAAGCTAACACTGACCTAGCAGATTCCCACAATTATGACGAAACTCCTTCTTGGCCTAAGTGGTACGTACTTCGTATTGTGCAGCACAGCCATAAAACGCATGTTGCTGTTTCTTTCACTTTAGGTACATAAATTCCAACATCGAACCGTCGTCGTCATCGTCCTCATTACCAAAGGATCGTACCACGTTGAATTAAGGCATATCAATCCATCAACTTGTAAGTGATCTATTTCCTCAGTGTCTTTTATTCCGAATCCAAAAAAAAAGCTAATAATGTTGTTTTATAGCAGATAGTCAAGTCCTGATAAACTAATTCATCATCATCATCATCACCAACCATGGCTTGCGGATCGTCCCATTCTCTCGTTAATCGAAACGGCCCTGGTAGCGCCGCATCCTCAACTTTTGAGAACATCGTCAAACCAGCCGATGCGACAGGAGGCAAGACAAGATGTATCGACTGCGGCGACTTCGAATGTTGTTGCATTCCTATTCCATGCTCCGTTATGTAAGGGAATGGAAAAAAAAAATCACGACAAACGCCATACAAGGGAAGGATACGATTTATGAGGCGTTGTTACATACGGAATTTCGCGTTTTGCATTTTACAGGAAGTAGTTTAATTTCCCCGAGCGATGTTCATACCAACTTTATTCCAAGAGTACAAATAGTAGCTCTATAAGAATAGCATTTCTCATAAAACACGTACGAATAAACAAGTTTTATTACCAGGCGCATTCCCGCCATTCCTATCGAGATGGGTATCAATATCAACGCGCTATGGATTCCAGTAATAACCCCACTGTTCCCAATCCATAATTCCAAAAATTTCATCCTCTGTAAGAGGGATCTCTACAGGAGGGATGATTCGAGAAACAGCAGCTGGCGTCCCCTCCTAGAGATCTCTACCGACCAAAGTCCACGTCTCTCTTAGGTAGTCCCATGATTCCTTTGGTTTAGGCGTTGTTAATTTATTGACAAGTTCATCTTCGACCTTCAAGCTGCTCAATCCTTCCATGATACGTTCGGCCTTGTCCTTGGCGTCCCGGATCGCATTCGTCTCGGCTCGCGTACGGTCCAGCTGCGCTTGCATCATAGAGATCAGCGACTCGCGGGCTTGGTGAGGTCGATATTCGTTGATAAGGTGATGGAAGTTGAGGAACAGATGGCGCATATCTTGGGTCTTCACTTCGGCCTAGATGATCTGTGTTAGAGAAAGTGTCGTGAAAGTATCGTAAACTTCATCTGATCGCAAATACAACGACATACAGCTGCGGGATTGGTAGCTAACAATCCCGTAAGTTCTAGGAAGTTTAATAGTAGTGATTTGGCTAATCTCTTGAGAATGAGTGCGCGATCGAAGTGTTTGCCATCCCGATCTCTCTCTTCTGGATTGGGAAACAATGGCTTGACGTCTGTATCCTCGAGCCGCGGAAGCTCATCCTTTAATTTATAGGAATCTCCAAAGACTCTCCATGCCCCGTCTGTAGGTTCTAGCGGCGGTTGGAGGTTGCGTAACTCGCGAGGCAAGTTCTGAAGGCGTATTTTTGACAAATCTTGTATTCCTTCATTTTCTGCCTGTTGCTTGCGTAACTCGTCGATTCGCGTGATGTTTTCGGGTGTGAAGTCGCGCCAAAAGGGAGGCGGCGGCGGCCAAGTAGATGACACCAGGACCTGGTCTTCTTCTTCCATTTTTCTTTATAGTTTTAGAGTACCTGATTATAATGGATCCAGTAGGATATAAATAAATGGAAGAATAATGGTCCAAAATAAGAAATCGAGGTGCTATGGGTACGTCAATTGAGAGTGGGAAAGTTAGGTTAGAGGTATGTATTGTTGTAATTCTGAGGATTATCTCTTGAGCTTTGAACTTTGAACTTTGAAGGAAGGTAGCTGGACTTGTGACGAGCCTTATCGATCAGATTTTAAGAATGACGGCAATTTAGGTACTCCGCAATTGGAGCTTCAATGGGGAGATCCATCCGATGCGGGGCACTTTTAATAGCTTCCCTGTGGCTGAACCCTTATTAAAAGACATTTGAGCTAAGAGTAAACCGTACATGTACCTAATCCGACATCTCTGAGGTCACCTAGGCAGTCCGCCTCATTAAAAGTTTAAACCACTAGAAGGAGCAGCCACAAAAAACGATCATCACGATAATTACCTACCTCGCATGGTTACTATCTTCTAAACAAGAATAAAACATCCTCGAAGCGATTCATAAGAAGCCTCCCTAGGTACCTAACCTAATACTCACTCATACAAGTACTACCTATCAACAGCCCTCAATGGCAGACGCCCGAGCCTTACTTCGCGCTCACCGCGCCGAGAACCGTATCAAGCATCCTCACGCAGCATACTCGGACGCAGGGAAGCTATTATGCAAGCTATGCCACGAGCCGGTGAAGACAGAGGCTCTCTGGGAAAGCCACGTCCGAAGTCCGAACCACCGAAAAAGAGCCCAAGCACAACAAAGCGACCTCTCCTCGCAACCACAGGGGGCATCTCCGACGGACGGACCAAACAGCAAGCGGAAACATGACGATATAGACGAGAGCATGTCGGACGCGGACGGCGACGCGGAAGAGGCCATACGGAAGAAGCGTAGCAAGCCCGACCTGGCCTTATCCACGAGCAGCGTGCCGGGCGGTGAGAAGAGACAGTCTCCCTCGGAGCTGTCGAGGTGGACGTCTTCGCACACACCCGTTCACGGCGTCGAGATCGCGATACCGTCGCGACCCGCCACGCCAGCGGCCGGTTCTAATTCCGCCACCTCGACCCCCAACGGCCCTCCCGTCGGCCGCTCACCGCTCATCGGGTCGGAAACTACGTCTACGTCTACACCTACGTCTACGCCCGCTAACCTCCCTATCTCAACGCAACCCCTTTCCGTACCATCTACCACTACCACTACTACTACTACAACTACAATAACAAACACAACCATAACTACCGCCGCCGCCGCCGCCGCCACATCGCAACAGCCCCAGCCCTCCAACGGCACCGTAGACGAAGACGAATGGGCGGCCTTCGAAGCCGAGATCTCAGCCGAACCCGCGCCCGCGCCCTTACCAACGTTCGGTCTGCAGAGCTACTCGGCGGACGCGACGATCTCCGCGGCGGCGATGACGGCCGCCCAGGTCGCCGCGAGGTCGCGCGAAGAGGAGAACGAGCGGCGAAAGCACCTGGTGGACGCGCAGATCGCGGACGAGCGGGAGGACGCGACGCGCGCGCTGGAGGCCGAGTTCGAGGAGATGGAGGAGCTCGAGGGGCGCGTGCGCCGGCTCAAGGAGCGCCGGGAGCAGCTGCGCAAGGGTAGCGGTGGCGGGGGTATCGCCACTAATCTGCACGGCTCAACTACCGCTGTTGCCGTCGCTAATGATGACGTGGTCATGGCTAAGAGCCCGGCGGTAGGGAAGGAGAATAGTAATACTAGTATGCTGGAAGAAGGAGATGATGAAGATGAAGACGACGACGATGATGATGAGGACGACGATTGGGATGCGTTTCGACTTCGGTGATGAGGGTGTAGCACCGGTCAGGTGTGTATAAGGGAGGGATGACAAGCCGTAATAATAATATTTGGGCGAATTCGAACTGGATTACCAAGGAAAGAAAAAAAAGGAGTTTACTACTTTGCATAAGGTCACAGCAGCATCTTATCCTAAGCCTTGGTAATAGAAGGAAACCACATGCGGTCTACATGTGTTCGAAGGCGGAGGAACATATATAATTGCATCTAAAAATCAGCGTATACAATTGCTTCTTATATTGATGTACATACACGTAGTATTGTACAACAAGGGAGATGGAAACTCCCCCCAAAAATGAAACCCAACAAAGATATCCCCGGAACACCTAGACAGTAAGCTGCATCACTTAAATATAGTCGCATTTGCGTTTCGGTATCCCTTAAAATACCTCTTGAACCCGACACGCCAGTGAAACTCCTCATCGGTAAGCTCTCGCCTTCGTTAGCCATACAGCATTCGTCAATCTAAGTTAGCCGCGACTCGTAAAGGAACAGGTGAGCATCTATCCGCCAGAGATAGATACGATAATCATGGAGGACAAGATCTACCTTGAGACGGGTAGATAAATCAGGCGCCCTATCCCACGCCCGACACGCCATCACTGTCTCTCCCTACGCGTTCCCAGAACTTCCTTAGCCGCCACACCCTCCCAACGCCGGCACGCTCTTCCCATTGCCTAACCCCTTCGCTCCTTTCCCGCACCTCACCGCGCCAGACAGCCCCGACCCAACGCCGGAGACCGTCCTTCAGCTTCTCCTTCTCAACAGCACGCTTCTTCGCAATAAGACCAGGTGCCACACTGCTCTGTACAGCTTCTGGTGGAAGCACACCGCGCTGTACCAGAGATTCAGCAGAAGGCCGTAGCGGTAAGCGGCGCGACAGCCGGATTGACACGAGGCTGCGCGCTAGCCGCCGCGAGATCTGTGTTGTATGTGTTAAGAAAATGTGGCGGGAGATAAGCTCCGCGAGAGTAGGTCGCGAGGGTGAAGTTAAGAGGGACGGAAGTGATAAGCGGGCGCGCCGGAGGCGAAGAGTGTGTAAGATGGGGTGTAAGGACAGAGTCCTGAAGTGATGGTTAATCTACCTCTACCGTTAGTATAGTATGATCTACAAAGCATTGCATCATTTGAGGGGGTTGTAGTTTATCAAGGATAAAAGAAATAAATTGGAAGGGCACATTGAACCGACATCGACGCGCGGCTACGTTTCAACGGAGGCCTTTGCGCGAGAGGAATACGAATATGAGAATAAAGGCTCATAACTATGTTGCATGCGAGAGTGAAACCTAGGGTTCTCCAACTCGAATGAAGGCTTAACCAAAAGGACACCGGCCAGTATGCAAGCCGATCGCCGTATCGGCATCATGAATATGTATAAGCCAGAGGACGACGTACCCTTGACATGGCTAGTAGATCGTTCACATCTAAAAAACTCAGTATATGCGTCAAGATTTCATTAGGCAGGCCATCGAAAGTCAGGAAATCCCAACCCCAGCGCAGCAGGGTCGAGCCTCTCGCCACCATGGCATCTACTATCCTTTCCCTGTGAGGCTTTTGTGCAGTGGTAGATGACGCATTAGGCGTAGATAGAGACGGTCTTGATGGTGATGGTGAAGCCGCCGTGCCCGGCGACAGCAATGAAACTTGCGCATCTTGATCCGCGGCTGGCTGCATTCCGTCATAAAGCATTCCAGAGCGGTTTTCCAGGTGGTCGGAGTCTGAAGAGCCCACAGCTAATGCACCTGGTTGGGCATCAAGAGTGGTGACCGTTCTTGAGACCGGCTCCCGTGGGGTAGTATCGCCACTCTCGGCGACCGGCGGCGACAAAGGTAAAGAAGATGATGCATGCGGTAACAGCGTCGTGGTGTGACTGGACGTGACCAAGGTCAGGTTGCGGGCCTTGATGACGAGATGCTGTCCCATATCGGCTTCCCTTGGGGCTGAAAATTGCGACATGTTTGCAGCCTAGCCGAGATGGGAAGTGCCAGGTAGCAACAGTGATGAAGTGGCAGTAGGGATGGCTCTCTTCTGCTATGTGTATCTCCGACAAGGCGCGGAGAAGGATGAGAACCGTATACTGCAGACAAGGTCAGTCCTCGGTGAGAGTCTGCGCGAGCATATGCCACAGGATGACAGCAAGACACGATGGCGATGGTGAGTGTCAGCCCCTGTACTGTAGTATGCCAGTTCAATAAGGCCCGAGCTCCCCGAGTGGTTGGAGGCTCCAAATCACTTGGGTGAGCAATATGGTAGAACGGGGCAGGTGTCTGATGTGCAGTTAGCTAACTTGCGCCGAAAAGATGCATGTCTTGTACTGTGTGTATATGGGTATGTGTGTACAGATGTGTCTCTTGTCTCTTTGAGACTATATCAACAGCTGTTAATACCAAATGAGGCGAGCGGCAGCTACCTGGGGAGGCTATTCCCAGCCGGTGAAGACTTACGTTAGGTATCTGATACGAGAGTTCTTAATGAGGGGGAAACCCAAAGATAGCGAAAGTTTGTAGGTATGTGGTGGCGTCGATAAGGCGATGGATGCAGTTAATCAGACGAAAGCCAGCCAGCCAGCCAGCCGTTTGCTGTAACTCAAAGCAAGCGACCATCGGAAGTGTGTCTGTGCTTTGAGGGGCACAAGCATGAGGGGCTTGAGCCTTGAGGGGTATGAGGGGAGGGGAGGGGGGAGGAGGGCTGACGGAGCGGCAGGATGGGGACCCTGTTTGCATTAGGTTAGGTACATATGTTGTATGCTGTATTTGTATGTGGAAATACCAAGGTGAAGCAGTTAAGGATAGATGAGTTAGTGATACGAAACACCATTCGTCCCTAGCTCGCCAGGAACAGTTGTGAAGAAGAAAAAAAAAAAACATAAGAGGTACCTTAGGAGCTAGGTAGGTAGTACCTAACACCCATACAACCACCTGGGCAGCAACTGCAATTCAATTCCTTCATGAACGTGTACATGCCTTCCCCTTACCTTCAATAGCCGGCTTAAGTTAAGTACCAGGTAACATGACGTATGTACATAACCTAGATTATTCACCGTATAATGTACATATTGTACCTACATATGTAGCTAACCTTATATTAAGTTCCATTAATAAGTCATTGGCTTATTACGGATTAAGGTATAGGTACGTTAATAGGTACGTCTCCATGTTTAGGTAAGCCTAAAAGCCCTTCCCATCCCGTCTTCCACGGAGATGAATAGATCCCCTTAACCTAATAAATTTCCGGTCACAGTGTCCGGGATGTCGATCCCGGAATTGATTACAGTGCTGCTACTACACTACCTAATAGGTATTGTGACATCAGCTACCTTAGGTGGTAACTTATACCTACCTAGGTAATGTAAGTCATTAAACATCCGAAATCGTACCAAGTATAACTAAACTAAACAATAACATACTTAACAGCTCCTTACATGGGCACCTACCTGAATCCCTAGTTGCGAGGCTAGATCAAGATCTTCAAATATACGGAATATCGCACGAGAGCGAAACTGGGTGATCCAAGATTTGTGACTTATGTACGTCCCTAAGATGCAGAGTGGCAGATGCGCGCTCTAAAGGAAAAAAGAATTATGTACCTACCTAGGTACCTAGGTATTCTGCTCATCACTGCATCGAGACAGACGGGAGATCTACAAAACAAGTCCGTCGGGCCTCTTCTCTCTTTTTTTTCTTTCTCTTTAAAAATGCGGGATGTCATGGCTACCTAATCATATGCGAACCACGCGCAGAGAAATTGGATGCATGCTTTAACCTACACTATACACTATACGTGTATATACTATAGCATAAGAAGGCCGAACCTATGGAGTAAGTATAGACGCATGCTCTGCACGTATTATGCATATAAGATACCTCCAAAACAGCCGAAATACATGCGTACTAAGGATACTAAGGGTGTACTTATCGGAAAAGGAACAGGGGTAAACCGCACATATCAACACGTATAAGCGGCGTAGCTATAGCTTACCTGTATGAGGTCGTTACCTATCTAGGCAGTCGAACTAATGTGTTGTCCAATCTAGTCCCACGTTTCTGTACAGTGAGGCTGACCCGCGAATAGTAAAACGACATGGTCGCAATCACGTTATAGAGTCTTCGTACGCGAATCCGTAATAACACGTCTACGGACTAACCTGAGTTAGTTTGACCAAGGTAGACACTTTAACTTACATTACCCTATGTACCAGTAAGCATGTATGTATACACGCATACAATAATAATAATTCCACGTGTAAGTCAAGCTAATGAACTCTTCGCACAGACGCCATCTAGAACAAAGCCACCTACTACCCGTCCGGAAACGTATTGTACACACATTTTTTCCCCAAACGCTTAACTACCTACCTAAGGTACCTCATATACCTAAGACATCAAAAGGAACGCCTATCTTACCTAATCGTCAATGAGGCTATTCGCCCCGGCCCGGAGATTACAACAAAATTATCGTTACCCGTCACGATTCCCGGAAACCCGTCCGGCCCGTTACATTGTGTACCTGGCATATGGTAAATGTGCTAGGTACTGTAAGCCAGGACGTGTCTAGACACGAAATAACGTGTAGGTATCTCTTACCTTCCTAAGACCTAAGTTCCTTGTTGGTAACGGCCGACGAACGGTGGAGCTCGGTACGGCCTAGAGGGCCGAATGCGGTCTCCTTTTCTGGCCGTCAACGTGGTCGCGATCCCCCCGGCCCCCCCTTTCGGCCTTCTCTCTTTCGGTTAGCATCAGTGCCCAATGAACAGGAAATCGCTACTTTTCGTACCACCGGTCGATTGGGCTCGAGAGCAGGCTAAAGGGCGTGGCCAATGTGCCCAGTCTTTTTTTTTCCCTTCTCGTCTCGTCTCGTCTCGTCTCGGGGTGAAGCAACACAGGCAGTCCGGCCTATACCATCGCGTGTGCAAATAGCGAGCTAACTAACTAACTACATGCGTACATACTTGCTCGACTAGCTACCTACGTTAGCTGCAACCATGCAATACAAATGGATGGGAAACTAGATCACCCTGCATATCTATGCGATGCGAGCACATCCGCTGTGGAGTATCTGTGAACCCATTTCCCAGGCAGAGTCGGCAACCGAGCCGTTCCAATCACTTACCCTTGTCTGACCTTGAATGCTGATGGCATCGAGGGACAACTCATAATTCTGTCCAACCAAGAATGGCGTGGGAATTCCAACGACCATCGAGGATGACTCGATGAAGCCTTGCTCGGTGCTTCTGAGAGACGGTGAGCAGATAGACATGCACTTGCAGGAGAATTCGACAAATCCGTGCTCTCCTATATATAAGATCACATGTAGCACCGCAGAGCATCAAGAGAAAGTTTGGATGGCGAATCAGGTAAACGGCGTAAGCAGACATACATGACATGGCATTCCCCTTATCCTTTCAAGTAAGCCATACCATAGCTCTTCAGGAACTGAACTATTCTGTAGAATATCCTCCGGGTCAAAATTAGATACATTCCGCTACGATAGCTTCTCTGGTTCCGGCCCCCAACCAATGAGCTGGCAGTGCAGGCCTTCGAGAGGCTATTAGCAGACCAGGAACACATGGGTGATCTTCTTACACTCTAGCCCAAGGCTCTCGGAGGTGGACTCAGATGCATGCTACTACATCCAGGGGGGTCTCGTACTCCCCACGCCCCCCCTCAAGGGATGGCACACCTCTATAGGCGCAAAAGGTGGGTAGCGGTGGTGAGAGAGTGTCTCGGAGGACGTTATGTATCATTGGGTTAGAGGTGTGAGTAGGCTCTTTTGCTTACTCTGAACTAAGGGAATGCGCATATAATTTCTTGCACATGATTTCCAGATAGTGTGGCCGGAATTGTCATGGTCTTCGTAGAACTTTCCATGGCGTCGAATGTCTCAGAGATGTTGATTGGTCGGTTGTAATTAAAAACTCAACGTCGAATTTTCCCCTATTATGAGCGATGATATATATTGATGCTGCAGCTTTCGAGCTGCGAGCGAGGGTTCTCTGACGGATAGATCAACAACTGCGTCTGAATCTACCTAACGTACGGAACGGGCCGTGGGGTACAAGACCAGGCGCCCATGATTTCCCGGAGAAAGGATTACCTATTCACAACATTATGTACATGGCCGCTTAATGTGGCCTTGTTGACCCAGGGTTCGTGTTCTGCACGTAGCATGTAGGTAGATGCAAACAACTAAGGCAATGGACGTAGACATCACCTTGGTATTACACCGAAGCTTAGATTTTTTTTCATGCTTATTATCCCTTGCCGCCGGAAGAAATCTCCGTTTTACTAGAACGAGCGTCAAACTCCATTTAGCAGAACAACACGCAACGTTGCTAATAAACCATCAGCTAATGCTTTGTGATGCTGGCCTGTATTATAGAACTAAAAATGGCACTATAGCCATATCTTGCCATATGTAGATGGAGCAAACGCCCTCGTACGCGTGAAATCATGTCACGGGCTCAACACGGCACGAAGTTTTATATTGATTGGTTGATCCGTATCACAACAAAGCAAGATAAACTTCATCCAGGAACAAGATCTAATTTCATTACATTTACGCAGGTGGCTATAGTAATACAATGACTTGACAAAACATTCCGATATATCACTGTCGTCGCCAATATAGTAAATTTGATCCGCGTACTTATCCCTTTAGCACAACGTAAAACCTAATAAGGAGCCAATGATGACTCCCTTTATGATCTCCATCACAAGTAGTCCTTGTTACACTTACCACTTAAGAAAAATCATATGGGGTTATACCGACCCCATCGAGCGTGTTTGTACATTAGCTCTCCTGATATAGCCGTATGAGCAGGTACCGAGAGCCAGATGCAGCCACGATCGTAAGCGGGTATCTCAAAGATGATAAAACTACCTAGGAAACATAAAAGACCCTCTTTGATCCCCAGACTTCCCAAGCACGCATCTTTGTACAGGCCGGGGGCGAAATCGTGCAGGTGGGCCTGGCAAGGCCAGAAAATCATTGCCACGTCGCGAGCCTAACTAACCCGTCGAAGATCTCGAGTTTACCTGGCTCGTGTATAGCCAAAATAGGAGAATTCTATATATGTGCTTTGATGTAGTTTCATGTGAATGGAAGGTTTCGCGGTATCGTGGGAAACAAATTCCCCTGGTCCCCCTGGGTCTACCTATCTGGCCTTTGGATAGGCGGCCGCAGAGAGGGGAGCCTACTTCCACGACTCAAAAGAGGTACTGCTATCGACAAAAAAGCCCGTCATAGTAACCCAAACCACCCCCCTGTACAAAAAAAAAAGCGATGTGTTGTCCATTTCCCGGAAAAGACGAAAAGACGAAAAGGAAAGAAATTTCCCGTAGGTAACTTTCTGGGGACGGGTATATCGGATACTAAGAAATCTCAGAAGCTAAGAGGAGTAAGTGGGTGTTAGCTGCAAGTGCTGGCCATAGTGCGTCAAGACGATATCGTCTTTCCCGATGTGGCTTGATGATGAGCTGGACAAGCTCGAAAACTTTGTGTCGATGGAAACCCAATCAAACAAAATCAGGCAAGAAGCGGCAACGAAATAGAGTGGCAAAAGCAATCAGGTCTTGCTTTAGGTAGTTTGATAGACCACGCAATATGGGACCGTCTAAGCCTAAACGAAAACACAACACAAATAAAAAAAGAACAAGAGTGCAAGAGATAGGCAGGGAGGCAGAGAGACACCATCAGCTCCTGTCTGCTATACCTTTAGGTAGATGCAGGATATCGTCTCTTGGCTTGGAGTTTGGTGCGAGTGACTGAGCCATCTGTCTAAGGTAATCACCCGAGACGTGGCAAGGGACGAAACATGCTCCCCTGTTCCAGTGATTGACGGTACATGCTCGTCTTAAAAGGCAAGTTGCCTTATAGGCCTAAGAGGGTAAGGAGAGACCTACCCGCGGCTAGCCAGATGGCTTGCATAGGCAGGCAGTGGGGATAGGCCACATCCTGGTTGCAGACGGGAAAGGATTAAGCTATGCGTGCAACGGGGGGTGTAGTAACAGGGTGGCAAATTCGAGGCTGATGGGCTCACGTCCCAAGGTTAAGGGCGGACCGAACAAAGGTGTTAGAATCGACCCAATAGAGAACAGCGAAAGGGGAAGAGGGGCCGCCATCTATCTTTCTCAAATCAAGTAACTGGTAAGCTATTTTTTTTTTCTCTCATCAGTCAGGGTACTCGTAGGCTGTATCCAGAGTGGGGAAGTTGAGCCGGTGGAAAATTGAAGCACTAGACCAACGTGGCATCCATCCAGCATTCTAGGAAACATGTTAGACGGACTGGCTGCTAAATGGACATGCAACCCCAATTACCAGACAGGCTGAGTTGTCAATGACCAATCCTCAACGGTTGTTTGTAGTAACTCTGGACACAGTGTCGACGAATATGTAGTGAAAGGTTAAGGGCCAACGTGAGTCGAGGGCGAGTGTCGGGTGGAAAAGGCCAAAGGGAAAAGACACAAGGCGTGGGCGAAAAGTATAAGTATTTCTATCTCTCCTTATTGATGTCACTTGCACCTAATGGTGGAGTAACCCGAACCAAGATTCAAAAACTTCAGTCGATATATATACCTTATATAAGAAACAGGAGGAGAAGAAGAAGAACAAACAGAAGGGAATACTAGCCTTAACATACCGTGAACACCAGCAGCACTATCTTCGTTGATGTCAACTAGAAACTGCTTGACGGCCCACGCTCCTTTTTCGCCAGAATTACGTGTATTGGCTAAGCTAGCTTGCGAACCGCTGCGCACCAAGTATCTCCTGCCCCAGGCCAGCTTACTCCCCGAACGGTGACGATGTGCTATTTTGAACAGACACGTTGGATGTGTGGGTATTGGCGATGGGGCCACTTCCGTCAACAATGTACGAAGGAGTATCGGACGGGAGAGACCTGCGGGCTAAAGCTGGTATACCGTACCAACCAAGAGCCGGACAACTGCAAGCTCTGCAAGGATATCGAGAAGAAGCAACGGAAGCTCACGAAGCTCCAAAACGACATCTACCGGTGGCAGAGGGAAGGGAACCGGACGGCAACGATCGAGAAAGCCCAAAGGGATATGGGAGAGGTCGACGAGGCAATCCAAAACATGCTTCAACAACATCATAACAGGCAGTACTCGGTAGTGTAGGGGCACTCTGGTTAACAGTGTAGGCGATGGGGGATTTGGTTGGTCAATAAGGGCTTCGAGATATCAGTAGAGTTCCACTCAAAAGACTCAAAGGAGGGGGGTCTATAAGAAGAACTTAGAAGAAGATCAGGAGAGGTCAATCTCAAAAATTTGAATATGGGGGGTTTATTTTTTCTCTTGGCAGGTTATGGTTTCTGAATAAACACGTCGGGAAGCCGGTCTTTTGTACGCTATACTCGATGCGATTATCTGATTTTTTAAAGAGCTAGAGACCTCCGCAGTGGTCCACCAGGATCAAATTCTGAGTTCTTGATGAATAGATCTTATACGGAAACCGCCTTGCTCGAGGAAGTTCCTACTCTATGTCCTTTTTGTCTTTTCCATTCGTGTCTACGATGGATAGGTAGTCTAAGTTGGCATCTGTCCGGCGGAGACATTACGAATAAATTAAAGGGGTGAGGCCAAAAGAAATTCATTATGAGATGAAGCTGTTTGGAAGATCCACAACTAGACACGTTCACCGGGACATTGTAATAGAAATAGACACAACGGAGACATCACTACCTAAGACAATTCATATAAGCCGTTAGAGATAGTCAGTAGAAACAGGATGTAGGTAACCAGGGGGGTTGGAGGAATGAATAAAAAAAAGAAAAAAAACCAGGCGATATATTATTCCTGTGGTAATGATCTTTGGTAGGTGGATTATTGTTATCAACTTGTTAACCCTAAATGAGTGGAGGAGGCCGGGTGACACATGGAATATTTAAAGGGGGGTGGTGGTTGCGGTCCTTCCCGGATTCCCCGCTGACTGGCTAGAATCAGACGCACAGACTCCCGTTTGTAATTCTAGAAAACACATCGTGAGCCTCTTTCGGCCCGCAGGTCTTTATAGTCTTTTCAATACCGAAGCCGGAAAGAATGTTTGAGATTAACTAAGACAAAAGTATCTATAGAAGCGCGTACCGAACAGACGGGATTCTTATATGAATCCACTTTCTAGTAAAGAAAATGAGATTGACTAGGCACGTGTCTACCACTTAATGGACTTGCTTCTCTTAAGTCCCCCCCTGAAAACCAATCTCTGATTGGTCGCTTTGATCCTACACTGCACATGTACTATGTATGACTTGGTTTGTTCACTTAATTCAGGATGTGAATTTCGGTTTTCCCCCGCTGTATAACCCAAGATTGGATTAGAACATGACCCGCCATAAAAATCTTTCTTGGCCAGGTCATAGAAAAAATCCATTACCAAGTCGGTCTGAGATCGGCTCATGTTTCGCTATCAATCCGGCGGAATTGAATGGTATCCATATGGCAAACTTGCGTCATTAACCCGTTTAAAAACTAACAACTCCTCATAGCCGCGCTGCATTTATATCCCCGAATGTACCCACAAGTAAGCCACCTATTTCATCCTTGATACTAGGGGCCTTGCCAGATAATTCGGCAGTATCATCGTCGCCTAATAACCAGTCTGCGGCGCCGAGAACACTGTCCGTAGGAGGGGTCTCCCCTTGCTGTGAGAGTTTGGATAATATATTTTGATACCGGGCTAAGCGGACGTCTTGCCCGGAGAATAGAGCGGGTTGAGTCCTCTGAGACTCCTGTGGTGTGATTTCAAAGACATCGACAAGATTACTGAAGCAATCATTAGCGTATCGAACCGGGGGCGAACATGAAATTGGAATGCGCATACTTGGATGTTCGCGCTACTACTCTCTGAAGAGCTTCTACTTCTCGCTGTGACTCAAGCGGGTCGGCCTGAGCGTTTAAATTATGCTCGCCAAAGCTCCCATACTGGAGGTTGTTCGGGTCGTCGAAAAGCAGTCGGGATACATCGTCCTTTTACAATTAGTCAATGCTCACAGCACAATCCAAAGGCTTCGAGGGCGCATACTTCGTCGTAGGAATCGCGGCGCCGGCGGCCGAGGCAAGAGGAGCAAATTCCCATTTTTTGTAATTAGAGTGAAATGAATATGACAAGGAAATTCAGAGAAAACGAGAAAATGAGAAAAACAGAAATGTTGGATTGGGACATATGCCCTCTGCTAAGGTCTAATAGAATAGAATCATAAGGATCGTATAATCTGCCTGGTGGCACCCGGGCGAGAGTTAGAAAATTGAAATGCTCGTCGCAAAAAGGTTGAAGTTGGGAAGAATTTGGGGAATGTCAAGGTTCAATGCGCGACGCGGGACTACGTACCTGGCCTTGTCTGGATTATCATGTGGTCCTATAATTGGTTTCGGTTGGATTACCTGATGCCTGATGCCTTATGTAAAGTACCCGGACAACTGCCCGGAGTTACCTTAGTGCTTTATGTACAAATAAGTACCTAGGTACCTAGGTAGCTTACTTACAGCTGCTACAGGCTTAGGTACAACTGCTAGAGCCTATAAGTAAAGAGGCTCGTGCGCGACTATTAGGTAGATGCAAACTAGATGCAATTAGGTAAGCATCGAAAAGTTGAAGCAAACAGAAAAAAACAGATGATGACGAAATTGTCCCTTAAACTCTTTTAAGCTTTCGACGATGTTCCTAATTTAAACCCCTACGCTAGACGTTCCAGATGGGGGAAGTTATCAAATGCACTATACTTTTGTAAGGCTTGCTATCCACTAATTAATAAGACTTTGAGCTACCGGTACCAGTTTCACTGGTGCCTTAGGTACAGGTACCTAGGTCCCTAAAGGCTAAACTAAACCACCTTCAAACTTCAATCAACTCTGTTCTCTGTTCACTTGTTTATTCTTTTACTAATCATCAACTTCGCCCATCATACACTAAAAAACCACCTGACATCGGCTTTTCCCTCACCTCAATATGAGTTGGTCAAGGCGTGTTTGATCACGCTTGCAATCTCCGTAATGTCATCCTTGCTCGTCTTTTGACCGCCCATCAGGTACAATACATTACCTAAAACTCGGCTATGAATATTCCACATGGTCGTTCGGTCGCCTTCTAGTAAAGCACTTTGTAACTTGAGAGCTGCATCGCTCTTATACCCAAGACCATCTGCAGCATTCATATGAATTGCAAGCACGCTACCGAGAGCCCAGGTACCGGCTATGAGCTCATGTTGATTCGAAATCCAATCCAATAGGTCCCAAGGCCAGATGGACCATACCTCGGGGCTGATGGCGTCAGCTTGCCCAACTAGACGCCCGGACCAATCGCTGCTTTTTGCCCAATCCCATTCACCTTGTTTCTCCATCGTCTGCATCTGTCTCAACGATTCTACCGCGACTTGGCAGCCGATAGCATGGGCTGTGTAACTGTGTCCATGGAGTAAAGCGTCGGCCTTGTCATCGCTCTCGAAGGCATGAAAGATACTCTCAGATGCCAATGTAGTGCTAAGTGGCACCAAGCCACCGGTTAAGAGCTTGGCGTGAACAGAGACATCAGCTTCAACTTTGAGAAACGATGACGCGGTAAACCTTCCGAGTCGATATAATCCCGTGAAGACTTCATCGAATATGATAGGAAGACCAGTCCAAGATGTAGCATCCGATGTATCCGGCTCAGAACATTGACCAAACAGTTTTGCTGAGCGACGGACCACGTTGACAAGAGCACGCTGGAAAAGGGGATCTCTGTATCCAAATTAGTCTTTGCCTTTCTAAAAAAAAAAAAAGATTGTACGGTTTCCCACTTACACTAATGTCATACCTCCGGCTCCGATTACTACCGGCTCCATAAGTAAAGCACCGAATTTTCGACCATTGGTAACGTAATACGATAGCCTTCTCTCGATATACTGCTCGTACACCTTTTGTTCATCGTTGGATTCTCGAGAGTCGATATCAAATACATCCGATAGACTCGTGAACGTTTTGTTACCTCCAAGATCTGCTTTCAGCTCATCGGGCGTTTCGACGATCCATTGACCACGGCTGCACTTAACGCTCGGATAGTCAAACCAGATACCCCTTCCGTTATACCACTCGATGTTTTCATTATACGTACTCGGTTCGGCACAGTCCATGGCGCCCATGGTGTCTCCATGATAACCACCCTTCAGTCCAATTATTCCGATATCTGTGTTTGTATCCCACCCGTACCGAAGTCTAGCCGCTCGCAGGCCCATCTTCACCGCTACCTCTACACCCGTACTGCCGTTGTCGGAGTAGAACACGCGCGTGAGACGAGGATTCTTCATCCCTAATAAAAGAGTGTCTGCTAGGGCTAAAGCGGGTTCGTGAATGGCTCCAGCAAACATAACATGGCCGTAACGACCTGCAGCGTAGGCCGCGGCCATAGTAAGCGATGGGTTTCCATGCCCAAGCCCTTGAGTCCACCACGACGCCGAACCATCGAATGAAGGCTGTAAAATAGGTACATGCTGATTGTTTGCCCTTTCTATCCTTGGCACCACGGTCTGGAAGAAGTCTCCTCGAGCACTATCGATGGCGACGATTTTCTCAGGTGAGAGAGACGTATGCTGTGTGAAGGGATACCATATTCGTTTATACGCGTCTTCAGGCATAGACTCAAGCCTCTTAATACGAGCCTGGTGTCTCTGGTTTAGATGTTCGAGAATATTGAGAGTGCCTGAACTTCTACTTTCATCCTTGTAGTATTGCAACATCGCCTGTGCGTCTGCATCTTTATTCTGTACCCTCGGAGGGGGTTTCGGGAACGATGCAACTGGTATACCGTGAGAAGCTGTGAAGTAGTCTCTCAGGTACTTCTCGTTATCATATTCGCTATCTTGGAACACGAGGATGCTCTCAACATCATACCCCCGCAGTTTTAAGGATTCAAAAGCGGAGATAGTTAATGAGATTCCTCCAAGTTTGGAGTCGGCGATCAGTATGACGGGACATCGTATTGCCGCATATAGGTCCGCTTGAGTGGTCCCAGTCGGTCCGGGAGAGTGAACGCCACCGGCGGTTTCTATGAAGAGCCACCCGGGTTGCTGAGCCGCACTCCGAGATGCGAATTCATATATCCTAGAAAGGAGCTCTTTATCCGAAGGCACTAACTTCACAGGCAAGTGTTAAGTCGCTAAAGTCATAGAGGTCAAAGGCAAGGTAATCCGTACCTTACCCTTTGCTGCAGCATGAGGGCTCATAGCCAGATCATACTGCAGCAATGTTTTGCGAAGGACCCCAGGGGCGTATTTTTCGATATGGCTAGATTCACATCAACACATGTAACCCAATGTTTTCTTTATTCACGCTTCTATAACTCCTATAGGTTAGCATCATTGCGGTATTACAACACAAAATAGCCAAGAGCTCACGTACACCGATCATCGGCTTCATCACCCGGGCCTGTTGAAACAGGTTTCAAGTATGATGTTTGCTCCCTTTTCCATATATTATTGGCGGCCTTGCAAAGAATCGTGGCGATAATAGTCTTACCAACATCAGTGTTGGCTCCATAGACCTGAAAGACTCGAAGGGAGCTCCAGAGTAGAGGGTGGACGGGTGCCATTTACACTACGCCACCCTCGTGGGATTCTGAGTTGTTTCTTGTTGTTGTTACAGCGGCCAAACCCAGATGCAAAATTACGTGCTCAGCAATATGTCCAATTAATCCGGGAAAAGGCAACAATTTATACCCCACTAACATGCAGCCGTGGTATCGGTCCGGAAGTTTTCATTCTCGTACTAGGGTCTACCTAGATAAAGTAGTGTCAATTGATCGGCATGGGACCAGCATTACATTAGGCACAGATCAAATATAAACGTAACCAGTCCCCATCCTTTGAATGCTCAAATCATAGGACAGAGATGTCAGATACGAAGGGGCGGTTGGATGACACCCTTGGGGAGATCTTAGCACGTCGAAAAGCTCGTGGTAGGCTTAGAAAGCTAAGCAATACCCCAACTGACTTTGTCGACTTCTCGTCCAATGGCTACTTGTCCTTATCGACAAACTTGGAAATTCAGAAATCATTACTGTCTCGTCTGCAGGCCGAGGTCGCAACGCCTAAGGATAGCAACGGATCGAGAGATTCCCACAGATCGCTCCTGGGCTCGGGAGGTTCTCGTCTTCTTGACGGTAATTCGCCATTTGCAGAGTCACTCGAAGATAAAATTGCCTCTTTTCATGGTGCGGAGGCGGCGCTTCTATTCACATCTGCATACGATGCCAACACCGGATTGCTTGGCTCTGTCCCACAACCCGGGGATGTGATTATCTATGACGAGCTAATCCATGCGAGCGTCCATGAAGGGATGCGTGTGAGTCGAGCTGCGAAAAAGATTCCATTCGCGCATAGTTCCATATCGGAGGCTCAGCGGGGGCGGACTACCGACACTAAGGAAAGCCGAGCGATTAGTGGTAGTAAGAACCAGGGACTCGGTCATGTCCTGAGGGAATTAGCGAAAGACGAGCGGGTCGCTAGTTGTAAAGCCAACGTTTTTATTTGTGTTGAGGGGCTTTATAGCATGGATGGCGATACTATACTTTTGAAAGAAATCGTTGAGACCGTGGACCAATACCTCCCATCTGGGAATGGATACATCATAGTCGATGAAGCGCACTCGGTGGGTGTGTTCGGCAAAGATGGACGCGGGCTAGTATGCCAGCTCGGCTTAGAGGATCGGATATGGGCAAGAGTCCTGGGATTTGGGAAAGCGATAGGCTGTGCAGGAGGTATGTATTCTGCGCCCAAGGGGAAGCATTTCCGCCTGTGGCATTTGCAAGAATACTATCACAACAAAGAAGAGGATGCGTATTAACATATCCCACACTAGGTGTCGTTCTATGTTCCCCGGTTACTCGATCATACTTGATCAACTACGCCAAAAGTCTCATCTATACAACATCGATGACTTTTACGTCTCTAGCCAGCATAGATGTTGTTTACGATTTCCTCGTAAGCGGGCAATCAGAACCATTACGGCGATACTTGGAAACTCTCATCTACTACACGCGCCATAAACTCTGTGCTCTCTACACCCGTTTACGGCCAGACAGGCACACGCTTTATGTTGAGGAGACGACCCTAAAATCGCCCATTATCCCGGTTTTAACCGCCTCCCCTCGTAGCCTCGCAGAACATTGCCAGCGATTCGGTTTCATGGTACGCCCAATCGTGAGCCCAACCGTACCGGCGGGGAGCGAGAGAGTAAGGATCTGCTTGCATTTTGCTAATACGAAAAAGCAAGTTGACGAATTATGCGATGTAATCGAGGCATGGGTAAGAAACCAGATGTCCAAGGTGGCATCTCAGGGAAATACAGAGTCCCTCAAGCTCAAAGAAATTGCACATGTATTCGCCAAGGGAGATAAACCGCGCTTATAATACTTACAACCTTGACTAAACCATTTTTACCCTAGTTACAAGCTACATGCTATGAGTTGTTGATGGAAGGCGGCGGAGATTTGTCAAAGCTCTTCATAGGTTCCAAACCCCATCGGTCGAACATGACCTTATCCTCATCCCAGCCATTGCATTCCGTTGTCAGCATCTTCTCGCCAGTAAATATAGCATTCGCACCAGCCATAAAGCATAGCGCCTGCTTCTCTTCTGACATAGTCTTCCTCCCAGCAGCAATTCGAACAATAGTGGCCGGCATGATGATTCGAGCTGTAGCAATAGTTCGAAGCACTAGAAATATCTCCAGTTAGGATACCAAATTTCGTATTATAAGCTGTGGTTAAAAGGGGGTAAAGGATCCGGATGAACGTACTGCTTGTAAAATCGATCGGCTCGCGGTCTCCGAGGGGTGTGCCTTTGATAGGTACCAGAGCATTTACTGGGAAGCTCTCTGGGTGGGTGGGAAGCGTCGATACGGTGTGCAGCAAACCAACACGGTCCGTCGATGTTTCGCCGAGGCCGAGAATACCACCGGAGCAGACGTTGATGCCGGCATCTCTCACATGGCCGAGAGTCTGTAATCGCTCGTCGTAAGTGCGAGTAGAGATAATAGACGGGTAGAACTCGCGGCTCGTGTCGACATTGTGGTTGTACGCTGTCAATCCGGCGGCTTTCAGCTCCTTTGCCTGCTCAGAGTCGATCATACCTAGCGTGACACACGCCTCCATGCCGAGAGCTCGGACTCCCTTGATCATCTCGGCGATATTCCGAAGGCTGTTCTTGCGCCCGCGCATGTCGCGCCATGCAGCTCCCATGCAGAATCGCGTGCTACCGTTTGCTTTAGCTGCTCGTGCGGCTTCCAGCACCGACTCGACCGACTCGACTTTCTTCGCCTGTAACCCTGTACCCTTCTGGTATCGTGTAGCTTGCGCGCAGTATGAGCAGTCCTCCGTACATCCGCCGGTCTTGAAATCTCGCTATTAGCGGGTACTCAAACATTTCATTTGATGCTAGCTCACCTTGATGTTCATCAGCGTGCATAGTTGCACTTCGGCCGGGTTATGAAACCGACGGTGAACGAGACTCTATTGCAGCTAGTGTTATCAGTCAAGTTCAGTGTCATAGCTATCGTACACTCGATCCCATTGTAGGCCGGTAATTAAAAGCAGCATTAGTTCTTTGCACATGGGTCTCTTACCGCTTGATGCACCAAGTCCATTAACGGATGGTCGTAGATTTCCGCAATCTCATCCCTCGTCCAGTCATTCCTCGGTTGGGTTGCCGCGACGGCATCACGGAGGGTATTCTTAGTAGTTTGGATGGGAGCTTCTTGCCTAACATGGACCGGACCGGGGATAGGGAAAGGCGGCTGATCCAATTGTTGCGGCTGGATTTCAACAGCGGCAGCGGACGGGCGAGGGGACGCCGTCGTAAACAATCGGATAACGTTACACCGAGCAGGCCGAGCCAGCGGCTGGGCAAGTCGACGAAGAACCGGGCGCGTGGATATCATGATTACGCACAGATTGATTTCTCGTCGACTTACAGAAGAGAACCAGTCTTGGAGTTTTAACGGGCTACGCCAGTGACGAAGCAAGCAAGCAAGTAATCAAGTAACCATATCGGCTTCCTTAGCAGTGGCCCCTCTCCCCTCTTCCCCCACGCCTCAACAGAAGCTCTAACCCCCCCAATAATTTTTTGCCTGTGGGGTGGTGCATTTTCGGCTACTGGAGGGAATATTCTCATATGAGTCCGTCCGTCCGTCCGTTTATACATACGTCAACAGCATAACCTGCTCAGGCCATAAGTACCTACCTAAAGTGACTAGATTAAATAAGATATCACTCACACATGCTAGGTATGTATCCCACGGCCAAGTCTTCGAGGCCTTAGCCGGCACTAAAGAGATTGGCGACAACCCACTTCATCCCCGCTGGCCGTGCATGGGGCCATTGAGGATCGCCGTCTTCGAATTTCCGAGAATATAATTCGCTAGAGATCGGCTAGTGTATTACGTAGTTAAAATAATTGAAACAAAGCCAGGTATTTTACGCAAAACTATGAGGCCTTTTCGTTACGAATACTCTCTATAGTTATACTTTACGTTAAGTATATACCTTAGTAGGTAATGAGCTGCTTCATATGAACCCCAAGATTATCTTCAATCAACAATTGAACTCCCCAGCAGTTTTGCCTTATATAAGTACCTAAGGTACCTAAGGTACCTAACATAAGATAATAGTTAAGCATACACACTAGAGAAGATATAATGTGCATATCACTTCTACAAATCCATCACGTTCCGTAGGACATAGAAGCTAAGTTAGCTAAGCCTCAACACTCAAAGCTACTATACAGGTTACATTAGCCTTCTATTGGTTCTGTTATTCTCATTCTGGCTTATACCGTTATACCGTTATAATTAAGCAGTCTCTTCCTTATGCATGTTGCTAGCTTTCGAGGTACCTGCTATATATATATGTGTGTGTGTGTGAGTGTGTGTTTTAAACAAGCGGATAAATGAAAACTAGAAGAATATAATAACATCCTCAAGTTTTGGCAATCGGCTTGTTTTTCATATTATCGCCGTACAAGAACAATTACTCGCTGCACTGCTCTCCAAATGCTAAGCCCGAAGCTTGCCTTTTGCTACACTGCTTAGGGTACCTAAAATGCATATGCTTACTTACCTGTACCAAGCATGTAGCAAGTATGCTTTGCCAACTAGATACCTCTTTATAAAATGGGTAGCCAGCTTCCTTGCAAGATTACAGAGGGCCAGGCATTACTCTTTTACGAATATATTGCCTTGACACTCACTATGTGTACGACATCAATCAAGAGCATCAACCTCGCCCGGCACATAGCCATCTTTCTATATAGTCGCTCATCTCATATCACTTTCTAAGCCTAACGAGATACTCTTTACTTGGAATAATTTACTTAGGTACCTAGGTAGTTACGCCTATTCATTTAGATCGCAAATATTTATTAATATTGTCGTGACGGCGAGAATTAATTGTCGAAGTTCTCGACAACCAGCTCGGATACGAAGCTTTATCGTATACGTGGGCGAACGAAGCGGGCGACAGGAGGAGGTGCGAGCCTTTGTACCTTGACAACCAACGGCGCAGACTCCCTATTATAAAGAATCTCGAAGTAGCGCTTCGAAGGTTCCGAGGTGGAACGGAAGAGAGGTCTTCATGGGTTCCAGACTTTCGCAATGTGCGGCTCCGGGAAATAGATTGGATCTCAATCCTAGGTTTCGTCCGGTTTATATTTAAACGTATTCAGATTCAGACCACCTATGAGGACATTATATCCCCGATACTGTCCTCAGTCGGACGGGGTCGCTAATTATCCATGGGTACAGAGTACTAATGGAAGTCAACTAGAAGAAGTCGAGTACCGAGCTGTAAAATACCTATTTATTTAATTGGGAGATTGGAGGTATCAATTCATGATGTTTACTTGCTCTTGTCCCTTAGAAGAGAAAGCGTGGTAGGTACCTGTACCGGATCTGAATTAGGAACCCGACTTTATCCCTGCAAGTTATGAAAGATTCATTATTTGTGCCTGCTTCTTATGACAAGTTGTCATTGACAATAGCTGCCAAGCAAGACCCTAAAAACCCCCCCGGACCCTGAAGCTGCGCTTATCTCCGCTGAATTAAATCCGACATGCCGGCGCGCGATCGGCCATTAGCGGTGCAAAGACTTTCTCAGATCCTCGAAGATTAGCCTATGGCAGAAAGGCAAGGTTGAATCATAACTCTATCACATCGCGAATTACATATCAAATTTGTTCTTTTCTAACTAATCGTCCCCCTATCTCCTCTTCTCCCTTTCAACTCGGAATTGTTTGCCTTGCCTCAGATGGCAACCGTCAGATCGGGAGCGTCTCGTACTGCTCGGGTCACAAATTTCGACGCTGTCATCTCTCAAAGAGCTTACAGTTGTAGAGCACAAACCATTCGATATCGATATCATGATTTACATATAGCAAGAGGTAGGTTGTATTTTGGTATTTTTGTTAGACCTTCTTTTTTTATTTTATTTATTTTTATGTGTTTATGTTTTCATTTCTCAATCTTCTTTCGAGCCTTGCTAGATACTTCAGAGCATGCTGGAATACCTATTAGAAAGTCGCCCATGTCAACGTGACAGGTATTTCGCAGTTTCCTTTTTTTTTTTTTTTTTTTTTTTCCTTCACGACTCCGGTTATCGGCGTTCCTAGCGGATGCAGCTTCTTCCAATTACCTCTGTCTGTACCTGCCGGTCACTGCACGACAAATTTAGCATCGCACTCCAGTCCCACACTTTTAAGGTTGGTGGGCAAATCGTTGGAAAAGATATGGGGACCCTAGGTATTTTAGATCCTTAGGGTCGTTTTCCCCTGGATCCGCTTGGGCGAAACGGTGCACGAGGTTCAAATTTGCGTGTTTGGGAAGTTCCAAAGCTGAGATTTTTTATTTTATTTTTTTATTATACTTAACATACCCAAGGTAGTACCTACCTATATGTACCTAAAGGGAATTATTATTTGCCTTTACTTCCGGTTGTAATTCCCTCATCGTTCCATAAACATACCACAACTTCTCAGCCGATCCTTCACTTCTTCCCCATCCAAAACAAACCCGTATTAGGAAAAATAGTGGCTTGAAAAAAGAAAAACCTGGGGTGACTTCCATATTAACCAATCCATTTTTTACCAGGAGCGGCAGTAGCAGCAGCTAATATAACTAATACCCCGCGTCCGTTGCTACTGTCATATTCGGGGTCTCCCACTACCCCGCCACCCGCAAATCCGCTGCTACATTCCCCTAAACGCCATTTTCATCATCAAGCACCAATGGCTAGACTCAATATTGGAAACATCAACCCGCACGTCGTCGAGGCTAAATATGCCGTTCGTGGTGAGCTAGCTGTCAAGTCCGAGGAGTACCGTGCCAGACTCAAGAAGGGCGACAAGACCCTACCCTTCTCTCAAGTTATAAGTGCAAACATCGGCAACCCTCAGCAGCTTGATCAGAAGCCTATCACTTTTTTCCGCCAGGTCCTGAGTTTGCTCGAGAACCCTAAACTCCTAGAGCACGAAGATGTTCTGATAAATGCTCTGGGCTACAAGACGGACGTGCTTGAACGGGCAAGATGGCTTTTAGACCACGTCGGCAGTGTTGGAGCATATAGCGCCAGCGCTGGTGCACCGGTCATCAAGGAAAGCATTGCGAAGTTCCTTGAAGGTGAGTCCTAGCTACTTTGAAAGTTACTCTACTCTACGTTCACCCTAATTGATAAATATAGAACGAGATGGCTTCCCCGCCGATCCGGCGCATATCTACCTCTCGGCTGGTGCGTCTTCGGGCGTCAATACCCTCCTACACATCCTCTGCGCCTCTCCCAATAGCGGAGTCCTTGTACCTATCCCCCAGTATCCGCTCTACACCGCTTCGCTCTCCGTCCTTAACGCAAAATGCGTTCCGTATTATCTCGACGAGGCCGCTCACTGGAGTACGTCACATGAGGCCATCAAGGAGTCTTACAGCAAGGCTAAAGCTGATGGCATCGACGTTCGCGCCATCGTCATCATCAACCCGGGTAACCCAACAGGCGCTTCGCTATCCGAAGAGGATGTTCGGTCCGTCCTAGAGTTTGCTGCCGAGGAGAAGCTTGTGGTCATGGCCGACGAAGTCTACCAGACCAATGTCTTCATTGGTAAATTCCACAGCTTCCGCCAAGTTCTGCTTAAATTACAAAAGGAGTTTCCCGGAAAGTACGATGACGTTGAACTCGCATCTCTACACTCCATCTCCAAGGGTATGGTCGGCGAGTGCGGCCACCGTGGCGGCTACTTTGACCTGATCGGCTTCAAGGACGAGGTCGAGGAGCAGATCTACAAATTCGTCTCCATCACTCTGTGTGCCCCCGTTATCGGTCAGTGCCTAGTCGAACTTATGGTCAACCCGCCCAAGCCCGGTGAGCCCTCGTACGAACTTTACAACGAGGAGTACAATGCCATATACAATAACCTCAAGTCACGTGCATACACGTTATACGAGGCCTTCAAGGAGATGGAAGGCGTTGAGTGTGGCGAACCCCAAGGTAGTATGTACATTTTCCCTACCATCCACGTGCCTCCCAAGGCTGCCGAGGCTGCTAAGAAGGAGGGCCGTACGCCCGATGAGTTCTACTGCATACGCCTGCTGGAAGCTACGGGTGTGTGCGTCGTGCCCGGAAGTGGCTTTGGTCAGGCTGAGGGCACCCTGCACTTCCGCACCACCTTCTTGGCACCCGGCACTGAGTGGGTCGGCTCAATCAAGAAGTTCCACAAGGAGTTCATGGACCAGTATAGATAGATACCTATAGAGAAGTAAACGAATAGCGACGAAGAACGTCGCATTAAGCCAACATGTGGGGGCCAGTATTGGGTTATTAGATTACCTACCTAGGTTAGGGGATGGATTAAGGCCAGATTATCGGAGAGTGGGATTTGCAAGAGAAGCGAAAACGATGACAACGTAGACACTTACAAGAAAGACCGTATCGACTGCTTTATAAGGCACCTACTTTATACACCTCTGGCTCAACAGGAGGATACTAGGTATGATATGGCGTTTGGACTTTGATACCTACCTAACCTAAGGTATATACCTAAATAGATACTCTCCACTACGCATCACGAACCTTATAAAATTACTCCTACCTACCTCACTCATTGATTTCCATCTTCTTTTTACTGCGTAATGTCCCCTCATCGTGAGCTTAGAAAACGGGATTTCGGCCCGCGTATATTTGGATTTAGTATTGTTACATTAATGTCTATTGCACAGGCACACACATTAGTCTTCATCACCAACAACAGAGCCATCTTAAGACGGCTTTCTTTTCCTTCTTCTTCTATTCGTCTTTATTAAATAAGTACCTAGGTTAGGATAGGCACTTCTCACACTACTAGTGGCACCTTTTTTTCTTTTTACGCTCTCACGCCCTCTCGCTGCCGCGGAGCCGCACGGCCTGGCCGTACTTCTGCAGCTTGGTAATAAGCTGATCGCCCTGCTTGACTACGTCCTGGTACTGCTTGTTCTTGTCGTCCGGGCGGTTCGTCTCGATGATGCCCTTGCCGGTCACGCGGTCGATGGTGCACGGGATGCGGCCGGCGGCGATGAATTTAGCAAGGTCGCTACAGCGGAGGAAAAGGTTAGTATTAAAGAAGCTATACAAAAAAGAGGAAAGGGGGACTGGAGGGGGGGGAGCCAGTAGGTAGGAAGTATATAGATAGGTAGGTAGGTAAACGTACCGGTCTAGGAAATCGACGGTAATACCAAAGTCGTTGGCCATGCTCTCGAGCCCGACGACGCGGTAGCTCTGCAGCAGCTGCTGGTAGGCGCGGAGGCGCATCTCGCGGATGAACCAGCCCTTGTGCTCGTAGAGGTAGCGGTCCTGGGTGAGGAACTGCTCCTCGACGAGGGCGAGGGCCTGGAAGAAAAGCTTGTAGTGGCCGTTGTACAGGCTGTTGACGAGCTGGGCGAGGGGTGAGAAGTCGACGGCGAGCTCGGCCTCGGGCTGATCGGAGCCGGTGCCGAGCGTCGTCAGGTTGACGGCCGTTGTAATCTTGGTAGGCGCCGTGGGGGAGACGGTGTCCTTAGTAGCGTCCCCCATCTCGGCGTCTTCGGCTCCGGGGCCGGCGGAGATGGCACCGGAAAGAGCGAGAAGCTTGTCCTCGCCGTCGGCACCTAGGATGGCCTTGATCTCGGGGGCGTCGACGACCTTGCTCTTGAAGTCGACTCGCTTGAGGGAGACGGAGCCGGCCAGGACGGAGTACACGACGAGGTTGGAGTATGTGCATAGCTCGTAACTGGTGAATGTCGACAGGGAGTCGAGGAGAAGGGGCGCAGCGAGGTTATATGAGCGGACGGTTAACAGGTGCAGGCCCTCGTAGGCCTTTAGGCGGTTACGGCGGTCCCAGTCGCCGCCGCTTTCAACCAGGGTCTTCGCGCGCGCAACGTGCTTCTTTACCAAAGCCTTGTCACCGTAAAATAGACCCATGCGGATTATTGCCAATACTAGGTCAATCTTGGTGCCCAGGATGCCCGTCTTCTCGAAGACATCCTCGTAGGCTGCTATCGCCTTGTCCTGTAGCGAAGCGGTTAGCGATAGTTACATTTACAAAGTAGTTTCGAAGCAGAAGAAATACCTTATCTCCAATCTTGGCGAAGAAATCGGCACGCTTCCCCTTCGCAGCCATGATTTCCGTCTCGCCGGCCTGCTCAACAGCCTCGTCCTCCTCCTTCTGGAACTCCTCTAGCTCCTTGTCGTTCTCCGCCTTCAACCTGTTGTAGACATCCTCGTCCCAAGGTAACGTCGCACCCACGTTCTTGCTAGCGACCATGCCTGCGGCGCTTGGTTTCCGGCCGGTGGGCCTCTGAGGTGCAGGTGCAGGTGCTGATGCGGATGAGGTCTCACCGGTAGCATTCAGAATGCCGTCGATGGGATGTGCCAGGTACTTATACAGAGGGGCCATCTTATACTCGTTAATGCCATCTTGTAAGCTCTTAACTGCAGCTTGTTGGGCGGGTTTGGTAGCGTAGGGATTTGTGATGGTGAAGACGTGCTGGGCTAGAGGTAGGGCAGGCCATTTCGCATACTGGGGGTCGGAACCCATGATGATTGATGATTACGAAGGAGTAACTGGGAAGAGGGAAAAGTCCAAGTATGCAGAACCGCCGCTAAAGGATTAAACGATATCGCCGTCGTGGTGGTGTTGCTGTCGTTAATGAAGCTTCTCACAAGATGGAGAGAATAATAAAAAAGGTTGAATAAAGTTTAAAGTTGGTAATCAAAGAGCTGTTGCTGTTTTCCCGACGGTAGCAAGCAGCTGCAGGCGGCCATCAGCGGACGTAACTTTCACAACTACCTAACCTAAACTTTGGCAATGAACCAATCATTGAGCACTAGTGGACCTTCTAGAGCCTCAAGGTATTTAGAAGTTACCTCTCAGGTACTTATTTACACTCATTTAGCAGTGCTGGGTACAAAAAGGTAAGGTTTGGGTTACCCCGGCTGTCCGGCTTGTCACTAGCTTAATGCCAAGACTTCGCATACCTTTTTTATCCTTTGACCCTTCCTCAGCTTCTGTATCACCTTTGGAAGCTACTATCTAACATAGCATGTAAAGATGCAGAGTGCATTCTTGTAATCCGTGCCTACCTAAATCGTACTTTGTAATAACATCCCATTTCCTTTCCTTTCCCCCCATCTCCCATCACTTTTTTCTTTCATAATCAAAAACAAACCCCAATAGAATTGCATGTTCTAACCCAGATCAATAGAGTCAGGTTATCTATCTGTTAACTTCACCTACGCCAATTACTACACGTCCCAAACGAAGAGTAAAGATCAAAATTATTTTGTCTCCCGCAATGGCAGGAGGCGACAATACTACCGAAGAGCTGCCTCAGCCCTTCGACGCAAAACAACTCGATCCCGCCAAAAGGCACAAGCATTCCAGATCTCCAAGCAGGAGCAACAGCAAGCGACGCGAAAATAATACGGATGAACCTTCCATTGACGAACTACCTCAACCATTTGATGCTAAGAAGCTAGAACCGGCTAAAAAACGACAGCGCTCTAGATCACCATCCGATGCCCCCCGAAAACTCAAGCGCCCAGGTCGCGGTGCGCGCTTCTCTCAAGCGGAAGCATCATCTATCCGCCAGCGCCACGAGCAGCGCGAACGCGAGGCTGCCGAAGCCGCAGCTACGCAGGCCGTACTAGAGCAGAGAGGTATCAATGATGTTGTTAGACAGCACTATAACGCCGTTCCGGAAAGGGGTCGCGACTGGAGGAAGACGGACAGTAGGATCAAGGGACTAAGATCATTCAACAACTGGGTCAAGAGTACGTTGATACAAAAATTCTCTCCCGACGAAGACCACACGCCTGGCGCTCACGAGCGAGGACGCGATATGACCGGTGCTAGAGACCACGAGCTACTCGTCCTCGATATCGGATGTGGAAAAGGTGGTGACCTAGGCAAATGGCAACAAGCGCCACAGAGAGTTCAGCTATACGTGGGATTGGATCCCGCCGATGTTTCCATCGAACAGGCAAAGGAACGTTATCGTAATATGACCAATCGTGGCGGCGGACGAGGTGGTAGGGGCGGCCATAGGGGTGGACGTCATCAGGCTCCGCCATTCGAAGCTCGCTTTTACGCCAAAGATTGTTACGGCGAGTCTATTGGTGACATAGACATCATCCGCCAAGTCGGATTTGATCATTCGCCCATGGGGAAGAGTGGGTTCGACATAGTGAGCATGATGTTTTGTATGCATTACGCATTCGAGAGCGAAGAGAAGGCCCGCATGATGCTACAGAACGTATCTGGGGCGCTGAAGAAAGGCGGGCGCTTCATAGGCTGTATACCTAACTCGGATGTGATCGGCGATAGAGTCGTTAAGTTCAACGAGTGGTTCGCGAAAAAGAAAAAGGGCGAGGCGGTCGAAAATAAGGATGGTGACAGCAAGGATGACAAAGATAAGGAGGAAGAAGAAGAAGAAGGCGAGGTTGAGGAAACGGCAGAGTGGGGCAACGACTTGTATCGGGTCAGATTCCCCGGTAAAACCCCCGAGGACGGTATCTTCCGACCTCCGTTCGGATGGAAGTACAGTTTCTTCCTTGATGAAGCGGTGGAGGAGGTTCCGGAATATGTCGTACCTTGGCCGGCGTTCCGTGCCCTAGCAGAAGACTATAATCTCGAGCTGCAATACCATCAGAAATTTGATGAGATCTGGGAGGCTGAAAAAGACGACCCCATCCTAGGGCCCCTGAGCGAACGTATGGGAGTTCGTGAGAGAGGTAGGGGCCCACTTCTAGTTACTCCCGAGGAGATGGAGGTTGCGAGCTTCTATCTAGCCTTCTGTTTCTATAAAGTGTAGATATATTTCATTGGGCGGTTAGTGAATAACAGGCATATGGAAACGAAACGAGCGGATAATTTAGTATAGGGCACAGGATGTGTTACTTGTGGGGTCTCGAGCGAGAATCTTAAAGCTACGATAAGGCCTGCTATAGCAATGCAATAAATGCTTTAATGTCTACCTCTAATACATTGTAAACACCACGTCTTACCAAGGCTCATCATACACACCCATTCAGTCAAGATGGCGTCAGGACCGAGTATTTCACCAGTGTCCAATACAGTTACCTAAGGTAGGGCATTGCCTCATACCCTATACCCACTTTCTATATCCGGAAATACTGCTAAGTTACTATTGGCTGAGCTGATATGTTTATCTCGCGTGGTTAGGTTGCTTCTCGAGTAGGTATAACTAATCATTATACAAAATGCAAAAGGGGCAAAAGATTCCAATGAAATAATGAATAAAAAGTATAGTACCTCTCCACCCTATTTTAATATCACCATCTAAAATAACCGCACATCCCATACATTATGGTTCTACAATCTTCCTATACTGCATTGAACCCGTAGTTCGTGTCCCAGTTGTAAACCGACAGCATCCCGCTCCTCCCGCTACCCCTTTCCCCTTTCCCCTTTCCCCTTTCCCCTTTCCCCTTTCTTCCTCCCTTTATAGCCCTAAGCCCTTACTCATACAAGCTATACGCTAAATACTAGACGAAAAAAAAAAGTGAAGGAAAAGAATGAGTATAACTAACGCCATGAATAGGTAATAAAGAAAAGTCATCAACCAATGGCTTGTCTCGTAGCGGGTGGCATTGTGCTTCTCGTGTAACACTACCACTGCCGCTGTGCCATTGTCGTACATCTTATCCGCGGATAACTACCTAACACCGGACAAGATTCAAATCCCTTTCCCTCCCTACCCCTATCCCTCCTATTCTCCAATCTGTTGACGATGAGGAGAAAAAATAAATAAGTAAATAAATACATAATATATCGTGACGCTCGTGAGTTTGCCCTACTATAATCGCCTCATTCTTAGGTACCTAGGACACGCGTTTCTTCGTCTCGTTACGGCTATGCTGGGCAATGGCATTTGGTTGGTTTCTTTCTTTTTCGCTGGCTCGCTATCTGTGGACCAGTCCCTCGTGCGAGTACCCTCTAGTCGGCCCCGCTACAAACGACATATCCGAGGGGACCTGGTTTACGCCTACGACGGCACCGCTGCTGCTGCTGCTGCTGCTGTTGTAGACTTGCTGCTGCTGCTGCTGTTGTTGTTGGTGGTGGTGGTGGCCTGGCGAGTTATAATAGGTCAGACCGTCGCCCGCCCCGTTCGTGTTCCGGTGCTGGTACTGGTGCTGGTGGTGCTGGTGGCTGAGAGTAGATGCAGGGCCTTCGTACCCCCCGGTGCCGTACGAGAGTCTGTTGCTTCCGTTCCTGTTCCCGGGCGACTGGATGATCGACGCGGTAAGACCGCCGAAGTACGACGACGACGATGACGGTGACAGCGGCGGCGGGAGTCCGTCGTAATTATCGAGGTCCGCAGCAGCAGCGTCGGGGTCCTTCTTGAGGAAAGGGGCAGCGGACGTTGTCGTCTCCCACTCGAACTGAAGCCCGTTATTACTACTACTACTACCGCCGCCGCCTCCACCGCTGTTGTTGCCGTTATTGGCCTGCGGAGCTAACATGAAGGCTTTATTGGGTTTGGAGTTGAACGAACTAGTGGAAGGGGAAAAAAAGGGGGGACAGGTTAGTGGATTGGACCTCAGTTTTGAACAGGATTGCAGGACCGTCAGCTTAGCTGGCTGGCTGGCTGGCTGGCTGGGGTAAAGACCTACGTATCTACGCTGAAGATGTGGCTCGGGTTGTACTGCTGGTTCATGCGCAGCGGCATGGCGAGGTGGCCGTCAGAGCTGTCTCCTTGTTTCATAGCTGTGCGAGGCAGGATCGCTCTCGCGTCGCCGATGGTAGTAGTAATGGTAGTAGTGGCAGTAGCAGCAGCAGTCATGATCGGAGAGGCTGTGTCCGAACCGCTCGTGAAGCTGCTGCCATCGTCGGTGCTGCTGTGACTGGTGCTCGGCGAGGCGCGCTTCCGACAGTTGTACTTGCGGACGCCCCAGCGGATCAGACGGCCCCTGTACGCTCTAACACTGGAATTCCCCCCGTTTTAGTACGCGTGTAGTTCTCCAACCGGTGTATGATACAGCATAGGTACCAGGTAATTTACATGCGTGAAAGAATTACGGCAAGAAATAGAATTGGGATGGACATGAAAGGGAAAAAGGGAGGGGAAGGTTGATCCTCACGAGGCTTTAAATCCGTACCGATCGATCATGATCTGCCGCACGACGGAAAGCGTGTTTTCGGCATAGAGGTCCTTAATAGTAGCTTCATACGCTTCCCACGGCTTCGTCATTTTTGCAGCTATTCTATTAATATTAAAAGAGGAAGAAGTAGCAGTAGTAGCTCATACTTAGCATACGAAGTCTAGGTTGAGGTCATTACTTTTTCCAACGGGAAGTTCAAGAAGGAAGGTGGAAGGTGGAAGGTGGAAGAGGATAAAGGAGGTCTCGATTACGGGTGCTGCCCATGGATGACCTAAGTTGATCCACCCTCACGGGCTCTAGATAACAGGCAAGCAAAAACGAGTAATCAGAGCCTCACCGAACGGTCCCTCTCGCACACGCACACACACATGTGCGGGGAGCTTGGAGTGATCTTTTGGGAAAGGGGGGCTTGTCACTGGCGAAGGGAGGACTAAATAATATAAGGACATGGTCATTCTTGAGAACACAGCTTAGGCTTAGAGGACCCTTACGAAAGAGAGAGGCAGGCTACGGAATTTCTACCTACCTACCTACCTACCTACCTAAGCTATTTCTCCCCATTGCCTTTTTATTTTTTTATTAATAAAAAAAGAAAAGTCCGAGTGGTCTAATGCATGCCCCAGGCTGGGGTTATTAAGAGGGCCATGTTAATAACGATATGTACCTAATGTATGAGTATGTTGTAGGAACAACCCAGATAGCTAACCAGGAGGCCTTACCGCAGAAGACCACTTACCTAGGACTCGGAGAAAAGCCCGTACTTGGCCAAGAAAGAATGGGCTTTCTTGTCCTTGCAGATCTGGGGGGAAGTATTAGCGAGCGAAATACCTACCTCACACTCACTTCTGCGTAGGATACAGCCACATCAGAGCCTGCTTCTCTAGCGCCATCATCGTGGCAGGAGATGAATCACGACAGGGCGTTGCATTGGTAAGGCATTTATTTAGGTAAGATCAACGATTGCTTAAAAGGCGTGAGCTTCGGAGAGAATATTACTTACAATAATTAACAAATCATATCATACCTAGTCATGATCTTGTTACTGCAATGCCTTTCCATGATGTATGTTAGGTATGTACGAGTAAATTACATATATGAAGAGGCCATCGACCCCCCAACGATCACAGATCAAAACTCACCTTTCAGCAGATGCGCTTCTCACCTGAGGCTGATAGCTCTTACCCACACAAAACAGCCGATGGCGTCGATAAGTTCCAATTGAAGCCGCGTTGCCCCGTGGTGCGGAATACATGGTTGTTTGTAGCTGATTTATCTACCTCTTACTATAAATAGTTCGTCTATTATTCATCGGGCGGCTGTTGAAACCAACTCCAAAGTAACAAGCTGAGTCAAATATTGTACAGTAAGTAACATGAGCATTATTGAAATCGAGGCATGGGCATCTATCCGATGGGTTCCCAACATTAGCGCTTACATGGCTTTATGATCACCAAGAGTCTTCTTATTTATGTTTATTATTAACAATCTCCATGTCTCAAAGTCGCCCTCTAAATCTCACAGACCAAGGGTAATCTAATCTATGGGAGGTAAGCAAATAACGGGTTGGATATTACGAATAGAGAGTGATCATGTTCAAATAGTCTCTCATTTAATGACTATAAAATAGACAATTTTTAAGACGGATTCATTAACGTTATTAAGTCTTAAGTAATAACTAGATCAAAAAGCCACAGTAAGAAGATATAATACCACCTCATCCTTCCACCCATAAACGATACCCTTTCGGTCTCGATTGCTGACGCATACTGATTCGGTCACGCTTCCAGGCACCCCCGCTCCCAGGTATATCGCATATCGAACTTGCATTTGCCCTCCATTAAATCGCGTTCACGCTTTAAGCCGCACTGCCGCGCTCCACGATGACGTTCGCCGTGTTCTATTCAGACTTTCCGTAGAAGCCTAGGACAATGTCCTTCCGCTTGTATTCAGCAAGCCTTCATGAAGCCGAGACCTTCTTGGCGCGTAATTCATAATTCCCTCACCTCAACCGCAAAGAACTTCCAATCTCTTTTAACTCGGCACAATAGACGAGCTGCGTCCCTAGGCAGTTGACTTCTTCTCGGCTCCGTTCTTGAAAGTGTTCTGTCGACTTACCGCAGGCGATAGGGCTGTGGGGCTACTAACAGTGTCACCACCCATAATACCTGTGTCCTGCTCCTTGTGTCCAGAGTTCATCCTCTCGAGTTTTGATTTTTCGCTGACAGAGCCCGGAAGGCTAGCATTTGGCGACGATGCTGAGCTTTCGTAAGCTGCGCCTGATGTGCCGGCCGCAATACAGATGGCCTCATACCATTTCTGAGCCTCGGCGGCCGAGTGGGCTTTAAAATGAAGTTCAGAAGTGCCAGCGAGTTTACTGCTAAAGCTACCGCCCTTATCCTTTCCTTTGATAGTGAATTTTTCACCTGATGGTGCACTGATCGCAGCGTCTGGTAGGAAAATAGAAAGTTCCGGCTTCGGGTCGTGTCGTAAGTTATCGTCGTCTTTAAATTCGTGCAAATACTTGGACGGGGTCACGACATAGTACCCCGATTGCGTACCCCACGACAGCTTGTTTCGCGACTTGCGTTCCAGACTACCTTCGATGAGTGGCTTAGTTGAACTGTGGTCCTGATTTGGGAAGTTAATCGCATCCACGCTCCGAGGCGGGTCGTTCGGATCGACCAGCCGGTGGCCCTCACGGGTAATAAACCCGCTCCACTCAAAGTCAGGTGGGATTTGTTGCGCCGCGCCGAGCATATCGACGTAAAGCGCCCTAGTCTTCTCAGCCTGCCCACCAGCGACCTGGTTGAGAGCATCCATCGCTTGCTGAACTACTTGTATCACGTGGGCTTCGAAAGCCTTGAAACCATCCTGTATAACGATAAGATCGTTTCGGTGATTGTTTTCTTCGATAACCTGTTTGTTCAGCCTGTGGATGACGCCGCGCCGGACAACGTATGGGTCATCGGTAGGGGTCAGCTTGCCGCCAGCCGACTCGAAAGACGCAGCTTGTTGACCCAGAAGCTCGATATGCTTCTGGGTAGTATTCCTGGCCTTCTCGATCTCCTTGGCGCTCTTCTCAACCCCATGGGAAACTTCCTTATGCTTCGCCTTAATCTCTTTATGTAGTCGCTCGAGAATTGGTAGGACGGATCCTTTGAGGGTCTTTTCGGTCTCGGCATTCGAATTGATCATGGCCTTTGAAGGTTAGATAACTAAGCAAAGTACCTAGGGACAGGCCAAGATCCATAACTTACCTGAGTGTTAACTCGCATGTTTTCAAAGAAACCGGCCACACCACCGAGACCCTGGGCGAAATGCGCCCCTTCTCTTAAGGGATGAGAAATCGTCTTAAGAACTTTCTCATACTCCTTAGCGTGCGCTCTATGTACCTTCTCAACAGCTCCGACATAGTCTTCTAGATAGCCTACGGCATGTTTCCAGGCCTGAAGTCTTTCTGCAAGTAAACCGGCAGTCTGGGAATATCATAATGGGGTTAGCGACCAAGATAGGGGTAAGGGAATTTCAAATGCGGCTCACCGAAGTAGGGTCAACATCCGGTACGGCTTCATCGCTGAGAGTTGTGGCCTGCCTCACAGGAAGCGCATGACTGTCGCCGCTCATTATGTACAGCCTTTTTTTCTTTTTTTTTCTTTTTTTCTTCTTGGGATATTATATAGTTATACTATATATTTCGATGTTTTACTGCTCCGGAATACTGCGTGCTGTCGCGGGGTGTCAAGGTGGATTCAATTGCGAATAGCTCCTATTTGAAAAGTGATGGTTATTCTTTCGCGATAGTAGTGGTGACGCTATTGTAGGATTCTTGTCACGCGCGATAATTGATAATTGTTAATAAAAGTTGGGGGTTTACTATTAGTCTCAATGGACGTGATGCGAAATTCGCGGAGCGCGGACCCCTGCGACGATCAACTGCGCTTCCAAAACCCTGGCAGAGTGACGCTTGCTGGCTTGATTTCGGTTTTGATGCTATAAGAAGCTATGACCTCTTTTCTAGCCTAATCGAGTTAAAGACAGATGCTGAAGTCATCAACAAGCCCTTTTTGGGCTATTGCGCTCAAATGTTGGTTCTCGACCTAGCAGCTCGAACCAATTAAAATAGCGAATCAGTCACACAACATCAAGTTCGTGATTGACAACTTCCTCTCACAAGGAAAGGACCTGTGATAGAGATGACATCATTTACGTGCTAATGTACGTAAGCACTGAACAACCTTAGGTACCTAGGTACCTAAGTAGTTAATAAGTTAATAAAAATCTGCAAGTAATAATTACATGTAAGTAGGAGGTAGGTATGTGAAGGTAGGTGCAATACATATTATAGGTATTACCTACACAATTAGGTGGATGTATGTACGTAATATTAGATAGGTCCCTCCCACCCGTCATACGTTGTGTGTAACAGGTACCTAGGTACCTAACCAAGCACCTAACTTAAGATTTGATGATAGGAGATGTCATAATCCATCCATGCCTTGCATCATTCCACTGGCCGAAGCCCATAGAAACTGGTCCAACTCCTAGTAGATTGCGAATTTGCGGCTGTGGTTGAAGATAATTCCCGCAGATCGCAAACACCGACGGACCTTATAGCCAAGCCCTGGCATCGACGCATCGTGAGTGTAAGTGTCTGAATGCGAATGCGATAATTCCGGTTACGGACAGACCGAGGCTTCAGGATAGACAAATGTCGTAATCCACAACCGAGTACCTTCTCCACAAAACCCCGAGACTGTATACAGCAAGCGAGAAAGTTCTGCTCCTCCTTTTTTTTTTTTTTTTTTTTTTTTTTTTTTTTTTTCTCCTTCTGGTCTTTGCTCGATACGACATCAACATGCAACGCTCCATACATTAGGTATCATGCAAGCACACAACCGTAATTATCCGTGAAACTGTCAAGATTTTGAAAAAAAAAAGTTTTCTTTTTATTTGTTCTGTTTTCGGTCTCCAACTTGCCGAAGTCAGGATTGGAGCGTGGCATCGCCTCCTTACGCCGAGTCTCTTGGTGTCTAAATGCCAATGGTGAAAAGCAACATGATGGGTATATAGCAATTCTCAGATATGTGCCTCCACAATAAAACCAGCCAATTCAATTCCTTGTTCAAAGCCTGCAACCAGATGCCATTTCGCCGCTCAATGCAAGTGTGGTCCGTCCGTCCCGATGAAACCAACCTTCCTGCGAACCATCTACATGTGGATATCCCCTGAGCCATTAAAACGCCTAACCATGAGAGAAACCAATAAACATTACGCTCGGATGACTTTGGTAGCCCATAAAAATGCTCACATTGGGCCGCATTTCCAAATGGTAAAGTAGCAGTTGCGAAACACTGTCGTAACAGCTAACTAGCTACTTCTGCCTTGGATGAGTCGTAGACGTCGTTCGCCGTCAGTGCCACCTACAGCTGTGTGACTGGGGAAGAAACTGAATCCTCCTATTGAATGCCGGTTGGTGTGCCTGCTCCTCGATGCGCTTCTCGATCGAGTGCTTGACGCTGCAGCTCCGGCATGTGGGCCCTCCGCGACTGTTGCAATTGTTGCCATGGGATCGTTCACTACTACTCGAGCTGGAGAGCCCGGCGCACTTGTTGCCGTAAAATAATCGGGAAGCGCCATGGGGCCTGTGTAGCTTTGCGTTCTTGGCAGCGGTGTTCTGGTTGCTGTTGCATAACTTGGCACTTTGCTCAGCTGCTCCAAGTCCAAGAACTCTGTATGCTCAGGCGGAGTGTGGTGCCCCCCTACATGATTCGGATGATCCTCCGCGCTTGTCTGTCGCGACAGTTGCGTCGAATGTACCTGAGACGAATCCCCAGTGTGCTCGCTCTCGTGCGGATGATTGAACGGAGTTGTGGCGCCTGACCCAGATCCGGTCGAGATGAAGGACTCGTTCCTTCGAGATTCATCAAGGGAGACGTTCTGCAACCTAGACGACAGGGCTGCAGGCGGGACTGCCAGAACATGAGCCATAGCTGCTAGATTTTCCGAGGAGCCTGCCCGAGATTGCGCGTAGAACGGACTGTTAACGCCGCTTTGGATGCCCGGGGTCATAATTCCGCTAGGATCGACATCTTCGTATAGTTGATCTAATACGTGCATTCCGTAACCCGGAGGAGCCATGACTGAGGACTCGGTCTCGTTCACTTGGTCGGGGGTATCAGGCGTCTGGGAAACCAGATTGCCTTCTTCGTCTAGAGGCATATTTGGCGAGATGAAGATAGTAATTGGTAATGATGCTCGAAGCTGATCGTGCCATTGTCAGTACAACCTTCCGTTTGGAACTTAAAATGGGGAGTTGAAAAAAAAAAAATCATACCTCAGAAATATGGCCATCAGGGTTTTGTAGTGCAACTGTAAGCTTGAGCTTATGCCTGATTTTAATGCCGTGAACTGAGCAGTCTTGGATGCATCTGCTTAACCTCTTAGGGAGGGGTAACTCCTTGTTGATGACCCATCCTTCCTGACCAGTTTCTTCAATATTGTCCTGCCAATGCTGCTCGCGAGTAACTTCGAAATTCCAGGAGGTAACATCACGATCATGCTTGTATGTTTTGACTGGAGCTTGGTAACCTTGTACACTGAATTCCTGGATTTCAATAAGTTTGACCGAAATGGCACCCATTTCTAACCCCTTTAGAAGGGGGGTAAATCGCATCTCCAGAGGAACATGACTACCAAAAACAATGGCCTTTTGCGGAACGACGACGGAGTACTCGATCTTGTTCGGCCATATGTTCTCTACACTCATGGCATGGTTGAATTCGAGCGCAGCAGGTTCCAGGGTCCGGATAATTCGAAATCGCTTATAGGCGTGGACGTTCTTAGCCAGCTTCCCTCTCGAAATAGTGGCTTTTAAGACGTATGTGATGCCGGTTTGGTAGAGCCCCTCAACGCTCTCGGCGGTATCCCCTGGCAACAGAAACTCGAACGGCCATTCGTAATTTCCAGGGGCCAAAACGTTGTGATGTGTCGTGCCACCTACGAAAGGTGGCCATGTATGTCTCAGAATTGTGGTTGTCCTGTCCATTTTCTGATTGTGAATGCCGGATGGGGTTTGCCTTCCGTCGACCCAAGCCACGCGGCAGCTACCCATGAGCCGCAAGTGTACATCTTCGACCTTCAAGGATTCTCTTAAGCATAACACTAAGACACCCTTTAATAGCTGACCGGAAGCTTCATGCTCGTTTCCACGAAAGACGATAAAATCGTTCTCGAGACTGCGGCCAATTCTCAGTAAGTTGTCGTGGAGTAGCTTTGGTTTTATGTCAACACTGCTTCAGCTTACCGTATCTCAAACAAGGTACAGACATTCCGGCTAGCTACCGAAATGAAAGGGTTAAAAGAAGGCATTTTCTGTTCAACAGATTCGACGGCGTGTATTATTGCTTTGGGAGTGACGCCTGCACTCGGGGGAGAGCAGGCCAACGAATTTCGCCCACGAAGTGTGAACGACAAGTGATGAAGATTGGTCATGGAGTAAGACTCTGAGAATTTGTTGGTGGGCGAGTCAGGATTATTAAAGAAGTATAATTGAAACAATAGAATCAAGCTGGTTTAGCGTTCTTAGTTAGATACAAAGAGCGTGGGACAGCTCGCAGGGAACATGTATGACACAAGGATACGAGGGTAGACTCCTAGCGTGTGGGTACTACTGCTTTTAGTTATATCAAGTATGTAGTCCCCTTGACACCGGCGCTTTTTTTTTATTCTCTTTGAGGATGGGTCAGGCCCGATATAATAGGCGATAAGTAGGTGACAAGTAGGCGACAAATAGGAACGGGCAAAGCGGGAGGTAGTCAGCAACCAGCAGAGGATAAGTCCGCCGCCGCCGTCGGGCAACTCGTCCCATTTTTCTGGCTCGTGGGCAGGTTTTTCCCTCTCTCTCTCATGCCCAGCGTTGCATAGTCACATATCAACCAGTCAAGAGACTTTGTATGGACAGAAGGGCAGAAGGGCTGGAGGGTCAAGAGGGTCAAGAGGGTCAAGAGGGTCTCAAGCAACCTTGAACCTACGATTGCCAGGGGCAAAATGGAACTTGACTGGACCTTGGATCGGCTGGGTTTTAGAAAACGGTGATAGCCGGTCAGGATCTACGCTTGTGGTAGATCTTGAAAAAGAGAAAATACCAGGATACATGGGTACATGCAGTGTAATGGATCGTGGAAGCATGGGCCGTAATGGTGGAAGCGAAGAAGGAACCCACACTTTGCGGCGGCTGTGCATCAAACTTCTTTCCATCTTTTTCGTCTCGACTTTTTTTCCAAAGGGGTAACCACCATCAGAATTTTTGGTGTGCGGGCCCCTAATCAGGTGGATCCCTTAGAACCTGATATCGGCCGGTCGCACTTACACTACCTCAAGTAGACAGGGGTGGAGCACGCCGCTTGCGCTTGATGCAATACCTAGGTACCTAGGTACACATCCCTCCTAAGCTGCTAAGGTACTCTGGTACATAGTACATAGCACATGCGCACCTGCAGGCTGCATGCATTTATTTACCTAATGTTAGGTGGTGTATTATGTGTAGGTATTGTATTATTATATTATTGTACATAACATTGAAGGTGCATACCTCAAGATTGTTTCGTGTTGTGCGAGTCACGCGGTGGAAGGTTTTGATAAAATTAATAGGTAACAGGTACCCAACCTAAGGGTGAGAGCAAGTTGACGATTTTCATGTCATGTCGTCAACAGACCGTTACCTATTGGATTGTACTAACTTATAGGTAACTAACTAAGCTATACGTACGTCATGTATTAGACTGACTTACCTACCCGTCTACTAATTCAGCAATGTACATAATTCTGGAGGAGATGGCGGTGGTGGTGGACTGATCGTCACCAAAGCCACCAGTTTTATATAACATATGTTGCATGTTGCAATATCATCACCTGCATATATTTAATTGCCCGTCCCTGCATCGACTCGAGTTCTACGATAAACGGACTTGTTTCTCCTACTTGTTACATCGACTGGACCCTTTCGTGTTGGTTATCTGGGTGAGTATATTGATCACAGAAACCCCAAGACTTTCCCCACGTGTACGTATTATATTCAAGAACCCTAGACTTTTCTAAATCATCAGGAATGACAGAATTGTGGTGTGTTGTGCCGTGCGGAGTTCCAGGTGCGAGTTGCGAGTTGCGTTCGTCGGCAACACACACATATGTATTTTCCTTTCATATGATTTTACACCTCAGCTCCGGGCTCTAGGCATCTCTTATTACAACAGCCGACATGCATACTACCTTCAACATCGCCAGCCTAGACTTGCGCCCATGAGCGGAGCTGGCATGCTGTACAACTATTGTACAATGCAATAAAAAAAGAACATTGAAAATTGGATAGAATATTGGCATCTGATATTGCCGCTCACTAATAATAGCCGTCAGCAAGAGAATATTTCGAAACGGAAGGGGAAAAAAGAATTCGGTTACATGTCAAAAGACGTGGCTACCGAATTATCCACGAGCTTCCGTAGGGGGTGAACTCCGATTCGGCATCTAAGTGCTAGATCCGTCGTTAGGCTTGGCGGCGAATACCGATAAAAGTCACCGCCTCATGAGGATCACGATCTCTCTACATAGTACACTAGATCGTTCTACCTATATCTGGTCGCGGGTGGCTTATTCCCGACATGATCAGGGAAAATTGCGGATCCATGCGCCAAGCTCGATTGGCTTAGCAGATTGCGACCTTATCTGCATGGTTCCTGAAGGTCGTTTTCTATTGCTCTGATGTTTTCCGGGTCTTACCAACATCATGTTCGGCCAAACAAACAACCGTCGAACCGAAACAATCAGCACTAATAGCTACCGAGGTCGTTGACCATTTCGTCTCACATAATCTCTCATATCTACTACCTTACCTTAGGTACGTAGGTATGTATCAGTCGTCTATTTTCCCGTCGACTTGCACAGCGACTTCAGTGGCTTGGCGTATATGCAGCCAACATATTCCGTGCAGAGAATCGAGCCATAATCGGCCGACGACTTAATACTAGCCCAACAGGTAATAAATCTTAAAGCTAAATCTAGAGTTAGTCTCTAACGCCTTAGATCTGCTTATCTAGTGCTAGATAAAGCTTGGCTCTTATTAACGTTAGTTAAGCAGTATCTTTCTCCTATCAATCCATCGAACTCTAGGCGCACTGGCCTTACCTACCTGGTATACTATGGACAAAGGGTACTTGTTCAAACATGCAGGGCTGCCAAGCTGGTAGAATACTACATAGTTAGGTACCTAATATACTCCTTAGTTGATCCGTTTGCATCTCAACGTCTCGTCTACACACATAGGTACATAGGAATGACTAAAAGATCAAGCATCAAACATCGCCGACGACATTGGCAGCATTTGTCAACAGGCTCATATTTGCATTTCAGCATGTAGTTGGCCAACCCTATTAACCCTACTTAGGTAGGTGGGGGCCATTTCTACAAATATGTCTGACTGGACTAACATTTGACTGTATTATTAAGAGGATGTTAGGCTGACGACAACAGATTTTATGCTAGTCGTCCCTCTTTAGTTCCTCAAGAGTTAAACCTTATCGTTTCGTTACGCGTTTCGTATCACGCCGGGATATATTCCAAATGTTCCGCTAGGTTTGCGAATTTTTCGCTCAAGCTGAGCGGGTCCCTGCTTAACCCTGGCACAGGAAAATACGTGCGGTGAAGGCGTCATCGATGACTTGAGATAAAGAGGCTGGGGTTGCGAGGCTATACATAGTATTGAGCCATCATGGATTTATTAGTTTAATTTGTTGAGCCTTAGTTTCATTGTTTAAGCAAGGGACCCGTTCTGTTTAATCTACGCCGGTAGTAAACCGTAGCTCGCATAAAAAAGTCGACGCGGTTTTTCCCGATATAGTACAATGGAGCCACTGACGAAGCCTTCACAACTAACGAAATACCCAACGCGAATCTTTTAAAAGTGCCCAGGCGGGCTGGCGGGCCAAGCTAATGCCCTACGGCGACTAAGTGGATCACGGTGCCATTAACGCAGGAGGCTCCTATGGTTCTGCTACCCTACGTGGGTAACTCTAAAATCTCCCTGGTCTTTTAATAAGATACATATCCTCAGACATCCTTCGATACCACGTGGGGGGCAACACATACCTAGCCTACATCTCAATCCTACATCTCAATTCTCCCTCAGGTACACTAGGTATATAAAGAGATAAAACAAATCCACACCGATGGACCATCCCATCCGTGCGCAGCATGGTCTTTCTTCTGTCCGTATCGACGGAATGCCCTTTTCGGGACTAACCCTCAGCCGCCGAGTTTCCGGTTCGTCTGCTAGCCCTACCAGCAGCAGGGAAACGAATCGTCCTAGCTCCTGCTCTGCCGGGACCGGGTTCTGAAGGGCCGAATGATAGTGGACAAGTTGCAAAACCTTGTTGAGGCTCTTTTAGGCGCGGTCTAGACGCGGACGCCGCGCAGATAGGAGATGCTGCCGGTGCCGGGTAGCTCGCGCGCCGTTCCAAAGCTTTAGCCAACCATCGCCACCGCTGTCTGCACGACCTACACATAGTATTGTACATGCTGATGTACGTCGTGCTAGCGTAGCTGGAGGCGCGACCTGGTTGGCTGGTTACGAAGATAACAACAACAGCAACATATCAATATTTGATAATAAATCAAACCAACCGTCTTTTTCACATGCCATCATTGATCGCCTTGCATACAATCAATACATTAGGTATGTATTGGAGGAGCCTCATTTAAAAATGCATCTCTGACATCTGTGATGATACCCACAGCGACTTTCCTGATCCAGTCATCCCGTCACACTACCGTAGATCTCTCGCGTATCGACTCCTTGTAAGTTGTCGTACCGCACCGTAGCAGTCACTACAGACCTCCTTTTTTAGGCTCCTTTTTTCATTTCCCTTTTTTCCCCTTCGTGAGAATCAAAACTTGACCGGTTTTATACGCACCATGAAAGATCCAGTATGTTTGATTTTTGACTCGATCACCTATCCCATTCCCTGTTTGAGAACTGCCGGGGTCCCACACTTACACCGAAAAGCCACCGCGCCTGTCTTCCGGACGGGAGGCGGCAGGATGCAGATTTTGACGTTTTGTTGGTGCCTTCTGTCGTAACATCGCCCCATATGCAGTTTGAAGAGTTTTTTTTTTCTTCTTCCTTGATACTTATACGAAATCGCGCTTGTCTGTGACTAATAGCAATGCACGTTTCCGTTTCGAAGCTGCCACTTGCCATCGTTTGATTGAACGAATACATGCCAAAAGTTGGCTAGGTTTATTTTTGATCGGAGTTAAGTAACCTTGTGCTTTCTCCTTTATATATTACATTTCGGCTTGAGTTATAGAGTCCGATGGTCGACTCCAAGTTCTTATGTGACCTAGAAGGGACTTTTGTCAGCATGCATTTAGCATTAATCTTAGAATAATCGCTACACTCACCTGTCTTACAGCTCGTCATAATAGCGTCTTCGGTGAACTCTATCCAGCTTAGTGGATGTTTATTAGCTATTTTGGTCAGCACAGGTGGGAGTATCGCCGTTCTTGATCGCGGCTCAACGGGGTGGTCTATCGTGCTTTCTTCCAAGCCTGGCCCCGAGACGACGGAATCCGAACGTAATCTACTAGCCGATGTCCCTTGGGTCTCGGCGCGCTGTAACACGGGAAGTCGAGACGAGATAGAACCACGCTGCCGGTTAGTTGTCTGCGTCTATGTTAACAAGCGAACTTGTAGCATCCCATGATAGGAGACGTACTGCTTTCGGTTTATGCAACATCCCGACATTAAAATCCCAGAGACATAATCGGCAATCTTCACCTACGCTACCAAAGCGGTAGTTTCGCTCGTCACATCTCCAGGGATCAAAGGCAACAGATGTAACCCATGACTGATGACCTTGACATCGTGCAATGAGTGACGTTTCTGAGGGACACCAGATCGAGATCAGGTCGTCTTGCCCTCCGGTGAGAACATATTTTCCGTCTGGCGACCAGCACACGCACGTAAAACCGCCATAATACGAATTGTACACCCCAAGAAGCCTATAGCATTGTTAGCAATTTCGTCGAGATTTTGAGGTTACTGTGCTCATCGCTCACTCTTCCTTGAGATAGTCAATGATGCGGAGCGTGCCATCTTCCGATACAACTGCGAGGTGACGGTTGTCAGGGGAAAATTGGAAGTCGTTGATCCGCTGGTTTGACAGTTTCCAAACAGCTACTGGATTACTCTTCTGGTTCTTAGAATGCACCGACTTCAACACGTTGATCGCTTTGTAATGATTAACAACCTTGGGAGCCGCGACCTCTCCATTAGACTTAGTCTCCTCCTCCTCAGGATTGAAGATTGCATCCTCTTTTTCTTTGTCATAAACAACTAGAGACCCATCCACATGCGCTGCAAGGAATAAGTTTTCTGCCCCGGGGATCCAGCGGATTTGAGAGACTGGCGTCTTGTTGATAACACCCTGCAATTCGTTAATTCATTTCTTGGCTTAAGAGTACTATATCTCTTACATTCTTATTCAGTCTTGTATATCGCTGAGACATAGGCTCCCACCATATGATCTCGCCTGTTGAGAAACCCATGATAAGATCAACATGGCTCGAACTCTTCGTCACCAGATTAACATCATGACTTAAGCAATGGGCTTTTGTAAACAAAATCTTAGTTAGATAATCGGCTTTCGTAGGAGATGACAGATCGAGCCACTGAAAAGCCCGATTAATATTGGCAAAAGCAAACAGCCCATCGCTCGGCCGATCTGCGAGCTTTTTTGAGAAAGCCTCATTAATAATAACCCGCGAGATGAAGGACGAATTACTCTTAGTCATGTTATTCTTGGGTTTTCGTCGCTTATTGGGGTCCTTAGTCCTCTCCGGCACGAGTAGAGCATTGCCATCGCCGAATGCTGGTGCAGAAATTGCTGTAGCCGAAGTAGATGGGCCCCCCTCGCTCATCGATGTACCCCTTCCTTCGCCATCGCTACTTAGCTTCGCGTCATTTGAATAGCGCCCTTCGCTCGGGTGTTCGGCGATGCTCGGTGACAATGTAGTTGTCGTCGGGGTTAACTTGAAAAGAGCCGGCGGTGGTGGCCGGGATTCCAAGCTGAGGAGAGAGATCTTGGTCCCAGTTGTAGCTGGCTGTGGTGTCGTCGCTAACGGGTTGGGGTTAACAACTGGGGCTTCCGACGGATGAGGTGGCGGAGTCGCAAGGAGAAGATCTTCTTTAAGCACATATGTTCCTATATCATAGCCTCAGCGCCGGATTCATACACCATCTTTCTTTCACTAGCATACCCTCTCCGGCTATGAATTGGTCTTCGGGGTTAGATAAGATATTGTTCGTCTCGATCATGGGCGTGGCATGGCCGGCAGCAACAGCGGCATTATACGCTGCCTGCGTAGGATACCTAGGCGGAGGCGGTAGCACACTATTAGGAGAAAGCGTGAATTTGTTAGCCGTCTGAGGACAATGATAGCAAGGGGAGGGAGTACGCAGTTTGTATGGGACGAGGCAGGCTTACAACATGACGAGGGTTTATCCAACACCAATTAGAAGGCTACTCAATAACAAGAGTAGGATATTGAAGCGATTTATACTTTGTAGAGTTTAATTTGAGAGGATTAGCTAGAAATGCCGTTTGCTTGCTTTCTTGTGTAAAGCAGTCGGGGGATTATACTGAAGTAATCGTTGAATTGGTTGAGAGTCGAAGCTAAGTCAAATTTTATATAATATATGCGTGAGCATGTCTAATGTAAAACTTGAAGACGAGATGTATTATATGTATTGAATCAAGACGCTATTGTTGATAAACAAGTTTGGAGAGGATCGCGGTGGAATATTATACACTTGTACACTTGTATGGAAAGGGAAGTATGAAGGAGAGAAAAATGCGAAAGGAAGAAGGTAAAGTTGCGCATTCTCGAATCGACAGGAACAACTCCCATGTCGGGAAGCTTTCAGGGTCAGGTCTCTCCAAGAAGAACAGGGATGTTGGGTCTTTCGGGAAGTTGGTGTGGGGTAAGTTTCGATGAGGGGAAGTAGGTATAACCTGAAGTATAACATGAACTACGCCCCAAGTAGGTGCTACTTAGTAGTTAGATTAGGTGCATTTCGAACTTGCTTGTTTTTCCAGATATCAGACGCAACCCGAACCTCCCCAAAATAGAATCGGTCATTGACGGCAAGTGCTTAATAACCAGTTCTTCGGGAGCCATACTTGGTGCAGGAACCTACCTAACCTAACAGATATGAGAGGTGAGGTCCTAAGTACAACACCTAATGCAGGAATATCAAATATCAAAACCGTGAAAAGACATTGTTGCGGTTTACTTCCATTATCTTCAATCTTATTTCATATATGATAATAGGTCAATAGTAATTACCTAGGAGGTACCTTATATCTTGGGGCTTAGTTACCTATAAAATACATTCAAGTGTCCCACTGTCGTACCTTTACCTTAATCGCGGATCTGTCATAGTATGATGTCGGTACGTACCCCTGTCCAATCAATCGGATAATCGTCATTTCAAAAAAGTTGAACCAGAATACGTAGCATTCGCATCCACTCGATTTCATTGATTGAGGTCCGCAACCCAATATAGATCCGTGCCGAATAGGGTCTAAAATACAATCAATCCACTCAAGTTTACTTCTCCTGTTTGCAAAACATACACAGAGCAGATCGACCATCACCCTAAAGACAACCTTCTCTAGTTCTAACTCTTTGAGTACCTAACCTAATCCAAACAAGCTCCAAGAACCTCATTGAAGATCATTCTGGGTACCTAAGCTTTGTAACGAATGGCACCATAACAACTCCTTACCTAGGTACTCTTTGACCAGTATGGCAACAGGTATACAATCCCCAGTTCCCATCTCCCAACTCCCAATCCCCCATTCCGATCCTCCATTTGGCGCAATTGTGGATGGTTAACAGTTTTTTTCTCTACGAATAGTACGTGTTTGCGTATGCGGAGATGAAGGGACCGGCAAGTCGAGTCTTATTGCATCCCTTGTCAAGGATGTCTTCGTGAGCAATAAGATACAAGCCGTTCTACCCCAGATAACAATCCCGCCGAGCATTGGTACTCCTGAAAATGTCACCACCACCATCGTCGATACGTCGGCGCGTCCCCAAGACCGCACGACTTTGCGCAAAGAGATCCGAAAGTCCAACGTCATCCTCCTGGTATATTCCGACCATTACAGCTATGAGCGCGTTGCCCTCTTCTGGATGCCGTATTTTCGATCCCTTGGCGTAAACGTTCCTGTGGTCTTGTGTGCCAATAAGTCCGATCTCACCGATAATACCACCCCGCAAGTTATCGAGGATGAGATGCTACCCGTCATGAACGAGTTTAGGGAAATCGATTCCTGCATACGAGCAAGCGCCAGAGAGCATCAGAATGTCAACGAAACCTTTTTCCTCTGTCAGAAAGCTGTCACGCATCCCATCGCTCCGCTTTTCGACTACAAGGAGGGTAACCTGAAGCCGGCCTGCATGTCAGCCCTGAAGAGAATATTTTATCTGTGCGATAAGGATCAGGACGGTTATTTGAACGACGACGAAATCCAGGAATTCCAACATAAATGTTTTGAGAAGTCCTTGTCACATGAGGACCTTGATAATATCAAACTGTCCATTGCCAAAACCGTCCCCGGGTCGGACACTTCGAAAGGGGTTGACATGCGGGGTTTCCTCCAGCTCAACAAGATATACGCCGAAAAGGGTCGACATGAAACTATATGGGTTATACTACGGAAATACCACTATACTGATAGCTTAAGCTTAGAAGATAGCTTTATTCATCCTAAGCTCGAAGTCCCTGAATACGCTTCCGCCGAGCTGAGCCCTGCTGGTTATCGTTTCTTCATGGATCTTTTCTTGCTTTTCGACAAAGACAACGATGGAGGCTTGAATGATCAAGAACTTGATGCTCTGTTCGCCCCTACTCCCGGCTTGCCTACTTCCTGGGTAGAATCCTCGTTTCCTTCTACGACCGTCCGCAACGAAGCTGGACACATTACTCTGCAAGGGTGGCTTGCTCAGTGGAGCATGACGACATTCCTCGAGCCTAAGACTACTTTGGAATATCTCGCGTATCTGGGTTTTGAACCGCAAAATCCCAAGGAGTCCCTCACATCAGCTTTGAAAGTAACGAAGCCCCGTAAGAGGAGAAGGCGCCCTGGTCGGGTTGAACGGAATGTCGTGCTATGTTACATTGTTGGGGCCGCAAGAGCTGGCAAATCGTCTCTTCTGGATGCGTTCCTGAATCGACCATTCTATAGCATGTACTATCCAACTATCAAGCCTAGAAGAGCTGTCAACAGTGTAGAGCTTCAGGGTGGCAAACAATGTTACCTTATTCTAGAAGAACTTGGGGAGCTCGAACTTGCTATACTGGAGAACCAGGCGAGGCTAGATGCTTGCGACTTGATTTGCTATGTATACGATTCATCGGATCCAGACTCCTTTTCGCATATAGTTGACCTTCGAAAGCGATTTCCGCAACTCGATGATTTACCCTCTATATATACAGCTTTGAAAGCGGACAAGGACAAAACAACGCAGCGAAGCGAGTTACAACCAGACCAGTACACATCAAACCTGATGATGAGTACGCCGGTCCATGTGAGCGTAACATGGAATAGCATTGGCGAGCTGTTCGTCGCACTGGCGGAGGCCGCTACAAACCCGAGCACGGCATTTCCCAAGAGCGAGGAGCCACCACCCGACCGGTCGGGATTATATCTTGCTCTAGGGGCGACCACCTGCGCTGCCGTAGCTGCCTTTATGATCTGGAGGCGATCGACAAACTCTGCTTAGTACCTATTTAGGCATTTCTGAGACTAACCCGGTTTTCTAATGGCTTTTAATTTTATTGAACAGGCATTTATTAGGAGCATTACCCGTCGGATATGAAGTATATGGATTGCTTAGTTGGTATCTAGTCTTTTTTTATCAGCCCTACTTTGTTAGTTTTTTCTCTACGTGATACCCCGTCATCTCTACTACCGTTGAACATATTAGTATTATAGAGACATAGTCACTTAGTACTCAATGAATATAATCCCAAAGAGATCACCCAAGGTGTTAAATTACTTCCTTATCTACTAACAAGGTAATTGGTATTAAGGTAATCTAGGATTTAATTAAGATGGTATGGGTATTAATTCTCGAATGATTGTATGAATCTGAGATCGTTCTCACTCCTATGGGGGTATTCTAATATTATAGGCACTTAGGACATAAGCCTTGCCCTCCACGATATAAAATTATCCTAAATAGAGTGTCTATTAGGTAGTTATCGTTAAGTGTTATGATTTTATTTGGAAATGATCGATCCGATCCTCTATCATAGGCCATTGTGTTGTACCCCTGAACGTACCAGCGTGGCAGATAGAAGTAGAACCCACTTGCAAGACCAATGCCTACTCGTTTAATATCGATGACACGAAGAGAGAAGTGGATCACCGACGATAGCGCCATCATCACTTTAGGACCTAGGCAAACCCTTACAGTTAGCAACAAATCTAACGCAATTTGGCCGTAGCGTTACCGAGGCTTCTCGGGGGCGATTCGCCGAGCTTTCGGGCTGGTGAATTCTCAAGGGTCGTTATGGTCATGCTACTTACTAGTCAGATATATGGCTTCAACTAATAAGTTTTCTCCGGTTTTCTTATTATTCGGTTGTTGTGTACAAAAGATTATAAAATAAATATAAAATAAATATAAAATAAATATAAAATAAATATAAAATAAATATAAAATAAATATAAAATAAATAAAAATAAACGCTGTCGAGTAGAACGTTAAGCTTGCTTGTAGTAAAAAAGGATACATATACTAGAGACGAGCAGCTTTACCCAACATGGCGCGGGATAACAAGAACCAGAACAACAACAATAATAACAACAAGCAGCCGACGACGGCACAGCTCGACGAGGTCAAGGAAGCCGTGCGCAAGCTCCTGCACCAGCCGGACTACGACGACGGCTCGGCGGGCCCCGTCCTGGTGCGTCTGGCGTGGCACTCGGCGGGGACGTACTGCGCGGCGACGAACACGGGGGGCTCGAACGGCGCGGGGATGCGGTACGAGAAGGAAGGCGGGGACCCGGCGAACGCGGGGCTGCAGCACGCGCGCGCGTTCCTCGAGCCCCTCAAGGCCCGGTTCCCCTGGATCACCTACGCGGACCTGTGGACGCTCGCGGCCGTCGTCGCGATCCGCGAGATGGGCGGGCCGGACGTCGCGTGGCGAGGGGGCCGCACGGATTTCGCCGACGACAGCAAAGTGCCCCCGCGCGGGAGGCTGCCGGACGGCGCGCAGGGCGCGGCGCACCTGCGCGCCGTGTTCCACCGCATGGGCTTCGACGACCGGGAGATCGTCGCCCTGTCCGGCGCGCACAACCTCGGCCGGTGCCACGCCGACCGCTCCGGCTTCCACGGCAAGTGGGTGAACAACCCGACGCGCTTCTCGAACCAGTACTACAAGCTGCTGCTGGCCAACGACTGGAAGACGACGACGCTGCCCAACGGCGTCACGCAGTTCGCGTACGTCGAGGAGGACGATGACGGCGAGGACGCGACGGCGGAGGAGAACGGCGAGAAGCCCGAGGGCCTGATGATGCTGCCGACGGATATGGCGCTGCTGTCGGACCCGGGCTTCCGCCCGTGGGTCGAGCGGTACGCGGCGGACAAGGACCTGTTTTTCGAGCACTTCGCCGGCGTGTTTGCGAAGCTGTTCGAGCTGGGCATCAAGCGGGACGCGAGCGGGGCGGTGATCAACGAGGAGAATGTTCAGGAGGGGTATAAGAGCGCGCCGAAGAAGAGCGACACGGCTACGGCGCCGGGAGATCAGGGCCCGGGCCAGATCGGCCACGAGGCGCGCGCGTTGAAGGAGGAGAACGAGAAGGCGCGTAAGAGGAAGGAGGGCGCGAAGTTGTAAACGGGAGTTGGGATGGCTTTTCCTTTTGCAGATTAGACGTGGTGCCATAGAGCTGAGGTTGTAAATATACCTCCTACCTATAGACTAGAGTATATGTTGGCACCTGCCTATAGACGGACAGACAGACAGACAGGGCGGGGGGTAAATATTTGGGAAATCACAGAATAGATCATAATATCGTAAGTAATTCACGGTCACATGAGCTCTATCAACCTAGCTTAAGCTACCTTGAGGGGGCTGCATACAGCGCAATCTCATCGCAATCAGACCTCCTCTATCCCAGCAGAGTGCAGGATATACAGGTGAATTACTCTTTCTATTCGTCCCCTACAATACCATCGATCAATCGTTATCCTCTCTCCCTACCCTCCTCGTTCCGACTTCACGCTGCGACCAGGGGTTGCATCCACATGCGAGTCACCATCAACATCAATGTCCTGCTCGCCTTCATCCTCATCCTCGTCCTCATCTTCGTCGTCATCAGCCATATTCGGTCGCTGCGAGGCGAGTTGACGCTTAATGTTGCGCAGCATGACCGGGTCGGGATGGAAATCGGAAATGGTTACTTCCTGTATTCAAGCAAGTTAGATATATTCGTAGCGTTGATGTTTTCGATCGAGTGTGAACTGAACGTACCTTATTACAGCCTGCCTGCGGACATCGTGCTCGCCTATTTCCGAGAAACTGGATGATGGAGTCCTTCTCGAAGGTGTGCCTGCACTTTGTGCTCGTATACGGGTCCTTCATGACTACCAAGGATAGGGGGCAGCGGATATCGAGGTGTTCCTCGGCAACAATCAGATCGTCGTCATCGCTAGCCTCATCCTCGCCTCCGTTTTGCGAGAACCATTTGCTCGCATGCGGTAGTGGCTTATTGCCTCTGCCGTAGACGGCGTCGTGCCACATGCGCTTGAAGCCGATATAATCGTTGTTGGTGCCGTATTTCTCGTATGGAGTCTTCGAAGCATAGTCGTCTGCCGCCCTCTTCTTGGCTTGCTCTAGCAATTCTATGGGACTCGTGATATTCACATCCGCCATCTCTTCGTCTTCGTCTTCGTCGCCGCCTTGTCCTCTTCGCCTTCGGGCTGCATTCGCGGCTTCCGTCTCGACGTTCTGCGCCGTTCTCCGTAATGCGGCGTTGCCATCTTCGAGCTCTATCTTCAAGTCGATAACACTCTGGACGGCGAGGTTGCAATCGTTTGTTAAGGTGGGCACTTCGTTCTTTAGCGCCAACACAGCTTTTTCCTCTGCCCTCTCGCGATCGGATTTTTCGTCTTTGTCCGCTCGCTTTTCCTGAAGTTTTTTGAGGGCTTCTTTTCTTTCCTCGTACTTGTCATTGAGATCCCGCACACTGGCGCTTAGCAGCTCTATGCTCTTGTTCAGCTGCTCCTCATACTTCCGCGTATCTTTGCTTGTTGATAGTTGCGTTAATGCGCGTATGTATTCGGCACTGAGGGGGCATGCGAGAGGCTCATAATTTGGCAGCTCGACAGGGCCGTTGTCTTGTTGGGTGTGAGAGGAGGGTGCGCTCGGTCGGCCTCGATTACGCTCGGCACCGGATTGCAGCCGACGGCTGCCGGATAGGAGGGGCATATCTACTTGGTATGAGAGGTTCGGATGTATTGGTATTGGTATTGGAATCGGAATCGGAATCGGAATCGGAATCGGAATCAGATATGTCTGAGTAGGCGATCAGTCGCTAATTAATTGCAAGTCTATGTATGATATGATGCATGTGTGCAAAGGTGGGCTTTTAATTTACGCGTCGAGTCGCGTCCAATTTGAAAGTTGGGCAAAATGGTACGCGGGGATAGGTATCCATATAAGAGCTTATCTCTTTTTTTAGAAGGTACCCTAATAGCGGGGTTAGTCGCTGTAGCATTGCTCTCTGATTCACTAACATAACACTACGGTAAAGACCATATTCTACAATGCAGGAATTATTTGAGATAGAGCTTCTAATACAATTGATTAGGTACGCGATGATATCATCTTGCATAAAACACTTATGGCGACTGTACAGTTTACCTCTAGATAGGTAGCAGTTCTTAAATCATTATCCTACAAAAGCTCATTTACAACTTGTAACTTGCAAGACAGCCTAAGATACTTCATCTTACATCCAAGTTAAAAAACAGCGCGTCAACAGCATCAACATCCCATCTAGGTCCATCCCCAAAGCATATACAGTTTTCAGCAAGCATGCACTTCGTGACCGCGAGCGACTCTTGTAAACACGGATCGCCTTCTCCCTTTGCAGCAGCCTCTAAAATCGCAAATGATTCACTTCCTATCATCGTCTTGACGCGTCTCTCTATATCTGCCGCAGACAACCATCGCCTCGGGTCTATTCCCCGAGAACGATAATCCGCCTCGATTCGATTACGCGCTATGCTTGATAAATCCGGTTCTGCCGCCGATGCATATCGAGCACTTATCGATCCCGTGTGCCTGTACTCTTGTCTCGCCTCGATCATCGCGTAGATGTACGTGATAGTCCAATTCTCCGTTGCCTTTGAGTGGCTAAGCGCTTTCTGGATAAGATTAGTTGTGCCTGGGTGACTGCGCGTACATTTCTTCTGAGCGTGATCCATTACGGACCAAAACAGATCCCCAGCAAACGTCTGGGACCCTGAACCGATGTATGGTATAATGTCATCGGGCGGGACAGAAATTCGCATATAATGCTGATGATCCAACCATATCCCGCATGTAAGTCTTTGAGTAGAAGACATGGATGATATAGAGCTCGAACTGAACCATGAATCTTCCTGATCGCTCTCTATTCTGACAAGGTCTCTTGACTTCGCATTTATGATTATGTCTTCCTCACCGTCTTCGGTGGTGGGCACAGGGAAAGGATTATTTCCGTTCACATCCCTGGATCCAGACTGGAGATCAGTATTCTGTATCGGCCTTTTAGCATCGATACCCGCAGCTTTCGCCACGTCGAATATCCTATTGAGCAGCTCTGGGTGCTCATCTCCACGTGTAACGCTAAGCAATTTCTCAATCGCGCTCTTAAGCCGGTGACTTTGATCTTGCATATGTTCGTTGGCCTCAGCTTGACGTTTTCTGAAGTTAGCTTGGGAACGTCGACCTCGTTCACGTCGGCGCTACGGTCAAGTTAGGGTATGTAATCGCGGACCAGGGGGTAGAAAGTGGGCTTACGCGGAGAGAATCTTCAACATCTCTAACCGGCTTAACCGGATTGGAAGCGGAAGCTATTACCATCTCGAACCATATGCATGAATCTAAGTTCGATGCATCGACGGTTATGTGATCGCAGAGTTAAAGACCCCAAGCCGTTCAGCGAGTTGTTCAGATCAAGTTTTACCTCTTGTTTCCGTTGGAAAGGGGATCATGTTGACGGCTTGGCGCGGCACAATTCCATCCGATCACGTAACCGCTTGATGACCGAAGGCTCGGACGTTCAACTTCTAACCGATCCCGAGAGTTACGTGAGTGAAGGATGATGCGAAAAATAAAATCAAGCCGTATTACCAATACATCGTATTCAAGATCAGATTGTTAAGCGTAGAAAAACGGTATAAGATGGCGGCTCTTAGGCAAGAGTTTGGACTACCTCTTGATACATACCTCCTAGCAAGTCCAGCAACTTCCAGACAATAGTTAAGTCCAAAGCAGTAGTATTTAAGAAAGTTTCAATCTTATAAGTCAACATGGTTAAGATTGCAATTGCATCGGCTTCGAGCAGTGAGTGGGCGAATATTCGGTGTATCCCTGAGTCGAGTTTGTTTCTCAACTAATTGATTACTTTAGCACTGGCTCGAGAAGTCATTGACACGCTGGTGGCTTCTAAGAAGCATGATATAGTCGCCTTAGTCCGACCGGTAATATTCAAAAAATCCATCTTTCCCGTTCTATTCCTTCCCTTCAACTACCAGAAACCACTGACCTAGGGACATAGGACCCTGCCCAATTCCCTTCCCTCCCCGGCGTCGAATGGGTGCAGACGACTTACGAGGACAAGTCGGAATTGGTTCGCTTGTTCAAGGGTGTAGAAACTGTTATCTGCTTCTTAGCTGTTCATCTCGACAAGGATAACGCTATCCAGAAGCGGCTTATTGACGCTTCTATTGAGGCCGGTGTTAGGCGGTATGCTCCGTCCGAGTGGGCAACGTAAGTAGGCAGCATTTTACGATTTTTGGTTTTCTCTTTTCCTCTAAAGGACGAGGCCGTGAACTGGCTGAAATATTCTATGGATCTATAAGTTTTTCAGCACTAACTCCTGAAAAGAGGTGTGAAGTTGGAATCTTCGCTCGATGCCATGCCGTGGTATGAGGGAAAGATAAAGATCGCGCATTATTTGGAGAAGCTCAATGAGCAGAAGAAGGTATCGTACATGCCATTTAATTGCTCACACGACACCATTGCTAACAGTTCTCTCAAGGTCATCGAATATACCCGCTTCCAAGTTGGCACGTTCATGAACTATCTCGCTCATCCGCATAAAACAACAACTCATGCTCGTACTCTTCCATTTTTGATTGACTTTGACAACCAACAAGCCGCTGCGATCGAAGGATCTCTCGATGATGTTATTGTATGGACTACAGTTCAAGACATCGCAGGTGTGGTGGCCCGCGCTGTAGAGTATCCTGGCGAATGGCCAGCCATCGGTGGCATTACCGGAACTAAAGCTACCATCGGGGAGGTACTAAAACTGGGCGAGGCTATTGGTACGTGTTTAACCTCCATATGTCAAAGAGCAATAATAGGACGACCATTTGAAAACGACGGCCACTAATTTTCCTAACAGGGAGGCCAATAAAGGTACATTTGCTCAAGGAACAAGACCTCGAAGCTGAGATCAGAAATGCTGGTGCTTTTTCTGTTCCAGACCTTCGCATTGCGACGCCTGAGCAGGCCGGGGCCTTCATGCACGCCGTGCCCGCTAGACTCTTAATTGCCATCCATCGCGGTGCTTATGATATTACTGATGAGTGGAATAAGCTCCTACCAGACTATAAGTTTACACAGCTTGAAGACTTCCTTAAGAGTGCCTGGGGTGGGAAGTAAGTACCTGGCAATAGGTACTTTGTCGAAGTGCATGGCGGTTATATTGTACCTGGGTTATACATCAAATCACCAGTTTCTTAATTTCATATGATATTAATTACTTGAATTGATTATAGTTAGAGTAATACGCCGAATCAAATATAACTGGTGATTTCTTTCATGGAAATATGCTGGTAAACAGAGACTGTTATCGAAAGAAAAAAAAAAAGAACAGGAAAAAAAAGGGGATGGGGGGAGGTCCACGATATTGGTCATAGTGGGCTCAGGGGCTGAAAATATATTAATGAAAAGCCAGTTGGACTTAACGTACGGGCCATTACATACGATCGATTGTATTGCCTTGTCTTGATTAGTATGCCGTTCGTAACCAACATTAAAGAACTTATTTATGGGTTCTAAAGTCAATAGCTAGAGCACAAGGCTTAACTACCTCCTAGGTAACTCTTGAATGGTAGTATATTAACCAAAACAACTTCTGTACCTTAGGTAAGAAACATAGTTGACATATTTAAAGATCGTACTCGCATACTACTCTCATGTATCGCCTGATCGGGTATTTTCCTGCCCTGTTTGTAACCTGAAGCAGAATATGGAAACCAGGCAACATCCCAGTAGATCGGTTCTTCTGTGATTGCGGTACAGTAACTTGGATCTTAGGCCCAAGGGTCACGTTGGTAAAACCAGCGTCGTTGCTTTCTAGCATAGCGCTTGATCCCGCTGGAGCGTTCAGAGGCTTCAGTTGAACATCTGCTTCGAACATTGTAGATTCTCGATATAAAGCCCACTGAAACTCCAAATTACTGTTATCCGTAAGGTTGTCGGTGTCAACCGTCAGGCTGGCATCGAACGTATACGTTTCATTTCCCTTAGCCTTCACGATAAGTGGATCGGGGCCCTCTTGGCCGTTGATATTCAAGACCGGCGGGTGCCCAACTTGTGTGAAGTTCGGAGTGAGAGTCCATTGCATTCGAGCTGCAAAGTCATCTTGATAAGCTGTTCTCCATCGCCAAATAGATGCTTGTGATGTTGAATACTGCTGTCCGTCAAGCCCAACCACGTTCTCCACAGCATCTACGAAGTGGTTTGTATCAATTCCACCCGCCCAGTCACTTGGAGCTTGAGGCCGATTATATCTCCCGCCCCAACTACCCCAGTCAATGCGGTCGCGGTAACCCAGCCCATTTTGTATCAACCACAAGAAACTAGGAGTATCACCTTCCATGCCGTATATGATTTGCGGGTATTGAGAGCCCAGCGGCCCAAGGCGGATATTCGTGTCTAACCAAGGGTTCTGTACCACTGATGAGTTCACACAAGGACACCCGGCGAAGGAGATCCCGGTCCAAGTTGCCAGCGTATAATCGTTCCATGAATGAATCGATACAATGGAGAATATATCCGGAAAGTGAGCTCGAATCCAAGGACCGGTATCGTCTTGGTCAGATATTGTATATAACCTGATTCGCGACCTTAACCCAGCAGCTTCCGAAGGAGACATGGTGTTATTAATATGAAGTAACGCCTGGGCGAGTGTATTAGTTCCACCCCATCCCGTGATAAAAAGGGGCTTTTGAGATTCTTGCAGTGCAAGGATGATGCGTTTGGCGCCTTCGCTCAAAGGTTCAGAAAGGGCAGTCCTCCCATATACCTATTTTCAAGAGTTAGTGAAAAAAAGATTGTGTACCTCTTGAAGATGGGTAGGAGGTAGGTATGGGTACTTACAGAAGGTCCCGAAGTAACAAGGGACAATAGTTTCTCAGCGCTATCGTAAGGTGAATCTGGGTTGACATGCTGATTTAGATTATCCACGACCTCCCCATAAGCATTGATTATCTTTCGAATCTCTTCTGGATGGGTTGCGTTCTGAAGCCACCAAGAAGTAGTTGCACATATTCCTCTTGTATCGAACTCATTCGAGTAAAGAAGGTATCGGACAAGAGACATGGAATCATCCGGTTCGTTGAGAATATCCGTCATTATAAACACTCGAGGTTTCCAGTCAAACTTTTGAAGCTTGTGCACATCCCATGCTGTGTTTTGGCTATAACCACTTGCCCCAGCCCACCCTACGTGGAGGCTAAGGCAAGTGACTACTGTAAAAATTGTGGAATGCAAAGGGGTCATCATCATGAATGGAGGAACAACGAATGCGCTGAGCTACCTTGACGCCAGAGACGAAAGGAAATGACACTCCCACGCATTTAAGACTGCGCCCGAGAACTTCCCCTCAATGAATCTATCCATAGTAGACCATTTCTATCCAGTATAAGTAAACCTATGACTTCATTGAACAAAGTCTATGTACCTACTTAAGGTTAGGTAGGAGGTAGTTATCCAAAACCGTGGTAGTATTACCCCGCAACCGAATTCATCTCGAACTTTGGCGTCGGCAATTGTTAAGAGAACCATATATGGTATGGTATAAGTGCCTAGCTAAAAGATTTTTGAAGCACAAGACCAATTATATGGGTAGAAGGCTTATATATATTACGTTAAGTACCTAGGTAGATTTATATGTTGTCTTGTGCTTCTTATTTAGGTAGGTGAAGAATTGATAGTCACGATGGCATCAAGGTGTTGAACAATAGGATCTCCCCAGCCAAATAGAAGCATCATGCGGATGTATAACGACCAGTATTACATAAGAGTATATAACACGATTTTACATCTTTAGCTCCATTTCTATTCTAAAGAATACCTAAGGTAGTATCAGACTCTTGGTGATAGGTCGTCAGTGAGAGAGAAGTGAGAGAGTCTTTTGTGGGGTGTAAGTGGACAGAGTATTGTGGGGATTGAAATTAAGAAGTTAAAGAATTCACATGTTACCGTCAACCCTACTGCGCATATAAGTACCTGGATTGGGAGGATCGGATAGGCGGATAATTCTATCCATTAGTGATGTTAGCTTTTGTTTCAATCGCCCGGTGGGCTTTTTTTCTTGACTACTAGTAATTCGTAAATCGCAAAGCTACCAGGTAGGTAGTTAAGTAATATGCTCCAAGTTGTCTATTGTCAGTGGTCCAATTGTAAGAGTATAGTTGGGTTTTAGAAAGTATAAAAAAGCCTATAGAGTTTAGGGCTGATGTTCGCCATATAATACCTATGTTGAGTCTTATTCTCTGCCTTTTAATATTTCAATTAATTCTCTAGCTGTAGAGGCTTCGCTTTCAAAGAAAGCTAAGCGCTCAGTGCCTTGGCAGGGAGGTCGGAAGTGTCTCTTAATTCTCCGAATCCTTAATAGGCAGCTAAATGCCAGCTAAGATATCGACGCGTAAGTCAGTGCTGTATTTTTCCACCTAACTAACTAATATTAACAAAACTTGAGCTCTTGTTTACCAATAAAGTATACTCGGGTCGCGGGCCTATGTGGATCGAAATAAGTCGAAGCCGTGGTAAAGTTCCAAACGTCCCATTAATTAAACTCCACCAACGTACGATCTATATCAAGATGTTGTTGCGATGCACCTTGAAACGGACGCCGTGGTCCTTAATACAGCGTTTCTTCTCGTCCTTGCGGATTGAGCCTAAAGGGGGGGGCGTCGTACGTGTGAGCTGGTCAGTGCTGTTGAAGTTTCCTATCCGCCGTTGTATATAAGAAAGGTAAAGTGTATCCAACTCCGTGGTAAACTTATTCGTTTCTTTCCATACCCAATATTCGCAGTTCGCCTTGATCCTACTAAGTACCTACCTACCTATCTTGTCTTTGCAAATATGCATAGGTCAATTCTTGTTGCGTCGCTGGCTGCGGCCGTCTCTGCTCATCAAAACCTTCACCAGTTTTGGGTCAACGGGGTTTCTCCAGGTTATGAGATTGGAATTCGTCGTGCCCCCAGTAACAGTCCAGTAGTAAGTTATACTTCTTCTAAAAAGAAAAAGAAAAAGAGAAAATGTGTTAACGTATGTTGCTTGCTCTACAATAGACAGATGTGAAGAGCAACGATATTGTGTGCAATGTTGGAGGCGACAAAGTACCCTCAGGGGTAGAGACAATTCCCGCTCGCGAAGGAGACAAGGTCACTGTAGGATGGGACCCGTCAGGTCATCCTGGCCCTATCACTCACTTCTTGTACGGCCCTGTGGATGAAGCCGCTAAAGCATCCGGGGTTGGTGCGGGCTGGTTCAAGATTGATGAGCGCGACTACGTGGATGGACACTGGGCAAACGAAGTGATCCAGAACAACGGCGGAAATTATACGTTTAGCCTCCCTACGGGTCTCAAGAGTGGAGATTATCTGGTATGTCTGGTTTGTCACTTTGACCAACTCCTGACGTGCTAACACTCGTCTAGCTCCGGTCAGAAATGCTGGCTCTCCACGCAGCCCAAACAATTGGCGGCGCCCAGTTTTACATCGGTTGCATACAGTTGAAGATAACTGGAAGCGGAGGGAATTGTTCGCCCACAATTTCTCTACCAGGAGCCTACAATGCTGAGGATAGTAATATTTATATCCCGAATGTGTACTATGGGTTTGACCCCACAACATACACTGCACCTGGAGGCCCCGTTGCGTCGTGCAAATGATGAAAAAAGTTGAGGTCTGAAAGTTGGAAAATTTCATTCTGCTGTCATAGCAAATACCACAGCATAGATGATATTATTGCGTCTTTATAAGATTTTGTTACTCAGGACCGACAACACTTTATACTTATCCAGACTAACCCGGCATCCAGTCTAGTTTGTCTAGGTAGTTTGCACACACCGTTATACAATGCACAATATTCATTGTTACCTAGGTTAGGTACTTATATATCAGACAACAATCGTTGTTAAATTCTGGACAATGATCATTGTCGATTGCTGAACAACGGACAACTATCGGTTGACAATCCTGACAACGCTGCCGATGTCGACAATAGACAACGCCTGCTGTCAACCCGAAGGATTGGTTCAAATCTCCACAATCGACAAAGAATATTCGCATCTCCGTTTTCCAATTACCAGTCAATTGATTCCCTCATATTGGCACAAGTTTCACTTGCAAGACTATGGCACGTCTCGGTTATTTAATGTGATTTCCTACATTTAAACACTGCTCCAACAATGGGGTAAACAGGTATCGCGCAGAATCTAACTACCTATTGATAAGTATATCCTTTTCTTTAACATATTATCGTAGTTAACTCCAGCGTAAACATGCTTGTAAACTCGGTACCCATGTAAACATCATAACTCCCCTAGGCAAGTTAGGTGGTACCTATCCAGGCAGCTTACCCCATTGCTAAGATAATGCTGTAAGTAGAACGCGTGAAACAAATCCTCGTCCCCTTATCTACTTACTCAGTATCCTCTAGCTTGGTCCTTTTTGTAGGAGGACCCTCTTCGTCATCTCGTTCACGCTTTGCCGGGGTTACTTCTCTCGGTTGTTCTTTGGTGTCGCCCTCTGGGGGAGTATCATCCTGCTCTTGTAGATCTTGACTAACCTCAGTACTCACTTCTTCATGGCTATCATGAGGCTCTTCGATGCTTTGAATGATTTGATCTCCCACAGGCTTCTCGTCCTCATTAAGCACAGGAGAGGAAGGGGTATATGCACCACCCTGAGATACTAGATCCGTATGAATATTCTCGTCCGCATCCGCATCCGCATCCGCATCCTCCTCCTCATCATCTTCCTCCTCCTCTTCATCAACGTCATCGTCATCATCATCGTCGTATTCATTTTGATTATTCGACTGTGACACACGTGACCCATGTTCGGAAACAGGGGTTAAAGGCGCAACTACGATATTGTCTTGCTCAGGCACTTCTACTTCTGCTTTACGAGGTGTCTTTGTCTTGGGCTTTGTAAACCACGAGTCCTTCAGGTCTTCTACGTGGGGATCTAAGCGACCAGGTTCGTGATTCGACTTTTTACTGGGCACCTCGAGTGCCATTCGTACAAGGTAGTTAGAGTTTTGAATAGTCCGATGCGCGCAAGCAGCCATAATCGATTCCCGGTAAGAGTCGACATCGTGGTGCTGCTCAAATGGACTCCAGAGGAGAGAAGTGCTTACAGAATGGCCGCAGTCCTCCTGGTATTTGAGGACATTCAGCCGACGGATGAACTCTCGGCATATAGCGTAAGCTACATGCCCTGTTTCCCATAGTTTGCTAATGTCTTCCGTCGTAAAGGTTCCCATAACGACACCATCATTGAAGCGAATACAGCCCTCACCCAATATCTCTGCTAATCTTTTCTTGACGAAGTTTCTTCGATCATCGCGCGCACTTGGGTAAGGGTCGATAATAGCACATGCAACCACTTCCCGGTCGTAATGTAAAGGTGATCCTTGAGAGCCCTTGGAGCCCTCGGAGATTCCTCCAAGTTGCAAGGCAATAGTCACCCAAATATCCTCTAGGGGTAGGCGAACAGGCCAGAGTGTGAATTTAGAATCTCGGATTGATTTCAATAGCGGGTGAAATTCAGTGTCGCGGATATTTTCAGACGCCTTTTTCCTAATTACGGCCCGAGACGCGTCGAAGACTTCGTCTTCCTCTGCGAATAACTTGAATTCCTCGGTGATAGCCGGTATAAAGACCGTTGACGAATTTCTAAAGTTGCGCGCCTCCCAGAATAATGCGGTATACATAGAAGCCACCGTGATGGGTTCATCCCTTGCGGTTTGCAACCTATACGTTGCGCCGGCTTCCTTTCTCACACTACGGACTACCTCATTAATTTCGGGCGTTAGGACTGCTCCCCAGCCACTCTTGAAGTCCGGGTCTGCAACAAGCCTACCAGCAGAGGTTAATGGTGTGGCAGGCATCTTGTTGTATTGGTGATTTTGTAACTAAGTAGATTCTGTTGGTATTTACTTGATTGATGCTCAAGTCCGGTCAAGGTAAGCTATAAGCTGTGAGCTGTTGTTATCTTCTGGTGTTCTCTACCATCCTCATCACGGTTTCTCCAAAGTAGACTTTATACCCAACCCAAGACGGAAAAGATACTCAGTGGATTAAAAGCTGCGTAATTAGTTCTTTGCTTTCCATGAAACTGGGTCTTTGTGCATGCTCGGTAGTAGTTTTGAATTAAATCGAATTGTCTTAGTAGAGTTTGATTGTTCATATCCATAGTTAACTAACCTTGTTCTTTGATTCAAGTAAATTCAAATAGATTCAAGGGCTTTTTTCCGCGACCACTAACTAACATAAGCCTTAATTTCAGCACCGACTTCTAGTCTATTGAAACAAGTTCGTTTCGGGACGTTAAGAACCCATTAAACGAATATCAATGTTTGGCTGAATAAACATCAAAAGGCGGTATTGTTTTACACCAAACAAACTGATAAGCTACGGTACCAAGTAACACGATGCTAACACGAAAATGTCGATCCGTCGATCAATAGAACCACAGCACAAGGCGGATGTCCCCACAATAGGTACCCAGAACAGCCAGAGGTAATTATCCCTGAATGAAAAGCGACCCCTAATCATGCGGGGGATTGACAGAGATGGGACCCTCATTACGTGTATTTTCAGGGCTGTGACTTGCCAGTGATTCGGCGACTAACGCACAGCTCATATAAAAACATTACGAACCAAAGCGGGAAATGATATAAATTCTTTAGCTCTTCAACATCCCCCGTCCTCCTATTTCGAAAGTTTTCTAATTGTCGTTGGACACCAAACGCCAAACACCAACCATCATCAAAACGTCGATATGGCTACTACTTACACCAACGACGACGATACTGCGGGTGTCCCCCAGGCCCCCGGTGCTGAGCACACCGAAGTGCTCTCTTTTCTTCAATACTTCGAGACCCTGTTTATCATTGACGACTCTTCAAACATGAAGCGCCAGTGGAGCGACGTGTCCTCCCTCATTCAGGCCGTCGCTCCGGTCTGTCTCAAGTACGATGAAAACGGTGTCGATCTCTACTTCATTAACCACAGGCCCACGCTCTACTTTCCTGGTATGTCTGTGCGCAAATCCGGATATAACCATATCGGCAAGGTCCACAGCGATACTGGGAAGAGGGACAGCACGCAAAATATTTTCCAAGCTGTCAAGCCCGGTGGCGGGTGCAAGCTAGGCGCCCGCTTGAAGAGGATCCTATCCTGGTATATTGAGCAGTTGAAGCTTGATCCCCAGCGAGCCCCTCTTAATGTTATTGTGATTACGGCGGGTATATCAGACGATGACATTGCGGCCCCTTTGATTGAGATCGCGAGAGAATTAGACAACATGAAGGCGCCTGGGCACCAGTTGGGCGTGATGCTGTTCCAGCTAGGAGATAATGAAGAAGTGCGAAAGAAGTTCGAGCATGTGGATGACGAGATGTGGAAACAAGCGGGCACGCGCGACATAGTCGATACCGTCGCGTGGCGAGGCTGGCCTGCTAGCTTTGGCTCCGACGACATGGTCAAGGCTGTACTAGGTGCCGTGTCCAAGAAGATGGACGGGGCAAAGACGGCTCTCGCTGGAACGGAACCCCCGAAACGTCACGAGACGATGATTTAGGCCAGGGTTAGGGCCTGTTCGTGAAGCAAACGAGCACCGAGAGATTTGCGCTTGCCCCTTGAATGCTTCTCATACCTCGAAAAGGACGTACTAATATTCTCTACGGCCGATTATCTACCTACCTCCTATGTAATGAGATAAATACATACCTACCTCTTCAGGTTAGGTACCTCTATTAACTTCAGAACGCATCAGATGTTACATCTCTTGATACCCCCACCAATTCATGCTCCCTTCTGAGGTCTACCAAGGTTATCGTCTCGGATCCCTACATTATACGCCATGTCTGAATTCTTGATGCCTTGATAAGTAGAAGTAATATAATTCTTTAATGCAGTAGACATGTGGGCAATTTCTTTCAGGTGCGCCTCCTTGACTTCCGGGATAGATTCCTCAACCGGGACAACTTTTCCCCTAGCTGTCTTCGAGTCGTAAAGCGCAAGCGCAACAGCAGATTGGAAAGCTGTAGTTGTGAAATTTAGCTAAGGGTTCCTCCTCGTACATTAGGTACCTAGACACGAGCCGGCGGGACCGCCTTACTGTTGCGAATTTCGCGACCGTTCCATTCTAATTCCTTAGTTTCCTCGCTCTTTCGGACATATTCTTTAGCATCGTATTCGTAGCGGATTTCTGGTCTGCCCTGCTCGTGATCCTCTTTCGCAAGCTCAAAGAGGATCACGACAAAGAGGCTTATATCCGATCGCTACGTGGATATGAGATAAGGAAGGCCTCGTCAAATTCGCCGACACGGTTCGTAGTCAAAAACAGAATGCCTTGGAAGTATTCCAGCACGCGTAGGAAAACTTCGCACGATGTCAGCCAATTTTGGACTGTCCCCTTCCCTTCATAGGAATATAGATAGGGTAAGGTCTTACTTGATACTGCTTCTCTTGAGCTCGTTGCTCGAACGCCGTTCTAGGTACACGTCGGCCTCGTCTAACAATACAATTGCGTCCCAGCTGGTAGCATCTCTGAAAAATTTGAGGAGATTCCTCTCCAGTTCTACTGGTTCATGGCCCAGATCAGCTGCGGTGATGCTGAGCAGTGGCCTCTTTGTGTATTCAGCGACAGACTCTAAACCAAATTTCAGTACGATACCTTATTCAAATTCTTGAAGAAATTTCTTACCGGCTGTGAGCGTCTTCCTTGTACCTGGATGTCCGTGTAGAAGGAATATTTGTTCTTCACCCTTTCCGCGGATGAAATCTGCGCTAAACAACTCGGCTTCACTCTTGCTATCTGTGTAGGTCCGCGCAGTCGCTTTAATCGTATTTTATTGTTTTCCGGCCTCATAATCAACTGGTCAATGGAGCTTTCCGCAATTCTCGGAGGGCGAAGACCCCTGATATCAATGAGATCTGGTTCCAAGTTAGCAAAACCTATCTACTGTCTGCTGCGTTGCTAACTACTATCGGATTCACGTAACATACGTCCGAGATTGGAGAATAAACGCGGACATGTGAGATATGCATAGCAAGTACTGGTGGTCCGAAAGGCTCCCGCAGCCCTTTGGGTCAATGTTATCGTAGTCGCTGAAAGTCCCGGATATGTATCTTTCTTTCCTAACATCTACTTCACTGCAACGATGACATTCGCAATGCGGAGTTTTTGCTCATTCTCTAATCTCGGTCTAGATCTAAACTATTCCATGGATGAGACTCGTGTTCAACAACGACTCTGGCTCGGTTGTACTTAAGTAGGTAAGTATGGTTAACGCCTAACTGTCTCTCCATCACGACTCTTGTCGTAGAGACATCTACTTACCTTTTTCCAACCAGGTTTTAACCCAGCACCGATGTACTCTAAGAAAGCAGGCCATTTAGCACAATGGAAAAACATCTTGCCTCGTTCGATGAGTTCTTTCCGTCGTGCGCCGCCGTCTACAGTCTACATCGTCATGAAACCTTGTTGGAAATAGTGGCAGTGAGGTTATGTTTCGCCCATTGTCGAAAACCGGCACTTCAACATATCTGGGCCTCCTTTTAATGACTTTTCCATCATACACCAGATTCCATAGTCGAATAGAGTAGCTCTTGACGTTGTCCGCCCATAGCCCTTGGAAGACACGTTCAACGCCGTTAAAGACTGCATCTACCACATATGCATTTAACTGTCCATTTTAAGAAACGTAAACATTAGATCCGGGTTTTAACAAAAGCTAAAGTCCTGCGAATGTTGTTGTTGGCACTTTCTTGGCCCATCTGGCTTCCACTCCCTTGATCTGAATTGTGGGCTCGTTCTCGAGAAATTGGAGTAGAACGTCAATATGCCGATCACACTCTGCGTTATAGGCCTCGGTGTGATTTCCCCGGACTCCACCGGCTTGAGATTTGTACTCGAGAAGCTCTTGGCAGTGGTAGAATAAATCCTTATAGGGGTATGCGAATGTCAGGGATATGTGGATAGGTAGATACTACAGGGGATCTATCGCCTATATAAAGGGTAGCAAGCTCCCTCGTAGGAGGTTAGAAGGCCAAGCGTTACTAGACATCACCAATATACTACATACTGGCCTTATCTGACACTCACTCTGTATACGACCGCCATCACGGACTACCCCCTGACAGTTCAGTACTGGTCAGTTTTGGGTTGCCCAAGACCTAGTCCTACCAAGGCTACGTGACTGGACACTCAAAGTTGATAAAGCACGGATACTATGGATTTCGAGCCCTTACGAATCAAGGGGTGTAACAAGTGCACATGCATCTGCGCTAGCTGTTGTAGCTGCAGCATGGTAGGCAAAGGCTCCAGTGATCTCGCATCTTTGCCAACGACCTCGACAAGACGAGTTACGCAACGGCATGAGTAACTGAGCAGGTCGGGTTGATGGGGCTGGTATATAGCTTAATCTCCCAGCTACTCCAGTTTAGCAAAGATGAGGATGTTCTCAACGTCGAGGAAGACACATTCAAGACGTTGGATGGAGCGAAACAATCGTGGGATGCCAGTTTAAAAACACTGGAAGTACTACTAAGCCATACAATTGTACTGAAATATTGCGTTATCGATGGACTGAATTGGCTTGAGTTGGGGGATGGTAACTAATGGTGCCACGAATTTTTGAGCGTCTTGCTTAAGCAGCAGCAAAAGGGAACTCCATTCAACATTCTTCTTACGACGACAGGTCAATCGCGAATTCTAGCTTCGAAAGTAGATATTAAGTATAGATAACTTATAATAACACTCGCAAGGAAGCTGGTTAAATGGGGGGGGGGGGATTGAGTTGGAAATTTAGGAATTTAATCGGATTGGATAAGTCTCCTGTTATGTTAACCCCTGACTTGAGACGTGGGGATTGATAGTGTGAACCACTTGGTAGCAGTGTAAGCACATGCCAGGTATGCCTATGATGGATATCGTATACAGAGTAAGTCTCAGGAACGTACATAGTGTATATCGTGATAAGTCTAGTAACGCCTGACCTTCTATCCTCTTGCGAGGGAGCTGGCTACCCTTTATATAGACGGAAGAGCCTAGCTCTACCCGGTTTATCCCTGTATCATAGTATAAGCTACCCCTCAACCATGAGGGACGAGGCACAAATTATCAAACGCTATGAAGTAACTTTCACTTACAGTAATTGATACGTCAAGACATCAGCGCTTCGACTACGCTATTTTCTCCGCGTCGGTGCATTTAGCCGGTACCGTGGTACCTAGGCCTGTGATGATACCTCTTGGTACCTAAGCCTTCACAGGTACCGAATGATTTGGACAGATTTACGTATACTCCTCCATGAATAACACTTACAGTATTTCATTTATTAATAGGGAGATGACCTCATGGTTGGGTTCATGTTAGTCTTCTCAGTTTCAATTCCCTATCTTTCCACCATGTGATTATTGGTGAGCCTAGAAAGTAACCCCTACAATAAGCTCATACCTGGCCCTACATTCCGGTATTTCTCATGGCGCCTAGCTATACCTTGATATTAGGCACTCCTTGGATGGCAATCTTGGCCTGCTTTGCCAGCCTCTATCCACTCCCAACGTTCTCCAAGCCATTAGATCCAAGGATCTGCTCTTTGGACTTCCACGGCTCCATCCTAGGCCGTAAACTAGAATCGCTAACATGCCCTCTCCCGGTAGACGAAGAATCAGCAATAGACACCGGGACATGGGAACCTTGGAAACGTCGTCCTTACTGCATAGAGCCCCTGTCGGACGATACACCCGGGCCGCAATTCTGCCTTTACACATTCGAGCCGTTCCGCGGGAATAAAGGTTTAAGCGTCATAACTACGCCTGTGCTTGCAGCAAGCATGGTGGACGCTCTAGATGACGCGGTCGTGCCCCCGAAGCTTAAGACCCATCCGTCTAGTTCCCTTGCGGCGGAAGGAAGAAATGACACGGCCTACGTGGTCCAAGACATACCAGGAAAGGGGAAAGGGCTAGTTGCGCAGCGTCAAATTCGGCAGTGGGAAGTGGTGCTGGTGGACTATCCTGTTATGCTTGCACATATGGGTTTGTTCGACGTGGTAGGTCCCGAGCTTCGTGAGGATGTTCTAGGTCGAGCTCTGCGCCAGCTACCGGAGGAGCAGCAAGGCGATATCCTGTCACTGGCACGCAGCACAGGTGGCGAAACCGTCGAAGATATTCTCAGAACGAATATATTTGGCGTTGAGCTCGGGATCGAGATACCGCACCTAGGACTGTTTCCGGCTGCTTCTGTAAGTTGTGCCTCACGGATGGTTGCGTGTTTTGATGCTGATGTGAATAGCGGATCAACCATGACTGCAGACCCAAGTATGTCTTTATAATTCCAATACCTACCTACTCACCTAATCTAGTATATAATACATGGAAACTGGGAAGCTAATTCGCGAGCAGCGTTTTCTGGCGGTACTCGGTACGGGCTTTGGCAGTGGAAGTTATTGCAATGCGCGATATCGAACCAGGAGAAGAGATAGTACAAAGTTGTATGTCCGCTGATACATAGTCCCCTATCCACCGTTCATTTCCTACTATTTTAATGCTCGTGGGTCTAATGCTACTCTCTACATCAGATATGCCCTTGGGGCTGTCCTATGAAGAGCGCAAAGAAGAGTTGAAGAATTGGGGGTTCGCCTGTACATGTTCACTATGTGCTTCTTCTAAGAAGCAAAGAACAGCGTCAGATAAGAACCGAGAACGGTTACAGGATATCTATCACGAGCTTAACGACAGTGCTGCTGGGAAATCTAACCTAACGACAAACATGATCGAACAGCTTGTTGCAGAGTTAGAGTCCCTAGTAGCTACGGAGAAACTAGAGGCCCAGCTTCTCGTGCACTACAGCGCTGTTGCTAGAGCATACATGCGCATTGCCGAATTGGACTTAGCCAGGAGGTACGTGGAGCTGTGCGAAAACCTATGGGTACAGTATGCCGGCGAGGAAGACGATTATCTGGCAGGAATGCATCAACTACGGCACGAGCTTAACGAGCGGGAGAAGAAGGCCACCATCGACGGAAGACGTCAAAAAGTATGAAACAGATCGTTAGCGACTACAGGTACCTAGGTAGGTAGACTACTCGTTTCTGGTAGAAGCATTAATGTATGTAATTAGTTCAATTATCTATACCTACATCCAAATGAAACCGTAAGGTGCATAAGCTCTAATAATCTAAGACATGACTTGCGTATCCTATCGTACATCCATCCATGGTATCTTTGTTTCATGCAACAGTTCGTAAGGTAGCTATGAGTGATCGGGGTCTTTGGTTGCGTAATGCATCAATATTCCAACGCCAGACTCCAAACCATCTCGGCAAAAGCCGTACCTAGCGTTTACATACTCCTTGGCCGGGGGGTTCCGCTTTGTTCCTCTTTTCCTACTGGTGTTGGCCAGCTCTCTTTTCTTGGTAGTCGGTTAAACAGCGTGCGGTAAGAGTCATTAAAGCCCCAAAACGCCAAAAAACAGAGCTTCACTGGTTTCGTGTAGTACGGCTGCATGTACTAATATATTGCATGTAGCCGGTGCGTATTGGGCTCGTCGGAGAAACACGAAGCGTCGTATCAAGTAGTGCCGCAGATGGCTACTCAAGACTAATAATTCCATCATATGGACTGACTGACTAACTTCACTCTCCCGCTCAGTCTTCGAATCTCATCTCGAAACTACCTACCGAAAAGATCTCGAATTGTACTCTCTCCGGTTTTACACCGTATCGATGTAGGTGTTCGGACGCCTGCATCATGAATTTTTCGGGTCCGCATACGTAGTACTCGGATGAGCCGTTGCTCAGGCACAGGTCTTCGGATGTGAGAGAGAGGAAGTCGTTCTCAAAAGTCGAAGTATACGAAAGCACGTCGCTATCCGACAGCCTCGACTTGAAAAACTTAGTTCTCATATTCGGGTGCCTCTTGGCCATGTTCTCGACGTGCGCCTGGAAGGGGGCGTCGTGCCGGGACGCCTGGATCCACGACACTGGCCTGTTGATTCGCTTCTCCACAACGGTGTTCAGCATGGAGATCAGCGGGGCGACGCACACGCCGGCGGAAATGAGCACGAGGGGCATCGACGTGTCCAATTTCGTATTCAGGAAAAAGGAGCCTGACGGATGCGTCAGCTCGATCGTGTCGCCTTCGTGGAACTCGTCGATGAGCGAATTGGAGACAACGCCAGGCCTGCACGGCTGCACGCTGCCGATGCTGCTATCTGAAGCGCTGCTGGCTGCCGAGGATATTGTCATAATATCGTCTTGAGACTTGTTATTAAGGTAATCCCAGTTCGACCCCTGGTCTCTCTTAACGGTGATTCGGTAGTGGTCGTGGCTGGGTGCATCGCTTAGCGAGTACTGTCTGAGCTGGGCATACTTCATGCCGGGCACTGTGATTCTCAATGTGATGTACTGGCCCGGCATGAAGAGTGGTAAAGGCTTTCCGTCGACGGGCTTCAAAGTGAAAGAAACGATATTTCCCTCCACCGTCTCGTTCTTCTTTCTATATATCATAAATTTCCTCCAGCCCTGCCAGTCCTCAAACTCCCGATAAATGTGGGCTTCTCGGCCAGTCAACATCTTTGCCATGACCCAGTAAGCTTTCGTCCACGCCATTTTCACCTCGGGGGTCATGGCAGGGCCCAGGACGGCAGAGAAGGCGCGCAGTAGGTATTTCCCGACGATCTCATATTGTTCGGGCTGGATGTTTAGTGAGGCGTGTTTTTGGGCCACTCGTTCCAACTTCGGCGTCAGTTCGCTGATGTTGATGATGTTGGAGGCGAAGGCTAGAATAAGTGTCGTCAAGGCGCGCGGCTGTTTCCCCGTGTGCATATTCACCGTGTTGAAGTAATTATGAAGTTCGGGGTGATCGCGTAACATGGTCTTATAAAAGACGGTTGAAATGTGTTCACCATGTTGGCGTAGGGACGGAAGTGTATCCTTGACTAATTTTGATTCTTTGTAATTGAGAGCCATGGCGGCTAGTTGCTGTCCTAGGGTATTGTATTCCTTTTTCTTCTTCCTTTTCTTTTTTTCTCGAAGATAACAAGATCTCTTGTCAAGTGAACGGAAATAGGTAGAGATCTATAAGTAAGGGTAGAGGTGGGTTATGTCAAAGCAACACAGTGGCCGGAAAATAAAAAATTGACAACGCAATTTGCATTAGTTGAATATTGGTCCAATTATTCGAAGCACAGGTTTCAACCTGAGGCTCTTAAAACAGGTATCCAAGTTTCGTCACTCATAGGTTAGGTAGATAACGAATACGCTCCCCCAAGTCTTTAATACCTTGTTCATAACTTGCTTACCGCCTCGGACTCATACATAGTAAGGCGCTATATCCCGTTCCGCCTTTTGCGGAGTCATGCGTTAAGCTTCGCTAGCTTGATGTATATTGTAGAAAAATTTCTAGCGCATGGGATAGCGTGGTGAGATATGTCTCTACGGTCATCACCGATTCTATGCGATATTGGAAGGTTGAGAGGATAATAAGCAAACATTTCCTAAGGGTCGAAATCACGCGAGCAGCGCATTCTTTTGAGACAAAATGGCATGATATGACGGCATGTTCATGCGTAGTTGGGTAGATATCTCAGGCCTTCTCAGGCCAGATCCTTACATCGAACGATCCTCAGAACTCTTCTAGAATAAAGTAAAAATTTCCGGCTTTAGCGAGCACGCGCATTAATATCAGGGGTCCCTAGTTAAGCCATGTGCTAGATGTTCAGATCTTGAATTAGAGGTAGGTTCACCAACTCCTCAACAATCTCGTTTGCCCTATTTACGCCCTGATTCCTTCCGTCCATTTTTCTTGATATTTTCCTTTTCAGCTTTCGCTATGATATAGTTTGAACCTCTCCTGTGCATATGCAAAAATTGACCGAGAGCTAATAGAAGAAAAAATCGGTAAGTTTATAGATGGACCCGACGCACCGGCGCGGGTTTAGAAAACCGCTGGGGACCAATCATCGTACACTAATTCCTTACATGACCTCCTGAAGTTGTCCTAAAGTCCCTTGAGGTTCCATTTTGTGTACGAATTTCCATGATTCTTTAGCGATCTGCAAGCACTGGGGTTTTCGAAAATTGCATCTGTCCGACCTCAGATTGCTTTGCTCCGGATCCGATCTGGTATTCATTTCTAATTATGCATACTTACCTCTAACCTAGATGTAGGTGTACGGGTTTCCAGCCTGGTCAGCCTAATAATATCTGTGGAAGTTCACTACCTCTACCTCCCAAGGTAAATTAACTTCTTTGGGGACGCGAAAGTAGGTTTACCAAATTTTTACTTCATCTTTCATCTTTCTTGTACGTGTACGCCTTAACCTAGGTCCGAGGAAGATCCCGAGTTAAACGGATAAAATTTCCGTACCAGTTATCAACCAGTCAACTCCCCCAGGATGATCAATCACGTCCCGCAATCTCGTCGCTCCAGCCCACAGGCAACCTCTTTCGGGTAATCTCTTCGCCCATCGATTCGTAATTAATACACAGTATCCCCAAGCAGTGGAAAACCCCTACCCGATAATAGCAACTCATTAATACCTAGCTTATCTGCTGGTTAAAATTACTTGTTCATGGCAAAGACGTGTAACCAGCAATTCTTCAGTCGCTGCGCCTCCAAATCTATTCTCGGAATAGGTAATCGGGAAAAAAAAAATAACGGTAGCACTCAACCCCCGGTCTAAGATCTCAAAATCCAATCATACCCCTGTTGGAGCCTTACGTAGCAGTCCGTACTCAGGCATCTCAAGCATCTCCTTTTCCTTATCTTGGGCTACGTACTCTCCTCGGGTATCGTGTCTATGCAGCTACCAAAAAGTTTTCAAGATTACCAGCGATGCTCTCCACATGAAATTACCGATCCTCGCAGTCTCATCCATGCTGGCAGACTAGCCGACGGTATCAGAGATTGGCAAGTCCCAGCGAGATATCTCTTGGCATTCTCAACCGCTTCTTCAGCGGCGTCTTTGTGCGACTTGTAGAAGTGCCAATTTCAACTTTCGCACTATACAGCTAAGCACCCGGGACCTATGCTTGTAGAAACCCTGAAAGTGATCCGGTATTTCCGTGAAAGTGATGCTTCACTAGTTCATGTTAAGAGATGCCTACGGTATCTTTTTTACACGGTTTAAAGGCTGTTGTCGACAAAGCTGCTAGGAAAATCTTAGAATATTTACCAATGGCTTTAAGTCGGTCGCAAGATATTCGAAAACCTGGGGATGAGGGATGCCAGCAATTAAAAGTCTCATACTGGTACATTCTTGGAATTATAGAGATGGATGAGACTATGCACTACAAGGATCCGGGTAGATCTACAGTGACACTTAGAGAATATGAGGTTCATGCATGCTTACCAGGTTATACTACAGATTTCATCAAACAAGTCTTTCCTCACCTAGTACCAAAGACATACCGGTGACTTATTTGGATGACTACCTGGTATATTCGAATATCAAAATCAACTAATGCGTAATTAAGGTAGATAATGTCATTAGGTGTAAACACTGGATGCTAGCAAGTCCATGTAAGAGCAACTGAACGGATTTGTATATTGGATTTATCTTTAAGAAAGTTATAAGTCTCAATGCTGGATTTCAAAAAGGCCAATTCGCCGGGCAGTAAACCAGAAATAGAAAACGTACCTGTTGAAAATGGAACCTCTGTTTTAATGACACATAGTAGTGCCAGGGTTTGTTGAGTCCGAGCTACTGTCAAGGCTACGATGAAGCAAACTACCAAAAACGAAAGGGCAAACGTCATACCAAAGGAAGAAAATTATTAAGACTCATCTCCTAATCTAAAGAAATTAAAAGAATTATTTCTAAGGAGCTTTTCAGAGGCCTATCGTGATGTTCGTACTGCTAAGTTCTGGCCTACACTGGAGAACACCATACCTTAGATAAAATGTAAAGAGTTTTACAGTCATGGACCATTAGAACAAACAACAACAAAATGTTAAAAGAATATGAGAAAAAAATATCTCATGCTCATAGGGAACGAAAGTACTTAAGAAAAGGCTTGTCCAATGGGATATCGGGGTGGGTATCGTCACGATGTGACTCATGGATGAGGTTGGAAAAGGATTTATAGGTCAGAACATCGTGGATGCAACCAACAACGAGATACAAGTTACTCTCTGTCTCTCTCTCACAAAGCTTCATGGCGCAGTGGAAGCGCGCCGGGCTCATAACCCGGAGGACCTCCGATCGAAACGGAGTGAAGCTAGCAATTTATCATCTTTTGGTTTAGCGATTTTTTTTTCTTTTTTACTTTGGGTTCTTTTTGTCCAAGGCACACACACTTTAGTTTCGATAACGACTTTAGGCATCCCCACCGTGGTGGAGCTCGGGGGTTTTTTTTTTTCTCTCACTGTTTTTATCTCATACAATATGAACATCCCCTTCAATTGCACGTCTACGATTCTTGTTGGAACCTTGGAACTCATTCCAGGGTCCAGGCGGACTAATATAAGGGTATTGAACGGATTATATCAGGTACCTAAGTTTCTTTCCCAGCGACTTACTTCGTATCACCCTATTGAGAAATCTGCAATATTTTATTTCTCAGGTTTGGAATAAAGATATATGTATCCTACACTCTGTACCATACTAAGATGGAAAGCCTAGAATACACTTCCTATGCCTTTTTGCTCAGCCGACCTTGGACAATGTTTGTCCAACACACGACCTTCACATGTCAATCGTGCTATTGATGCCACAGGATCGAAAATCTCATCTGATGTCAACCCAATCTTGGACGGGAGTTCCCCCTCTAATGGCCGGACATGGCCAATAAACCGTCGTGTCAGTAGTAGCGAATCGGATAGTTCAGATACATGACCGTTACTTACCTGACAATTTGAGAACGTCATCTATCAGATTGCTCTCAGTGTCATTTGAATCAGTTTTGTCAACTTCAAATATATGTGCTCATCTCCATATTGTAGAATTACATTGTATTCCTATTCATCGTGACATGGTATAATGTAGCTAGCTATTCATCAGTGGCTATTATTACAGTATGCGTTTCCAGCCGAGCCCCGTGGCCCGGGCATAGGTAATAATCATATAGTATACTTTGTTATTAATTCCTTCGCCCCGAAGCTTCTCCTTGCTTGAACACACCTAGGTCGGTAATCTTCGTCATCGCGGGGGGTTCGATTGGAAATGTCCTAGATCATTCCACGTCATGGGGAAGTCACTGGAAGCTAAGGGATGAGGCGGCTCCTCTTCTTCAATCAGCGTACTGGTAAAGCTTTGCCAGTCGTCCGACGATAGGTTGAGTGGTGGTAGCAGCCCATCCCCCGTGTTAAACATAGGGAAGTCGATATTCATCGGTGATGTTGGCGTTGGTGCTAGTGGCTCTGGCGGTAACGCTTTGTCGGTAGTGATCGACGGTGCATATCTATGTTGTTGGGTTGGTTGCATAGGGAAGCTTTGGTATGCGTTTATCATGGGTTGTTGGTTGTTTGGCGCCATCGGTATAGCTAAGTTCAAATTCGGAATTTGAGCAGGAGCGGTCCGGCTGGAATCAGCGGACGGGGTTCGTCTGCCGTGTCGGCTTAATGCGGATGTAGATGCCGAACGTCGGGGGGCTGATGGAGCTCTTGGCATGACGGATATGTGCTTAGGTATAACGGGGGAAGAAGTCGAGCCCGAAGGCGACTGGAGAGTCCCTTGAGCGTCGGAAGTTGATCTTGGTCGGAAGACGATGTGGACGCAGTGGTACGCCATTTCGACGATGCGCTCCGCCGACTCCTGTGTTCCATCGAAAAACTCCAATAAGTCTTGCAGCTGCCCCGGGTTCTCGTTCTCGACGAAACCTTGAGCTCGTCCGGTCGACTCAGGACTCCAACTGAACAAGGGCTGGTGACCGTTGAACTTACTCTGCTTTCTCGCAATCAACGCTTTCCATGCTTCGTGAATAAGGTGCTGGTGCAATAGGCCGTAGATGACGTTGGAGTGCAGCCAGTCGGCCTTCGTGCTCCCGGCTTCGAAATGCGCGGCGACGTGGTCTATGTGCTTTTCGAACGTGCCGTACATTGCAGCGCAAAAGCCGCAGCCCCATGCCCTCCTCTTCCGTAGATGCTTAACTACGCTGTCTGCGTGTGGACAGGTCTTGCAGCCGTGTGCGGACTTGTGATGTTGGTTAAATGTGTTGGGTCCCCAGAAGCTTTGGTTGCAGTTAGGACAGGGGTATTTTCGTGATCGCTCGTGGAATTCTTCCTCGTGTCGTTTCCAGTCGAATTTTCGTTTGAATGTCTTATCGCAGGACGTGCACCAGAATTTCGCGTCCGTGGTCGTTAGGGCCGATGCCGACGATATAGAGCTCCGTATGGATGTGGCGGAGAAGACGCTGTCGCGGCTCGAAGAACTGGATCTAGATGACGAGACGGATAATCGCTGTCTTGGGGGTTGTTGGTTGAAGGAATTGATGTCTCTATAACTGAAGTTTGGCAGAGCTGAGACCATTAGTATTGACACCAGTTAACCGTTGGGGTAGTTCGTTACAACCGGAGGAGACGTCTTCGTACCTTCAGCTAGCATATTAGCTTGCTGGTGCTGCTGTTGTTGTTGTGGTTGTTGTGGCTGTTGTGGTTGCGGTTCCTCCTCTAATAAGGCGAGCAGGGCATCGCGACTGAGACCGGATTGCTTCAGAGCTTCAAGATGCTCACGCGCCTGCGCTAGCACCCTCGATGGATGATCCATTGTTATTTCTATTATTGATTGGCGTGGTTGATGTCGGTAATAATATTGTCAAAGCATATCCCAATGTAAATCAGTACCAATGCTAATGTTAAAGTTAATAGTTCAAATTAGGACTACGAAAGAAGGTTGTAGCCCAAGAGAATTAGCGAGTGATCAATGCTCAAGTCTAAGTTAGAAAAAAAAAAAGATGAGATGGTTTCGAAGAGTAACAAATCTGGAAACATGGAAATTTAGGTACGTTGGGTAGGTAGACTTGTACTGAAAGTAGGTAGCACACGCACGCATTTGGCTACGTTTCTGTGATATATTACCCCCAAAATAAGCACCCCCCCGTATTGCTCGTCATACTTGGTAGCCCGTAGTCTCGGGCATCACGATCCCATGCTGGTTGCTTATTGGTGAAGAGCTCTACAACTGACGTTCAGCGGTCGAATGAGCCTTGCTACTCCCTAGGCATTCTACATAGTAGCAGAGAATATGCGGCAATGGAGGAAAAGGACTGGAGGCCATTCGATGGTTGGCTCAACCTGAAACGAGTCGATCCCAGCCTACCTCCTCATTGTTTCGAAACACGCGCGATGGTGGGATGAAGCCGCCAATGAGAGATTAAATCAAGAGCGAGGGCGAACGAGGGCAAGCGAGGGGCGAGGATTGGATCAAGCCGGATCAACCGTGGATCCATTGACGATCCATGATCGGCCTAGGGCTTTTATTCTTGGCGGAGAACCATGCAGAAAATCTGTTTCAAGATTCCCGGGTCTTAGCTATTTATGATTGGTTTGTACCTTGGTCGGTCCCTTTTTATGGCTTGACCATAAGTCCCTTTTAAGAAATCTCCGTTGGATATTGAGCAAAAGATGGATATTTTTATATAGAAGCAAGTTCTTTCGTTCTATCTTAACATAAATGCTAGACTAGAGTTACCAAGTAACTAACTACCTGCCTTAGGTAGACTTTACCAACACGTTGTAAAATGATGAAAGATCCGCTTAAATATTTGACATTGGTTAGAGAATAAAAAGAAATAACTAACAGGAAGTTACAGGAGGTTTTGCAATGCTGTCCCTCTTAAAACCCGCGTATGAGATTGACGAGACTTGTATTAAAGAGGAGAGGTAAGCTACCTTTTATTTTACATAGTTACGAAGATACAAACCGGACTTCTAGGATTCAAATAAAAATCCTCCGGCAGCACAGACCAAGTTCCAAACGTTTACAAGGTAGTAATGTCGTCGCCACGTTAAGAATCCACGCCAGGGAGTATATTCCACGTGTTATTCACGTGACCATTCTATTTCAACATAACGTCTATCCAAGAAGTAGATTCTGACATCGAGACGGTTTTCTTTTGCGGCCGAACTCGTCGCTAAAGCTTGGTTGTGCGGACGAGAAGCCACCCAGGGGGTATTTAAGGCAACAATAGAGAGCTAAGTAGTTACATCTATGATAAAGTTTAAAGTATTCAATACGATATCCTCTGGGTTATTGGTGTACTAATAGTTTCTCGGCACAAGAGTTGAGGATTTTATGAAGATAAGAGAAACTTTCGAAGACAAGGTGATTCCTACTGTTATAACAGCTATTGTACTATTTTCAGCCTCCATATTATTTTGGATAGCGAGAAGCGACAGAGTCCGAATGGATGGAAACAGGGTTGCTATCTGGCTTTATGCTGCGATATTCTTGCGCCAGTAGCTTAAATGGTGCTGTTCTTGAAAATATGGAAATTCATCTTGTTCTACTAGAAACAAATCGATTTTAATGTGGTATCTAGCTATGAGCTTCAATGACGTTACTTTAGTAGTACCTCCGTTAGTATTATCAAAAATCTTTTCTGGTAGCATCTAAGATCATGCTTCCATTATGTCCAGGCCATCTTTCTGATTCATTCAATGATTCAAACACGGTAACGTTCCGACACTGTAAGTGGAACTTGTCCTTTGTAAATGTAGTAATCTCATTCGTTTACAAAGTACGAATTACCTTACATTAGGTAGGTACATGGGTACCTAGCTACTTGCAATATTCTGTGCACAGTTTGCTTAACGTTACTACAGTTACGTTATCTGGCAGTCAATTCCTTAAATAGGGCAACCACTTTTCATTCATTCTTCCTCTTGTATGGAACAATCCTGCCTTAGTTTTCTTCAACTTTAGCGGATTGCAATTGCAGCTATCGTCCAGCGAAAGTTCATCTTGCCACATTGAGAAACACCCGAAATTCCATTGTCCAGCTCAAGCTTCTGTACCTATCGACCATGAGCTCTCAGCTTTACAACAATTCTGGCAAGCCCGAGAAATTGATCTATGCGGTTGACCACGAGGACCCAGATTTCTGGTTTAAAGTTTTCCGGGCAGGGCTACCATTTATCCTAGCTTCAGGCAACTGCTGGAACGAAGGAATACCCAAAGTACGGGATCGTCCTACGAGAGTAACCCAGCCGCAGTCGAAAACAAGCATTCAATTTAACCTCATGGCACTGCCGACAGATATTTTTCTCGACATATATGATCTGGTAATGGAGCCGTACGAATTGAACGTTTACTTGGCCCCAAAGCTTCACGAAACCGGGCCGCCTAAGTACCACACACACATGATAATTCAAGAACCGCGGGCATGGGCATCGATGACCTTGCTGCAAGTCTCTCGGACAGTTCGAAACCTAACTATCGCACGCTACGGCCAACCTCACAAGAATTCACTTCCTTTCGATCCCATGGTAGATAAACTAGTCGTCTTGGGGACAGATCCTTTCTATGTCCTCTCGGAACTGGAGCCAATAGTGTCCATGGCAAAGCGTATTGGCCACAAACTCCAACGAAAGCTTGAGAGGAACATAATCAATCCTGCCAAGCTCTTATGCTACTATAGCAGATTACCCTCAGAAAACCCTCGTACTCGACTTACCCCGATCGGATCAGTATTGCTAGATCGCGTTCAACATATGGAAATCCGATTTTCTGGCTCAAACCATGATGTTATGTGGTGGGACTTGCTTCGGGGTTTGACCCTTTCGTTGCCGAATCTCAAGCATCTAAGAGCTGCGTTCTACGACCTCGACACCTGTCCAATCGAAGATGAACAGGAAGACGCACCGCCTGTCCATCACTATGCAATGCCATATTGGCGGTTTGTCCAAGGTATCCGTGAATACGAAGAATGGGAAGATAATCCCCGACTTTTCCCTCGATTGAAATCGTTTGAGATGTGGAAGACACGCATGTGCAGCCTAGAAATTGACGTACATTTGGACTGGCTCCTCTGCCGTTCCGAATAGCCATACAGGAATTGGGAGATAGGATAGTATAATTGGTATGGTATAAAGCTGTTCTAAGCAACAAGCAGCCCAATGAAGATACTATAATAGCATCCAACTAAAAGATTGATGTGTGGACGGTAATTGACCTGGAGACCCAAGGTTACCGATGGAATAATAAAAACTACCTACCTCCCTAGACAATTTATTCAATAAATTAATACCGTAAGCGATTGCTACATTCTAGATCTAAGTTTTAGTTTTCTGGAAATATGGCAAAGTGATGTCGGGTTATCTTTAGGTTAGCTAGATACCTAACTCCTAGCCCGTCTATCTATATTATGGCAAATGGCTTCAGCATATGATGGTGAACCTGGTACGCGTTCTCAAAAGGCGAAGTAGTTAATCCTCAACACCGGTTCAAATATTTTCATATTAAAGACTACCTGCTCTACTAGTGTCAAGTTCCTGAGTGTCTACCTAAGGTACCTGCTTAAGGGAATTAAAACCATATCACACAAAGATTGAAACCTAGGACTACCTAAGAGACCAAACTCTAAAGAGAGCTAACTACCCCTTAGTCAAAATTTATCCTCCAGAGCTCCCGATCACAACCTGCCGTGAAGTCGCTCCGCGTGTGCATCGTCAGGACGTTGTCGTTCACTAGAAGGTCGCCTTTGTTCCACGAGTGGTAGTACGCAACTCGACGATCGTGTAGCAAGCTAACGACCGCATCGCTAACCATTGAACCATCTAAGCCGTAGGCGGACGCGTTTTCGATCGTAACATTCGTCGCCTCAAATTTCGTTTTGGATTGCGGCCATGGTTCGTGGAAACGTATGCAGGGACGGCCAGTGACTGGGTGATCTACTACCATAGGCAGACCGTGGATAACGGCGGAGTCGAAGGAGGATGTTGACACGGTCCACGTCAGGGGGCGGAGCGAGGAGAAAGGCAGCTGTGGGGGAAGGTATTTGAATAGCAGCGTTGATGACGAGAACAGTGTAAATCCCGTATCCTTGGGTGATTCCGTCACAGCGGTGAAGAATTGGAATCTATGAGCTAAGCAGTTAGCACTAAAACTCTAAGTTACCTAAGATAGGGGTAAGGATGATTTTACCCAGGCGGCGTAGACACTACTACTTCACTACCATCCTCCTGCACCCTCTTCTCCGTTTTGAACAGCCCGTCGTAATGGAAAGGCATCCATTCGGAGGACAGGACATTGTTTAAGCCGCGCGTATCCGCCCCGCGGTCCTTAACTTCTAAGACGAGGCCGAACTTCCACCCCGTCGGCTCGCCGAGCTCTCCCGCTTTTTCCACGAAAAGATCCCGGCTTCTAGTTTGCGAAAAGCCGCGTAGCACGACAGGAGAGTTGCGCTGCGCCAAGGCGCGTACTTTAGGACCATCCACATCCCTTACGGACAGGGCGCCGCGCCCCGCGGCAGGTCGAATTAACACTCCAGCGGGATATAGTGGTTCGCAGGTAATGCCTCCTTTGTCGGTGGCCCAGGACATCAGGTCACTCTTCTCGCGGAAGTAACTAGGTCGGTTGTCTTCGTAGACGAGCTCGAAGGAGTCGTCAGCGTCGAATTCGGATCTGTGGCCTGTGATGGTAGTACCGTCGAGCCTGATCGCTATGCTGCAGTGCCACGGTGTTGTGAATGAGATATCTGTTGGCAAGAGGTTTACAGATAGTTTACTTTCTCCTGTTGAGGCATGGATCGAAAGCCTCAGCCGATCGGGGAACCTCTCACGTATGGCCCGAGCAAAGGCCTATAGGATAACGTTAGTTGTTTTTGTTCGTTGCTTTTGTTATAGACTGAGTGGGTATATGAGTGCGTGCTAATGACAAGGGGGAAATAAGTGAAGAACATACATCTCCTCGCGTGAGCATCTGCTTGGCAATGTACTCGACGCCCCTTTTGTATTTTGACTTGCTGCGGCCTTCACCAATCGGGTACACATTCTGAAGGTCGGTTTCTAGGAACTTGATATAGCCCCTATATGTCAAGCATGTGTCTTCATCCTCTGATATTCTGAGCGACACGTCATAGCCAGGTCTACTGAATTGCTGCAGTAGGGCGTGCCGGAAATTCGTTGCGTTCGCGACATCTAAGTGGCTGATGTCAGCATCGTTATGCATAAAAAGGGGTAACCATTTAGCTTCAAATGGGGCTTCAACTTCTTAACCCTAAGGTGCGTCTTAGAGTGACCAAAATTTGCTTACATCTAATTTCATCCAACTCATTGGGCACGTCAACGTTTACGATGTCCTTGAGACGACAGAATTCGATATGGCGGAACCCCTTTCTCTCCTTCAGCGCACGAAGAGCTTCGCCATATGCCCAGACGTCCTTATCTGGAACTCCTAGAAGGTCTTTACTTTGGTTAATATTGAATAGGAAGATCGAGGTTGAGGAGTTACATACCATTATAGACAAGCCCGTCTGAGACGATCATTAAACTCGCACCGGGTGGGTAAATATCGCCTACGGCAGCGCATAGGCCGTTCAGGTGTGCAAGCGCAAACTCTTCCGCCTTGTCAGGAAGATGCCCGAGGACTTTGGTGTGTCTGTTTGGTGACTTGAAGGGGAAAGCAGGGAGACACATAAGGATGGCCTGGCTGGCCGCAACCTTGGGGTATATCTGAGCCAGGAAGTTGACACCATCGTGGCTCTTATCTAATAAAACGTCACCTGCAAGTTTATATCGTAGGATGATACCCAAGATACGCGAAGAAGTTTCAAGATGAGCAGGTTTTATATCTCCCAGCTTATCAGCCAGAGCTGTTGGGAGTGCCAAGTCATCGGCAGTATCGAGCTTTAGAACAGACGGCATATTGAGAGTAGGATTCAACGACACTTTGATAGTCAGATATGGCCGAACCTGCGGACTTATGTTTATCTCTGCAGGATAATGCAGACGCTCTACATAGTACATATGAAGGATACATTGGGGCTTAATCCAGGGGATGTCTACCTAGGTATGGGTCATAGTGACGATACAGGAAGTTCTTCGACCCTTTAGCACAACTATCAAATAAAGAGCCGACTTGGCGATCATGCAAGACTACAAATTAACTAACTAAGCTTTATAATAGACCAATAACCAGTACTACTCTATAGTACGATTTTCCGGCAACACGGGTAAAGGAGACTTGTATTCAAGACATTCCGCTTCAATATATCGTTGGTCAGCACAATGTTTTCGCTTTAGTCACCCATTTCCACTCAAATTACCTCAACATGTGGCATGATATGAAGCCATTTGCAAAAATGAAAAAAAATGGCCCTCCTTCCTAAAGAGGATTAATGAGTCCCATCCGAGCGGGAAGGTAACTTTACCTCGCATCATCTCCGCAACGATGCATGATATACCGAGTCAAGAGAGAGCCTATATCAATACTGAAGTCCGGGGTTCTCGTATAGACTAGCCCATAGGTCGGCATTCTTTCCGTGTCCGGATATAACATTCGTTATTCAGGGGGAGACTAACGCCGTAAAAGCTAGAGACTTGGCAGTGATACACCTTCGGTCTCATATTCGAAGATAATTCGTATTTGGAAATTTCCCCATTTGGAAACTCACTTACAAATGGAACTTCGACCAATTCCACGCCATTCCCAGCAACCGCTTTATTAGCGTTCGCATATCAGCGTAACACAAGAGCGACCTTTTGAACCGCTACCCTGTTAAGATATTGATACAATGGCAAAGAACGAGCCAAATTCGGAGACCGAGGAAGAGGTTGATTTGGCGATTATTGGAGGTTTGCTAACGAATTCGACTTTTTGCGCTGCTCAAGAGCTAATGTTGGGATAAGGCGGACCGACTGGACTCCTCTCGGCACTTCTCGCAACCCGTCTAGGCCTGTCCGTAAGGGTCATAGGTGCGTTATGACTAAATCCCAATCTTTTGCTTTCTAATGATGCCTTAGACGCCAAATCTGGGCCATTGGAGGTGGGACGAGCGGACGCCCTGAATGCACGCACGCAACAATATCTCGAAGTAGTAGAGATCCTTAATAAACTGCTCCCGCTGGGAATCAAATGCAATAGTAAGTCAAGTCGATTCTTAGCAGTCCTTGATAGCTTACGGTGTAATATAGCTAGTTCGACATTCTCAGATGGCAACTTTAAATCTCGTCAAAGCCATTGGTGGACATCGCTTGAGCACTGTGCTCATCCCAACTTTTTGATGATCGGCCAGTCGGTGGTAGAGCAAATACTGAAGGATGAGCTTGATTCGCCTGTATATTACCAGGAGAAAGTTGTCTCAATATCCGAGAATAAGGATGGCGTTATACTGAATACGGACCGCGGACGAAGAGTCAGGAGCAAATATGCAATCGCCGCCGATGGTGCGCGCTCGACTGTCCGCCAGGCGCTGAATATCAGCTTTACCGGAACAAAGCCTGAGATGGTATGGGCGGTGCTTGATACGTTCATCGATACCGACTTCCCTCTATGCTCAGAAATCATTACGTTCCAACTCAGGGGTCAGTCCCGCGTATCGTGGATCCCTCGTGAGCGAGGCATGGCAAGGTTTTATGTTCTCCTTGATGGCGAAATCACGCAGACCAGGGCGCAAGACTCAATTAGGGAACATATGGCTCCGCATAGGATTGATTTCGTAAAGACAGAGTGGTTTTCGACTTTTGATGGTAGGTAAATTCATCATGGGCGATTTTGTTTTGCCATGTGATTCTACGGTTCAGCTAGAGTGTCCAACTAATGCTTTCTCCCTGGTCTTTAGTCAAAGAGCGTATCGCTTCCACATTTGTCTCGAACCGAGGAACTGGTCGTATTATCTTGGCAGGGGATGCGGCTCATGTTCATTCCGTGAACGGTGGGCAAGGTCTTAATACCGGCATTGCAGATGCATTCAGTCTTGGCTGGCGACTCGCAACCGTAATCAAGAGCGACCATTTGGCCCCAGGTGCGGCGGCAAAATTGATACGCAGCTATGATGCTGAGCGCCGTGCAGTAGCACAGGAAGTCATTGATGTTGCAGCTACTTTAGTCCGAGATACAGCTCATACAGCGAAGCAATACGTCTCGACGATTGAGAAGAATGCGGGATATATTACTGGTAAGTACTTTTAATAATTTATGGCATTTCTCAATAGTGGGAATTTGCTAAGATTTGTCTAGGAATGGGGGTTTCTTATGACGGGATTGGATCTGAATTAATCGAGGACTCGGAGCAAAGTATATGGAAAGCCGGTAAGAGATGTCCAGACATCCAACTTGTCCGCGATGGAACCAATGAAATGATACGGCTGTACTCGATTGCCTTGTACGGAAATTATCTGGTTCTTTTCGTAGGGGGATCTGAGGTTGTTCAGTCGTTCAGGGATATCTGCACATATCTCATCCTACGGACTGGTACTTCAGAACAAACACCCACGGATGGTTATAATAACGGATCTCAAGATGAAGTGCGCATCTTCTCTTCGGACGCCGTTACTATCGACGATAACTTCACTGTGGTAGTAAGGCCGGATATGTATATAGGTTATGTTGGGAAGGGAGACGGATGGAAACAATACCTGGGCCAGTTATATGTCACATAACTAGAGTCTAGAAGTGGTGCATAGAATCAGCTTAGCTCGGATATAAGGTAACTGAGTGGAATAATTAAGTGCAAATAGAGTCTTGGAAGGTTGCCATTGATTTGATATTACGAATGTTTTACGAATGTTTTATTGAAGGATGTTGGTTTAGGTACCTCAGGTGCCTTTGGCGCTGTACGAAATACCTAGTGTGTATTTTACAATCACTAAAAGGGACGGGATTGCGATAACGATAGGATTGGCTGGGCTGCTGGTGAAGTGGTCCGAGCGCGTTTCTTCCCAGCCGAACCGAGGCAACTGTAAGAAGAATAGGAACATTGAAGAATGGGAAATAACGACGCGATAGAACCCGGGGGAGCCTAACAGCCAGACAGCCTAACAGTTCATACGTGTAGTTGCTTTCGCCTTTCCCACAATTATTACTTGCCTCATTACAACTACGAACTGCTATTACGACATACGACAATTCCCAATCACCATTCTATCTACCATCTACCTTAGACCTACCTAGGTACCACTCTACTGTATCTAGTCGAATCAATTGCGCAGTTAAAAATTACATCTTCATTCATTTGTCTATTTCTTCCTTCTTCCCAGCTTCTAATTCCGCTTCTATTCCTCTTCCAATCCCTCTTCTAATTCCCATGCCTTAATTCAAATCTGACCCCCATCTTTATACAACCTAAGGTTAGGTACCTAAATAATAATATACCCCCAATCATGTCGCGATCCATCGATCATCTTAGAGGGGGCCCATCACGACCGCCAGCCAACCTCCAGCAACCAACCCAAACCAAGTTCTCGTCACCTCCGAAATGGATTAATATGTACGGCGACTTTATTACAAAAAATGCCCACCAAGTCTCTCAGATAGAGAGTGCGCTACGATCCCTGACCTATATTATACCCGGTCGGTTTCGCGACGCTGAGATCGCCTCCGAGACCTTGCACTCAGGGATCCAGTTGTTATCCCTCTATCATGATGCTGTTCTTCGCGGCGCTGTCACCAAGATTCCCGCCCTGGCTTCCAAAATACCAAACCCACATACCCGCTACACTAGATTCTGGACAGCGAAGAGCAAGCTATATCGGAGAATAGCTCTGTTGCTACAGGTTGTTCAGTATACCGAGCTGTTATGGGAGATGGCTGCGAAGCGTAAGGGGGAAAAGGTTCGCTGGCGTGTTATTATCCTCATAGAAGTTATCAAAGCCGTCTGTCGCCTATTATTAATGCGAGTTACCAATTCGAGGCCGCTTGTCACGCCAGCGCTACCCGAACGGGACCCTATTCCCCCGGAAGTAAACGAAGAAGACGAAGCCACGCTGAAGGAGCTAATGGGCGAGGACACATTCTCCGAAGATATGCATAGGTCGACAAAGGGCGCTGACGACAAAGAATGGACGATGCCGCGAACCGGAACTACTCTTCCAAGTTTGCCAAATCCTAGCGACATCAGCTCTTACTTAATGAGTCGCGTCTTAACGGCAGATGACATCAAACCCGCAGCAAAACTTCTAAACACACTTTCGCGTTCTGGACAAACTGCCGAGATATTACACATTCTCGCTCCTTTGGTATTCGCCATTTCGCTGTCGAGATACAAAGATAAGAGAGCTTGGACACCTTGGATACTCGGATTTGGCATGGAATACGCAGCACGGCAGCTACGTGACAGGAGTCTACGCAGCACTGCCTTGGAGAACGAAGAATGGGGTAAGAGGTATTGGGCAGCTGGTTGGTGGATTATGAGGGGTGCATTCTACGAGCATTGCACAAAGGGACTAATAGCTGGAGTGCGTCGTCGCATGCCTAGTCTGGTCGCTGGTATACTGGAAGATTACGAGTATCTGTGGGATAACTATTACTTCAGCACCAGCCCTTGATGGGTATGGTCAAGAGCGTTAACACTACCTGGAAACCCGCAGTTGTGCGGTGTGTGGTGTGCCGTATTCTCTGGGATCCTTGGGCCTATACCGGACTTATCTTTTTCGACATCTGAGAATTGTGTACCAGGTTTCCAAATTGCCACTTCACGCGACGAGACCGGCTCCGTCCATAATCTAAGCTGGGCCAATTATTTTCTTGCATTCTTGACTAATGGATACCTATAGCGAGGGTTTCAATCCCAGCCCCTTTTTGGAAAGGCAGCTTCCAATCATATTACTACCTCAGGGATGCAGGGCCTCCACGATCTTATAATTCGTTCTCTCTTTATAATCGACATACCGCAGATTAACTATCGCACACCAATCGATATCTCGCGATAAAACAGTACGCCGATGGCTGCTTAACAAAGCATTATGGTATACACAGGTTATGATCGCTTTAGGCATAAGGAGCAAGTTGTAAGAGTAGTAGCAGAGGCCATATTTACGTACCTAACCTACCTAGATACCCTAGATCATGTCAAAACGCAATAGAATTGCTGATGAAACCTTGATGCGCATTAGAAAGCCGCCAGTGCAGTGGGAAATCGCTACATCACAACATCGTGGGGATATAGAGCTACCTAGGCTAGAACAAAGTGAAAAGGCCCCCTCGTCATGAATATCAGCTTTGGTTTCCTTCTCCCAGCAAATTCTTCTCCAACGTCAAAGCGCATTTCTTCGATCTTTGTGCGAAGGCCACAATTCTCATAAAGTCGTCGGGCTACCGGGGTACCCTCGACAACAACCTATGGACTTAGGATTAATAGGCGTCTAAGCACTCAAGAAAAAAATGTGATATACGCGGTAATTCTAAGGTTGTTTTACCTTAGGTACGCCTCATTCGAGGAGGTATCGAAAAAAAAAAAAAAAGAGGAACAGTAGACTTACTTGAAGCTCCTGCTCAATAGCAGCTTTGGTCCCCCATTTGACCAGAGCCGTGCCCGCACCTAAGCGCTGGTAATCCGGATGGACTGTCAACAGTTCAAGTACTACATTAAATGCATAAGTGATGTTAGAAATACAAGTTTACCACTATATTATGAACCTGTCTAAGGTACGTCTAGGCACGTGTAGTTACCACTTACCATACACTCCTTTTCCACCAGAGTCCTCGATCGCCTTCGATCGCGGAACAACGTAATCTCTCCACAAGCGCGTCATAAACTCACGATCAGCTTCGTCTGGCCAAACCTCCTCAACATTCTCTACCTTGGCAAGCTCTGCCGGCGGGGCTTCTTTCATGAGCGTCCAGACCGCAAGGCCGATGATGGTCTGTTGGCTCCCTTCGTCACATGCGGTAGTAGCAATAGTTGCTTTTAAGAACGTGGAAGCCTCGGAGCTATGCTTCCACTCCGTCAGACGCTTGGAGCCCTGCGCCTGGCCGGAGGGCGTGTCGTGGTTCGGGAAGTATATGTCTACGAATGGCGCGTCGTGGCCGAATGACTTGGACAGAACTTGGAACGAGATGGGTATCTCTTCGTCGGAAAGGGGAGAGATGCTTACTGTGTTTATGGCCGCCATCTTTAAAGTTAGGTCATCTAGATAGCATGAATGTAGGAATAAGGAAATGAGAAGACAGACGGGTTGTATGTGCTTTTCGCTACACGGAAGCAGAAGCGGGGAAGACAACCCGCAGCCAACAGCCAGCGTCAATCCATCCTTCTTAGCTGTAATACGAAGTGCCATATAGACTGTAATAGCAATTGTGCTAATAAGAAATACACTTTCGGCTCAGCGGTTTGTATCTCACACGAAGCTTAACAGTGCACCAACATTCACAGTATTTAAAGACATCACATATAATTATCTCTATTTATGTACTTCCCTAACTTACCTGATTTATAGTTTCTAGTACTCTCTTGACCGTGTGTGCTTGATGTGATTCGAACAAAGCTTTTCCTCGAAAACATAAAGGGAGCCTACAGACCAAATAGATGCCACCAAATATTTCAGACTTATGATCATATCTACTTCCAAGGCTTCATCCCGCTCAGGTACCGTGGCATCCCTCTGTAATACAACCTCCGATAATCTCACTCAAACCCCTATTTCTTCCTTCGCATCAGAGGCCTTTTTGCCGGCATTCTCGGCCTCAAGCTGCTTTTCGACATTGTTCTGGACCTTCTCCTGGACCTCTTTGCCTTCGAAGATGAACGAAAGCTCTTCCAGAGTTCTGTTATATGTCTCCGGGAACAAGAAGTAAACTGTCGCAACTTCGAATAGAATCCACACACAGTAAACCAAGTAGTATTTCCATCCGATACGGTCCAGTGCTATTGGGTTCACGTATGTGTTGAAAAACACTGCGAACCTAACCGTTAGCTGCTCGACTGCGATCCCCTTGGCTCGCTGCTGATAAGGAAATATCTCAACCACTATATCGCTTTGGTTAGCTACCCCCCAGATGAGTGTCGCCGAACTGTAATAGTCAAACACCTACAGTAAGTATATGCCAGCGCATTCCAGCCCAAATTGTAGAACTGGCAAGCATGTCAGCCGTGGTAGGTCTCCTAAGAAATAAGGGTCAACTTACAGGGGAGTATGCGAAAATGAACACCAGGACTGCTATTGCAGCAGATGGTGTATTCTCGATAGCAAATCGTGCCGAAGCTACTGTCCATACGCTATAAACGATACATGTACCGATAGTACAGATCAAGAACCCAACGCGACGGCGAAGTAGCGGTGCGACAATGGCTACAGGGAGGGCATTAATCAAGCCCCAGCATGTATTGCTCAAGATAACCTTCTGAACAGTGCGATTGTCCGTGATTCCGACAAGGTTTAGAATTTTCTTCACTAGGAAATGTTAGCAAGGGGCCATATATGGTTCCGACCAAATTGATCCCTCTCAATAGCGAGAAGATGTCTATTTCTTATCGAATAGTTTCACTTACTATGCGACTGTTAGTATACTCGATGAGAAATAGGGCGTTTATTTAACTGAAAGGGAGGCTACACAAACCTGTAAAAGCTAAGAAGCCCATTGCCACTCCATTGAGTAAAGAATCCGACTATTGCGGCAAGAAGAAACCTTCGTCTCATCGGAGGGTCGCTGCAGCATGAAGTTAGCCTATGCGCGATATGAGCGCCGAGTGGCCACGTACCGAAGAACATCGGCCCATACGAATGCCTTGGCTGTCTCCTTCTCTTGGGCGAGAGTACTTTGGATCTGGGCGAATTCGAGACGAATGAACTCTTCACCATTGTCCCCTTCACCGTGGTACTTCTGAAGAATCGCATACGCTTCATCACCTCGGTCAACCGAAATCAAATACCGAGGGCTTTCAGGACAGAACGGCAGAGAAAGTATTTGACACAAACTCGGAACCAGCTGCAGGATAGACGGTAACCTCCAAGACCATGTGCTAGTCATTTGAAAAGTCCCATAGGTGACACCAGCCGCGACAATAGCTCCCACGTGCCAAGAAGCAGTGAAAAGGGAGGTCATAGTCGGTCTCTCTTTTTCGTAGGCCAGCTCTCCTATGAGCGCGGAAGCATTTACGATGGCCAGGGGAACACCAAATCCAAGCACCCAGCGAGATGCGAGAAACATATCGCTATTCTGTGCCCCCGCCTATAACAGTAATCATTAGTATCCAGACCTACTTTTGCGTTTCCGGAAAGGTAAAGTGAAACTAGGAAAAGGTCTAGAAAAGTACCTGGAGTCCAGCACCTAAGCATAGGACTAGCGATCCTAACATTATGGACCAACGGCGCCCAAGATACTGGGAAATGCTGGGGATGAAAGGAACTGCCATAAGCGCTCCGAGGGAATACATAGCATTCAAGAGGCCGAGCCGACCTTCTGTAGGATTGCCGAAGTCTGGACCTTGTCAGTCAAATGTTTTACAGGGCGAGTAGACAACAATCTATGTGGGAAACCCATACATGTAACCCAAGCCTCTACAGCTTGGAGAGAGTTCATCATAGACGAGTCAAATCCCGATGTCCATTCAACTCCCATCGCGGCCGGGATCAATATCTATCCATCAAAGTTAGAAAATAATTTGAATTGCGTGAAATCGAGCAGGTATAGGTGACCACGAGACGCCGAACCATTTGACGAAGGTACTAACAAGATAAAGCGCTCTTAAGTTTGGCTTCTGATACCATTTCTTGGTATCTGCCTTGGCGATATTGGCCAAACGAGGGTCAACATGGTGTTCTTTCGTCCCAATAATCGCCATTGTGCCAAGACTTCAACTCGAAAGACCGTAGCAGAGTGAGAAAAGCTATCCAAGGGGGGGTTGCCATACGAGCGCATTGAAACTCCCTTATAATAAATCGATTGAATAAGCACCTACGCCGCTTGACAATCTGGGAACGGGGACCAAGCCTCCGCATCTGATCTCAACGAACACTATTATTTCCCCGCCTATCATCTATAGGAACCCAGGCGAGGCGATTCCTCAATTACGCGAAAGCGGAAGAATCGTATACAACTTAGGCGAGTCTACAACGGGGCGCCGTATATTCGCATATGGTAAATTTAAAAGGGCCGTAATAACAGGATATAATTTGAGAAATGCCGCCTTGCTATATATCTATAATCCGGGCCGACTGATGGGATTTGGAGTAACCTGGGGATTCAAAACCATATAGCTAGAGGGTCTTCATTGTCGACTTGACGATTATGTAACTTTCTCAAGTTGTATGATAAACAGCATGATTGTAAGAGGTATTAAAGTGAAGTTTGGATTATGCTACCAAGCTTCGTTTATGAGATGATGGGATATCTACCTGCCTCTTACAGACACCTAAAATATATATATTCTTCACCGACTTCAGAGGCTCTCTATGTTCAGTGGCACATTAGGAGATATGGGTTTTTATGGAAACTGTCTCTATTATTACTCGTTATTGTAAAGTCATAGTACAGCCTCTGTCAAGTGTTTTCTATCAGTGGCCTCTATGAAACCAAGCGATCTATTAGTTATGGACAAGATGATTCCATACAATGTAAAGAATAATGTTGGCCATCCAAGTTATACTACACAAAAAATATATCGTGAAACTTTTATCTTAAAAACGTGGTTTTTTGCTAACACCAAAAATCATTTTGTCAGGGGTTAGCCCGTGATGGGTGTCGTATATAGAGTGAGTGTCAGAGGGAAGGCCAGTATGCAGTATATTGGTGATATCTAGTAACGCCTGGCCTTCTAACCTCCTACGAGGGAGCTGGCTCCCCTTTATATAAGCGATAAATTCCCTGTAGTATCCACCTATCTACATATCCCTGACACCTTTCCTTCAAGAGAATCATAACCACAGCTAAACCATCCACCCGTTCGAATTCAGGTACATACCTATCAAGGATTTTCCTTTGGGAAGAGGACAATGGTATTTCGGAATTACTTACAGACCGTCTGACAGCTGGGTGATATGACGGACAGCGTAGCATCGCGTAAAGTAGGTAAAAGGTTCCAACAGATTGGGGGTTAGAAATGAGTTGCCTTGGCTGTTAAAAGGAACTTCGACTCCAAGTAAAACCCCCATTACAGGTACTTACCAGGTACCTAGGTAGGTACTTAGGTAGCTAATTTCTCCTCGCCCATGGTCCGTCCTGCTATATCATATAGTCCCTGATGGCAGATCCCATGAACCTGACTGGAACAGCAGTTGGTATAGTGTCTCTTTGCCTCCAGCTTTCAGGATATTGACGTTTTATATATGGGAATAACCCGCAATCATGCGTCTAGACATTTCTATCGAGGACTGTCAATAGCGTCTTGGCCATGGTGCGAGTATCACTAATTTGATGCCTTGAGTCAACCAGACACCTCGGACGATATTGACGCTCGTACACAAATAATTCCCCAAGACAACAGTGGTTCATGATCTTGTGTACCTACCTAATCCAAGGAGACTTAGAACGGTAAAGTTTTCATATACCTTAGATAGACTTTCTGTCAGCACGATGTTTTATTCGTCTGTTGGGAGATGAGCTCCGACTAAGTACTTTTACCCCAATTAACTGATTTTACTGTTCGTACGACTTCTTTCTTAGGTTTATAACGCGGGGCGAATGTCAGGATAGGGGCATCTTAATGTGCTCCGATACCGGTGAATACTCATGAAAAAAAGGAATAAAAAGAATGATTTACACGATAAGAAGCTAATAATATTAGTCACAATAAGCGCCCGGGATGCCCTGTTTTTTATCAATTTATTACGGAGCCACAAGAGATATTATGTTATATAGTATACCGCGACACCGTGCTCGAAACAAACCACCAAAAAGAAAAAAAATTAATAAGTATTAACTCCAAAAGTTCACATGAGCAAAATCAGGCTCCGTGAAGAGGGAGACCTGCCTGGTTGCGTTCGAGCTCTCGAGGCCGTCTACGCAAAAAACGGTTACCCGGTATACGGTGTGGGCAATGCGACAGGATTTCTACAGACGGACGATACGGCCTGGGTAGCCGAGGACGTTAACGGCACGATCACGGGCCATATCGCCCTTTATAAGGCTGATCCATCCGACGTATCCGCATCATTATGGTGGGAATTACATCCTGAAGACAAGCAACCTATCGCGGTACTAGGAAGACTATTCGTACATCCCGAAGCTCGCGGCGGCGGGATAGCAAACAAGTTGATGCAAACCGCTCTTGATGAAGCGCGGCGTCGGGGTCAAAGATTGGTCATGTTTGCGTTAGCCAATGTGCCGGACGCTATACGGATGTACCATCGGTTAGGCTGGGAACGCTTCGGGACTACGGTTTTCAGGTGGAAGGGGGACGGAGGTGAGGAGCGAGAGATGGATGCCCAGTGTTTTGCGAGTCCTGTCCTGGCCGATGAGAAGAAGTAAAAAAGCTTTGGGATCTCGCTTTGAGTCGGGTCAAACAATATCATACAAATATACCTCAGATCAGATAGACACGTGAATCTCTAACATCCTTTTCCGTTAGCGTATATCATATTCTTGTACCAACCTTAACAGAACCATAGTATATACTATATACAACCTAATCGCTGCTACTGGGAGAAGGATTAGGCATGTACCTAGTAGAGGATGAGCCTATCGACGATTAGTTATATCAAGATGATGATGTACTGCATAACGACCCACCATCGGCGATCTCCCGGACATAGTTACCCCTCATCTTGTCCAATTCGAGTATTAAAGGGCCTTCTAATCCCTCAAGACTATCCCTCTAGACTGCTATACCAATTTCTCAATCTTTCTGTCATCGACGTTTATAGTTTCTATTAAGCTCAAGCTCAAAGTTTTTTCCCATCGCCGACGCATCACCTCATCGGGTATGGTCTTAGAAGCACTTGCCATCATGGAGCTATCTCAGTATCAAGGTAACGTTGGACAAACGCATGGCGGGTGCTCGATGTTCTTCGACCTAGCTACTACCGCTTACTCCTCGGATATTTGGGGAGAAAGCAGGTAAACTGGGGAGAAGACGTCAGGGCTGAGATTACACCGTTCAAACTTGATCTGGATAATTCCAGCGAAAGGACATGCTGCTTCCCCTTCCCCCCTGTTAAGCCCGAACAGCTTCGTATTAACTATAGCAGTTTTTGATCCACCATGTCTACCGACAAGATCACGTTCTTGACCAACTGGCAAGCATGGAGCGATCCGCCGTAGAAGAGCATTTGCTAACGTCAGTAGGCACGCTACGCCGTATCACGCACCTCTTTATCTCGCTCAAGCCAAGGGGTATTTTAAGGACGAGGGTATTAAGGTTGCTCTTCTGGAGCCCAACGACCCCAGCGTATGGTCTAACAATGCTCTATTATGTGTGAATCTAGCGCTTATAACCTCGTAGGATGTCACCGAAATCATCGGCACCGGAAAGGTCGATCTCGGCTTCAAGGCCATGATCCACACTCTTGCCGTAAGATGCCATCGAATAGATGATCATTTACCTTGGGTCAAGCTAAGAATCGATGTATAGGCGAAAGCGCGTAACTTCCCAGTCCAGTCCATCGGATCGCTACTCGATGAACCCTTCACGGGTGTCGTGTACCTTAAGGACAGCGGTATTACCCCTGACTTCACGACACTCAAGGGAAAGCGAATCGGCTACGTAGGCGAATTTGGAAAGGTATGCGCATGTCCAGTTCGCTTCTATAGATCGCATATTAACTAGCCCTACAGATTCAGATTGATGAGCTTACCTCTCACTACGGCATGACTCCCGCCGACTACACTGCTGTTCGCTGTGGTATGAATGTCTCTAAGGCCATCATTAAAGGAGAGATCGACGCCGGTATCGGTCTTGAAAATGTGCAGATGGTCGAGCTCGAGGAGTGGCTCGCTTCTCAAGGCCGTCCCAAAAGCGACGTTCAGATGTTGCGCATTGACCAGCTCGCCGAGCTAGGCTGCTGCTGCTTCTGTACCATCTTGTACATTGGCAACGAGAAGTTCCTGTCTGAAAACCCGGAGAAGGTCCGTGCTTTCATGCGCGCAGTCAAGCGCGCGACCGACTTCGTCATCGCAGAGCCGGAGAAGGCGTACGCCGAGTACGTCGAGTTCAAGCCCATCATGGGCACCGAGCTTAACCGCAAGATCTTCGAGCGCTCGTTTGCGTACTTCTCCCGGGACCTCAAGAACGTCCGTCGGGACTGGGAGAAGGTCACCAAGTACGGCAAGCGTCTCGGTGTCCTGGACGAGAGCTTCCAGCCCAACTACACCAACTCGTTCCTGTCCTGGAACCTCGACGGCGAGTCTTCCGACCCGACCGGAGATCAGAAGCGCATGGCAGAACTGCAGAAGGACGTCGCCTCCAAGGGTGGTTTCCATCGTTTGGAGATCAACAGCACCCCTATTCAGGCTTAAGAAGGCTTTGTCATACTGCAGAGATGATAGTGTATCTCCTAGGAAAATGGGTTTTCGAGTGGATTCGCTCTTTAACCTGAAAGACTTAAGACACTCCTTGAAAAATATGCCGTGAGCCAGATAGTTTAGGTACTCTCCATACCTACACAAATAGTAACTAACATAAATTGGGTGAATTATTTTGATTTCGATTGATGTGACCTGTTATTCTTTATACTCTTTAAGTATTGCCGTGAATTGCTTTTCGTGTAAAGCGACTTGTAAAAGATTCCAATGATAATGTCTTGCCGTACGCGAGTTTGGAGCTCTTGGCGATGGGCAAATCGAACGGATCAGGATATGAGACTGCCGAGAACCGCAGAGAAAAAAACAAAACAAAACACAAGAAAAAGAAAAAGAAAGAAACTCATTGGCTCTTCCAGCTGGTTCATCCCCGTGTCATAAACATTGCCAAGCTCCCCTCCAAGATTGACCTGTGTCAAATCAATAAATACTATACGTTCACTCCACGGCAACAAGGGCAATAAATGCTGATCATTGATAAATACACCACCACCGCACACCTCGGTAAGGCCATAAAAACTGAAGCGATCAAGTTCAGAACTAATCCCATTCCGGTCGCGTTTTCACAACATCATCGTCATCAAAACCCCCCATCCACCCATCAACTTCAGAATCTCCCTTCGCTTTTTTTCTCTCTCTTTTTTGTTGGCGCGCTAGATTTGAGTCAATCCAAACCCAAGGCCCGCGGAAAGAAAACTATGGCTGATTGCGGACTTCCCTTCCCCGTCGTCTGCATCCAATGCGGTCGTGGCGTCGGCCTTTGCGGCATCAAGATCATCGGTAAGTTGACCCGCTATACGTCCTCCCCCGGGATTCCCGATGCCACCCCTCCCGGATCGATACATCTGTAAACAATTAAATCAACTAAACTATATATTTATGTCATGTAAATATAGGCCCGACCATTGGCTTCTGTGTCGCCGTATGCGCCGCAGTTATCTGCTGGCCTATTGCCCTTCTGTTTTGCTGCTTCACCGAGACGGGCAAGAAGTGAGTATAATTATTGTTCGTATTGCTTGTGGCACAGTTTAGCTCACAAGCAGCATCTAGATGGTTTTGGAAACCGTGCGACATCAACGCTCAAGTGTCAGACCTATTTCCTATCTGACCGGGGAAGAGCCATTAGGCCTCGAACGATTGATTTAGTCATGACACGAGCCGACGAGCCGACGGATATTAGACGGCTTTTGATGGATTAAGAGAAACGTAATCAGTGAAGCCACTAGCAAGCATGGAGCCATAGGGTTGAAGTCCTTGAAATAATAGTACAGCCTTCTCAAGTCTATTTCAATGTCATAAGCTAGATACCAGGTACCTATCTAATTAATTTAAGGCTAACTATTGTTGTACGCCTTCATCTGTAAACTTAGGTATCTATCTATCTTACCCTAGGGAGCATTGCGCAGAATGAGCATGACCGATATTATAACGCCAAGTATAGAGTTAGGTACTCATATAGTTATTTCGATGATCAGTAAAATACCTATCCATTTACCTTAGGTAGTTTGATGAGCTTATGATGCTACGAGATATGCAATATTTATAGATGATGTTGCTAGAGAAAGACGCAGTGTACTATGCTCCCTTAACCTCATCCGCTTGTTTGGCCCACCACACGTCTCCTATATTCATTAGGTACCGAGGTAGCCTATATGTCTTCCTAAGCTAAGCTCTACACTTATACTTATCATTAGCCAGAATATTGCAGGTGTCTTAAGACACGAGTACGTCCTCGAAGTCGACTTAGCAAAGATGTTAGGCTTCTTTTTACCAGGTAGGTAACTATCGGAACAGAGCAACCCACGTGCTTAAATAGAGGTACCGAAGGCGAAAGTTACACGATGGAGACTATACGTCTCCCCAAGTACGAAGACACGCAATACATATGTTTCAATGTCAGTTTACATTCGTTGAACATCACTTGTACTTACCTTCGTCTTAACTCACCGGTCAACTCAGCCGTATAATAGAACCTCGCCCGAGACTATTCGCGTGCTCGTATGATAGATAGGTGCTCGTATGATAGGTTTAGCTAATCAGTTCTCGGAGGTAAAGATGCCTAAAATTCTAACTCTTAGCAACTTCGTCGCGGGAATAGCGAATTCGAATGAGCAGATAGCTTGTCCGCTTCCGACGACGATGGCAGAGGAGACGCTAGGTCTCCTGACTCGTAAACCGGCACGTGTATCAGCTTGTGGGTACAACAAGTCTTTCGAGCCCGCCACATTTGATAGTCAAGCCCCTGCATAAGGCCGGCCTTACTCGAACTACTTGGGAAGCATCCACGCGGCAGCAAGCGTCCGCGCCTAGGTCGAAGACCGCCTAACAACAGTACGCCCCGGAGGCGTTTCAGACGAGGAGGCAACGAGACAAACAAGACCACAAGACAGGTTCCATGATTCAAGTCTACATGACCCTATGTGGATTAGAGCCAGGAACGGCTTGAGCCTCGGGCCCTCCAGCGTGGGTGGTACGCCGCATCAGGGCCCTTCTCTCGGGGCTATAGTCATTAGTTAACATGAGAGCGATGGTGTGTTGGTGGCATGCCGACACAGGCGCAAAGAACGAATATATAAAGGCCCCAAAGCCCATCGAACCCGTTCCTGCCTCCTCCTTCCTCTTTGATAACACACTCGTTGTCGTTCATTCTCTATTCCAACCACTCATTTTCGAAAAACGACTAGACAACTAGACAACTAGCAGGTCATTGCAGACTTGCGGCCTTTCATTGCCATAACGGCGTATTTCTTCCGCTCCTTCTTCCACGGTCAAGAAAGTGGTTTTGTTCCAAAGCCAAGATCTATCGTTTAGTATCACTTCATCGTATTGACATTCACGATATATTTTACCTCCATATATCCTTCCAACATGCATTCCTTCACCAAGGTCGTCGCTGTCCTCTCTTGCGTCCTGCACTACGCCGCCGCCTTCAGCGGGGACATGACCTACTACACGCCCGGCCTCGGCTCGTGCGGCCAGACAAACTCGGAGTCGGACGCCGTGGTAGCCCTCTCGCCCAGCCAGTATGCCGCGGACCCTCAACTCTGCGGGAAGAAGATCCAGATCCACATGGGCGGCAAGACTGCCGTAGCCACGGTCGTCGACAAGTGCCCCGGATGCAGCAGCGATTCCATCGACGTGTCGCCCACCGTCTTCCAGGAACTCTCGCCTCTGACCGTCGGTCGCGTCAAGGTCGAGTGGGATTTCACCACGTAAAAAAGTTATAAAAAAATAAAATTATAAAAAAAAGGAGAAGAAGAAAAGCCAACTACACTCACTACCTACTTGGTTGGGCTTCCCGGTCAGAAAGGAAAAAAGAAAAGACGACATCGTCGCTGGAACTTAGGATATGAGAGAGTCGAACAGGTTTTCGCAGGTGCTCTCTTGTTTCACGGAGGAATAAAGTGAAAATTTTTTTTCTTTTCTTTTCTGAATTTGTATTGCCGCGGCTATGGCTGGACCATAGACCTACGCGGCACGGATTAATTCGTACAATGAATATAGGAGACAGGAAAGATATCAACAACGACCAGCATGATGGATACGCCGCACCGAAACTTTTCGGTGCCGCTTTTATGAACGACGACATTCATTATAATATTATAGGGAATAAATAGACCCCAACTTACACATGTACCTGCTTGCGCTTCATGATACCTAGTTCTTTTAATCCTGACTATATAACCCGCTCAGTGTGTTTTCTATAGTGTTGATAATATGGAGAGGGGATGTCTTCTCTGTTGAAGGAAAGGACGGCATATGACAGCATGGGTGACTTAACAGAGTAACTACCTAAGCTCCTGCAGTAGAATACAAGAAATAGATAGGACAATACTCAAATAAGTATATAGTTGTGAGGTATCATTCTCAAAAAGGGGTAGGCCAAATGTACGATCTAACCACAAACTATAGCATTCATTACTAAGATTGACTAATAAGATTGATCATCATATATATTAAAAATTTTGGGTATCCTAGGCCAGACATTGATAATAACTAATCACGTTTCCCAACATCGTAGCCACATCACGATAAAAAGAGTAAGACATAAAGAGGTAAAAAGGTATCAAGACGCTTCAGTCATAATAAATTGATACAAGTCCAGCTTTAATGTCAAACCGCGCCGTCATGCATCCGCTCGTTGACGCCCGCCATTATATACCCAAATCCATTTTTACCCCGAACTCCTACGGAGAAAGCCTAATCCGCTTTCCGCTGCCCAGATCCGTCATTTCTCCTTTCCGTTTTGATGTGGTAGTCACCGACAATACAAAGTTGTGTTTTGGTGTCTGTTGTCCAGGGATGCTTGATAATCCGAGTCTGGAGTCTGGCGAGGAGACTATAGTCGCCTCCTCCGATACTAATAGTTTCCGTTCTTCGACAGTAATTGCCCACAGTAGTGTGATCAATACCTCTCGCGACGGTAAGCTGGTGCCGTCTGGCCACGTCTGCGGTCCACGGCTCTGGTCGCCCTTGATACCCGGGGATCCAACTGCCAGCTCCTCAACCCGATCATCGCGTCCCTTCTTAGACACCAACCGCAATAACTCCATCGTCGCATCCTTGAGCGGACGCGCCAAGATGGGGCTGCTGGTTAAGAGCTTCCGAAGGGATCTGATTCTCAGAGTCAAAAAGGCCGAAGGCTGGGTCCGGGTGTTCTTGGGTAACCGAGTCGCTTCCCGCGGTCGCGCCTGGAGCTGCGCCGCTGACATCGTCGGTGCTGAGGAACTGGTCGAAGTCGAAGTCCGGAAACTGGGGGGTCGAGTTACCAGCCAGATTATTGTACTCAAAATCGAGGGGGTCGGATGAAGGACTAAATTCGCCTTGAGAGCCCCACGTATCAACGTCAAAGGGTGCCGAAAGGCTGAAATCATTACCGAAGAGGCTGTCAGCAGCGCCTGAAGCTGCAGGAAGAGTGACAGTACTGGAGGCAAGGGTTGTCGCGAGGCCTTCCACGACTGCGGCACTTCCACTGACGGACACTGCAGGTCGCACAACACCGCTGCTGGATGTTGTGTCTCGTCGGAAGTAGCCGCAGGAGCGGGGACCGTCGCGACTTGTTCAGTCGTCGACGATTCGGGAAGAGTGTCAGGGACAGGGGTTAATTCGGGGGATAGAGAAGCAGGGTCGACAGTGCCGTCCTGTTCGGGCATGAGGATAAAATCATTCATCATGCCAGACTTGTCTTGAGCCGTGCCATCCTGAGATGAACCAAATAACGGCTGAGATAGTGTGAGTGGAGAAGGCTGAAAGCCATCTAAGGGGGACGAGCTCCGGCTGACACCGGAGCCTCGTCGAAGTTTATTTAATTCATCCATCAACATTTCATTAGTTTTCTGCTGGTTGAGCAAAAGTTCTTCCAGCTGACGATTCCTTTGTTCTAAGGCTTCCACCTCTTGACGCTTACGCTCACGAGAAGATTGGGCTGCACGACGATTCCTTAGAACTCGCTCGACTCGTCGTTGCTCTTTCTCATCTTCGGTCTTGGCCCGTTTCCTATTATTGCATGTTAGTTCGTCATGTTTGTTACTCTTGTGCTTAGGTGTAAAATCAAGTCATACCTCGGAGGTAGGTTAGTCTTGGGCTCGGGGAGGACCTGGCCCCACGACTTCCGCTTCTTGACCGGCTTCTTTTCCGGGTTTTCCGGAGCCGGGGAAGGGGTGGATTGAACTGATGCCGAGTAGGCAAGCTTCTCGTCGGTAGTTGACTGAGGAGTCATAACGCTCTCTAGAGGATTCAATGTAGAAGACGTAGCGAATAGAGAAGGGTATGCGTCGCCAGGTACTGAGAGGAGAGACTCGGCGGGAGAAGTCTCAAACTTTACTTGGGGAGCCGACGTTGTCGTTTGTTGTTCACTTTCCCAGGTAGCCATCTTTGATTTAGTGTGGCTTGTTGATAGGAGGACTTGATAAGTTCTTCTGGATGTAAACCCAAATGCAAACTAAGCTCTTTAGTAGCTATTTTCCTTAGTAGCTAGCTTGCTTCGGAATTTGTGTTTATTTGGGTTGTAGTCGCAGAAGATTATGATGAGTGGATGAATTATAAGCTGAAAGTAGAGAGGTGCCGTCCCAATTCCTCAATACAAATAAACAGCAAGTTTCACGCCTGCTAGTGCATTGTCCAGCTAAAGGGGTACAAGGATACGAGATGAGGATACGAGGATATGCGAATAAGTGAATGACTCAGCCTAGGCAACCAAGTCAGGTGAATGATAGTAAAGAGAACAATAAGGACAGCGTGGCCACTGGTCTTTAGTGTTGAACTCTTTTTTTGATTGGTGGGCTACTACTAGGTAGTTTTGGTGATGGTGGTTTTGGGGTTGTTGAAGCAGGACGAAGGAGACGACTGCCTCTCTTTATGTTCAACGTGTCCTGTAAGTTACGTTAGCCAAGTTATGTGGGTCAAGTGCCTGAGGCAGAAATAGCCCCCCCTATCCCCCCTACTAATTCTCGGATTTGTGCAAAGATGTGTCAGCCACGCTTGCTACAGGGTGCCACTGGTGGGGCCAAAGGAAGGCTACGTACCACCCCCCCCCCCCCCCTGCGCTAGTTTCCACTGTGTTGTGCTGTCTGCGTGTGTGTCTGCGTGTGTGCACCTTATCCGCTTGTGTTGCACAGGGATTAGGATTTCGGGGGCAAGAGGGAGGGAATGCCAGGGGTCGGTAGATCTGAACAAGGCAAGTGGATCAGTGCTACAGTACTTATCCCCTAACTAACGGGACTAACGGGACCTTGTTACATGCCGCAGTACCGCCAGATACCGCCGGTTCTCTCGTCCCTGAGTCCGTAATTCCACCATGGAACACTTCCTTTTCCATTCAGTTCCATTGAATAATATACGTCCGTCACCCGGCCCGGACGCGGTATTGTATATGATTTATATGATTTTATATGACGGGTGGTATTTTTATTACCTCCGTACCTGGGTGTATCAATGTTACATCCCTTTTCGAATTCGTGTAATTCTTCTCTAATCAATTAATCAATTTACTTCGAATCAATATGTTTGCCTTTTCCGTTACCTACCTAACTTAGGTAGGTACCAATCCACCGCCAGTTCTACCACCGAGTCCTCTTCTTCTGCTTCTTCTTCTTCTCCTCCTCCCCTTTCTAAGCAGAATAGGTAGACTAATCCGTATATCCACCACAAAAAGTACCGAAATGCATCAGAGAATGGAGACTGTTGTGTTGTTCAACTATCCTATCCTATCTCGTCATTCTACATTGCAGTAGTGTACTTGAATCCCCTTAGTGAAATTCTTAGGTTGATCCCCTCAGCCTCTGACTTTCGACACTGTCTCCACTAATCGAAGCCTATTTGGAAAGGCTTCCATGGCTTGGGGTGGTGGTTATTCTTAGCAACCAGCCTCGGCGGTCTGGGGAGGACCGGCATTGTTGGTCCAAAACTCATACCATACCGGGTATCAGCACGCCGCTGACTTGCAGCTTGATGTCTCTCACAACCCTAACTCTCACAAGAAAATAATAATTGTTGGGGATTATCACGGTATAGATAGAATATACGCCATCGCATTTTGATAGATGGAAGGATTTGACGGGAATAACATTCAATTACCACTCAAAAAACGACTTACAATTTAGCTTTTGCCACAAGATTTTCGCCCAGATTCCCAGATACATAGTAACTACCTCGATTAGAACGAGTCCTCGGATGCTTTCGGCTTTTTATGGTTAAGACAAGATCGAAGAAGCCTCCGCCAAAGATAAATCGAAAAGTTAATATATTTACAATTAATCGATATCTGGGGTATTAGCCTGTATTGCTGCTGAGCCAGTATGACCGGTGAGCCGCGGCGGGACGACTACCGAAGCCGCCTTCCGAACTCAGCTCACCATGTGGCGTCCTAGACATTTCCTAATAATTTCAACGTTGGTAGAGGAAAATGCGGCACATGCGACACGCTAATAAGACTTGGTTATCACCAGTCTATACCGATCGAGATTTAGATTTACTAAAGTTATGTCAGTATACGGACCGGGCTTGAAAGATTCTACCTATTTGGAATCCCGCGATCCTTCGATACGACCTACTATGTACAGCCAAATTTGGTCGTTATAGAAGCGTTGGTTGGTACGATAATACGCTCCATTAGCTTTGAAGAAAATTGCACCATCTAAAGAATTACTAACAGTCGCGTTCATGTTTCTGTCTATAGACGTAAGACAGACTTGATCGTTCGTTTCAAGGTTACTGCTTACCTCCTAGGTACACGAAGACATACTGAGGAAAATGAGATATTTTGCCATGTACCCTGAAATAGGGAGGCCAATTAGCTTATCGCTTATCGTCTTACCTTTTGTCTATCGTCTTGCCTATTCTGTAGTACGCCGCCGAGAAATACAAGGTCTCGGCCGTGTAATTTCAGTGAAGCCGCAAACCCGCAGGGTACTTAATACATACATAGTGTAAGCTTAGGTCTAACTAACATCGAGAGTTCTATAATTACTACATCGAAAAAGACCGTTGATCTCGCACAGCCCGATCGATCGCATCTTTTGATAGAGTTAGGTATACTAAATCTAGGTATAGAGATCCAAGAGTCCTTGCAAAGGTGAGTTTGCTTTTTAGCATTAGCTAGTTGACCAATCGCGTTTTCCAACTTATACCTGATTTGAATCTATTCACTTTGGGATTTTATAATAGTTACATTCGTCTGTTAGGGCTGATCTAATGGCTTCAGCATTGTGATAAAGGATTGGTTAGTCTTTACGCCTTACCACACTCAGCCCCCCTTCACAGCCGCTCACTCGCATCAAAATGTAATTAGATTCAATTTTTAGTAGCATCGTGCGATGCTAGTTTCAATTTGAAGTTACAAGCAAGCAAGCAAGGAAGTAAGCTCAGTAATGCGGCTTTCTGTGCGATGTACGCATAGAAGTTTGTACAATACAATTACAAAAAGGAAACAGAAGATGAACAGCCGAAAATGAAACGTCAAATCTGCAAAGTGTCTAACGTAAACCACAAGTCAGCGGTCCACGGAAAATACATACAAAATACGTCTGTGCGTAACCGTGCACTTTAATAAGAAAAATTCCTATTAAAATTCAGTTTTCGAATTTAAATAATTGCTTATATTAATATAATGAAGATATTTTTTATAAATTCTGTTTTATTTTTTTAAATTAATTAAATTGAAAAACTAAATATAAAGTAAATAATATTTTTATTTTATTATAACTTATATAATAATAATATAATTTTTTTTCAATTTTTCTATACTTTATAATTATAATTAAATATAACATACTTAAATTTGGGATTTTAATATGTAATATTCGTAAAGGTATGAATTTTTGAAAATTATTAGTTTTAAGTTATATATGGTGTTGGACCGCTGACTTATGGTTGACGTTAATTACAGTAAATAAACCTTCTATCTGCCTGTGAGCCTGTAACTCTTTGACTCGAGTTCCAGACACCTGCCGCTTCGAATTGCGCGTCTGAAGTTCCGCACGCTCGGATGTTCTTTCGCCATTTCCCTGTCCCCGTTTCTCCAATCGATCGCAGTGGTGGATTGTGGGCCACTCCAAATATGGAATCCCAAGAATTCGCAATCATCCCCGCAAACCCAGATTTAATCAACCGAGAGATCGGAACGGAGGCGCGACATCTCTCCATCATGTACAACATCTGAATCCGTAATTCGAGGTGGGAATTACCTTAGGTACACTACAAAAAGTGCACAATTCACGTGGAGAGAATGACTGAATGATTAGTGATGTGTATTTCTCCAATATATCAACTTACTCCAAAAGCGGGAGTATTGACTAAATACGCCGAATGATGATCTTATTGGCTGTACTCAAGACACAGGCTTATTCTGCTATAACCTCTAAGACATGACTATTAGCTCACATAGCTCATAGTAAGCACGAATCGTTCGAAGGTCAAACCACTAAGGCCGGTAGAAGTCAAGTACTATGGCGAGTCGGACGAGACGGCGAATCTTCGCACGACGCCTGTTTCAGGAAATTGTGGGTAGGCCCAGATGGCCCAGATGTTCTAGTCTCACGCCAATCAGGTTGGTGTCAGTCCGCTCACCCCTTTTTGCTCCCTCCCGCCTCCCGCCTCCCGATAGGGGGAATTCAAACGAGACCGTATTTGAACACGAGGCCCTCCTTGATTATGCAACACGATCTGCTAGCGATGATCTAAGAGGTATCTACTACCTACTCCGTAGTATAGGTATCCAAATAGCTTCCACGATATATCGTATTGTCAATAGCTTAAATAACTTTGCTTGCCATTCGAATAAGGAACTACTGATAGACAATCCGACAAACAATTTGATAACGCTGAGCAATTACTTTGTAAAAAGGATCGCAATGCGAGCACTTTCCTATCTCGTTTCTGTGCGTTCCAATATCGTTTCTAGGCCTCACGTCATGCTTTAAGCTGACGATAGACCGGTCGATATACTAATGTACTAACTAGTTCTTATTTGAAACTATGCGATGGCCCAATCGTGTCGAGGTATTCAAAATGATCTCAGTGAATAGGGGTAGCAGTTGAAAAAGGCAGGCTATTCGAAAATCAAAGGACTCGGCATGTGTGGAACTTTTATTAATCGTTTCGAAAGCAATTACGAAGACTATTACGTACTCGATCACGATCTTGTAAAGGGGAGGGAATAGAAGAATAGTACCATCCCTGGAAATACACTAGTGTAGACAGCAATTACAATATTCACTTCATCTGCCTTTCTTCTGCGTAGTTTGTTTCGTAGAAATTGGGCCCCTTGAGTTAATTGTAGGTCGTAATTTTGTAGCACATCTCAGAGTCTTATCTCGCCTCGAGTTTGCTTGCAACAGCTAAATGAGTTATTAATCGAAAATCAGGAGCGACTCAAACACCTAAGGTAATGATTAGATAAATTGTCTTTGCAAACTGCTTGCTTCCGCAGATTTAGTGACGCCTTTCTAAGACAAAATGTTATCGATAAGGTCTGTGGCTAATTAAACATGGCTTGAAGGCTTGTGGCTTAGAAGATACTTCGAATCAAAAGCTTGCATACATGTAATGAGGTTAAGATATTGTAGTGTACAATGCTCTTGTACCTTATCTCTACAGCGAAATCCACCCAAGTGCGTCATTCGCTGACTTCCATTTGCCCCCACCAACAAGGAAACACCGCGCCGACTTGAGAGTCCAGACCGTGAATCGCAAACTCCATCTACCTCTTATCCTTAGGTAACCATCACAATCCGATCCGACGACGTTTTCCTAAGCTCCTGAGATATTGAAATACTTCGATATCTACTTAGATTAATCCGCCGACCGAACATTCCGATCCGATAGAAACCAACTACCCTCCCATCGTCCTGAATTATCAAAACCTCGGTCAAGATGTCCAATCGACAACTCGCCCGCGACATGCAAGTCGAGTTTCAGGCTCGCGTACGTTTCTCTCCGTTCTATATACCTACCTACCTACCTACCTACCTACTTAGCACCGCTAGTATAAGAGAAGAAGAAAAAAGGGGAGGAAACTAATATATCAATCCTCCCGATATAGTTCCAAGCGAAGCAAGCGCGCCGCGAGGCCCAGAAGGCAGCGAAGCAGGACCCGCTGCTCAAGAAGCAGATACAGGACCTGCTGAAGAAGGGCGACACGGCTAAAGCCTACCAGAAGGCCAAGATGCTGCTCTCGAAGCAGGCCCTCGCCCAGCAGATGGACCAGATGGCCGACATGGCCGAGCTCAGCGTCGCCCAGATCCAGGCCAACAACGCCATGAACCGCATGACGCACATGATGGGCCAGTCCTCGCGCACCATGACCGCCGCCCAGCGGAACATGAACCCCGAGCGCGTACGTTTTCGCCTCTCTTCTTCTTCTTCTTAACTATATACAATATTCCCGACCTGTATAATACATATATATATAGAAAAATGGCAGACGCTAACGGCTTAATCCCCGAAACGATTATAGACCCTCATGACGCTCGAGCAGTTCAAGCAGCAGAACGAGGAGTACGCCGTCAACAACGGCATCTACCAGGACGCCATCTCCCAGACCACCTCGCAGCAGGTGTCCGAGGACGCCGTCCACGAGCTCCTCGGCAAGCTCGCCGACGACGCCGGCGTCCAGCTCAACTCCCAGCTCAACTCCGCCCAGCCCAGCCGCGCCGAGCCCGCTACCCCACAGGCCGCCGAGCCCACCGCCGAGGAGGAGGACGCGCTGCAGCAGCGGCTGCGTGCTCTAAGAGCGTAAGGAAAATAAAGAAAAGGCTCCATAGTGATGGTGGTGGTGGTGGTGGTAGAGGGAGCCGAGACGAGGGACGGAGAACGCGCGGCAGGGAAGTACCTAAACTAGGGAGAAGCCGCTGGCTCGAGTACCGGCATGAATACCTACGTTAGGTACGTTTGTATATGCGCGGGGTACGATGACAAGAGAAGGAGGATTGTGAGCGGGAGAAAGTGGTTTTTAGCATCTTTTTTTTTCGATTGGGCACGGGGATGGCAGACTTTGCTTGCTTCGCATTACGACATAAGGGGTTCCGTATGGCGTTCCGGTTTTTGTGTCTTCTTTTTTTTCCTCTTTTCTCCTTTACCAGTGTTGATGTTATAATGCTTAAGGCGTAGAATAGAACTCGTTTATGAGAGGTATCAAGTTGAGATTTTTAATTACATGGAAGCCGTAGGACTTTGATGTCCACTTGGTACTATTGTTTTACTTGCATATTACTGAACGTGTGTATTTCATGTAGTATATACTGAAATATACCTATCGGCACCCTCCAGTACACAGATTAGCAATATGTAGTTGGGTCATGGCTTTTACTACATCTTATGGTGGGAGTGTAGAACTCGAAGTGATGACGATAATCAAGTCGACTTTCAAACTATTGTTTTGCCATAATTCGAAATTGCCTATATATTTGCTAAGACATCCCAGATAGAGACAATCTCCATTGATGGTGTGACTAGCATGGAATAAAAGAACCACGCATACTATACCGCTGTGCTACTCTCATTTATACCTTCATGCAGACAGGCAGGTAAGTATTCGTCGATAGTTCATGTCGTTTACGACGCAAAGTGGCCACTAAACCTACCCGTTCAAGGAAACGTTACAATTCAATATAATTAGTCCATGCCATTATAAATAAACGTGCTATGAACATCGATAATCTCAAGGGTTTATTAATTTTTCGAATAAAGCACCAACAAACCTTTCTAGGCCATGGCCTTAACCACAATTACTTCCAACCTGCAACTTGCATAGTAACATCAATTATTCCACAGTCACTTGAAACACACAAACCATTGAGTAGACGGATAATTCCATTTCATATAAGGATCATTCATAGCCGTCGTATCGGTCATACCCCATTACCTTTTGTAAATACTATAGCAACATCAAGTACCTATACACACTTTGAGCCGATTGTCTGACGCCTACATGCCAAGGTCCCCCGTTCCCCTTCCTCCAGACAGGCGATGGAATAACTACATGTACAAGCTAGCAACGGCGGTGATATCTCTCTTGATCATCTCCTGCGCAGTCTGCATCTTCTGATACAGCTCGGGGTCGCCGATGATCCTAGCCGCGTTTTTGACCTCGCGGCAGGTCTCGTCCAGCCGCGTGATGGTGCGTACGATAGTGCCCTCGAGCACGTCCGTCAGGTCCGTGATGTTTTTGAAGCTCATGCCGCGCGCCCACTCGTACACGACTTCCATGAGGCCGAAGCGGGGGCGCGATACGAAGTCGTTGCTATCCTCTGCGCTCTGTATGACTTGGTGTTCCGTTTGCACGGTATTGACCTTCTCGCTGATTTCAATGATTGTCTTCATACCGCGCTCTAGATTTCCTGTAAGATTAGGTACTGATTCTGTCTTCTCCTGGAATACGAAAGCGGAGAGAAGAGCGGCTATTTCTGCTGGTTCGTAGTCCGCGAGTACATTGTCAAGGATGAGTTCGGTAAGAACAAGTTCATCAGCCGAGTGGATCTCACAGGCAACCTTGCCCTTGAGTAGAATCCGGGTATCGGAATCAATGAAAGAGAGATCTTCCAAGACCTGGATACGCTGTTCGTAGTCTGGAAGTAATTGCAGGTTTTGATCTGCGAGAGACGAGCGGAGGGATGAAATGTGCTCCTTGATAAGCCATTGATCATGGCACATGGCGTACTGACGCTTCTGTTAGTTCAAAACAGCGCAAGGGATAAAAAAAGGGAATTTTTAACTTACGTGCTTCAAAAAGTTCTGACAATAAGTTGTAGCGGAATTTTTGATAGTTACTTCTTCCTTTCGGCGCTTCTCGATGATTTCCTGCAACTGTAGGCTTTTGATCTTCGCAAAGCTGATCTCGTTCCACATATCGGTCTCCCAGGTCTTGCAAATATTTAACATACGTTCTTCCGCCTTCCGACGCAAATCTCCTCGCTCGAAGTAGTCGGGTACAATCCCGGTGGTTAGCTTTCCCGTTAGGCACTCAATATCGCTAAGTGGCACATGAACGGCTTTTCCGACGATGGATTTCTTGTTTCGTGGGAAGGGCGTATATAACTGTCGGAACGTATCAACGAAAGGTAGTAAATCGGTCGAGTCGCGGTTCTCACGGTTAGTCTTGATCTCGAAGACATGGACGGTAGGTTGACCCGCTGAGTTCTTCGTGCTAACGCCGTTTGACAGGAGGATTCCTGGAGTTCGTACACCATCTCTATTCCAAACAACAAGCCTTGAGGATGCAAAAAATTTCTTTCCAATAGGAATGGACGCAAGACCCTTATACAGCTCCTGCGTTAGTTGCTTGTAGTTCATCGATGCCTGGTGACATTCATCTAAAGACGGGTCGCAAATTTTACACGCCTCTCGTTTGACTTTAGCTAAATCAGCTTCTGATAGCTTAACAGCTTTCTCATGTTCTGGAAGTAGCTGTTGAGTGGCGTGCTCGGAGAAGCTGCGCTTAATCATTTCTTCGATCTTCAACGCCTCTACTCTTAGCAGGTTTAGAATCATATTGTAGGTCAACCTGAACTGGGATCTCAGCTTGCTAGGCGGATCTAGTATCATTTTCTGAAGGTCAGCTACGGGTGGCGCTTCGTCCATGCTGCCAGGAGGGACGATAATGACAGACCCAACAGGATCAAGTCCACGACGACCAGCTCTGCCAGCCATTTGGGTGTATTCGCCCGGAAGGAGATTTCGAAAAGAATGACCATCGTGCTTTCGATAACCGGAAAACACTACAGTCCTGGTTGGAAGATTCAGACCCATGGCAAAAGTCTCTGTCGCAAAGAGTACCTTGACCAAGGTCTGGGCAAATAGGATCTCGACAATTTCCTTGACAATCGGTAAGAGACCGCCATGATGCACAGCAATACCTCGACTTAAGAGCTCTCGCAGGCGAATAATCTGAGGTAAAACTCGATCTTCTGGTCGTAAACGTGCTATCGACTTCTGAATGATCATGTGGATGTGGCTTTTCTCCTGAGCAGTTGTGAAGTCCTGGTTGCTTAATGCATCTGCATTTTCCTCGCACCTCTTCTTGGAGAAGACAAATATACATGCGGGGAGCAGATTTGACTTCTTTAAGAATTGCACAAGGTGAACCCAGAGATTCTTGTCCTGGTTGGCAGATGAAAAGCCTCCTGGCCGCCCAGCTCGACCCATATGGCCAGGCGCATGACTAGCTCTCTGGGGGCCTCCTCTGCCTCTTTGCTGTCCTCCGCCACGCTGGCCACCACGTTGTTGGCCGCCGCGTTGAGGCCCTCCCCTTTGGTTGCCTCGTTGATTACCTCCACCGCGAGCAGCTGGAGCCGGGAGAACTTTATCTTTTCCGCGTAACGCCTGGTCCGCTTCTTTCCATCCCTTCTCGAGGAATTTCTTTTCATGATCAACAATCTTGTGGATATTCTTGCCAGCCCACAGATAGTGTTCTAAGGGCACAGGCCGCTTTGGTGTCGAAATGACGTATATATCCTTCTTCTTGGTCCTACCAACCCAGGAGGCAAATTCGTACGTATTTGGGACAGTTGCAGATAATAGAATTAGCGAAACATGCTCTGGAAGCATAATGATGACTTCCTCCCAGACTACACCACGCTCGAAATCATTCACGTAGTGAACCTCGTCAAAAATGACAAACTCGACATCTCGAATTAAATCGGCACCTCTGTACAACATACTTCTGAGAATCTCTGTAGTCATAATCAAACAGCTCGCTTCAGGATTGATCTGAACATCTCCTGTTAAGATGCCAACTTCGTCAAAAGTCTGTCGGAAATCGCGGAATTTCTGGTTGCTCAGAGCTTTTATAGGCGAGGTGTAAATGGCTTTGGTCATATGTTTTGCAGCTAATGCAATGGCATATTCAGCTACCACTGTCTTGCCGGCCGACGTATGCGCTGCAACAAACACGGAATCACCACCTTCGAGATGATAGATGGCTTCCTTCTGGAACGTGTCAAGTTCGAATGGCCACTCTCTGGCCATGTCGGGAACAAGCTCTCTGAAATTGGTAATATCACGGTTGATATCCACCATATGCGCCCATTCTCGGCCAGCTTTCCTTGCCTTCGCTGATGCAAGGTTACCATGCGGTTCCAAAGCTGGGAACTCGACAGGAAGTAGTGTGTCAATGTCCTCGGAATCTTCCTCATCGGCCTCCTCTTCGATACCGTTGGTGTCTGCATGCCCGTTGGTATCTTCAGTTTCGGGTCCTTGGTCAGGCTCTTGATTAAGCTCAGCTTCGATTGCCTTTGCTTCTTTCTCGTCGACCTTGGATTTCTTTTTGCTGAAATCAATTCCCCTCTCCATACCCGGGGCTACTTGGAGAAGACCACCCTCGGTACCCAATTTGATAACACGTTCCAGCTTATTCTGAGTACCGGTAGCGCCGGGACGTGACAGCTGATCTTCAAGAGCAGCGGTTGCTTCAACACCTTCCAGTCCACCGGGTGCGAATGGGAAGAAGCCAGCAGCTCCACGCACAAATTCAGCACGACTTCCAGGTTTACGCATAAGAGAAGTCGAGTTTTTGGCCGTGGCGCTGTTTGCCGGTACGGTCACATTCTGATACCCGGTCACTCGACCTTCGAGACCTTGACGTTGGAAACGTGTGACGGTTCGAGTCTGAGTAGGCGCAATACGGAACAACTCGGTAAGATCTGTCGGACTGTCCCATCTTTGCTGGAGTCTGTTGAGCCACTCTGTAGAGAATTTGTTGGAGGGAGTTAGAAATTTCTGTTCGAGCTCTGCTTTCAACACGGTTGGATCTTGTTTGAATCTCTTGCGGGGGCCTTGTTGGAAGAGGATATCGTCTATGTTGGTATCGTCGCTGATGCGAAGCTTTTGAATAGCTTCCACCAGATCTGGAGACGCCATACTTCTTTGAGAAGATGGTTTGGAGTTAAAGAAGCAAACAACTCCAAACAATCGTGAGGGAAAGCTTAGACTTGTACCATTTAAAATGACGTTTGCGATGTGTGAAGTTAGTGCACTGTTGTTAGTGGGTTGGTGGGATGTAGCAGCTTGGAGCAAGCTTAGAGCAGCTTACATGCCTTATCAAATCAAGTCAAACCAATCATTTTGGCTTGCTGTCTACTGTCGACCTGCCTGTCTGTGCCCGACGGGTTTTATCGATAAGGAATACCACCCCAATACCTACAGAGACCAGTTTTACTCCAAATCAAGAAGTCGTGTATAAATTATAAATAACTACAGGATAATCCATCTTATGAATTTATACCGTCAAATTATTTACACTCGTTAACGTGCCCAAGGTATAAAACGCAGCCTAAACGCCCCTTGCATGCATCATTATACGATAACTCATACCCAACCGGGCGGATTTTACTAGTATCCTTACCATAATCCATCCATCTCTGCCATGGCTTCCTCTTCATCTGCATCTGCTACTTTGTCATCTATCTTCTTTGTCTCTTTCACCGTTACCCCTACAGGTTTCTTCTCCTGTCCCTGAGCTTCCGCTTCTGCCATTAACGCGTCTAAATCGTCTTCATCATTATCCAAGCTGGGCTGTGCCGATTTGGTTTCCGGATTAGAGGTTTGCTTTGGAGGTTCTTGGTAAGCTTCGGCCTCGGCCATAAGTGCATCTAAGTCATCCTCATCTGGCTCGTCTCTTGGTTGGCTTGGTTTACTAGCACCATTGCCGAATATAGAGGTAGGTTTCGTGTGTTGTGCTTCTTCTTCAGCCATCAGAGCGTCTAAGTCGTCTTCGTCGGGCACGTCACCGTTTCCAGATACCGGTTTACTAGTAGGCTGTGTTATTCTCGGTGCTCGTGGCGTGGCGCCGTATATATCGTCATCGTCATCGGGTACATCGTCCCGCATAGGTGTCTGCGCCTTTTCACCTCCCCGGTCCTCAAATATGGGAGCAATCCTAGCAGGAAATACTGCGGGTGCGCGCTCTTCGGGTTGATCGTGCAATTCGCCAAAAAGGTCATTGTCGTCGAGCCCAGCTGGCTTAGGTTTCCCTTCCTCGATCCACTCCATACGCTTCATGCGCATATATTTCTTGTGGCCTGCTTTTTCTGCCATGGCTGCGGCATCCAAAAACTTGGCTTTGGGAAATAAGTCGTCGAACCATAACTGATAGAATGAGAGAAGCCTAGCGGCGTCGGAGAACTAAAGTATTGTTAGATACCAGTTATGGATATCTTGTGAACATATACCTAATATATAGGGTATTCGTACTTCATGTCCCTTGCCTTTGAACTTCAAATCTCGGGCTTTTCTTCGTAATCTCGGAATGCCTTTCTCGGATAAGAGTCTATAGTTGATGAGCTCCCATTCTCTCTAAATAATACCAAGTATTTGCCAGTGATGCATACCTGCTTTCATCTAATTTAACAATTGGTGCTCTGACTTTCTTCTGAATGGCTACTTCTTCGTCAATTCCCAGACCGGTAGCATCTTTGCGTTTCTTAGACCGCGCGGTATCATTGCCAGGAGCTTCGTTCCCGGATTCTGCAAAAGGGTCGTCATCGACGTCGTAATTGTCTATATCCGTATTTAATGGTCTTTTCAGTGTCGAAGATGACTTCTGTGCACCTTTTGACGCCATTTTTATAGTATGGACTGGTAGGTGAAGTTGCGATTTTGTAAGTGATAGAAGCAAGCCGGTAAGACGCGTCGCATAACTAGAAGACGCGATTTGACGTGGGGCCTTTTTGGTAAAGTTAAATTGAATTCTTTTGATGGAGGCAGCTTTGGAGCTAGAGAGAGGTACGTACCTCCTACGAATATGGACCTAAGTGGATTTACCCCGCTTAAATAATCAATCATGAGATATATATTGGTACCTACTACTATCACCTATTACAATTTATATCTGCTGCTTTCCGAAGAAGTCCCGCTTACCTCATCCATCTATAAGCTCCTCCCCAATGATTGCAGCTGACAATCGTCACTAATAAAGAAAAACATTATATACCGAAGCTTTTGGGGAGTCCAATTCCCACTCCGCGAGCATGGCGAACCCTCCGCAGCAGACGTATATCCCCAGCAAAATTGTCAAGTCCGACTACCCCGTACGTCTCCGTTGCCAATTGGTTTCTACTCTACGTCAATAGTTTCGCTAATCCCAATTGCAATTTAGCTCATCGACAATGACCCGTACGTATATCAAGCCTCGAAGCTCTATGCGACGACAAACAGCCCGCGATGTAAATTAGTATGAGGTAACTGACGAATATCCGGTCGTATCATAGACATTTCAGGAGGGTGGTGGGCTATGCTCGCACTTCAGACTACGTACATGGCGCCGTAGCCGCCGCGGCAGGTCCGGGTTTGCTTTGGACGATGGAGAAATTCGCACCTTCGCACGTCGGCCGGGGTGGCTTCACGAGAGCCATGCGATTGGCCAGTGTAATTGGAGCTATGGGCGGATTCTTATATTTCTACCAGCGATCGAGTCGTACGTTCCGAACCCCCCCCTCCTCACACCCTCTAAATTATTTTCTATGTGGAAGAGAAGAATATACCCCTCATATTAACGTGATGCGCCGCTGCGTTTTAGTGCGATTCTACGGTATGTCGGAGAACGCCCGCGAAGTGGAGATGGATATGCGGGAGATGGTGGACAAGGTTAAGGCCGGCGAGCCGCTCTACGGCGAGAGCAGACTGACGCCGCACATGCAAGGTGTTGCGGCCCGCCAGTCGCGATACTCTGCTCTCCTCACCGCGGTGGTTCCCTGGTTCAACTTCGTCAACCACAACCAGCACGGTGTTGACACAGCGAAGTACTACCAACAAGCCGAACGGGAGCTGGAGGCTGAGCGCCTTGGTAAGAGCAGTTCGTGAACACCCACGATCATGATGCCTGATGAAAAAAGAGCACTTGTCACGTGTAAATATACCGATATTGGTCGGCTTGTAAGTATCCAGACTTCAGAAAGGCCAAAATACAGCAGGAAATGCAAAGTACAAGTTTTTTTTTCTTTTCATCCACTCGTTGTGTACATGCTGCGTTATGTGCTATATAGTTGTGTATATAACCTTCGCCGGTTATAAAGAGGAGCGGAATATATAATCAGACGTGGTCCTGTAGTATTATATAGGGCATCTAGGTACGCTCCTTCATATTTGTGCAAGTATCTAACCATTACATCCATCCATCTTATCCATCTAAGCCTTAATCTTCTTACGCATATTGTACGTCACGACGGCCAACTTGAAGAATTTATCCCAGAAAGGTCCTCCTCTAGTAACCCCAACATATGATTGCCCCCAGAGAACCAATCACCTAACTGCGCCGTTTGTGCCATCGATCTGGCCTGATCGTTGGTATCAGCCAAATCGAAATTGGCCGCACCGCCATCCATCGGCATGAACCCCAACTGGCTCAAGTACATGTTGAACTCGTTGCCTAGAGGAACCATATCCTGGTCGACGGGTTGTTGCGCCTTCGCCTCGATGTATAACTGAGCGATATTATATAATACCTGGCACAACTGATGCAGCTTGCTGATTGACTGTGATAAGTCGTATGCTGCTTCTAATGATTGCACAAAGTCTGCTAAGCGCTGTAAATCTTCCGCGCTGGATGTTTCAATCACCAAACAGAATATTACGATGAACGGGATGAACGGCGCATAAAGAATTGTCCTAGTCACATGAGGTGGGGAGTTAGTGGTCGGGGATCGCACCTAGGTATTGGAAGGTAGTAGGAAGTTCTCACCAGTGAATGTATACTATCTTTAAGGACTGGTCATCCATCATCTCCATGGCCTCTTGATGACATGCCATGGCTGCTCGAGCCGAGTCGATACACTCGTCCGAAAAAGTGCGCGATCGGGTCCCCGTTGGTGGCAGGGCACGGTACGTAAGGGCTAATGACGAAAGATACGACTATAATATATTAGCAGTGATCTTACAAAAGCGTTTTAACGGATAGAAATAATATCGATTGAAGGTAGCATCCCTTATTTGGTTGCGTTGGGAAGTACCGACTCGTAAGATCAACTAGGAATGTAAAAGACTTTAAGTTACATACCACTTCGTCTGATTTCAACATTATAGAGAACATACGGCCCTCTGCGTCATCAGATGCGCTAAATACAGAGTAGAGCCCCAAACTCTCTGCCATCAGGTGCTTTTGCTCCGAAGCTAGAATGTTGACTTGCTCGACACGGTACGTCTCGGATTGTCGCAAGGCACCGGGACTATATAAACGCTCATATATGCGACCTTGTATCTGCGCATGTTTGATCCACAGCGTCATGACCTCGTTTCCCGGATATGTTGCTGTTTTGCTCTCGGGAACAATATGCGGCAGCGAGATATCGTAATCCTGTAAAATGGACGCTCGACCTAGTCGTAGCGACAGTCCTTTATCCAGCATGTAGGTGCACCAAAATAGGAGCGACTTGTCTGCCTTCTTCTGCGGGCTATCATCTTTCATGCTATGGACTTGGTGAAGGCCCAGTGTCCGGCACATATGCGCAGCCCGCTCGGCTAGAAGCCATGCTAAAGATGGACGCGAAATATCTATCGAGAAACTCGACTTTTATTTCTGTCGCGTTAGCCTAATAGTTCAATCGCCAAATTGCATTGGTAATATCGTTCGAGTATCTAAAGAAGTAGCATTAGACTCACCGCCATCAGTAATGCCTCGATGTTTTCTAGCGTTGCCGGCATAAGGAGATTTAGGTGAGATAATACAGTGTCTATGTTCTTCTGACACATATTGAAATACCGGTCGGCTTCTTCCTTTTCTTCATCTGTCTTTGCACTCAGCTTTACCTCAAAGAACACATACGCAAGACCGCAGTTTACAAGGATAAACGTAGCGTCCGTGATGTCTTCTGTGTTGAAATAGACACGCCGACATTGGTCAGTGAAATGCTCCACATCTATAAAGCAGTAGAGGACAGCAAGCATCATTGGCAATGGACCATCTATACTAAAGGGTAAGCGAGCTCTTGCAATATAATGCCTGATTTTGTGTGTTGGATACGTACGTTTCATGTCCCGAAGGGTTTGTGCCACGACCTCCATTGGGGGCAAAGGTAAATCCCGTAAAGGGGCCTTGGAATGCTGTTTTTGGCCGGGCAAGCGAAACTCGTGGAAGGACGAGACTGTTCGCCGGTTTTCCTGCATCTGGACAATCTGCTTTAGGGAGGACAAGGCTGCATCAATCTTGGAGTTGCTGCCTTTCTGTTCCAGCGGAGTTCCCTGTACGGCATGCTCAAGAAACTCGCTCGCGAAAGCCGTATGTGCGGCTAGCGACGAGTTACCCTCAAAGTCCCCCGCGTCCTCGGGGTCGAACACCGTGCTGGATATGTCATCTCGGCTATTAAGAGACGACGGAGTAGTTAGTTTCTCGAACGGCCGTCGTGTGTAATTCTCCGTAGCAGAGGATGTGGATGCTGAGATAGGGCTTAAATTCCGCAGAAGCGTCTCAATACCACTCAGCCGTTCCTCGATCAAATCGATCTTCCGTTCACTAAAGAAACCCGAGTACCGTTTAGTAACTATACCCTTACTTATTGAAGGCTATGGTACGGAGATTAATAGGTGGCTTACTATTGGCTAGAAATTAACACTCGTTGTCGTGGTTCCTTGGGCTTTTGGCCAGCACCAGTAGAACTACATGATCGCTTGGCACTCCGACAGTTGGAACACGGAGACTCCTTGTCGCAGCGTATCTACCAACATAAATTTACATGTTAATGAACTAGATGGTTTGGCTAGAGATATTGGTAGGGGAGGCGGACAGCTATAGGGTAGGCTCCTCACCTTCCTAAGTCTGCATTGGTCACACTATAATGCGAATGTTACTTAGCCCAGATCTTAATGGAAAACAAATAACCGATAACACCACAGCAGGCCAAGCCCGAATAAGTATTACGGGGCCGACGGGTTCCGGATTCTCACTTACTGCTCGCCGGGGCCCTGGAGATCCTGGACCACCGGCTTCGGACACCTCGGGATCCATGGCGTTTATAAATTATAATAAATTGATTTCTTTGGTTAGTCGCAGGTTGATACAGTCACATGCGGGGACCGTAGAACGATAGGCTGGATAACAGGTAGGTAGCTATTAAAGATACGTCTTGGTCCCGGATTTAAGTTGGCATTTTCCTCTTGCCCAAGGCGGTCTGCTTAAACATCGGGATCCGCGGATCTCGGAAAGTTGGTGTAAAAGACTTGGGCTGGCAGCCTAAACAGAGGTATCAGCTCGAATTTCTAAGGAGGGTTACCTATGCCTTGTACAGGGATACCAACCGGATCAGACACTACATTTCAACATGGGTTCCTGTGGAAATTGTTGATAATTAGTTTCTTATTGACCAGCAATACATGTATGTAGCTCATAGTTATCATAGAATATAGTCCAAGTACGGTAGTGATGGAAAGAAAAGAAACGTAAAATGCACAAGCCACGTAAGGGGGTATTACTCTAGAGCATTAGGCATTTAATTAGGTACCTTTTCCAAAACGATTAGAAATATTGTTGATTTTTATAGTAGTTACCATTAATTGCTGTCTTCGTGTTGTCTTTAGTTACGAAGTGCATGGGAAGTATGGAGTTATCCTGAAATCTGATAGGCTACCTGGTACCAGGTAGCTATAGCTTAAGTGGGGTGTGGGGACTACACTTATGTCAGCAAACTCACTGATGCTATTACCTAATTCTTATTACTTACCTAACCAATGGAAACGCCACGCGATTCAACACGAAATACAAAGTACTTCTTCATTTATTCTTATCGATTTCCAAGTTCCGAGTCGCAACCTTGAAACCTTCGAATCGGACTTCCATGTTATTTCGTATTGGAATACCCGACACTGAATCTACCTAAGACAAGGTCGAATTCGAGGATACTTGATCTGCATCAGTAGAACCGTACGGAGGTGAAATGACTTGCAAACGGAAGCGCCAGGAAGCCGACATCGCGTCCAGAGCAGCTGTATCGAAGCGATCCCGCCACACCACAGAACCGGATTTACTATCACCGTTATCTGACGAATTGCTCGTTCGCATCCTCATATTTCTGCCTCTTCCGGATCTCCTAAATACAGCCCCCGTATCGCGTCGATTCTACCATCTATCTGGCGACTACCAGCTATGGAAGCGTCTATACTATTCGCGCTTCGTCCTGCCCCGCGCCCTTCGCATACCGGGATTCCGCGATGGTTCCGCTAGAGAAGGTAAGCTCCATTACTCCTCCCGGAGGGCGGTATGGGCAGATGGGAGAAGAGGAGGTTGGGTAGATATGCACCTTGGAGACCTGGACGACCGATCGAGGGATTGGAAGAAGCAGTATAAACTGCGACATAACTGGTCTAAGGGAAAATGCGCCGTCGAGGAATTACAACTCGGACAGGAGCTACCGTTACCCGACACGAGCCTATCGCATAAAGTCCTTGTAAAAGTTACCGAGGGTATCGCAATAACGGCGGATGCATCTACAGGATTGCGGGCCTGGGACCTAAAGACGAAACAACTCTTAGCCCAGATTAATCTAAGGGAGATCAATTCGGAAGCCTCTCCGAGTTGTATTACGATAGACGATCAAAAAATACAACATCACATTTTAGAAATCGCCATTGGCTTTACAGATGGGAGTTTCGGGATATGGAAATTAGACGTGCAGGAGAAGAAGATACTGTTAAGATACAGACACAAGGGATCCAGCAATGGAGAATTAGTCGGAATTGCCTTCTCCCATCCATATATTTTAACAGCAACCAAATCTGTCCTTATTTCCCTTTACACGTTCGACATTCCTCCCAAGACAGATCGTTCCAACACTCTAGAACGAGCTGGAGAGATCCATGGTCAATTGGGAGATTTTGAGAGCGAATCTGAGGAAGATTTAAGGAAGATAGAAGAAGATCCCAAGCGAGTAACTCTTCGAGCACCCTACCTACTTACATCACTTAAGTCGCATACGTCGAGGACTCCTTTGGCCTTGTCTATTAGGAAGACGACTGCTAGTACTATAGCTTCGATAGCTTATACATTCTCAACCTTTCAAGGCTGGTCCTTGGGCATCCAAGATTTACATTTACGCCCTCCTACTTCCCGGTCAAAACACACACCGGATATTTCAACAACTCGATTGGCTTATACATTACCAGTCCGAACTAACTCTTCTCACGTTCCATCGCCACCAATATCACCAACCTGGCATACAAGCCTGCAATCTTCGCATCCAGACGACGAAGGCATTGATGGGCCCACCAATTTATGTTATACGCACCCTTATCTTCTTGCAACTCTGCCAGATAACACATTAATTTTATACCTTTGCACGTCCAATGCGACTTCATTATCAATATCGCCTGGTATCCGGCTTTGGGGACATACATCCGGCATAAGCGACGCCGAAATAACGGCCCGCGGAAAGGCGGTCAGTGTTAGTTCTCGGGGCGAAGAAATTCGAGTCTGGGAACTTGAAGGGAGGGTACACGGCAAGAGCATCGAAGTCCGTCCCACCCCTAAACTTATCACCAACAACCAAGACGGAACAGATGATCATGTTAATACTAATACCACGACCGTCCAATGGGATGAACGGCGGAATTGGGTAGGCTTTGATGATGAAATGGTTATTGTTCTTAAAGAGTCAAAAGGACGAGAGAGCCTGATGGTCTACGACTTTACGTAAAGTTTATACCGACGCAGAACTGATACAGGGAGTTAAGACGTAATTTACACCGGTATATGAACCGCCGTCCAGTATATCCGACGGGCACATGTTGTCAATAATGATCGACTAAAGGATCAGCCACGCTTTAACTGGCTCTTCAACTGGATTTAAGTTGACAGACAGAGAAGTCCTAAGTTATGTGGTTTGTGGGACCTAGATGCTACGGACATCCTTTTTACTAGACTACTCCTACGATATGGAATATAGAGTATCCCCGAGCAATAACACGTCACCAAGCTCCATCGCTACGACAAGCTTGGGAAACCCGAATTGTTCACGAAAAGAGGTACCCCATTTAACAATTATGTACTCTTGTATTCGTGACTACACCTTTGACTGCGGGCTTCTGTTGGTCTCCCTGATTACATTGGCCTTATAGGACGCCGGGTGCGTGGGATAGGACGTACTCACATCACACCCCTAAGGTCTACTGTTGTATTTTCGCTACCAATCCACAAGTCAGTCAGCGCCGGTGTCAACGAGTAAACGCCGGAATAAGAGAACGGACTAACGCCCACTTAGTCGCTGGCCTCATCTGCCAAACGCTCGGTTGGGTGTCCCATTATTCAGAACCCGATTGCTCCAGTCCAATAGGTTCATAGGAAACCAGTCCAAGTCTTAATTCTCGAGTGACAACTCCGAAAAGAGCGACTAAAATGATGGCTGGTAGTGGTTGGGGGATGAGCATCGACCCTCTTGGAATTGGCAACTCCACCCTCCTTTTCCCTGCCGAATCACATACAGGTGTTCTGCATTTCGTCCCCTTGAAGCATCCCAATGCGCCATGTCGAATCGTTTTCTCAGTGGCAAGGGAGACGCGGAAGTAACCTATATAGCCTGAAGTTGTCCTATTAATCCTATATGAACCATGATCATATTGTGCGCTAGTACGGAATAGTGCCGGGCACGATATGAATCACAAGGAAACTTTCCAATTTGGTCTCGTGATGCAACCTTCCCCGGACTCAGACCTGCCGATATATTCAAACGTATGAGGAAGTCAGATCTTGCCTCTAACATTTGTCATGTTTCTGTTCCAATCGGTTCCCTCCTGAGCTACCACCTGATTAAAGTCTCATATCTAGCAATGGGTATAGCCTCTATTTGGCCGAAAAAGTGACCAAGGATTTCTACGTTCTGTGGAGTCCGTAGTCAGCCACAGGCCAACCGTTGAATATTGTTTCGCCGATGTCAACTATCGGTCCGCTAGGCCGTATCCTTAGATTGTGACCAACTAGCGTGGCTGTACGGCAATGCTCGAATGTATCCATGGCCCATGCTTATGCGCTCGGGAATTATTTGCTCAAGTTAATATCGACTCGCCGAGTTGGAGTGTTTCTAATGATAGCACTAACCTTGGTGGCGGAATATGGACAGGTGCCGCACCCACCGGAAGAGGACTTGGGCGAGGGTTGGGAGCATCTAGACATCTAGACTAGAGCAGATCATGGAGATATAATGTTGCGTTGCCCCTAGCCTAGCCTGATATGAATCTGGCTGCTCTCCAGTACGATCAGCATAAATACTACCGCGCCTCGCTGATTGCCAAGGCGTACAGCTAACAAACCCACCGCCTTCCTAGCAAGCATCATCGGGTCTTACGGATTCTATAGTCAGGATGCTCTTCTCACTTCCTCTTCTCGTCGCACCGGCCCTGGTCGCCGCCCACGGTGCCGTAACAAGCTACGAAATTGGCGGAAAGAAATACGAGGGTTACCAGGGATTTTCCCCCGTCCAAGGGGCTCAGATCATCCAGAGACAATGGCCCGACTACAACCCGATCATGACCGTCACGGACCCTAAGATGACCTGCAACGGCGGCACCTCCGCCCCCCTCGCCGCCGAAGTCGCCGCTGGTCAGAACGTGACTGCGTTCTGGAAGCAGTGGACTCACCAGCAGGGCCCCGTGATGGTGTGGCTGTACAGCTGCGACGGCGAATTCACGGCCTGCGACGGCAAGGGCAAGAAGTGGTTCAAGATCGACGAGATGGGCCTATGGGGCAACGTCCTGAACAGCAACAACTGGGGAACCGCCATGGTCTTCAAGGACCTGAAGTGGTCCAGCCGGATCCCCAAGAACCTCAAGCCCGGCAACTACCTCATCCGCCACGAGCTGCTCGCTCTCCACCAGGCCAACACGCCCCAGTTCTACCCCGAGTGTGCCCAGATCAAGGTTACCGGCTCCGGTACCGCTACTCCTCCGGCTAACCTCCTGACTTCCATTCCCGCATATGCTGCCCAGTCTGACCCTGGTATCATGGTAAGTAATCCGCCTACCCGGTCTTTTCGGATATAGGGGCTTGAGAACTAAACAGAATCTAGGTCGACATCTACCAAGGTGGTGGAACTTCGTACAAGACCCCTGGTCCGGCCGTGTGGATTGGGTGAACAGGATAAGGAGGAGATCATGATAATGAATAATGCATGGTTAGGCGATGGAAATGTGTATATATATTTTAAAGACTAACTACCTCGCTTGATGATTGATACTTTGGAATATATTACCATTTTGCCCCGTCGCTGTCTCTGTGGGCTGTTAGTAGTGCATTGCTTTAAGTATATGATGCTGTGAAAATAATCTAGCAATTTCAAACTGGGTCAAATCAATGTCACGAAAGGTTTCGCAACTTGACAACAAATTGACCCGTACATTCTACAACATGGCAGAAGAAAAAAGAAATAAGTGCATAAACCCTATAGATCATTCGTTGAATGATCTGCTGGTGGTAATATTTACGCTGCAAGAAAAAAAGAACAGGAAAAAGGATAAAAATGAATAAAAAAAAAAGTTGCGATGCCAGTTGTCAAGGGAGATAAAAAATTGGCGGTACTGGGAATCGAACCCAGGTCTACACGGTATCAGTATATTTGCACATCCACAACGTGTTGTACTATCCACTATACTATACCACCCTGATGAACATTGGCTAGAAACTAGCGTCTATATTGAAAGCTTTGCCTCTGCTGGTGGATAGGTACAATAAGCCGACATTCAACCGAACAAAAGTTACAAGACTGACTCTTGGTGAGCGGCGAGTTAAAAAACAGGAGCAATGATTTTTAGTTAATTCTTCTTCGTAGTAACATTTCTACCTAGTACCCGCTACTATTCTTCATACCACTACCATCGTGAAAATGTTTGCCCTTTAAGACCGACAGATTCAAGGAGGCAAGCTTCTGTAACTACCGTTGTCGATCGCCTAGACGAAATAATTGGCTAATACGAAGGACTGCTGGTTTTCTTGAAAGCGCTTACCGTGGTAACCAGTCTCGGGTAAGAAGAGCCAAATCAGCAAATCCGCGAAAAGGTTGGTACAAGGCAAACACAAATACCGCGAACAACCAGTAGGTCCACCTGTTGAAGCCGATGTGTGTCAACATCGTAACAACAAAGTTGGCAATACCCCATACGACGACGCTGATGGCACCGCCCTGCGCTCACGCCTTGTCCGGATGTAGCTCAGTAGGAATCAGCCAGACGGTCGTCAGCCAGAAAACTCCGAATATGGACGTCGAACCCACGAGTGTTACAGTGCCCACGACGGATTTAAACGCGCCGCCGGTGGGGAAGAAGTTCATTGCGATCAAAGCTAGAATAACGTAGCAGACTGTCAAACCACCACTCCCCCACAACATTGACTTTCTGCGACCGTACTGGTCCACCAAGTTGACGGTGAAAACCATCGTGAGGAAGTAAAATATGTAGGTACCTAGGTAGTTTCCGAGAGTCGCATACTGTGAGATCCACGGTGCCGTTCCTAGGAGTTGGAATATTTGCGAACCGTAGACAGAGACGGCCCCGCAGCCTGTCATGGCCTGGACGTTTCTCGCTTTATCCATCTCTCCATGGCTCACCAGCCAGCGCGGAGATTCCGGGAGCTGAGATATGATACACCCTATTACCAAAGGGAAAGCTTCCATACTAAGTATAGGCAGTCTCCAAGCCGCGCTGGATTACCCAAACCAATAGGAGCAGAAAAGAGTCAATGCGAACGCTGCCAGCAACCCTCCAATGTTTGCCCGGAACTCTTTCGCCACTCTGGAATTTCGTGGTCAGCAGTTGCCAATAAGCATTTAAATCAAGTATTATGGTAATGGCTAGATACCTACCTATATATGATAGCGATTGCGAAGTCTAGGTACCGAAACGTGAAGGGATTGAAGAAAATTTCTCACAAGCAGTACCACGGACATTGACCTCGGAAAGCTCAGCAGTATAGACGGGAATTACCGTATCGATGCTGCCAATTCCCATCCCCAGCACAACCCGTCCGAGTAGAATGAGCCAAAAGGGGCCACGTTCCCACATATGGCCGAAGTTCGGGAAGGATTCGTTAGGAGTACATATTGATGAGGCTGAGGTAGGTCTTGTCTGTATTGACAAGGGACGTCATGCCCTGGTCATAGCCGTATAGAGCAATAGAGATATACGAGAAGCCCTTCACGACTGTCTGTAGAGTCCAGTTGTGGAGCATCCATTTCCATTCACGTACACATTCTAAAACGCCTGCCCTGGCGATTATTTAAGCCCGGTTGGTTATTATGTGGTTGTAGTGGTGGTATTTTAAGTTCTTAGAGGCTCTTCTTCCTCTGCTATGATCGGTAAACGAAAGGTTCGGAAAGGTACCTAGAAAAACAAATAATAGGTACCTAAGGTAGGTAACCAATCCAAGATAAATAACTCGATATACGATAATGGTGACATAAATATTCTCGCAAAGATAGTGGAAGGGTTGCGTTATGGTTTCAGGGTCGTGAGCTAGGCCTCCGAATGAAATTGTCTTAGGAGTAAAAGTTGTCAAAAAAAAAAAAAAAAAAAAAAAAAAAAAAAAAAACCGATGGTAACTCCTTAATGCTGTCACGCTCTTTTCTATGTTTACTTTATTACTTTATCAGCAGCTTCTCACAACAGTCAGAGTAAGAGGTATCGTCATTGTCTACATAACACTAGAGTAAGATGTTAGGTACACCTCATCTATTTGCTCGGACCTTCCAAGCCCAGTTACATATGTGACCACCCAAGTTACCGCCTAGGTATGATTCCCTAAACTTCTCTTAGACCTCGTTAATGTTTCGCTCTGCCAAACGTACTTGGATAGTACACGATGGCAAGTTCGGAGCGGACGAACAAATAATTACAAGCTAGTGTAAAGTCTTGAGGGACCGCACCGGCCGGCCGTACTGCACGGTTAGGTACCACGTGGTAGACTATTCGATTTCACATTACATCCATGTCACATGGCGTGCTCTTCTCGTGAGATTTGGAGGCTTCTAAGGCTGTTGAGGTTAAGAGTTATGATTCGTCATGCCCCTCGTCTTTTTACTCGATGAACCCCTGCAGCTCGCTGTCACCATGCATAGTATTCAACCAATTATACGCCTCAACTCGGTTTTCCTTAGCCGCCTACCAACGTAGGCCAACCATATATCATGAACTATAGTCAAGGACCTCGCAAGAAAACGGTGAGTCGTGATAGTGGATATGAGTTTTCAAGACCCTATGCTGGAATGCTCGTTCCTTCAAGATCTATTCCTGAGCTAGAAACTTGGTATCATCGTTTAGCCATGTACATGAGAGTAAAGAGTTTAAGCAGTTTATATTTACTCCAAATTAAAATCATTATTGTGATACGCCGCACAAAGATGACAAAACCACGAGGTTGAGCTCAGTATGTTAAGTAACACTTCTGCATTCAAACTACCTACCTAGGTAACTTGCCCTTGCGAAACCCACGAACACCCCAGGCCTGGAGGCCATACCTCTTCTCTATACATGATAAGTGAGTTGGCAGAAAGCCGTTCTAACTGTCTGCCTCGTAAAAATATCATGGTATTAACGCTATCGTTTTTCATTGCTCATGCTTGGATTTCCATGGCCTCCTGGCCACCTACCCAACGTACCAACGAACTACATGGCCCGAACACTCCATCTTACCATCCGCTCGTACCTTTCCATTATGTTTGCCCGCATATCTCTTAATGACCTCGTCGATTACGTCCACGATATCTTGGTTATGCATCGAAAACGAGAACTGCGAGGTGTCTTCGTCTGTTTCCCGGGAGACACCGAACTTGCAAGGCCCCAGATATAGGTTGTCGCGATAACCCGCAGGCCTGTTATGAAAATCGACGCCCCAATAGCCTGCATCCGTCAATACGCCCCGGCAAGTCTGTTGACAGTCTGAAGAGGATGGCGCTGATGTCGAAGAGGCACCGGTTCTGTCTGTGTATGACAGGGTTTTGCAATATCCCACAATGGACTTGTCGCCGGCACATGCATCTTGTCTTTGAATTAGGGGAGAGGGAACGCCGGCGACGAGCGCGGTGAAGACGCTCAAGAGCATAGTTCTGGAAAACATTTTGACTGGATAGTATGTTGATGACATCAAATGTAGTCTAGAATTCGAAGTATTCCCAAATTCATGATATTATCCCTCACGATCTTTAGGTCGGTACGTTTACCATGAGGCAAGAAGAACAAGCCAAATTGCGATGAGTTGATAAGTGACGTTATATACTAGCTAAGTTATAGATGTGCCGAGTTCGATATGTTCCATTACCACTCTGGCAGGCCTAATCACACATGTGATGTGATAAGCAAGATCGTCGCAGTGTGATAGACCGACAGAGGTGGACTTACACATCACGGACGTGGCCAATCACGACGTCGTACTATAGTGAAACGTATTTGGGCAGACCACAAGATGAAAATCAACCTAATAGCAATGTTTTACTTTGCTGTCGTCTTGGCGCATAGTGCAGTCGAAAGACTAACGCAAACATTATCAACTCATAATCATCCTCTCCATCCCGCGATTCAGGGCTAACGCACACTGGGCTGTACGGATACACAAATACTTCCTAGGACACCCTAACATTGCCGGTATACCAACAATAGAATAAAATTCCTCAAATTAAATTCGTGGCGAAGAACGAAAGTTGGTAAGTTTGATCCTCTGATGTACCTAATGGAAACGCGCACTAATAAGTAAAAGCCCGGTCCTAAACGATTGACAATTTGCGCCCACTGGATTGCTTCACTTGTAGCACCTCTCTTACTCTAGCACGAGAACTTTTGCCATCGATCTCAATCACCAAGAGCTCTTTCATAATTACCTAAGACGTAGGATATCGCCTACCACAGTCTGTTCAGCCCATCGGGAATCTCGGTTCCTCAGCTATTGCATGTCAGTCGAAACCCCAGGACGAACTATTTTCCGCGGTGAAGTTGACCTTGTCGGAGAAAATACCCAACACCCAGAAAGGGGTATCCAAAAGAGGTTTGTGGAAAGTTGTCAGGCCTTTCTCTTACCACTGGAGAAACCAAATGAGGAATTCTGTGTATTGATTGTTGGCTTTATGACGATCTGTTGACAGAATATATGCCCTTGCCAACCCGAAATCAAAGATAACGACCCAGGGCCAGGTCCCATTCTGAGGGAACGGCAATAAATTCTCTTGATTTATGTGCGCATATAAGATTCGCCACGCTTGCACGGCAGAAATCCCGCCAAGTCCCATCATGGTCTTGGGCGAGATTTAATTCTGCATTCTCACTTTGTTTGACGTTTTTCCTTATGGAATCCGGAGCTTCGTTTCAATAGAATGCGGCGAGATCAACGCGGATGGGGATCCCTTCGGGACTGTAAAGGGTGGACACATAAACCTCTACAGTCCTGTCTTCCCAGTATAGGTACATGCGAAAGGGTCTATTCCAGCTAGACGACTTGCTCGAATCATTATCAGCTTACGGAAAAGGTATATACTCCCAAAGTTTTGGATCCCTTGATCTGGTCTTCGACTTAATCGTTGGTTCCCGGTATGCACAGCCATTGCCACAGGCAAACACCAATATTTCATTTACAATTGGGGCAAAGCAGTAAGTTCAATAGTAAATGTGCCATTAGGTAGACAATATAGATATCACTTTTTCAAAGTTTCAATTCTCAAGCACGGGTCCCTTATCTCCATAGATCGGGTCTTTCTCGAACCACGGCAGATTTTGGATGTTCTGTATCTTAGCTTCTTCTCCCTTCTTGCCGTAGCACATATCCCAGTTGTAACCCTTGGGATAGGAGCCCACCATCTCAAACCCGCCTGTAAGATCTTCTAATAGTCTATGCCCAACGCCGGCGGGCACGACCAATACATCACCCTTCTGAACCTCTTTTTCCACCTTTCCGGGGTTATCCTCGCCGCCGAAGCAAAGCCTCGCCTTTCCGCTGCTAATACATAATAGCTCATGCGTAGTAGAATGAAAGTGGGTGGTGGAATACATAGTATACCGCCACTGAGGATCCACGACACCGACTGTTGTGAGATGGGACTCTATAGCTGATGCAGTAAGTGTAGAAGGAGGAAAGGCCTCGTGATAGTGTAATAGAGGTTTATTTTGGATGCTGGTGTTGGGGATAAGCCCGTGCGCTGGGATAAAGTGACGAGAGACACGAAGGGACGTTAAAGGTGTGGGAGTTAATTTTGGGGCCATAGTAAAACACTATGCTAGTTAGGTATCTAGGTAGGTATTGTATAAAGATATCTTAAGATAGCCAATTATACCTAAGGATAAGTAAAACACCTGGTTTCAAAATAGTGAACCGGCTGGACTGATGTCAATGTTTTGGTGATGCGTCCCTGTGCTATTCGCTCAGGTTAAGGTTAAGAAGTAGGTACCTAAGACAACAACAAAATATCAAATCGACGTCATCGAGATTCAAGATAGTCGCAACTTGATTTGATTTAGGCTTAGTTTAATTTAAGTTAGGTAAATCCTATTTTTCTTTCTTTTTCTTTTCCCTAGTAGCAATGTGTATTAATGAGTTTTACGCACTATTAGAAAACGTTTTCCTAATACAACATCGAATTGCCCGAATCTTCGGGAATTAGGTCATATATACGTCCGGGAAGCAGTCATCATTGGTTACATTTCTGCAATGAATAAGATACCTAATTCGACCGACATCCGTCGAAATGCCCCGCAGCATATCTGCGTGACTCGGAATTTCAACCTCGACCCCTTTTTCACCTTGAATACTTCATTTCATCAATTATCCCACTTAGTATAAATCATCCCCCGAAAACTTAAAACATTTCAGGCGTATGAAAGACTAGGATGTATTAGGGATAGATCTACTAAGATCTGTTATGATAGCAGTATCTAAGGAGCACGCGGCTGCCTCGAAGGTACTTCGAGAGGCAAGCGTCACCATACTGCACACTTGCTACTTACTGCCTCTATTATTTACTTTAATTATGATAGACATCACGGAATCTCTCTGACAAAAGTGTTCTTGGATTTGATACACGAACGACAACAAAATGGAGTGTTTTGAAATTTCCTTTGAATCTAAAACGGTTCTTATTATAACCACAAGCGTTCTACTATTCTTCGTTACCGCATATGTGATCTACCAAAGATTTTTCCATCCACTGGCCAACTACCCTGGGCCGTTTCTCGCATCTCTCACCAATGGCTGGAAAGGCTATTATATCTACAAGTTGAGCCTCCACGAACAACTTCTCAAAGCGCATATCGAATACGGCCCTGTTGTGAGGGTCGGACCCAAAGACCTGCATTTATGGAACGCAGATGCTATAGCGCCAATCTACAAGTCAGGTAGGAAAATGGCCAAGACAGAGTTTTACGATGGCTTCACGGCATTTAGGCCAAATTTGTTTGGTGGTAGGGATGAAGATGTTAGTTCCTTATGTTTTTAACTCATCATACAACTTCAACTTGAGGTCAATCTACTGATTTGTAGTAGATCCACTCCCTACGCCGACGACAGCTATCACATGGGTTCTCACAAGCTTCTATATGGAATATGGAATCATTAATTGACGACCAGATGAAGATACTCATTGATAAACTGAAAAGACTAGCCGAGAAGCAGGGGGTGTTTGATCTCAAGCGCCTGATAGCGTTTTATGTGTTTGACATTTTGGGCGATGTTGCATTTGGTCGTTCCTTCAACGCTCAAATAAGTGAAGTGGCCCCTGAGATTCCCGCCATCAACGACCATATCCTTCTCTCGTGTCTCCTAGGCACATTTCCGTTTCGTTCTTTTTTCAAGAGAATTATCCCCATGCTACCTATTCCATGGCTTCGTCACTTAATGGAGAGTAGAGGTAAACTCAAGGAGACGTGTGCCGACTGCGTGAGAAACAAGAGACAGCAGCCATCTACCAGCCGCTCATATTTAATGCAACATCTAGTGGACGCTAAGGATCCAGAAACAGACGCCAAGCTAACAGACGAGGAGGTCAATTCGGAGGCATGGGCAATGCTGTCAGTTCTACTCATTGATAACACTATACTTTAGGTACCTAAGGTACAGGGGAACAAAAGGAATAACTCTTTACAGGATCGCCGGATCGCATTCGACCTCAGGAACCCTCAGCCTCCTATTTTGGCACTTGATTCATAATGATCAAGCTCTGCAACGAGTTGATAAAGAGATTCAAGACAATCTCGGCGACCTTCCGGGCGACAGCATTTCGTACCCCATCCAGGGGCTTGAGTCTTCGCTAAGCTACACTGCAGCTTGTATCCAGGAGAGCTTTAGAATAAGTCCTACATTCACTATGTGTTTATGGCGACGCGTCCTCAATCCCGGAGGTGTCGATATTGGTGGCTGTCATATCCCTCAAAACGTCAGTCCAAAAGAACCGCCAGGTATTAAAGAAACGAACAACTAACGGCCTTTTTATCATAGACGAATTTAGCCATTTCAAACTATGCACTGCACCATAATCCCAAAATCTGGGGTGCGGACACAAAAGAGTTCACTCCCGAAAGATTCCTCGGAGCCGACGGAAAAGTGTTAGCGAATAACCTCATCCACTTCAGTGTCGGTCACCGTATGTGCATTGGGAGGCACTTAGCTATGATGAATATCTGGAAGACGTTGACTACACTAGTCAATAAGTTTGAATTTCACCTCGTGTCCGCAGAACGCCGCGTTCGCGTAGAAAGTTCGGGGATTGGGGAAATGGAAGGGCCATTTCTTTGTACGGTGAAATTGAAGGGTTCAGATATGTAGAGCATGACACATTTAACAGTGCTAAAGTGTATTAAGATCGTGTACGCGATTAAAAGGCGTCGAGGGAGTTACACTTGAAAGACTTGGCGAAATTTGGCTCCTGTAAGTATTAGCAACGGGGTTTTCCCAGGCTGTTGTCTCTACAATTTAGACTTTACAAGGTCATGCAACTCGTTTATGTAAGGTAGAAATATGGCATTTTTATTCTATGGGTGATGTCTTCAAATGTCTTTCTAAGCAATGTCGTAGAAGTCTATTATCCCGCACTTATAACAACCCAAGCGCGAGTCAACTATCCGTCACAACGAGAACAATGTCTTTGAAGAAAAAAGGGCCAAGACCATCCGATAGCTCCGGCTTCCCTTTTCCGCACGCTTCGGTCCTATCGCGTATGTATTTTGGATGCCACTAGGCCGTAAGAAGCGCTGCGTACCAGAGTTAGATAAAGGTCTAGATGACCCCCATGCCGGTATTAGAAAGATGAGATGCCTATTCTGGAGTAAGCTTTCCTTCATAATGCCTCCGCCGCCCGGTTGAGGTATTATGCAGGTGGATTTATCAGTGCTTAAAAATAATTATATTAGGTATCAATGGACTGGTAGGCCAGAAACTGTGAAGGTGAGGGAAAATGATAAGTGAATTAATCGATCTCTAACCTTATTCGATACCTGGTATTAGGCCCAGTTACTTCCAGGCAGTGTAAAAAACAAAGACTAAAACCCAATAGATCTGACTTGCCTTTCTCATTTCTGCATCTGCAGCCCGTCTTTGAGAAGCCCTACGAACGAGACGATACCCGACTAATAGCTTACAAGTTCGAATAGTTATTCACCTAGATTTGGAGGTATCTATTATGAGTGTGGGCTGAAGTTAAAAGGGTAGACATGAAATCTATTCGTTGCACATATCGCAACTGTTTGAAGTAACATGAAAATCATTGATTTTTGGTTGATACGCTTCACTGATAGGCTTCTTTGTTGAGAGACGAAAAGAGTAATAGAAAATGTCACCATCGGATCATGGCTCAACACCTTCCTAATATCATACCCCGCTCCTCAGTATAATTAACCGCGTGTCAATATAAATAGATCACCTTCCCGTGCTAGATATATGGACACAGTAGAGGGTTTTGTGGTCATCTTCTTCGTTTTTTTTTCTTATTTAAGACGTGATTGAAGATGACAAGTTATTACGTATAGTGAGATCGGAGTGAGGGTTAGGGTCCACGGGTACCTTGATGGCCTAAAATGATGTTGGATTAACCTACACCTTCGGTTGAGGAGCCTTTGATGTAACAAAGGAATCACAATAGGATTTACTCGTTTTTCACTATACTACAATTCTAGTTGAGCCGCATCCTCTTCAACTTCACCATGTCGTTTGAAAAATCTATTGAGCCGGCGAACAGCGCTCAGCTCACTGATGAAGAGTCGACCCCTGTCAGCGTTGAGGAGGAGTCTTCCGTCATAGATTGGACTGAAGCAGAGGAGCTCGCCGTAACGCGGAAGTAAGGCATTGCCGCCCTAAGAAGCCTAACCTGTATCTTACCTACGAAGTTCTAACTTGCTTATAGACTCGACCTCATTTTGCTTCCTATTCTGGCTCTTGCATTTTTTGCTCTACAAGTAGACCGAGCAAACATTTCAAACGCCTTGACGAGCACCATTACCGAAGATCTCGGCATCGACACGAACCAGATCAACGTTGGGAACAGCATCTTGATGACAGGTTTGGTCCTGCTAGAGATCCCCTCCAACGTTCTGCTGCAGCGCATAGGACCTCGGAAATGGCTGTCCGCTCAGATCATAGCTTGGGGACTCGTCGCCACTTTTCAGAACTTCATTAGGAATTATGGCGGATATATTGCTACCCGTCTGCTACTCGGTTTGGTACGAATAACGAAATCAGCGCCCCGTTATACTTCTATATATATATAATTAGGATGCTAATGGCAAGCTGTGCAGTGCGAGGCCGGCTTCGTCCCTGGCGCGCTCTACACAATGTCGACTTGGTACAAGAAATCGGAGACTAGTCTACGAATCTCAATATTCTTCCTCGGAAATCTTCTCGCTTCGACCACTACTTCGCTGATTGGCGCGGGCATTCTCAGTATGGGCGACCGGTATGGGATTGCGGGTTGGAGGTGGCTCTTCATAGGTACGTAATATTCACTTCCACTGCCCTATCATAGTCCTACCGTTATGAACTAATTGGATAATATCCTCTCTTCGTAGTCGAGGGAGCCATTACGATAGGTATTGGCATCATTTTCATCCTCTTCCTCCCGCCGTCAGTCGGGAACGGATCTCCGCTCATTAGCTTCGGCCGGTGGTCGTATTTCAATAGGCGCGAGTCGTACATATTAGTGCGTCGCGTGCTGCTCGATGATCCGGCAAAGGCTACAAACCATCTGCGAATCTCTGGTGCCGACGTCTGGGAAACTGTGAGAAACCCTAGGATCTTGTCGCACATGATCATCACGACGACGGCTATGATCCCGATGTACGCTATTAATACCTACGGGCCGAGCTTGATCAAGAACTTGGGATATGGCACGGTGAAAGCCAACGCCATGGCTAGCGTTGGTGGCTTCATCGGCGCGATTGTGACGGTGTCTCTAGGATGGATGTGCGACGCTACTAGGAGAAGAGCGCCGGCATTGCTAATCAGCGCCGTCTGGAGTTTGATTGCATTTTCTTGCCTGAGAGAAGCGTGGAGGTGGAGTCCTGGGAGGAAGTACGTAGCCGTTATTTTCTCGATGGCCATGAACTTCACAATACACATTCTCAACACCGGTTGGTTGTCTGTGAACTGCCAACGGCCCCAAGAACGAAGTATTGCTATGGCGTAAGCCCCCTTCCCCAATGGCTCCTCATGAATTCCCAGTTCATAATGCTAACCTTGATTGTCAACCTAAGGATGGTTATTATGGGCGCGAATGCTGGGGGGATTGCGGGAAGCCAGGTATTCAGGACTCAAGACGCCCCCCTTTATCAGAATGCCTTTACTGCCTGCGTGGTACTTTCGGCCATAGTCGTGGTGGAAGTTGTAGGGCAAGGCGCGTGGTACTTCGCAAGCAATAGGAAGCTCGATAGGCGGGGAGATGCCCCTATCATATCTGGGAAGATGGATGAAGGGTTTGATGGACAGAGAATTGAATTAGTAAGGAAATGGAGGTGGACATGGTAGGTAGCGAATACTCTCAACGAGAGTTGAGATTTGATATATGAGATGAAATAGAATTAGAGATGGCTGTTGATAGATGGCGTTACGAGAGCCCGTACGTCGGTAATTAACTACCTCGAGCATTTTTACAGGAGGCTATATAACTCCACTGTTAAGAATCAAGTCCAAAAAGACGATGAGCGACGCATTGGTGTATCCTATTAGACGTTCATTAAGATATAAAAGTATTACAAGTTTACAACGGGTAGGGTCGGGTTTAGACCTTCAAGTGTTGGACTCCGGAGAACATCGGATGGACAGCGCCGATCGGCTAATTAGGGTCAACACTTGGATTTACCGGTGCACAGCTACATATAGTAAATTACCACGCCCTAATTCTCAACGAATCAGATCTACAACTAGTCGATAGTTGTAAGGGCTTGTGGTTTAGTGGTATAATACTCCCTTAGCATGGGAGTGGTCCGGGGTTCGATTCCCCGCGAGTCCATCGTTAGGAGGTTAGATTCCTTCTATACCACCCTTTTTGCATCGTTTCATTGATCTTTTTTTCTTTTCTTTTTTTTTTTATTGGATTCGCTAACCATTATCATATAGATCTATGCTTAGACTTGATTATTGAGTTTTATGTGCAAAGCGTGAACTATATTCAATTTATTACTTGATGTTTTTTTTGGGGGTGTAATACCAGTTTTGTATCCTGTCACATCGGTTCTCGCTTTTTCATTGAAGGCATGTAATGACGGAATTAATGGAGAACTCGGAACACTACAATTCCGTAGCGTCTTTTGGGAGTAAGTAATTCTATAGGGGCAAATCAAGTTTAGATTATGAAGCAATGAAAAATCCTGCAAAACATTTATGAGGATCGTTTAGGTCTGAGCTGTTGTTGCGAAGTTCGCGGGTTCGTATTCGGATTTTCACTCTTATAGCATGAACATCGCGGGGGTCGTATCACATGTCAAATTTGAATTGCAACAGGGGAACTTGAACTGTTAAACTGTTAAACTGTTAAAGCCACTAGAAAAAATAGCCACGTCGCATTTTTTTTACTGTGGCTTGTCGGGTTCGTATTCGGGTGAATACCTGTGTATTTCGAAATTGCGGTAGAGATAGAAGTACTTAGAGCAAGAACGGAGACGAATTGACCCCTGTCTCCGCCTTACTCTAATGCAGGTTCAGTGCAAAGTCATTGGTCAAAATATTGACAAGCTTGAACTAAGCCTAGACTACGAACCCAAGATTGGCTGAGAAATTGGAAAAAGGGTCCCTCTAGATAATTCAGGTGTTTAATCAATTGTCGATAAACGAACCCCAAGAAAATAATAAAATGCCATTCGAGTCCCCCCTTTCCTGAGTATACCGCTTCTCGACAACCGCAACAACATCCTTCCTTCAACAACTTTCTTATCTATTGTTTCTGGTGTTGATACCATTATTATTATATTTTTTACTGTCATTTCTTTACGGCCTTTGTAATTACCTCTTCCATTTCAAATCATTCCTTCAACCCCTCAAAGGCCACTCAACATGGCACCCTCCAAGATTGAGCTCGAGAAGCAGGATAAGGCCCGCGATGCTGCCTTCAACAAAGCGATGCACGGAGAGACTGCTCAGCTTAAGGGTGGTTTCCGAGCTATGATTAGCAAGGGCGGAAAGGGCACCGATGCGCAAAAGGCTGCTGTTGACGAGTACTTCAAACACTGGGACAACAAGAATGCTAAGGACGAGACTGAGGAGGATCGTGCCAAGCGAACAGCAGAATATGCCACTTTAACGAGGCAGTATGTTACCCAATACCCAATACCCAATATCCAAAATATAGTTTAAAATGTATGAATTATTATTAACACGGTCCAATAGCTACTACAACCTCGCTACCGACTTATACGAGTACGGCTGGGGCCAGTCCTTCCACTTCTGTCGATACTCCCTGGGCGAGAACTTTTACCAAGCCATTGCTCGACATGAACACTACCTTGCACACCAAATCGGTATTAAGGAGGGCATGAAGGTGCTGGATGTGGGTTGCGGTGTTGGTGGTCCCGCCCGAGAGATTGCCAAGTTTACTGGTTGTCATGTCACCGGCTTGAACAACAACGATTACCAAATCGAGCGTGCTACTCACTACGCCGCGAAGGAAGGTCTCTCAAATCAGTTGACCTTTGTCAAGGGAGATTTCATGGTAAGTCCTGACCCTAGAAATTTTGACCTCGTGTTTTCCCGTACAGGGTCTAATGTCTAATGTCTTGCAGCAAATGGATTTCCCCGACAACACCTTCGACGCTGTTTACGCCATCGAGGCTACCTGCCACGCGCCTAAGCTCGAGGGTGTCTACAGCGAGATTTTCCGAGTGTTAAAGCCTGGTGGTATCTTTGGTGTTTACGAATGGCTCATGACGGAGGATTACGATAACGATAACGTAGAGCACCGTGAAATCCGCCTTGGTATCGAGCAGGGTGACGGTATCTCCAACATGGTCAAGGTTTCTGAAGGCCTCGAGGCCATGAAGACCGCTGGATTCGACCTATTACATCATGAGGACCTTGCTGAACGCCCCGACCCTATCCCGTGGTACTGGCCCCTTGCTGGTGAGTGGAAATACATGCAGTCAATATTCGATACGTTCACCATTGCACGAATGACATGGTGGGGTCGTCTGATTGCGCATAACTTCGCTGGCTTCCTAGAGATGACTCGCTTGGCACCGGCGGGTACCAAGAAGACGGCAGACAGCTTAGCTCGCGCAGGTGATTGTTTGGTTGCAGGCGGTGCTAAGCATCTCTTCACACCTATGTACCTGATGATTGGAAAGAAGCCGGAGCAGAAGTAAAGGGGGGGACTGTGCCATGAGGGCGTAGGAGATACGACTTTTTAGCCGAGGACGAACGAGGTGCTTATAAGCACAGTAATGAATAAAGACATAACGTCCATGCCTACCTACATAATATTACTAATACGAGTTTCCTTGGGGGTCCCGATGGGTTATTTATTGAGGAAAATAGCCTTGACTACCTAGGTACCTGGTATATAAGATATATTGCAAAGAGGTATTGGACCCCTAGGTGCTCATCGTTAGAGCACATCATTTTGCAGCATATACTAGCGACTGAAATAAAAATTGATCAGACAATGATTGCCCCTAGTTTCGATACAAATACAGTGAATAATAATAGTCCCTTAATAGTAAGTTGTTGCAGATTATTTTCAAGCTGGTTTTGAATTTATAAAGACCAATGCCAGTCAATATAGTGAGTGGAGTACGTACCTCTTGACGTAAGGAGGGAGATATCTAAGCGGATTACCCCCAACGGAGCGATAGGTACCCCAATTCTCACTCCGTTAGGTACGGCGTTACTCGACGAATTTAGGATACAGATCAATAAACCAGACCCGCAAGGTATTTCCTAAAAATTGAAATGTTGTTATTGTATAAACAGATTTGATCTATCTAACTATATGACAGAACTGGATCTCCATCCGTATTATAGAAATATGATGATGGTCAAGTGGTATTTGGCAAGTACCTATCTTGGTACCTAACTTGAATAATTCAAGGTAAGGCTGTTTCGATAAGGGTCGAGGTTAGGAATTGAGAGCTCCGATAGCTAACAAAGATAGTGAGAACTAAGCCTGATACGGTATAGCGCGGCATATCGCTCTCAACAAGCTGTTCCTATTCCATCCGAAAAAAAAGTTGGGAGAAGAACCGCGATTTTGATAGCAACTCCAAAAAAAAAGGCTGACGGTAAAAAATCGCTCTTCAAATCCTCCCTCCCCCCCCATTATTAACCGCCGTCACCAACTATACCCCTTCGCCAACCACGGTCACTTCTGATCGGCTGGGATTTCGGGTTCAATTCCATTATATTCCTCTTCATCAGTACAATCTCTCAGAATGTCGCGATACTTGCGTCCGGCGGCTAGGTTAGCTGCCTCTGTACGCACTGCCGCAGTTCCCCGAGTTGCTCCCCGGTTTACTCCCGCCTCTTTCGCCATTTCTCAACGAAGAACGTTCGCGGATATAAAAGGTGTTAAGGAGTATACTGTCCGTGACGCCCTCAACGAGGCTATGGCCGAAGAGCTCGAAGCCAATGAGAAGGTCTTCATCATGGGCGAGGAAGTTGCCCAGTACAATGGCGCATACAAGGTTACGAAGGGACTGTTAGATCGCTTCGGAGAGAAGAGAGTTATTGATACCCCGATTACGGAAAGCGGTTTCTGTGGTTTGGCCGTTGGTGCCGCGCTGGCCGGCTTGATTCCTATCGTAAGCATAATTATATTATATATATATTATATATAATATATATATCCCTAGAAGCTACGAGGAACATCAGGAACAGAGATGCTAATCGATTGCGCAATATCTAGTGCGAGTTCATGACCTTCAACTTTGCTATGCAGGCTATCGATCAAATCGTTAACAGTGCTGCCAAGACGCTCTACATGTCCGGTGGTATTCAGCCCTGTAACATCACATTCCGTGGCCCTAACGGCTTTGCCGCCGGTGTCGCCGCTCAGCACTCTCAAGACTACAGCGCTTGGTACGGATCTATTCCCGGTCTTAAGGTTGTCGCCCCCTGGTCCGCCGAAGACGCCAAGGGACTTCTAAAGGCTGCTATCCGCGACCCCAACCCCGTCGTCTTCCTTGAGAACGAACTTATGTACGGTGTCTCTTTCCCAATGTCCGAGGCCGCCCAAAAGGACGACTTTGTTCTTCCCTTCGGCAAGGCTAAGGTCGAGCGCGAGGGCAAGGACCTGACTCTGGTCTCTCTTTCCCGTACCGTTGGTCAGTGCATGGTTGCGGCCGAGGCCCTCAAGAAGAACTACGGTGTGGATGTGGAAGTTATCAACCTGCGATCGGTCAAGCCCCTAGATATCGAGACCATCGTAAAGTCTGTTAAGAAGACCCACCGACTGATTTCTGTCGAGTCCGGCTTCCCGTTCGCCGGTATGGGCGCCGAAATTCTCGCCACGACCATGGAGTACGCTTTTGATTACCTCGACACGCCCGCCCAGCGAATCACCGGTGCCGAAGTTCCCACGCCGTACGCGCAAGGCCTCGAGCGGATGAGCTTCCCCACCGAAGAACTCATCGAGAAGTTTACCGCGAAGGTGCTACGTGTATAAAGCATGGGGACGAGATGGGATGGATGAAACGAAGGGAAAACCATAGAAAGAGGAGTTTGAGGCATGAGCAATGTACAATATTAATCATTTAATGCCTGGACGAACTGTCACCCCGGATTAGGTGTTTCGAAAATGGCGGAATCATTCCCACGACGAAATGGATATATTGATTTACACCATGTTCTCTCGACTCTCGCATCTACTTTTACGCGTGCTTCAAGTGATCCCAGCTCGCAGCCGTGAGCTCTTACGAGCGGTGTATATTACATGTCTAAATCCGTGAGAACGGGCTAATTTAAGCACACGATCAGGAACAAAAGTAAAGTCCTAGATGTAGATACGACTTACCCCGGCGTCCAGATATACTGGGACTAAATGGCTGGGTACCTCCTATGCTCCACCCGGCTGGAACCTACGCCCCAATCCGGGGTTGGCCGTGCCTGCACGCCGTCTTTGACAGTTGAGAAACCGAAGGAACTTCCCCCTTCGCCAAACTTTAGTTATATGCAGGGAAATATGATACAGTATAAACTTACATAACTTAGACAATTCAACTCTACTTTCATTATTACCTCGATTATCTTAAACTTGACCAAAGCTCATTTGAAAGGTTGCCAACAATATAGGAATTTCCCCGTTGCAAACCTGCATTGCCATGTCCCACGAAATAACAGTTCCTGATGCGAACAGCGAGCAGGAGAAAAAAAAATTACACTCCACGATCCTCAGATGACTTTTACCAAAGACCTGGTTGATGAAAAGACACACCTTGCAGATTGCTGATAACTGCATGTATTAGCCTGTTGGTTGTCCAAATCTCTCGTATTGTACGATAGAAACAAGGGTTCTTCAGCGAGTTGGAGGCGTTTAAATTGCCTTGCAGGGCAATCAATATCTTTACTTTGGGAACACCATGGGTCCTGCGAGCCAATTAACGATGGGCTTGACAACCAGATTTATATCACGATTGGTTGGTATATGCAAAATACAATCTTTCGGGGTTTAAACTGTCTTACTTTTTTTTTTTTTCTTCCTTCACCCCTATCTCACCCAGCTAGGTATGTAGGGTAGTTCAAATGTGACAGGAAACCCCAGGACCCCAGGACACGAATTACTGACCGCCTCGAGACGATCCCATCATCCCGGGACGCTACCTATCTGCCTAACTACCGTGGACAACTGCTAGCGAATTTTGGGGAGAGAAGCTTACCACGCTACCGGTCCACCCAGACCCATATCAACCAAGCATAACAGATGATACTTATTCCCACTAGCGAATTTCGCTGGCGCATTATTGTAGTTCGAGATAGCTCCTGGTACATTAAATACCTCCAAAATTAGGCGGAAAGTCATGTACTATTTTGGAAAGAATCTCTAATTGGTCGAGATCCTGGTGACGATCAGAAACTTACCAGTTTCTCGCAAGGTCGAACCTCAAAGAAGACGGGAACATCCTAGGAATGCATATACTACTATCTCGATTTCCTCTCATTCGGGTTCGTCGTGCGACGTGAGCATTCCCCATCCACGAAGTCCTGGGGCTTCTTATTCTTCACTCTTTTTTTCTCACCCCTCGGCGCATTCACGAACCTGTCAGAGTGGCCCTCCTTTTTCGTCGTTTTTGCGTGTTCCCGTTGGATATTGATGTGCTATTGTTAGTGGCATCTTCTCATTCGTCCCTCACCAACGTGTCTGACAGCAACGCTCGCTTTGGAGCGAATTCGAGTAAGAACTAATCTAAATCGTAGCGTCAAGACGCCATGGCGGATAGCTGGAGGCCGACTAGCGCAAGGTCCAGCGGCTCTAGTACGTCGAAACCGCCTGAACAAGCGGAACTTATAGCCGAGCCAGATTCAGATGAGGTACGATATACTGGATCTGGGGTAGCGGGGGGCTGGCATCGCCGCCAACCGATTAACGAAGGATGTCGCTTTGCGGCGGCTTCTTTAGACCATACTTGGTTTGAAGTAAAAAGTATTTGCTAATAACTAAGTTGGACTCATAGGAGTACCAAAATGATGATGACAGGGACAGAGATTCAGCCTTAGGATCAGATATGTTAGTTCCCCTCTTCTTAACGGCTTACACTCTCACTCTACGAAATACCACTAGTAGATATGGTGGTAGCAACTAAAACGTAACTTATTCTAACTATTAACACTCATAAATAGAGAAAGCAGCGCCGGTTCTATCGCGTCAAGCATTTTAGAGTACCGGATGATCCAAGGGCGGACATACCACAGCGATAGACATAACACCAACTACTTCACACCAAACGACGAGCAGCAACTCCAGTCTATAGATATCACGTACGTATCTTATTAGTCCTAAGTCTAATTCCAGCACGGTCCAGCCAAGGGACCCCGAACAAAGATCCTCGCGTCTAGTAGCTCGATCAGCATCGCGATCTTACACATTTCGGGATCGTGTCTAACTGATATACTGCGTTTACTCTCATAGCCACCACTACCTCACCTTACTGCTTGAAGATAGACTCTTCCTTGCACCAATATCCGACAATGTCCAGGTTTGTCAAACCCTTCCTTACTGTTGGCCGTTGGTTCATCAAATCGTGAAATACCTAAACACTGATTGTCTCTATCTATCCATTAGAACGTGCTGGATATTGGAACTGGATCAGGTGAGTAGCCAACCCCTGTCCTAGCACTCAGTAATGCTTTCAGACTCTGACCGATCTGTCTAGGCATTTGGTCTATGTACGTATTATGCTAGAATAAGTTCTTTTTTTAACCAATCCAATATTCTCTATCTTCGCGTCTATTACTTATCAAATATCCTACACGTTACTTACCACTTCTTTTACCCGAGCAGCGACTTTGCAGATCAGTTTCCCCATGCACAGGTAATCGGAACAGATCTCTCACCTATGCAACCCCTTTGGGTACCGCCCAACGTCCGGTTCGAGCTGGAAGACTGCACGCAGCCCTGGTCGTGGCCCGAGAGCTACTTCGACTTCGTGCACCTGCGGTACCTATTCGGCGCGATCCCGGACTGGGACGAGCTTCTGCGGCAGGCGTACCGCGTGACCCGGCCGGGCGGCTGGGTCCAGAGCTGCGAGACCGAATGCATCATCAAGTGCGACGACGGGAGCGTCCCGCCCGACAGCGCCATGGTGACCTTCTGGAATAAGATATACAGCGAGATAGGCGCGAAACTGGGTACCTCGTTCGAACCAATTACTTATGACCTCCAGGAGAATGCGTTTAGGGCCGCCGGGTTTAAGAATATTGAGGTGTATGATTATAAGGTAAGTTGTGAACGTCAAACTCTCTTAGGTTTATAGGGAAGATGGATATTTCGCTGGCTGGGAGGGAGAACCTCCGTAAAAAAAACTTTCCTCCCCCTCTTCCCACCCCGTTCGTTTTATCCCCTCTTGTCTCAGCCGACGATAAGTCCTGTTCATCCATTTTGTACCTAACGTACCGCTAACTGGTTTATCCATATGCAGCTCCCGATCACCGGATGGCCAACCGATAAAAGGATGTCGGAAGTCGGCCAGTATGTGCAATTAACATTACTCAACGACCTTGAAGGTAAGAGCTACTATAGCGTATGCCGGTTCCTAGTTTGTGCAGATCGTTCTAACGTAGGCATGCGTCTGTAGGCTACACGCTCATGCCTTGGCATATGGTTATGAACGAGGACGCGCCGGGTTACAAGGAGAACTTGTCACGAATGCGGAGGGAACTGCATAATAAGAGAATCCACGCCTATATGAGGACTCGCTACGTATATGGCCAGAAGCCGGAAGTATAATGCATGAGCTGAAGGGGCGATTACTCACGTCTTTCGCGTCGAGTGGTATAAGAAAGAAAGAACAGCTCATTTATTTAAAGCGACAGGAGGCATGTTTATCCATTTCTCACAAGCATGGACGCACCTTAAACGCGTGCAATGAAGGAAATACCCGGGATGCTGGTAGTGAATTTTACCACGGAGATAGGGGAGGAATCGCGTACGCGGTGTGTGGAAACTGGCGTATAAGTATGGACTTAAATTGGATCATCCGCTCAATTGTCTGGCGTGAGTACCCGGCTCGACAATTGAATCCATGAACACGATCTTTTCTTTTTTCCTCTTTGGAATGGCTTGAATTGCCATTATAACTGTTTCAAATACCCTAACGTGTTCATATGTGCGTCTAGTACATGGCAGGTGCCTGGATAATAGAAGGAAGTCAGGGAATTTCCGACGTGTGACATGTGATGAATGTAATGGTATAAGCTTTTCTGTCAGAACTTTGTTGTCAAGTCATATAGGGGTGGAAGGGGGCCAGTGTAAGGTGTAAACTTATAACCTTCATATAGCTAATGATCGGCAGGGGTACTAAAAGTAAATGCGTCGGTATAAGTCCTATCGGGGTTCCGGTCGGTTCAATTCATAGCATCATACATATCACTGTATTGTCCAAAGTCGGTATTATAGCGATGCATAACGAACCGGGTTACTAGGTGAGATGGGAACTCTATCCTGTCGCTTTTGTACCTGTTTGCGGATGTTGAGTGTGACTGACGTATGAACAAGCAGACGCAAAGATGAAGAACTAGGTATTTGCACCCTTGAAACAGCCCAGAAATGCAATGATAGCTACATGGCACTGGCGGTTTGCTTAATATGGCATCCAGTTGTGCTTAATGATGCGGAACTGGTTCGTCCCTCCCATGTGACATGTGTCTGTGTCCAAGGGAACATGTCCGACGATGCCCGTGTAATTCATGACGGCTTACATTGTGAGACGACTTTCCTATACTTATAACGTAGGTCCCAGTTTTACTTGTAAGTCTAGCAAGATTCTCATTTCTTCATAGTGATCACTTGAGCTGACAAGACTTCGAAAATGGATTTTTTATCGCTTTATGAGCTTAGGAGTCCGTACCTGTTTTCGTATCTTCTCCTTTTCTTAGCCGTTGCAATCATCGCCGTAGTTGTCTACCGACTTACCTTCCACCCGCTTGCTCGTTTCCCTGGGCCTGTCTTGGCTGCTTCTACAGGATTATACGAAGCGTATTATCAGTGTATCAAGGATGGCGGCGGGAGATACTGGGTTGAGATCGAGAAGATGCACCGGCGTTATGGTAATTACACCTTCGTACAACTATCCCGTATAATGAGTTGGCTTAAGTATCTGTGCTGAAACCCTGCTTCGCTGCGTAGGTCCCATCGTTCGCATAAACCCGCGGGAAGTACACATCGCGGACCCAAACTGGAACGCCGTATACAAATACTCGGCGAAGGCGTCGAAGCCGCGATGGTTCTACTTCCGCTTCTTCGGCAAGTTCCCGAGCACCAACGTCGCCGAATCGCATGCGCTGCACCAGCTTCGCCGGGGGCCGTTGCAGGTATATTTCGCCTCCACCAACATCCAGCAGTATATGCCCACGATCGTGGCCCAAGTCGATAAGCTCTGTGCCCGCCTCCGTGCCGCCGACGGCTGCGTCGTTAGCTTAAGCGATGCATTCCGGTGCCTCGCCACCGACGTAGCGACCGGGTTCGCATTCGGCGCCCCCTTTGGCCATCTCGACGAGCCGACGTTCGATCGAGAGTTCAACCTCGCGGTCAAGATGGTCGTGCGTACCAGCATGTGGAGTCGGCATACCTTCGGGCTGCTGTTGCCAATGCTACATGGTCTGCCAGAGAGTATCGCGAAGAAGATGAATCCGGCCTTCGGAAGGGTGAAGTGGATGAGAGATGTAAGTCAAGTTATCGCTATGGCCACGCCAAGTTTTCGTAATAGGTACCTACTGAGGCTGGCTACCCCTTGCATGCCGAGCTTCGCGTCGCTCACCTTCATGAACGTGCGTGCCACATAAAGCGCAGTGCGCCTTGCTAACTTCCGTTCTTTAAACCTACAGACTATGACCAATTGCGTCCGGCGCTCGATGAACAAGCCCGAGCCCGCGCCTGGCACGCCCCATGACATGATCCAGACGCTTATGTCGTCGAACCTGCCGCCGGAGGAAAAGACGTTCCAGCGCCTCTTCTCCGAGACCCGGTCCGTCATCATGGCTGGCACCGAGACGACCGCCACCACGCTCGTCTGCATCACGAGAAACCTGCTCAGCGACCCGGCGAAGCTCCAAAAGCTGCGGGCGGAGTTGGACGCCGCCGAGAAGACCAAGGGAGGCCCGCTCGAGTATCTGGACCTGCGCGAGCTCCCGTATATCACGGGCGTCGTCAACGAAGGCCTGCGCATGGCCAATCCGACGCCGAGCCGCCTGCCGAGGGTCTGCGAGGACCAGGACCTAAAGTACAAGCAATATGTTATTCCTAAAGCCGTAAGTTTGCCACATATATATATCAACTAACTAGTCCCTATTTGCCTCGATGTTTGCTTTTCATTCCTCCCCTTTTATATTTCGAGAGAAGTAGGTAGAAATAAAACGTAATGCGTGTACCACTAACGCGTATTAACCCAACAAGACAACCATATCGACCACGACCCAAGACACCCACAACGACGCCTCCGTATTTACGCGACCGTTCGAATTCATCCCCGAGCGCTGGGCGGACTCGGACGAGCGGCGACGACTGGGGCGGTACCTGCAGCCGTGGGGGCGCGGCACGAGGCTGTGTCTGGGCATGGAGCTCGCGATGACCGATCTGTACCTCGCCGTGTCGCGGCTCTTCGGGCCGCGCGCGGGCTTCGATATGCGGCTGTGGGACACCGTAGACGACGACTGGGTCGCGTACCACGAGTGGTTCGCCGCGTTTCCGAGGGGGCGCGGGCTTAGGGTTAAGGTCTGCAAGACGCGAGATGGGGAGGAGGAGAAAATAAGAAGGAATTTCGGGTTAAGAGGGGGAGGGGAGGAAGTTACTGACTGACAGCTTGAGTTCGAGTTTGGGCACGGGAAGACGGCTATGAAGGGTGGATGTACGAGCAAAATGGATATCAAGACTGGGAGATGGCGGTCAGAGCTTAAAGAAGCTCGCTGAGTTTGGAGTTATGCGTATCGTCCGTTCCATTGTTGAAGGAGCTTTAAGTACCTCCTATACAAAGTCGCCTACAAAATCACAATACAATTATGCGTACACTATAAACAGTTTAGGCTCCAGAAGAGGTATTTGGTTTATGAGCAATCAATGTTATCAATGTTATTATCGAAGACTTATATTCAAAGTTCCCGCGGAAGCTTAAAGATTACAGTGAGACTCAGTCTACTGGTAAATATACGGTCGGAATTTGAGAAATGCCTCGTCGCGAGTTACTACGTCGTCATGAAGCACAGCGATGTCGCGAATAGAAAAATCGCAATTACCTACTACTACTACCCTGAGCAAAGAGCAAATTAGAGCCACCCTCGAGGTTAGAATGATCGTACTCTCGCGTAACAAAAAGCTTTTTGCCTAGGTAGTCAGAGAAAATAGTGTTTAAGAGTACCTGGTTTCGATGAATCGTTGCTGTGAACGCTCAATCGGACTGTAAACAATCATGGTATGGTATGGTATGTTCGGGAAAAGGACCTTCAGAAGGGCAATTATAGGGGTCTGATATTTTACAACTCATGTAATCAATCTACCATTCGGACACTGCCCCTTGAGTGATTATATGTTGAACCAATCGTGCCTCTACAATTTATCTGCTCCAGTGTTATACGCCAGCAGATCTATTTCATCTCCTCAGAGCCATTACCCAAACACTACAGACTTATTCCACCGATACAGGAACTAGCGAGACTACCCGGGGATAAGTATTCGCAGTGACTTGTAACTTGGACATACTCTTTGACTAAAGTACCTCATCATCCTATGGTTCCACGACTACCTACCTCTACCACTCGCCGCTCTATACGAAAGCAAAAGCCGCAATCCGCAGTCTGCAACAGAAAGCTCCTCGTTACATCGTCCCTCCTCGTTACGGGGTTTTTTCTTCGCCCCAATTCACGCGGCCCAATCCGGCCGCTTCCCTCTCCCCCCCGGCGAGGCTGTCATATATTAATCCACGAAGCCCAACGAAGAGGGGGAAACGTATTAGAAAATCGAAAAAAAAAAGAAGGACGAAAGAGCTGACAACAGCAACTACCTGAGTCTCCGAGCGGTCTCCGCCCTGGAACCTCGTTAGTTGCTAAGAAGGTAAACATGCGTGTTCGGTGCCTTATACATATGTCTTATGCAGGTAAGCCCAACGGTTCAGGTTGACAACTTTTTTTTTTCCGAGGCTTGATAGAATAACCCCCCCTTCTACCCCGTCGTGGTGAACAAGCAGCTACAATTCCCCTTTCCCCACCGTTAGGATGTAGTTTCGAGTGTTTGTTTGCTTCTCGAGATGCTGGCGGAAAGACGAGGCATTGGCATTTTAAGTGGGCTCGGCGAAGAATGAGCGGCCCGTCGTGGGGCGATTAGTTTCTTTTCTTCTTCCAATGGGATATCTTGCCGCGTTAATTCAAATCTACCTAGGTCCTAGGTAGCAGGTAAGTAATATTTTCCTATGCGTATGAATAACAGTCACATGATATAAAGGCGAGGTAGGTAGAATGGCGTGTGAAGAGAAGGCTGGAATGAGGTTTGAGGTTTCCGGATCTGATACATGATACCCTAGTCCAAGCAAATACGTTGAAAGAATCTCCGGTTGTATGTAATTAAGTTATTGTTAAATAAAAATCTGATCTCTTAGATATAAGGAAAATTTCACCTTCCAATCCCAGGTAACATTCTAAGTAACTGCGGAGGGAATTCTCTAGAATAAGTATTCGACACAGGCGACGATATAAGGATCGCTATATGCGCCATTCAAACAGGTAGTTGGCAGACTCTCTAGGGTCGTGTCGAATTGCGAAACTCGGGATTTTTCTGGCCCTTATTCGACCGACTTCATAGGATGCTATCCCGACTTAGTCGTCTTGTTTCCGGCGCGTCCTACGAGTTCCAAAGCCTTCACTAGCACGTCGCGATCTTTTTGAAACGTCAAGACCTCAACAGCTTCGTCGCTCCGAAAGAATTTGGGTTCGAATTGTGCCTCTCCTCCTCCCACGATGCTGTCCAGTTCCGCAATAAACCACCAGACTAACTTGACGCCGTTACCTTTTCCCAGATCGCGGACATCTAACATAAAAGCTTCGGTGAGGCTGTCGTAGGTGCGCGGGATATCCTTAGCGTCAGCCGCTTCAAAGTCGGAGGGAGCTCGGGTTTCCATCGTTACAGGGCGTAGCCGAATCGCACAGCCTGATTCTTCAAGAACCTCTCGTATTACTGCGTCTTTCCGAGATTCGTTGCAGTTGCGCCTCCCCTTTGGTAGCAGCCATTCGTCCAAGGCGGAATAGTATAGTAAAAGGACTTGTTCCGGCTCGGTTGTGTTAAACACAACGGCCCCGCAAGCCTCGACGAATTTCTCTGAAGGATATAGCGTGCTTTTCCAACGAGTTGCTGCCATTGTACCGCCTAATAGCGAAAGATCGAACCTACAGGAGTCAGGTACGGAAACCGGCTAATATCTTCGCAACGCAGAATAATATGGAAATCGTTGGTCACGTAAAACGTGTTAACTTGCAGGCCATATATCTGCAAGCTAACTTACAGCTGATGCTGCCAATACTAATCGGAAGTGAGAGAATCCGACAATAGTTCGAATTAGCGGGTTTACAATTTTTTTTTTTTTTTCACTATACAAACCAGAGGCGGAAAAGCAACTACGTTGTGGCACAGGAGGGCGACAGACTTAGACCAAGGCGGGACGACACCTATACATACGCAATATCTCAGATACAAGTGTCTCAGTAAGCCAAGGGATAGCCTCGTACCAAGATTGCGGTGCGAGATAAGGTCGTCTGATCCGAGGAAGCACCTTGCGAACTGCGAGCTGCGACCTTACCTTGTAAAAGGCTCCTACGCTGCGCTGCCATGATGTTCCCTAGTAAGTAATAAGGCGCGGGCCGAGGTGACATATCTTGCCAATTTTATGCGAAATGTTGACAAAGATTGAAGTTAGCATCGATGAATTTACAAGCACTTTGATCGTCCCCTTGGGGAGGTGTACCAAAAGAGGACTTGGTGACTTGCCGCCCATGCATGTCGGCGGCACGTAAGGCACGGCACATAAGGACTTTTCCATGCTTTGGCGACACCTGCAACAGGCGAACGTGGCGCTAAGGGCGCACAGAGCTGTCCCGAGTGAATGGTCTGCTATTACGGCCCGGTGTGGGGGATTACGTGAGCGTAAGATATGAAGGGATTTTGAGATGCAGCATACTGTTATTAATTGAGTGAGCTGATAGCGATTTATTTTGGACGAAATAATTCCAAGAATGGCGGAATGTTCGTAATCAATTCCTTTCCATTATGGCATCCCGTACACTATGTTCGATATGCTCGGGGGGAGATTTACCTGCAAATATGTAAATACCCTCCCTACATGGGTGCCTCATCTTTCTACTATGTAGGTGCCCATCACCCAAACCCGAAGCAACCTGGTCTATGTACAATACAATACCTATACCCAAGGTAGTTATCGATAATGCGCAATTACATGCCTAGGTAGGTACCTTTTATCGTACACCCAGGCGGGGTATCGTAAGAATTGCAATGAAACGTTGGGAATGGCGGGGTCTTAATTTCTATATCCCCCCCCCTAGTAGGAAGTAGACGTACGGATTGGACATGTGAAAGTGGGTTTTTATTACACCATCTAGAAAGGGAATAGTGCTGGCGCCTGACTTGTTGTAGATATCCATCGCCATGTCTCGGGTGATTGAGGGCGCTGTAGGAGAAAAGGTCAAGTGATGAGGTCCAAGGTGAGTAGGGTGAAGTAGGGTGAGAGGTTTGGGGGAAGATTTGGGAAGATTTGGGAAGCGTGATCACCAACTTGGTGGTGGGGTGTCTTGGATAGAAACAAGATAACGATAAGACGGATGACCATACCTAAAACTTGCCATAAATAGTAAAAAGGCGTAAAAACTACGCTACTATGGTCTTCCCGTACCTAACGGATCTAAAAGCATGTATGTCTCAAATGTACTATGTACCTGGTACCTACCTCCGTAAACTCTTCGTAAAAGGCATTAGAAAAGGAGGCATTGTGCGACATACACGCGCGAGAAACGGCTAAGGCGGATCTAGGCGAACTTGGTCCCCGTCTAAGGTTCGCGCCGTCTCTTTTCACGGGCGGTATGTTATAGTGCGGCACCCTATGTGCAGCATTTACCTGACACGATACATGACTTGCGCATTATATCAAATGCGATTTGATTGAACGAAGAGGCCGTCAGGCAATTGCTTTTAGGCACCTGCCTTTCGCAACTCGGCTGGACTTGACACATTTTATCGTCTTCGGTAGTGGAGAAGATCAACTGCTTGCTGCATCTTATAAGTGAGGCGGTAACTATATGACCCTATACATACGGCCTCGGCTTGTGTATCGCTAATTGCTAGGCTACCTACCACGCCGGCAATTGGGTTTCAATTGAGAAACAGCTAACTTCCAGTCCTAGCCAATTGAATTGAGAAATACACTTGCTCTTGTAACTGTCCAGGGTAGTACTGATTGGCATCGGTTGGAAATGTTAATAGGGCTGCTATGTATTGTAAAGTTGAATTGGCATATTATTAACTTTACCAGAAGCTTACCTGTTACTTGGTTTCTCATAAGTTTTGACTGTCAAATAGACATATAGAGAGGAGGCTATGGTCAGTTGAAGTGGAATTAATAGTGTAAGCCTACTTAGCCGTATGGTAAATCTTATTCCATGACAGATTGTAGGACTTGTAGGCTGTAAGTTTCGAGAACGTCTTATCACCTACATATTAACCTCTCCCAGCTCGGGCGCTTTCGGATCTGCATCGAATGTCTTCCCGCTTTAAAATCTGTCATATGTTAACGATAAGAATGAGGCGGAGCTGGGGCAAGCATAACGTAATAAAATGAAGAACAGGCAGTCGACAATCAGTCGAGACACGTTTTCTAGGTGGATTGTCAAGGATGCCCCATCAATTATTAACCAGCTTAAAGTGACGTTGTCCCGGATCCGTCGGGGGAGTTATCGAACAGCTTGAATATGTAACTCATTGATGGTGTTATAAGTACGAAGCTTGTCGTAGATAATAAGTCCGTCAAAGTCCGAGCAAGGCTGTGACAAATTGCAACGGATCAGATGGAAGTAGATGGGAGCTAGTCAGCCTAAAAGTTAGATCATCGGTATTAGTGTCGTTATTACCACAAGGGCAATGATTCCGTACTCCACGAATTGAAAAGGCTAGGCAACAGAGCGCATCGTCATCAGCTCTGTGGTTGTACTACATTACTCCCCGCTGATAAGCCATGGTCTAGACGCTACCTAACCTATGCCTTGGAGGAAAACAGGTACTTAGGTAGTGAAATGTCTAGGCAGCACGTTAATGGTCAATGTTGTAGATTGTGGGTTGTAGGTTGTAGGTAGTACCTGGTAGGCAAAGGTACCTGGCTACTACACAATCGACGCATAAGAGATCTGGGGACGCCATCAGGTTGGGATTCAGGTGTAAAACAGATCTGTAAGTGTCTGCCCCACGAGGACGCACCCCGTTAATGAGATACATCCATGTATATATGTGTGCGTGCGCTAGGTACTTGGGTACAAATGTATAGTGGGAAGTTGGCTTGTGACTTTACCGGATGACATGAGTTTTAGGTGGTTAATGTGACATGTACTGACAAGAGTGGGGAATGGTAGCGGTACGTAGAACTAAAAGAAGTGTACATCCTACGGCCGGATGCTTAAATGTGGAAAGCTTGGCCACTGGAACTGCTTGGATTTGGAATACCTATTCCAAGTGGAATAATGTATTGTGTTACCTGACATAACACATAACATACCGAGCAGCATGGGGGTGACAATCTGCAACTTAATGCTATACTTTAAAGAGAGGTAGTATAGTTTCACCTGAAGTCTATGTTGCCCAATTAAAAGTTGAATGAGTTGAACAGAAAGTGCAATAGGAAAGACGATTGGTTATTAATGGACAATTAAACAAGTAGGTACCTCTTAATAAATCATTTTCTTCTTTCTTCTTTCTTTCTTTCTTTTTCTTTTTCCTTTTTTTTTTTTTTTTTTTTTTCCAATTCTACGCATTAAAAAAAAGCCTGCATAATTCCCCCCCAATTGGAATTTACTAATGCTATTGTTTTACTTACGCCCCCCTTTTTTGCCTTTTTCTGGATTCTTTTCGCTTCTTCGCCTCACAGTCCTCGAACGATGACTCACAGACAGGAAGACTCTCAACATCTTCAGCTCAATGGAATCCACCCAATTATAGGACACTCTTATGCTGAATTGATCTTTTGATTGGCCAATTCATATTGTCGATTTTCCCCTCATCCACCTGGGTCTACATAGTGCTGCTGAGGTGGCTTTTTTTTCCATCTCTGTTTTTGCTGCTGGTCAATTGCACTGCTCAATCGCGTCTACTTCCGGAGATGGGAGACGGGAAGCGGGAGGCAAGCTGTCCGTCTCAGGTACTCCTACTTTACAGCAGAAGTCCTGGATAACCTCTGTCAATGCAAAGCAACAAAGTGATGGCATCCCACTTAGTGGTTCTTTATGCTGCACCGCACTCCGGATGACGACTGTGTGCCTGCGCCATCAAACCCGGTCGGGTCAGCTCTAGTACCTACCCACCTTGGCAATAAATCTAGGATCCTTCCACGATCTCAGGGCGGCTCGGGGAATATGAAAGCCGGCAGTTGCTCAAACAGAGTCAAGTACGGGATTAAATGATTAAGTATCTCCTGTCATGAAGTTTCTTAACATTTCGTATTAAAACCTTTACTTGTACAATTATCCTAGACGAAGAAGAAGAAAAAACGCGCATGTCATTGTTATGATGTACCACCTGCAGTCTATCGTAGCTCCAGCCATGGGACTCTAATATAAATGTATCTTTATCTACCTCCATATACATCTGGCTTGGCAGCGTTGCTGGCTAACGGGACGATGACATGTCAGATATAGGTTAGATAGGAAGCTTACAAAACCTCATATTCACCAATGTGCTATGGCCTTGGTTGGTAGTTGGCATCGCCCACCTCATACGCCTAGCAATTGGCCAACCGTTTCTTAACACCTGGTTTACGAATCTCATACAGTGCCCATGGAGAAACCAGAGCCAGACGCTGCGTGACACGACGCAAATTCGCCATGTTGAATCGAACTTCTGGTCCACTTAAGAGGTAGTAAAGTTTGGGCATCAGGATCTCCCCCAGGAAAACAAAGAGGTCAATTTGCTGGAAAGGGTTTGTTGTAAACGGGGAAAAGGCGCATTCGTCAACTTAAGTTAGTTACGGTGCCTAATCTCACGAAATCTTGTGTGCCCAGGATTTAATTCCCTTCAACGTCAACTCTCCATATGTGCCAGCGTTACAGCTTTAATCCGTCCGTCGAGTTTTCCTCCTGCGAACGGGGAGACCTGCGCCACTCCAATTCGTTGGTGTTATTGGACCCCGCGTTGTAAAGCGTTGCGAAAGTCTGTTGGCGTTGGCATTGGCGTGACAAATTGCTGTGTCCAAAGTTGGGCTTCAATCTAAACGAGAGGGGAAGCACCCTTCGTGCAAATTAGAATAAAACCTGGCATTACCTTAGTAGAGCTAGTTCAGTCCACCAAGTGGAAGATTGGAGAGGGGGTACGGTATGTACCTATTCGTTCTGTATATTTTGGAAGGCAGTAAGGTCGTGTGGGAGTGTGTAGGTACTATGTATTGTATGTGTGGTACCTACCTCACACCCAGACACCGAACGCACACCCACCCCTCAATGTGGTGGTCCGTGTGTCGTTCCCCACCACCCGCACTAAACGGCGCTTCTTTTTTTTTTTTTTCTGTCCGTTTTTTTTTTCCTTTGGTACAACTACGTTCGCAACCTTTCTCCATTAACGCCTGATCACGTTGCAAAAGCCGTCAAATTTTTGTCCTTCCAATTGCGTCGCTTATCAAACGCAATTGAGTCGGAAAACTTATCAATTATGTGACGAGTATTATTTTATTGGCAGCTATACTGTCGTTCTCGTTACAATTCACAGAGACTAAAATCATGTCGTTCAACACGTTCAACCTATACATACCCAAAACTGATGCCCCATACCCCTTAACAACACATGGGATGGGGCATAATTCGGCAAGAACCAAAAGGGTACGCCGTACCAAATTATCAAGGTGAGTAAGGGTCTTTCTTCAACTTAAAACTATAAAACTATTACACTAGATTATCCCGTGGGTGGCCGACGAAAGCCAAGGTGGGAGTGGAGGGGATCTCAGTGGAGGGGAGTGGAGTTAACTCCTCCAAGGCATCAAAGTACCGATTCAGCTGAGGTACTTAGACGGTACTTGGTCGGGGAACATGGGAACAAGGCCTCCTCACGCATCGACAGGCAGGACAGATCCCAAAAATAAAGCCAACGCCAAATGTTGCACACCCCTGCGCCCGCCACGCCGCGTCTGCCCTGTCTGGCCCTGCCCTATGACTGTCATTGATGACTATTGGAGCAATGGGGGGTGTGACTCTTTGACGACACCACCACCAAAACGCATCCACGTCTATATCCGACGAGGTACGGACCCCAAACACAGAGCAAAGATGCTCTCTGAAAGTCACCAGCCTAACGAGAGGCTGTTTCGACCATCTCCCACTCCCGGTCTCCTACTTAGATACTTCATCTATCCGCCGGGACCAACCTGCTTAGCTTTACACTTCTTCCTCTTTTATTTCTCACTCTCGTCCTTGATCTTCTTGTTTCGTCTCCCAATTCTAACTCATGCCAGGCTTATAAAATACAGCACTGAACAGAGCACTGAACAGAGCACTGATAATTGTTTGCCACCCGCCGTTATAAATCACCAAATTCAATTCGTTTTATATCAACGGGCAAACTTTGGCCTCGGCGTTTAGAAGCTTATCGACCCTTTATAAACGCTACCCCTGACTACATTGTCCCCGCAAATGGTGGCTCTCTATTTGGTAGCAGATCCAAGCGTATTCAACTCTATTACCGTCGCCACGAGGAAAACAACATAAATACAGCCCAACGACCCCATTGTTTGACATTCCAAAGCGTTCAATTGACTTTCCAACTCTTCGGGACAATACCACACTAGTAACAATAAGAATATTCTAATTCCACACGCCACCTTATCTCCGAAACTACAACTCTTCTTCCTTCTGCAAGCTTCCAACAGCAACAATCAGAAGATACATAGCTACCTACCTCTGGTGCAATACATTACCTCCTACCTTAAACCTTAGGTACCGTAACTACCTTACTTATATCCACAACCCATCAACAGAACACTCCCAACTCAATTACCTTTTTTCCACGTTACTCCCAAAACAATATTAATCTACTGCGATCGCAGCCACGGTTACGATTGCATTCTCAACATTTTATTCCTGAATCCCGCTGGAATCAATCAATTGTTACGCAATTCAGTTTCTGCCTGGTTTGCCACTTCGTACTCCCGTCGACCCACACAGCCTGGCTTCATCATAATTGTTGCCCATGGCTGACAAACCAATATCGACAGCCGACATTAAATTTTCTTCTACATTTGGCACAAAGCTTCCAACTCATCTACTTTCTACATCAAATATTTCGCGTGACATGGAAAAGATTACGATGTCGTCAACCGCCGCTTCGACGGAGTCGGGATTTAAGAAGCCCCTTGACATTAGCAGCCTGATGTCGCCTCCTGAACCTCCCCGCCTAGAATCGTTTTCGCAGAGACGCGAGTCGAACCCCACGGGACCAACGGTTTCCGATGTTCGACGACTGCAACCCATTTCGCCTATAACACCACCTATCTCACCGACTACGAATGTCGATGATCATTCTGTCAATCCTGCCTCATCTGCAAACACTGCTGTGCAGGATCCTATTCTTTACCCTTCGCAGGACGTTACTCGTTCGCCACAGCAGCAACCGTTGTTTGCACAGGACGACTCCATCGATGTTCGCAGAATTGTAGACGAGCATGTGAATATCCGACCGGCGGGTATGTTTGGAGATGCAAGCCCGCCCAAGCTCGAAGACTACGAATTAGTTATCTTCTTCAGCTCCCAAGTAATGAAGAAGTACCAAGAGAATCCCAAGTTATGGCTCAAGCGTGAACGGGATCAACTGCTGGCGGACCGACGAGCTGGAGCGCGCTATAACAAGTTTAAGCCCCAGCCGAAGCCAATCCTTCCGGCAAAGGTTCCCCAGGTTCGAAAGGAGACACAGCGCACAAAGACTGTGAAACCAGCGAAGGTGGTGAAAGCGACACAACCTAGCGCCGCAGCTCCGCGCCCAATTCGATCGTACCCGACGACTAACCCGGGCCAATCTTCTAATCGTCTACCCAGCGCGACGCCTGATCCTTCGCCACGTCGTGCAGTCGCTCCGAACAGGGAGGACAAAGATTTTGACTCACTTCCCAATCTTTGCCCGCCTTTGGATACACTTCCGCCACGATCTAACAGCCTCAAAGTCGATTGGAAGGGAACCCCAATCGACTTGAGCAACGACCCATATCGTCATCTTCTACATCCTGACGAGGTTACGCTTGCTGCCAATCTTCGACTTGATTGTGCCACCTATCTAACAAGCAAGCGACGAATGTTTATTCGTCGCCGAGAGTGTCTACAGATGGGAAAGGAGTTTCGCAAGACCGACGCACAGCAGGCATGCAAAATCGATGTCAACAAGGCCTCGAAACTGTGGACAGCCTTTGAAAAGGTCGGCTGGCTTGGGAAAAACTACATGGACAAGTATGTGTAAACGGTCAGCAAATTTTTGACCTGAACCATGGTCCATAAGGTATGGATTCAAGAGTCTCTCTCAGGGGTGTCAACACAAATTTCCTTAGGATTAGGATGCTTAATGATTTCTGCATATTGTTTTCGGTTCGGTTCGGTTCGGGTTGCCTGGTTATCGGCGGTTGCATCACGACCATCCTATTGGTCTCAGAGACGAATATTTTTCTTTTGTTTACCCAGTTTCATTTGTTTCGCAGACATGGACTCATCAACGGTATCACATCGCAGAAGGGAGACTCGGTTTTCATCGATACACAGCATAACGGGATTGCAATGATACCCGGAGTGAGAGCAGGTTCATACCCTTATGATTACCCCCACTCCACACATGTTTCTTTTTCGGTTTACGCGAGGTCGGTCGGTCGGTTAGTCGGTTTATTGGTTGGGGCATCGGTCAGATTGGGCATTCTCCCCTTGAGGATACCTTTGCATTACGTGTGGCGTTATGTTGGCCTAGCAGAGTGAAATGGTTTATGGTCAGAATGATATATCTGGCAGAGACTCGGTAGGGGAGTGCGGCAATGTATGTCAGAAGGTGCCTCTACGAGTATCCTATCTGTTAGGCTGGCGTTGATTTTGATAGTCAGCTCCCAACCGCGAATATACTTTCTTACACTACATACTGGCTCGCTGTAAACGAACGAACATACTCAAATGCCAACGTGATTTAAGATCAACTTGGAAACTCAACGCTACTAATCTCTACAGGACATGGAACTTGCCGGATGGTACGGATGCGCGTTAAAGTTAGGCGACGATGTCAAATCTACGTTATCATGGTCCCAGCCCTACGGTATTCGGTACGAAGTTGGGATCCCTGCCCTCGTCGGCTTGTTTTGAAGCTAGCGCGTCGTTGGCTTACCTCCTTGCCGCTTCCCGGATCAGCACCGACGATTAATGTAACATTATTCTCGCCGTTACTTGGTAGCGCATCCCCAGGTTTTAACATATACCTATAGCCAAGTGTCCAAAGGAAAATAGCCGCACAGGTCAAATCTCGGTTCGCTATCGTATCGTATCGTATCGTATCGTATCGCATCGCATCGCATCGTACCGTACAATACCGTATCTAATCGGTGGCTCCATCTTTGTTGCTCACTCCGGATTCCGCTGCAGTGTGAGGTCAGGCTACAGCTAGGTACGTGGGTTTGGGCTTGGGTTACAGCTGTTATGCTTATCGACCCTTGTAAAGCCAGCCAGATAGGTACTACATACCTAGGTAGGTACCTAACGTGGAGCTTGTTGACGGACGGGGCCCCGCAATGAATGGTCTGCTTTGATCCTGTCACTGCGTGGCCCCGGACATGGATTACGGTAGTAACGCTGGACAGGACATGGGTTATCCTAACACGATGGCCGGATACGCTATTATAGGTAGGTAGGTAGGTTAGAGTTAAATTTAACCTAGATAGAGGTTATCAAGGATTGGCTTTATCAATAAATTTATTATGTACCTACCTGGGTTTTATTTGGCATTTGTATAGATGCTATCCTTTGACTTTCTCCATTCTCTCAAAGCAAATTGTCAGTTTACCTGCTTTACATTAGGTACGCTTGGACGGTGATACCAAAACAAATCACTTGCTCAGATCCCCGCGCGGATTGATAAAACAGAGAAAGGCAAGATATAGCTCAACAATATATACAGTGTAGTTGTAGTATACCTTACTAGCTTTAAGTTCCCGTCCCCGTTCGTGACAGAAGACCAGTGATAGGACAAAAAGAAAACAAGACATCGGGGACGTGGCCGTTGGTTAATACTCTCCGGTATCGAACGATTATAGGTCCGCATGCGCGCGGCCGCCCCTCGTTTCAAACTTCTCTCTCCCTCTCTTTTCTCTCTTTTTCCGAGCGAAACAACAACAATAATAGCAATGATAAATAGTATGGTGACATGGCGTCAGTCATGTGTGGCCTATTTATATTGCGTCGCAGCAAAAGCACCGATCTGCAAAGCGCATACATATAATAAAATAATGCATTAGGTATGCACGTACATTATATTATATACAGGTACCTACACAAACATTACATATAATGTAGCCAAGGACGTAGGCTGGTAGGTTAGATAAGCTTCGATGCGACGGCACCGAGCTTGCATATCTTGGCGGGACATCTAAAGGGATACCCGGATAGTACTCTATTTCATTGGTCAATTTCATATCCTCATTATATAATTAAATGTGCTTAATTTTTATACACCATCGCCCTCGCACAACATCTTCCGCTCGGTACATAATAAAAAATGCCTTGTTTTTTTATTCTCCGGCTGCGAGCGTGTATCCACCATCTACAGCCACGATTTGGCCATTCAAGTACTGGTTGGCGGCAAAGAACAGTACCGTCTGCGCCATGTCGTCGTCTTTGCCGGGGCGACCTGCTGGTACCTTGCTCTCGTACTTTTCCTTGGGGATATGGCTCTTCTGGTCCTCATTGCTACCGTCTGTGATCACTAGACGCTCGAGTTAGTACCGGTATGACACACGAACAGAGAGAGAGAGAGAAAAAAAGGAAAGGAAAAGGAAAAGGGGAGGGTTAGACAAGTATCATAATTAACTAAGTTCAAGTACTTACTCTCGCTAGGGAAGACACCAGGCGCGATCGAGTTGATACGAATCTTCAACTCATTAGCAGCGACCTCAGCCGCCAACATCCGCGTCAGATGGGCGGCGGCGCTCTTGGACGCGTTGTACGCGAAGTGGTGCTGGGCGGTCTTGACGAGCCCGCTGATGGACGAGATGTTGATGACGGTTCCGGACCAGCCGGGGAACTTCTGCGAGGACTTCTGCAGCAAAGGTAAGAAGGCCGTGGTAGCGAAGAAGATCTGCGCGACGTTGGTCCGGTACACGTCCGTCCAGTCCTCCATCGTCGACTGCTCGGCGTCGAACAGGTTCTTCTTCATCTCCCCGGCGGACCCGGCCTCCGTCTGCGTCGTCGCCCCGCTGATCCCCGCGTTGTTGACCAGGATGCACAGGCACCCCTCGCGCGACGAGATCTCCTGAGCCAGGTTCGCGAGCTGCGCCTTGTCCGTCAGGTCGCACTGGATGGGGACGATGGAGCCCTTACCGTCCCCCCCTGTCTCCGAGTACAGCTCCGCGACTCGGTCGAGCTTCTCCTTCGTCCGTCCCGTGACGTACACCTTGGCGCCGTTGGCCACGAGCGCCTGCGTCGCCATCAGCCCGATCCCCGAGCCGCCGCCCGTTACCAGAGCGACATGGCCCTTCAGGTCGAAGAGCTTGTCGCGGGTGAAGGGCTCGTTGCGGCTGTTGGATACCATTCTGACCGACTGAAGAGAAGGATTTGCTACTAGTGATGATCTAAGGGATAACTGAGATTGAGGATGAAATTGGGAATAGATAGATGATGATGGTGTTGAGCAGAGTACTAATGTGTTATTGAGCAAAGCACCGGCTCGAAGAAGGATGCCGGCCAGCGGCTTCTTATGGTGGTAGGAGAGTCCTCGGACAGCTGGTGAGATCATGACGTCTCGGTGTTTTCATCAATACCCAAAAATGCATTATCGGCGGGCAATTGAGCAAAGCTGGGGGTGATCCGGTTCTTGTAATCGAGCAGCAAAACGTAACCCGTACTACCTGAAGCACCTGGTTGAAAAGATACCTGACCTAATCAAAACAACAGAAGACGATGTCAACAAAAGTCATGACGAAATTCAAACGCTTCACCGATTTCCCCGTCTTGTTGTTGACATCATTGCGGAGAACCCCCCGGGAGCTTTGCCCGGTCTGCGCGGAGTGATTTCATTGGATAGTGGATATGTTGACATGTTTGATTCTTATAAGGGTGCGCATAATATTTAGAAAAAAAAACAACTATATTACTGTAGACGAGAGTAGGGAGCATCCTTCTGTCGATACTTAGTTCCATATTGCTCCTACGTGGTTGTCTCAAGGCAAAGATGGAGAAGACCTCGTTCCTTTTGGACACTGACTTCCTTCTCTTTCCGGCATCGTTGATAGCCTTGTAGAAGAATACCATCGCCGTTGTACGTTGAGATATCCACATCTGAGATTGCAATCGAATCTTGTTGTGTTTACCCAAGTACCTACCGCGGCAAGTAGCAAGTTGTACGCTTTCATCTCCACCAATAATCTGATGGGAGACCACTGGATACCTTGTCTGGTCGTTTTCCAATATACACGATTTCTAAATCAGCGGAAGATCTAATGTACATAACCTAAAGTGAGATCGTAACATTCCTTTTTTTTTTTTTTTTTTTTTTTTTTGCAAGATACTGAAGTAACAAAATCAGATAGAAGTTGGAAGGTCTGGTGGCCTTCCTTTTAGTTATGGATATAATTCATACTTCGTACATTTTACACCATCGTCCGTAACGATCATCGCACCGAAAACGCGGTTCCACTTTAGACCTCTCCTTTCGCGTGCCTCTGTCCGGAACCTACCGGCATGACGCCTCGCTTCGCACCCAGCCGCTCGTCCTCTTCTTGCATTTTGGTTCGGCCCTTTTCCTCCATCGCCTTGTTCCTTAGCACAGAGCCCGCGGCAGCCTGGACGCTTCCGATGCTCCCATGAATTGCGCCGCTTACGTCGCCTTTGAGCTTTTGACCGATCCCCGCGGACGGGTTGGTGGTGGGGTCGGTGGAAGTCACTACAGAGCCGTCGGTGGTGATATTGGTCTTTCCAACTTCCGAAGCTGCTGACGACTCAGGTTGAGCATCGCTCTGAGGACCGTTGGTTGGGTTTCCGTGTGAAGCCATCGTGACGTAATATGAACTGCTTACTCTTTGGGGTAATGTTAGAGGTATGGATGTACCTTAGGTAATGATGAGGGTTCAAACAATAAATCTATTCTTTTTCTGGAATGAGCAAGTCTGTATGTATATGGAAAAAAAGGTAAGTTACGTCTAATTATGTTGTAGTTGATTGATGTTCTATTTCTTTGGTTTTATCGCCCATGATTCTTCTGGGTATGATGTCATGTTGCTGTATATTTACAAGTGACGTCACAGCCTATTGTCATTACTGCTGATCCTAAATAAGGGAGGGCACTTACTAAGCAGCTGAGTTAGGTAGCCCCTTTATTTTGTAGACATATCTTTCCGAATTATCACTGCAGAGTCAATACTTTGACTGATATGATGCGGGACGAACTTCAGGGTAGTAGAAGCTTTGAAACGCATATTGGAAGCACAGGTACATTCAACAATTTTTAAGGGTTAAACAGGTCATGATTTCCTTTAAACTCAAAGAGCAATCAGTTGAAGTAATTGGAACGACTTATTAGACTTCCATGGCGCATGGTCGACTTCAACAGCTATCACTATCTAAGCCAATGTAGGGAACACAATTTTGTTGTTAAAACATCATCATAAAATAAACAGGTAGCTTACTTGCCCAGTCAGTCTCAATACATCTCTCCTAAAGTCGGGCATTGCATTTCGCATTTCGCATCTCATACTTGACACTTCATATTTCCCATTTAAAATCAACGACGATGGATCAATTAACGAACGAGCAACTCCGTACACACCTAAGGGTTTCCTCGTGCATAATGTTTGTCCTCCTTTCCATCAACATATGCTTAGCTCTACGCATCTACATCTTTCCACGACTTCCATAGATAGGGCCGTTCCTAGATGGATTCATGAGTGGCGCTGCGCTCATTATACCCTTTATTTTATATTACTGGCTGATCGGAGCCGAGCATACCCTCAGCGATGGCCTTTTCACCGTCGGTGTAGCTATTGCTGTTACGAACTATTTGCCTTTGCTACTCGATATATAAAGGTGCCCGTTGTGGGCGAAGTATAGCGGTATGGAAATGGGGTTTCAAAGAGCGGATGAGTAGGTTATCTACCTAGTTTACTATATAACCATGCATACCTACCTAATCCATGGCTGCTGATTCAATTCTAGATTGTTTCGATCATGTTTCATAAGACTATAACAGGTACCTACCAGTCACCAGTTCCCCACGGTTAGCGTTACAGCGATAGGTTATTATGAATACTATATGTTTGTCAATGAGAGGTGAGACGTGCGGTTTGGTTGTGGTATAGTTAGGATGCGGATTACTCGTGCCTATGAACATTAGGAATGATAGCACTTATAATACTTTAGGGACCTTTTCTTCTCGTCTGGGCTATTCTATAAAAATAACAAACTTACCAAATACTAGCGGATTCTTATTTCTTACTAGGTAGTGTTTCCCTACAGCTTTCAATGAACTACATATTCGACTATCATCCTCTGATCTACGATATGTGGAAATAAATATATTTGAAAGACTAGTTGGAAGTATCCATTCAATTATTAAACGCTATTGCTGATTGGGTAGCTTGTATTCCTTTATTGACAATAATAATACCTACCTAGGTACGCATTTTATTTTTCAATGCGAACGATAATAATTCTCCCACCGCACCGAGTCCGTTTACATTGCATGGTATGATCCAGCTAATGTGGAGATCACCTCATATTATCTGATCCCTGTTATAATCGTAGCATTTAGGGTCATATTCCACCAATCGTAGGCTAAATGAATACGTTTAGGGAAGAAGAACCCCGAACCATCGTATCTTACTTTCCGGCTATTCGACTTGAAATACCCCGGGTCCCGAAAAACTGGTACCCAAATCCGGGTCTCTACGGATACTAGACTGGGATTCTTTCAAGTTCTATTTCTTGCGTTTCCTCGGCGCCGTCGTTCTTGCGGTCTAGATACTCACCGAGAAATGGGGTTCCAGCTTCTCTATGCGGAGCAAGCTCTGGGTCAAACTATAATAACGGGTAAGTGGAAGGTAGACGAACTTGATCTATCGCTCACGCACATTGCAATATGGCGCCTCTTGCGCGAACGGTGTACAATGCCTGCGGGCTACTCCTGTTGGGACTTCTGCTGTTAGGATACCCTTCTCCTACCGAGGCAGGTGTCGTGAGGAGGGCTTATAACGAATACCCCACTGCGTCCACAGGTCGTGAGCGTGTTAGTATTAACGATGGCTGGCGATTTTCTCGTTTCGCATCGAATCCCGATTCGCTATCATACAATACGCTGAAGGAGTGGATTCTCCCTTCCGGCAACGATTTCATCGTCAACGGTGCCAAGCATGAACGCCCTAAGAGAACCGCACCCGGCGACAACGTTACGTACGTGCAAGCGACGTTCGATGATAGCGCGTGGGAGCTTGTGAATGTTCCGCACGATTGGGCTATCAAAGGGCCTTTCCATGCCCCTGAGATTCCGAATAGCATGGGTGCCTTACCTATCAACGGCGTAGGATGGTACCGTCGCAATCTGACGATATCAGCAAGCGACGCCGACAAGTCCATTTTCCTGGATATCGACGGCGCCATGTCTAATTCTGCGGTGTGGATTAACGGCCAACTCGTTGGTGGATGGCCCTACGGGTATAACTCTTTCCGCTTGGATATTACCCCGTATGTAAAGGCTGGAGAAAACCTGTTGGCGGTCCGAATTGACAACCCTTTGAATTTCTCACGCTGGTACCCTGGCGCTGGCCTTTATCGCAATGTCTGGCTTGTCAAGGTCGACAAGACTCACATCGGTCAGTATGGCACGTATATCACGACCCCGGTTGTTTCCGCTGAATCGGCGGACGTGGACTTGACCGTTGAGATTGAAAATAAGGGAGATTCCAGTCGACAGGTGGAATTGAAGACGGACGTGTACGTCCTTGATATTGAAACTGAGAGAATCGGGGCGGATATTGTTGCCTCTTTCCCATCTTCAACCGCAAGTATAGCAGCCAACAGCAAGAAATCTCTCAACTCTTCAATGACGGTATCGAACCCACGGCTATGGGGACCTAAGCCGGAGCAGGTGCCGAACCTGTACGTCGCAGTAACGAAACTTCTTTCCAACGGCACTGTTATCGACACTTACGAGACGCGCTTTGGCATCCGGTCTATTACCTACGATCCTAACAAGGGTATCCACGTAAACGGCATGAGGGTCTACATCCAAGGTACTAATAACCACCACGACCATGGTTCAATCGGTGCTGCATTCCATCTCAGAGCGGCTGAGCGCCAACTGGATCTGCTGCAAGAGATGGGTTGCAACGCACTCCGGATGTCTCACAACCCACCTGCTCCTGAGTTACTCGACCTAGCAGATAAGTACGGATTCCTAGTCCTGGATGAAATCTTCGACGTGTGGAAGGAGCAAAAGATACAGGATGACTATCACGTATATTTCCAGGATTGGCACGAGCCTGATATCCGCAATTTCATCCGACGCGATCGTAACCGTAAGTACAATCAATGACAAGCTAAAAAAGAAAGAATGAATGAATGAGTGAAAATCCGATGGAGACAAAATTATCACCTTATACACTTACTGACTTCTTTTCACCAGATCCCTCTATTATAGCCTGGAGTTACGGTAACGAAATTGTAGAGCAATCAACAGCTTCCGGTGGCGCGACGGCTCGCGAACTTCACAGCATCGTAAAGGAAGAGGACCCGACGCGACAAGTCAGCGCAGGTATAAATAACGCCAAGGCAGGTAGCGAGTTCTCCAACGTCGTCGACATTCCCGGTATGAACTACCAGGGCGAAGGCCGCGGTACTTCATTCGACTCGGCGTACCCGAGTTACCACTCCACGTACCCCGGAAAGGTTCTATGGAGCACCGAGAGCTCGTCAGGCGTCAGCTCACGCGGAACATACATCTTCCCGGTAACAAGCGCTAATAGTACGACTGTCGGCGACACGGCGGGTTCGGATCCCAAGACGCTTTTTGTTAGTGCGTATGAGCTGTACGCCGTCTCTTGGGGGTCATCGCCGGACAAGGTGTTCGGAATGCAGGACAGATTCCCGTATGTTGCGGGCGAATTCGTATGGACCGGCTGGGATTACCTGGGCGAGCCTACGCCTTTTGATACCAAGGCCCGGAGTTCCTACTTTGGAATTATCGACCTTGCTGGGTTCAAGAAAGACCGCTTTTACTTATATCAAGCCCGTTGGCGCCCTGATTTGGTATGTAAATCTTATTCTCATTTCAGATGTCACAAATTAGAATCCTACAACATTGGACACTTTTGTAACATGGCAACTAACTTTTAGATAGTACGTAAAACTAAGCCATTCGATACACCCCTAAACGTACCTAATTCATGTCTTTTCCCATATTGCTGAAAGCATGGGAAAGCAAATGATATGCCCCTGATGTGACACCTACCCCTTAAGTGAATTCTAACTGACGCTTTATTCAGCCCCATGGCACACATCCTGCCCCACTGGACTTGGCCGGACCGCGTCGGCGAAGTCACCCCCGTTCACGTGTTCTCTGGCGCCGACGAAGCCGAACTCTTCGTCAACGGGAAGTCCGCCGGGAAGCTCAAGAGAGAACCATCCAACTACCGTTTCCGATGGGATGAGGTAACCTACGCGCCGGGAGAGCTCCACGTCGTGACGTACAAGGACGGCGCCAAGTGGGCCGAGGACACGGTGAGAACCGCCACCCAGCCCGCGAAGCTGAGCATCACGGCGGACCGCACGACGATCCGCGGCGACGGCCGCGACCTATCGTTCATCACGGTCGCCGTGACCGACGAGAGCGGGACTACCGTCCCCGAGGCCGCCAACGCCATCACGTTCTCCGTCTCGGGCCCCGCGGAGATCCTGTCGACGGATAATGGCAACCCGGCGGACTTCACTGCGTTTCCGAGCTTGACGCGGAACGCCTTCAGCGGGTTGGCCCTGGCTGTGGTGCGCTCGGAGGCAGGTGGTTCGGGAGACATTACCGTTCGCGCGGAGGCGGAGGGACTCAAGGCAGCGGAGATAGTTGTGAAGGCTGCGTAGGGATGTGGTTTGAAAAGGAGGTTTAGTAGCGTCTATATAACGAGTGTGATGCAACGAGTGTAATTAATTTTTCTATACCATGCTACATGTATATTTATTTATACCGGCGTTAATAAAAACGCCCCATCTCAATCACGTATGTATACGTACACATATAGTATCCTTAATTTCCCGAATGGAGAAAGATTTTCTATAACACCCATCCAACATTCAGTCCTTCACGAAAGCCTTGGCGCAAGCCTCCACACTCTCTTCGAGCGTAGTCCACCTCTCCTGGCCCAAGCCGCGCAGCAGTTCTTCCGCCCTCTTATTCGGCACCTCCGTCTGATCCCAGCCGTTGTCCTCCAGCACCGGGATATCCTTGTGCGGATACAGCTTCTTCAATATCTGCGCGACCCGCGGCCAGCTGTACCGGTCGCTCCACGGGTACAGCCTCTCCCTGTCGACGCCCGGCGTGATCAGCGCCGCGACGTACAGCAGCCCCGTGTCGCGCGTGTCGGAAGCCCACTGCGGCGGCAACTTGGCGAGGAAGTCCAGCTGTTTCCGCTCGTACAAGTCTTTCATCATCCCGCACGTGCTCGGGACCCCCTGGTTCTCCGGGTCCAGACACTCGCCGATCACGGCGGCGGGCAGAACCGTGTTGAACGTGAACGGCGGGTTCTCCCGCTTCACCCAGTCCCAGAGGCGCTGCTCGAGCAGCGCCTTCACCGCCATGTACGGCCGGACGCCTCTCTCCTCGGGCGTAGCGCTGGCGCTGGCGCCGCTGCGGATGAACCGCACCGCCTCGTCGTTCCACGTCCACTCCGTCAGCGTGACCTTCTTCGTCTGGTCCGGGGTCCAGGTCGCCCACGCGCTGCTCGTGTAGATGAAGGCCTTGACGGAAGGTTCGTCCTTCGCGGCGCGCAGCAGCGCCTCGTTCCAGGGGGCTTCCTCCTCGAGGGCCTTGTCGACGTCCGGAACGACGAGGCCCACGCCGCCCGCGACGGCGACGACGGCCGAGACGCCCTTGACAGCCGCGTCCCAGGCCCCCGGCGCGCCGAAGTCGGACACCTGGACGAGCTCGAAGCGGGCCGAGGGGTGGCGCCGGGAGAACAGGGGCGCCATCCACGCGCACTTGGACGGGTTGCGCACGGTGCCCCGGACGTGGTAGCCCGCTTCGAGGAGCCGGTCGACGGCGTGCGAGGCGATGAGGCCGTTAGCGCCGGTGACGAGGACGGTGGATCCCCGAGGGATTGTTGGGTTTGAGAACGTAGGGTTTATCATTTTGAGGCAGATGAGATGAGAAGAGGTGAGGGAAAAAAGAGGAGGAGGAGTTTGGGACGGAAAAGAAAGTTTAAGATTTGTTGATTTGTTGGGAGTTGAGACGACCGACTTATAAGTTATACTTCTGCATTGTGCTGTCCCCCTGAGGCTTATAAGAAGGCGCCCGGCGCATTAATCCAGAATCATCTACATATCGGAAGTAGCAGTAGCACTATTCGTAAGCTACCTCCTAGCTATAAGTCTGTAAGTCCAAGTCCACTAACATTCGGGATTCCGAGATGCGAGAGCATTTGTAATCCCACCCAGTTTCCACTTTTAAAGGTCCGCTAGCATTCGGGACTCCGAGATGCGAAAATGCCCTGAGTTTTTTACGGAGGGTTATTGTCACCAACTTGTTCCGGTTAAGATACAAATTACCGGAATAGCCTCTTTTGTAGAGAATGGGGGGTTTTACAGCTTCTAATTGGGTGCAGAGGGGAATTATTAATCTTCGAGGTTGGATAACCATGTGATCTGGACGGATAAGCGACTATGGATAATTTAAAAGATTTCGCGCGCGGGTGGCCGCTTAGCGCGCTAGCGCTTACAAAGTAATACGTATTTTCGAAAAAGCTCTTAACGTTGGAGAAAATATATTAGATCCACAACTTTAAGGATGCATCCAATGAAACATTTCTTCCTTAATAATACATCTACTATGTAATAAAAACGTTCAAAGATCCCGAATAAGTTCGGGCATTCTTATTATGCGAGTATTTGCGTATTAAAAATACGTATTTTGAAAAAATAAACAGTACTGTTAACGCGTTTCTTTTCCTAAGTATAAGCTTATTTCTATTTCCTTGCCATCTTCAAAATAGAGTCGATGAGTTTCGAAGACGCCGCCGTATCGAGGAACTCGACGATCCGCGATATCTTCTTTCCGTCCTCGGTGAAATCCACGTACCAGCACATTTCCATGGCGATTGGTTCGCGGCCTTTAATTTTGGACCAGTGCTGGACGTGTGCGCTCCCGTGGCGTTTAATAGGGTCGATGACCATCTCTATGATCTTAACCCTCGACTCGTCCGTAGCTGCGATCTCCGGCGCCATGCGAGCTTCGTACTCGGCGTTCGTCTCTACTGCCTTGATGAAGGGGTACGATTTAACGAAGGAAGCAGGCCTCATATATCGCCGGCAGTCGGGAGATAATAGCGCTGAGTACAGAGAGGTATCTTTGTTTTTAACTGCCAGAGTGCTATTCTCGAAGAATTTCGTCAATGTAGATTCCATGACTGCTCGGAGTTCGTCGGTGGAAGCCATATCGAGGATCACTACCTAACCTTAGGTGGTATTATGTTGTGGCTAATAAAATAACGTTCAACTCGTATAAGTTTTCGATTCAATCTTTTGAGATAACCTTCATTACGTTAAAGAAGAAGAAGGCATTATCTCTTACTCTGGCATGATCTCTTAAATAGTGTCTTCTAAGCCCCGCATTAGACTCAATTCTAGTCCCACTTTTGCTTCATTGATCACACCATATTGAAGTCTTCACTACCTGATACAGGTACGTAAACGTGAGAACCGACAAATCCGTGAGATTTCTGTTATTGATTACAATTGTAGTTAAACAATTTACACGCAAGTTTCTCTTGATGCGAGTTAGCTAAACACGACTGTCTTACGCTGGATACGCCGCTGCCAAAGCATCGTATTCCTTTTGTGTTAACGGTGTTACAGAGCCATGTTTCAACCCTGTAGGGAACCCAGACGTGCTCGACTTTTCCCAGCTTGCCGACTTGATGTCAGATGTCTCGAACGGAATATACTGGGTATAGTCATCAAGTAGCAGATGGTAGACTCCGGGCCTCACATTGTCGGCGAACGATGCCGGTCCTTCAAGTCCGCTGGCTGACGTGACAGGTCCAAGTTGGGTCCAAGTGCCGAAAAGCCCGTCGGAAGTTATCTCTTGGTATACTTTACTGTTCGTCTCATTCTTGAAGAACCGAGCGAACGATCCCGGTGTTCCGAGATACTGGAATTCTTGATCTATCAAGGGTGTGTTCGCGGGAGCTAGGTAGTCGCGTGGTTCACTAAACGTCGCAAAGTCCTTCGTGGTTGCGTATCGGATCTTATCGAGTGTTGCCGTCCCCGTATGATTCGTATCCGATGAGGAATAGTGTCGCGAAGCCCAGAACAGGTAGTATTGAGAAGTTTCATCATCCCATACTGCCGATGGCGCCCAGACCATCCCCGCAGTATCCTTTTCAACGCTAAAGCGAATATGTTATTAAAAGATTCACGTGTCTCTGGAAGACGGGAATGATGGGTAGATGCATACGTTCGGAGCGACGATTGGGACCAATCCACTAGATTGGATGACTTCCAAACGACAATTCCGCGGCTTCCCTGTCTGGTAGCTTTGTCCCATGAGAATCCCGAAGCCGTTACATCAAGATCTTCAAAGTATCTGGTTAGAAGAAGTCGTAAGTACTAGGCTAATGTATTGAGGAACTTACCGGTAGCAAGTAGATACCATTCAGACCTAGCAGAGTTCGTCGTCAGGAATATGTCTCGCACAGCTTTTGTTCCAACCGTCGAAGCCAGTACAGGCTGCCCCTTATTCAGAAATTTGAAGCTTGATGCACTGTTCCCGTCTGAAAGATGGAATTGAATCCTCGGATTGGCATCAGAAAAGGTCGAAACGAGGTAGCCGACATAATTAGAAGCTTGTCGCGGTACTGTAGGACTAGCCACTGCAGTACTGGCTAACGCCGCGGTGAGCAATGTGAAAAAGGTACCTCGCATCATGGCAATTGATATGTCACCGTCTACCACGTTATTGCTAGAAATTAAGTCGTTCATGATACAACATAATAGGCTACCTTATATAGATGACTCCAACCACACAGAATGACCGAATATACGGAAAAAATAGAGCAATTGCGTACCTAATAATATCTGCATTGATGTTACCATAAACCTGGCTCGACGGTGAGGTTCTCGGCTCCACCTCCTTATTTTCGGCACATAAAAACGGAGCATGCGGAGAACCCGGTAGGATTCATATGCGCTCCAATCCGGTCGTGGGATGCATCCCAATCGGGGAAGGAACTCCAGCATCGTTGGTCGATTGATGTGGGTTAAGACGATCCACGGCGTGGAGCCCAACATGGGTGGAGGAGTCTTTGAATAAGAGGGTATAGGGGGGAATCTACATTCTCCTTCAAGTAGAAATAATTTCGTAAGAGATGAGCCAAACCATGCATCAAGGATTGAATTTAAATTCAAGATAAGTTAGGTACCTAAAATAAACTACTATACACCGCAGAAAGGAGAAATCATTACTTATTGAATCATAAGCGGTCCTCATCCTTTTCGCCCTCGAGCAGGATCTCATGACCGGTTCCTTCGTATATGAACATCGCAGACGCGCAACCTAAAGCCGAGACAGATGCAACCGCCCACCAGCTCCAGTAAATATCCATGGTAACGAACGGTGTGTACTGTCGCCCGGCGAGGAGCGCGGTGTTGAAAGGAAGAGCGCGCATATGTTCGTGAGCGCCCAGCTGAAAGTCGTAGAATACTTCCGTTATCAAGGTGAACATAACCACTTAACGGCACACAGCAAAGGCCCCAGAGTTATGCAACTTCCCTCAAGACAATCGAATCAAGCACCGACGCCCCTACTATTTATACCAACAGCCTATAGGTTAACTGCTATCTATCTAGGTATATTATGGTTGGACGGTACTAGTCCTGGTTTTCTTGGCAGATATGAAAACTGTCGATATCGGGTCTCCCCTTAGGTACCCATGCTAATCAATACGAATGGTTGGTTGGAGAAGGTTACAAAGGACCGCACTTAACCTGCTTCCGGAAGGTAGATTTCCACGCGCATGGTAAAACACCGACTGTATATGCTGAGCTTTGCGACGACGAACAATTCTATAAATGGCGGGTCGTGTTCGATCTAAACTTCGGTGAACATTATCTCCCCTCATCTGTCAGTCGATCCCGCCATGAGTATTGTCAAAAGGTTCCTCGTCCAAGCTGTGGTTACTGGGGTCTCTCTGGGGCAGTTTTGCGAACACCAGTGGGAGGGAAAATTCGCGAATCATGAGGTAGATGGCGTTCCGTATCTACAAGCGAGACAAGATGTCGCACCGCCTCCGTTAGAAATCAGACCCCTCATCGTGAATGGGCCATCGAGTAATCGCGTCGATCTTATTTTCTTCGGTGACGGATGTAAGTATAAGATACGCCGTCGTAACGCTCATCGAAAGATTCTAACTTGGTTTGTTTGGATTGATTTTATAGATACTAAGGATCAGAAAGACAAGTTCTTCGCTGATGCCCTGTTCCTTGCGAATAATATTACCGACGGGCAGACCTTTTTCGATGTGCTTCCTATTCTAAACTTTTGGGCCGGATTCTCACCAAGTAACGAGGTGGGTGACAACCCCCCTGTAGTAGGTATATTTCCTTTCCCTAACATCCGAAAAGAGCGGTGTTGGTACTGGCGGAAAGCCCCTAGAGTAGGTCTTCCCCTTTTTACATAGCCCCTAAGCTGGCTCAACAATTAATCAGTTTGTGTCAATAGCACTGTCTACGGGCTTTATCGTGACGGCACTGAACTTCGTGGGGTATACTATGATAAACCCGAAGTCGCGCGTGCTGCGTGTCAGTCGACAGACGCGTGCGACTTTCCTATTCTCCTCGGGAACGACCCTTTATACGGGGGACTCGGTGGCACATTTACGTACGCCGCACAATGCCTCATGCTTAGTCGTTACTAAACCTCTTCAGCGTTACGACCGCATCGCCTAATAATGGACCTGTGATTATTCGCCACGAGTTAGGTCACTCGATCATCGGCGTAGGCGAGGAATACGACGGAGGGCAGGTTTACACTGGCGTCAATTCGGCCAAATCCACCAACTCCGTTCCCTGGACGCAGTGGTATACGGATGCGTCGGCGGAGCCTAAGATCCAAAGGACGAATATGCCGATACAGGCATATCCTTGGGCACTACTGAATACGTCGCAAAGCTGGAGTCAGACTTTCATGTCGGCAGGCACATATTCTACTCATCTCCTTCAAGTCAGTGTAAGCGGTGTCACAGCGACTAGCGACTTGTTGGTAGAAATTGATGGGATGGACGCGGGCTGGGAGTGGAATCCCGCGGTCGGAGAGGATCGGTATATTTACAACATCAAGAGGGGTGAGGCGCTCACTCCAGGGGAACACGAGATTAAATTTACATTAATGAACGAGGAGAGGCAAGGAAGTGCACAGCTCTGTAGTTTCGAGGTGCTTGAGTATGGAGATGAGGGAGAGTGAGTAGCTTGCCATCCTACTCACAGCCTACCTGTTATCTCACATGCACTTCTACTTGATAGGTTCGACTTTGAGCCACGGTATCACGGATTATATCCAACGTAAGTCAAAGAGCCTCTCGCAGCCCCCCGTACTCAAGTCGGTAGCTTTACTAATACTCACGATCTCCCTAGATTCGACTACAAAAATGCCACCTCGTACAGGCCTACCAACGATCTTTGCCTAATGCGCGACACCTATTCGGCGAATTTCTGCGACGCCTGCATAGAAGGATTGTGGCTATCCCTGCTCGGGCGACTCAATCTAATTGACAACATCACACAAGAAGCCCAGCCAGACGGCTCAACGAACGCCACTCTCAACTTGTTTCCTCTTGCGGACCTCAGGCAAGTGCCAAACTCGCATCAGGAAGCTTATACGATATTGTGGTACGGTGTCGATGGGACGACAGTCCTGAAGAATTGGACTAACAGCACGACTGCACTTCTGGGGCCAGACATCACGGAGTTTGGGGTTGAGGTTAGGTTCTGGACGGAGCAGGTCAGAGTTGACAGTGCAGGGGTTCTGGTGCAAAAGGAGAGATATGCTGTTGGATAGATAGTACGAAACAACTGCACCACTTATGCTTCATTGCCCTTCCATAGGATTACCTAGAATAAGTGACATATTAATAGATTACGATTTATTGCTATGTTAGTACCAAAACAACGTCACCTTTATCCATTTACATGACGTGCTGTGTGAAAGTGATTCAATGACTAATACGTCTTCTCAACTGTAATTCAAACAAATTGATATGTCATCTCAGCATGATACGATCTAAGGTATGGACAAGAACAAAGACTGCTATTCTACTTATATAGGTATGACAGGTAAAATACCAAGTTGGTGAGTCTTCTACATACGAAACCCACAATCTGATAGCTGCATCTGTGATAATTCGAAACAGAAAATAAACAAAGAAACATCGACAATATATGGCCACTGATCTACATAACTTAGAATTGAAGCTTCTGGATAATTAGGTACCTAAGCTAAGTTGTTTCGATGCTTTCTAGATAGATTCACTTTCTGATAGGATCTCCTTATATTTAGCGAAAGCATCGTTGATGCCTAATATAGTCGATTTAAAGATCTTGCTCTCATTTTACTTCCAATTTTCTGAACATGTATAATCCTCACTTATACGATTTCTTTCGGGCGCCAAGCCTCAGAAGTTGGTTAGAAACAACATTCAAAGGGGGTGACTCTAAACATGAATCTGACTTTTATCGCGAGATCGGACTCTGGTTCAAGCCACTATTTGACGTCCGTCTAAGCAGACAGAAGCTGGACGATTTAAAAACATACACGCTATGGTGGTGCCAGTTCTTTGAATCCACTGTGTCGGATTTCGAAGTCATCCATGAAGCATTCGACGCCAACCCATGCGGGATGACAATCACACTAGATGAGAATATTCAAGCGTATCTCCACGCTCATATATGCTTCAAGATCGAACCGTACTATCTGCTAGACTTGAAAAGATATGACTCGGAGGATATCGAAATGTTCCTCGGCTATATTCTATGGCGTGTTTCCGGAGACCTGGATGCTAGGAAGGGCCAGATACCCGAATGGGATGGCCTTAATAACAATGTCCGCCGGTTTTGCCTCGAAGCTGGTTGCCCGCGTCTGGTTCCCAACCTTTTTCTGAATATCGATAATCTACGTGAAGTTGCGCTTGTTGCCAGTTCTAGGTCGCGTGAAGTAGCGCTGCAAGAACGAATCCAGGAACTTGAGACACAACTTGAGGAATACCACGGGACGACCGTACAGATCATTCATGAATTGCCTATCGCGGATATAGAATAGATGGATGAGAGACCTTTGGTTGTTTCCTCTTTCCCCCCTTTTGCTAACGACTATTTTTTTCTGCCGAATATTTCCTATTAACTTTGACCAAATGAGTAAAGATTGGTCCAAATTCCGGGATGTCTCCTTAGATGAAGCTAAAAGCCACTTAGACAAACACTCTGCAGGGAAACATCCATGAACCAATCATCTAGCGATAGCACTTCAAGAGTTATACTATAAAAAGGCAGTCAAATTTATGATTATCTACCTATTGATACATGTGATCAAGAAATTTATAACAGGTTAAGCAGTAATATTCACAATTATCAAGGTATATATGATATATACTTGAACCAATAGTACAATATAATAGTCGGTGCCATTCTCAAGGCTATTACCCCAACAGAGTTCGATGCCGACTGAAACGTTAACTGGCATGCCCGGTGAAAAAATTACAATCCAGAATATTTTTAAGCAAGGTACTTCTGGATTCCCGCTTAAGCTGCTAGGATCCTAGGTATCCAAATGCTTTGGCCAATGTTCTAAAGATAGGCATATTTCAAAATTGGCAGACACCCCCTTAGTTCGACCCCACGGGTTCTCTGCTCATTTAGCAAAACAGCAGGAACGCCAGTAATCCAAGCCGGGGCGGAAGCCGTAGAGGCTCAATCAGAAAATGTGTGTGCGTCCTTCAATGAAATCTGCCTTTGTAGCCACTCTTCATTGATGTGGCGATAATCCTCCGGTCCATATGGTTCATACATCTCCGCCAAAGCGTTACTCTTCCGAAAAGGGCTCAATCCGAGGTCCCGCTGAAGTAAGTCGAAGTAAGGAACGGCATCGAAGATAAAATTAGGGCCCTTGTTGCCCCATTCCGTAGGATACCTCCATTTGCCGAATCTGTTGTGTAATACGGTCTCGTATTGCAACTTCTTGATCTCTTCCTTATCGTCCACAGCTTTTGAGTGGTCCCTTGCTAATTTCCCCGAGAAGTATGCACTAACCCATAGCCCTGTGAGATGGGCAGTGATAATGTTGCTGAGGTTTGATTGGCAGCCTATGAATGCCACATCTCGAGGACATAGAAAGCGGGGGGATGCAGGGACAAGAAAGCGGTATAGCATGTATGGAGTAAGAGGTGTGCGAGATCTTGCATCGGTACTGATCCCCTTCTGATCTATAAGGGGGACGAAACTCTTGTTCCAGACGGGCTGTATCTTGAGCCTTGGGAAGCGTTCTAGAATCTCCTTGTCGACTCGTTCTAGTAGCGTGCGACTGTTTGCTAAATCATGTACCGGTGCATTCCCAACAACCTCATGGGGGACACCAAGGTCCTTTTCGATTCCTTCCGGAAGAAACTTGATGGGCGGAGTGTGCGTCCAGCCTGTGTTCGCCAGAAATACCTCAGATTGGAACTCAGTGCCATCAGCGAGGTGAACTTTTCCCGGACTTAACTGAGTGATCTCGCCGATATGAATATTGACCTTTTCACTTTTGACAAGCTCGAAAAAGTCCTGCTCATAATTGAGAATGCTATAGCTGCATCCTGTGAACATGACCGGAAACCAAGGTTTTAACTTGGCTGTATCTGGATGAGAGTCGAACTTATTCAGCGTAATAACATCGTAACTCAGTATATCCCAGAAGCGGTCCACGAGAAAACGACCGATCGCGGTCCGGTGATAGAAGTAACGGATGCCCCGATAACCGTCGGCATCACCCCAGATACAAGGACTAAACCAGGTAAGAAGGCGGGTATCTATAATGAGACGTTAACCTAAGCACATTATCAGACCGTGCCAATTTATAGATGCGTCACTTACTCGCAAGTTTTTCAATCCACATCTTGAACGGCGTTACGTACGAAGGTGCCATCCAAACTGGACCATGACCACTCGCTTTCCTCTGCTTAGCTCATATTCAGGATTTTCAGCGCAAAAAGCAGAACACATAAGCTTACATCGAATAACCCAATTTACCTTGACACCAGCGGAGGCATATTGGTACACAGCATCCCATCCCGACTTTCCAGCCCCAAACACAGTAACGGTCTTCGCCTTCAAAGTATCAATGTTTTTCGGGAAGTCCTTGCTATGAAGTATCTTCCCGCCGAAGTCTTCTTGTCCATTGAAATGCGGCATAAAAGGCTCTGATAATATTCCAGTGGCAACAACAAGCTTGTGAACAAAAACCTTGGTCGTCTCTTGTTGATTCCATTTCTTGATCGTCAGGATCCACCCTCCTTCTGTCGTGTCTTGGTGTTCTGCGGTAACAACTAAAGTTTCAAGTCTGACGAATTTTCTTATACCGAACTCTTCAGCGTATTCTTCAAGGTACGTATGAATTACTTCTCCGCGGATATGCTGGCCTGGCTTGACATCGAACCTATCAGGGCTCATAGGAAAGTCTGGGAATTCATAGGTCCCTAAGAGGTTATTGGTCTTAAGGCCTGGATAGAGGTTGCTCTTAGCCCATTTTCCCCCTATGCTAGATTGCCCATCGAACACTACGAGGCTACGATCAGGTTGCGTGCAATGGATTTGTTTCGCGGCGGCAAGCCCATGAAATCCTATAATCATGTGGTTAGAAATTATAAAAGGGAGGTCCTTGCAATTAAAAGAAACGAAACCTAGAAAAGAAAGCCACGTTACTTACCAGCACCTACTACAGCAATATCGTACTCTTCCGTTATAGTAGTAGACATAGTAGCGGAAATATCTTTGGCAGCTTGGGTAATGATGGTCAATACTGAAGCATTCTGTTATAATCCAGATATTTCCTAGGGAAACTTGCTTCGATAACAGTCTGCAAAATTGAAGTGCCTACCTGTCGAGTTTTCTACCAGCCCAGGCTTAATAGGCTATGTTGGTAATTCGAAGACCGAAGTAAGGGATACGTTAACGAGCCGTATTGATCCTTGAACGCTTATCAGACTTACTATTTTTAGGATCACAACTTAGCCGGTGGGTTACACGTAATCGTGGCTCGCCAACATTGGAATCTGTACTAACCGAGCTATCGCATATGCGATAGGATGTCTTAGATAGGTACATAGCCCCCAAGTTTTCGTTCGACTAACACTAGGATTACATCAGATTGAAGATGTCACGATATCTTCCTTTCCGTAACTTGGGGACATAACTATTGGTCTTTACAATATAAGCGTAACCCTACCCAAAATACGCCAACAGTCGAACTAACAGATAATTCGCATATGGCGCTCATCCAGACTTGCAATTGAGTTCGGCCATCCATAAAGCCAGGAGTCGGCCCGTTAGAGGATCGTTCATCGTTTGTATTACCTCGAACCCCCCAAATGCTTGTGCTGTGTATTAGGGTACTACTTGATCCCATCTCTGTCACCTTCCAAATCAAAATTAAGACAGAAAATCAACACTTACAGGAGACTTGTCGAACAAAAACGACGCCGCAATTGCAGACTAGCGATTACGCCTTATATACACTACGTGACAAGACTTTATACCTTTCGGGTGAATTATATGTTAGCATTGCCATGTTCTCGTTCTCGTTCTGTCAAATATATGTACCTTGATTTGCTCTAAGAAGAAGTAAGGAGTAGATAGTACGGAAGCAAAGACGCAAAACTTTACACCGTATCTCTCTGTTCAAATAGGTAACCAGGTCAAATAATGATAGGGAGATCTAGATAGATGTATAACGTACTACATTAGTGAATATAAGACGTCTTGAAGCTCCGGGCCTATAGGGGGTTCACTCAGCCCCTAAGAGCCATGTCTCGAGCCTTGGATGATGCGGGTATGAGAAAGGGCTATACAATTAATGATAAGGCAGCACGACCCTAAACTTGCATTAGGTAGGTACACCAGGACACGTATTCAGAATAATCATATACTAGTGCTTCATTGAACAAGACCTAGGTGCCTATGCATTGTACTTGTTTCTTTCTATTACCTATTGCTGTTCGGTCGTAATGGTCAGTTGACGAAGGCTAACACTATAGAACCAAAACTACCACCCCCCATTCTATACCCACGGCCGGCGACAGAGTCCGTCTTATCATACACCTCAATATGCCAGAGCTAGCGAAATGCCGTGAGGTAAAATGTCCCAGTTATTGGTTTTAGTTGCTGCAGAAGCTTCCGTAATGATATCTGTATTTGTGCGTCGCGTTCAGACACGATAAGTTGAGACATACCGTACGCCGTGTCTTAACCGGCACCTCGGCAGTATATTTCCTGTCGATCTTTCCCCAACGCCATATATCCACGTGCAGATGCAATATATTCGCGACAGTGTATAAATGTCTTATATCCTCGTGTTCGAAGTCGAATTTCTCTCATGGCTGAAACAGGGAGTCTGTCGGAAACATCTGCTCCCGCTTGTAACCGAATAGAGAGCCAGTCCATCCAGATAGGGGGTAAAATAAGGTGGCCTCGAGAATTACATTTCTTTTCGTACAAAGTACGCAACTTTAGGTAGGTAGATAATGTCTTAACAAGATCCGACAATTATTATACTTACCTGTCTCACGATCTCTTCGTTATATTGCAAATCACCCCCGTTTGCTTCACAAGCCATATATTCTTAGTCTCCCACTCGCGGTCAGGATACGTCAGAGCCATGTCGAACCTCCGTAACAACTCCGGCACCATCTTCGACATCTCTATCATCGCGATATGCCTCCCGATGCAGGTACGAGAGCCCGCACTGAAGTTGAAGAACGACTGCTCCATCCGCTTCAGCTCTTCTTCGGTAGAGTCGAGCCACCGCTCTGGGAGAAACCTTTCCGGGTCGTGGAATACCTCGGGATCGTAATGTGTGACCCAAGGGTTGATTCCGACGATAGTTCCCCCAGCGATGTGTCTTCCGCAAATGGTATCGCCGCCAGCCGGAACGAATCGCTCGTATATGAGACCGGCAGACGGGTGGACTCGCATGGCCTCTTTGATCACCGCATTTAGATATGGGAGATGTGTATTGGCCTCTTTGAACGTGACTGGTTGGCTGAGCTTCCCAGCAGCTGCCGCGTCGTCGATCTCTTTCACCAGTTTCTGCATCTTGTCCATATTCTTGCCCAAATAATAGAATAGAGACCGCAGTGCGATAGACGTGGTGTCGGAGCCCCCATACACATTCGCGGCCAGATGTGTCACAAGATTCTTGGTAGCCATCCACTTGGAGCCGCTCTGATTTATAGCATACCATTTGGTCAACATGTCGCCTTTACTCTCGATATCCGAAGCACCGATTTTTCCGCCCTTCCTTAATGCTATGTCTCGTCCAGCTACCTCATTAACAGCTTTCAAAGCAAAATCGACAACCTGGTTCATGGATCCTCCGGAGAGCAATGGATTTCCCAGTAGAAATTTATGCATTTCGGGAATTTGCCCACACTGGCTGATATATGCCTATATGTTGCGTAAGCTAGACACGAGATGCGTTTGATGTAGCTTCGAAGCGCCAAGTACTACCTACCAAGATGGCTTCAATAGTTTCTAAGATTCCGTCCACGTCGCAGCCCTTCTCGAGGAAGCCAAACATCTTCGAGAACGACAGCTGTCCCATGACATCAAACGTGTAATAGGACATCCATGAGCCAATATCTACTGGCTTTCCCTCGCTTGCGAGTCCTTCGAGCTTATATAACAATAGGTTTACACATTCGTCTATAGCAGGTTCATATGCAAGAAGTGATGTCGGACTGAAAGCGTTGGTGAGAAGCTTCTTCGACTCTCGGTGGAAGGTTGAGTCGACCGTCGTAAACAAGTGTGGTACAACTTCACCTTCCCATGTGACGGATTGAATTGGGTGGTAAAAGCCAGTCTATAACGCCTCTTAGTACTCAACTTCTGCCGTGCATATTTGCGATTTCAGATAGTAACGTCTACGTTCGAAATATCATCGCAACATACATACCTTAGTATACTGAGACTTCGGCCCATAGATATGGTTAATCTCACGCGGGTCGGAGACAGACACATGGTTTGGACCAATACGAACTAGCGAGCCGTACTTTCGATGTAGCTTAATATGAGTCTTGTGAGCTTGGCCTCCCCGCACATCAAGCAATCGCCACAAGCCTGTATACGCGGCGGCCGTCGGTCCTGGGATGTCGCGCAAGTCTTTCCTAAATCTATTGTATAGAAGGCGGGATACAATACCGATGACAAGCAGCGAAGAAATCGCCAAAGGCAAGGGCAGCGAAGCAAGTGTATTTAGTATAGAGTGGGCAGTCTTGATCTCCATTGTGATTCGTTGTCTGTTCCAATCTGTATAACTAAGTCATCTAAGAGAAACAGTTCGTTACGAGAGCACATTTGTCCCTTATATAATTCAACGCATACGGAATCGCCCCCTCTCCTCTCCTCCATCCTCTTATCACATGCTAGGTAAACGCCTCACTTTGTGGCAAATTACTTCTTCTCCAGAATCATATCGCGATGACAGCATATTGCTTCAGAGCTGTGATAATTGGTTCTTCGCCGTATCAATATTATAAGTCATCATCTAGAACAAGAATCACGCACCGCACAATGCACTTCATCGGGCTTGGCCCACAACGTAAGTCAGATCAGTGACATCTATCCGGGATTTAATTAGACGGGCCGCGAAGTATGCCGCAAGCCGGCAAGCCAGAAAATATCTGCGGCCTGGAGACCAGACTGGCGGAAACAAGACTCTATAAGCATATAGCGCACAAGTCACAGGATCTACCCAGGGATATAGGCAAGCTAATACTCGCATAGAGCGGGGTCATCGGCAGCTATACAGTTGCACAACAAGTCATGGCCATCACCCCAAGCTGCTTTTTAAGAGATGCCACAATCTATATCTAACTGTAGGTATCTCTGCTTGATTATAGCCCTCTCGGAGCAAACAGGGCGAGATACGCTTGCCAAGTTATCAAATCCCAGAATCGACAGATCTTTATCGTCGAGGGGCACCAATAGGGAGAGTCCTGCCTCCCACCCCTAGAAGGACGCAGTCGTATAGTATAGAAGATATAGGAGTTGGATGGCAGGAAGGAGTGAGCGTGGCCAAACCACCCAGGTCGATATGAAGCTCTTCTCTAGAATTTCACATTCGTTACGGTTGAGAGCCAGGCTTCCCCTCACACTATACACATAAAATCAATCAATTCTGGCGTAACTACTAGGTAGGAATAGTATAGCTTGAACACTACCGCTTCCCATTGAAACCTTACCTGGTACCAATAAGTTGATCTTAGCAAACTTCCCCCCGCCAATTCGCCAGTGAATGATAATTCTCTTAAGAATAAGATGCTCGCTTAGAAAATGATTGGTCGGATCTTAAGAGGGGGGGTCAGATTTGCTGACCACACTTCCAACGGGTTTATGGCAGGCATAGACGTCGTAAAAGTATCATCTCCTTCGAAAGCGTGCAGCAACCCGTGCACCTATACCATTTCCCCATAGATCTAAGTAACTCCAAGTTATCCTAGTCTTACATACCCCTAACATATAATCCTTCTCTAAAGGCATCCTAACTTTCACTGCAGTCATAGAGAATCATCCATAGAGCGGACAGGAACTTGTTTCAGGGGCTTAAAATGATATACTCCTCCAACATCACCAGCTTCTCCTATGCTCACTATACAAGCTGCTAGTAGACACATTAAATTACTATTAGATACTATTAGGAATAAACGCGTATATTATGGCAAGTTCTCCTTAACGCTCCACGTATATCTTATGAAGCTAAAGTTGTTCACTTAACCCCTATTTACGAAAGTGGGTACTTGATGCTTCCACCCGTCGGAACTTGCTAACTTCAACGAAGGTGCGCTTTATACTAAAGGCAAATCCAATCATGGCGTTCTGAACATAGTATAATAGTCCCGTTGGTGTGATTTATAAAGCGCGAAGTCCCTGGCTGTAGGTAAGCGACATGAAGACATTGAAATTATGTTGAGTAATAAACCCCTGAAAGGAGTTGACGAAGAAGTGTTTAGGAGATAAACGCTGCATTCTCGGGGTCGTCGAGGCAAGTATAGGCCTAGGCAAAAATAATGGACCGTAGATAGATAATACCATGATTATTATACATGGGGAGATACACATATAATTTGTAAATGCTTACGCTTTTTGGTACTGGGATGTGTTGGCGTTCGCAATCCTGTACAAGATGCCGAAACAATCAGCAAGTTCAGATAGGCAACAGGAGACTTATTTGTTACGTTTACTATGATGTGTGGTTATAACATTTATCTTGAATCCAATAAATAAACTCAATCAAGAAGTTCCGTGCGCAGCCTGGTTGCAATCGCCAGCTGAGATACCAATGCCGAGATGGAGCTAATGCGCTGGGAATATCATGAAGAACCAACCACCTCTATTAATTGAAATAGCCCACCTATGATAGGCTTTCTACGACACATTTTTCGAAGCACGGTAGTCTGCAGCTCTGTCCGATAGTGTACGGGTTTCCCAGGAGATCGGCAGCGTTGCACAAGCCACAACGATAGTGCCCTTCCGAAGTCGACCAATATAAGACAATCCCCACAAGAGACGCCAAAAAAGAAAGTAGAAGAGAAGAGCATATGCTAGGAATACCTACCAACTTAGGTACTTAGTATCACCAATAGTCCTGCAAAAGTTCAAATATGTTCGGATCAGTAAATGAAAGCGTGCGTGGGGAAGATTGGATGTCGATTGAGCTGATTCTACTGGAATGGGCTCTTTATGTTCGTCTTGAGATAGATTAAAAGTAGTACTGCGAGCTGTTACTCAACATAACCGCTGCGCGATGAGTTGTCGAAAGAAGAAACAATATAGGATACTAAACAGGACGCTTATGACGTAAAAGGCGCACTTACAGTTGCGGTGTGGCCTGAATGGTCGAGCGCCGCTAGTTCTTCTAATATTAATAGGTCGTGGTAGATGGGCAGCTTCTTCGCCCCGTCTTCCCTTCTACTTAAGCGATAGACATCATGTCAGTCCCAATTCCACAGCCTCCCGGAGTGCCCCTTTTGGGGAACATCTTTGATGTCGATCCCAACAATACGTGGGATTCGCTGAGGGAGCTAGCAGAGAAATACGGAGAGATATTTCAGATCAAGGTTTTGGGCCATACGATTGTATTCGTAGCTGGTGCGACCATTGCGGAGGAGTTATGCGACGAGAAACGGTTCCGGAAATACGTCGGTGGTCCAATAGTCGAAATACGGTACGCCGTACATGATGCTCTGTTCACGGCATTCGACGACGAGGCGAGCTGGGGCATCGCACACCGTATTATCGCACCGAAGCTCAGTCCGCAATCACTCGCGGGAAATTTCGTGGAAATGAGGGACACTACCGCCGAGCTTATAACGAAGTGGAAAGGACTAGGTACTGACAACAAGATATCAGCTATTGGCGAGTTAAACAGGTTGAATCTCGAAGCGACAACATTGACCCTCTATGGGAAGAAGTTGAACTGCCTTTTCGGACCTGAGCATCCAATGATAAAGGGGATGGAAGACTCGACATCCGAAGCGATGAAGCGACCAAACCGTCCCAAATTTATGAATTGGCTCTTTTACGGTAGTAAGTTTAGCAACGCCACGACTACGATGCGCATGTATGCGCAAGAACTGGTGAACTATCGCAAAGCCAATCCAACAGATCGACAGGACCTGCTTGCAATACTAATGAGCGCCACGGATCCGGAAACGGGCACATCTCTAACCGACTCACAAGTTATCGACGAGATCGTTACCATGCCAATTGGTAGCAGCACAGCGCCAGCAATGCTCAGCACTGCTATATACTTCCTCCTGAAGAACCCGGATGTGGTGGCCGAAGCACGCCAGGAACTGGACTCAGTCATCGGTGATGACGAGTTTAAGTTCGAGCACTTGGCACAGCTCAAGTACATTGAAGGCATCATGCGCGAATCCCTTCGACTCTCATTCGCAGCTCCGGGTTTCAATATCGAGCCTATACCCAGCGACAGCAAGGCACCCGTTCAACTAGCTAGTGGAAAGTACCAAGTCGCGCACAACCAGCCCATGATCATCGTCTTGGCGGGAGTTAACAGGGACCCTACGGTATTTGAGAAACCACTTGCGTTCAGGCCCCAGAGGATGATAGGGAAGGCATTTGACGATCTCCCGTCCGGGGTTAAGAAGTGGTTTGGGAACGGGAAGAGGGAGTGTATTGGAAAGCATTGGGCCTGGCAGTTCAGTATGATTGTGCTAACTATGTTAATCAAAGAGGTGGACTTTGAGATGGTGGATTCGAATTATACGTTGGAACAAGACGGTTGGTTTAACCTGAGGCCGGTGGGATTTGAGGTCGGAGTCAAACCGAGGGGTAAATGATGTAATTGATAGGATGAAGATAAAATTTGGAATGCACTTTGAGGTCTAAATAAATGATGGTTCCAGGCGAAGTTCAAATCTATTAACTTAGGTAGGTAGTTGAAAAGGGTTGAAAAGGGAGACATGAATCTACCTAAGATCTCAATAATGCTCTGTACGTCATATTGTACATTATGCAAGCTATGCGTTTATTTATGTAAAAACTATCACGTGTTTAGAATTTTTCGAAGTGCTCTGTCATGTATAATAAACGTCACAGTATTAACCACCGTATATCGGTCTTAAATCTCTCAATTCGCACCGTACACATTTCTCGGCAACGGCATCACCAGAAAAGAAGCTCGGGAATTAATGAATTATTTCGTGCAAGTAGCAGAAAGGCAGATCCCAGAAAGCAACAACCCACCAGCCCAGCTAAGCCCAAAGCCTAAGCTCACTGACGAAGCTGACAACCATGGGCTCGAGCTCGTCTAAGCCGGAGGCGAGTCAATCCTCATATATCTGGAAGGCGTAAGTTCATAATAATAAATATTATTGTTGTTGTCGTTCCCATTCTAAGTTACATCATATATCATCGTTCCCTACCGTCGTTCGGCTAACTTGACAACTCTCGGCCGTTCGCAGATCCTCGCCCGTAGGCGTCTCACACGATGTCCTTGAAACCCTCCAGTCGAGTAGCGAAGTGAGCATCCTCAGCCCCTCCTTCCACCTCTTATTCTTCTTCTTCTTCTTCACCACTCAACTTTTCCCCCACCACCGAAACCCAGCACTGCCGACCTAGTTTAACTAACCCGCTCGTCCGAACCCCGTCCAGACCGATACCACGCGCGCGCAGACCCTCGAGCTAGTCGTACAAGCGCGCGTAGCCGACGAACTTAAGAAGCTCGAGGCGCAGGAGACGGCAGCACTCAAAGAAGCCTTAGACAAGGTCGCGGAGAGCAGCGTGGATGACGACAATAACAAGCAGCTGAGCACGCCCGCCGTGTCCAAGGAAATCGAGGCCCTCAGGGCGCGCCTCGAGAAGCGCAAGCAGCTGCGGCCGCTCCCGGACACCGTCGAGCAGGCCCGCGGCAGCGTCGTGCGCTGCCTACTCGAGAACGACCGGCGCCCGCTCGACTGCTGGCGCGAGGTCGAGGCGTTCAAGGAGGAGGTCAGGAAGCTCGAGAAGGAGTGGGTTGATAAGGTTGTCTCGTGAATGAGGCTTCTTTTTTTTAACTCTTAGGAGAATGATTGCAGAGAATACCGGGGTAGAAGAAGAGGAGGGAGAAAAAATCACTTCTTCGAAAGATGCCTCGTTATCTACCACCACCACCCCTTCCAATCGCCCTAGTAATTACTTACCTACCTAGGTACCTACGATAGATACTCTGTTGTAACAACACTCGACACACACTTATAGCATAAGCATTTTTAGGGAGCACCCGGGGAAAACAGAGCTATATAGAAAGATGGATAGCACTTAGTTTCTTGTGCAAGTCCCTCTCGTGCTGTGCGTGGAGATTTTTAATTCATGTGAAATCTACGTCTAAAGGGACTTCTAAAGTCGAGTCTTCTACGGCTCCAGAATCACTATCTTCCCCCTGCTTCTGCTTCCGTAGTTCCTCTTTCCTCTTCAAACCTTCTGCTCTCTTTCTTTCCCGCCGTACTTGTGCGTCTTCCCACCCATTCTTGCCGTCGTCGTCTACCGGCTTAGTTGCTTCCGCAAGAGCCGCCCGGAATCTGTTGATCCTCTTCGTATTTTCGACAAAGCGTTCGTTGGCTATACGAACTAGCATCCGTAGATAAGCTGACGATACGGTACAATGTATCTCATCGCCGTCGGACTGATACCCGATCAAGGACTCGAATGTAAGTCCCATAGACCGGATAGCGACTATCGGGGTGGCATGTTGCTCTCCGGCTGCCGGTGTCAAGCTCACAGCACCGCTCTCCCGGAATCCGGCCTGTAGACCACACCGGAGGAGCAACTGCGCATGTTCCGGCGAAGCAGTCAAGACGTGGAGAATCTAACACGGTAAGCCTAAGTTATTGCAGACGGAAGTTATGGGATACACTTAACTTACCATAGGCTCAAACTTGAAGTGAACAAGTCTTGCAGAAGCAATATCTTGCACAGCATCGCCATCTTTCCCATGAAATCTTCCCTCAACCTCACCGCCACCCCCCTCCCCAGAACCCCCCTTCTTCAACCCCAACATCTCCATCACATCCCCTTCACTTTCCGGCACCAGCACCGGATCATGCGAAACAAACAACCAATTCCCTCCCCCGCCCTTCCCCCCTACACCCGCCAATTTCCTAGCTTCTCCTCCTTCTCCCCCTCTGTCACCCCCTTCCCCTTCCCCTTCCTCCTCTTCAGCAGCAGCAGCAGCAGCAGTACCCGTACCGACCTTCTTACTCCCCTCCAGAAAAACACTCACCCGCCCCGCGCAGCTGCTCGTCGTCACGAACCCTTCCAGCCCGTTGACCTCCCCAATCAGCTCCCGCACCCCCTCGTCCACCGTCCCCTTCGGCGACGCGTCCGTGTACTCCCCTTCCGGACGCCCCAGCTGCTCCAGGATTCGCGCCTTGCGCCGCGCGAAGCCGGGCGTGGGGAGAGATGTGTCGTTGTCCCCCTTCATTATTCGTAGGATCAATATGCGTGTTGAAAAAAAAATTTTCTCTTTACTTTACTTGCTTTTTTTTTTTTAAACCGTCTTAAGTTCGTGCCGCCGAGTACCTAACACGTTGGGACTGGACAGATGATAGTTTGAAGATAAAATCGCAAGAGGGAAAACTCAGATTATTCCGTCTGATAGTAGCCCACTAAAAAAATGACAGCATCGTAACCTTTGTAAAAATAAATATATACCAGCCTCAGCCTTATGGGATAATTTTAAGGGAAATACTATGGAGCAAGCCGCTGAAGTGTCCATCATACGTATAACCAATTGATGACTTCTGATATTAAATGCGACATTAAATAGAAACTCATACATTACGTAGGTACTCTTGATTACTGTATTAATTTTGGCTTCTTCGCATGTTCAGAATTTATCACCATCATATCACGGTACATCTTACACGACTAGCATATTCTGGAGATCGCTCTGATTAATAGATAATAGCATTATCGCAGAACCGGGAACGAGAGTGTTCTACAAACCCAGGCCATACATAATACCACGCCTCCATAAAAAGCATCGAATAACACGATCCGTGGGCCGGCATCCGCCTAACCATATCAATACCAAAAGCCAGAAGCCTCTTAAACGTCAACAAGGGGTATCATGTTCTAACCATTCCGTAAACGCCTCCATCAATAGTGCAACCCTCGGCATGATGAGCGGGTTTGCCGCACAACGGCCGGAAATCTTGACACAAGCAAGGCTGACTATCTGCTTGCGTGTCTCGCTCTCGACAGTTAGACATTACGGAAGGTTGGTGAACATGACCGGCTTAGAAACCGTGCACCTTAATCGTCTTAGGATCAAGCTCTAGACCCTCTTTCTTATCGACGAGGAACTCCTGTACATCCTTGCGCTGGTCGCCCTGCAACTGGATGACTTCACCCATCTCGGTGTCGTTCACGATGGTGCCATTGCAAGCTAATGCGAGGATAGGGTCAGTAAAGTGAACAAACATAAAAATGGTTATACAAAAAGCGGGGGTTATCAGCATACCGAACTTCTTCTTGATGACCTTCAGGATTTTCTTCTGGTCGAATTTCTTCGGAAGACCTTGCACTGTGGTCAAGGTTTTACGTCCATTCCGCTCTGATAAGATGAAAAGTTAGCATATTAATTTTTCTTTTGTAGATGTATCGTATTTGGGATGCAGAGTAAGGGCGTGAGGAATGCGGCGCGAGCCGACTACCAGATGGGAAATGCATCGGAGCTATGCACACGTACGTTGAATGCGGATATGGATATAGTTCTGTGACTGCTTGGATTCACCTGTATCCTCATCGGCTTCGGCGAAGGGGTCTGTTTTGATGGTTGGTTAGCCTATGACGCGAAAAGGAGGTTGCATAAACAAAGGGGTCATCAGGTCAGATCGTAAGGCGATGGGGATAACAGCGATATCGATGGATATAGATAAACATCAATAGTTCTCCCCATCCCCTTAGAATCATCCCGCGATGAGGGAGATATTGCACATATTGCACGTACCATAGGTCTTGAGGTTTTCGATTGACATAAACTCGGGTTTATGGGGGTGACTTGGGGAAAAGGGTTTGTGGAGATGAACTCGGTGAAGCGACAGACAACTAATATTAGTGGCCTCGCTAAGCTGTGTAAAAGTTCTAATATGTAGGTAGTGTTCTGGTGGGTTTTACTAGAGAGAGTGGACGATGCAACAGTTGATTGCGTTGGTGAGATTAAGAGATGGATTAAATGTTGACGTTGTTGTTCAATTCTTGATGGGTGGCTAAGGCTCAATTTGTAGAAGAGAGGAGGACGAGAAAGACCGCAACAAGCAAGTGGCAGTGAATGGAGGGGCAACATCTATTTAGCGGGTCACTAGCGAATCGGCAAGGGGTGAGTGGGTCTTCCCCCTGCACCTGGCAGGCTGGGAGCCATGGCTGGGGGCCGGTTGAACCTACCCTCACCCTGCCCTGCTCACCCCTACTGCCCCCAGTGCTTCTACTGCCCCTACTGCTCTCCTAGGTACTGCTCTTGCACAAGGTAGAACATTCGTGCCACCCATAGAAATAGCGGCCTTATCAGACCCGGCAGGCTTAGGCAATAGTAGTATTGAACTTGGCAACTACGGGGGAAACCACCTAGCGAAAAAGTTAGAATTAGAAATTTGCCGGAGTGAGCGAAAACACCCTAACCTAAGTAGGTACTTTATTAGTGCTTTTTTCCAGCTTTTCTTTCCCCTGTTCAATAAATGTGAATTTCAATTGTTGGACAATTTTACAATTTCACAATTTCTCACATTTTGCGGTTAACCGGGAAGTAGCAAATGCCGGAAGAATGCATCACGTACCTCATGCCACACAGCTACCACACAATCGACACCACCAGCACCACCTATAACCCATAGAATGTCGGACATTGTACCACAACAGGAATCCAGACTAAACATCATCCATTAAGAGATTTCAATTCCATCCCAAAAATCTTTGAGCACCGAGAGATGTGACAAGCGACTTCTACCTACCTGCACATCCACGAGGATACCTACCAATCTTAGCAGCTGACCTGACTGACCTGACCCCCCCCTGCGCATCTGCGCATCTGCATGTGGCCTCCCGAAAGGCGAACATCTAGAACATCAGTCTCATTATTGGACTCATCCGTGGGCTAATTCAAGTGGGCAATCTCTACTTATGTCAGCCTGTAACCCTTCGATCGACCTATCCATGTCCCGATTCCAAAGGTCCTGCAGGTAACACTTATTTTACATATTTTACATATTTCGCATATTTCGCATATTTCGCCTATACCAATTTCAATTTCGAGATGGTCTTCGATGCGCAAGAGCTTCCCGATGACTCTCCGAGTCTAATTAAAGATTCGTCTGGATCAAGATGGACTCCCCTATTTCTGAAGAGCTGTGAGTTCGATTCGCAAATCTTTTTCAAAGTCATGATGAATTTGATTCGCAATCCGAATATCAATTCCAGTTGGCTGTTCCGGGCCGATATCTTGGTAGAGCGGGATCTACGTAAAAAAGATGAGACTACTGACCCCGCGGTCACACGGCCAAGCATTATCTACTTTGAAGATATGCACCTTGATAAAGCCCTGGTACGGAAGCTTGTTCCTAGAAATACTCGAAGAGATGAGCCTCTAGACCAAACGTGTCTAATTTATCATGGCACTGGACCGGGGAATATGGAAAGGTCCATGGTTGTTTACAAACCCCACGTCTCATCTCCTGATGACATGCCATTCTATCATCCTAAAGTGCAAGGCATAGCATTTCTCCACGAATGGAGCCCCGAAGACAATAAGGGTTCCGTGTCTATCCATTACCATTTCTTTAACGATGGAGATCGTTCGCCAAAGTTGGTGGGGACAGCCTCTAATCTCCTGTCAGTGCTCCATAAGCATGGCGAAGGAACTAAAAAGGGGTACACTAAGCGGGTTCATCACGACACTATCGTCCCCCAGATCTCTGTGCAGAATACATATACTAGGTTAAAGCAGAGTTATGCTCGCCAGCTTATTGAAACCTGGGCCGAGGTAACAGACCCGTCTAAGCACGTGTTTGAAGACTTGGCCATTGCGGCGTTTCTTATCGAGCTGTGGGCTCAGATGTATAAAGACTCCCCTTTCCCTGGATTTGTCGATATTGGCTGCGGTAACGGGCTGCTCGTGTACCTCCTTCGAAAAGAAGGATATTCAGGTTGGGGATTTGACGCGCGGAAACGGAAATCATGGGAACAGTATTCCGAAACGATTAGTGATGAGCCGGAGGATCGAGAGAGTCTCCGGCAGCATGTCCTACTTCCTTCTGTGATCAACCACCCTCTAAACAGGAAGGATACGAGTAGTGTGACCGTCTATGATGTAGATAGCACTGATCTTATACACGACGGTTTATTTCCTGAAGGCACGTTTATCATATCTAATCATGCAGACGAGTTGACACCGTGGACACCGATACTTGCTGCTATATCAAATTGTCCGTTCATCATGATACCGTGCTGCAGTCACGATCTTACCGGTGCAAGATTCCGGGCTCCCGCGCCGAAAACGCAAGGGAAATCGCCGTCGGCGTATTCCTCACTCGTCGAATGGATAAAAAGCATAGCAAGGGACTGTGGGTGGGAGATAGAAACCGAGATGCTTAGGATACCAAGCACAAGAAACACGGGTTTGATCGGTAGAAAAAGGAGTTCATCCTCCTCAGCGGTAGATATCCAAGAGGTTATAGTTAAATATGGCGGTACGGAAGGGTATGCGGATAACGTGATGAAGCTGATAGAGAGCAAGCCGAGGGGACATTAGCAATACCTATGGGGAAATATATATATATATAGAGTATACCCGATAGAATAGAGATATAAAAGTTGGATAGCAATGCGGTGATTGCTTTTATATAATAAGAACATTACATTAGGTACGTACCTGGATGTGGCTTGGCTAGTTGGTAAAGTCGCCATCACGTGGCTTGACGTGGCTTAACTAGAGCACATGAGTTTGCAACGTCGCTCCTTCCCAAAGGCCAAGGAACATTGAAATGTGCTGGCCCGAAATTATGTATGAATTAAGCTCTGGCACTACACCAAAGACCCGCGATTATCTTCAACTTTCACCTTCAACACAGCCGTCTCACCGCCCAACATGAGCTACGGCAAGAAAGATGAAGATGCCGACCTCGGCTTGGTCAAAGTTGACCGCACTCAAGTTTTTCAAGAAGGTAAGTTTACAATTCAATTCAATATTTAATTTAAATCCTCGAGTCTCTCCCCCCTTAGGTTGTTGCCCACCCAGCTATATAAGGTCTATCTGATCTAGACGGTCTGTCTGCATAATACCATAATACGCGAAGCTAAACAGCACCAAGCTCGATTATTCAATAGTTCGCCAATTCAACCACGAAGATGTCGCATCCTCCTAACGAAGATTGCCCTCCTCCTATATACCGGCGAGAAGTTCCCGACGAACGAAGCCACCACCCTCTTCTTCGGTATCTCGAAGCTATTCCAGAACAAAGATGCCAGCTTGCGACAGATGGTCCATCTGGTTATCAAGGAGATCGCCAACTCCGCCGAAGATATTATTATGGTTACGAGTACGATAATGAAGGATACTGGTGGTAGCACAGATGCAATCTACAGACCCAATGCTATACGTGCCCTATGTCGCATCATCGACGTGAGCCCAATGCATAGTCCTAGCTTCCTTACTCCCCCTTGCTGATGCCTTGCAGGCGACGACTGTCCAATCGATCGAACGTGTAATGAAGACAGCGATAGTCGACAAGAACCCTTCAGTATCCTCCGCCGCCCTTGTATCTTCCTATCACCTCCTCCCAATCGCCAAGGACGTCGTTCGACGATGGCAATCCGAAACGCAAGAGGCTGCCGCCTCGACCAAGTCTTCAGGTGGCTTCTCCCTCGGATTTTCGTCTTCCTCGGCTTCACTACCTGTTAATAACTCCACCATGACCCAATACCACGCCATTGGTCTCCTATACCAGATACGATCCCACGATAGGATGGCACTGGTCAAGATGGTGCAACAGTTTGGTGCCGCTGGTGCTGTCAAGAGCCCTGCCGCTATAGTGATGCTTGTTAGGCTAGCTGCGCAATTGGCCGAGGAAGACCAATCGCTCAGAAAGCCTATGATGCAGCTTCTTGACGGATGGTTAAGACATAAGAGCGAAATGGTCAACTTTGAGGCAGCTAAGGCAATCTGCGATATGAGGGATGTCACCGACGCCGAAGTCACCCAAGCTGTTCATGTGCTACAGCTATTCCTCTCTTCGCCTCGTGCCGTAACCAAATTCGCTGCCCTCCGCATCCTACACAATTTTGCTTCCTTCAAGCCGCAAGCCGTCAACGTTTGCAACCCCGATATTGAGGCGCTCATCTCCAACAGTAACCGCTCGATCGCTACGTTCGCTATTACCACACTGCTCAAGACTGGCAATGAAGCAAGCGTGGATAGGTTGATGAAGCAAATCTCTGGATTTATGTCTGAAATTACGGACGAGTTCAAGATCACCATCGTCGAAGCCATCCGAACCCTATGCCTTAAGTTCCCTAGCAAACAAGCTGGCATGCTTTCTTTCTTGAGTGGCATTCTACGCGACGAGGGCGGTTACGAGTTCAAGCGGGCTGTTGTGGAAAGCATGTTTGACCTGATTAAGTTCGTTCCAGATTCCAAGGAAGACGCTCTCGCCCACCTTTGCGAATTTATCGAAGATTGCGAGTTCACGAAATTGGCTGTGCGTATTCTCCACCTGCTCGGTCTAGAAGGACCCAAGACTTCTCAGCCTACCAAATACATCCGATATATCTACAACCGTGTGGTTCTGGAGAACGCCATTGTAAGAGCGGCAGCCGTAACCGCCCTAGCCAAGTTCGGTGTGGGTCAGAAGGACCCTGAAGTCAAGCGTAGCGTCGACGTTCTGTTGACTAGGTGCTTGGATGACGTGGATGATGAAGTCCGTGACCGTGCCGCGCTCAATCTGAGGTTGATGCACGAGGAGGATGACTTAGGTGATCGCTTCATCAAGAACGGTAAGTACATTTGCCGCTCTTTTACAAACAATGTGAAATACTAATCAGGACCACAGAGAATATGTTCTCGCTACCTTACTTTGAACACCAGCTTGTTATGTATGTGACATCGGATGACAAGTCAACCTTCGAAACTCCGTTCGACATCAGCCAGATCCCGGTTGTCACTCGGGAGCAAGCAGATGCCGAGGATCGCACGAAGAAGCTTACGGCTACTACGCCATCTCTAAAGCCGCCAAAGACCGGCCCCACAAAGACAACGCCGACTGGCGTAGAGGCACAAGCCTCAGCAGCTGCTGCCGCCCAGAAGTATGCTCAAGAACTTATGTCGATCCCGGAGATGAAGGAATTTGGCAGCGTTCTCAAGTCATCCTCTGTTGTTGAGCTGACCGAAGCCGAGACGGAATACGTCGTCACAGTCGTCAAGCACATCTTCAAGGAGCACATCGTACTCCAGTACGAAGTTAAGAACACACTTCTAGCTACGGTCCTCGAAAACGTGTCGGTGGTAGCAACGCCGTCTGACGAGGAAGAACTAGAGGAAGTGTTCATCATTCAAGCAGAGAAGCTTCCCACAGATGAGCCCGGGAAGATATACGTGGCGTTCAAGAAAGCGAACGGCGAGGGATCCCTACCGACCGCCACCTTCTCTAACATACTTAAGTTCACGAGCAAGGAGATCGACCCTACTACCAACGAGCCTGAGGAGACTGGCTACGAGGATGAGTACGAGGTGTCCGACTTCGATCTTGCCGGTAGCGACTACGTGATACCCACATTCGCAGGCAACTTCAACCACGTATGGGAACAGGTGGGTGCGGCTGGTGAGGAAGCAGAGGAGACAATGCAGCTGTCAGGCGTAAGCAGCATCGCAGGTATGTGTTTATGTTTCTCTATATTTTTACGAAAAGTATAACTAATGTGAAATGGCAGATGCTACGGAGCAACTTATCAAGACGCTCTCGTTACAACCACTGGAAGGCACAGATGTTCCGGTCAGCCAGACGACACATCAACTCAAGCTTCTGGGCAAGACGGTCAACGGGGGAAGGGTAGTGGCAAACGTCAGGATGGCGTACTCGTCGAAGTCAGGAGTGACAACCAAGATTATAGTACGCAGCGAGGAGGAGAATGTTGCTGCTATGGTGGTGGCGTCCGTCGCGTAATAATGATGGTTTCTGGAAAGGCGTTTCTGCAAAAAATGACGAGCGATGTCCTTTCGGTTTTGAGGGTTACCTTATGCATATTACTACTAGAGACTCGAGTAAAGGGGCGAGCAGTGTAGGACTTGCGCGATCCTAGATGAATGATATTAGGGGCCGAGCTGTACTTGTTTATAAGAAAGAGTCAAAGAAAGAATTATATGATAGCCTCTTGAGTGTCAGCAGAACGAACCTGGGAGGTTGAACTCGAGGACCCTTAAGGTTATGATGAATTGAACAGTATAATAAGCTTCACCTTGGCTATAGCTTCTTACATTTACATGCAACTTAACCTAAGGTACCTACGTAAGGTAACCTTGATGTCTCTCTAAACACAAATGCGCTTATACTTAAAGTTACATTGATTCTACCCCATGGGTAATGGAGGAGGTATGTACATCAGGTAGGTATGTAGATCACCTCCAACATATCTACTACCTCCTCTAAGGTACCTACCTACCTCTAGTACCTAAAGTACTAGGTAGATGTACCTATTTACAAGTACCTAGGTACCTCTATAATAAAAGTTTATTAGCTTACCTTAGGTAGGCACATTACCTATGCCAGCTCTTAGCTTAGAAAATGGGTCTTCGATATTCGATGCACACAATGACGCTTTCTCCATATTTTTTTTCCTTTGCCCTACAAGCCAACTCACTGTTTTTTCTTTTTCCTTCAATTTTTCTACATACTACCACCTACACAAATTAGTTCGTCTTTTGATCTTTGACGACGTTCCTTTCAAAATAAAGGGGACGTTCCGTTCCGGTCCCGTCCTTGTCGAAGCGTTCCTCTTTTTTTTTTCTGCTTCCCTCTTTTGTATCCGGCGTCCGGAGTAGCAGCTAGCCAGCCAACCCGAGCTTTAATTGCAGGGAATCAAGTAACTTCATCCTTGAAAAATTCCATTTTAATATATATATATATATATACACCTACCTATATATATAATATATATAAGGCATCCGTCGGTCAAGATGGTCTACGTTCGTCAGGAATTCCTGCCGAATCTAAAGGCATATAAGTACTCGGGCGTCGACCACTCGTTGACGTCCAAATACATCCTGAAGCCCTTCTACTCCAATGTCGTCATCAAGTGCTTCCCCATGTCCATGGCCCCCAACCTCATCACCTTGACGGGCTTCATGTTCATCGTCGCCAACTTCTTCACGCTGTTGTGGTACAACCCGACCCTCGACCAGGACTGTCCCTCGTGGGTCTACTACTCGTGGGCCGTCGGCCTATTCCTCTATCAGACTTTCGATGCGGTGGATGGGGCTCAAGCGTATGTCTTATAGGCAGATTAGAGCTACTCTCTCGCTCTCTCTCTCTCTGCCCGATGCTATAATAAGTATAAACTATAGACTGTGGTACGCTAATAGCTAATTGGGCTTCTTTCAGACGACGGACGAGACAAAGCGGTCCCCTCGGCGAGCTATTCGATCATGGCGTCGACGCCCTGAACACTTCTCTCGAATGTCTCATCTTCGCCGCCTCTCAGAACATGGGACAGAGCTGGTATACCGTTGCTTCGCTCTTCGCCTGTACGTACCGCTACAACCACCCCTCTCCCTAATTTTATTTTATTTTTTATCTTCTCTCAGATTCAGCGACAGTTGTTAACAAGGCAATTTCAAAAACAGCCCTCCAGACTTTCTACGTCCAGACCTGGGAGGAATACCACACCGGAACCCTCACCCTCGGCATCGTCAACGGTCCCGTCGAAGGCATCCTGATCATCGTGTTCGTGTACGCGCTCACCGGATACTTGGGCGGCGCCTCCTTCTGGCAGCAGCCGATGCTCGAGACGCTGCACGTGCCCAAGTCCCTCGGCATCCCCGAGTACCTGTACAAGCTGTCCTTCACGCAGTGGTACATGGTGCAAGGCGTCGTGGTCATGGTCTTCAACACGGTCGAGAGCGCACGCAACGTGATCCGCGCGCGCCGGGCTCGTGGCGACCGCAGCCGCTGGGCCCTGCTCGGCCTGCTGCCCTTCGCCAGCACCTGGGCCCTCGTCGCCGCCTACCTATACCTGCAGCCCGTCATCCGCACCCAGCACCTCGTGCCCTTCGCCCTCTTCGCCGGCTTCGTCAACGCCTACAGCGTCGGCCAGGTCATCACCGCCCACCTCGTCAAGCTCCCCTTCCCTTACTGGAACGTGCTCGCCTTACCCTTGGCCTACGGCGTCATCGACTCCCTCGGCCCCGTCCTCCAGTCCCACTTCGGCTGGGCCTCGGGCTGGCCCAGCGCCCTCGGCGACGGCGCCTACCAGGTCGCCTACATGTTCTGCATGTTGGGCATCGCGATCGGCGTGTACGGGTCCTTCGTGGTGGATGTTATCGTTACTATCTGCGATTACTTGGATATCTGGTGTCTCACGATCAAGCACCCGTACGTCGAGGTCGCGGAACCTGCCAATGGGAAGAAGGTGAACTGAAAAAAGAGAATGTGTGTGTGTGGAAGTAGAGAGACGTAGGTACCTAAGGTTATATATTATTATCCTAGAGGATGGGGATGTGAAATGCCGTGGTAGTACCTAAGGGTCCATCTTCTCTGAATTATAAGGAGCAGACCAGACGGTTAGGTGCTCTACGGATTTCAGCAAGGTGGGATGTGGAATGTTATAAAAAAGAGTGAGGCACTCAATTTTTTTTATGTGGAATGGGTTATGAATAATCTAATGGGAGGTAACGAAATCAATGGCAGGATGGGTGGATGGAAGGAAGGCAGGGAGGAAATATACGGTTCAAGATAACGATGTCGATGATGATCCAAGTGCTGGGCGTCTATAAATTACATACCTCATATGTTTTAGTACTCTCTCCACTCTGTGTTATACCTAGTACCCCAACTCATATTCTTGTAATAAGCGGTTTACGTATCTATTTACAACGCCTGATATCACTCGTACGAAGAATAGAAGAAAGGGGGGAGGGGAAGATGTACCTAGTAACAACTCAAGTCCAGACTTCCCCCCTTTACACGGGAAATCCATAAAGTCCGAGTATTACACTTTACAAGAGTAGTGCCCTTGCGTTAGAGCTGCTAACAAGACAAGAGGGAAAATAAGTAAAGCTCATCACACACAGCACAGCGACGGCTTATATTAATTCGTCCAATTCAAACCGTTAGGTACCTTAGGTAGGTAAGTATGGCATCACACCTTGTCAAGACAGTTATAGAAGAACAAAAAAAGGGGGGGCGGGGGAGGGCAAGGAGAACACGAACGGCCATATTCCATCTCAAATACATGAGGAACGAAATAGTAGTAATAATAATAATAAACCACGGGGCTATATGTTAGCCAATAGGTACCCTAACCTAAGGTAGTGTATATGGTATATATATATATAAACAAAAAAACACGACCGATCCAGCCGCCTAACTGTTAAACACCAGATAGGATGAGCAAGGAGAAAATGGATCGAAAAAAAAAATACTTTGAGTCGATTGTTGAATCATAATGTGTGCTTGTGTGTGCGTGTGTGTCTTTGTATCCTTTCCTCTTGTTGACTTTCCTAGTTCCTAGGAATTCACCTCGTCCCCCTCCCCTTAACAACAACAACAACGACAACAATAATAATAATAACTTTCCGCCCAGAAACTCCCCGGCCATGTTTGACTTTGGTAGTGTCGTCCCCTCTCTATCATTCCCTTCCACAGTCCTATTCTTCCTAGCGCGGTCCCTTTCCGGTACTTATTCTACGGTTTTCCATATCATGCCACCGGCGTGTTCCCCGAGTTAGGTCCAAAGCGCTTCAATCGTAATATACTCGTCCATTCATCGATCCTCCGTACATGCCACGCCATTCGCCAATTTACAGAACCGAGATCGATCTTGTCCCCTGTGATACCCGGTACGCCATCATAGTCTCATATACTCCACTTCACTTCGCTCCGCTGATTCGAAAAAGCACGACCGCTCATAATAGCTCGTCGCTACCACTCGCGACACTCTCTTTAATAGCCTGGAGAATGACACGTTCCTCGAAGACCGGTCCTTGCCCGTCACATTTGGCCTGGGATTTTAACCGCAGGCTCACATCGCCGACATCGACCCTGCCCTGCTTAAATAATTCGTGATTAATGATGTAATCCCACGTAGCACCGGCAGCCAAGAGACGCTCGCCGCCAGACTCCACTATGCGGTGGCTCGGCGTTTTGTTAGTGTGGTTCTGGAGGAGGTCCGAGTAGAAGTCCGTGGGGTTGTACTGCATTGGCCCTGTGGTCGTCGGGGCGGGGGGCGACAGGGAACCGTTCTGGGCGTGGACGTTGGACGTGGCACGTAGAATCTCGTTCTCCGTGCTCATCTTCTGCAGGTCGCGTTTCAACTTTTCGTTTTCGCTGGCCGTCTGATGCTGTTGTGCTTCCAAGCTAGCTAGCTTCGCTTCGAGGTCTTTAACATGTCGTTCCTTGCGTTCTCGGAATGCGCGCTGACTAGATATCGACGCAATGTTAGTCAAGAGCCAATGGTCACTCGATCTTCATATATCACATGGCTAGAACCGTCCCTCCAATCCCAAATCCGGGGGTTTACTCACGCGGCCCGGTTTTGAGCCTTTCGGCGGGATTGGGCAGGCGTCAGATCGTCGTCATCCGAATTAGACGCCGTCTGTCTATTTGCATCGGGATCCGGCTTGGCCATAGGCAATATATCGGTTGGACTGCCCTTCACGCCCGAAATACTATTCACTTGAGAATGGCTCTGACCGCTCTGGCCGCGGGCCGGATGCGTCGGCGGTGTCGGCGGGCCGGGAGGGCCGGGAAAGGCTTGAGGCTGCTGATTGAATTGGGCGTACGGCTCGAAGTTCTGTTGGAAGTGATCACTGTTCTGAAAGCCATCGTAAACATCCTAGTTGGCACCGAGATCAGCGCTTCATTTTCTAGGCAAGGCGACATGACCCTACGCTAAAAGCCGAAACAAAAACAAAAAAAGCAAAGGTACGAGATATACTAACATGTGGAGAGTGATTGCTGAACTCCTCGGATGCGGCTGAGTTGGAATGAGACGGAGTTAAGGGAGGAATCCCAATAAAGTGATAAGGGTGAGCTCCGCCGTAGAACGGGTGTGAGAAATCCATTTTCTAGCTTGAAAAGACCTGATCGTGAGATATCTACTCTATTGTATACGGGATGAGGGTGCGTAGACTTTGCGAACAAGTGTAGAGGAAGTGGAAAGAAAGCCTGCACGGCGAGACCGGCGGCTCGATGGTGTTATTACTTGGGGCTTCTGGTAATACACACGTCCAGAAGAAAGCTGCTGCTGATGGATGGTTCAAGTAACGGGGGGGTTAGCATAAGGTCCAGGGGTGTCCTCTTTTTGGCTTGGCCGTTCCCGAACGCAGGGGAGGCTTGCTAATCTACCTGTCTACCAGATCTGCGTAGCGTGCTTGAGATTGACACAAGTATGCAGCACAGCAGATCAGAAGGCCAGGTAATTCTTGATATCAGGCAAGTTTAAGTACGTAGGCAAGAATAGACGAAGTCTTAACATAGCCCTTTGTGTGTCCAACTTCGGCCTCCGGTGGAATTGCAGTCGAGGGATATATGGGATATATTTCCTCAGGCCTTTTTTTATTTTTTATTTTTTTGTATCCCTTGGGGCCACAGAAAGAAGAGGAGAGACCGTCTTACTAATTTTGGCAATATGCGATATCCCTTCGGTTGAAGTGGCAAATAGGAATCACCTATTCCATCTCCACAGACGGGAAGGGTGGATTACACCGTACCCAACACGTTCTAGAGGGGATGTCGAGACTCGAAAGGCCGCTGTAGTGTAGACTTTAAAAAAATACCACCTGCATGTCCCACGCCACCCGCGTTCCTAGAACATTCGGCGGTGATTCGACAACCCCAAACCATAACGAGAAGGGTGACCAAACGAGTGTTCGTCTCAAAATAAAACCATAGATTAATGGCCCTACCTTTTATTTGACCCTTCTTGCATTTGATTGAATGCCTCCCTTCCCATTGGGTAGGGGAGGGAAATATCCAGAGAACCATAGCAGGTAGACAATCTGTTGGGTTGGTGGTAACAAGACTTTTAGGGGACTACTAACCTAATAGAAAATTATGGTTTAAGCAGGCCAATAGTTGGGTTCCTCCCGCAAAATTTTCGGCTTTTGCACGTCTTCGAATCCTTCATACCCCTTTTTGACTTACATACTTCCTAGGTATGCTTCTTACGCTCCTCCGAGACCCAGAAGACCAGCGTTTGAGGTACGTCGGTCATCAGCTGCATTCCCACCGGGGTTGTGTAGGCCGTTCAACAAACAGGTATAGATGGCATGCGGGATTGTATTGTACTGCCGTTGTATCTTCTTTGTAGCCAATCATAGCCGTAGGATCAACTTTTCCGCCAGAAACACATAACCTCTACTTCCACAATAGCACCATTACACGCACTGACGTTAGACAGTGTTTCCACTAGACACCCCTCAAACTGCTGACGGTGTCTGCAGCTTGAGGCGGTATAGGACGAGGGTTGGAAGGTCTCGATCCTCCACAGCCACCGTTTCTCGCCCCGACAGTTGATAACGAGAAGAGAACAAGCCCCCAGTCTTTCTTTTCGAGTACCATGCAGTTGCAAGCACCCCGAAAATACCCCTCGGCAGGTTCAACTTTTCCAGTGCTGACGAGGAAATGAAACAGCCAAGTTCTCTGCTGTTCGTCAGCTCTCCCAGAAACGATAAGCTTAACACGTATCGCAGGACGTAATGTGCAATACTAATTGACTCTGTGCGTAGTAGACAATACCCAACGTACCCTAAATCCGATGATACCGTAAATGTATTGTATCCCATCTGGGTTACCTTCGGTCTTGTTCTTGTAAGTCGCGTTGCATCGAGGCGACCTCCGTCAAGTGACTAGGAAGTCCGTGGCGCGTCTATATCACATTAGCCAGTGCAATATTTGACTGCCGTTCAATACCTAGCATAATATTTCGCCTTGGAATCTGTATCAAGGTTATCACGTGCGTTGCTGATACTGGCTTATTCCATGTACTCGCTTTTCGAGGAAACGCCCCTTGGTAAGATATTCTTAGAACCCAGTTCACACGCTGCGTCATCCCAGTATTGGAGCTAACGAGGGAATTTTAGAGGTCACGATCCAAGACTTGTGAGGCGAGGCAATGTTGCGCAGGTAGGAATTGGGGTAACGCTACTCTCCCTACAAAGACGTTACAGGTAATGGGGCGATGATTCTCACGCTTGCCGCCGAATTAATCTAGACGGGATACAACACCGTGTAGAATATAATCCAGTTCGTTGTTGAAGCGCAGAATCATACCTCGATTAGTCAACTCGGCCCAACTTTGGCGAACTCGGAAGTTCATTGTTAATCCTTAAGTCGAAAAAAAAGAGAGAAAAAAAGAATCTGCTTCCGGGGGACAACAGGGGAGTTATGCAAGCCTTTACGTTGACGATATCGGCCCCAGATAGATTTACAATGCACCGACCCGAGTGGATATGATGGACTTTCGCGAATAGTAAACCTGTCATATCCTCTGCTACCAGATATGGCCCGGTAGAAAGTTTCTGTTGTATTATGAGCGCTTTGAGGGCATTATAATACGGGATCCAACGAGCTGTCAAACGTAGGAACCGAACGGTATTAGGTCTGACGATAAAACAAGATCAAACCGGAACTCCTTTAGGGCATGCGAATAGGTACCCAAAGTAACAACCTTTTCTTTCCGGTAGGAAAGTTTTTACCGGAGTTGTAGGCTCATCTGGGCGGTTTGGTCATCCACTCAAAGTCGGATAGGTGTTGTGATCGTCTCATGGTAATGCGAGGTAGGGGTAAAGCAAGAACCACCTCGAATAGTTCAGAGTATCTCGTCCTTATCAGGCATCAGGCGCATCTGTCAGTTTTCTAGCCGTTTAGATGTTGCCCCAGCATCTGATTTAAAGAACTCTGATACTAAGTTTGTCTTCGTACTATCGACCTGTTGATTCCAACTACCCGGTAAGCTTATAAGCACAGAAATCCTAGAGATGCACGAGACGCAAGGAATAGGCCGCAGATGGTCATTGCTGATAAACCGAGCTCAAGGAAAGCAAGACTAACATGGAAGTAATTATACTACCTAGAGTTCAGTATCGTTCAGTATCGTGTAGTGTAGCCAAAGGGCGCCGGGATAGGCTGTTCCGTCTGAAGTGAAAATCATTGGGTTGCTCACACGTAGTTTACAAAGTTGGGCGAAGTGGAATAGACTTCGTTCGTTATTTATGGTTTTTTTTTCTTCTTTTTTTTTTTGAAGACTTGACTCAAAGTTAAAGGAGATATAAGAAAAAAAAGGAAGGAAAGAAAGAAAAAACAAGGGTTTAATAGATACCTGTAAGCGACCTTGAAGTTCACAACTTCCCCCAAACCCCTAAATTTAACTAGTCTTTCCTATTTAGGCATTCGTGAGGGCTTCCTTCCGTACCTGGGTATGGGCTTTATTTCTCCCAAGTTTATGGCAGGTACCTAGTTAAATTTGACTAGAAGGAAGGAAGCAACGTAAAAGTGATGTATATGTCGGTTGTAAGTTCCTACAGTTACTACAGTTACTACAGGCCTACCTGCCTTACCCACCTGCCTTGCCCAAGGTGCAGTTCCTGCCTACCGTCAACATTGTCAACATATTTCAGGTAACCTCCAAACTTCAAATTTTCTAACCAAGAATTCAGAAGACCCCAAGTAAAAGAAAAAGCACCGAATTACCATCTCGGAAACAACAATCAATCAATCATATCAGATAACGTTAGATACCTGTTAATACCTTCTAGTTCTATCACTAGGGGGTTGGGAAAAGTAGGCGTTACCTCTTCTCCTACTTTATTCTCATATCCATCATCATTTCCACTACCGACGACAACATCATCATCCTTTCTCAACGGATACTGAACAAAATCGTAGACGACAGCCAAGGTATTACTGTCTTATCAGCCAGTCACCATGGAGACGCACTTGTCTCAGCAGCCAGATCAGTCGAGCTCATCGCAGCGACAATACACAACTGTTGGCTCGGTCTGGCACCCTCAGTCGATGCCGATGCAGCCTCCGGCACGTCGTGGTCGAGCTCTTCGGTCTGCTATGCCTATGCCTATGTCCGCACTCGAACCTTACTCGGATGACTCTTTCAATGCTTTCGGCACTGCACATCCGTATTCTCAACCCCACCATTATTCGCCTTTGCAGCAGAATTTTGATCGTGCCGTCAGTCCCGTCGAGGTTACTCGTCTTCTACCCCCGGATCCTAGTTTGCATCTTGATCATCCCCGCCATCTCGACAACCTTGGCCCTCCAGGTAGCCCTGTTCCTAAGCGAGTCACAGAGTTCACGAAACAATATTCTTCCACTCCCTCTGTCGATATGTCTCAGCAGGTTACTTTAGGTATTTCGCAACTATCCCTCAACACTGTTGCGAGCCTCCATAAAGATAATGAAGTAAACAACCACCATGGTAGAGACAGTAATACTCACGAGAATGGTGGAGAGGAAGGAGAGGATTGCAACATAAGCTTCAACAACATGTCAACTAAGACGCTTACAAACTTGGCGTCATACTCTAACCCTATGCAGAAAGCTGCACAGAAGATCCTCACCAGAGCTAGGCAGGCTCCTTCGATGCCTCACCATCAAATCTCTGATTCCATCTCGCAGAACGCCGGTGACTTGAATGTCCCTTTCGGCCTTGGCTCTAGAAATATTCGATCAGAACAAATCGGCGGCGAGAGTTTGCTTCATTCCGATAGACTCGACGGGCGTAGCACCATACAGCATCTCGGTCCTCCTCATGTGAGCGTTGCGACAACTACTACTCGAGAGCGCGGCTCCTACCCAGCGGTTTTATCGAAGGGTCCAGGAGCTCCACAGCCCCTAACTGCGGGCCCCCCTGGACAGCGTAACTTCCAGCCCTCGAACTTCAACGGAGCCCCAAATTCGCTACAGAAAAGCTTTGATAAGTCTTGCGAGTATGATACCTTTTATGACGGCGCCCCTCGTCATCACCCTTTACCACCCTTCCAATCCCAGCAGCCTACGCAACCTACACCTCAACAACCCAACCCTTCGTATAAGAGTGTAGTCTTCCCATCTTCTCAGCCCCGTGCCTCGCTTATTGGCAAATGTGGCGGTAACAGCACTAAGATGATCGACACGCTCACTCACGAAGAAGCCAGAAGATTCTTTCCGAAGGGCCTCCCCACCGACTTCAATTTTGATACACAGCAGGTGGGCGATGATTGGGCGGCGATGCACTTGAAAGAAGAAGAAGAGAAGGAGAATAGTGAGAAGTATAAGCTATTATGGCAGCAACCCCCCGAGTTTCAAATTGCCTATAAGGCTAAGCTTGATCGAGATTTCTACAACGGAAACTACATGATTAACAAGAACCTGAGGGCAGCGATCCATGAAAAGAACACCCGCGATATAACTCGCTCCCTTGGCTCCAAGTACCAAGAACCCTGGGATAATCTGAGGCCCAAGCCTGAGGGTAAGATTGACGGTCGTTACATCTCGGTTGAGGATGCCAATGCGATCCCCACGCGTGAGCATGCTGAGTCGCTCCTAAGCGTGTTATATCAGTCTTTAGACAGAAGCCAGGGATTCTCCTCGCAACAAAAACCGCCCACGGGTGGCGGGTTACGCTAAATTCCCCCCAGTGCGTATTCTTAATTGCAAGAGTTGGCTAAGGCCTCGAAATACTTCCAAGTTGAAGACTTGGTCTATACGCGGCAAAAGAGATGCAAGTAGGATTGTTATTACAAGGAGTGGACATATGACTTAGGCAGTTGAAAGGCTACTTGCACGACAAGGTCTGGAAAAAAAAGGAATCATGAAAGGGGTTGATGATGCCAGTCCGTTAGGGAATTTTCGAGGATAATCGACAGTTTGCCTGCATTCTTCTGAAAGGATCTCGAAGGCATAGGATTACCGCAGTGCGGCGGTAGTTTTGGATTAGAACATGGCGCTCAAGCGTGCGTGTGCATCACGTCTACAGGACAATAATGGGCGTTGGCCGGTTGTATCAGGATGGAATCTTCTTCTCTAATGGAATGACGACTCTGAGCTTTGTATGTAAGCAGCTGCTTTGGCACTCAATGATTTCATGTCCTTGCAGTTTTTTTTGTTACTTTTTCTTTTTCTTCTTCTCTTCGTCTCCTAATATTTGGCCAGGTATAGCCTCCTAATCTTCTCGACCTCTCTAATTTAAACCAACCCCATGGAGATTGTGCATATTACTTAGGGAGGGATGCGTGTCTTTGACATGACCTCACGGAGGTGTATGGACTTCTGGGTATCGTGTTGTATGTGTGTGTTTGCATGTGTTTTGTCCAATGCGTTTGTTGCGCAAGGCTCGTCAGAGTGAATCCCACTTCTTCGTCTACTACACCGTGGTAGGTACTACGGATGACATGTGTTTTAATAGGGAAGTTTTTGTTTTGATTAGAAGTCAGTTAATTCATACGTTAATGCACATATAAACACGCGTACGTCCACCCATCCACTCAGCATAAGGTATCACATACTAGGCACCTTGGGTACTGTTTCCCCTTTCCTCATCATAATATGCCGCTTTGCTGGCTTAAGCTACATTGTATATTGCAAGCTCTGTGCTCCCTGCCTAACCTAACAGTAGGTACCTGTCAGTCAAGTCTTTCTTATGAGTCGACAGGAGAAAAAAGACAAAAAACAAAAAGCAGCATAACTAAGCAAGAACGTGAAAATAGATATGTCTCTCCTCTTATTCTTCTCCTGCTCTCCTTTTCCCTTCTGCTACACGGTTCTTGATGAAGAATATAAACATTTTAAGCGCCTGCTTGCTTGCTTTCTTGTTTACCTACCTCTTTGCTGGTCCAGCCTCATTACTACCTTATCACGCACGCCCTTAGAGGCTACTCCTTGATCATACATTAGGTTAGGTACCTACATAACCTGATAGAGCATTCTTTTCAACGGCAAAAATTCAAAGATGCTAAAAGCACCTCGAGTTAGGTTAGGTGCCTAAGGCAACCGAATTAAAGGGTAACAAACACACATGCGGCCTCCTGCATCCAGTATCCCGCCTGTTCCTTTTCTTTTCTTTGCATTGCTCGAATACCTAGGGGAACTTCCACTTGCGCGTGGGATGCCCGAAAAGCAATTCCGTCAATCAAGAAAAAAAGAATCAAGAGAAGAATTTCCTAACATTTGAATACCCATATAGAGGTACCTAGGTAGGTATTAAACAACACTGGTCAAGAAATAGGTGATATCTGAGCTCCAAGAAAAAAACAAAACGGCGAGACGTGATAACATAAAGTCTGTTCTTCTCCATTGCGTGCCAGCAACCGCCTGATAAGAGTAGTAGCAGTAGTAGTAGCTGAGCCTAGTAGAATACCTAGCTGCCTGAAGAAACATTCGTACAAAGGAATTGAAATCGGTGGACGTGGCACCGTGATGTGATGAAAATGTAGCTGCGCGGAGCCGAGGCTCCTTCAGCTGTCGAATCGAGCCTGAAGGGAAAAAAAAGTTTTCTAGTAGCCCGAGCCCAGAATCAACGCCCGCGGAGCCCTTTTCCTGCGTCGCTCCAGCTGGCCGGAGAATACAACATCGTGTGGTATATGAAAAACAAGAAAGAAAATATCTGAAAAAGGGGGTATGCTATGACGACACCAAGACATAAAAGGTCAAAGACCTGCTACCATGTAGAAAAACGTCTCATCCACTAGAAATATCCACTATTCCTTCTCATCGACGTCGGCTCGAAGGTTGCCTCTGCTTGAGACGGTTCGTTCTCCATCCCTCATACCATTGCTCTCTGCTCACTTCCCGCAGCTCGCCGCGCCACTCACTGAACACGGCCTCCTTCAGTTTAATAAAGTCACAGTGCTCCTCGTTGTAGGGGTCTGCGAAACCCCAAGGAAATTTGCGGCCGATAACATCAGGCTCGTAGACATCAGGGCTGATTATGGACATTGGTAAGAATGGAACTTCGTCAGCTCCCTCTCCCTCAGATGACTTAGGTCGGCGAATAGAGGTGTTCGAGCGGCGTTTCGAAGCTGGCGAGGCTCTACCTTGGACAGAGGGCTCTTCATCCTCTGCTTCAGCGCTATCGTCCTCTACGACTGCAGATTCATCCTCGTTTTGCTTGTCTTCTCCAGAATCTGCTGGTCCCCCAACTGCCGCTTCATCTCCCTCATCCTCCTCTTCGGCCTCGTCGATTCTGCTAGAATCTGGCGTCGTATCGTCTTCATCATCAAGACCTAATGCTTCGAGGGGATCGAATTTTGCCTTCTTAAGGCTATCCCAGACGGTCTTCTTGAGGACAGCCATATGAGCGGTGGTTATCGTGTCAGCTTTCGATATGACTGGTATCACTGTGGTCTTCCCCTGGAGTGTTCGCATAACCTGTAGGTCGAGATCTTCGTCTAGGCCACCCACCACGCGGCCGATTTCTCGTTCGTACTTTCCGCCGTGGCCATTGGCCGAGGCAGCTTCCGCGGCAGCTATATTCCGGTCCAGACGAGCAGGATCTAGAACGAGGAAAACTGCGTGGATGTGCGTATCCTGAACGCCAGGTGATCGAATCACTTTCATCTCTTCAGCAAAAGTCTCCTCAAATTTGCTCTCCAAAAAAGTTGACATTTCTCTCAATTGCAAGTCGACCACATTTTTCTCGAGACCCTCCGAATCCCATAGGGTCAACCCAATACGCTCGCCGTCGATTTCGCTCTCGACGTAGTGTGGAATGAAGTTACCCGAGGGAGTTGCATGGGTAGTAACCTCTTGTTCAATCTCGGTCGAGCGTTGAGACCGCTTCTTCTCTGGCAGGGCCAGGGAAGTCTTTAGGAATTCAAGAAATGAGGTCTTTCCGGAGCCACGGGTGCCCATGATTAGAATGCTGCGAGTTCGTCGTAAGCTTCAATACGGAGGAAACACATGAAGGGGAAAACATACTTAAAGGGAGTAGGGTCCTTCCTCCTCCGAACCCTTCTGGGACTATTAATAGTGCTAACGGCACTACTAGCATAGCTATATCGGCCACGATGCGTCATACTTTCAGCACGAGCGTAGGGGTCAACGTAGTATCCTGAGGGGACGGGAGGTATAGGAGGACTAGCAACAGAAGACATCGAAGGACGGCCGGGATCGATAGATGGCCTAGGTGGGAAGTGGTGAAATGAATGGTCGACTTTTCCTGAAACGATCGCGATAGAGTCTGGGCGGGTATCACCTCCAAAGCTCTCAAGTGGTTCAGGAGGTTGAGCACCATTGTAGAGATCGGGCAGACGAGGGGGGGATTTAGGAACGCTTTCCCGTTGCGGTACCTCCTTATGGTGCTTCCTACCCCCCTTACCTAACTCACCCGATTTACTGCGTCGAAGCAACATCCCGAAGCTAGATCGACGAGGCGGTTCGCTCATAGTTTTTTACCCTTGCTAGCACCAACTCAAGGCTATTCGCGCTTAAACTGCAAGGGCGATCTAAGATTCGAATAACGATGAAACCACAACTGTGACTTGGAAACGTCTACCTGTGATAGGTACCTTCGCAATAAGAGGCGCGAGAGCTTGTACTTTGCTGGGCAATTTACAGTTCAAGAGTAGGTTTTGACTTCAAGCTCAAGATATCCTTCTTTCTTAGTTTCAAGCGATCGGGTCTTTTTTTGGTGACGGGTTCGCGCAAAGGTGTACTCGTAATTATGCTCAGGTGCTGGACCACTGAAGAGACGGTTGCGATTTTAGGAAAGGGTATCCCTTCTAACTCGTATTGGATCTTACTGCTGTTAGAGAGATCTTGTTTTGTACTAAAATGGTAGGTGAATTGGAGGTGAATGAAAGTGTAAGAATGTGCGCGCCTAAATTTCGCGTTTTATCTTGTCCCTTGTTTCCAAATATGACTTTGGAATACTGCAAGAAGTGTATTTAAAAAGAGTTGATTCGGAGGTATTTCAACTTGAACGACTTATACTGCCGGGTATAGTCGTAAATGTAAATTGGGGGAGAAACCAAGAGGCGAACGCTGAACGCAGAGTAATAAATCGAAAAGACCTAGAAAAGTGAATATCAAGGGGTTAGCTAGCTGTTGTTGAAGTCGTCTCGCAGAGAAATTAATTCAATCCAGGTCCTTGTAAATGTAAACAAGTGGGTCGCAATTCAATGGCACCGAACTGATCGTAGTAATAATAATAACAATTTGTCGGATATGCTGCTCATATTATTCACAGAAAGCCCGGCGCAATAAGGAGATGGAACACCTTCAGGGTGAATATGCTTTGGGGGTTTTCAGAAAGGGAACCCTAAAGGGAGCTACAATATAATATCGACCAACGAGCTTCAAGCTCTCCACCTCGGTTTCAACTTGATCTCGAGGGGCGCGACAGCGGAGGCGGGCATAGACCAGATGGTGCTGGTGTTGGTGTTTCAATTGGTACCTTCTCTAAAGGTACTACGTATAAAAAGTAGAGTAGGTAGGTGAGGTGGGAATGAACCAATCGAAAGTTGTCGCTCTTGGTGATTTACCGACCTGCGGGAGGAGGGCACAATAGGTTTGTGTGTAATGTAATGTCATGTAAATGCACGGTTTAAAGCTTATGCGAACCATCTATGATAGCTCATAAATAAATAAATAAAAGTCGAATCGAAACACCATGAAATAAACGAAGCGCGACAACGGCGATAACAAGTCACCAAACGAAAAAAGAAAATTCAAAGGGAATTTCACCAACCTGAACGAATGTAAACGAGCGTCGAATCGCACGATGTGGTCAGTTCGCGATGGCGCGCTGGAACAAGATCTTGGGTGGAAAATGGGGGAGGGCGTGTGTTAACGTCTGCAAAATTGGGGCTTTTTTGGGTCGATGCAGATTAGAACGAGAAAAAAAAAAAAAAGAAGGGTCTGGTTTTCTTGCGTCTGGACTGTGCGGTGGTCTGTGTACAATAACACAATTTAATTGGAGATGCTGTTGAAGATCAACCGAGCTCAGGATTCCTGGGGAATATTGGACATGTAAAAAGCGTTAATGCATAAAAACAATGCTCAAATACCTATTCCATATTTTTTAAAAAAGGAATGGAAAGTAAGAGTTAGGTTTTCATGCGTATTCCGCATACATCGTCAGAACCAAATGATTAAAAAAAAAAGGAATGACGCGGGAAAGGAGAAGAGAAAAAAAAATTCCTTGGAAGACGACGTTGTCAAGCATCAAGCATCACCAAAGCAAGATGAGATGAGCTGCTAACTCCAAATTTGTTTCTAATGCCAATCTGGGATGAAAAGGGGAAGTGCCCCATAAAGCAACCCATCAGCATTATCCACGCTACTAGGTACCAAGCTAGGCTGGCAGACTGGACGGGGTTTGAGTTTCAAGTCAAAAGTTTATTTGTAATTGGTCCAATCGGCGCGACCAACCAGGGTTAGTAATGGTTGGTCGTCGCTACCAAAGGTGACACAGGCAAATATCCCGATTGCGCCAGGCGGGTCATTGGGGGTACCTACCTACATTAGTTGGATATCCACGTATTAGATAACACGTATGCGCAGTGCATAAGGTACCCAACCAATCGTTGCTTTCCCTACGACTTCAACAAGCATGAAGCCTGGTTGTGCTGGAGGCTACCTATACAATCTTTGCCTATAACCTACCTACGTAGGTACCTAGGTACTTAACACATAGCAATAGGACGGCAAACAACCATACTCAAACAACCCCGCCGGCGGTTACCTACCTGAACTGACCTGAGCAACTAAAACATGACTAACAGCGTTCGCGTGGCATCAAGTGGGCTTCTCCACGTGCACGTTCGACCACTATAGTTACCTAAGGGGCAGCTAACCTTACCTAAGGACCTACCTAAGGTACACTAGCTAATGCCCTGCAGCAAATTCGTGCACAGTAACCACCGCGTCTCGGCTGGCTGCATCCAGTTTAATATAATCTCCTCGCCACAGTCGTGGACTTTACATGCTAAATGCAAGCACATGCTGCGTCCCGTTCAGGATATCAATACTTGGGCAAATCAAGGTAAGCTAGTAACCGCCTTAACTAACACCTGATCCAACATACCTAAGGTACACAATATAATAGTCACGTATAGGGGTAGTATGTATGTTAGGTATCTGATATAGGTAGATACGGTCCCCTTCAACCAGTAGACCTCGACATAATTCAGACGTACATATCCAATATCATCTCGTCAATATCTGGCCCCCTTTATGCCACCCGGGTAGGCAGCATCAGGTATATCAACTGCCCACCTATTTATCTTACACAACGTCTGCAAATCGCTCCGAAAAGTAAGTTGAGAGGTGTAAGTGGGTAGTCTTTTTAAAGAAAGGGGGGTTCCAGCTCTCCTATAATCTCCTCCTATAATACAAGTCGGCCTGATACTCTATATGAGGTATGTATATGCCAGCCATCTAACCCCCATCTATGTTTTTACCTCTTATTCTACAGAGTCTTTTTTGTTCTTTTTTTTTTGTTCCGAGGCGTGCCTCATCTGTAGATCTACATCTAGACCTCAACCCTCAAAGACCTCACTAATCGGTTAAAAAAAACATGTTACGTTAGCTTCCAAACCTTGACTCTAAATAGTAGAGAATACGTCTCGGTTCCACGTTGAATGATCGTCGGAAGATATTTCGGAAAGAAAATCCCACTTACTGCTAAGGGGTTAGCAATGGTAAATAGGAATAATTTCAAGATCGCCCAGGAAATAAAGATCAGGGTATCAATGTGGTATCATCGTAGCATCAACGTACCTGCTGCAGCTCAACACCGTAATCTTTGGCCATCTCCCTCATCCTAGCCTCAACTTCATCCTCCATCCCACCTCCCAATCCCAACCATTGCCGGACCTTAAAGGTGTAGAACGCTATATCTGTCATAAACAAGACAGCCTTAAATATTAGATGATTGCCCGCGTTGAACATGCGCTCTCTAAAAGGTAGATTCGGATCTTGGAATAAGCTCCGACTTGCCCAGTTGCCCATTATCTTAACGCGGTTGACGGGAGATCCCATGAATTGGTTATTACCCTAAATAAATGCGTTAGCTGAACTCAATAGGGTCCTTTGCGATTGCTGCTGAGGGAGAGCAATATGAGACGAAAAACTCACCTGCACAATACGCATATTCCGACCGATGAAAACAAGTTCTTTGGGCCACTTCTCTTCATCTGATAATAAATCACGGATTCCTTGTTTCATCATTCGCTGGGCCTCGTAGTGCCGTTCCGATGGCGTCTTCCCCTCGAGTTGCTTCGTAAACTTACTCCTAGTCGTCTGGTCGCCCCCTTCATAAGGGCGTAAAAGCGTGGCACTCGCAAATAGATCGGGTGCCTTAATACCCCACTGCTCTGTGACCTCGGCTATGGTCTTGTTGTCGAAGGTCAAAAGCGATTTCCAGAGTAATGCATATTGGTGCCGGAATTTAGGAGTCATATATACGTAAAGACCATGGTCAATTAGAACCAACTCGGGTTTCCCTGACGGTAACCGCCTTATGAAAATATTACCGGGATGAGGATCGCAGTGTACAACGCCCCATTTAAATATTTCTGGAACATGTTAGTTTCGCATACTATTCCCAAATCATTGCCTACCTATATTAGGTAGGTATCTAGTAATATTCGTATGAATATAATATGGGCATGGCAAAACGAGGTGTTGCTACTCACTACCGACTAGTTAGCATGTACATAAGAATAAGAGATAAAAGGGAGATAAGGACAGAATACAGAGGAACCTGGAACGAGACCTTTTTATACGTACCGAGCCGAGAACAGATCCACCATCGTCTTCATAACGTCCTTGCTTGACAAGCCGAGCCCACCTTTACCGTTTCGTCCTTTCCAGGTCTCTCTATCAGGCTTCAATTTCTCCTTCAGGGGATTTAAGTGCAGCTCTCGCCGGGCAGCAGCCATGTCCGAGGGGCTGAACTGCAACTGAGAGCCTAGGACACCGGGTGATCCGGTACCGTAACCTCCCAACCAGCGGCCACGCGTTGCTTCTTTGTCCCAGAGACGGACGCCTTCGATCCACTCCGTGACCAGGACCCTCCTTGTCGTGAATTCTGAATAGACTTGGGGGATATATACCCTGCCTTTGAGGCTGGGCTCCGAGTTGACAAGGCTTCGCATCGTTTCCGAGTTCTTAGCTTCCTCCCTGAAGTCTGTCTCGAGCATCAGCCGTTCAGTGATAAAGGGTACTAAGCTGTAGAGAGGAAGGTCGAACCACCATGTGTATATCCGCATTACGACCCTGTCGTAGTAGTTAGCCACTTAGAGCGAAATGAAGATGGGTTATCAAACCGGTCGACTTACTTGAAAGCCCATAGATCCCATCCTACTTGCTTGGCGATCTCGGGCTTCTGCAGCTTAATCGCAACCTCCCTCCCGTCCGGAAGCCTGGCCCAATGCACCTGAGCAACGCTCGCGCTGGCTCTCGCCCTCCGCTCCATCAGGCCCTTCCCCTCTTCGCCAGTAAAGCTAACTCCGAAAACCTCTTCCACGCTCTTTCCAAAGTCCTTCCGGATGACCTTCTCGACATCCTTCCACTCGTCCTGCGGGGCGTCGTCGAACATCCTGGAGAACATCTTCTGGAACTCCGGGGGCATGACGGCGCTCTGCATGGCGATGGCCTGGCCGATCTTGAGGTAGAGCCCGCCATTGGCGCGCAGCAGGTTGAACAGCGTCTCGGCGCTGCGCATATGCAGGTCCTCGATGGTGCCGCCGGTGAGCGGCTCGGCGCGGAAGTTGATCTTGTAGTCGAGTGCGACCCAGAGGCCCGTGGCGAAGGTACGCAGGGACCGTCGGATGCCCGCGGCGAAGGCCTGGTTATCGATAACGTATATCGTGCCGGTTATGGCGGAGAAGATGAGCAGTCGCCGGCCCCATTTTCGGGTCCGCTTGAAGTCTCGCGCGGCTTGCGGCTTGCCTAAAGATGAGGGTGAAGGAGGGCGTAGAGGCTCGAAGGAGGCATGCGTTTGTATCGACCGGATGTGGCGTAAGCTTCGCGCATGGCTGGGAAGTTGTCGAGGGGTCAAGAATCGCGTCACATTCGCTACACTATACGCCTCAATCTTCTGTCTTGGGATAGCTTGGCGAGCGCAGAGGTTCGCTATTCCGTTGCGAAACATGTTAGCTACGGCAACGTAGCGAAGTTTAGAGGCGGAAGACAAGCCTCCTACCTCTTATGGTACATGTAGTTGATTTTCGACCTTTTTTATAGTTTGGCTAGTTAGTAGAAGTAAGAACCGAAAAAAAAAAAAAAGTATAGACCGATCCTAGGCTACACTTGATTCCGTAAGCCGAGATCAATGACGAGAGAATACTATGTTATCATTCTTATCTCAAAAATCTTATCTCCGCCGGCACCGAATCGGTCGATACAAGTCCGGTCCCATCGGTGTGGGGCATTATTTTTGGTTAGCCCGAATTCTTAAGCGGAGCTACAAAACTAACGCTTCACAACTTCACAACTTCGGACAAAGAGTCTGGTCGTCTTTAATTTACTATTGTTATCACAGACAATACCCCTTCGTATTTAAAGCATTCGGCGTTCCGTAGTAGAAATCAAGTATCAACGTTTTTCTACTTCAATTTTCTAATTTCGTGATTTGTAAAACTTGTACGCAATGCTAAACTTACGCACGTCATTTCCATTAATAAATAGGCGAGTTCTAGCACGAAGTCATAGGACTAGGAATTCTCTAGGCATATATATACCTATATATATACATATATGCGCACCTTATATACCTTGTAAGAAGTCAGGCACCCAGGATCCACGGAAATCTTTTTCGTGGTGAAAAGATGAGAACTACGTTTCACTTTAACTACCGACCCGCTTGAAGGTTATCCCTGTAATCTGAGGCTCTGCGTCAGAAGCCTACGATATGTGAATGTAGATCATGCGTTCAGTCTAGGATCTGGGGAGTTTGAGAAAGCTGACGCATTATGAAACACATGCTACGTCTTCTAGTTCAAGAGAAAATCGCAATCGATTCTTCAGAAGCCTGAGCTAATGTGCCTCACGATGGTTTTATTAATTGACCGTTGCCCCAGTATATAACCTAAGAATTCCTTCTAGGTAGCAAAATTGTACGTACGTAGGGCTAAAGCTGACTTCATGTTGGCCGGGTTGGTTGGCTGACTTATACGATTTGCTTAAGGTGCTGATGTAACAAATATACCGTATTCTTACAATGTTAGATACCTCCCAAGGTAATCTCACATGTGGCTTGTGGCTTGTGATAGGCAAAGTAATAAACTTCAGATGATTCATGATTCGCAACGAGCAACTGGGCTACTAGGTATGGATGATGAGATGATGCAGATCGTTCTACCTCGCTTCTTAAAAGCGACAAGTCGTATTTCTCACGGTCAACGCTCGTATGTGAAATTGATCGGGATGTTTGCTTTGCTGACACGGGTAGGATAAGGAGGTGATTAAGAGGTAAACATTACGAAATGAGGATTCACCAAAATATTTGTTCGACCCAGATGTTTATCCAAGTTCTACCTATTATTGGCGAACTACATAATCACAAAGCCTGGGAGGAACAGTTAAAACCAAGTATTCTTACTATGTGGCCGCAGAAGATAGGTATGAGATAACGATGTTACATAACGTATCATCTATCTCACGGTGGTCTTCAAATATTTGTGACCCTTTAAGAAGCATTCGATGTGGTTTACCAAGACACCAAGACACCAAGATATGCCAACGGCAAATCCCGCACTTCCAAGTTTAGCCTATCTGGAAACCTGCTGCAGCGCTGCTTTCTATGTACTATTACGTTACGGATAAGCTGCCAGCTCATCGCATTTCCCCATCAATCGAACGTTGCAGAGACGAGAGCCGCTTACGAAGGCTTATTCCGACGTACTCTTCAGAAAAAGAGGCACCGAAGTTGGGGGGGCTGTCTTCGTAGCTCGTTACTATATAGTAAGGCGGACGGAATTCGCACTTCGGTCCTACGATACACCACATGGCGTCGTAAAGCGCGAGAGAGATATCTTAAATATTGTACCAAGGTAATTGCATGCTTTATAGCGCAGCTTGGAAATGTCTCAACATCGAAAATGATAAGGCGATGCTTGCAGTGGAGCTGAAGTCGCTCCCGGGATGTTACGCCGAGTTACTTCCTCTAGGTAGGAGGTAATATGCAACAGTACCTACACTAAATATGCAGAACGGATTATACAGGCTTGCGCTACTGTAGAACTCGGTGATGCATGTATGGGTTGTTATGTAGCAATGACGAGTTCCAGGTCCAGAACGATAGAGGTACCTATTCTTTCTAGTATACCTAAGAAGTTACTAACTTGGTATGTACCTAGACGGCATTTCGATCTTGGTAAGGGAAGATTTGAGAGGAGATTAAACTTTAACTTGCATTCAGGTTAAGCCGCATTGGGTATATCGTATAATTAAGATCCTTCAAAAGTTCTAGGTTAAGACTTTTAGGGCCTTGTTCAATTGCTTGTTCGGCCCCGTTAGAATTGATCCCGACTAGCCCTTGGCGCTAATTCCCTACCTAGGGCCTAGGCAGGTACGATAAACCCCACCGTCCAGACGTAAAATGTAGGGAAGCAGGGAAGTCGGAAGGAGTTTGTAGGGGAAATTCGCGTCGAGCAAAGCGGGCAGAACCCCCACAGAATGGCGTTAAAAAAATGCCCCACCCCAAACCCAAACACAATTATACTACTACAACTTCAATTAAATGTAAAAAAGTCAATACAAGGTCAATTTAATATCAAAAATTATTATAAGATAGCTTTAGTATTATTCTGCAGGTTTACAATATATTAAATTAATATGTTATGTTGCTAAAGCGTTATTAGCAATGAAAATAAGAGTTTGTTTTGAAATATTAGGTACTGGCTAGGGGGCATCTTTTTTGACGCGATTCTGCCCCATTAGAGTGCAATTAGTGAAAAACGTGCTAAAGCATGCAATGCAAAGAGCTAAGCCACTCTCCTAATCGACCATGCAGGAGCCCCACTAATCTAGAACATTACCTGCAGTTGGCACAATTGGTAGAATTGGGTTCGAGGTCCACCAAAGTACGCAAAAGTCAAGGTCCCCTTTGTCAGTTTGTTCAATCAGTCAATGCAACCCGCAAGTCAAGAAGGTGCGTTAGATTTCAGTCACGCTTACGCTCCCCGTGCCGCCCGCCCGCCCAAACAAATCGACCAAATCAACCAAATCTCATCAAGCGCTCTCCTTCCAATCAAACTCCATTTTCTTTCCAAGTTCGACTTTTTTCGATCTTCAACACCCCCCCCCCCATCACCACTGGCACTGCCACCACGTTGGCGTAACACATCTGCGCCACTTGGGTTTGATTGATTTTTTTTATATCATAATCGCTCTTAGTCACTCGTTTCTGGAAAGCGTGTTAGGTTGACAAGTTGCAGACCAACGAGAAGGAGATCAAAGAAGGAGAGGGATTCGAGAATCCTTCGTAGAAAGAGTATTTACGCATCGGTCATTTGGGAGAAGTGGACAAGTTCTGGAGGTTGTGTGCAGCGAACATAATAATCGATATAACGAAACGACGAACTACGAATACAGAATTGGATCCGATAACCCATTGATCTACATGTCGCCTATATCGATATCGAATCACCTCAATTGCCCGTCTTCATATCCACAATCGCATTGTTACCTTTAAGACCCAAATCGACTCGAATACCGGACCTGATTTCGATTAAACGAGAAAGCAATTACTTCGGCGTCGCGGCTCGTTCGAGTCGGCGCGCTGCTAAGCAGTCATCATGTTGCGTCCGGCTACACCATTAACGTTGCTGCTCTTTGCAGCCTTCGCCATGCTCCTGCTCGCCGTCCTGTCGACTCCTATTATTAAACCGATTCCTTTAGGTACATATAAAGGCGTCAACTTTGGGGTCTTCGGATATTGTGAAGCAGACGGTAATTGCAGCCCAATAGAGATTGGATATGATACATGTATGGCCCGCCTCAAAACTGGTCTCTTATCGACCAAAACTTGAGTTATAACAATTATATCTAACCTCTTTCTAGCAAAAATATATTCTCCTACGGACTCGGCTACGTTTGATTTGCCTTCTACAACGCGGACAACGCTTTCCGCTATCCTCGTGGTTCATCCCGTTGCCTGTCTCCTAACTTTGGTGATGCTGGTACTTGCCATTGTCGCCCACCTTCATTCCCCATCTCATTCTTCACGTTATCTGTTACTACTTTTCATCTTCGGCATCATTACGTTTCTAGTATGCCTTCTTGCCTTTTTAATCGATGTGTTACTTTTCGTTCCCCATATGGCTTGGGGCTCTTATATCGTCTTGGCTGCTACGCTTCTTGTATTCTTGAGTTTTATTATTTCATGCGCCATGCGACGCACCCTAGTTAATAGAAAGGCGAGGAAGAGGCGAATCGCAGAGAATGCCGAGATGAGTGGAGAGAATTACTACAACCGCCAGGCTCAACAAGAGGTGCCACCTTCCCCGACTATTTCACGACAGCCTACTGTTCCTGTGGTAAGTGGAGCAAACGGACCGAGCGATAAGGTAGCCGGATTTGCCTCGTTCGAAAAAAGGGATGATCGCAGCAGTGATGAACGTATACCTTTGACCGCTAGGACTCCTTCGGATAGGTCTCCAAATCATGCTCCTGCCGATACGAGCATGTCAGTTTCCACATATAATGTACCGCAACGGACAGACTCTAGCAACTCAGTGCCGAGAGATCAGTATGGTAATCCGAAAGAGCAGCCCCAGGATGCGTACAAAATGCGACGAGGTCCGTCTTTCGAGCGTATCAATGCACGGGGTCGTGGTGGTCCTCCAGCTGGTTATAGGGGACGAGGGGGTTATGGAAGAGGTGGCTACGGTGCTCCCTATGGTCCACCCGGCGGAAGAGGCGGATACGGCCCACCACCACCGCCGAATGGGAGAGGCGGCTATGGCCCCGGCCCCGGTCGCGGTGGTTACGGGCCTCCACCAAATGGACGGGGAGGTTACGGGCCCCGTAGAGGTTATGGACCGGGCGATATGAGAGGAGGAAGAACACCGCCACCGACCTATCCAGGTCCCGGACCATATGATCGAAGACCATCTCCGGCTAGCGCATATGGTGATTATGGACCAGGACGGCAAGGATCACCGGCGGGAGTAATGAACTCTTATGACAATGAGCCACCCGTACCGAGTATCCCAGCCGGCATGGCTGAAGGGGGCAACTACCAAGGATATAATCCCGACCGTATCAGTGACTTACCCCGGGCTGAGTCCCCTCCTCCGATGCCTGGTATTGATGACGCACATGAAAGGCCAGTAGGTCAAGCGGTAGAGATGGATGCTCATACGGGAAGCCCCGCCCACCCACCTCAAGGCTTCGGTCAGTTTAACAATCAACTGAGGGATAGCGATGCGGATGTAGCCGGCATGCTAGCTTTACAACAAGCAAGAACATCCTCGCCAAACCGTCACGATACTTTTATGAGCGAAGGAAGCAGATATAGTCAAGAAGGGTTAGTTAAGTAATTGATGAAGTAGTTCCACCGCTGACATTATGAATAGTTCATATGTTCCTCCTCGCCAGGGGTGGCAAAAACCTGAGCGGCCGTCACAGGTCCCTGCTCCTCTTCAAGTTCCTTCCCGCCCTCCTCAAGAACTCAACAGTGGGACACCATCTCCGCAGCCGCAACCGCAACCGCGACCGCAACCAGCGACCGCTAGCAAGGGTGATTATTATGAAGATGTAGATCCTCGTTTTGAAGAGCCAGCTCCTAAACCGCAACCGCCACAACTGCAACTGCCGCCCCAGGATGGGCCAAGTTACGATGACGTACCGCCTCAGCCTATGAGTCCAGCAATATCCGAACAGTCGGGATTTACTTCTATATCTCAAAGGGGCATAAACCCTCGTTGGAACCCACCTCCCGGCTATGGATATAACCAGCAGGTGCCACCACGAAAGCCGGTTGGCCGAAACGAAGTGAATGTTCTTAATAGTAACCCTGACTTTCAGCTACCATCAACACGCGGGGGAGCTGCCGGGAGAGGTGGCATGATTCCTGGAAGTGCATATCCGGGTTTATAGAAACTTGCATTCGATTCTTTCCTATCCGTTGCGCTATAGAGTGCGCAAAAGCTACTCATCTGGCTTTTAAGACGCATTCGACTACATAGAAGCATGTTGTGGTTTCTTAATCCCAACACATGCTGTTCAAGCATTCACAATCTGACTACGGTCAACATCTCTTTTCCTAACCTTTATCCTGATATACCCACCCGCACAGGAAACTTTCTATTCGACATGTGACTTATTCAACTCATATTCTAACCATCGACGGCTTGATGAACGCGGATTTCTTTGGATGACATATTAAGAATGATGGACGAACATTATTCGTCATCATTTACGAGCCTCTAATTAAGTCGCGTGTTCTCACGGACTAGGTCAAAAGAGGTTATGAAGTAGTGCCTTTTAAAGCCCCGAGGCTAATGTCCGCCGAAGACCGATTTCTACCGCCATTGATTGGATGGGTGTTTGGAGACGCGATGGCAGCAGGGTTTGGCAATTGCAAGGAAGCCGACCCTTTTTAAAAATTCTCTGGATGTATAGGAGTTATGTCTGATACTGGACTTCGTTTACGGCTGGTCTATGATATATGGAATAGTAGCTACATGCAATCAGAAGCACGTAAGCATTTTTTTTCTTGCCTTCTGCGCAATGGAGCGAAGCAATACTAGTGAGAACGAAGAAAATAAAGTTTCGAACATGGAGTATGTTCGTACGCTTATGCCTGTGCCCATATGCTCATGTCTTCTTGCTAGTGTGTATTTTCGTCTGCTCTGCTACTGTTGCTATAATCATAGACACCTCATATAGGTACCTAAAGTAGCAAGTTTCGTTTAGCATTCAGAAGAAGCTCTCGGCTTGCTATCCACTTGCAACAGGAAATATATTCCCGTTCGTTGAAATTGTCTTTGATAAGGATAGGGGTTAGGAGGCGAGCGACTTCCCTATTCACTACTATGTATTCATCATCCCATGGACGCTAACCGCTGACCCTGGTGTCACTAACTACTCGATAGTAATAAGCAGAATATTCCTTTGGGCTGATTATTAAAACCCAATACGGTTCGATATTTACCATACATTCCTTCTGTCAACTCGTTGGAAACAGGGAATCTGGACGGTCCTCAAAGATTATAGGGGGAACTTTTCTTACGATTGGTTTGCTATAGAGGATGATTACCTCTGCAGGCTATTTTGAGGGATAGGTGCAAAATTAAGGTCGTATCTTGCATTTTACATTAGGTACCTAGGTAGCTATATAGATCTTCGTAGGAGGCTACGGGAGCTATAGGGGCTTCTGCCATCCAGTCACCGTGGCGTACATTATTACTCCAAGCCTCGGCCTCATATGATGTGACATGATCATAAGTAATAATAACCCTAATAATATGTACCTATAGGTAGGTAGTCTAGTTACATCCACTGTTCCGCGATGGCATGAAAAATCAAGTACTTGGGTTAATGTAACTACTACGAAAAAAGATGTCCGTAGTAGTTGGATGAATCGGACGACAGAAGAAAAAAGAATTAGACGACAAGATGTCCAGATATAACCGCGTCTCGCGTAAGCTAAATCGTTCAGAGAAAACTCTCTACGGGCGAAGGACGGCGAATGTGTATATACGCATCAGGTAAGTAGGAGGTAGGTATATACATGAACACATAACAGGTATGACTAGACTCTTACAAAGCAACAAGATTTGAGATATTCGAGTGGCTTAGGCTAGACTAGGTACCTAGATAGTTCCCGCCGGCCGGGTTTCGACGTGACATGGCGTAGCCGGCCCCCTCGTCTCGTTCCACTCACACAAACAATACCGGGGATAACGCAGAAACGAGGTATCTTCTCTATCACGAGGTCCTATTATCTTTCATTGCGGCTCGGCTGTGGGGACTAGGTAGGGCACGAAGCGAGCAAGCTGGCGGGAATGAAGAAAGGGGGAATTCGTATCTACTCACAACTCAGCGTCGTATGTGAATGGTAGGAGATTTCCGAGGGTCGTAAAGAAGTAAGGGGGGGGGGGGGGTTACGTTAGCTTGCCGGCGTAAACGCGAGGATGCTCGGCGGGTAATAGTGGCGATGGACATCAGCTGGGGGGGAGGTATATATAGCTTACTGGAGTGAGTGAGCGAGCGAGTGCTTGCATGGTCGATATACGGGGCGGTGACGGGAAGAGATCGTGAGTGTTCAATAAACAGGCCGAGATTTCCATAGGTAACACTGTTGGGTTGAGATTGTCTTATTGGAGCGGTATACCTACTGACTAACTCTTGTCATAAAAAGTTAGGGATAGGCAAACAGATAGATGTATCTGATTTTAGAAATAAGAGAAGTATAACTCCAAGCCCGTGCTGTCACGATCCTGAACCAAAGTGAGAAAGTTAACAGAAGCCGACTTAACCAAGTCCTGTCAGTCTCACATTTACCGATCCTCTCGGACCCATATATTGCCTACCCAGTTACCTATGTCAGTATGGAAACGTGTGGTCGTTTGCTACGCCTCGAAGCTGTTATGGGGAGGGGGATCGTAACTTAGGTACGGTCATGATCGATTTCGATATAGGCTCGTGACATAGGTATTAGTTTAAGAGATTAACCTATAGGACATACTCTATCGAGAGAGCTTCATGAGAGTGGCCAGCCCCAAGATGCTATGATATAACTTTACTCAGTCACGAATTCGGAAGCGGGTCGTTGGCATTTGGTATATTTTTGTCATTCCTAGGCATTGCCTATGTCCATCCATGCCTTGCCATGCACAGAAGATCGAGATTCCGTGCCGCGAAAAACCCCTAATGCAATGAGAAAAGAGCAAGCCGGCAGAGAACCCAGAAACACCTATCACACGCGCGCGCATACACCCACGACGCACCCACCAGATACGACTAAACTAACCATCATTAAACTTCGTTTTTTATAACCTCGTCGGCTTGTTTTAGATGGTCGTCTCGTACGCGATGGGGACCACCGTCTCGGGGTAGTTGTCCGTGAAGGACACCTTTCGGGCGTCGCGGGGCTGGGCGGGTTGTCGCTTGACGGTGACGGTGACGCCCTCGGCCTTGGCCTTCTTCTTGAGCTCGGCGTTCTGCTTGACGCGCTTGATGAAGTCCTCTCTCGACCGCGATCGGTTGATGTGCTCGATGCGGACGTTGATTCGCTTCTCGATGTACCGGTGCCTGACCTTCTTGTAGATGATGACGCCAACGGCCGACTTGGTCACGTTGTAGATGACACCGGTCTTGCCGTGGTAGACCTTGTGAGGCATACTATTTTATTTCCATCCGAGTTAGCCTAACTGAGCCCTTGGGTTCCTAGAAGAATGGATGACCGCATAATCCTTTCCCGAATGTTCGTAGCTTTCGCTTTCTTAAATTTCGGTCGGATCGCAAGTCTTCGTTTTGGGATTTTTCGGTTGGTTGCCTTACCCCTTCTGGACAGCACCATTGGCCTTGATGTCAACGATATCGCCGACCCTATCCCAGTATTGTCAATGATTCATCCTAAATCCAAATTTCGATTTTCGAGAATCGATGCGTACTTGTACTGTTGTAGGTAGGTGGAGAGGCGGATCGCACCCTTCTCTCGGAAGTTTCGAGAGAAGGCGTACTGTTTGTGGTTGTTAGCGATTAATTTATTATTGTTATCTTTTCAAGGGCTAGATTGTCAAAAATAAATAAATAAAACGTACTCGAGTGCCAGCGCGGAGACCTGCGGCGTGACCCATCTTGCCGGTGTTGTCGTGTAAGTGAGAGAAATGTAGAGTGTGATGGAGTTGTTAATTGATTTCTCTCTCTCTCTTTCTTTGATGTCGGCTCTCGAGAAATTCGCTTAGGGAATTTTTTTGGGGCTTGTGAGCGGTTGTGGACTTTACAACTTTGCGCGCTAATTTTGCCCGCTAGCAAAAAAGTTTGCCGTAGATTAAGCGAGGGGGGTAAGATTTCCAACCAGTGGCTGCTCCTTCCCTTCTGCCCATTGTTAACCCATAACTTCTCTGGGTTTAGCCCCACCTCTTGCCCTACTCCATTCCACAAACCCACTTCTTTTTCTAACTCCCATATTTTTTTTCTCGTTTTCTAAACTTCGCGGGTCTTACGACAACCTCAATTTCCATTCCTTTCCCCCCCTCGCCAAACCACCAACCATCAAGACAAATTGAGTCGCAACAATGGCGCCTCGATCTTACTCCAAGACCGCAAAGGTCCCCCGTCGCCCTTTCGAGGCCGCCCGTCTGTCAGTAATCACCGGCCACTGAGCTAGAGCTTGTCTCGGCTTAAGTCGATTGTGAACGAGGAAAACTGACATGGTCCCCTTCATAGTGATTCCGAGTTGAAGCTCGTTGGAGAGTACGGTCTACGAAACAAGCGTGAGGTCTGGCGTGTCCAGCTCACCCTTTCCAAGATTCGTCGTGCTGCCCGGTAAGTTTAAGTTTAATATCACACTCTTTTCACTTGATCGCAGAAACGCATCTTATCATATATATATATATGTGTGTGTGTGTGTAAGATATTTTTTAAAAATCGCAAATACTAATTTGAATTTTTTAATATCACAGTCAGCTTCTTACCCTCGACGAGAAGGACCCCAAGCGTCTGTTCGAAGGCAATGCCCTCATTCGCCGTCTTGTCCGTGTCGGTGTGCTCGACGAGTCCCGCATGAAGCTCGATTACGTGCTTGCCCTTAAGGTCGAAGATTTCTTGGAGCGCCGTCTGCAGACCTGCGTCTACAAGCTCGGTCTCGCCAAGTCCATCCACCACGCCCGTGTCCTCATCCGCCAGCGCCACATCCGCGTCGGCAAGCAGATCGTCAACGTCCCCTCTTTCATCGTTCGTCTCGACTCCCAGAAGCACATCGACTTCTCCCTAGCCTCGCCGTTCGGTGGCGGGCGCCCCGGCCGTGTCCGGAGAAAGAAGGCTAGAGCCGCCGAGAAGAAGGAAGAGGGCGAGGAGGAGGAAGAGGAAGAGTAAATGCATCGCAGTCCATGAGTTTACGTGGCTAGTTTGCCGGTGGGAAAAACGGATTACATTGTGGGCGTATGAAATTACCTATTTCAAGGGTCATACCTCAAGGCGTTAGGCCAGGGGAAACGGGAATGCATGAAAGATCTTTCACGACCGTTTTGATAAATTAATGCTCTATGTGTGATCCACTGCTTTGCCTCTTTCCAAATTGTATTAACAATGCTTGGTGATATGTTCATGTATGTTAATGCTACCGAACTAATTCGTCGTTCCCTAAGAATTTTGCCATAGGATCGTCCGCTGCTGTGCGTTTCCTGCGATATTCGTCTAATTCGGCCTCTGAAACGCCACCCATCATCTCTTCCACCGTGCGCTTCTTGTTTGCTTGTTGCGTTGGTTCAGCTTCTTCCTTCTTTTCCGTTTCTTCCTCTTGAGTAGGCGCTTCTTGGATCAGCTCGACACCCGTCCTTTGCTTCTCAGCCGCCTCCCAGGCCTTCTTACCCTCCTCGCCCGTGCAATAGCTGTTCCTAATAAAAGAATGACAGCACGCGTAGCCCCATTTGAAGTTGGACCACCAGCTGCCCCAGACCGAGGTGTGGTTGTTGACGTAGACATCCTCCGCGTACTTGGACTTGGCCGACGTCCTGGGCGCGCCCTTGATCAGCCCGGACTCGTCGTACTCGACGAACTGCTCCGACTCTGTGACCGCGGCCTCGCGCAGGGATGCCGGCATCACGTGCTGGTCGCCGCCGTACTTGTCCTGCAGCGCCTTGATCTTCTCCTGGCGCCGGCGCTCCGCCTCTTCCCGCTCTTTCTTCCGGTAGAACTCGCCCGCCGTCGGGTTCGCCTGCAGATGCTGGCTCGTGTCGCCGCTCCTCTCCTGCTTCTCCCACGCGTACTTCTGCGCCCTCTCGAACTCCGCCGCGTCCCCCGACGCCCGCAGGAAGCCTTCCTCCGCGAAGAGCTGCGCCGCCTTGTCGGCCGTGGCCCCCGCGTCGACCATCGACCGTGTCTTCGGGTCGTACTTGGCGGACTCTAGGTCCAGGTTCAGGAGGTACTTGGCCGTGTCCTCCCGTATCCGCAGCTGCCGCGTCGCCGTGCTCTGGTGCCGGCCCATGTCCGACTCCTCGGCGTACTTCTCGCCCGCGTCTTGGCCGCTGCCGCTGCCGCCGCCGCCATCCTCTTCCCCCCCGTCGCCGTCTTCCTTCCCCTTCCCGCCGGAGAGCTGGCTGCGCAGCTCGTCCATGTGGTTGTAGCGCTCGATGACGCGGCGGTACTCCTTGGGGTCGTAGCCGTTCCACCGGTCGCGCTTGGCGTCCCATCCGAGCTCGACGTCCTGGATGACCTCGTCGGCCTGTATGTCCTTCCCCGTCCACTTGGCGCCCTTCGCGCGGGGGCGGTTGAGGCAGTCTTTGGCCTTGTGCGTCATGGCGCCGCAGTTCTCGCACGCGCCCTTGCGGTACTTGGTCGCGGCCGGGCCGAGCTTCTTCCCGCGGTCGTACCACTTCGACTGGTCGTCCTTGGTCTTGTGCAGCCGCTGGTGCTCGAGGTAGTCGGTCGCGTCGCCCTCCTCGCCCGCGTAGAACGGCCGCTTGCTGATGAAGGACGGGATGTAGATGTTTTCCTCCTTCGAGGCGGCTGATGCTTTGGAGTCGTTCCGCCGCGAGGGCGGCGGAGGTGGCGGTGGCATGCTGCTGTTGCTGTTGCGGTTGCGGTTGCAACTGAATTGTGTGTATATGCCAAAAATAAACGGCGATTTGAATGGAAGGGGTTTTTTGCAGATGGGACTTTGAAGATAGGTTATGCGCAGGAAGTTTGATCAGATATGATGAACTTTCGATAATTGATGATCTTTGTATCTTCGTATCAAAGATGTGGCTAAATAAAGATTTCAAGTTTGTGGCTGGGTTTGCAGCAAGATTTAACATTGAATTGTATTAGATACATGAATATGCACCTAGTGAGGGCCTAACGTCAATTCCAAGGCACCTGACAGCGCGTCGCGGTTGGAACTACGGATCCGTAATTGATTTCAATTAACGCGTCCGCCTCTCGACGGGGCTCACCCTTCGCGCTATTGAATATTAGAACAAAACACAAAAAAACACAGAAATCGATATCTAGCGACATTTCCTATACCTATATTAATCAATTGAGCTTGGACTAAATTCTTATGAGGTGCCTTGTTTTTTTTTCCTCCATGCATCTTTAAACTGCACCGACGCTATGACGTACAGTGCAGATCGTCATGGACGTCTTCCGCGTGCGGCTGAACTGCATAGACCATTATCAAGCTATCCCTACGATATATGATCCTCAGCTTCGCAATGATGTTCACCCGTCTCAATTGAATAAGGAGCCCAGGGTTCCCGTCATTAGGGTGTTTGGTTCGACCGAAACAGGCCAGAAAGTATGCGCTCACATTCACGGCGCATTCCCATACTTGTACATCGAGTATAATGGGAGTTTACTTCCCGATGACGGTAAGGTGCATTAAAATCCTGTAAAAAAAAATCACACTTCTAATTCGTTATCTTAGTGGGTGCTTACATATATCGCCTCCATCTCTCCATTGACCACGCCTTAGCTGTGAGCTACCGTCGTAATGCTCATGATAAGAAGAGTAAATATGTCGCTAGAATCACCCTCGTCAAGGGAATCCCGTTTTACGGCTTTCACGTTGGATATAGATTCTATCTTAAAGTCTATATGCTTAACCCCCAGGTCATGACCCGACTTATCGAATTACTCCAACAGGGGGTCATTATGAAGCGGAAGTTTCAACCTTTCGAAGCACACTTGCAATATTTACTGCAATTTATGACCGATTATAACCTTTACGGATGCGGGTATATAGAATCTCAAAAGGTTTCTTTCAGGGCTCCAGTGCCCGCCTACGAAGAACATCTGGAACTTTCTCATCTATGGCATAGCCAATCGGTCTCAAAGTCTTTAATCACTGATGATCCGGATCTTCCCCGTGCTAGCCATTGCTCCATAGAAGTCGATATATGTGTTCAGGACATCCTTAATCGGCACGAGATTAAAGAGAGGCAACTTCATCATGATTTTGTCGAGAGGAAGTACCCTCTATCTTCCGATTTGAAACTTGTTCACAGCATGGCGGGACTATGGAAAGATGAGACGAAGCGTCGCAAAAGAAGAATGCTCGGTCGAACACCAGGAACCAGCAGCCCATTTCCTCCAGAAGCTTTGGTTTCCATGTCTGCAGACCCACGTAACTCACAACCCTCCGGATGGGTCCACGAGGAGGAATATAGAGACCAGATCCAGGGATTAATACAGCAAGAATACGAGCAAAGCGACGGTGGAAAGATCGATTTCGATACATTCGTCAAAGACATACCCTTAGGATCAACTGTCAAAACTCTACTGCAGTCTGTTGAGGACCTCTACCCTGATAACCTCGGGTCTGTGCTAGGCATAGTAAGTCAACGGTTCGAAGACGATGATAATCCTACTAGCAGTATTATTGTAGACGACAAGCGTATTCTTGATATTACATTGTACGAAGATGGTACCTTTTCAGATGATTCGGACGAGGAAATGACGGGCGGACTTGACCCGTTGAGGAATAAAGATCTCAATGTCAGGAAATTAAAGCCAACAAAAGCAGGCAAGGCACTACGTGAAGACTCGGGCAAAATTAAGTCACTTAACTCCCTTAATCAGATAACCTCGGGTGCCGACGCAGAAAAGGAGAATCGCCCCGAGTTGCTAATCAATGGGATTTACGCGAGCTGTTTGCGTACCGGGAGCCGGCAACGCCTGCCTATCCCAGAAGTTTTGCTAGATATTGCAAAGGAGCAAGGAATGGTGAGCAAAGCTCCTCAAGATATGCAGCATATACTACCTAAAAGAGCCGCAAAGCGTCCGCACTCACCTTTCCGGCAAGGAAAAGAAGCAAAGCACCGTCGTGTAGAGTTTATTTCGACTCCGGATCTGGATAAGACAAGCATTACAGAGAAACCGATAACGAACCTAAGAGTGCCAACCGGATCAGACGCGCGGGTATCATCTACACAAGTTACTCAATCGAACTTAAAGAAAAATCCCAAAGGATCCGGAAATCACGTACTCAATTTTCCAGTTGTGAAGAACCCCAACGACCCAAGCACTAAGCTACGACTAAGCCAGCAAACAAACTCCCAGAAGAGTGAAAATGGCGAATTTGAGAAACACGTCAGATTTAGCCCATGGTCCCCGACAGACGATACTTCTAGAAGCTCAAATTTACACACAGACAAAACAGAGTCTGATAGTTCTACACCGAAACGTACCAGAGGAAAGGATCCTAGAAAAATGATTGATATTGGATGTACCCCTCGGCCTCGAGCTCAATTCTTCATTTTTGGCCAATCTCCACCCTCGACAGCAGAGGTCCTGTCTACCATGGAATCTTTAGACCGTCCTAACGTCATATACCAAGATGCCTTCTATAGCAACGAGAAAGACGTGCCACAGAGAATTCGTGAGTATGCTGGTCAGGAATTTCGTCTTGAAGGTAACACTCTACCCTATCTTCCGGATTTTGACCCCACAGGGGAATCTCCGGCCAATTTTGGACTCAAACCCGACGTGCTCCGTGATTTCGAAGGAGATGAGAAGGTTTATCAGAAGTTACGCGAGGAATGTTCACTAAAGAGCTGGGAAATTGCAGAGCCACCGCCTAGTTTTGAGGAAGTACAGACTTGGTGGTCGAAAACGCAAGAGACAGCAAGAAATTCTCAGGAGCCTGTCATAAAGCTTCGTGATCCTGAGCTCAAACCATGTCTATCACAAATTGGCGGGCCCACCCCTAAGAATAAACATAACTTTAAGTATTCCCAGAAGAGGAAGTCTACAAGTGTCCAGCACGAAGCACAGTACATGAGTACGATGAGCCTGGAGATACATGTTAATACGAGGGGCAAGTTTTTTCCAAATCCGGAAGAAGATGAGGTCCAATGCGTTTTCTGGTGTTCTAAGTCAGATGAGAATTTTGCTACTGGTGATAATGCGTCACAATCGATACAATCCGGCGTTATTGTTCTCTCGGAAGATGGGTCTTTGGCACGAAGAATACAGAAGCAAAGTCCAGTCTCGACCGAAGTCATTGAGGAACCGTCAGAACTTGACTTAATCGTGAGGATGGTTGAGATTGTCAGAACGCATGACCCGGATATCCTTACTGGATATGAGGTACACGGTAGTTCGTGGGGATACTTGATCGAACGAGCAAGATTCAAATACGACTACAATTTATGTGACGAATTCTCGCGCATGAAGAGCCAATCTTTCGGACGGTTTGGGAAAGAAGCAGATCGATGGGGTTTCAACACTACTTCTACAATTCGAGTCACAGGTAGGCATATGATCAACATATGGCGCGCTATGAGATCAGAACTCAATCTCCTTCAATACACGATGGAAAACGTTGTTTGGCATCTGCTACATCGACGAATTCCTCATTATCCTTGGCAGACCTTAACAGAATGGTACGTTGGAGGGAAACACCACGATCTGAGCAAGCTTCTTCGGTATTATCTAAGTCGAACGAAGCTTGACATAGAGATTCTCGAAGCGAACGAGCTCATTCCTCGTACAAGTGAACAAGCACGCCTTCTCGGCGTTGACTTCTTCTCCGTCTTCTCTCGCGGATCCCAGTTCAAGGTAGAGTCGATTATGTTTAGAATTGCGAAGCCCGAAAATTTCGTGCTAGTTTCTCCCGACAGGAAGCAAGTGGGGAGTCAAAATGCGCTCGAGTGTCTTCCTCTTGTCATGGAACCTCAGAGTGCATTCTACAGTAGCCCTTTGGTTGTTCTCGACTTCCAAAGTCTATACCCTAGTGTCATGATCGCTTATAATTACTGCTACTCGACTTTCCTCGGCCGCATTGTCAATTGGCGCGGCACGAACAAGATGGGGTTTACGGATTATCAGCGGCAGGAGAGACTTTTGGAATTGCTCAAAGACTATATCAACATATCTCCCAACGGCATGATGTACTGCAAGCCAGAGGTCAGAAAGTCCTTACTAGCAAAAATGTTGACGGAGATCTTGGAAACGCGAGTAATGGTCAAAAGCGGCATGAAGCAGGACAAAGACGACAAAACGCTGCAGAAGCTTCTCAACAATAGACAGCTCGCTTTAAAGTTGCTTGCAAATGTCACGTATGGATATACATCTGCATCATTCTCAGGCCGCATGCCATGCTCCGAAATTGCGGACAGCATTGTACAGACGGGGCGTGAGATTCTCGAAAGAGCCATTGCTCTGATACATTCAGTAGAGAAGTGGAAAGCTGAAGTCGTATACGGCGATACGGATAGTTTGTTCATTTATCTACCGGGCAGGACTAGGGATGAAGCGTTCGACATTGGCAACGAGATCGCTAAAACAGTGACGGACATGAATCCCCGACCGATCAAGCTCAAGTTTGAGAAGGTCTACCATCCGTGCGTTCTGCTTGCAAAGAAGCGCTACGTCGGTTACAAGTACGAGAGCAAGGACCAAGTAAAGCCCGATTTTGACGCCAAGGGTATTGAGACGGTCAGGAGGGATGGAACACCTGCCGAACAAATGATAGAGGAGAAGGCGCTTAAGATTCTCTTTGAGACAGCCGATCTCAGTCAAGTCAAATCTTATTTCCAGAAGCAATGCGAAAAGATCATGCGCGGGGCTGTGTCAATGCAGGATTTCTGTTTCGCGAGGGAGGTTAAACTAGGAACCTATAGCGACAAGGCACCGCCACCACCAGGCGCCTTGATCAGCACGAGAAAAATGCTTGAAGACGCGAGAGCAGAACCTCAGTATGGCGAACGGGTACCTTACGTTGTCATCTCGGGAGCTCCCGGAGCGCGCCTTATCGACCGCTGCGTGGCCCCTGAGGAATTATTAACCAGCCCTCATCTTCAACTGGACTCAGAGTACTATATCTCCAAAAATCTGATCCCGCCGCTCGAACGCATATTCAACCTTGTCGGGGCCAACGTGCGGCAGTGGTACGACGAGATGCCCAAGGCACAACGAATTCGGCGCGTGGACGCAACCTCTTACAGCGGCGGGAAGAACCCGTTCGTGAAAAAGACGCTGGAGTCGTACATGAAAGCCGCGGCTTGTCTGGTGTGCGGCTGCAAGGTCAAGACGGAGGAATACTCGGTGTGCGCGAGATGCCGGCGAAACGCGCCGGCGTCGCTGCTCAAGCTGCAGGCTCAGCTTAATCAGGAAGAAACGAAGCTGACGGAGGTGACGAAGATATGTCAGAGCTGCGCGGGGCTCGCGCCGCTGGATAGCGTGCCTTGCGACACCAAGGACTGCCCCGTGTTCTACACGCGGATGAAGCAGGTGGCGCGGTACAGGGCGGAGAAGAGCGTTATAGAGCCGGCTGTGAAGCAGCTCCTGGATGATGAGGTTGGGATGGAGGAGTTAGGTTGGTGAGGCCGAAGGGGGGTGGAAGGGAGTTAGGTACCTGTTTATGCCAATGGTACGCTACGCTTATGACCTTGGGATTCCTTGAATTCCTTGGATTCCTTGGATGATTCCGTTTCCATGTATACAAATCCATACACTTATTGGACTACTTACCTCCTAATGTATTGCATGGCTTTTTTAGAATAGGGGATGTGCGATGAATGGGGTTTAAGCTCTTTTAAAGGGGACCATTTCAAAGCCACAGGTGATTACCTATCAGGCGCTATTTGAAGTCTGCCCCGCGAACCTACGAACGCCCCACGTGGCTCTTTTGGCAAAAGCGCGTGCAGCCTGTGACGTCCCCCCAGCCAAGACAATTGGAGGCTATTGGACTGCCTAGCTGCCTGGGTTCCGTTTTTAACCTTCCATCTCCCTCTAGCTAGCGCTTATTTTTGAACCTAGCACCTAGAGCCTACCTACCTCAGCTAGCTCTCTTAATGTGTGGCCTTATCGTCATTCAACCATTCAGCCATTCTACCAATTCCCATCATTCTAAAGAAACCAAGTTACCTTACCTAAGTCCCGGCATAAATGTAAACTAAACAAACCATTAACTGTACATCTTCATTTTTTTTAAGAAAATTAAAATTTTAGGACTTTCTTACCGAAAAAAAAGAAACAGAACAAAAATACCTAACAATAAACAATAAATCAATAAAATTCATCCATGGTCCACGAAATTCGGCCGCCGCAAAGGTTAGCAGATCCGCACTTTGCTGGCTGTTGTTTTTATAAGCCGGAGTTATGGGTATGAGCTGGACTGGTTTCTTATTGACCTACCTCTTTGGTGGTGTCACTTTCATTCCTCTTGTTATAGCAGCTGTACTGCTTCACGCGCATCTCACATTTCCCACTCGCGATGAAAATACGGAAGAAGATGACGGCAATGACCCCAACAGCATCGTTCAGCCTGGTGACGATACGACGGCCCTTCGCGAGGCTCAAAAGGAAGAACCAAAACAACGACTCCTCGCCGAGTCCGATACGGCCGCGGGATACTTCGCAGTATGTCGTGAATACACCCCGATGGGCATCAATGCCAAACCGATAGAGCGTTCTACCCCCGTAGGATCGACTACTGTCGCTGCGCCGAGCCAGAGTGTATATCAGTCTATGTACAGGAGCATCTTCGACAGGAAGCAGACTCATAACCCGTTAGATGACAATAAAGGTGTTAGTCAACGACCCAAAAAGGCAGGCAATGTCTTCTACGTTGTACTGAGGTGCGTGTATTAGCCATCTTTAATATGGGATGTAGAAAGACAAGATGGCTAATATCAATATCCTATGGATAACAGACACGGCCACTTAATGCTATTCGACGACGACGAACAGCTCGAGGTCCGCCACGTTATCTCCTTAGCTCATCACGACGTCAGTATATACTCGGGAGGAGATGTTACCCCCGAAGGCGAGTTGTTCATTAAGCGGAATGCATTGCGCTTGAGCAGGAAGACGGATGGGAAGGATTCAACCCCGGACGTACGAGTATCGAAGCCCTTCTACCTTTTCTCCGAGAACTGCTCCGCCAAGGAAGATTTCTACTTTGCTCTGTTAAGGAATCAAGAGCAGAGCTTTACCGGCCAGAACCTGGCTCCGAAGCCCCAGAAATTTGAGGTTAAGAACATAATATCCCTGGTTCAAAAGCTACATTCCTCCGAGGATCATTTACAGACGAGATGGCTCAATGCTTTGATAGGAAGGATATTTCTCGGCGTCTACAAGACCAAGGACATCGAATATTTCATTAGGGAGAAAATCACGAAGAAAATCTCTCGTGTCAATCGACCATCTTTTCTTACTAGCATCACGATCCAGAACATCGACACGGGAGACTCGGCGCCGTATTTTATGAACCCACGGCTCAAAGACCTTAGTGTGGAGGGAGAGTGCGGCATGGAAGCCGATGTTAAGTACAACGGCAAATTCAGATTAGAGGTCGCCGCCACGGCACGTATCGATCTAGGCCCGAGGTTCAAGGTGAGAGAGGTTAATCTTGTGCTTGCCGTGGTGTTGAGAAAGCTGGAGGGACATGCTTTCTTCAAGATAAAACCACCCCCCAGCAATCGTATATGGTTCTCATTCCAGTCCATGCCCAAGATGGAGATGACAATCGAGCCTATTGTAAGTTCGAGGCAGATTACATACACAGTAATCCTCAGACAGATCGAGAACAGAATCAAGGAGGTCATGGCCGAGACATTAGTAGCACCGTTTTGGGACGATATTCCGTTTTTCAATACCGAACACAAACAATGGCGCGGGGGTATATTCGAAGGGGACGATGCCGTGGATACTTCGCCCGACACAGAAGCTATCGCCGCTCAACATGGCGATGTAGATGAAGTCAGTCACATCGAGGGGACGAGCACGGATGCTCCCCCTGAACAGCCTTCGTTAGAGAAGAGTCATAGCGTTCCCATCATGGAGACAGCCCAAGCAGCTCAACCACAGGGTTTCTGGAGTAGAAAGCTCAACTCTAAAAAGAGTTTACTGGGAGACGGTAGTCAAAGTCCATCAGCATCGACAACAGCGTTCGAAGCAAAGAGCCCGCGAAGCTCTGCTACAGACGTGTTGCACACTCCTCGATCAGGGTCCATCTCAACGTCGAGCCCTATCGTCGGCACTGACCCCGTGCACGCAGAAACTTTCAGACCTTCGTCAAGTCCACCAGACCGCGATGACGCGTTCAGTGCCATGGCACATCTTTCTGCCAGGTCCAAGAACACATCACCAGCTCATACACCAGCTCATACACCATCGGGTTCGCCAGGGAAAACACGTTCTATCTCACAAACGATCAACGGTTCTTCCAATTCGTCCTCTGAAGCTGTTCATGAGGGGCATGAAGATGATAATACCCCTACAGCCCCGGCCAGATGCCACACTGCCTCCTCCACAGGAAGCGCCGAGAGCGATAATGGGCCGTCCAGTTCCCCTGCGCCATCTAGCAGCAGAAATTCGGTGAAAAGTGCCAGTGGGTCGATAGGCAGAGGCTTCTTCTCACGAAGAGAAAATACTTCCTCGCCGGCAAGTTCCATAAATGGGACGTCAGAGGGCAAGCGAAACACTCTTGCTGCCGTGTCTAACGTTGCCGCGACGGCGAAGAGATGGGGCTTAAATGCGATACAGAGACAGACGGACAAGAAAAGCAACGCTCACGGACGCAATCTTTCCGATCCTCCAATAGATCTGAATCAGCCTATGGGACGCGGACAACCGTTACCACCTCCCGGCACGCCTCTGCCTGGTCCCGGGAAGAAAACGTCCCCAATTACTATCATGCCCAAGCGGAAGCCTATTGCTCCCCCGCCATCGCTAACAAGACAGAGCACCGGCGATTTACATGATACGAACAAATTAGAACGACGACCGGTGCCGCCACCTCCGCTACCATCAAGACGCAGGCGTATTTCGCAGATTCACGCGGCTGGCAACGAAACCAACAACGAAGATAACGTCCTCGTCGTTGCGGCGCCGGCAGATTCGGAGCCGAATAGCCCGTCATTCCAGATTGGCGATCACGACGATCCCATGTCTTCGCCTGCGTACGTTCAGCCTTGGGTGGAGGACGCGGAAGAGTTGAATGGTAACGTTCATGGAGGCGTAGAAGGCGAAAGCGAAGACTTGATTCAGATGGATGTAGACGACGAGGATAAGGCATCTTCACAGACGCATATCCCGCCTCCGGCACTGCCTCCTAGGAGACAAGCGAGCCATGAGGAAGAGCAGCAAGTGGAAAGACAAGAAGAGGATGAAGGCGAAGATGGGTATACGAATTGGGTGGAAGGACCCGATCCCGAGTTTGTTACGTCGCCTCCTTCTGACGCTCACGCCGTCAATACCCACGTCACTGCCAATACCACAACTGTCAAATGAGATGGAAGGGTATGGCGATTAGCGTTTACCACATATATATACGTTCACATGCATGTAATACCTACCTTAGGTACCTACAGAATTCAGCCACTCCGGTAGGCGACGTCCGTCAGATACATGACACATCGCATAATCGATACCTGCCTAGGTATGGATGGAGTGCACAAGTGTGGGTGGTGGTATTTTGCATACCCTCCCTAAGATGTCTATTACGCTGGCTCGACCGTAGTTCGAAGACGACCAAGGCTAAGTCTGTAGTATATTCAAGACATTTAGAGGAGTTAAGGGATCCTGGTATCGATCCTCAAGAAGGGTTAGATACCTAGGTAAGTAAGTATATAATCATTGAAGGAAAGGATGGATTGGATGGACTGGCTTGGCTGGCTAGGCGTCGAGGTTTTTATGTTTATTTTTTATTGGAACTTGTTTGTTTAACTCAACTTAACCCCTTAGATAGGTACCTAACCTAGGATAAGATAACCTATTTGCTGTGGTTTGGCTTGCGTAGTGGAATATCTAGGTACCTAGGTAGATATATGTATATACGCTCGTCAAGGTATGACGAGTGATATGGATGATGTGCCTTTTTTTTTAGATTCGATTGGATTGACAAAAGGAAATGGCATAGTTATATCTACAACGGTGGGCGAAGATACACAAATCCGTCTTCCTGTCTCCGTTTCTCGCCGAGGACGAGCTGCTGCGCTGCTCTACCTAGACCAATTTCCCCACCCCTTTAACACTTCTACGGCCAAATTGTCCACCCCCGGTCAAAGTCGAAGTTATTAAGGCCAACAAGTGAGGACGGGAGGTCGCTTAGGTAGTCTTGTCCTTGTTGTGGTAGTTGACCTTGTCGTTCCAGCTGTTTCGACCAAATTAGCCGTTTAATTGGGCAGGGGAAGAAGAAGAAGAAGAAGAAGGAGGAGGAGGAGGAGGAGGACGTACAAGAGGGTCTTATCACCGTCTCCCCAGGGGAAGTTCTTGGTGCGGAGGTTCTGGTACGGGTACTCGACGCGCTCCTCCAGCGGGGGCTGGTGCTCCCAGTGCTCCCAGTGCTCGTTCCACAGCTTGTAGGCGTTGGCGGCGGCGAGGATGAGGGCGGCGGGGACGACGCTGTTTGGTTGTGAGGTATTTTGTCAGCCTTTTCTTTTTCTTTTTCTTTTTTTTGCTATATTTCGATTCCAAGTGTAATGGCATATGTCGGAAGTATTTGAATATGATGCCGTGTGTACATGTATATATATGTTGGACTATCTATGGGCGGAAGGGTACGGATAACTCGTCGATGGGGTGGTCGTTGGGATATGACGAAATACGGGATGAGGTCTTACTAGAGGGAGATCTTGCGCCAGAGCTCTGCGAGGGGGTTTCGTTAGCAAATCCAATTTCCGATTTTGAAGATATCAATCGCCTTACCGGTGGTAGCAGCGGCGTGCTCCTTGACGGCCTGTCGCTCCTTGAGGAAGGCGTTCTCGGTCGAGGCCATGCGGCGCTGCAGGGCGGATCGGAAGACGGGCGCGGCGGTGTTGGCGGCACGCAGCTGGGCGGCGAGGCGCGGCGTCGCGCGGAGAACCTGTCGCTGGGAGAACATCTTGATAGTTTTATTTGTATTCTTTTCTTTTCGTTTATATTTAGAAGTAGAGGGGAGAGTTGTCAAATGTCGTCGGCTTGGTTACCTAGGTTGGTAAGGAATTTGGTGGTGGTCTGATTTCCAAATCGTCAATTGTTCGAATGAGGTCAGTTTCTGATTGGATCTTTTTATTAGCTGCCTTACCTAACCTGACATAACCCCGGTAAAAGGTTCAAAAAGCTTAGAAGCTAAGCTCTGCTTCGCCTCGGTAAATCCGCGGGGATACGGCCGACCCGCCTTGTGGCTTTGCTCTGCTGCTTAGCTTCTCGTGACGTATTGTCACGGGACTTCGGGTCATTTTGGTGTGACGTGCGACAAGTCGCGACTTTCTTCTATCAGTATGCACGCTTTAATTGAAGTGCTTACAAAACCACATTTCGTTCGTACCTAAGTGAAGAAACATTTAACTATTTTATTCCCTAAGTCTACCTAATCTAGGATTAAATACGTATCGTCAATTTAGGAAGGGACGTTTAATTATCTTCGACAAGTGGAAGAGATAACCAATGCATTGTTTCTTATGTTTTAAAAAACCGCCTTTCTACTAATAAATAAGTAATTCCTCCTAAACACACACTACCTCCTAATAAGGTACCTTATATGCCCATGCCCCACAATCTCCGCCATCCAAGCATAAGGCCGGATAATGGTGGTAGTAGATGAGGACGAAGGCAGATGAGGAATGATCGGGGATGCGCGCTCTGAGACCTATTAAAAACCCGTTTTATTAAATCTTATAAAATTGACAAACGCGTCGTTTGACATCATGGGGATACGCATCACTTCGTGGAACGGTTCGTATCTTTTCGTATCTCATCTTACTACATTTTATATACAATCTCACTAACACGGCTCATAGTGAACGGCATCCGGTATGTACATTAGGTACCTATGTACAACATCTAGTATCTCATTTCTAACCAGCCCCTCCCACAAACAGGAATCCGTTCGGATACCAGCCGTGGAGGGAAAAGAGGACTTTCGAGGCTATGTTCGAAATACTCGAAGCCGACATAGTCGTGATGCAAGAGACCAAAATCCAGCGGAAAGACCTTCAGGACGATATGGTCTTGGTACCAGGGTGGGATGTATTCTTCAGCCTGCCTAAACACAAGAAAGGTGCGTAGGTAAATCACAGCTGGCCGCATCGCATCCACTGTATAACCGACCGGACCTAACACTAGGACAAAGGTTATGCTGGCGTAGCTATTTATACCCGAAATTCCGTATGCATGCCCATCAGAGCGGAAGAAGGGATCACTGGAGTCCTGTGCCCACCCAACTCGTCAACCAAGTTTCGAGATCTCCCCTCATATCAACAAATAGGGGGCTATCCAAAGCCAGGCCAGCTTGTGGGCCTGGTAGACGACACGGCTCTCGACTCCGAGGGCCGCTGCGTCATACTCGAGTTTCCCGCCTTCGTGTTAATCGGAACGTACAGCCCGGCCAACAGCGACGGGACCCGAGACGATTTTAGGCTGGCCTACCTCGACGCGCTTGACGTCCGAATCCGTAACCTCGTCGCCATGGGGAAGAATGTAGTTCTAACAGGCGATCTCAACGTTGTCCGGGCGTCCATTGATACCGCTAATCTTTTTGACCGGCTGAGAAAAGAAGGCGTCACAGTCGAGGAATTCTTTTCCACCCCTGGGCGCCGCCTCTTCAACCAGCTCGTGTTCGAAGGGAATGTACTAGGCGAGAGGGATGAGAATAGAGAGAAACCAGTGCTTTGGGACCTCGGCCGTCTCTTCCACCCCGCTCGGGAGGGCATGTTTACCTGTTGGGACACCAAGAAGAATACTCGCCCTGCCAACGTCGGTAGTCGAATAGATTACGTCCTGTGCAATGATAATATGAAGGACTGGTTCATGGACTCTAATATTCAGGAGGGCTTGATGGGCTCTGACCATTGCCCGGTCTTCGCAACCCTCAAGGACATAGTCACCATTGACGGGAGTGAAGTTCATATTAGGGACATCATGAATCCCCCGGGAGTGTTTAAGGACGGAGTTCGGCTTAGAGAATGGACTGCTAAAGATCTGTTACCACTATCGGCAAAACTCATCCCCGAATTTGACCGCCGGCGGAGCATCAAGGACATGTTCTCCAAGAAAGCAGCACCTACGAAGCCGGTCCTAGCGCCGATCAACGAACCGTCAGAAAAGAATCCCATCAGTAGTTCCGCAAAAATGGAGCTGTCTAAAGACGAAGAGGCCGTCGAAATTATCGCTTCGCAATCGGAATCAGTACCTTCGGTATCTTCTCCAGCAAAACCACAACCCAGCGCTCTTAAACGCACTTCTTCAGGCACAGCATCATCATCGTCCAGCCGTCCTCAGAAGAAATCAAAAGCCGCTTTGGCCAAGGAACCCTCATCCTCGTCTAAAGGCCAAAGCAGCCTCAGAGGCTTTTTCAAACCCAAAGCCACCGCGAGCCCGAGTACGAGTCCGATTACGGTTCCAGAAAAAGAAATAGAAGACTTTAAACCGAGTACTCAACCCGACGATACTACAGATGTCGTCGACAAGCCGCCGCAAGAACCGGCTAACGCGGAAGAAACAAAAGACGCCGCCGCCGCCGCCGCCACCGCCGAACCAGCAGCAGCAGCTAGTTCGGATAAAGTATTCGACCCCATCGAGTCCAAGGAGTCCTGGTCGAAGCTGCTAGGCAAGAGAGTCCCGCCGAAATGCGAGCACGGAGACGATTGCATTAGCTTCGTGACGAAGAAATCGGGTGTTAATCGAGGTACGTTTCCCTTTATGCGAGAATTTCCTCTTTCTTTTTTTTTTCCTTTTTCCCCTTTTTTTTAACACGGCATCTCCCCACCATATAAAAATTGATGCTAACTTACTCATTACTTTAGGGAGATCTTTCTTCGTCTGTCCCCGACCTATCGGGCCGTCGGGCGAGAAGGAGAAGGGGACGCAGTGGCGTTGCCCGACGTTTATATGGAGTAGCGATTGGAATGGGTCACAAAACGGATGAGATAGATGGGATACATCCTAGATTTATATGGTGCTTCTGCTTCTAGGTATCATGGTTTGCGCAAAGCGTGCGTGTTATTTATGCCGTTCCACTCCGCTACGTCGGGGGTAATATTTAGATGTATCCCAACGCGCGTAGACGCTCAGCAGGATACACTCATCTGAAAGTTGGTCAATACAAATTAATTATTTTCATGTCTATAAGAGCCACATTGATATCCTATCCCACTAGCAATTCTACTACAATTACCTATAGGGATTGCCGCGAACATCCAATTATTCTTCTCTTCACCGTGACACTGAGATTTGCAAAAGTTAGAAACTAAACAGCGAAAATGCGTCAAGGAGAAAATAGCAAGTAGTAGCTAGAGAGAGGTGTTACTTACCTGGTGTATTTTGTTCCGACAAGAAAGGCATCATATAAATAGGGCGCTCATGGTGTCGGCGTCTTGTATATACGCCTTCTCTAAGACTCTGAGGTTTCTCTCAAGGCTGTTGCTGCTGAGCGCGTCCCGGGAGATTTGAGGGCAGAAGGGTTCCTCAGACAGGCCATAATATGTGGTGCCGAAAGCCTGTGGGATATGTCGGAGACCGATGCGATACTAATAACCGCGTTGGTCCCTATCCGACATAGTGCCGTCTACTTCTGGCGGACGTTGGAGAAATCTTTCGATACTATAGATATATGATCAGCACTTGTTTGTCCGCGCCCATGTAAAGAAAGACATAAGAACGTACCAAACAACGCCGCGCAGCGAATCGAGGAGAAGGAGACAACTTTTCTTATCCGCGTGGCAATATCGAGATGAGTTGACCGCACCGCAAATTACAAGATGCGAACACGACCTTGAGCTCCATGTCAATGGACGATGACGACTTGTGATGATACTGGACTTCTCCGCATCAGACGACTGGAAGAAGTAGTCCTCCAGCCTAGGAAACGCGAGTTGTTGTTGAAGGAATGTCTGTGGGTAGGTACCACTATGACATATTTGCAGGCAGAACAACGGAAGCGGGTGGGCTTCTTGCGTGGGCGAGGCCGTAGATCATCCCTCAGGGAGTTGAATACCTAACCTAACTCACGACGAAAAAGATTGTTGATCAGGTCAAAATGCTAAAATAGGGGTTTGCAGGTAGGTTGGGTATTGGTGGAATATAGTTATTGTGGTTGTGGTTGAATAATGTGTGTGTGCGTGTTTCTGCGGTTGTTGAAAACATGAAGAGGGAGAAAGAAAAGAAATCTGCTGTCTGGGAGGAAATTCTGTTATAGCAGCAATTTGGTTGCCCAGTTGCCCAGTTGCACCTGCACCTGCACTTGTACTTGCAAGCACTTGCAGCCTCTTGTTGCTAAGGTATTGTACTTTCCATAGTCGTTGGTGCGGCAAGTCCAAGTAGCACGACAACTACCTAAATGATTTCTTTTCTTTTAGTTAAGAGATTTGATTAATACCAACTGGCGCCTTCTATAAATCTAGGTAGTTCTTGGTTGATGAAGATTTAGAGTTAGCAAAGCTGGCAACTACCAGGTAAGGGCCGATATTGAAAGGAGCAACACTGATGCAAGTGCATTATGACATTATACCTGTTATGCAAAGTTATTTTAAAGCAACCCATTAGTTTCGAGTATATAGGTTAGGTGCCTAGGTAGGTATTTATGCGCAGGTCTCCGGGGAGGGGAGACATGGAAGTGCTGCTTTGCTTATTCGCTACCTCTCACTACCTAACTAACATTCAGCCCGCTTCCGAGGCATAAAAAAATAACAATTAAATACATAAAAAAAAAGGGTCGCCAAACACAGTAAGAGTAAGAGTAAGAGTAAGAGTAAGAGAAGATAAGATGGATAATAATAATAACACAGCTAACAACTGACTAACCACTAAAAAAGGGGGTATAAAACCTCTCCTCCCCTGAATCTGCTCTCACTCTTGACTTTTTACTCTCGCCTCCTAGGTACTTCCCGCATCTAGTCCTCCTGGTACGAGATCTTGCGCATCTCGCCTAACCGGTGTCGCGCGGCAGCCAACGCGTTCTCGAGTTGCAGAATCTCCACCTGTGATTAAACGTGTCGTTAGTACTTGCGCAAAGAAATTATAAATAAATGTTGCCATCATTAACTTACCTGCTGCTCCATCTCCCGGACCTTGAACTCGTGCGGGTTAAGCTTGGCGTAATCCACACCCTCGTCCTCTTGGTTTCGGTCCTTGATCATGTTCTGCACCTGTCGCACGAGCGCTCTGCACGCGGCGCCCACAGCCTTGCTGGCCTGCTCCAGGTTTTCCTGGCTCTTGCTCATGAAGCCGGCCTTGACACGGCTGGCAGCCACGAGCTGAGCCGTCGAGGCGGCCACGTCGTTCGAAGCGACGATAAGCTGCTCAGGGCTGTTGCGGCCTGAGAGGACACCATCTGCTGTCTCAATGAGTGTATTGGTAGACGTAGCCACAGCCTTCGCAGCTGAGATGAGACCCTCGGTCCATCGGTTATTCTTCTTGTAGAAAGCTGTCCTTGATGAGCTTCCACGGCCCGCCTGGACGATCTCTTGCTGCGTGGTGGTAGCGGCTTTGATGAGCTGAGCAATGGCATTGGTTACCGCTGTCGCAGCATCGAGTATCGAGTCGTGAACCTTGAGCTCGTAGGTCGAGTATCCGTCACGAGGTTTGTTCTTGAGCTTAGCCAGGCGAGCGGCCGCTGCAGCGATGGCATCTGCCGCCTTGCTAAGTTCGGCGTCGACAAGGTCGCCTATATCGCCCTTGTTGTTTGCCAGTCGACCTGAGGGAGCGAATGTCTCCACCAGAGTAGTCAATTTCTGGAGGTTTAGACGAACGTCGCTACTGCCGTTCACAACAACGTCAGTCTTCTGTAGAGGGTCCATGCCTTCTAACCTAAAGCTTTGAAGGCTACGGAAATGCTTGACGGTAGACTGGGCAGCAGCGCGAGCGCCGTTGATGAGCTGATCAGACTTCTTTTCGTCGGAAGCGAGTCGATTCAACCCTTTCGTGTTGCTGCATACATCTGCGATAGCCCCCGCGAAGACGTTGGTCGCCTTGATTAATTCCGCATGACTGGCATTGGGACCATCGGCGATGAAGTTGTTGAAAGCGGTAGCAAATTCAGAAGCGCTCGCCACGGCCTTTTCAACTTGGGATAGCACATATGTCGGCGAAGCGTTCTGGTTACCAGCCTGCATCGTCGAATCCAGTTCGTAGAGCGCATCATCTACTCGAACCACACCTGCTTGCAGTACTGAGTCGATAATGTCGTTGATCTTGTCAAGGTTCGCCATTATGAGAGCATCAATCTGGCCGTCTAGCGCATGATCTGTATCGCCTTGGGTCTGCTTTAGCTCGGTCAACTCGACCAAGGCCTGGTCCATGCCAGCCTTGTAAACCTCGAGTTCTTCCTCCTTCTCGCGGAGCAACTGTTCGAGGTCTGAGCTTCCATCTCGAACCTTAGCCTGCGCTTCCTCAAGGGCACGCGACTTGGTTCGCAGGGCTTCTTCCAAATCCGCCATCTCCCTGTTGTACTTGGAGAGCATAGTAGACAACTCGTTGCCTTTGCTTCGTTCGAGGTTGTCGGCTCTGTCGATGGCCATACGGAGTTCTCGCTTCAGCTTCTCAACCTCGTCCTTGTTGCTACCGCTCAACCTATCCTTCTCGTGAAGGGCTCGGTCCCGTTCCCGAATCATGTCTGCTAATTCTAGGTTCTTGGTCTTGATCTCACGCTCTAGCTTCTCGCGCTTCTCAATTGCTTCTTGGGCTGATGCCGCTTTTAGCTGAACCGTCTTGAATTTCTGCAGTAGGTCGAGATGTTCGTGACGCAGCTGGGAGTAGAGCTTCGCTAAGGACTCGTACTTGGTTCGCCATGTGTTGACCTGCTCTTGTAGGGCTCGGATTTGGTCATCCTTGCTAGTTAATTGTTGACCAAAGTTGTTCTGGATCTGGGCTAACTCGTTCTCAAGTGCCTTCACTCGTTGGTCGTATTGTTGCAACATTAGTTGATCGCGCTCATACTGGGCCCTCGCATTCAGGTTCTCTTGTTCGAGCTCGGCTAGGCGCCCTTGCGTCTGCCATTGAGCTTGTTGAGCTAGTAGCGCTTCTTGTTCCCTACGCTGTTGCTCTGCTAACAGCCTTTGCTGCTCCTCAAAGTCACGCTGGGCCTGCATTTGGGCTTCTTGTTGAGCACGAAGGGCTGCTGCTTGACGTTCTTGCAATACCCTTTGCTGTTCCTCGTATTCCCTATTCTGCCGATCAATCTCACCCTGCCAGAACTCGGCGATCTCATCGGGTTCCTCGGACTTGGGCGGGCGAACAGGGGTGGGCGCGCGCTCGATCTCCTGCTTCGGTCGCGCTGGTAACGCAGGGGAGTTTTCGTCTTCTGCGAGCAAGTTGGGTGGATCTTGCGGTAGTTTCGGGATCGTAATTAAACTGGTCAAGTAACGCAAGTTGGAGCATTCGTAATAGAACTTGACTAATCGGTAGTGCTGCGCATCGTAACGCTGTCTTAGGGGTTCTAAGGCGTCGTTGTCGCCCGTTGCTATGTAACGTTAGTTATAAGAATACAACGATACAACAGGAGAATCTGTGTCTGTGGTCTCCGTACTTGAATGCATGGCTCTTAGCATGCTTGTGATGAATTTGTAAATTCCATAACTTTCTTGTACCAAGGGAACAATGGCTGAGATTCTACACTCGTTGTTCCCAACATTTCGGAAATGCGAAAAGATCAGCTTCTGGAATTGCTCGATCTTGTCCTGCAGCGACATAAGGTCGGTAATGGTCTCGTAACCCTCGTTGGGATCGTTAATCGCCTTCAAGCTAACGTATTCCTCGTACTCGAATGTTCCGTTAAACTCGGGGTGCTGCTGGTGGAATGATAGTTTCGCTAGGAGGAAGTAGACATATTCTCGGATCAGGGGTCCGTACCCTCGGACGCCCTCGCCGGCTAAACCTCTGTTCAGACTGTCGATCCAAGGTCGATTTGCCATGGCCTCCCTTAAGGTCTGGGGGTGTCCTTCCTGCAAGACTCTGTGAATAGTAATCAGGGCCTTGAACGTTTGCACCTCGTCGGCAAGAATAGGCTGCCTAAATATATTCCCAGTTAGTTCCTAGTTCCTAGTTCCTACACCTATACGCTGATCCTTAAAAGCCTAGCCACGTACACTTTCATACCAGCCCAGAAGGACTGGGAGGACTTGTGGTCCCAGGTATAAACGATAGCACTTCGTACATGTTTTCGTTTCGGCGCCGTCTCTTCCGGACTAGTTGCTTTTCTGATGTTGATGGCAAGTTCGGCTTCGGATCTATATTTTAGGTAATTAGCAGCTATCGCAGAACCGAAAGTAAATTCCATATCCATAATGGCGATAAGTTCGAGTGGTTAAATCTACATGCGCTTTTTGCGGAAATGGAGTTTTCAAAAAAAGGGGAAGACACGCACTTGGAATGATCCAGACTACGGATTGTAGCCATGGTGATTAAATCACTGCCTGCTGTTTTGCTCTCTGTTACTAGCAAATCGACTGTTCTCGCAAGGTTTAGATACGTGAATCAGAGTGAATCAGGGAGTTGGGATGAAAGCGTCAGATTCAAGTGACAAACTACTTGTCAAATGCAGCGCATCCCGCCCACCTGACGATCGTCAGGAGGTAATAATAGGAATAAGAAGACGACAAACGTCGCGGGGATGTGTTATGGATTAAGGGGTGTTCCTTAGAACATTGAAAAATAAATTTAAAAAATTTCGATGCCTGACTCGTACAACGTCAGGGTCCTCGCAATTACGACTCCAACAAATACAACAACACAACAAGCAAACTTGGTGGAGTTGGAGTTAAAACCAAAAGATCAGATCAATTCCGTCAAGGCTGACGCAGCTCAGGCTCTTGGAAGCTGTGGAAGCTTGTCTTGGAACCTGGAACCATTCGATAAGCCAGTAAGCGTTAGGTAGAAACCGACATGGGTCTTTTTACTAGTACCTAAACCCCTTATCCATGACATTCCGAAATTCATCCGTTACCTTAATTTACGCTAGAGGTACTTTGTACTGGTGGGGTTTCAAGCCTTTATCGCCACAAAACGCGCGGCTTGCTGGCTCGGCGTTTGACAGGCAGCACTTGCACCAAGCAGCCAAGACACTTAGGTTATAGTCTACTTTGTACTTGCATATCAAAACCTTCATTAGACCAAACTCTCTAATTATAACAATTCCGCCGCTGAAAATGCATCTAAGAGCCTTTCAGTGACGAAAGCTTCAACTTTCTTTTACTTTAGGTACTTACCTTACTCTTCACAATACACTAATAGCTCCCGACCTCAATGGCTCCGTTCCAGACCTACGAGGTTTGAATTCCTCTGTGTCGCTTCTGCTGCTGCTAATGTCAAAGCTGATGTCCGAGCCTTTTTGGCTCATCTTACTCCCCTAATTATATATAAAAAAGAAAAACATTCAGCTTATACTTAAGATACCCTTTTCTTCTTCAAAATGCGCGCGACCACGGTTTGTCTGCGCAAGGGATTCGTGCGCCGGAGCATCGACGAATTCAAGCGCCTCTCCAACATAGGTACTTAACTCGATTCTCTCATCTTATCTACCTAGTAGGTAGCCTACCAATCCACTGGCTAACTAACACCCGCGTCCCGTAGCGCTCAAGCTCGAAGGCATAAAAGGCCCCTCGGGCCCGCTCCCCCTCCATGACTTCCACAAGCCCGAGTCCCTCGAGGAGTGCAAGGTGATGTCAGACGTCGACATCGGCGGGTTTTCCAAAGCCGCGCTCGACTGGATCCCCGCTTCATCTTCCGAAGGGGACAACAACAACAACAATGCGCATGGCTACGCGCGCTTCCACGGCAGCATATCGACCGCCCTACCCCCCCATCGGCCCGAGGTCCAGCGCTCCGGATACGCGGCATGGCGGACTCTCGACCGCCCCCCTACGATCTTCGGGCGCGCGCTGTGGAACATCGACATGTACACGTACCTGGGGCTGCGCATCAAGTCGGACGGGCGGAGCTACTTCGTGAACGTGCAGACGGACTCGCTGGTGCCGACGGACCTGCACCAGCACCGGCTGTTCGCCAAGCGCCCCGGCGAGTGGGAGACGGTGCTCATCAAGTGGAACGACTTCGTGCGGACGAACCACGGCTTCGTCGTCGAGCCCCAGACCGAGATGCTCCGGCAGAAGGTCAAGTCCATCGGCGTCGGCCTGACCGACCGCGTCCCCGGCCCCTTCGAGCTGTGCATAGAGAGGATCTGGGCGACGAATAATATGAACGAGGAGGGGCAGCATGTTGTTGTCGATGACGAGCCGCCGGTTGCCAGAGAGGGGCAGTTGAAGGATAAGAAGGGAAGACATATTAGCTGGTCCGATAAGTGACCTTGGAACATCCATCACCGTATTGGAAATCTACGTCATATTGGGTTATGCGTTACAAGGGGATGTGGACTTTTTTTTTCTTCGTATTACGCGAAGAACTACTACTAACACCTACGGCCCCCATACGACTTAAAAGTCATCAAATGAATATATCCGCAGTCACGAAAAGACCGTGTTCACGGATAAATGTATCAAAGCTGGCGCCGAGAGGGAGGCTTCCAGCTATACGCATACGTGTAACTCTAGAAAGAACAAACCTTTCACCACCTACCTATCGTAAGATTGCCTGAGTTTAGCAATGACAAAAAAGATGGGAATTGCAAGTCGACTGTACCAAAATAACAGCTCCTGTAGTTAGCTTAGTATCTGGTGCAATGGGAAAATGTTGAACGATGTCTTGATAAGCTACGAATGTAAAGCTGACAAAGTCTTTGTCCAGCAAGCTGTCTAGCAAGGAAATTGTGACAGAACCATTGTCAAGTTCCTGTTCGATAAATACCTAGTAAAGAGTATTCTACCCATATCCGTTTCCTATAAACCTCCCCTACTTTGTGGCAGATGACCTAGTAGTAGCTTCGCCAGCACGAGCAAGCAATGCTAACCTGCTACAAAGAAAGCTACGCACGATAGGCCATCGTAGTCGAGAGCTAAGTCACCACGTTTCCTACGCCTCTGTATTCACTCACCCTCCATCCGCTCCAACGTGGCTACCGGAAGATACGGAGCGATAGGTACTCTGTGCTTCTGTCTTCTAACCCGCCGAACATTCCTCTATACCCAGCAGAATACGGCCTACGGATACATATAAACATCCCCCGGGGGGTAGGTACTAGTACCCAGTCCCTCTTATGTACCTTCTATCTCTCGTATATCCTGGCAAAAAGAGAAAGAAAACACCGCCATCTCCCATCCGCCACCACCCTCCCTCATCTTTTACATAGCTAGGTACCTAGACCTACTTACCTAAGCCATCATGTGCAAGCTAATCTGGACAATAACCTGGTGCGCCTACGGGGACCACCCGATCGGCCGGGGCCACCGCAAGGCCCTGCTCTGCGACGAGGTCCGGGCGAAGGAGACGTGCGTCGGCCGCTGCAAGCAAAAGATCCGGATGACGGACGAGAACGTGCCCACGCGCTGGATCCGCGTGTGCGCCGCGTGCCTGCCCACGAGCGACGAGCTCCACCCTCACCCTCAACCCCCCGGCAAGTGTTCGCTAGGTACTACTCCTAGTGGTACCTAAACACCATCTTAGATACCTACCTGTCCCGAGAGACATTATTAGCTTTAGGTAATGCTTTTTTCCCCCTCTTCCTCTCGAAGAGGGGGAGAATGGCAAGATCAAGAGAGATAAGTATGAATAGGTTTTGTAATACCTATACTGTCAGCCTTAGCCCCTTATAGCCTCACTTGGTTTTTTTTTAGTAGTTTTGAGAGATATATCTTCCTCATGTTAGACATTTTGTCATATGAGAAAAGGTGCAATGACCTAAGCTACATGTTTTAGTAATTAACTTCTTCAGAAAGACTACTTTTCAGCTTTGTCCTCGTTTAGAAAACATACAATTGCATCAAGATAATGTGAAATGTCGGGTTGATCATTATACCGTAACAGGTACCTAACCTAGTCTAAGTCATCGCCATCCTTCATATCGTCATTCGCTCAGCATCTCTGCGTATCGCCAAGTATGCTGCAGCATAATCATTTGCCAGTACATTGTCCCCAGAGACTTTCATAATCGTAGCTTTCTTAGCCATCATCTCGCACTGCTTATCGATATCTTCCACGCTCGAGTAGTGATTAAATGCCTCCTCGATCGCTTCTAACGCCTTTGTCATGAATTCTCTTCTCTTGATAGATTTTGGCGGCATCTTACCCGCCATACCCATATTTGCGTCGCCAAGATACGAGTAGAGTTTCGCCGTCATTGTTGCATTCTCGCACTCGAATGTGCGCGGTAGGATTGCATTCAAGAGCTGGATGGCTGGTTCGAATTCACCAAGTGATGTTAGGATGTTCGCAATAGCCCCGATTGCCGGCCAAAGATAGGGGATAAGCCGAGCTCGCCAGGCCACATTGGCTGCCCTCACAGCAATGGTGAACCCTTTCTGCGGTCGACCGCACTTGTCAAGAAGCTCGGCTTTGAGAAGAAGTAGACGGATTCGTAACGCAATATCCCTGTTCTCATCACGAAGTTCCGATATCATCTTCCCTACTTTCGAAAAGGCTTGATCGAGATTGCCTCTGCGAACAAGGCATTCGATATGAAGGTTGTCAACTACAAAGGCAAGGTCGGGTTCCAGGTCATCGTTCTTAGACTGGAGGAGCTGTGAAAGCAGTAGTTCAGCCCCATCCAGGTTATTTCGATGGAGATCTCTTCTCAATTTTATTATCCCACGGAATTTGTGCCAGTACTGACTTGGCTTCCAAGCTCGGAGCGAATTGGCATCCATGCCTTCCAATATTTCAAGTGCCTCGTCGTACTTCCCCTTGAGGGTTAGCATTGAAGCTTGACGACTCGTTACCTTTAGCTCGTCGTCGAATATTGAATTACGAGCATGACACCGAATAAATATTTCGCAGGTAGCTACCGATAGGTAGGCAATCCCTAGCCTGTCCCATAATGCTATGTTGATCGATAATTGGGAGCCGAGCATGTTTCTCATGTTCCTTTCGACTATAATTTGAGAGCTTCTGACAAGGTGCTCAATCGCTGTGGCTACGCTTTCGCCGTTTGAGAGGGTCATCTTTGCCTCACTCATAAGAGTGGAACTCCACAAAGTCCACATACCTGTCTCCTTTGCCCTGCTTCTAAGAAAAGCTAGGGACTCCTTGCCAGTTCCTAACATACTATTTGATTCCAGTTCCTTGGTTATCTCGGGGTGTGCCCTGCCAAAGTGAAAAAGCCAGTTAAGGGCGAAATTCAGACACGTCATGTCTCGATTCTCCCTGGCAGTAGAGACAGTTTCCAGCATTGCTGAAATTGCTTCCTTGTAGCACCCAAAGTCAGCTTGGAGTACTGCTAAGTTCATAAGTGCGTACTGATAGAAAGATCTGTCCCTATTCTGCATTGTGTAGTCGAAATAACGATGTAAATAATCAAAAGAGGTGGAGTAGTCTCCTGCCCTCCATGCATCTAAATAGCTTAGGTAATGAGATAAACTCGGTATCATGAAGCTATCGTTCAATAGGTCGTGAAATTGGTGTTGTATCTCCAATGGTACTCTGTTGCCGTACTTTTGCATCTGCTCGATTTGGAACTCTAAGAGTTTCTCAATATCGTCAGTGCTGACAGGTAAGGTCGAGTTTGGGTCATCTCTAAGCATGTCCCCGTAGGTTACGGAGGCGATGGCGTCCACTCCTGAACCCCAGTCATTCTCGCCAGTTAAGAGGACGTTGTCGAAACTGAGCCTCTGGAAAGATGGCGTCTTTTTTCGGTAATAGGTCGCCGTAGCCTGGCGATACTTAACGAAGTCTTTCCATAATTCGAACGCGTCGTGAAAACGTAATCTTGTGAATTCTAGTTGGGACCTCCGCACGAATGCGCCGAATGGTGAATTGCGGGAGAGCAATATGACTTCGGGAGCCGGAGCTGGAATTCCCAACTCGGCATCATGACGGAGTTCATCTCTGGTCTTTGCTAACAGAGCCGAGCAATGGCCAAAGAATTCATGTAAGGAGTCGAGAGAATCGATCTTCCAAAGTCTATCCAGGAAGACGTACCACAGACTCCGTCCGGGCATACCAGAGGCGGCAGTATGTGGTGCCAAGACTTTCTCGAAGTCTGCAATAGAGATGACCAGACTTACAGTCGTCTCGGCTCGCTTCCATCTTCCCTTAGGAGTGGAAAACGAAGCTTGAGCGTCACTGTCTATCAAGTGAGAAGTTATGAAGGACAGCACATCCACAATCGAGTCCGTGGGGACTGCTTTTTTCGTGTATAATTCGATCAAGGCGAGGAGGCCAATTTTGGCCGGATTGAGAAAGCGAGACATGATGCTGTCGTATGATTTGAGTTTTTGAGTTTTTGCTTGACGATAGACCGCCCGAATGTCTATTATCTTGGGTGTATTGTGATGAGCTTGGTTTTTATAGATGTGTTCCGTCTACAAACGGCCATCACGCGTGGGGTTGATCTCATGAGGATAGGACTGAACCAATTTTTTTTTAAGTTTGTTTTGGTTTTGTTCTGTAAGCCTGAAGGTGTCAAGAAAGAGAATTTCCACTAAATGAAAAGCATTGAGATAAATTGATCAGAATCAAGTATGCTCCTTCCGATATTTTCGACTCTTCCCATGTGAAGGTTATTTCTTACTAAGGTTAGGTATCTTAGGTACGGACTAGGTACCTGTGAATAGGCGCGTTGACTCGCGATATTGGAGCCACCTCTTTTTATGCATATAATACCTTTTAACGAGCATGTGAAATTTACATAAACATTTTACTCATAAATCCGTATTTTAAGCCATTAAGCATGTGAGTGCATGCTGGTCACATAATGCCTTAGTTAAAACTTAAAATGATATGGTACCTTTGGACGTCGTGAAATCGACAATTCTCAAAATGATGATTGTTTAGGCAGTGGGAGTTCCATATAGATTGATGTCTAAACTTGGACACCGTCCTCAGATAGAATGTAATACCTATGGTGAAAGTCAAGATCAAGGAGTAAACAAACTTTACAGAAGATATGGATGAATTAAAAAGCAAAAGTTCGGAGAGTAGATAGGACACCAAGAGAGATTGCATATTAAAAAAAAGGAGGTGCCTCGGTTATGAGATGAGATATTAAACCCTGTTGGAATAAAATATGACGGGGCAGTTAAACGCCAAGGAGAAGTGCAGCCTTTGGCCTCCAAGGTTTACTTCAACGATAACTTTTAGCTCTTTACATGAGACATAGGCAGTATGCTTGGTAGGAAACACGCTTTATCTAGGTACCTTAGGTAGGTATATATATATAGACGAAGAAACTGGACATGGAAGCTTGCTACCGCATTGCTGGTATTTACACGATGCGCGCGGTTTGCGACCCTGGCACATAATGAGCAAATATATTGCTGCATGAGATAAAATGTAACTGTTTAAGGTTGCTGGCTGTCCTGTTAATCCATGACTTAGTATAGAGCGGAGTTCTACATATAGTATATCATCGTAGATTGCTCCCGAATACTACCTTATTCTTCTCTGTAAGATACTACCTAGGTAGGGCATATCGCCTTTGCTTAAAAGTCGCTATATTATATTATATCAACCCCGCGTTCATCCATCCGTAGTGCCTCCTAGGATAACAGATCGGAAGATCCAGGACTTGGAACGCCGTGTCGTCATACTCGTTGACGAGGAGGCCATTATTTACATGGCATATACATACTAAGCACCAAAGAATAGTGTAGTTCATGGCCTACCTCCAAAGAGCCGGTTTCTACATGTGTACAATACCTACCTAAGGTAAAGGTACCTAATGTTATAGATCGTACGACACAGATTCTCCAACCACTTTATGACTACCTAGGTACCTGTATAGACGGATAGGCGGATAGCCACTGATTTTAGATGTTATTCAGATTTAGATGAGCAGTATATGACAATAGATGATAGGCTCTTATAAAATTGTTTCTCGAAGGTCGTACGATCATCATCCGACAACCCTAAATAGACCGACTCGGACATCTTTGACTCGGAGGAATAATGGTTTGGGGGAGCGGACCGAGGACGAAGGCGGAGAAAACAATGTTTCAATATACGACACGTTTTCGTGCTCGTGAGGTTGGAGGCGCACTCTACGGAGATGTCCACCTGTACTACGAATCGTATGTAAGTACGGATTAAAATTCGTAGCAGATACATAGTAAATCTGTACAATCTGGGTAAAATCAATCAAACAGGGGTTTCCAAATTCTTCTGCCATTGGCGAATTTCTTTAAGCCTGGAAGTTCAAACTTCAGCCTAAGGAAATAAGAACCTCACAGCCCCTCTGCCCCTCTAGCCCCTGAAGTCGTGCTTTTCAGCAAGCAAGGAATGTCTTAGGTCTCCTAAAGGTAAGGCACCTGTAAGCCTGTAAGGTACCTTACCTTAAGGTAAACATCCCACCAATCAAATAATTTGGTTTATTGACCGCTGGGTCGTACTGGCCGACTGGGAGTCTGGGATCTTCCGGTGCTCCCTAGAAAAGTTAAAGTCGAAACCCCTGACCCTATCAGATACGACTCAGATCCCTGTACCTGAATTGTTTTCGGGTAGGTGGAGAAGAGCGGGCGGAGCGTCAGGCGTCTGTGGACGAATCATCGAGTTCGTACCACCGCAGCTAGGAAATCACGGACATACCAAGCAAAGCTATTTCGCCAACCGGCCTCTACATAGTAAGATCTTTGAAAACACGACACCAGCACCTTGACGAAACTAGATTAGGTACGTTGAAAAGGGCAGGCAACTTGCTTAAAGTGCCCCACGTTCTTGATTCAAGATTATCAGTTGTATTGTACATGAGTCAAGGGTTCTCGCCACTGCTTTTAAAAAGTATTGCACCTAAGGCTGCTAAGGTGTGTAAGTCGTAAGTCGAGTAGCGCCAATGTGATGACGGGACCTTGCATAAACTCGATGATCTGCTCCTAATGATCGACGGGCGTTTCCAGTGTTTTCTGTTCAACTATTGATCAGTGAACCCGACTTCAGCAATTCTCTTTTTTAGGTGATAACCTAGGTGATATGGTGATATTGTGGTTGACAAACTAGCAATCTGAACAACCTGACAACCGACCCAGGTGCGAAGCTTATTATCAACCGTTTTTTTTTTCTCCCTCTCTTTTGCCATTTGTGGCAAAAATCCGAGAGAAAACAAATGTCATTATTATACTTATTTCTTTTCTTTCCCTCCCCCCCGGTCTTTTACAACTTCATTTTCACCACTACAATTTATCTTTTTATCCCACTCGTTCAAGGACTATTTCTAGAAGCAGACCGTGCATAGCTAAATTTTACTTGTAATTTCCCGGCCTAACCAAACCCTCCACCCTGCTTCATACCTACACATCCACATCCACATACACATACGCGTACTTTCACATTCACATTCACTCTCTTTTCTAACAACATTTTTACCGGCAATCAATCCCGCATTGCTAAACGCATCAACACGTCAAGTTCCATCTAACCGGACAACCACGATCTTTTTTTTTAAAAAAAAAAACGTGGGTAAGCAATATATCACCACGACCATATTGCCAACCACACCCCACCACCCTCCCTTCTTGGAATAAATCAACTTCTCTCGGCTACCAGCCTGAACTTCCCATTTGTCAACGTTAACCTTAAGGCAACAAAGGGAACAACACTGTCGCCATACACCTACTGCTTGTCTCCCAACCAAAGCTTTATTTTATATCAAGTCTTCAGCAAAATTGGCAACAAGCGCTCTCTTACCGTGCCCAAGACAAAAAAAAGGACAAAGGGGGCGAAACTTACGAAAGTTCCACCTACAAAGACTTACAGCAACATTCGCTCATAACCCCTTAGTTGTTCCATGGAACAATGCATTCATAAACTCTTACATCAAGAACGCTTTTGCCCTCGAGGCTTCTGGATTACGGGGTAAATCTCCTTTTATCTCTTACAGATCATCTTGTCTATCCCTCGGCCCCGCCTGTTTCATTCTGCTACTCTTTCGAAGGACAATATCAATACTTTGCAACGAAGATCACGAACAAACCCCGTACATACATACCGCAAGTCGGTATTAAAAATAATATCATGGCGCTAATAGACCGCAGGCGGGTTACCGCCTTCGGATCACTCACACCAGCTGCGATACTCGCACTTCGAGATTCAAATACTTCTGATAAGCCTACAGGAACAGATACAGATTCGGCAGCCTCAAATATAGGCCAATTTTCTACTTCATTAAATGGCGTCGATCAGCCCAGTAACCTGCTGTTTAAGGATATGCTATGGTGGACACTGGGTATCATCGCGCTTATCGTACTTGCTATCCGTCTTATTGAGATAGGATGGACCAAGTTACGTCACGTCTCGGCCATGGCGACCCCGGGAGAAAAGCAAACTTATTGGAAGAGGTCGCAGTGGAGCTGGATGCCGTGGATGAAGAGGAATCTTATCTATGCCCCTCTATGGAAGAAGCGACACAATCGAGAGATCAAGATATCATCTGCCATCAGCATAGGAACCTTGCCGTCCCGGCTTCACTCCGTTATCCTAGGCGTCTACTTGATAAGCAACCTAGTTTACTTATGCCACGTGGACTGGTATCAGGAAAATCGATACGCTCTGGCTGCTGAGATCCGAGGCCGTTCCGGAATGTTATCTCTTGTCAACATGGTCCCCCTTATCATCATGGCAGGCCGCAACAACCCCCTTATTGCAATGCTAAGAGTCAGTTTCGATACATACAATCTCCTCCATCGATGGATGGGCCGGATGGTCGTAATAGAGGCTGTTATACATACGATTGCCTGGGCTGTGGTCGCGGCTGCGGCCGACGGATATGATGGCATGAATTTCCGACTGGTTCATGACCCCTTCCTAGCTTCTGGTTTTGCTGGAACGATAGCCCTGGTCATCTTACTTTTCTTCTCCATCTCGCCAGTCCGACACGCTTTCTATGAGACGTTTCTCACGTTCCATATCGTCTTGGCTTTTATTATCTTTGCCATGACCTGGGTCCACTGTGCGACGGCGACTCTTCCCGGTGGTCTTCCCCAGCTCCCGTGGGTGATAGCAATCTTTATACTATGGGGAGCGGAACGACTGGCTCGCATGTTCCGTCTGGCCTATAATAACTGGGCAAAAGGAAAAGGCTTCACCGAAGCCGTCGTAGAACCTCTACCTGGTGAAACCACTCGCGTTACGATGCATTTACCTCGCCATGTCGACATCCAACCGGGAACGCACGCGTATGTCCGCTTCATGGGGATTAATCCGTGGGAGAACCACCCCTTCTCTATCGCCTGGGTCGAACATCAGCCCGAAGCCGACGCGACAACTGTAGAGAAGTCCGACAGCGAAAGCCGAAGGAGAGGCGCCACATCGGTATCTTTTCTCATTGGTGCCCACACGGGTTTCACCCGGAAGCTTTATGAAAAAGCACTTAAGGCAGGGTCTCCTTCCATCCGGGTCAGGGCCGCCTTGGAAGGCCCCTACGCTGGCCATCACTCACTTGACTCGTACGGTCACGCCGTGTTATTTGCCGGCTCGACCGGTATCACCCACCAGATCTCCTACCTCAAGCCCTTAATCGAGGGCTTCGACGAAGGAACAATTGCGACAAGACGGGTTACGCTAGTATGGATAATACGTGACACCGAGTCGCTAACGTGGGTGCGACCCTGGATGGACGAGATTCTACGAATGCCTAGGAGGCGGGAGATCCTTAACGTCCGGTTATTCGTCACGAGACCGAAGAACACAAAGGAGATCATCTCGGCTTCCAGCACAGTCCAGATGTTTCCAGGAAGACCCAACATCCTTACCCTGCTCAAGAAGGAGGTCGAGGAGCAGGTCGGAGCGATGTGCGTCACGGTATGCGGCCCTGGCTCGCTCGCTGATGACGTGCGACAAGCGGTCCGCAGCGTTCAGGACGAGAGCTCCGTAGTGGACTTTGTCGAGGAGAGCTTTACGTGGTAAACAGGAAGAAGAAGGGGGTCATGAGAGGATTTTACTCGGTCCTTTTTTTTTCCTCGACGCAATCCATATTCCAGATGATCGAAACATCGCGAACGAGGCCGCCATCGAATGGAATCCATGAGGCTACTAGGTATCCAGCCCCTGAAATGCACCCGCGCATCACAAGGGACCACAAGGGACCACCAGACCACGGCACTGGTTTATCTACCTTAGGAACAGTATACATAGAATAGCGTAAGTGGGAAGGGGGGGAGAGAGAGGTCTCTTTATTTTTGCATCCAATCCATAGCCGAGGCGTTAGGGGTGGCTGAAATTAAGGGCGGATTTTCCGTTCCCGTCCAAATACTAAGGTGGTCTTTTTTTCCTTCTTCGATAATAAAAAGAAGCTTATTGGGCTATATTATCTACATTGTATGATGAATAACCCTTAAGTAGTTTTTAAGATGTGCTTTCCAAACCTAATGCTTGAGTTGAGGCTAGACTAAGCTAGGCCAAGGCCATCGTGTACCTACATTAGTGAGCTGCATTTTTTTTAAATTAAAAAAAAAGAAAAAAAGGATAACGGTTGTTTATAGAAAAAAGGATGAGTCAGTCAATCATAATGAGAGACGGCCTCTCTCCCCCTCTCTCTCTCCCTCCCCGATCTTCGATCCCTTGTTCGAATTAAAAGTGCACCGATTTAATCACCGGTCAATTTATTTGCCAATAAGAAACTATTATTTTGTAAGCCTTGTTTGCTAGGTAGTAGTACCTCATGTATCTACGGTAGTATAATAGTAATAGATATTATATTATATCACAACATCTCTCTCATGTCATTGCTGGAGGATTATAGCATAGCATCGTATCGAGTTGTTGTTTACGTCTAAGTGGTTCAAATCTTTGGCGTGCATCGATGACTTTTATGGCCTAAGTGTATTAGGTACCTAATCTGAATACACCAGTGAACAGGGCCTGTTGTGTTCCACGAACACGGAAGCATAGGTACCCTAAGATCTCTTCCGATTGCCTCCTCTATAGAAGGAGGTACCACCTGCGCTGCTGTAGAAGGTACCTACTTGTTAGGTGGCGCAACGCAAAAGAAAAAAACGAAAGGGTCTAGGTAATTCCGTTACACAGGTTAAGTTAGGTACCTACGTAAAGTAGGTAGAAATGCAGCTACAGGGGTGAAAGGTCGCCAACTTGCGGGGTTACCTTGCATAAAGTGCATATTGATGGTACATAGAGGTAAAGAGGGAAAAAAAAAAAAAAAAAAAGAGAGAGAGAGAAGTCAAACCCCACCTTCTCTCAAAGAACTTGTACCTAGACTGGAGACTTTAGTTCCGCAGACGGCACTGACGAAATTTTTATTAAAGAACCTCTAGTAGCCGAAAAGTAGATAGATGAGTCTTGAATCTCGAATTTGAAATTCTGACTCATAAGAAGTGAACCCTTTTTCCCCTTCTCTTTAATTTGAGGGAGGAGAGATTATAAAAAAAGAAACTTCAGAAAAATAAACATTGTTACAAGTTACCCCTTCTTTCAACTTTAATTCGTTTTCTTGATAGTTATCGTGAATTACTACTTCCTTACCTTTTCCCTTCTCCGGTACCTTGGGACTTATTCGTAGTCAAGTCTTTTCCCCCGCGTTGCGCTGCCCACCACCACCAGTGGTCCCACCATCATCATGCCGATGTAAGTAGCACCAAAGACGCCCGACAATATAATATTAGGATTCCTTCCCCCCCTCGTCAGGGCCCCCAATCCCATAATCCAATGCTTCGAGGCTGAGACAAAGATTCGTCGCACAGGCTTAAAGACCCGTCTAAGAAATACAAGAAGTTCGCGCCTCTAAACCTTCCCAATCGCCAATGGCCCTCTAAGACGATCGACAAGGCCCCAAGATGGCTGGCAACCGACTTGAGAGATGGCAATCAGAGTCTGGTCGACCCAATGGTTTGCCTGCCGGTACTCCTGCTTCATACGAACATGATCTGACAGTATATTGTATAGAATGGTGACGAAAAATGGAGATTCTTCAAGATGTTAGTCGACCTTGGTTACAAGGAGATCGAAGTATCCTTCCCTTCTGCGTCGCAAACCGATTTCGACTTTACGAGGCGATTAGTCGAGACCCCCGGTGCCGTACCCGACGACGTCTGGCTGCAAGTATTAGCACCGTGCCGCGAAGACCTCATCCGCCGCACTGTCGACTCCCTTAAGGGCTCGAAGAAGGCTCTCCTACACATTTACCTCGCGACAAGCGAATGTTTCCGACGGATTGTGTTTGGATTCACTGAAGAAGAAAGCATCGAAAGGGCGGTAGCATGCACCAAGTATGCTCGCTCAATTACCAAAGATGACCCAGAACAAGCTGGTACGGAATGGGCTTTCGAGTTCAGCCCTGAGACCTTCTCAGACACTAGCCCAGAATTCGTCATCCGGATTTGCGAAGCTGTCAAGGCCGCATGGGAGCCCACAGTCGAGAACCCTATCATCTTCAATCTCCCGGCCACTGTCGAGATGGCGACGCCGAACGTCTACGCAGACCAAATCGAGTACTTCTGTACCAACATCAGCGAACGAGAGAAGATATGCGTCTCTTTACACCCGCATAACGATAGGGGTTGTGCCGTCGCTGCTGCCGAGTTGGCACAAATGGCGGGAGCTGACCGTGTAGAGGGATGTCTCTTCGGAAACGGTGAGCGGACGGGAAATGTCGACCTAGTCACATTAGCCTTGAACCTCTACACGCAAGGTATCCACCCCAATATCGACTTTTCTGATCTGAACCGCGTTGTCGACACAGTGGAGATTTGCAATAAGATCCCTGTCCACCCCAGGGCGCCGTATGGTGGATCTCTCGTTGTATGCGCCTTCAGTGGTTCCCACCAAGACGCCATTAAGAAGGGGTTTATGCAGCGGGAGCAGGAGGGCAAGTCATACGAGGACCACTGGCAGATGCCGTATCTTCCCCTCGACCCGCAGGATATTGGCCGCACATACGAAGCTATTATCCGTGTCAACTCGCAGAGCGGCAAGGGTGGAGCTGCCTGGATCATCCTGCGCAAGCTCCAGCTTGACCTTCCTCGAGGCCTTCAAATCGCATTCAGCAAGGTAGTGCAGAAGAGGGCAGACGAGTTAGGCAGAGAACTCCTGTCGGCTGAGATCACCGATCTCTTCGAGCGAACGTATTTCCTCCAGGAGCACCCTCGATTCAACATAATCGATTACTCCATCTCGTTTGATCGATCATCGTCCCCGGTTCCACCGGCGCCGGGTACCACACAAGACACTAAAAACCTGGCCCGTGTCTTCGAAGGTGTCGTCGCTATTGACGGCAGGGAATACCAGCTTCGGGGGCGTGGCAATGGTCCTATTTCGTCTCTGGCGAACGCTCTGAAAGGCATAGGCATTGATTTGGATGTTGCTGACTACAAAGAGCACGCTATAGGTGGCGGCCGAGAAGTCAAAGCAGCTACGTACATTGAATGTACGGCTTCTGGCACATCACAGAAAGTTTGGGGTGTTGGTATCCATGAAGATGTTGTGCAGAGCTCTCTTATAGCTCTCCTGAGCGCAGCTAGCAACGTAAGTGTTTTTAAATGGGCTGGTAAACCTAAATGTTGTCTAACAAACTCGTTCAAATAGTTCATCCTTAGTCGACCGGGAAGTCCCGTCCTGAATAAGCATGCGTCGCAGCCAAGCGTCAGCCAGGAGCTGAAGCTTGACTACAGCGCTCACATAAACGGGAATGGCAGTGCCCATGACGCCCCATCCGAAACGGTTCAGGTCTTAGAAGCTAAGGCAAATGGGATGTAAGTTGAGTAGTTTTGGTCGATGATCTCTACGGCATCGGGATATGGGAGAATTAAAAAAGAAGAAGAAAAAAAGCATATGGTCCATCAAACCGGCTTTTAAGTGTGTCTGCATTAAAACGAGGCGCTCGACTCAGGTTGAAGTTTGACACGCGGTCAAGCTTGTCATATTTGCATTTCATGTAAAAGGCATACATACGTGGGTGGGAGATGATGAATACAAAAAGTGAGGGAGCGTTGATTTAAAGGTAAAAGTGAATATATCTTAAAAGTTACCTCATATGTGAGAGATCTGCAACCACGATGATGGCGGACTCCTGCGGGCTGATTACATTTGTACCTTACTTATCCCCCACTTCCCCCCTTTTTTATATATAAAAAAGGATTGAGGTGTGGGAATTTTTAGTGAGCATTACTTATGGTACATACCTGTAATAGAGTAGGTACCTAGGGGCGTAGGGGTTCGAGCTTATGTGTACAGGCTGACAGGGTGGTTTATGGTCAGCAAGGGACGAACTTCCCGAACCCTTGACTGGGCACTCAGGTGGTTTCTGGGCGCTGGGATTGGGACAAGTGCGGGGAAGAGCTGCGGGAAGAACTGACAATCCGTATTCCGATTTCGCAAAGCATGTGAACTAAACTGTACCTAACCTAACCTACCTCCTAGGCTCATCTGCTCATGTAATAAACTGATTCAACGTTTTATGTAGGTACTTTACTTAACGCCACAAATGGTTCTATTGGCTTTTGGAAGATATGTAATTGAGTACGTTCAGTGGGAAGTATCGTGTGTAGTACTGGATACATCGTAGAAACTTTTAAATATACTTCCACTCTTTAAAGATGTACGAAGTAACAACTTGTAACTAAAAGTTTCTGGACACGTACATGCCTATACAAAGTATCTACCTAGGTAGGTAGCTAAAGTCAATGCCTACCTAGGTGCTCTCCACTTTGGCGAATTACATGCCCAATACCTATTCGATATAAGATTTTAAGGTGCAGGTGCGTTATGTATGTAGGTACTACCTTGTACATACGATAGGCCAAGAGAGGTTGAAAGGTACAGGTGGTAGGTACCTACTGTAGCTTACTTTACATGTATTGGGTGTATCTCCAATGCAGTAGGTATGACAGGTAATAAACATTTTCATGTATTGTACAATAGGTAGGCAGGTACATAGAGAAAGTGGCTCACCGTTGTTTCATTTCAACTGTGCACACCTCTTTTTTGGTTTACATAGCAACCTTTAAAACCTTGAACTTGGGGCATATTTCTCGAGAAAAGAATAGAAGATTCTGATTTTACTGACTCAATTTCGTTATGTACAATGGGTACCTTAGGTACCTAACACATACCTGTGTCCGATTCTGCACATTCATTCCCCTCTAGGCAGGCACATACAGTGTCCTACACATGTATTGTACCTTATTGGTGGCGTACCTACCTACACACAGTACCCAAGGTAACTATAGGTACCTACCTTATCACTTACCTAACCTACATGACCTTCCTTTCCTTTTTATTTCAAAGAACAAAACACAAAACGGTAAGGACGACGGGACATCATTCGCCCCTCTTTTACGCATTAGTGGGTTGTTCTATCAGATTCATGATTAAGGCATCCAGTTAGCCCAGACAACCTAGTTACTTTTGGGGGGGTTTGCAGACCGTTGCACGCCGTTACAGGTGTTGCCAGTCGTAAGTGTCAACAAAATAAATAAAAAAAGGGACCCGCTGCATCACTCCGCTTACCTCGTTAGGTTTGTTTAGGGAGCCAGAAAAAAAAAGGTCGCTACTGGTGCACTCCAACTGTCCACCGGCTGCTTCTTGCAATTCTGATCTTTTCGCCTTTTTCTTTCCCAAAAACTTTCCTTTCAACTCAACAACTTGACAATACCTCCTTCGCAGTCTCGGACTAGCCTTAATAGAACCTAAAGGGTTTTCTTCCGCTTTCCTTGACCCATTTTACACCGCTTATCAGCCTCATTTCGGCTTTTCAATCTTCTACCACTAACTGAAATACCCCCCCTTCATAAATTCTACGGGAACGACTAATACTAAACAACACCCCCCCTCCCCCAAAAAGACTGACTGACATCCAACAACTTGGAATCCACCTAAAAAAAAAAAATCAGAAGTAAAAGGCCAGTTACTCAGAAAAAAATGGCTGACAACAGTGATATCAACACTGTTCTCAGCAACTCGCTCTCACCAGGTATGTTATTTATATTTCCTAAATGCTGGTCTCTGATGGGTTGAGCGCCTCGCGTGCTTCTCGTACCTACACGTCATATCATATTTTTATTTTTGTTTTTTCCTTCTCGTTAAAATCGAACTATTTACTGATCCTCCACCCTTCTCTATATAGACGCGGCTACGCGAACTAGTGCCGAGCAACAGCTTACCCAAGCTGCCGAAAACAACTTTGTAAGTCTCTATCGTTGGTTAAATCGATGAGTTGATCGACCATATAGCTGACCTATCCTTTCTACTTTTATTTTAGCCCCTGTATCTCGCGACCCTAGTTCAATCATTGGCAGACGAGAATGCCCAGGGAAACATCAGAGTGGCTGCGGGTCTAGCCTTAAAGAACGCATTCAGTGCCCGCGAATTTTCCCGACAACATGAACTACAGATGAAATGGCTGCAACAGACGGATCAAGAGACCAAGACTCGTGTCAAGGAACTCGCCATCCAGACACTGACCTCCAGCAACGCGCAAGCTGGCCAAGCCTCTGCCCAGGTTATCGCCGCTATCGCCGCTATCGAACTACCTAGGAACCAATGGCCAGATCTTCTGCAGGTCTTGGTTCAAAATGTTAGCGCGGGTGCGCCTCATCAGAAGCAAGCTTCGTTGACCTGTATAGGGTACATCTGCGAAAGCCAGGATCCCGAGCTTCGAACTGCCCTAATCGGTCACTCCAATGCCATCCTTACCGCCGTCGTCCAAGGTGCGCGCAAGGAAGAGACAAACGCAGAAGTTCGTTTCTCTGCTATATCCGCACTTGGCGACTCTCTCGAATTCGTTGGCAACAACTTCAAGCACGAGGGCGAGAGGAACTACATCATGCAGGTTGTTTGCGAGGCCACCCAAGCCGACGATCCACGCATACAGCAGGGCGCCTTCGGCTGCCTCAACCGCATAATGGGTCTTTACTATGAGAACATGCGCTACTACATGGAGAAGGCCCTCTTTGGCCTAACGATCCTGGGCATGAAGAATGAGGATGAGGACGTGGCGAAGCTTGCTGTGGAATTCTGGAGTACTGTGTGTGAAGAGGAGATAAACATAGAAGAGGATAACGCGCAGGTATGTATTCCATAGTCCGTGTGGGGTTTGTGGCTGGCTGACAAAACTTGTGTAGGTCGATAGCGCCGATCAGATGCGCCCCTTCTATAACTTTGCCCGCGTTGCGACTGGCGAAGTTGTGCCTGCTTTGCTACAACTTCTCACAAAGCAAGATGAGGATGCCACGGATGATGAGTACAACTTGGCACGAGCTGCGTACCAATGTCTTCAGCTTTATGCCCAAGCCGTTGGGGCGAATATCATCCAGCCCGTCATTCAGTTTGTCGAGCAGCACCTTCGATCGGAGGACTGGCATTACCGGGAGGCTGCGGTGGCTGCTTTTGGAGCAATCATGGAAGGTCCCGAGGAGAAAGTCCTCGAACCTATCGTCAAGCAAGCCTTACCCATCCTGATTAGTATGATGGAGGACAGCTCTACTTTCGTCAAGGACTCGACTGCTTACGCCCTCGGCCGCATTACGGATGCTTGCTCGCAGGCTATTGATCCCAACACGCATTTAGACCCTCTGATTCGGTCTCTATTCGCCGGTGTACACGATGTTAAGATGTCAGCGTCTTGCTGTTGGGCTCTGATGAACTTGGCAGAACGTTTCTCTGGAGACTTCGACGCTCCTACCAACCCCATTACGCCTCACTTTAACCAGAGCGTTCAGAACCTTTTGGCCGTCACATCGCAACCTAACATAGAGACATCGGTTCGTACCACCTCTTACGAAGTCCTCAGCGCTTTCGTCCAGCATGCCGCGGCAGAGAGTTTCCCGGCTATTGCCCAGCTCTCCGACGTGATCATCAAGCGACTCGAAGAGACTATCCCCCTGCAGAACCAGGTTGTCAGCATAGAAGACAAGATTGCGTTGGAAGAGATGCAGACAAGCTTAAGCACTGTCCTACAGTCGATTATCCAGCGACTGGAGAAGGAGATCTCTCCTCAAGGAGACAGGATTATGCAGGTCTCGCTTCAGATCCTCAGCACGGCCGGAGCCAAGTCTAGTGTTCCCGAGTCGATCTTCGCCACGATCAGCGGGTTAGCGAACGCGATGGAAGAGGATTTCGTCAAGTACATGGATGCTTTCGCCCCGTTCTTGTATAACGCTCTTGGAAACCAGGAGGAACCCAGTCTCTGCTCTATGGCCATTGGGTTGGTCAGCGACATAACCCGATCCATGGGCGAGCGCAGCCAGCCGTACTGCGACAACTTCATGAACTATCTCTTGAACAATCTCAGGGTTTGTATTTTCTCATATTTTGCCCATTTCGCTTGAAATTTATATTTTATACATTTAATCATCTATTGAACGATACGTCTAACAAATCAGGTGCAGAGTACGACCCTCTCGAACCAGTTCAAGCCTGCCATCCTCCAATGCTTTGGCGACATTGCCAATGCTATCGGCGGACATTTCGAGACTTATCTTTCGGTCGTTGCCCAGGTCTTGCAACAGGCCGCAACCGTCACGGCGGCACCTGATGGTTCCTACGAACTTTACGACTATGTCATCTCCCTACGGGAAGGTATTATGGATGCCTGGGGTGGCATTATTGGTGCCATGAAGCAGAGCGGCAAGAGTGAGTTATTTCCTCGGGAGGTTTTATATATGCCAATACTAACAATTTCATAGCTGCAGCTTTACAACCCTATGTGCAGTCCATTTTCCAGCTGCTAAACATCATATCCCAAGATATGAACCGCAGCGAGTCTCTCATGCGGTCGTCTATGGGCGTTATTGGGTAAGTGCAAACGTAGCTTTCGTCTTGGGGTTTAGTACTGACCAGAAAAATTAGCGACCTTGCCGATGCATTCCCCAATGGCGAGCTTGCCGAAGCTTTCAGACAGGATTGGATTACTGCTATGATCAAGGAAACTAAGACGAACAGAGAGTTCCAGCCTCGTACGATCGAAACAGCCCGATGGGCCCGAGAGCAAGTTAAGCGACAACTAGGTGGCTCCCAGGCTATCATGCAACAAACTTGAGCTTCGACCTTGTAGTCGTCCGAGCTTACTGTCCACCCCATCCCACCCCATTCATCAATGTACTGCCACGCGTCACCACACTTGATCCTCCCGACGAACAAGCCCGACTCAGGTCTGGCCTTGTATACAAAGTTCGGAGGGGAACCCAGCATCACAATTTCCCTGCCCGAACCCCTGCACCAAATGAATCCCATGTGTATATAGAATCCCCATTCCCCTTTGCCCCTAGTAATCCAATACCCCTTGTTACCGAATTCACTATGGAAATTCCCCCCCTTGTCACAACACACACCTATCCCATACACCAACACATTTTGCTGAGTTTTCCTTCGGTTTGGACTGCAAAGCCATAACGGAGATATGTCTAGTCCCTTTTAGAGAGAAGATCACGTCATGTACGCCCCCTTACTACGGGTTTGGGGCCACGAAGTCATGTAAGGAAAGGCGAGGTGCGAAAGCAAAAGATAGAGAAAGAGAGGACGTTGTTATGTCATGCGAAGGGCATTGAGGCCTAGCACAACTCCGCCGAGGCATTTTTCTAGTCTAATTCAAGTGAATAGACATGTTAGGAAAAGGCCTGATTGGAAGTTCTACCGGCGGCGTCGAGGGATTCGGGGCCTGTTTGATTAGGACACGATGTCCTACTCGATCCCATCACCCCACGGAGGCCCGCACAAGATTTACGAAGGGAGATTAAGCTTTTCGTCACGCCGGCCCAGGCGGGCGAGCATCGTGGCAGGGTTTAAAAGGTCGGTTTCGTCACCGATACAACCGGACTGGACTGGACTGGACTTTAAGTCTGGCTTCGAGACTCGCTCGCTTCATATTATCCCCACCCCCAAACCGCGAAGAGAGTTTGCGATGAGCATAACATGACATGACTCAATAGTGGTAGTACTGTGCTAATATCTAACCAATAAAGCCTGTTTCTACCCATGTGGCTGTTGTTGAACTGATTTGATTTGATTTGATTTGAATGAATGAAAGTAATTGTGACTGTGGTTTAGGCCTTGAAATGCTCAAGATGTGGTTGTGTATAGCGTCAAGATCATGTAAAATGGTGGCGGCAGGTGGCGGTATTACTGGATGTGGTTCTTAATACAGTGGTTGTCCAGACGTCTAGTCGATGCGAATATTGCTCCTGTGTGGGTTCACTTAGGCTGGGTACTTTAGGTAAGGTTATGAATAATTCTTTTCCCAAAATCCATCCTAGTTAGAGGTACCTACCCATACATCCCTCTCCTACATATGACATACATATAGTATTGAGTAGAAGTATACCTAACGTATTCCTATCCCATTTTCCTTCCCAAGTCAAATCCAAATCCGTCGCGCAAACAAACTCCCGTCAACGGTTACATACAGCATGGGTATAGGAGGTATATATGTATAAAAGAGCTCATAGCCAAATTCGCCATATCAAATCATATCATATAATATTGGCACTTTATAGGGCACACCCCCTGGATCATGACCATATCTATGCGGTAAGGGGATGTCGGTATGTGTTAAGTAGAGCCTATCCTAAGGCTGGCGAAGATAACTAGGAATATCGTACGCGCTGTACACGAGGTTGGCAGGATCCGTTGGGGGCCAGTGCCCCCCAGCACCGTCCACGAGCATCTGTAGGTTACTATCGAAACCATCGTTAAGGATCGTAGTCGGTGGATATTCGTGGTAATAGGCATCAGGTTGGTGTTGGTAAGGATCCATTGTCGTAGGCGTCGGCTCAGGCATTTGATGAGATGCTTCAGCAAGCATCTCAAGTCCAGAACCTGTATATATTTGTTGGGCGTAATTCTGCGGGTGCAATGGTTGCGGTGAAGCTGATTGTTGAAGTGTTCCGTATGGCGCCTGCGATAAGGGTGGGAGGTATACTGTCTGTGCAAAACCAGGCGGTGTCTGCTGTAACGGCGCTAGTCGCTGAGGTTCTGGGTCTTCCCGGAATTGCTCTCGTTCGTCTGCGTATGGCGTTGGCGGCGTGGAGCGTATCCGACCAAGCCGAGCAGATTCGGACTGAGCGTAGCTCGTCGTTGTGCGAGGATGCATAACAGTAAGAGCATAAGGTTGAGGTTCTTTCTGTAGTTTAAGTTAGCTAACCCCTATATATTCTTACCTAGTTCATACTACTTACGCCATCGGTCATAGTGCCGATTTTAAATGATAAGTTCTTGGGATTTGGGTCGCTGTACCATTTCTCCAAACCGTTACACCAGGTCTCCGCAAGTGGCCAGGCTTTCTGGCATTCTCTTAGGATGGTGACAATGTGAGTATACATAACGCGACCTTCCGCTTGTATGCTGTCAATACTTTGTCCTGCGTGGTGTATATCCACTGACCATACTTAGTATATGACGTCCTTGATTGTCGCTTTACTTAGGTATATAAAAAAGACCGTGATCTTACATTGAGGGAATTTGCACAGATAGGATGCTAGTAATCCACAGCCATAAATAATGAAACCCTGGGAGATGTAAGTAAATACCGGGTTTCAGGGACTATCATTTTCACTTACAGCCATTTGAGAGCCAACTCTCTTTACTTCGACCCCGGGTTCATAATGAGCTTCGATCTGAGAATACAACTTTCTGACGTTGAAGAATAGTTCCCGTGCCATTTTCTTGTAAAACGCGAAATCACGATGAGCAGGATTTCCTTGAGCATGGCGAATCATACTAATTCTCATGTTAACCTAATCCAAGAGTCGATAGTACCAACTTACTCTTCCATATATTCTTTGCGAAGAACGATATGGCATAGCCGGAGACAACCAGTCATTCCAAGATAAGCCTAATAGCAATGTTACTAATTAATTCGTAATAAGAAGGGAGAACCGTGTCCGTACCAAATCTTCTGCGAGGCTTTTGTAGTCACTCAACAGAATTTTATCAAAAGCGTGTTCATTCGGGAGACCTTGTTCGAAGTCCAGGAGCTTTCGATTCAACTTGGCGTATTCACTAGAGCTGTCGTTTGGACGTCTAGATTTTCTGTTGTGGAGAAGTCGTCGAGCAATGATTCCCCATAAGTTGTGAACTTGCATTAGTGATGCGAATAGGGACCTTGGCTTAAGTGTGATAAGGCTGGGATCTTGGAGGGCGGGTGGCGTGCCATCGAGAGCTGCACGCTGCTTGGGAATTTTACCCGTGTCAAATTCCGCTTCATCGCTGGGAAGAAGGGCCGTGATGTCGCTGGGGTCAAGGGATAACGGCTTATATGGACCGGAATGAAGATTATCTTGGCCTAACTATCCGGTTAGAGGCAGGGAAATGTCGGTATTTGGATTTGACATACTATGTAACATCCACTATAGGCTCAGGAGATATCCGTTAGATTAGCCACTAAATCAGGTAGTCTGAAATATATCCAAGATAAAATGCTGTCATGTCATATTGGGATAGTTCAGGGCCGTTGACTCACGAATGTGCGTCTGGCGGACTCTGCCCTAATTCGGTGCGCCAAAGGCGATTGTTCTGTGATGGGATTATACGCCTCCTCTCGATGGAGTCGCATCAGCGCAGCCATCCTGAAAGCAATACCTGCGCTGATCTTCTAAAGGTTAGAATCAACACGTCTTCTAACTATTTGCCCAGAGTCAGCTTACGTAGCTTGTATTTGATTTCCCGCTTCCTTGCTCGGCAATGCTTAGCACGTAAAACGCCTGGCATCTTTCAAGAGTAGGCTGCTTATATAGCTCATGAACTGCTAAGCATTGCGCCCTGCGCATAAACTCGGTTACCGCTGAGAGGCCGTTACCGTAGGTATCTATCATAGTCTTATTGAACCTAGCAGAAATAGCAAGAATGCTTAGCAGTAGAAATACGTTGACGGATGAAGGGCTTTCCTTGACGAGTTTGGGAAACATCTTCTTCGGGATGAAACCTAGTTGGAAATAATTCCTAGTGAATGTATTGATACCATCCACGACGGTATCAACCTCTGGCAATAGTTCCCACTCATTGTCCGGTTTGGGGGGTTTGTAATCTGCAAGTGAATTCCGAGGGGGACTAGGCAAAGCCGATGGTTCATTCTTGACTTTGGCATTGCCTCTAGTTTTCTTATCGACTCTCTGACGTGGATGTCTAAACTGCCGATCTTGATCTGAGTCTCCGCGGGTAGGAAAGACGCTGGGATTATATGTAAGTTTGAATATCTACATAGCGTATACATGGGGGAAGGAGGACGGGAATGCGGGATAGGACTACCATTGTTCAGGCACATTCGCTTCCATACAGGACTTGCACGGGGGTTCCTTGTTATGAATGCACTTGCTTCGCATCCGGCGGCATCTAATAAGGAACTGAGTTTTAGCGATAATGTCACTTATCTCCAAGGGTATCTCTCTCTAAGATCGATGTACGGTACCTTCGGCATGCGATGGGAGCTCGCCGCTTGATCGGCGGGGCATTTTTCGGATCAGAATTGGCGGCTCCAGTAGGTGTAGTCGGTTGCGGAGACGATGAAGTAGGTTTAACCTCGGAATCCGGTACCATGGCCATTACGGATTCTTGGTGAGACGGGGGGGGGGGGGGGGCCGGTTAGCGTCTTGGACAGGCCGAATCTAAAGTCGCACAATAGCCCCAAATTTACCTAGGAATCGGGACCGGCGATGTAACTAATAACAGGTAGTTGTATCCATCCCAAAGGAAAAAGCAGCCACGGCGTTAGCGGTTAGCTTAGTTCTACCTACCTTAGGTAGTCTTATAAAGTCTTTGTTGTCCGACCCGATGCTTTGGTTGTGGTGGATTATATATTAATTATATTACTCAATTGGATAAGTGTTGAAAAATCGAGGGTTGTAATACCTTTACAACGGTAGTTGGGTAAGACAGGTCTATCTTCGTATCACGTCGTATTCGATTAAAAAGTTGGAAACCATATAGAAAAGATAAAAAAAGAGTTGATTTTCGGCGGTAAAATGACGATAGAAGATGGCTGGTTCGCAGAGCCTTATGGGGATGGGATTATCAAACAACCCCCCCCAGTCGATCTCTTGGTATAGACGAGGAGAAGCATTCGAAGGTAAAAAGGCATCTGTGATACCACCTTCATCTAACTGTCCTAACCTAGCTCAGCCTAGGCCTAGCTCCTTGAAGATACGTAAGCGAGGCCGGGTAAGGCCAGCGTTGCAACGCGGTGGTTCAGTCCCGTGCGGTGGGAAAAGGAATGGGAAAGGAGGTTCGGGAGAGAGAGAGAGAGGGAGAGATACCTGAAGCTGAAGAAAAGGGTGGATTACTATGTATTCATGTGTACTTCGTACTTGGGGAATTATACTCTACGTACCTATGTACCTACCTACCTACCTATATACATCACCTGCAATGCCTAGTAGGTATCTCCGATGGAAGGTATGTCCTTTGTATGCAAAGGTAAAACGCTTTTGACTTTCCATGGATCCGACAAACGTAGCTCGCGGTTGCTTAAGTAGGTACCTTAGGTATGTATGTTATATGCAAGGCAAGTGCATGTGTTATACCATTTGTCATAGGCTGTATTGCACAGATGCAAATACCTATAAAAATCCAGCACTGGACGGTGGGACAGGCTTATTAGGTAGGTACCTAAGGTAGGACGTATTAATAAACCACATTATGTTAGGTACCTGATATTCTGGTGGCCCCAGGCTGATGATCAATGCTACGCTATCAAAGCACAAAAACCCCCTTCAATTGCACAAGTACTAGCCATAACTTGCTTTGAGATAACTATATTCACCTAGCATAAGGCTTAATCAGACTGTTACTCTAGGCGAGGGATAGATAAATATAAGGTACCTAACGTAAATTTCAAGTTCGTTGGACCTGATATACGCATATACTAGTTAGACATCGTGGCTCGAGGTCAACACATATTCTTCATACTGGAACAGTTAAATAGGTATCTACTTCGTACTTGGAAGAAATAATGGTGGATACTCATTAGATATCAAACATTAGGACTTATCATGCAATAGCATATCAGCGCAATATATATTGCTAACCATCATATTATAAAACTTGAATGTCGGGTCCTCTTTGCGTCGTCTCCGTAGACTATGCTCGACCCAAAGCACCACGAGCCCCTCTTCCTGGAGCTGGTGGTATCACATCCATGTGGTGGCAACTTTGAAGCCCCGATTCCAACCCCTTATCCAAAGTTCCTTGAAGCGAATTTTTCCCCCGAGCCTGGAAGCTCTAGTCTACTCGTACTCGCTCGATGCAGACAAAAACAAGTCAACCCTCCAGAAAAACGCCATCCCGCTAAATGCACCAATGCTAGCCAGTACCGCAGCCTATTTTCCTTGGGCCACCACCCTCAGCTGACTCTAATGACAGGTAATGTAAGTATTATACACAAGGGTCCAAGGCCTAGCGCTGAGAAATATGTACGCGCGAAACTGATGCCATGTCTGAAGAATGAATTTTTTAAGCGTGACAAAAGAAAATGAGATATTAGGTTAATAATAATTGCTGCGTCGAAAATCATTCAGGCGCTTCTTTTCCGGAAGGGTCCGGTATTGTAAGTGAAAGCTGTTGGCTTTTTTCCACATCTAGGTCCGTAAGCTCCAGGTGTTCAATCGAGTCTCCAGCGCTGCCAGCACCCTGGTCTTCAGAATTGATGGCCTGTTCCGGCTTTTTATCATCTTGATCCAGTTCGGATGGCTTCGGAGTCGACTCGGATTCGTCGGGCGTGACAATTGTTATGGCCTCGGTCTTGCTTTCATCAACCGAAGTCCTGTTCACATCCTCACTATTTCGAGTGGACGGGTTTTCGACGCTGCTGGAATGCACGTGGCTAATAACCGGGACAACGCCGCCTCCTATGCGGCACCAGAACATTTGGTCCCTCAGTCGAACACTCTCTTCCCACGCAGCCCGTTCCGACTCTGCATCCTCCGCACGCCAATGCCCGTCTTTCACCATACGTAAGAAACCAAGGAAATCGCAAGTTGACCTCACACGGTCAAGGCAGTATTTGCAAAGAGGATATCGTTGGGCAGAATCCGACTCACTCGTCCGGAAACGATGATTTCGCAGGTGCGGCTCGTCCTTACGAGACTCGCCACAAAGCGAGCAGGGATAAAATTGGGGTTTACTGATAGATTGGAATGGGGAATTTGTAGGAACTGGTTCTACAACCAGAGTTCCCTCGGTCATAGCGCTGATAACCGACCGACGCGCAAGCCAGGAAAGGCCCGGTGCCATGTCAAGGCGCAAAGTGGGCTCAATATCCTCAGCTAGGGCCCTCTTGTAAAATTTGGTATCCTTCAGGGGTGGTAAAGGGGCAGAAGAGGCCGCCGACCCTGCGCTAAGGACCGAGGCGGGAGTGTTCGGTGTTTGCGGAGAAGCGTTAGAGCTTGGCGCCTCAAAGGTAGATAAAGAGGCCGTTGACGAATTTGACGGGGCTGAGGCATGCCTAGAAGTAAGCCCGAGAAGAGGATTCAGTCCACTATAGGATCCAGATGAGGCACGACTATCAGACGCTCTCTTCGACGTCTGTATTAATGCCATAAAATCATCGTAGGCATGTAAATCGGTTCTTAATACCGGGTGTATAAGATGTGGGAGATTTGTCGGGTATGTAGGGACGAGTTGTTCTGCGACCGAGTGTGGGCCGCCTTCGGATATTTGAGTATCGTCGTCCCTCGATTCGAACTTGCTAAATCCAGGAGATGAAGGTGCGGTTCCACTATGATCATCACGCTCGATTGTCATTTGCTCCATGACAAGTTTGAGCTCTGCTAGCTGTTCTTGCTGCGACCTCAAAAGGCTTTCGGTATCTGCTAGCTGCGCCTTTAATTGTTCGTTTTTCCGGCGAAGGGCATCCTGCTCTCTCTTAGCATCCTCTTTAGCTGTAATAACCATCCTGTTAGCTTCCTCGAATAAAGAAACAGTCAATGTTTCCAGCTCCTGTTCGATTTTCTTTTTATCCTTCTCAACTTCAGCTCGCAGTCTCTTCTCTTCGACAATGCGCGCGAGTAATTTATTCTTTTCGTTTTCGACATTTTTACGTTTAACCCAAACATCTCCAGTTAGCATTTCTTGCTGTCGCGCTACGAGCGCCTCCAATTCCCTGACTCGTTCTCGGGAGGTCTCTAACTCCTGCCTTGTTGCCGAAAGAGTGTCGTCGAGACTAGTTTGGTGATTAATTGCGTTAATGAGCTTGGTACTTAATGTGGCGACTTCCTGGTCCAGATCGGGGTGAAGATTACTACTTGCAATAGACCCGGCGCGCGTTCGAGGGTCGGGTATAGTGCTATGGTCCTGATCCTCCATGAGGGAGCTTTGCGACGCCATCCTCCTTGGTTCGGGCACAAGAAGAGAATTTGGATGGTCCGGTGGCACCATCATTTCGGCAGCTATGTTCGATGAAGACTGGGATTTAGCCGGAGATCTCGACCGAGAGAAAGCCGACGGAGACATGCTCGAGAGCGATCGAAGATGGCCAAAGGTACGCTGCGGACCGGGGCTTTGGCTCCGGTGCTGCGACCAGGCGGCGACATGGACGAAGCTGAACCAAATCATATATTAGTATCGCATATAGGGTTAGGTTATGGATCTAGTATAATAGGTTGCGAGTGATCGCAGTAGAATAATTTGGAAATAACTGGTGGTCTAGAGCTTTGCGATTCGAATGGAAGTAGGCGCGGCGGAAAGCGAATAGAACTTACGACTCCAGCTTGACGACTGGGGGACCAGGAGGTCCAGAAAACGCCGCAGGCCTCTAATATGATTTATGGAACGAATAAATATTAAAGCGATAATGGCGGAATAATAAGATTGATTTCGAAGATTTAAGATAGGATTCCGAAGGTAAAAGAAGTGTTCATGGAGCCGATATCGTGCTATTATTGGGGTTATGGTGAGACCTATGTCGTAGAACCTAAGACCAGCTGACCGTCGAGCAAAGAGTTAGGATGTACAAGGTATATGCGTAGATACGTAGTTGAGACCTCTGGAACTTCTTTAATCAGTACGAGTGTCTCGAAGTCTCGGCGAAGTCTCACAGGTCGCGAAAGCGAAAACGAAAGGTATTAATCCAGCTAGACACTCCACGCTGGGCTGCTTGTAAGCTGGTGGTATAGAAGAGAAAAGAAAGCCTCTCGGTAGATTCGGCGAGGCAGTAAATGAGTAGAGGGAATTCAAGATTAGCGTTTAGGGCGATTGAGGAGCATACAAGTTTCCCATGTGCTTGCTGGTGGCAGCTGCGGAGATGGTAGGAATCAATGACAGGCCTAGGCTGGGCGCTTGCGAAAAGCACCCAACTGGCTTATCCATGTTAAGTGGACAAGGGGCTACCACCAGCCTAAAGCAGAACCAAGGTGGCGGCCGTTATTTGCCCAGGCCCCAGGGGGGGTACGGTACCCAAGTAAATGGAAGGAAGTAGGTAACTGTACAAGTATGAAGGAAACTGTACATACCTTTTGGGAGGGTAAGGTTGTCGCCGCGATCGTACGTAAGAGAAGGTTTAGAAGTAGGCTCTTTATGTAAGTGTAAAAATGGTTCGTTTTTCTTTTTCTTTTTTTTCCCTTTGTTCGCGATATAGTAAAATAAAGCTCTAACACCCCTCTGTGGAATCAAATAAGAGGGTCTCCGATTAAATAACCAGCAAAAGAAAAATAGCTAAAAAGGGTCTATCAAATAAGTTGAGGAAAAAAACACAGCTAAGCAATCTAGGACCAGCGCTAGATGCGGGCTGCGAGATTCGTTTCGTTGGTGTTGTGTTGATGGTACAGGTGATTGGGACGCGTGGTGGTAGCTGTGATGGTAGCTGTGGTGGTAGTTGTGGTGGAATGACTGACTTTTAACGAGCGCAATTTTTGAATTAGGAAGATGGAATTATTAGGATAACTAAGAGGTAAGTAAGTATATGTGGTACAGATGATAAAGTTAAATTGTACAAATGGTAGTAAGTGGTAGGCTTACTGCTGCTGCGGCCGCCACCACCTTACTAGGTCGACCTTTAGTAAGACCTTGAAAAGATCAAGCGAACGAATATTAGGAAGTTGTAATTGAACTCCTGGAAAATCGTTTGTTAAGTTAGGTAGGTGCGCATTGAGCAAGCGGAACAACTTATCGGAACGGATAGTGCATGTGCGAATTGCGCGTGCTTACCCTGTTCTTACCCTGTTACCTACCTCGCGGCCCTCGCGCCTGGTGGAGAGAAAAACTGGAATACGTAGTAGCTAAATTATGCACGTTATCAAAAGAATAAAAATCGATATAATGCAAAACTATGTCGTCATGAGCAATTATACCTTGTACCTTACATGTATGTATTGCTGCCCATACACGAAGTACGTACTACCTAGTCTAATTTTCTTATTGGAAAAAAAAAAAAAGAAAAAAAAAGGGTTCAATTGGATTTATGACGAAACCTTGTTTTTTCACTTTTACCCCATCGTCGTCATCGTCGTCCCAAAGGGTCTTGGGTTTTGTTTACTTGCAAGGTTTCGTCAAATACACAGTAATCGCAAACGTGGATCGCCGTACAGTTTGAATCCCGCTACTACACGTTGACGCAGTGATCTTTGCTGGCGAAAATCACCGCAGATAATCGACATCTACACAGTGTATGGGAATCTCACCGTGGCGCGGCCGATTCAACAGGGCACACGGCGTTTTTACTGACTCGGCAGGCTCCGTTCTAAGAAGAACAAAGACCCTTAGCCAAACAGAGTCAGAAATATGTGCTCTCTTTCCACCCGAGCGGATCTTTTCCAGGACCGTCCAGAAGCTAATCGGCCCCCTCACCCACAGTAGGCTTAGAGCTTCAGATCAGAGCCCTTTCAGTAGAGGAGTCTGGGACGCATGCGGGTTGGGTTTCGGAATCAAGGGAGAGATCTCTGGGATTTTCCATCGTATCGACCCCTGTCGCGTTTCTTCAGCGCTTACCACTTTTTCAACCTTTTACGCTACAAATTCGGCCCTCGTCCGATACTCCTCACTTCGTGTTCCCACCTCCACGCCGCTGGCCGTTCAATTTTACATATTGAGAATGACAAATACGACTAGAATCGGCTGTAGATGAGGGGCACGATGAGACCATCAGCCATGTGCTTTCGATACGACAAATTTAGCGAGGCAGCCTTATCAGCTTGGCCTCCTCTTGCAGGTGACACTTACTGTAAGCTTCCACTCGCAACCGATCTTCCAGAGATAGACGTAGAAGTAGAGGTACCTCGCAAATGTTTGCGGTACCTACGAACCTAACCGGCCTGGCAGCAATCACCCGGGGCCGCGGGTTCTCCAGTAGCTCTACCACCCTTCATGACAACCGGGCGAGCCTCGAATCGAGCTTCGAGCTAGAGAGATCTGGCCAAAAGGCGCATGATTCTGGCCCGGTTATGAAGCATCTTTATCCGCCTGATCGCTAGGTGCGTCTGTGCGTTCCCTTGAATTGTGCATCTTCATGTAAGAATATTTGTCCCTCCAAGTTACCTACTACAACGGCCCCCATCGTCCAATCATCCGTGCAAGTCAGACGGGACGTTGGGTAGTAGCCCGCTGCACGCAATCAGTTTTATCACTCAGGCACCACGACAGGAGAGGCTATCCGCCAACACTCTGTCTCACTATGAAATAGCCAATAGCTATGAACTAACCCCATGGGACCACTGGCAATCTATGCCGTGCCTGAGTACAACTCTTGTTCTGCTTCTTCTTCCATAAGCGTGTTTACATCTTGTCAAATGACATTATCCATGATCCATCCGGTCTGCAGAGAGGACCGTGCGAGTATGGAGTGGGTAGCATTCCGCTCCCATGTGCTGAGGCGTTTCAAGACCATATCTATTTCCGGATCATCTGAGACTGACATACGCTATTTTCCCCATATTATCATCCGCATTCCATTCTTCAAGGCTATAGCAAACTAATAATGGAAGCAAGGTTCTATTCCGTTCGCAGTCCTAACCATCAGCCACCGGCATCGTCTGGTCTGTAGCACTCATTTTTACATATGTCGCCTACCGCGTCGGCCCTCCCTTTTGTATCATCCTAAACCAAACAAGACAAACCACCCAACTTGTTAGTGCAAACGCATCAGTCCAACGTCCCACCAGGGGCAACGTCACCCGGCTATCTGCACCTAATTAGCTTCACTTCTGGGTTTTCTTCTTTTTTTATCGCGTGGGTTCCCAGATCCGCTCGTCCTGTTCCTGCGTCTAATCAGCTAGGAATAGAAACCTAATCTAGCCCGCTGCTTCGGGAGCCAGATCGTTGGGGTGGTCTGCCGGTTTAGCGGTGTAGGCAGGATGCACGTCGTAACCTACATCGAATGCCGTGCATCAATGCTGGTACTAGACGCGTAAAACATGTCATAAAATTCAATCCGATCGAACATAACAAGCTGGTTTAACTAACTCTACATATATTATGTAGGTACGTATGTATGCAGAAGTCGCCTGTGAGGAACATGTTTGTATATACCTGTGTGTTCCAGTTCATATCGCCCCCAATGAACCACGGAAGTTCTTAACGCAAGGGTCCATTTGTGCTACTTCGTGTCCGGATAGTTACTGGAGGTTAATATATTACTTTATCTCTACATGTCGAAGTCGCCGGGGTAGCTACGAAGAAACGGGTTCCGATGAATATCTACTTCCGCAGAAAATCCACGAATGTTGAGCCATCATACGCTGTTAGATGAGCCGTAGCTCAAAACGAAATAATCTCTCGGCGTGCTTCGACGCCGCTCCCATGGAGGTTCTCTTCCTGAGAAGACACCTTGACCATGATAAACCGTGCCGTGTCTGCCATGAGTATCGTAGACTAGAAAAGGCACGCCATATAATTCGAGAATATCATCTAATCTATCCAATCCTATCCCCGTTGTCATATAGATACGTATACTACCTGGGGCCGAGGGCGGGAAGTATTTAAAGACATAGACTCATTTCTCGTTGAGGCGGTTATAATACCTATGGACGCTACGTTTCGGCAATCCCTCTTTTGAAATAGACTGTATCACAAGAGACGGGTGCGCCTCCACCGTTAGGGAAGATATTAGGTTGCTTTGGTAGTAGTTCTCACGTCGATGATCGTGGTATATATAAGTTGTAACGGCTTGTCTAAGTATTTAGAGACGTTCTAGAAAGAAACACTTCGGAAGATAAAATGTATTCGCGGCTTCTTCTTGATGAACCCGAGTATTTGGCTCTTGCAACAAAGCGAAGAGCATGAAGCTAAATAAGCGGAATCCCTTCGCTACCGGGCAGTTCCAACGACACCTTCGTAGATCACACCCCCCGCGCGGTTCTTCTCCCGTTTAATTTCCGCCTCTTCGAGCGGGAGAAGGGGTCCATTCCCGAGCACAAATCGCCGATGCCATGCGCCGGCAAACAGGCCGTCCGGGTCTACTCTTTCCCTAACCTTTCGCCATTGACTCAGGTTGCTTCCGTACATGCTTTCGATGTCCGCACCGTCTGTCTCGAAGTTCTTCGCCCAGTGTGGTCGCCCACCTAGATCTCGCATCAGCCACTCGAAAGCCTCGTAGTAGCGAGCCTGGCACGGCGGATCGCTGTAGTATGGCCTATAGAGAGTGGCATTGAGATAGAGCGTTGGACTGTCCTCAATAGTCGGGTCGAGGTACGGCCTGCTGTTTGGAATCAAGGACTTCGGGTTAGAGGGCGATGTATTTGACACTCGCACTTCGACGGGTGCGTGCACGTAGAGTCCCTTGGCTGAGAAAGGGATGTTGTGGGGTACGTAGTCGGGATCTGAAGGGGGGAGTTGATTGAGCCAGCTGCTTAGCCGTCGAAGGGCCTCGGGACCCTTATGAAGAGGGATGGCCCACTCATTTACAAACTGCGAATATAGGCAGTTCATCAACAGTGCCTTACGGCTCGGTTGGACGGCACCGCTGGTTGTGCCGTTCCGGAAGCCGTACTGCATGCCGAAAACAAACCACTCGACCCATGGGAGAACCCTGGGGAAAAACTGCGAGACGTAGAGCAAGTTGTGGTAGACGTAGTAGCCGAAAGTGTTATCATAGTACGATACTTTCGGATCTATCAGCGGCTCATCTGTCTTCTCCGCAGTCCATACCACAGCACGTCGAGTATAAGGATACCACCAAACTCGGACGAATTCGGTTTGTGTCCAGAGATCCTCTTCCCACGCATTAAGCATCTTAAGATCGGTATCAATAACCTGCTTCCACCGCAGCGTGAATTCAGGTACGGCTCGGAAGGTGACTTCGGTTATAATACCAAGTGCGCCTAAAGAAAGGAGGGATGCCCGAAACAACTCGGGGTCATCCTCCGAAGAGCAAAACCTAGTGGTGCCGTCTGCAACCGTTACACGTAAAGAGAGGATGTCTTCAGACATCAAGCCGTGCTTGAGACTCGACCCATGAGTACCTGTAGAAATGGCACCGGCGATGGACTGCTGGTTAATGCTGCCAAGGTTCGGCATGGCAAGGCCATACTTCTCAAGCTCTTCGCAAAGCGCATATAATCGTATGCCGGACTGCATGACCACGACGCCGGTATCCGTATCTACAGACAATATACGACTATACTTGTCGAGATTTACCAGCCATGACGAAGTGCAGGTTAGCGAGCTCGGGGAATGGCCACAACCGGTAGTGGTGATGCGACGACGGCATTTGTGCGCAAGTCTCACGATCTTCTCAATCTCGGGAAGCGTCTCGGGTTGGAAGTAGAGTTCCGGCCGCGACAGGAAAGTCTTTGCCCAAGTACTGTGAACATGATTTTCCTTGGCGCGGAAGGGAATGCCATCAGTGCTCTTAGCGAGCTCAGAGGCGACGAGAGGATCCATCGCAGGAGATCCCACGTCGGCTATATATTATATTATTAACGTAATAAATGGATAGCCGATTTTGATTTAAATTCGTGTGTAAATTCTGGTAAATTCTGCTCTGGTGGGAACATCAATCTAAGGGATTTTCAGGGTCTTCATGTGGGTCGATGAGCCAAGATATCGTGTGTTTGTTGTACATTCAACTTTATCTCTTGATTCACCGCAACCGGGGGTATAGCCTATAGGTTTAGGTTTAGGTACCTCGATTATAAAGCAAAAAAAAAGGCTAAGAGTACCTCCTAACCTAAGGTACCTGGTATTCGCGTCTAGAACGCTTCCTAACTTGAGGTGTTAGTCGCGTCTTGGCAAATGCAGTCTTAAATGTTCGTCATCACCGAGGCGTGTGATTGGTTTATCTGGATAACATTGATGGCCATATTATAACCATTGGATATTAGCTCGAAATGCCTCATGTACGTACGGTATTACCTGAACGGCACTTGTTCATACCTAGGTAGGTAGATATGTGTTAAGGGCTAGAATATGCTTCAATCGAAGTCTTTTATTGTACGAGGATCCTTTATCTGATCTCGGGAATACCCGATCGAAAAGAAACCCTAGATTCAAATCTTAACTTTCAAGGTATAACGCAACAATGCGTTTATGTTATATATTACTGGTTTTTTTTCCGTTCATAAAAAGGACGACAAATAACGAAATCAACCATATAAATTAATTCGAATAAGCTGTAAGCGCGTAGCAATATTTGGCTATGTTGGTTGTGATAAGTATGATAAGAAGTTATGGTTCGAGTTCTAGACATAACGTTAGTTGATATTACTTATAGCCAGGGAAGCACCTCTTCCTTGTAACGGGCAAAATGTTCACACTCCAGTATAGAAATCCGGGGATATGTATAGCTGTGCAAGTACCTATATGGGAGAAAGGCGTGTAAGCCAACATGACCTAGGTTAGATAGTTAACAATAAGGTACTTAAGCGGGAGGGCAAACATAAAGTCTTAACACACAACCTCCTTGCTCTATTTAGAATTCACTTAATATAACTAGGGGTGCGGGTAGGAAGGTAAGGTAATAAAATAAATATTTACATAAAATATAAGCCGTAATGGTTAATGAAGGTGTGCAAACGGCTAGGTATGAATGTGATACATAATAATGCATCCGAATTACTTCTATTGAGCCTCATGAACAAGGGGTGTTTTGGGAATCTTTTAACAGCCCTACGGCTTCCTCGAAAATACATACAGGTGCCTACATACACGTACCAGGTAGGTATTAATGCAATGCAACGTGTATACCAAACCTAGGACCTAGGCAGATACGTTGGGTTAGGTACCTCATAGGGCGCGGACGCTACTGAAGTAGCAGCCATACAGATGCCCTGACGTCCCTAACTGTTCTATGCAAGTCCAACGCGACTTCCTCCACGAAACATGATCTAAATTTCTAAGAATTGGAAGGTGGACGTGGTGTGTACCTTATATTTTCCTGAAAAATAAAAATAAAAAATAAAAAATTCTACAACCGACAACTCAAAAACAACTCAGTGTCCCCATTACCTAACTCTCTTCTTCACCCTCTTTCACCCCGAAAATCACCCTCAGCATCGTTACGATCCCCAAGAATTCTTACTCGTTAAGAATAGATGAACATTAACGGTGTTGGGGTCTTATTGGCCTATTGTATAACCGATAATAAGGCTATAATTTCCCCTTCGCATCGATTAGATACGAATCGCGTAACGCGTCAACCCCCTTAGTCCCCCTTTTACGATGTTTTACAGCCACGAGAGTAAGTCATATACTCTTATCAAACTTGTATATCTACTAGGTATATACCTATCACTTACACCGTGTTCCAGTTCTCACAAGTCGCCAATATGGCGTTGCGACCATATGGTAAGTAGTTCTCGTTTCAAGTACCCTTTCTCACAGTCTATCGTCCGCTGGACAAGTAAACGATTTGTTGACTCGACTGACGTTTCTAAGGCTCGTCGCGACTGTTGGAAATCGTTCGAGCACTAGGAAGGTAAGTCGAAAGGCGATACAAGAAGTGGATGTGCAGAAAGCTTGTGGAAAGATCATCGAGCCAGGCGCCCCAGTTGCCTTGCGCCTTCAGGGCCATCTCCTCTACGGAGTATCGAGAGTCTATAATCAGCAATGTTCATATATGCTTTCCGACCTGCAGAAGATCCAGGCGCATATGCACATCTTCTTCACCAAGTTTGGTTCAAACCAGCTCGACCCAGAGGCAGGACAAGCAAGGTGAGAATTTCAAGCGCCCAAGATACTAGACGATGAGCACAAGAAGCCAGTTGTAACTGACTGGTTATCTGCTAGGCCGGAGAATATCTTGATCATGAACGATCCCGACTTTGTCCCAGACATGCGTCTTCCGCAGTTCGATCTTGACGCCTTAGTAGCAAATAGTCAGGCGACCAATAAGACATCTTCGCAAATGTCCCCCCTTGACAACACCCTCCTTTCAGGCTCGGGTAGCCAAGGTTCGGGTTTTAACATACATTTTGATCTGCATCATTCAGATTCCTTCGTATCTCAAGGACCCCCTTTCGGTCTTCAGGGCCTCTCATCCTCTCAGAAACCGGAAGCAGCTCCGTTCATCATGAATCAAGAGGATGAATTCGCGGGACCGGGTGACTGGGGGATGGAGATAGACGAGGATGGAAATATCATCGACTTGAATGAACCAGCTGGCCTCCAAGACCAAGACGATCTAGAACTGCCCCCTCTCCCGTCAATGGAAGATCAAAACCATCCCGAGCAACAGCATCAGCACCATATCGATAATAATGGCGACATTATCATGACAGATGCAGTGCAACCAGAAACGGGAGGTTTCCCAGAGAAACCGCAAGATGAACATGGTGCATTCTTGGATGACCATCCTCATCAGGCGCCTTCTCGAAGAAAGAAGAAAGTCCGCGGTCCGGTTGCTGACGAAGAAACGCAACTCTCAAGAACTATCTTGAGAAATTGGCAAGGGGAATATTTGGATAACTGTGGCGCCCGCAAGGTTCGAACTGGAGCAGCGCAAACAAAGGCTAACGCCATGCTTCTTACATTCGGCCTGGGTTTAGGAAACATCGGACAGAACTTGGGCGTTCCTGGAATGGTCCATCCGCTGGGGCTCGATTTCTCGGGCGACTCTTTATTCACTGCTATTACTGGACTTGGAATACTCGAGAAACCCCGCGGTAAACGTAGACATCGATCTGCGACTGAATCCATCGAGGAGGATGACCTAGAAGAGCGCCGGGTCAGGCCGCGACTGGACAGCGAGGCTGACCAGCAGGGTCGCGGTTTAGAAGATGATTACGTCTTTCATGACCAAGACGCACAAATAGTCAACAGCCCTGAGGTTGGCCGAGATGCTCAGGCGCCTATGTCTGATCATCTTTCTTCTGCCTTGCGTATGCCCTGGAACCGAGGCTCGTCTGCCGTGTTAGGTTCATCTGTTCGCGGGTCCGCGCAAAAGGGTCGCATTCCCTCTAGTCCACTAGGAAATCGTGGGAATGTCCAGGATCTTGTACGCTTTAGTGATGATCCGATACTTGGTGATGACGGCTTCGATCTAGGCGGTCTCCATTCTCAGGATGACTCATTCGACGGTTTCCAGTTAGAAGATGATGGTGCAGAAGAAAGCGAGCAAAAGAAAGATGCATGGCCGACTCTCGACATCGAAGGAGCGAATTTCCTTTCGTTCATGCATACGGCCATCCACGAGAATGGTGAACATCTCCAAGACGATGATTTTGACGAGAACCGTAAATGGATCGCCTTCGACGACTTGTTCGTCCCCCGTGAAACTCCACGTGCGACGGCTGCGCATGCGTTCTACCATACGCTCTGCCTGGCGACAAAAGGCGATCTAGAAGTCCAGCAGGACGGCGAAGATAAAGTACCCTTCGGCAGCATCTGGGTCGGTACCAAGCTGGTTGATACTGCTGATGCTGAAGTGTGAATAGAGAAAGGCTGAAGTCACACCCATATAACACCCGGGCTCGTTGCTTCGGTTCGGTTATTGGCGTAGATTTCTTATTACGTCTGGTATACCTTAAGTCTAGGTACTGAGGCATCTATGGCGGCCATGGTAAGATCTCTGCTGAGGCTAAGTGTTGTAAGTGTGTCCCAATGCTGCAACAGCGATCATCTACTCGCCTCCGTATCCTGCTAACATTAACATCATCGCCAGGAGCCGAACATCTACGCTAGTGATGATCCAGAGAGGGGAAGGGATTTGCGTGGTGTATATTTGCTCCAAGAGAGTACATGTTGGCTTGTAAGCTAGTTTACGAGATTCGATGGATAATGAATACCGATCAGAGCATTCGTTCTGAAATCATAATACCGTATGAAGTGGTCATGGTGATAGAAACTTGTGGTCCATAATTTGCGATGATGTTCACCCTGTCGGCACATGTGCCTCTAAGGAATAGCTACAGGCAGCTAGCTGCTTTGTTGTTACTAGCACAAAGGACGATGCCTAACGCAGATACGATACGTTGAATTAATGTATAAAGGGGGAAACAACCCATTAGTTTTAATATTCATTTGCTAGGTGTGTTAGGTATCTGGTGGTTGATTAATTACCTGCTATGTTCTCACATCCAAACAGACTAAACTAGGTACCTAGGTAATCTAATCGTAAACGTCGTCATCATCGTCCACGCCCTCGCGGTCTTGGAAAACCATGTACTCGGTTTCCGAGGCCTTATCACCCATGACAAGTTTCCAAGCCTCTTTGACCGGGCCCAGACACCCGTCATCGAAGGTAAGGCTCAGAGACGGCGACGGGAACGCGAAGCTGCGAGTCTCCTCGTTGGTTGTGACCGAGGGCTCTCGCGCGCTGAGGGTCTGCTCGTATTGCAGCTTGTACAGCGATACAGGCGCCGGACTCTCTGAGGGCGTGGCAGCGGCGATGAGATCGTTCAGAGCAGATTCCAGGCGCTGCGCAGACTGAGAAGTTGCGAGAGTGGTCAAGTATATTACACCTATACCATGGAAATAATGGTTAGCAGCTGTTCAGATTACATTGCATGCTGTAAGACTGAATATAAGAGGAGGTTGGTGCAATCAGTTTGTCAGAGGTTGTTTTCCTCAGCGCGAAGCTCGGACAATGTAGATAAGTATTCGTTATGTTGGATCATCATAACACCAGTAGAAGCAAAGAAAAAAAATAAATAACAAAGGGTGAGCTTACTTTGACCGGCAGGGCATTCTCCCGTCTCGCTAGAATGCACAAACGCGTAGATAGGACTGTCCTCACTTGTTTGGCTCGGGAAGGCTACGACCGCAACAACTGGTGTTGGGGCGCCTTCTACTACAGTCTCAAACAAGTGCTTTAGAGGCGTGTTGACTACAGCGATAAGTCGCGTGATAGTCTGCGCGCCGGGAAGAGCATCCTGTTGTGACGCGACCAGCTTCGTTGTACGGACCGATATTCCATTTGATAGCTCGAGCGAAATCTCGCGGCCATCTGAGCCATCGCCGACTTTTGCTTTGGTGTCGAGCATGTATATGCCGCCTCCTACCGCTCCGGCACGACACGCCACCTGCGCAATCTCCGAAGAGCCACCCCATTTGGGATATACGGCACAGAAGCCGGGCCCGAAAAGGCCCATGGAAGTGAGGTGTCGATGGATCGAAGCGAGGCCATCTGCCACTGTGATGCGGTCGTCCAGAGTCAGCGTCAAGGCAAGGATGTACTTCTGCAGATCCTCGCTCAACTTGAACTCGCTGGCCAAGAATTCCGACAGCAGCTTCTGTTCTTGGCCCTGCCAGACGGGCCTCTGCTCCTCGGAGTCGTAGTCAATGACGAACTTGAGGAACTTCATCAGGGACCGCTTGGACTTGACCGGGATGGCTTGCGTGGCGAACACGTCTTCCCGACTGCTGGGTATCCGAGCTAGCTTCGAGCTATCTTCGCCGCCTGCCTTCTCGTCGAAAACGAAGAACGAGCCGACCGCGAGGAACTCGACTTGCCTGTACGCCCTCGACGACACGAGCTGCTCTAATAGCTTGGAGCGCGTGTGGATGATCTGAGGCGCTAATGCTAGCGAGTATGCTCGAGGAAAGGATAGGCCGAGGCCTGCTGCGTCTGGATGTTTCCATGCGCTCGCATTCTTGAAGATAGGATCTTTCTCTTCTACGCTCGAGTCTTCTTCCGCAGAGCGCCCTGCATGTATCGCCGCCCAAGAGTCCGCCTCTTGGAGGCTAAAAGCAGCTTCATGTTCGCCGTAGTAGTCATTGGGGTCAACATGAAGTATGCGTTTATTCGACCGCGAGAGAGCTCTTCACATCGCGGGGGTGAGAAGACTAGGTCAGTCAGACGAAGCTCCCGGGACACAAGATTTACGTAGTAAGTGTGTGTGTATTTGTGTGTGTTCTTATCCTAGGAAGATGAAGAAGAAGAAAAAGAAAAAGAAGAGAGGATTTTTGCTTACAGAGCCAGTAGCGACTGTTGCAATCCCGTGCCGCAGATCACCACGTCCCATGGCTCGTCTCCCAAGGATTCCATAACGGAAGGAAAGGGAAGAAGAGAAAAGTCGAGCAGGGATTTTTTTTTCTTGCTTGTCGAAAATTTGTAGATGAGATAATGGAGCTTGGTTTGCAGGTGGAGCCGAACTAATATTCGCGGAAGATGACTAAGACCGAGGATCCGACACCTGGGCCCACTTCCAATGATGCTTGACTAAAATTGGCTTTGAATTTTTGGCCAGCTTTTTTTTTTTTCTGTTCTTTTTCTTTTTCAACAACCACCCGCCCGCCAGTATCCAGCGCTTCTACTCCTCCTAAGCACCACGATACTGGTACTAGAATGGCCTTTCAGTAGGCTGTTCGCTTTAATGGGCGGCAGACCAATTTGTCGTCCCGTATCTACTATCCTGGAATATCGCCTGATAGGATGGTTCGAAGGGTTGATACATCTTTAATAGTCAGTTTTTTTATTATTTTATGATAGGGTTACTCGGTATCTTTCTGTCAAGGAACAGCAACTATAATTGTGCCCGGACATACCTAGGTAGTTTAAGTTATTCTCGTAGTAGTTTCTTATTCATTCCATATTTTTTGGGTATCAAGTGACTCCTATTGTAAGACAGCACGGAACTCATTCCACCGCGTTGCGGCTACAGTAGCAAACTCTCTCATGAGAGTGGAACCAACAACCGTTCCACCGCTCTTAGATATCGTCAGGATCTTTGTTTCCCCCTCCGTATTATCAACTACCATCGTAACCGTCTCATTACACAAGCTTTCCTCTAGCCTGTCCGGGTCCACTAGGATCCAGTACTGACCACTGCCACCACTGCCTTTCTTCTGCCTCTCCCTTGCTGTAAACACAGCGGCTGTGCAAGCCACTGGTAACCCGCGCATGCGTAGTGGGCGCGGCTCCTTTTCAGTTGGCCGAGTACATAACACCAATTCCCGGTCGACATCCCAGTATGCTTGGGGAAGCTTCGTATCTCGCAGAGCAGCTAGAATTGCCGCCCAAGCCACGTCGAAGGGGTTGCCGTCGAAGGAAATAAATAACACGTCGATATACAGCACCCAATATGCCTTGACCTCCTTTGTCGCTTCGCCAAAGCCGTCTTCTTCTTCTTCTCCAGTATTTCCTTCCCCTCGTACCTCAGAACTATCATGGTATATCCGCAAGGCTTCCGCAGTTAAGAGCTTTGAGCTATGTAGCAGGGAGAAGAGGCGTGTGCTTAGTGTCTGCGCAAGTGTAGTCGGGGGCACGCCCGGTAGAAAATTGGGCGCGCAACCGGTCGCTAATTCGACATTCGGCACCAACAGATCGTAATCCCGTAGTTCATCGCCAATCGCGATATCGCCGGCTTGCGGGGCACGGTAGTTCGGGATCTGAGATGTGAGAAGGGTCTCGCCGCGCACGCCGCAGATAACAGTCGTGTCGCCGGAGCGAACCACAGCGCTCCCGTGCGCATGAGATAGAGACGATGTATTAATGCTGCAAGGGCGTGCCTGTCGCGGTTGTCGCCCATTCGTACGCGAGGATGGTGTCGAAGGGTCTGAGGGCTGGAGATTTGCGAGGAGGAACGGGTGCGGGGAGAGCTTTGCGAAGGTGGCGCTCGACAGCGTCAGGGAATTTGAAGTCGCCATGGTAGTTTATTAAGGAGCCGAGGCTTGAACTCCGGAGAAGTTGGGCTAAACCTAACAATTTAGAATTGACCAATGTTTTGCAAACATCACGACGTAGCTGTATTGGATAAATGGAGGATTTGAAATTTGAGATGGACCCAACGCAGCCTTGCGGGTTGCGGGGCCCTGGTTTAGAAAGTGGGACGGATGAAGTCATGGCCAATCAATATTCATTAATCCATAAGGCTACAAGTTCCTGTGTGATATGCCGATAAGATAAAGCTCAATAGCACCAATACACTGCCCAGACTGCCAGACTTGCTCATTCCTGCTGATTACCAATTCTATAGAGACCTTTGAAGTGCTGCCATCAACGGAGCACCGTCCATATAATACGCAGCTTGCTTTACAAGCCCCCTGTTCTCCCCCGATGTTTCTAAGTGGACGAAAGCGAAAGCCGGAACCACAATTGTCTCCTTTTCCGGATCGTTCTTGACTTTCCACGTTATATGACACGGCTGATAGATCTTGTTGTCAACCATATCTATCGCATAAACGTGTTAGCTACCTAACCTAACCTAAACTAGGTAAGGGTATACTATTTAGTAATGATGGATTTTTAATCTGATCTTACCAAAGCTTTCAATTTTGTGGTGCATCATCTCTAGTCTTGCCCAGGTTCCCTTAAAAAAGCTGCGTAGTTCGTCTAATCCCTCAAAAAGGGGCATGTTGCCAAACTGCACTTTCGCGTCTTTTGTGTATATGTCCTCTAACCTCGACACATCGAGAGAGTCATTTGAGGCATGAAACTTAGTGGTAATCAGCCTAGTTAAGTGTATTTCGTTCTTGGAAGGGACTGACTTACTCTAAGGAGCCATTCTCGGATTTCCGAGTTCGTGGTTGGTACGAAAGCCATGGTTCTAGGTAAATACTTCTAAGCGTGTTCTGGATGATGATATAGAGGTAAATTGACAATTATCTATCGAATTCTTCAAGTACTCTCCGTTATACTTATACTTTTCCATCGTATGTTTCGCGATGTGATAGCTGACTAAATCGTAATGACCATTTTCCTCTTTGGGAAAGGTTGGGGTTAAGGGCTTTATGGGTAAGCATAATATTACAAAGCTACGATTATGAATAACTCTAGCTAAGAGATATGCAGAAGAGGCTAGGTGTAGGTGCGTAATATATAATATAATAAAACGAAAGCGATATCATCTAACTCTGCCATTATTTAATAAGAGAGCGTCAAGAGCTCTCCTAGCCTAGGCAGTTGTTAACTATGCGTTCATACACGATCTTGACTACCTAGGTAGGTAATTATTCAGCTATACCAGCTTCTTTTCTTCCAATAGGTCCTCAATCTTTTATATTTTTATAATATCTCGGTGGCATACAGGACTAAACGTGTCTAACATGTAACACCTGTAGTTACAATTCGTTAATAAGTTACTCCTAAGTTACTGAACTCATGCTGGACAAGACACTATTCTTCTCTGAATAAAACCCAACAAAACAAGTGCAAGCTGTCATACAGGCTAGGTTATTTTGTACATATATTGCAAACCCTAATCCACCACTGTAGCCTCACTCAGCCGAGATGAAGATACAACATGGTTTAGTCCACACGAGATATGTACCATAGGTGCCAGCCTCTTTTCCAGATGGTTGATACAAGCTTTGGCAAGACCTACTAACCCAACCCGACCCCCACCTGAGATAATGGGTTGAAACTTTTGGCTGTGCTTCAAAAGGCCCATAGAAATACACATAGATGTAGCAATGTCTAGCGGTAGATAGGCTCCTAGCTCCTAGCATAATAAGCTTCTTGTTGTCTTAAAGTTCTCTCTTGCCCTTATAGGGGGGTGCCACTTGGCATCGCTTTACTTGGATGGAACAAAACGCTGATTGAAATTCCAAGGTGATTCAAGGCAAGTCTATGCATGGCGGTGTCCAAATCGTTGATTTTCTCAAAGGCACATGCGTAAGCCTACCGCCAGGTAAAAGGACAACAACCTGTCATAAAGAAGTATCAACGTTGAAGTTGATGCAGGACCAAATGCAGCTTTTGGTATCTAAGGGCTAGGAATATGATGTTGGGATACCAACAAGGTCCGGACTCTTGAATTATTTGAGCTTGAAGTGATTTCCATAGTGGATTACCTAGGATATACTGGCAATAAGTAATCTATTAGATATTCCTACGTAGGTACCTACTACTTACTTAAGGATATAACTAGAGCATAGGTACAGAACAACAAGAGCTTTTGTTGTACAATGGATCTCTAGAAGTTCTGCATTAGGGAATAGCACATATAAGTTATTTTATTCTGATAAGAAAGTGCGCTATGAAGCCTTTTGATAACATGCCTTCCATTAAAGTTGTTTCGGTGCCTAGGCTATTTCTTACGATAGGGAAACTACTCTGTTCGACCGTACCCCGAAGACGCTACAGCATGTTCTTCTGATATAGGGAAGGGGCCACCTCTGTTCTAAAGTTTTTTTTTCTACTAAGGCGGCGCAGGTGCCAACTTATCAGGCCGTACAATGTTTTCTGTAAGGAAGTAGCGTGGGTCGCCGTTCCGTAACTGCCTTGCCGTTAACCCCGCGATTACCTCGTTCTTTCCACTTGTACTGCTACTGAGGTAGCAGTTGCTCCGTTAGCAGTAAGAACTTCAAAATTATGAATAGTCTAATCGCCGTTTTTTTATTTAAATCTCTGCCCCCTCCCTAGCGGTAAAGCTTTCTTTCTTTCTTTCCTCCCACTTCCATCTTTATCAAGCCCTTTATCAATACGGCTCACTTCTAAATATTAACCCATATTCACATAACCGTCGTTCCCTTTAACACGGACTTTGAACAACCTACTTTATAGCCAGTTGCAACACTATATCCCCTGGGATTATTTCAACACCTAGGGGAATTTTGGCCCAACCACGCACCATGTGGAGGACTATTTCTGACTCTATACACTTCATTTATTACTTACCGTCTTCGTGCTGAAGACTTCAAGCACTGATAGTCTTCAATACTATGAATCTTGGGAGAGTATGTCATGGTAAGTCTTGATTTTAGATGTTTATTCTCATAGTTATATCTTTTCTTGCCTTGCTTTGCTTTATCTCGTCTTACTGCACTTATCTTGCTGGTGCTGGCTCTCATCTCTTGTATATCAACTATTCCTTTGTCTTCTATTTACTGCTACAACTTTTCCAAGCCACTATCTAACCTATCTCCTGCTAGGCACCCCACTCCTTTCATTCTGACAAGAGAATATGGTACAAGTCTACCCATACCTCAAATTGGGAACTAAGAGGAGAAACGACAACATCATCACTACAGTAGCCTGTCATGGTCGGTATTGCCTTGGTACTGGTTACGAGTGCCGAAATGAACCTTAACTTATTGCACCTTTGAATGCGCGCTCCTGGTATTTCTAGCCTCCAACCCAGGATGTTTGCAAAGAAGCCATTGGTCTCCCCAATGCGTTGGTCGCCTCAACAAATCTTTTACGACAAGAGTTAAATATATTATATCATTAAACCTATTCATATTACCAACAAGATGGCGTCTGAAAGCAAGGCTAGCAACCGATTTCTCTACAAAAGCAACAAATACAATGTACCACCCGCTTAGCAGTAGCTTCGCGAGAAAGCTCGTAGAAAGACGCCCACTATGGATCGACCTATAAAGATACCTAAAGACAAGAAGCATTCATATTTTATGGAGTAACCGCTCCACCTACGCAGGGCGAGCAGTTTCGGTAGCTACTATTACTACTACTACTGCTGCAGTTCAAACAGATAGAGGTTACTGTTTGTCTACTCATTCTACAATAACACACACACACACATACGAGATACAAGATACAAGATATAATAATAACAAAGCCACGTCTTTTGATATTGCTTCTCCTATGGCTTATGGAAGGGCATATGTGAGACCCGAACAAACAAAAATCTGTTGGACTGTGGACTCGAGGTAGCTTACTCAGCTACGAATCATGTACCATATATCGCACTAAAGTTCAATTGCTATAAGCTTGTATCATGCCACTACGGCTTTAAACCACCTTTTGTTAAAAGATTTTATTAGGCACTTTGCCTTTTACCAATAGACCTTTCTACCATCATATCGTGCCTGAGATTAAAAAATTTACATAGATGATACATGTTGTTTGTTTATTGCCGTCAACTTTGGCTTAACTGGGGCGTTGGGTTTTAGCCGATTCTGTTCACATGATCCTGTATGTGAGCTCTTAATTCAAACCTGGCATGCCGAAGACGTAATCATTGTTGGGTCCGACGGGCCGCTAAGGTAGCCAAAGTAGCTTGTGGTATTGGATGATAATTGCCGCTTCATATTCCAGCAGCCCGGAACGCATGTCGAAGTGGCTGCAAGCTATTAGTCTATCACACAAGTATCTACCTAAGGTAGGAAACTTCCCTGTTTAATTCATCTCCAGCTTACTATTGGCTAGGTACCTACCTCACTTGTAAATCGGATGGAGAAAGGTAGGTGGGTGAGGCTTGAGCCATATCGGCAAATCAAGAAGCGCGATTAAGCGCCGTGTTCCTATTTTGCTTCTTGCGCCAATCCCGTCACTTCGTCACCCCAAGCCCGCCCCCAAGAGTTTTATTAATTTCCCTGCTCATATGTTATCAACTTGAATCCTGGGTAAGTGGAATACTATGCCACAGCTCTGCTTCCGCTTTCTCATTTGACATCCATCGGTCGATAGGATTAGCATGGCATTAATTACTTTAGGTAGGTAGGTATCGCATGGTCAATTATCATATGGCCGAAATCGTCTAATCGTCGTCAGTGGCTGACACCAGGTGGTTCGTCAATTGACCGGTACGTTCGGAGCACAATAACCGCCGAATGACGACAAAAAGCTTATCACGTATTAGGTGATCCCTACCTAATCCTTATTACAGGTATTAAGCTATTGAGTGTAACATCTCTTGAGAGAATTTTGGAGGGGAAAGGGAAAAATGGAATCGGGAATTAGGTACCAGTACATACCTGAGGTATACCGCTTGCTTTAGGTTTAGATCTGCATGATGCGAATGCGGCATAATGCGTACACATGCACAACTTAGCACAGACAGAATAAAATGGACCCTTGCCAACGTACCGGCACGGCAAATCCTCCCGTCAGCTAGCTAACCTGGTACCTAATCCTTCTTCTTCTTCTTTTTTTTTTTTCTGTCTCTCTTTACCTGGTACCTACATGACAAGAAGAGGTTAATAAGACATGGAGGTGGGCCTCTGGACGACAATGTACAATACAAAAAAGTCTAGCGCCCACGCTTATTCCGTGGAACGTGCAGGCTCTTGCAGGCTCGTGCAGATTCTTGCAGGCCTGCGGGGAACAGAATCTCTCATTTGAAGGATTGCAGCCAATATCGAGGTACGGCCAGCCGCTGCTCGTCAACCGATTATAATCCACACCAGCCTCAGGTCTTCTCGTTCCTGATTGATCGGATCGAATGAGCATTATAGCTTCGAAGCTAGGTTTCCCTGCCGTGCCTGTACAGGCGGTTTTTCCCACGAGGCCAATTTCGCAAAACTCCTATTGGGCAAGCTGCAAGGAGATCGCAGACCTAATGTAGTAGTTGTGTGACGGAAAAGAACTGACAACCTTGCTGCATATGGCTGCACACTGACACTGCTCGCATACACTTTTTACTACTAGACTTATCTGTCCAAACCGGAATTAGTTCCCCACCTCGCCTCGTCTTGTCACCACGATCCTGGCTCGATTTGATATATACCTTAGGTACCTACCTTACCTGCCGTTCCCTGGTACCCCATCCCTATTGTCGATCCTGAGATCTCTTTTCTTTTTCCTACTGCCCTTTTGTCGTCGTTGCCAGAACGTCGCGGTCTAGTTCAATGGCTACTATCGCTATCCTTCAGTTTCTTTTAATTCTGTGAACTGAGGAATCTGGCATTCCTCATCACGCGCAAACAACACGACTTCATTCGTTCCATTTTATTCCCACTATTATACCCAGTGTTGATGACAGCATGTGAAGGAAGCCATCGGTTCTCATCCATGTAGCAAGAAAGGATTTTAGAAGGGATTGAGAATAAATTGGATGAGAATTAAGCTTCTCGTATAAGCCAAAGGTCTAAAGTTCGTTGGTATATTTGGAATTTGGGGCTACGTGATATTGATGAATTTATCGCCATTTCCCATACCCTAACCCCAACAATGGCTGAGGGAACAGCATCAGCTGTGGCGGGAGCGGCGAGAACCCTTTCAGGACTTGGGAAAAGGATATTGATTCCCTTAACGGCAACGAGTCCGCCCGGCCTAGTAGAAGCAAATACTGTCGACCCATGGAGTAAGTCGGGAAAGTATGGCTTAGGATGGACTTACTTCAGTCTGGCGCTGATGGCGCTGGTGGTATTGGTACGGATATGGCATTGGTGGCAAGATAAGATTCGACAAGCGATATACAAGCAAGAGGTGGAGCAGCATTACCGGGACCTATACAGCCTCGACCCCGAGTACGCATTACCGACAGCCCTGCACACTGGTCAAACCGGACGGCAGTTCTTCCCCGAGGAAGCCGGGGTTGGCGAGAAGAGGGATTTCAAGCCGAAGTCCGATTTCTCTGCTGTCGGCCCCGTCTTGGACGCGCTGGCCCTCTTCAGATGGGTCTTCTACCGCCCCATTCCGGATATTGTGTGGAGGAAGCACCGGTTTACGTTTTCATCTCTTGCCGTCTTGTTCGTCGGATTCATCGCACTGGCATTCGTGTCGCTGTATGTGTTTCTCAAGCAGCCTCTGTACTGGGATAGCATACAGTATGGCTCGCCTCCCGTGGCGATCCGGGCGGGTATGATTGCGGTCGCTATGACTCCTTGGATCATCGCGACTAGCATGAAGGCCAACTTGCTCACCCTTATTACGGGGATTGGGCCGGAGCGGCTTAATGTGTTCCACAGATGGGCTGGCTACATTTGCCTGTTCCTTGTGCTTGTGCATACCATCCCGTTTTACATCCAACCTGTCTGGGATGACGGCGGTATGGCTGTGTTCTCAAAATTGTTTCCCGAAGGAAGTGGTGTTATTTACGGTACTGGCATTGCATGCCTAGTCCCGCTACTTTGGCTCTGCGTTGCTTCACTTCCTTTTATTCGTAGAATGGCCTACGAAGTTTTCGTTACGCTCCACGTCCCGGTTGGGTTCGTGTACCTCGGCTGCCTCTTCTGGCATACGAAAAATTACTTAGCGTCTTGGGATTACCTGTACGCCACAATTGCTATTTGGCTGCTGTGCTATTTCCTTCGCATCTTCAAACTCAACTGGGTTAAACCGTGGCGGATGTCGTTCTTGGTGGGCGATGAGGCAGCTATTACTCTCATGAGCGAGAATGCCATTAAGATCACGATTCCTACACAAATGAAATGGAAGCCCGGGCAGTACGTTTATCTACGGATGCCCGGCATTTCGTTCCTCGATAACCATCCGTTTACTATTTCGTCTCTCTGTAGCGAAGACTTCCCTTCGGAATATGGCGAGCAGTACAGGGACTGTATCCTGGTATTCAAACCTTATGGGGGGTTTACGCGAAGGGTGCTGGAAACTGCAATTGACAAGGGACCGTTTCACACATACCGGGCATATCTTGATGGTCCATACGGAGGTATGCGACGAGAACTGGCTGCATTCGATACGTGCATTCTAATTGCCGGTGGAAGTGGAGTGACTGCGTTAATGTCGCAGTTATTGAACTTGATCAAGCGCATGCGAGACGGGAAGGCTATTACTAAGAAAGTAGTGGTTGTCTGGTCTCTAAAACGACTTGAGGCCATGGATTGGTTCCGGGAAGAGTTGCGGATTTGTCGAGACTCTGCGCCACCGGAGAGTGTGACCTGCAAGTTTTTCGTTACTGCGGCTAAGAGACAATCTGGAATCCCACATCCTCGAGAACGGGGACCCCGACCACTTAGCAATATGTTTCATGATAGACTAGACGGATTCGTGGCGGGTATTGCCTCGAAGCGCAATTCCCAGCTAATAAGGGATGAAGCACAAGGCAACCCAGACTACGAACGTGAGCTGCGGGCTGAGGATGAAGACAGGATCACTGCCCTTCCTCAACAAAAATACCTACAGCCGCACCATATCCCGCCGCAAGGCCCACCGCCCTCAAACCGTTTCTCCGCTCAAGAGGAATCGCTCCGCAGGCTTGAGGGTCGGGATCTAAGCGACGCCGAAAATCAAGGCCAACCAGTCGTGGCCTCCGCAGATGAATATCCCGAAGACAAACCTAAGCGGGAATTTCACTTCCCCCCACTACAGACGCACCCAGATAAGCAACCGCATTTCAATTACGCGCCACCCTCACCGCGGCGATTCCCGCCACCTCCCAGCGCGGAAAATGCCTCTGGAGAGCCGTCTGAGCCCGTTCTCCGACCGCCCGAGTTTGCTCATCTGCGCACGACGAACCTACCCCCGGCACCACAAGCTCGCCCTACGTCAACATTTGGTCCTCCGTCGGGATTCGACTTCGGGTTCCCAGAGACGCCAACGGAGTTCCAAAAGAGTTTGATGCGGTTTGCGTTCCCAGTGCCTCATCAGATCGACGGGGGCTGGAGCGTCGAGTACGGGCGGCCGGACTTGGGGTACATGCTGCGGGAGTGGACGACGGGAGGCCCAGATGGGAGGGGCATATTGGGGAGACGGACGGCGGTTTTCGTGTGCGGGCCCCCTAGTATGAGGGTGGGCGTTGCGACGACCGTTGCGAGGCTACAGGCGGAGATCTGGGGCGACCCGATGCTTGAGGAAATTTTCCTGCATACGGAGAACTACGCTCTGTAGGAGAGGGCGGAGAAGTGTCGAAGAGAAAATAGGGAGGATTGTATATAAAGGGCAGGAGACACGACATCCGTCACGAGCGACAGGATGGCATGGCGTTTGGGACGGATGCGAATGCGAGATACCACGACCCAATGAGGGGTCTTTTTTTTATGTTACCCAGTATATACACCCACACGCTGATACCTGTCTGGTGGGTCAGACTTGTATTTGTACAGATAGGTTGGTTTGATTGATGGTGGGATTGACGACCTTATACTGCCCCTGGTTGACGGACCGACGGGGCTAATGAATTAGCTGCTGCTATGTTATAGCACTCCCATATACCCCTAGTTTAGGTACCTAAATTAATACGTTATGATGTTACCTCTATTGCTAGGATGGGATTAGGATGGAAGAGAGCGATTAATAGAGGTGAAATTGGTGTTAGGTAGTATGGATATTATGCGCCTCGTTACCCTTTGCTTCCATCCTCCTGATGTAGCTTGTATCAGTATTGGTATCAGCGGCTCCCATTACCCTGTTTTTTTTTATATATCTGCCCTAGGACAGGCTCACTTGCTTGCTGAATATCATTGACTATTCTCTAGGTGCCTTTCTGTTTACCTATAGGTTCAAAGGTACCTAAGGTATTCAGCAGTCCTTTAAAGGCTGGAGTGATGTAGATAGTGCATGTTGCCCCTGAGTCTTGATTCTTATATTTACCTGTTTAGAGTTCTTAGAAGAAAGACCTGGTGGCCACTGTTGCGTGATTCGCAGCTCCGCTTGGCATCCTGATTATGAGCCTGGAACATGATATAGTGATGTAGGAGGTAGGTACTGGAGTTTCTAGTTCTTTGCCACGCAGTGAGAGCCAGCAGGCCTTTCTTGTTACAGCGACATCGTAGGCTCATAGTATTTTCCCTCCACAGCAATACCTATCGAATGTCTAGATTGGGCTCAATTGCCACTTCCATAATCGTCTAGAAGGCGAAGGCGAGATATAAACATATTCCTAAGATATCTGGCCACTCTACGCAAGGCTAATTACTTGGTACCATATAGGTTCGTCGCTCATAAGCTCGGTAGTCCCGAAGCGTGAGAAAGATTCACCTGACAATAAGGAATGCGATAGGTACCTAGGTATTCTAGGCGTATTTAAGGGTTTCCAGGTATGCCTGGAGTTATACTTAGCTGTCGGAGTTGGCAAAACCGCTTTGAACACTTTCGGTTAAGTCAACTCAACTTGCAATTCACGCCTTGAAAGTTTTACATATAAGAAACCGAGGACAGAAAATTCTCCGAATCGAGTCCAGAAATTATCTTGGCTAAGGTACAGAATAAGCTTAATACAAAGCACGACATTCGCAGTTAGCAACGGTGGAGAATGGCGTGCGCTGGTATCCATATTGCGCCAACACCCTTGGCGAACATGATATATCGAATTCTACCACCATTTCACCCCCAATTCCACCCCCCATTTTACTACATTCTGGATCTCCTCGGGCCATAGAAAGCATAGAAAGCTGGTTTATCGATAATTCGGGATGTCGCCATTTCTCGTAGCGGGGTATTGTCGCGTATTCGTCCGAAATGGTAAGTCTTAGGCGTGCAGAAGTTCCCTCGAGATCATCACGCCTTAGCGCTATCTCTTATAACGCCCTCCACTACGGCCGCTAAGCAAATGCAATGCGTCTCGGTCCTTGATCTTCTGCCCGGGTATCTGGAACCCCCTGTCCGATGCGTCCTGCGGGTGGGTTTATGAATGACTATATAGATAGATAGATGATGCAGCGTACCCATCCTACGTAGCACATGTTAGGTCCCGCTAGATTTGCGGCTCCCTCTTACTATATATACTCGATTTGTTATTCGTAAGAAGTGATTCGTGCGATAGCGACCTACCCTTCTAATTCGAGTAGAGAGAGACGAGATGCCTTCTCAACAACCACCAGCAACAGCAACAGCTGTTGCTGTGCCTTTGAGTGCCGGGTCTGCGGCGACGTCCGACCTTGATAGCGTGAAATCCCAAGGCCACCCCGACGACAAACTCCCCGTTGACCTGCCGCCTCTGGTTCCCGTGGCATTGGCGACTAGAGAGACGGAACGGATGGAGTCGGCGCTCGGCGATGCTATCTTACGGTTCTTACGAATTCGAAAAGGTCCCAAGCCCGAACCGTACGACCTCGATGCGGTTAGTAGTACAGAGGCCTCAAGCTGTTTCCTTGATGCAATCGAACTTAGAGGTAGCTAACTCGACCCAAGATCGCGACGCAGCCTAGTATCTGGGATTCCGAGAGTTTGGAAGAGTACAAGAAGCTTTACATCCACCCCGAATGGGAGAACTGGTCTGCTTTCGACCCTAGTTTCCGCTGGACGTGGCGGGAAGAGAGGGCGGTGCGACGGAAGGTCGATTGGAAGATTATGGTAGGTTGAAAATAAAAGTCCTTTCGGGGTCATATTGTGGAAAGCGGCGAGAAAACTTAACTGACTTCCTACCTAACCTGCCTAGGTCTGGGTGTGTATTATGTTTGCTGCCCTGAACATCGACCGCAACAACATTTCCAACGCCGTCTCGGACAACATGCTCGACGACCTGGGCCTCACTCGTGCTGACTACGTGAGTTGCGCTGCCGGCCCCCCTTTCTCGAGCGCTGATGATGCTGATAATATTTGGATAGAATACTGGCCAAACAATTTCGCGAGTTGGATTTTTAGTTGCCGAGCTCCCGTCTCAACTGATTTCCAAGCGGTTAGTTCTACGGCTACTAGGTAGTAGACGTCCCCTGATGAAGGCTCAGCTAACCCTGACTATCTAACCCAGTATCGGTCCCGACCTATGGATTCCTATCCAGATATGCATTTTCAGCGTCATTTCTGCCATGCAATTCTTCCTCCAGGGCAGAGCGTCTTTCCTCGCCACCAGATACCTAATGTAGGTTGAGTTATTAAGGCGTTATTTTGGTGGCTATAAGCTTTGGCTAACAGGTCGATTAGTGCAACGTTCCAGGGTGGATTTATTCCGTAAGTTCTTGTTAATTAGGTAGTGAAGCTTAAAGGCTTAGGTAGCTGACTCGTTGATAGGGATACAATCCTTTACCTCAGTTACTTCTATACCGGTAGATCGGTAAGTGACTTCACCCCGAGTAGTATGTATATAGAGGAGTAGCAAACTTACGTTTTTTCTAGCTTCCCATCCGGTTAGCTTGGTACTGGATGTCTTCACAATTAGGTTGGTAATTATAGCTGATACTTGAAGTACCTTTCTGATCTTTTCTTCTAGTCGACATCGGTGTCGGATTCGCTGCTGTTGGTCTTCTATCTATGCGCGGCATCTTGGGGTATGAGGGCTGGCGGTGGTTGTTCCTCATTGAGTAAGTTCCTATCTTCGTGGGTTATGCGAGTATAACTAACATTATTAGGGGCTGTGTTACTTGTAAGGACGGCAAATACTTCTGACACCCTCGGTACTAACTCTATTGTAGTTTCGGTCGGACTTGCTTCCTTCTTCCTCATGCCTCAATCTCCAGCTAAGACAAAGAGCTGGTGGAATCCTAAGGGGTACTTCACCGAGAAGGAAGAGAAAATTATTGTCAATTCAGGTGAGTTGGTGGAGCATACGGACCTAGATGTACCTACCTCGTCTCTAACTCTACCCCCAGTTATCCGAGATGACCCTCAGAAAGGAGGCATGTACAATCGACAGGGTCTCTCCCTCAAACAGATATGGGAAAGTTCGAAGGACTACGACATGTGGCCATTATACGCCCTTGGTCTGTTGTTCGGCATACCGAAATATCCCGTCGGCCAATACCTAACGCTTTCCTTGCGAGACCTGAAGTTCAACGTCATCCAGACCAACTTACTTTCGATCCCGAACATCATCTGTTCTAGCATCACCATGCTAGTCATTACCGCCGTTAGCGAGTTGGTGAATAATAGGAGTTTCGTGTCGATGGCGGAAGATGCTTGGCTGTTGCCCTGCTTTGCGGCCTTGATAGCCCTGCCGGATCCGATTAGCCCTTGGGCATACTTCGCGATCGCGACGGTGTTGTTGTCGTTCCCATAGTAAGTACCGCGCCGAAAAGGGGGAAAGCAATCAAGAGCTGACTTAATCTAGTACCCATCCTATACAAGTTGCTTGGACAAGTAGAAATGCAGGATCTGTACAGAACAGAACAGTTTCTGCTGCGTGAGTAGACTCCTCTCCGTCTGAGTTTCCATAGCTCGTTATGACTAAATCTGTGTAGAATCTATAATATGTGGGTTCAAGTCAGCGGAATGATTGGCGCAAACAGTGAGTCAAACTATTTTATGACAAACAAACAGAGTACCGGCGCTGACTTTTCACAGTCTATCAACCTAGCGACTCGCCGCGATACTTCAAAGCGAACAAGGGTTTGCTAGTCATCTGCATCTGGATGTGTGTAAGTAATTATATCCGTGAACCCTCATACCTATTCTCTCTTTTCCAAGGAAGTACTTAGCTGTGTATAGGTAATACAATACCCGGGAACGTACTTCTACTATCGATGGAGGAACAATTGCAAGGCGAAGAAGTGGGATGCCATGACCCCCGAAGAGCAGGACCATTATAGAAAGACGACGACCGACATGGGTAATAAGCGGTAAGTTTTTTTTCTTTTCGCTATTGCTTTGGTCTTGAAATAGTTTGAGCTCATCATTTGATATAGCCTTGATTTCCGCTTCGCGACTTAAACTGTCCACCTACCTAATATAGGGCGATTAAGAGTTAAAAGGGACGAGGAGAAAGAGGAAGAGATTTTGGTTTGCTTCAATATGTCGTTTCGATTAGCGTAGCGTAGACTGTAGTACCTGGCAAAGTGATAGCACCTATACAGCATTTTACTATGCACCCTTTTACTTGTTGCCTTGAAGATACCTTACCCCTGATTTCTTGGCAGCGTGGCTTCTGATATGTACTATTATGTACATACATATGTTAGGTTTGTGGCTTACTGCCTAGTTTCGTACCGTGCGAATAGCATCATTATCGAGGGGTCGATAACAGTGACCTAAAACGCCACACTGCCCCATCCAGGGTATTGTACAAGACCAACCTCCAATTAGTTGTCTGCATTCACTCAAAACCTTGCCTATCATAAGGTTCTATGGTTTCCCCCCTTGTTGAACGCCGTGTTGACAAGTGGCAGCACTCCTTCTTGTCAACTCAATCTGATATTAGACAACTTCTCTGAGAGTTGGCGATTGTTAGTTTTCTGTTTGTCTCTTTGTCTATAACACGTTTTGAATTGAGAGAGAAAATAATTCTGTCATGAAAGAAAATGCTGGCCTCATCAAAATTTGAGGGTGTTAGTCTTGATGAGTGAGATCCCGGAAGGAAGTGTCATTATATTATCATTTACACTTTTCTATCGGTGGTCCAAGTTCCCTCCTTAATAATTTTCCTTTTTCTTTTTCTGAATTTTTTTTTTCCTGTCTGTCCTATTACAGGTCGGGAATTGACCAGTCATATTCTTCCTAATGGCGGATCCTCGCATGACAGCAAATGCAATGTCCAGTGAAGACGTTGAGATGGAAGGTACTAATTCCTATCTTTCGCATCTCGGCAACGGCTTTGGCGGCAAGGTCCCCAATGGAAACAGTGACGCGCATTGCCGGGCAACAAATTCACCTGATCGCCTGGGCCAAACAAACACACCTCAATTTAAATCAGATCCAGATGATACCCAACCAACTTCTTCGCCTCCTTCATCCCAGGTTGGCTCCAACAAGATGAAGCCTGCATCGAAGAAGAAAGGCACTGCCGCCAAAAAAGGGCCTAGGAAGACCAGAGTTCCAAAGTCTAAATCCTCAAAAAAGGACCCCTCATCAACTGGACCTAAGAATGACACCCAAGCTGGAAGCTCCGACGATGAGACTGACAACGGCCCTTACTGTATCTGCCGTGGACCAGATGATCACAGATGGATGATAAGTTGTGATGTTTGTGAAGACTGGTTCCACGGAGAATGTGTCAGTCTCGATAAAGAGGTTGGCGAAAAGTTAGTCGAGCGCTTCGTCTGTCCTAACTGTACGGATGGCAAGCTCAACTACACCAAGTACAAGAAGACTTGCTCCTTGACGGGCTGCAAGACTGCAGCCCGTTTATACACTAAGAATCCTAAGGATAGGAGCGCCTTTTGTTGCAACGACCATTGTGACCTCTGGTGGTCCTCCTTAATCAGCACTTTGCCAACCAAGGCCGCCTCTGAAAAGGCTATTGAAGTCCTCACCCAAGAAGATTTCGTTGGTCTTCTTGTTAGCACTGTCGAGAAGGGTGGATGGAAACTTGGTGATCAACCTTTTGGTATGTCGAAAGTAACCTAGGACTTTTTCCCCTGTCCTTACTCAGGTGTTCACCTGTATTCATTTACTGACCTCCTATTTAGGCAACGTGGATGGGCTCTGGGCCAATGGTCTCCCCACTCAACCAGGCGTGCTTAGTGACGAGGAGCAAGCCTTCTTGAAAAACTCTGCCGCCGAACGTCTTGCTCTAGGTAACGAGATCGTGCAGTACAAGAAAATGATGCAGCTCATAGATTGGGCCAACCATCGACGACAGCTTGCTATCGAAGCTGGTAAGTTCGCTAAGGACAGCTGTGGCTATGATTGGCGACTCGACACCGTCTCGGTGCGCTATCAGTTCGCCGAATGGTTGGAGACCCCCGAAGGCCAAGCGACCTTCAAGGCGGGGAAGCTCGACACTCCTCTCGATCCCGATTTGCAAGGGGACCCGGCCACGCGCGGCATGTGCGAGAAGAAGCGCTGCAAATCGCACAACGGATGGTATAAGTTGCTGATGAGTGCGGTTCGAACTCTGATCAAGGAGACGGCGACGGCCGCGGCGGATAAGCTGAATTCGGAGGACGTTATGCGGCAGGCGGCGGAGGCCAGGTTCGAGAGGCGTCAGCTGGAGAATAATTCGGTGCAAGTCTTAGACGATTGAGGGTTGGCGGGTCGATGTCTTTGGTAAAAATTATTATATTAATAATGGCTTCAAAAGGAACGGGGTTACTTGTAGATGGGTAATGGCAAGGACTGATGATTGCTTACCTCGTATTGTGTCGTCTTCGTCGAGTTTAGGACACTACATTATAAGTCTACCAAACGCGCTGATTCTTTTCACAGCATCTCTATCATGTTTTCGGCCCTGTCAAATCCATAAACTATCTTTTCCCCCCGGACTACTAATTACAATCTTGTACGTATCTTCTATGGGCAAGTCATATGCCAGGTAGGCACTCTATCGTGTAGTTGCCGTCTCCGTCTGTAATACATCGCGAGCGTAATGGATTTAATCGACGCGTCGTGTTGGATTCCAAGGCATTCTGGAGGCCTCTATCGAATACGGTTGGAAGGTCTTGTTGGATGTGTATACGCGCTTTTGTCGTGATTCTTCGTGACAAACTGTACACACAAGCTTATTGGGTAGCAGATAGGTGAGGAGGGAAATGAACTTGACATTTTTCCTTCAAAGTTTTTAATGAACTCTACCCTTATGCATTGAGGGAATTATGTATACATGTAAGGTACGGTATGATAGTAGAAAGGGCCATCGGTGTTGTGTGTTAATGGCGATTCGATAAGCTTGGGAAGCTGTTGCCGGCACGGCGAGGGTACCTTAGGTAGTCAAGTAACTGGTGGATGTCATCAAGGCGTAGCAGCTACATTCTTATAATCATCGTATATGAGATTGAGAAGCGATTAGAGGGCTCTAGCTCATCGTATTATACTTACCTTGGACTTGACTTCCGAAGAAATCCATCTATAATTGTTGAGTCGAGCATCCCCCAGCACCACCCGGATGACCTTTTCATCAACCACACCACAGCTAATGCTGCGTACATCCTGTAACCTATCAAGGCTACTTAAACGACATGCCGCTACGTTATACTTTATTTAATTATTTATAATCTCTTCAAATGCACCTGTATTCGATGACTTACGCTATTCTCCTCGTCAAACTCGCATATATGAGTATGCATATATGGGGGAATAATATCTATTATATCCGTATAGGACCCTAGCAGATTTATATCAAAGCAGTGTAGGCTACTCCTGGTTATGCTAGTATTAGGGGATTAGCTGAGAATTCTCTCTTATTAGGATATATTAAAGTTTATACTTACCGCGAGAGTACCTATAAAAGCGCGTTTCTCGGCGCGTTCTATAGTTTATTCTCTCTTTCCATCAACAACTTCCCTTCCCTTCACTTCACTTCGCTCTTGACCTTCCGTACAACTCTCTACACACAATACTGACACTACAATACTACCACTTTACATCTCTCATACGTACCATACTACCTTTGCAATGCCTCCATTCACTCCTACCAAAGTGCCGGCTGTTCTCAGTCGTGGGTTAACTAGGTCCCGCATGAACCTCCCCCATCCTCCCATTACCTCAACACCTTCTCCTCTTCCTCACTTTTCATGGTCACCAATGACTCCTGGTAGCCCTACCATACCTTACAATCCAACCCCTATCCGCACTCCCATTTTTACTCCCATTCGTTCTCCTTTCTCCCCTCTTGCTCCCTTTCCCGCTACGCCTGTTCCCCCTTCTCCCATCGTCTCACCTTTCTCCTCCCCTACCTCTAAAACACCACTCTCTCCCCTTTCCGAATTTCTAGTTTCCATGCGTACCCGTCATCAGAGACGGGGAGCCCGCCTTGGAATTAACTCTCCTCCCAAATCTAAATCGCTGTGCCCCGAATGTGACAGAGTAAAGATGCTTCTCCCAGCAAAGTGGTGTGGCCATACAGTTACGCGTAAGTATCTCATTGTTACTTCTTCAACTTTTCTAGTTATCGTCGAGCTCTTTCCCCTACCTCACTGCACTCTACTAGTCGACTTCCCTAAATTGTTCCTGTGTCTCTTGCCCCTTTCCATTTCCACGCTGATTTGTCCACGCGTATAGCATCTCGGATGAAGAATGGCATGCGCGTTGTCCGTATTCCAAAGTGTCCGAAACGAAGAGCAGAACTTGCCAAGCAGGACATGGAAAAGCGGGAAGCGGCCAAATTTTCGAATCAAGACATGCAGAAAAGACGGGAAAGAAGGGCAAAAGTGCCTGTTGCTGCTCCGCCTGTTGACCAAACGATAACGCCTAAACGCATCATTGTTGAGGCAAAGCCGAAGCAGAGCATTGAGAGTTCGCCCTTGGCTCGCGCACCTTTCAAAAACCCAGATCTGAACGATAAGCCGCTGCACTGGTCGCCACGAATGTTCAAGCCTGAGATTGACCGATACAATTGGTCTTGGTCTGAGTGGGATTCTCCATCCCGGGAGATCGAAGATGCCTCATACCAGACCACCGATTGGCCAATTTACAATCCGCTCGCTGCCCTTCCACCACATATCAGGAAGAAGATGGAGGAATTGATGCAGGCAGAAAAGGAGATATTGGGGCAGATGCCCGAAATCAGTGTTACAGCTGACAGTGTTCGATACGAAGAAGTCAATACTGCATCATCATTTCTCTCGGAAGCATCCACTCGTTCCAACCGCCCTGGTTTACAATACGCTCGCCAAAACCAGTCTACGTCGTCGTCCTTATCGGAATTCTCTACTTGGGTAGACGTGAACAGCCGTCCTTGGCCTCCACATGTAGTCCGGATGTTTATTGAAGGCGAGGAGGAACGCCAGATATGGGAAGAAAAGAAACGCAACTTACCGCCCATGTCCCCTCCTTCAGGGTCGATTTCGGATGTGTACATTCCTATGGATTCCTCGGAACCTTCAGCACCTTCAGCACCTTCAGAACCTTCCCGTAGGCTGCCCTCGGAGCCTACACATTCATCCGGCTTATCTTCTCTTCTTCAACTTTACGTCGATAGTGATAGCGATCGTCAACGATGGGAAGCCGAGAAAGAAGAAGAGAGGGAGCAACAGGAGAGAAAGGAGAGGGAGGAACAAGAAGAAATTGAACGACGAGAACAGGAAGAGATTGAACGACGAGAGCAGGAAGAAATTGATCGACTAGAGCAGGAAAAGAGGGAACGATGGGAGAAGAGAGAGAGAGAAGAACAGGAGGAGAAAGAGTTGATGGAGATGGTGGCGAGGGCAAAGGCGAAATATGCCCACGAGAGCTCTTTCGAAGACCCTTCCGTTCATTCAAACTCGGGTTCTTTTGCCTCTTACAATTCCGACGTCGCCAACCAGTACGCGTCTAACATTCGGCAAATTATGCAAGATCTTCGGGTCTCATCTACTGCTGCTCCAGCCGCAGCTCCGTCTCCATCTCCACCTTCAGTCCGAACACCATCTCCTGCTGCCGAACCGACTTTGGAAATAATCGCTGCTCCACTCGCCGAAGATGATGTCTTCGGGATTCCGGACGCCGACTCAGATTCCTTCGGCTCATACAACACCGATGTTGCGGAACAGTACGCTAGCAACATTCACCAGATCTTGCGGGATCTTCGTGGACCACGAGCTGCTGAATCTACCTCTCTACCCGTTCCTGAATCTCCTGTTCCCGAATCTCCTGTTCCCGAATCTCCTGTTCCCGAATCTCCTGTTCCCGAATCTCCTGTTCCCGAATCTCCTGTTCCCGAATCTCTCGTTCGTGAATCTCCTGTTGTTTCACCTAGTTGCGACGAGTCTTCCGAGAGCCCAGACGATCATTCGGGCTCCTATGGCTCTTACAACTCAGACGTCGCCAACCAGTACGCCTCTAACATCCAGCGGATTATGCAAGAACTTCGCGCATCGTCTAATGTGGCTCCGGTTTCGGCACCTGCACCTGCTTCTCGTACTGCTTCTTCTCTGGGCTCTCGTTCGGGCTCGCGTTCTGGTTCACGTTCGGGTTCTACTTCTGCCCCGTCTCCCCCTCAGCACTTCTACTCTAAGCGTCAGATCCCATCGAATTTTGCCTTGGAACGGCCAAGGCCTTCGGAAGTACGATCGGAAGGACCTGGATTCGGCTGGAAGTTCCTCGCTTGTGTTGGTGTCGCCGCGGCGGCTGTCGGTGCGGGCCTCGCTTATGCTTGGATTTCTTTTACAACATAGTCTCTCGGTATGTTAGCTTGTTTCCTTGGTTATTTCCTTGAATATTCCTGATTTTGCATAGCTTTTGGATTTGGTCGGGTGTTCGGTCGGATGGTATCTGGCGACGCGGTTTTGCAGTGCCCATGTATTCAGGTTTTGGATATCCTTTCTTTCTTATGTGCCGTCATAGATTGCTGCACATTTCCTGTAGATAGATTCGCTCATTTGCGTCCTCTTTTTCCCATCACTCCACCCACTTGCCCGCTTGCCTCTTTACCTTAGTCATCACCCCCCTTTTCCCTTTCTCTCCCTTCCCATCCTTCTTCCCTTTTCATTCTTCATCGCTACATCTCATACACTTTCTTTCGTTCCTGTCACGGTCATTTCGACTCTTATCCTCCTCGCCTACAAGTCGTTCATTTCTAGGGACTGCAAAACTGCGGGGAGTACGAGTACCTGGGTATTCTGCGGTTGTGTTAGGGGGAAATTTTGCTTTCCCATATTGGGTTTTGGTTTTGGCGTTTTTGGCGTTTTTGGCGTTTGGGCTTTTGGGCTTTTGTTTTTGGGTATTTTGGGGTTTTTCTTTTCCATGTTTTGGATTAGTTTCTGCCTTGAGCATCGACTCGGCCTTAGGAGACCATCACTCTTTTGAATTCACCTCCATTTCCATAATTCTTTTCTGTTTCTATCGTGAGCGTTTGGGAAATCCAGTGATTTCCTTCATATGTTTAGTCTTATGTTCTTGTTAAAAGTCAAATTGCATCCGCTGTATACCTTGCCTGAGGCTTCTAGGTAGGTACCTAACATAGGCGGACATATTTACGGAATCAACTCCACAGAGGTAAGTTCGCTTCCAGTGAAGCTATAGCCCTTCTACCTCGATATCTAAGTGTCTGTTCCTGCTTGATTTTCACTGTCTGGGCCTACTCTCTGGCGGCCCTGCTGCCCCTGCACAGGTAAGCTACAAGGTGGTACTCGTCTCAACGTATGTATCAATAATTCGACCAGCTCAATGCTACATGCAAAAACCCCGGAACGATGCACTCTCTCGTTCTCGGATATGCATACGGTAGTGCATACGGTAATAGATGGTCTGATGGCCTAGCAGTGTGGAAGATCTTCATAATAAAGATTGGAGTAAATTGGTTAGAGCGTACTTTTGGACATATCTCCGGAATATTAATAGAAATAGCTAAAGTGGCCCGGGTATGATGCGCATCGGGACCAACTCTTTTTGGTCTAGAGTAGGATTATAACCATACCAGCCTTATGCTGCCCTTGTTACGAAACGCGACTGAGTTATGCGAAAGCTGACGAGTCTTCTTTAAATACCTAGAGGACTCGTATACCTATGGCGATAATGAACGTTGCTGAAGTTAACCTCTAGTTTTTCTCCTTTAATTTATTTTTTTAATTCGAATTTTCACCGGCCCGGAAAATGCAGCAGAAATTACGGTATAAATCGTTGCTCGGCCAGCATGACATTCGTGTCATTCGATTACTTACACCAGCAGATGATCCCGTTCACGCAGAAGGACCAGTGCACTGTGAGATTGTACATGTTGCGCTTGGAGAAGACAATCTCGTCACCAATGCCGGGAGTGCGACGAAGGGATCCAATGGCATTTGGCCAGTAAGCGTGGACATCACTGTCAATAACAGCGACTCCAAGACATCGCAGCAGACAGGATTTAACCCGCTCTTTGAAAAGAGCTTGGTGGAACGCATGACCCCGTTCGCAAATCTACCTGTCGTGCCTTACTTTGAAGGTCCCAAATGGCTCAGGGAAAGCGCACCAAAGGTCGGTGATCGTACGGTACCAGCGTGGGACCCCAATCAGGACGAAGAGGCTAGCTTGCCCTGGCGATACACCTGGGGCGATTTCGTCGCCTTATCTTATGTTTGGGGTGACCCATCCATCAGGCGCGACATTATTGTCGACGGTGTACCCATATCAGTGACAGCTAGTCTCGAAGGAGCGCTGCGGGAATTACGACATCACAGCCGCATACAACAAGGCTTCTTCGTCTGGGTCGATGCTCTATGCATAAACCAAGAAGACATGGATGAGCGATCTGCCCAGGTCGCAAAAATGAAGGACATATACCAGGCCGCGTGGCACGTCGTGATATGGCTGGGTCCTGACGAGAATCGTAGCGACTTAGCTACCTTGGCGCTCCGGTATATAAGTCTCCATGCGGAGGAGGAAGATGTCCTGGATAAACTGTACAAGCATGTCGAATTTTATATCGTTCGCATACCGTTTATGCAGTGGAAGCATTCGCATACGAGCTTACGCATACGGAAAGCCGTGCTAAATGCTATATACTATCTCCTTGCCAGGCCGTACTGGCGCAGGCTCTGGATCATCCAAGAAGTTGTCTTGGGGTCCAGAAATTCACCTGTCCTTTGCGGCGACAACTCTATTCTGTTAAAAGACATCTTCAGAGCTTTAAGCGTCATGAAGGCAGATGGCGATACATTAGGCGAGTATGTAGTCTTCGCCGCAAAAGGGTCGAGCAAAGCCCATCAGAAGTGGAATTTCGTAGCAGAAGATACATACGGGATATCGGAGAAGCTATGGGAGCGGCCGGTCGCGATAACGGCACTGAAGTACATCGATATCGACATATCGGCAGCGCACAATGGCGTGTACGATTGCCTACTCCTCAGCCGCGAAGCCAACGCTACCGACGAGCGAGACCGCGTCTACGGCATCCTCGGTCTGCCCCAGATCGCAAATACCATCAAGCTCATTCCGGACTACAACCGCACGGCGTCCGAGACTTTTACCCTATTCTCGGCCCTCCTCCTCGCGAGCGGCAACGTAAACGGTCTCCGACTCGTGAACAGCCCGGTCCCCGCGATAGGCACCCGCTACTACAAGAGCACGCACTTCTCGCGGCCGCGCTCGCCGAAATTCGTCCGCGGCCACCGCGTCGTGCACCGCGGCTGCGAGCACGGCTTGCCCTCCTGGGTCATCTGCTGGTCGTGCCCAAGGAACCCGGCGCAGCCGTTCCTCGGCCGTACCCGCCCCACATCTCTTTCCGGTCTCATCACACCCTTGGAAAAGCCTCGCATAACGCACGATAACGTTCTGATCGTTAAGGGGGTTGTGTTCGACACCCTGGCGTCCCTGAGCGCCTGCCACGCGACTGAGTCTGATACGTCGTATCCCCGCAGCGCGGCGGCGCCGCCGAAGAGCGCGTACGGCGATCGCGTGGTGACAAAAGAGGCGCTGGCGCGGGCGTTGACGGGGGATTTGGAAAGGAAGAAGAAGAAGAAGATGGACGATAGTGAGCACAATGATGACCATGACCATGACGACGATAACCCCACCTTAGCCTCGGCGGTGATGCACCAGACGATATGGAGCACGGGCATCAACGGCGTGGACAACAACATCTTCGGGCTGAAGGACTTCTACCAGCGGAACCGCGGGGTGCGGCTGTTCGACGAGTGGACGCTGGAGGGGCTGGTTCGAGACCTGGGCCGGGCGGCGGACATAGGCAGACGGGTCAAGGAGTCGGCGCAGGCGAGGCCCCGGATCCTACGGGTGACGGCGACACATCGCGAGGCGCTGACGCAGGCGATGCGCGCGCTCGCGTGGAGGAGGCTCGTGGTTACGGAGAGGGGATACTTCGGGCTGGTTCCGGCCGCCGCTAGGGAGGGGGATGTGCTCGCTGTGGTGGCGGGGTGCGATGCGCCGCTGCTTTTGAGGGAGGTTGGAAGGGAGGGTGAGGAGAAGGAGAAGAAAGGGCTTGGAGATAGGAGGTTTCAGGTGATTGGGGAGGCGTATGTGCATTGGGTGACGGGGAGGGAGATACAGGAGATGGTTGAGGAGGGGACGGATGAGGTGGGTGATATTTGGATTTGTTGATTGATTGATTAAGAGGATGATGTTTGAGGTCTGGATGGTTTATTACTATTGATTATAGTTGAGATACCATTATGAGGTAGGTAGGTACCTTGTCTTGTATATCTAATGCTCCGAGGAGTATGGCATGAGATCTACCTACCTCCTCATGAATATGGAGAGTTTGGTGTTTGGGGGGTTCTGGATATCCCGAACGTCTACGATACCTGATATGATAGTTGGTATTGGGAGAGACCTAAACGAAAAAGGGGTAGGTGAACTTAAAATTACACAGTGGAATGTATGCTGATTTACTTAAGTCTCACATTTAGGTTATAGTGCACATTGAGGAGCACATTCAGGATTCAAACGAGTGTGTAAATTATGTACCTGAATCGCACTACCACTAGATACACCTGTATACTGGCCCCTAACAAAGGCCACGCCAGATAAACATTCCACTACTGCCAAACGACGACGACAAGTGAGATCCACCACTCCAGCACCAAGAGAATGAGCGATATCGTGTGCACCTCGAGAGGTAGCGATAGACTTTGGCTTTCCAAGCCTAGCTGGTTTCATCAGACATTGACTACCAGGGGAAGTTACCTAGCTGTAACGGAGGGTTCCTCGTAGAGTAAGAAGCAGCACGTCTCGATTGTTATCGGACGGCGCCCAAGCTTTTTTCGCTTTCTTCACTCAGACGACGGAGAGGCCTCCTCATACCCGTCGATAACGTGCTGGGGACTGCGTTTTTCAGACGGAGAAGAGGAAGCCTCTTCGTAGCCGTCAATAACATGCTGGGGGTGTCGCTTCTCGGATGAGGGAGAGGAAACCTCTTCATACCCATCGATGACGTGTTGAGGGCTTCGCTTGTTGGATGAGGGCGAGGAAACCTCCTCGTAGCCGTCGATGACGTGCTGCGGACTGCGCTTGTCGGATGACGACGTGATCTCCTCATATCCGTCATTAACATATTGAGGGCTGCGTTTTTCGGACGGGGAGGAGGATGCCTCTTCGTAGCTATCTATAACGTGTTGAGGGCTGCGTTTGCCAGAAGAGGGAGAAGAGACCTCCTCGTACCCATCGATAACATGCTGCGGACTACGCTTGTTCGACGAGGGAGCTACCTCCTCGTAGCCGTCAATGACATGTTGAGGGCTACGCTTGCTGGAGGAAGGGGATACCTCCTCATATCCATCGATGACGTGCTGGGGGCTACGCTTTTCCCATGGCTCAGGAGCATTGAGCTTTGCCAGGGCTCGCTCTAATGCCTCACCCTGGAGTTTAGGCACGGGAGAAGCAAAAACATGAGCACTCAACGTAATGAGAAGAGTTGTGATCTGATCGAACTTCATTCTGTGCTGATGAGGAACGAGTAAGTACAATGGTTTTTGAAAAGGGGTTTGTTTCGTAAAGGCTCTCTAGTGAAAATGATGCGCTTGACTTAAGAGTTCGCAACTGTGGAGGTCTAGTGGATGTCCTCTGTCCATCTATAGTACTTCACCAAAGGAACAAACCTCATTTTATATACCATGATTTAGCTGGATCTATCAACCGGTCAACCTATTGTCCCTACTCGTTCTGGCTTTCAACAATTCCATCATTTGGCCTTGCACGCATACCATTCACTCTAGCCACCTACGAAACTCTCCGCTCTAACACTAGTAAAGGGGCTACAGGAGGTTCCATTCGCAAAACACTACGTTGACTTGATCCCTTCGTTAGTTCTGCCGAAGATCGCACTGACACGACATTCTCACGCTGCATAGCGCAATTAACCCAACACCTCCTGTTGTTTTTGTCGTCGTAAAAAGATACCAAATCAAGAATATGAGCCCGGCCGTCGCTTACATCGGCTCTTCGCACGTCGTCGCATGTGAGACGCCTCCGTCTCTCCAGGTCATCATGATGGTGACAGGTATGTACATAATTATGAGCTTATTCCAATGACGGTGCTTATTCGCATATGCATGCTGACTCTGTGTATCTAATCTACCCAATCTACTTGGTATTTACAGCTCTTTTACCAAGGTACCTACCTGTAAGCTTCTGCCGCATGAATCTGGGCTGCCAACCAATACCCCGCAGCTTTCAATCCTCCTTTCGTCCCTGGGAGGTATAGTTTAGGTAACCGGAGCTACATCAATCACGGCATCTTCAGCCACTTACACCTCATTTGCCAATATCCTATCTCTTAACCTGGATGACCGCGATGCAAACAGTAAGACAGCCGAGAGGACTAGTGTGGTCTATGCAGAGGAAGCTAGCCCAGGCGGAAGGCTGCAGGAGGGCTGCAGGAAAGCTTGGTACCAGGTAGGTATGCAAGGACGCGACACTGTCGGGCCACCCCGAATTGCTTGGGTATAGCATCAAGCTAGTCAAATCAAGAGCCATTCGTAAGATGGCGGTTATTCCAATGCTAGAGGTTGAGAACCCGCCACCCGACCAAAGTCTAGGAGGGGGTCTAGGAGGGGAATGAGTTGGAGGACAGGACTGGACCATGCGCGTCATGTATGTCAACTAGCGGGGTTAACAAGTTGATGGAACGATTCAGCGAGGGAAGGGAATGCTCGGAGCCTATCCAAGGACCCTCGATAACCCTTTTTCTCTTCTGACGACCTACCTACCTAGGTAGATAGGCGAGCGGAAGTTGGATAGGTGTATACTTGATCAGGTTGGGCACCTCCTGAGTTCTCTTAGGGACCATAGAGCATATTCTCACATCACAGAGGAAAAAGTGGGAAAACTTCCCTTGGAACTTATCCTCACTCATTCAATCCAAACACGGTTTCAACTTTCAAGTCGCCATAACGACTCTACTACCAATGGACAATTTTCAAGTACATGTGGACGACTCCTCGACCTCTCGCGTCTGCACTGGATCAAACTTTCTATCAGACTTGGTCCATGGCGACGGAGAAGAAGAGAGATTCGTTGTTCGTTTTGGGAAAAGTTCCTATATCTTATTCTTGACCTCTACATCATATCCTTATCCAGAATGGGAGGCCGCCGACGCCATTGAATTCTGCCGCTACACTATCACCAAGTCGAAAACATACGGAGTTTGCGTCTTTTCACTAGGAGATTCCAAGCTTATGAGCGAAGGCTCGTCCGCCAAATGCATGGTCCTTTCTATACTTAAAACTACAAGCCATGGGGCAGTTTCTGTGCGGGATGTGCAGACCTTCCGGTTCATGAAACAATCAGCACCTGGTTTACCTGGGGTTGACACGGACTGGATAAGATCGTGTCTGGGCAAAAGAAGTTGTCAAATCATCCTCCTTACGGTTCTGGTCATCTTGGTGGCCTGCGCCGTTGCTTTCCTGGCTTTACGCTCGATCTCTGGCCACCATAAAGATGGCATCTGGGAGCGCTACAACATCGACGGAAGTCGAGGGCCACGTTACCAACTGCAATTTGACCACCACAACGTATCCGAGTGGGAGGAACGCTACCCCAACCCAAATCAAGAATGGTTCCTCCGAATCGACGACCAAGCCATGATCCCTCTGGACTTTGTGACCGACGAAGAGCTCCGCTACCAGCACTGGTTCCAAACGAGGTACCCCGAAGCCGACAACATCCGTCTCGAGGGAAAATACCTCTCAGCGGCATTCCTCAGTGACCCGGATATCATACAGGTCCCAGTCGACAAGACCTTCCACATGGCACACTGCGTAGTGGCGTTGCGACGCTACTGGACGGCTCGGGAGTCCAAGTCGCACGTGTGTCCGCGCGATATCGATTACCGCCACATGAAGCATTGCCTAGATGCCTTGGACATGTGGGCGTTTCCCGAAGGACCTCAGCACTCTCTACCCTTGTCGGGGCACGGTTCTTCGATGCACGGCCATGAAGGCCATAAGACTAATAAGGCCAGGAACACCGGGTATTGGATCGATGAGTCGGATGATTCGAGGCTCATTTGGAAGACTAAGGTATGCTTCAATTGAATCTTAGCTGTAGAACATGTCACCCTCCTTTTTATGTACTTAGCAGCTTGTATGCTGTGAAGTTTGGCTGTACATTTTTTATTCAAGAGCCATGTCCTTTGCCACGATCTACATGACCGTCTTGACGAGTTATTTTAAGTAGAACAGTCTATTAGCTACAATATACCTGTCATTCGTTTTTAAAAGACCACATATTAGAGATTACCAATGATGCTATGCTAAAAGTTTTACCCCTTTCCCCCACTTCTGCTTTTTTTTTCAGGGGCGCTACTAATTCATACCTACGGCAATATCACACACATCACACACTTGGGTCAACAACCAAGTCTTTCATCCAATAGAGAAGACGCTGATACTCGAGTAGCATATAGAAGTTTCAATCTATTCTGAGAGGTATCCTAATGTTTTACGTAGGAGGTACCTAATGATCTCCAAACCTTGGAATATCCCAGTTCCCCGCGCCATGCAAAATATTTTCTTTCGTCCATGTGAACAACTCGTCGAAGTTCTTGCACCTGTGGGTTACTCTGAAGTCCGCTGCCGGGAACTTACGTCCTGGGATGTCCTCCGTTAGAACAGGCGTCATTTCTGCTGAACATTGGAGTTGCATCCTTATAATTTCAATGCAGTGGTCTGAGATTGGAATTAGTAGACGCTCTTACATGATATACTTAGCGCATCATATGTCTTCTTACCGATATGAGATCGTGTAGTATCTGGCGGATGGTCCGCGAAAAGACTGTGAGTGGCGTAGAGCTCAGGATAGCTCGCCATGCGAAGCATATTCTATTCATGACATAGAGCGTGAGTACAGTAAACCAAGGCTCGATTTAATAGTAAATATTCTGGTTTTGGAAGGACTCCGGGTGGTACTCACCAGGCAGTGTAGCTGATGAAAGACTTCGGGATAGCCCGCAATACCTCCACCTCGAGATTCCGGGATACGGGTCCAGGGCCGTTCGGCGCTTTTGTTTAGAATAGCCAGCTCGCTGTCGTCGATGCGAATAGGTACTCCGCCAACTACAATGCGTCAGAACTTGGGGGTTTATTGAGATAGACGGAGGAACAAGTAATACCCATCCATAGTTCATCCCACGCTCTATCAACACTCTCTCCAGCACCGCGGTACGGTGATTTTTTCAGGAAGTCACCTTCAATGATAACATCTTTATATCGGACGACATCAATTGCCGGTGCTACAAGCTAGTCAGCATCGCTAGCTGACCTAGAACGAGGAAGATGTCTTATTAAACTCACACCAAGTTGTCGTTTCGCGAATACACGCAGCGCGACCATGAAAACGCGATGCTACTAAGAAAACAGCAATTGTCCAAATCACGAACAACACAGCCCATATTGCGCCTAGGAAGCTTCTCTTTTTACTGTGTGGGATGGATTCGATATTTTGCTTCTCGCAGTCCGGGGAAGATAGCAGCGTCTCCTCGCTGAGACGACTATAGTTGGAAGTAATAGTCCAACCTCTAGTAACGGCCTTGAATTTCTCGTAAAAAGACATGATAAACGATAGTAATGCAAATATCCACAACGGTATCAAATTGCTAGGTAGATACAGCAGAAGCGATGTGTCGTTTTAGTGCTTAGCTGGGTAGAGGACAATAAGAGAGAACCTGGAGACTTCACGGTCACAGCAACCAAAGACTATCCAACATACTCAAATCACACAATCTTACGGATCGTTCCAATTCCTTTCCATCACGTTCTCCTAATTTTCACATCTGTCCACGTCAGACGAGCCCCTCATTTCGCGTTCTCGCAGTCACGGCCGTGAGAACAGGTAGTTGATCACAAGCACGTGCTACCTATCTTCTGCGGCAACTTCACCACCTTCATTATCAAAAAAGATTAAGACATTCTCACCGCGAATAGGCTATTCCCTGTAGTTGTCATAGGAGGTTCTAGACTTTGAAGTTCTCAGGAACCTTTGCAAGTCCGGCAAAGCGATTCGCACATAGTATACGGTATACCAATACAAGATCAACAATGGTTCGTATGCTACACTACGTCCGTTGCCGCGGGTTGGTTGGATGGGTTGGTACCAAAAGTATAATAGGTCAGGTAAGGTTTAGCGTTGAAGAAATCTGGTAATGAAATCTAATAACCAACACAAGCACAAGCCTGGGTTCGGCTGTAAGCCGGCATTAAAAAATGCGCATCTCTTATAGGTTTGCGATTGCATACCTCTTAGGTACCTACCTAAGGTATGTAGAAACGCATTCCTTGTCGGCTAACGCACAGCCCCTTTTCCGCAAACAGGAACACGGCGCGAGCGCTACCTCGTTCTCGATAGATTTCGTCATCTGAAACAATTCTTTGGTGGTTGCGTCTCACTGCATAAGGCAGTAATCTCGCAAGAATCCCCCGCCATTTGGTAACTCATGTAGGTGAGAAGCTTATTGTGCGGTGTTGCCAGGTATGGGTTAGGTACGTTGTTTTGTGTGTGTGTGTGCCAAGTTAGTTGCAACTCCTCCTTTAGTCATGGTTATGTTGAGTCCTTTTGTCTATTGTAATTCTCAGTTTTGACATATGTACGGTGCACGGTAAGTAACCTCGAAAGGACTTCCTCACGCCCGCTTTATGATGGATGATTGGCTCGCGGTCTATCTACTCGGTTATGCCTTTTATTCATGGGCGATATCATATGCGAAATGTTATTCTGCATTGCTTACGATAGCCATGAACCTTTTTATGTGTTGTTGCAATACAAACACTGAATCTCATCTCGCCATAGGTATTGGCATTGTCCCTTTGTAATTCTTAGAATACTTGGTCAACAAGATTATACACCATTGCGTACTCATTCATGGCGCCTAAACCTGTCTCAGTAGCTTTACTCATATCCCTTATTGCCCAATGCTGCTATGCATCACTCGGCCAGGTATGCCATTTCGATGAGCTGCGAGGCATAGATATCTGTATGCGCTTCTCATCCACGAGTCATGATAGCTCTTCGTATCATCTTGCGTTCTCCGGGAAATTCCCCAGAGGTCTAGGATGGACCGCCTTTGGGCGAGGGAGCGCTATGGACGGAGCGCTTATGTTCCTCTTCTACCCCAACGACGCTCTCGACGGTATGAATCACTCCCTACGATCGACCTGTAAGACAGATGTTAACCCCCTAGCATATAGGTCTCACTGTGAGCGTGAGATCCACCACGTAAGTGAAATCTCCTTTTATCATATCTGCTATTAGGTATATCCACCAACGTAGCTGCTAAAATCTTCCCTGATTAGAGGACACTATCCGCCAGCGCTCTCCGACTTGCATACCCGGCTCTCACTGCTTCAGACGTCACTTACTAGTGACGGTTATTATATAGCGGAAATCATTTGCCAGGCTTGTCGACTGGACGATGAGCAACAGTCTGCAGACGAGAACTGGATCTGGTCGGCGAATACCAACCAGAAGATGCAAACGAGCGACGTCCAAGCTGAACTACAACTACACACAGCGTACGGTATGTCCAAAAGAAAAAAGAAAAGCATAATATGTACTAGATATGCAGATGTGTTCTGACAGTTTGAGAGACTTTATTAGTGCCATAGTGCAAAGCGACGATGTGCTGCACGGGGCTCCCCTGAACGTAACCAGCGATCGCAGCTCCAACATCGGGCAGCTCGCGGGTAAGAAGGGGTATCACTCTACAAGCACGTGGGTTATTAGCCATGGAGCTCTTATGATAGGTTCTTTCTTAGTCTTGTATCCCATAGGGATCCTCGCGATAGCCATGGGAAGAAAATATTCTTTCTTAGTTCACGTCAGCGTTCAGCCTTTCGCTACCGCCTGCGTATTGTTAGGGGCTATCTTGGGACTGACTCAATCTGGGATCCTCCGAAATGTAAGTACCTAATCTTACCGTTAATCTATGCGGCATATGATAAACCCACGTGTCTAACATTTGAAAATCAGACTCCTTACACGAGTCTGCTGGCCCATGGAATTATTGGGCTGGTAGTATCCGCTCTACTATTGCTTCAGATAGTCCTCGGTCTCCGACACCATCAAATCTTCCTGAAAACTCGCGCCTCAACCATATTCCTACGTTACCACAAGCGCGTCGGCTTCGTAGTGGTGGCCGGGGGAGTTATCAACGTCCTTCTGTACGTCGCACCCCTTCCCTCTCGCTAAGTTGGACTAATATAGAAAACAGTGGCCTTCATATTTCTAACAGCAGCTTCTCTGTTATACCTGCGGTTGTGGTTATTCTAACATGTGCTGTGTGGGCATCTCTCCTACTACTACTGAAGCATCGCAGGTCAAGGCAACGGGTCATTGAGAAAGAATACCGGGCAGACGATGATAGTAATGCAGAATCGCAGGGATTCCTTCAGGGTCGGGATCAATTATGATAGAAAGTGTTAGGTAGAGCAATAGGAGTAGATTCGGAAGTGTCGCCTCGTGCACCACTCGCCTTGCAATCCTGATTAAAACAACACCATGATATCACATATGCTTCTCAATTGCTCTTTGGATAAAAAACGTAACTGCATCATATTATTTTAGTGCGTCTCTAAGAAGTAAGGCCTCGTGCAGCGCCTGATAAGGTAAATGTATATCAAATGCATGGTGTAGATGTTTACCTAAGGTACCAAGTAATAGAAAACCCCTACAAGCTAGGTAGCCATCACGACATATCCTTTACTTCACAGCCTATTCTGGACCCATTTTACGTCGAGTATATCAGGTCGCTTTTGGGACCACTCCCCGAACTATAGATTGGACAGGACTGATAGGTCTAGAAGGGTCCTTTATGCGACCTGGTACCGAGGAAAGTATCCTGCAGGTTTGCCTCCTACACGGGCCGCTGCCGTAGCATTGGCGTATAATCCTACCCTGGGGCGTAAACCGGAGCTGTTGATTGGTCTTCATCTTGTAAGTATACGGGGGGTGAGACAATTGCTATAGAGATGACTTAATGACGTGATGGGTCAACCAGGTCGAGAATCGAAAGATTCAAGACTCTGAAAGTTGGTGCTCTTCTCAATATATGTTAGGTATGCATGTCAGATTGCATGCGCATTGGTAGCTGCCTACGTGATGAGGACAATATGGCAATCAATGGCTTATTGCCAAGAGTTATAACTGATCGTATTGACCTTAGGTACGCATCATGGGTCGAGCAATGGGAGCAGGTGATACAGATGGATGTAGGAGTGGGAGTCGCTTACGGGCAAAAGGGGATGTTCGGTTATGTTAGGTTAGGTACCTATGCATCTCTAATATTTTGGCTTGACGATAGCTTCACTGTCTGCTGCCATATGTATTTCAATTCATTAAGGATTAGTGTCAAACGGCCTGACTGTTTGTCACCACTCTTGCCGTAACCACTGTCGAAACGCGAGACGCCGAACTCAATCCGTCCGCTATGTAGGTACCTAACCTAAGGTAGCATAAAAGAATTGAAGGCACGTAGCAGAAAGTAAATAATTACATGTCACGTTCCCATAAGAGAGGTACCTATTCGATATAGCGAAGCAAGTGGTCATTTAATCCCAAGAGCACGTACAAGTTTCAACGCCGTCTGAAGTCCAAAGATGTCCCTACTCTTCTTTGAAAGGTACCTAAGGTGATGTGAAAACCCAAACTCCCAATAACGCAGAGTCCAACCATATAATATGAAATAAATACATCTACAGCCTTCACTCTCTCCTCACTATCTTCACATTTCGTTTCTGACGGAGTTCTTAAGCGCAACTAGGGTAAGGGATAATGGTGTCAGTAAAACCCCCTGATGGCGTAATATCGTAAGCAGTCTTCGAACTCACTCTTTACTAACTCTGCTTCGGTTTTCCGCTGGCTTTCCTGTTTCTTACGGTCTTCAGACGCTACTTTATCACTACTTGAAAACGTCGAAATGGACTCGCGAGGAGAATCGATTTCTTTGGTAGGTATGTTGGAAGTTTTACTTTGGGAGTTGGATGAGAATAGCTTATTAAGAATGGAAGGCATTGTCGTGAGACTGCAAATGCTTCAATGATGAATGATGACCCGAATAATATTTATGGCTTATGGTATAGGTAAATGGTATGAAGCACTTGATCTACCATCCATATTCGAATATTCAAGGGGGCATGGTGACATCTACTTATATCGACAGAGCTACTACCTAGTAATTACCTAAGGTTAGGTACTTAGAGTATTGGTTATAAATCTTCGTAGTGATGTATTGATATCTCCATCTCATGTTCTACCTGTTCACTTTTACTACGTTGGCTGTTCTTCCTGTTGGTGCAAAATGGTATAATAAAGGGGTAGGTACATGGGTACTTGCACATGTTTGCGATACGGGTAACTGGTACCTGTAGTGTAACACGATTGTGTCCTAATAACTTCACATTTTTTCATTGAACAACTTATTTTTTTCAATATCAAAATGAGCCTGTTTTCATACTCCAAAAAATCGCATAATGAAATTCAGTTTCGAATTTTATATTTGATCAATGAATGAGATTAGATACTCACACAATATATTCGACTGTACGGAATACTCAAAGTGAGTTTGGTGAAAGACGCCGGTTTGCTCCGATCTAAAAAAAACTTCATCTGGGGTAACGAGCGAAAACAGCGCACCAATCAATTCGCTCATTTTATCGACTTACAAGATTCAAAAGTCAACCACCACATCATCATACGTTAAACCGTTAAGAGGCGCATCGCCAATTTCAGAATCTTTAGATATAATTCTAAGGAACTGAAATTTGCGCAAAAGGAAAGAAAGAGATATATAGAAAAAAAAAAGAGAGAAGCAAGCAAATATGGCTTCCAACAACGTCCTCACAGAAGTGACTCTGACGTCACTCCCCAAGCTCGCCACGGGCAAGGTCCGCGACCTGTACAGCGTCGACGACCAGACGCTGCTGTTCGTCACGACGGACCGCATCTCGGCGTACGACGTGGTCATGAAGAACGGCGTGCCGAACAAGGGCGCCCTTCTGACCCTGCAGTCCGTCCACTGGTTCAACGTGCTGTCGGACAAGGTCCCCGGGCTCAAGACGCACTTCCTGAGCACGGCCGTCCCCGCCCCCGTCTCCGCCGCCGAAGCCCAGGTCATCCGCAACCGCAGCATGCAGGTCCGCAAGCTCAAGGTGTTCCCCGTCGAGGCCATCGTGCGCGGGTACATCACGGGCAGCGCGTGGAAGGAGTACAAGGCCCGCGGCACCGTGCACGGGACCCCGCTGCCCCCCGGCCTGCGCGAGTGCGACGCCATCCCCGGCGGGCCCATCTACACGCCGAGCACGAAGGCGCCGCTGGGCCAGCACGACGAGAACATCTCGCGGGAGCAGGCGGCCGCGATTGTCGGGGACAAGTACGCCGCGCGCATCGAGGACCTGGCGCTGCGGATCTTCCGCGCGGGCCAGGAGTACGCGGCGGAGCGCGGCATCATCATCGCCGACACCAAGTTCGAGTTCGGGCTCGACGAGGCCGCGGACGAGGTCGTGCTCGTCGACGAGGTGCTCACCTCGGACTCCTCCCGCATGTGGCCCAAGGACAAGTACGAGCCCGGACGCGACCAGGAGAGCTTCGATAAGCAGTTCCTCAGGAACTGGCTGACGGAGAACGGGCTTAAGGGGAAGGAAGACGTGGAGGTCCCCGAGGACGTGATTAGGGCTACGGCAGAGAGGTACGGCGAGGTATTCAGGAGGTTAACGGGGAAGACGCTGGAGGAGGCTCTGCAGGGCTAGGGAGGCGTGACAGGCTAAGGAATAAGCGTAAGAGATTCTTCTCAGGTAGACATCTAGGTAGACAGTGAGCTGAGCTAGACGGGTGCATTGTCTGCATCGAGGTCAAATCAAATTCAAAAAAAAAAAAAAAATAGCCATGAGAAAATCTTGATTGATTAAGGTGAACTAAGATACATAAAATGAGATCCCACCAACTTAACAACATGACGCTCCTCTCGTTTAGCATCCCAATGAATCCAAGCCCTGCGAAATGTAGAGCCGACAAATTTACCCAATTCATAATCTAATGCGGACGCATTCAGTCGTGAAAGCATACACTAAACAATTGATCCTATTATGCCCTACGCTTGTGCAAACACCGCTTTGACGAATTTCATATTGCCCTTTTCAAAATCTTCATTCCCGAATAACCGGCAAAAAGCTACATTTGCAGCAATGATAGCAATAGAAGAAAAAAGAAGAGAAAAAAAGTCGACTCATTTAATACCACTAAGCCGCAGCAGGAACCGACCAGGAAGAAATCGCCGGTGCCGCAGCAGCGGTCATCATGGCAGCCGCCGTGTTCATGGCTCTAGGGGCCCCAGCAATGTGCATGGCCTTGCCTTCTTGAAGATGGGCGCAAGACTCGGTACACGACGTGTCTCCGCACTGGGAGACTTCCAAGCCGATATCTGCCTTTTGGCAGTTGTGTGACTTGCACTGCCTCACGCAGTTTTGGTACTCCGTGCTCTCGTGGGCACTGAACTCGGGCACGGTCTTGACGACGGGCGGGTCGGGACCGGGGTGGGCCGCGAGATGGCCGGGAGCATAGGGGACTTTGGTCTTGTGGACGCCGACGGCGGCGTGGGCTGAATGCTTGAAGGACGCGCAAGCGTCGACGCAAGAGGTGTTGCCACATTGCTCCACGTCAATACCGACGCCGGATTTCTGGCAGTTGTGGGTCTTGCATTGCTTCATACAGGCTTCGTAATCTCCTTCCTCCGCTACGCCTTTAACAGGAACATTCATGTGTCCCGGGACAGGGTTGCGATGGCTTCGTGCGGCCGGGGTAGCGGGGGCGGGAGCTGGAGCTGGAGAAGCAACCTTGATGGGTCCGCCCTTGACTGCTGGAACAGCGGGAGCAGCGGGAACGGCTGGGACCTCAGGCGTACGGGGTACTTCCGGCACAGCGGGTACCTGAGGCGTGGGAGGTACCTCCGGAGCCTCAGGGACGTTAGGTACGTCAGGGATACCACCGTTGTCTCCAGGGTTCCTGAGCTGTCTAGTGATGATCATTCCCCCTTCTTCCTTGTACTGAGCACACGCCTCGGTACACGACGTGTCACCGCACTGGGAAATAGAAATTCCGACCTCAGAGTGCTGGCAGTTGTGAGTCTGGCATTTCTTCATGCAGTCTTCGAAAGTGGTGCTGTGCTTGGCAGCAGCTATAGGCTTCTTTGGCTTGGGGAGCGGTGTGTCTGCCTTGACGCGGTCGGCGACTGGGCGAACACGCCTCTTTGGGATGCTCTTGCTCAACTTAGACATACCAAACATAGACTTGGACGACTTGTACTTGGCGCACGCATCTTCGCATGAGGTGTCACCACACTGCGAAAGAGAAAGCCCGACTTCAGAGTGCTGGCAGTTATGGGTCTTGCAGCTGTTCATGCAAGCTTCAAAGTCCTCAAATTCGCCACCAGCAGCTGCGTGTACGGGCTCGGCTGGAGGTGGGTGGGTGAATCCGCGATGAGGACGGGGAAGGGGGGCTGGGATGCTTCTACCCCCAAGTCCTCCGAGTAAGCCTGTAAGCCCTCCAAGAACGTCGCTGTTCTTCTTCTTGTCATCGTCGCCATCGCAATCATTGGAACACTTCTTGATGCATTCCATCTGATTAGCATGGCCATCTTCATCGGCACAGTTAGCGATACAATCGCAGCTTTGGGATTCAGATGCTTGGGCAGAGTTCGAAGCGGTAGCTGTGCCAGAAGTCGAGGCCGAAGGAGTGGGAGTGGGAGTAGAAGTAGATCTCGCCATTGCCTTCAATTGCATTCCGCTGCTAGCACGCGGTACAATAGGATGGCCGGTGGACATGGCATTGCCAACACTAGTCGCCCACGACATTACGCCTGCAGATGCTCCGCTGAAGATAGTAGAGGCAGCATGGTTGGTAAGCTCAGCTATCTGGTCGGGGCTAATCTGTCGGTGCTCGACTTCATAGTCTTGTTCGTCCTGTGGTGTCTCGTTCTCGTTGGAATTTGAGCTTTTCATATCCAGTGCCTCAGCAATAGCCATCATTTTGTTACCGCGGAGTGTGGCGGAATCGAAGGCTGGGGATTCACGGGACTCTTGCAAGCCAGTCATATCTCCTCGTGGCCTAGACTTATTATTAGAGAGGAAAGCGCAAAAACGGAGCGCAAGGGCAACTTACAAGATGGGTTTGGCCATCATGGCTGGGATTAGAGCCACGAGAACGACTTGGTTCCACATCTTGGCGATGGATTGACTGAACTCGTCGAACTGCTATTCCTGAACTGATGGGTTTCCCTCAGTGCTGTTCTATACTTCGGCTCTCTACTACTTGCTCTGGTGGAGATACTGTAAACATGGCATTACGGGATCGGCTGCCTGTTATATATGTGTCTGCCGTATTATGCCAGTTCAACAAATTTAAGGAGAGATTCGATGCGCTTCAATCCTCCCCGGAACATGGCGCTTCTGTAGTGTCGATCCAATCAACATGGGGTAGGCGAAATACCATACTACAGTAATCTCGTGCTATGGAGGGCACATCTTTTTGAAACATTTAATGTTATCAATGCTGAGGTATCCCTATTGGAATCGTCCTGTCTTAGGGAGCGCAGCTATAACAAGCCCAGAGGGAGGCCATAGGGAGACCCGTCTCTAAATGCCCTCGTGTTTCCGCGCACATCCATTCCATCCCAGCGAAGATCGAGATTTCGTGAGGAACATTAATTACTCCTCGGCATTTGCTGGTACATGAAGCCCATACTTCACGCTTTACAAGGAATTTTCCTTAATGATATTGCAATCAAAGTCGTTCATTACATTTGATCCTAAGGGAAAACAAATAGCGTTATGAGAGGGAAACTCACAGTCCCCCATGTTCCTTAACAAGTAAAAGACCATATTCAGGTCCTAAGCCTTGTCGAGTCTGTAGGTTCATGGTTTCCTAGCATGGTTATCAGTCGCTCCTATGTTTAAATTCCCTTGGATTACCAGCCCTGAACTCCCTAGACAAACGGGGTTTATGTCGAGGGAGGCGAATAGATAACGACCAGACACATAATCCGTATTGTCACATAATAGAAGACTCCTCCTGGTGGAAATATAGAACTGCAGGGTATTTAGTCATTTGAGAGCTCAATCCACACCTAAATGCTCTATGTCGATATGTAAATTACCTAGGGTTTAGCTGCAGGTCCGACGCGACCTTGTTATATTTGCATTGCGGTGGCGCGAGTGGCTTGCAGATTTTCTACAGCCCTATCGAACATACATTGCGATCCGCAGGTCCCTGCTGATGGGATCGACTTGACTTGTGCAACGTGTGAAGACTTCGATACTCGATAGTTGCTATTATTTCCTGCGAGGCTCGAATTATATTGACTTTATCCTTGTCTTTTTTTTGGTATCATGGTATAACAGCACGACGAAAAGGAGTGTAACTTTTTAGAGAATGTTGGTGTTAATGCTGAGAGAAGTCCATTCCGTTAATTAATACCTAGGAGTTGGAGGAATAGTGTGAAATAAGAATTGAGATGTGAGCCAATAAAATGTGTAGAAAGATTACGTGAGTTGTCAAGTGTCGGCCAAGCTGCCAAGTAAGCTGCCAAGCCCAAAAAAAGACCCCACACAAGCTTCTGGAAATGGCCCAAGCTTCGCTGTCAGTCTCCACTTTATACCCCCTGTTCCAACTCACTTGCCCCTCGCTGGCCAGGTGGGCGGTATCGATTTTCATTTATCAACAATCATCATTTATAAGTCTATTATTCTATAGGTTATCATCCACCAGATCTTACAATTCGTCATGAATAAAAAAGAAATAAATAAAAATATGAGATAATACTTAATTCATAGTAAGTAGAGACTTGACATTCGTCGGTCTATTTTACATACCTAGGTCAGGTTAACAGAACGACTACGGTTTCATCTGCATCGTGTGTGTGATGCTTCATCCAGCGGTGGCTGGGGTCTGCCCAACCTCACATAAACCAGCCTCTCGATATGCACGATGCGATAGATCATAGCCCAACCCCCAACCATATTTCATTATGTACCTCTTTGCATCTCTCCTCATGCACTCTTCCGTCTATCTCTACCTAAAAATCACCAACTTGTACTACTTGTGCTGTTGAACAAACAATTGGCCAACTTGTTCAAACGGAATTGTCGCCGTCGCCTTTAGCACGACAACCCGACAACCCGACAGGATCAAGTATGAATTCCAATAATTTCAGCCCTAACTACGTCGATCCAAATCGTATGCCAATCCCATATCTTTACTTCAATTTCCAATTTCTCTCTCTAACTTACCCTAATTTTCTCAGGACCAAATACTTCTTATAGAGCCAACATACCCGACTCTGACGTCTCTCCCCCAACGACAGCGTCGCAAGATCTTAACTCACGACCCGGGCACAACACGACTACCCGAGAGCCTTCACCTCCGTCCTCACAGGAGACCGCTGTGCCTTACGCGCCCACTCCTCCGTCGGCGCCTTCCGCTCTTTCAGCGTCCTCCGAGTCAGAGATCTACGGTCCCAACCGACTTTTCGGGCCTCCGCTTACGGCACCGGAGAATGCTGATCGCTCCCTGATACCAAGCCCGGATGCCCGCTTGAGCCCGCAATATCCAGCTATAGCAATGTTTCGAGACGCATCCTCTGCAGATGAATTTAAAGATGACCTGGCCAGAGCTGCCGGTGTCGTGACCCCTGGTGTTGATGATACCCCTTATATTCAATATGCTCTAGATGCCCTCACTCGAGATCGAGGAGCGTCAGGATACCCTTCGTCTAGTAGCGATGGATCACAGCAACCCCCGTACCATTTCACGCCCACTGCGGTACCTCCTCCTTTCAGACCACCTTCGATCCAATTGCCCCGACAAGCCGCTGGAGGCAATAATGATCCCCAACAATGGCCTTTAGTTCCAGGCCCTCGTGTTATTGCCCTACCCCCAAACACCACCGCAGAGGATTTACAGCAGGGATGGCCAGAGCAGCCGCCTCGAGCTGGATTAGAAAGACAGCCTATTTGGGATGTGTTTCCGGATATAACCGCTGAAAATGAAGCTTTTAAAAATCGCCGAGACCAGCGCCGAAAATTGGAAAATCCGCCTCCGGACACAAAACTTCCCATGCCACGGGACTTAAACCATTGGCAACCTCGGTCGGATCTAAATCTCGATTCAGAGACGGGACTACATAATTGTGGAAAGGCTCTCAAGTGGCAAGCGCCCCTGACGCTGAAGCCCTGGGTCCTGCGAACACAATCGCTAACGCTTTTGGGAACGCTGTGCCTTTTGATGATTGCGGCTATCGTATTCTGTGCCGTCTATTCCATGAGCCGTGACGGCTTAACGCCATACGCCGGTTCGATATATGGCGGTCAATATTTCCTTTTCCGAATATTGCCGCAGCTACTGGCAATAATTATCCTAATTTACGCACAATGTGTCATCACCGCGGCTTTCTGGGTCCTGCCATTTGCGAAAATGGCCGCGGATAATCGTAATGAGCGACAAGATGCTGTCTTTTTACCTCTATATCCTAAGTCGTTTCTCTGGCCCCAACTTGTTGGGAGCTGGAATATCTGGATACCCATATTTAATGTTTGGCTTTTGAATTTTACCATCCCGCTGCAAAGCAGTCTCTTCACTGTCATCTTGGTGGACGGGACTTGGAAATGGGCAACAGTACAAGGTGTGGCGTGGACGTTGGTGGCACTATATGTGTCTTTTCTGCTAGCGCTGGTTGTGATGTTCGTATTCTGGCATCGGCGGAGAACAGGAATGATGCGACTCTGGGGTCTTCGAACTTTGGCAGACATCATTTTTCTCGTATCCCAAAGCAATTCGTTGCATCGATACCGCGGACTCGAGACAGCAACAACTAGACAAAGCATGCGGCAGAAATTAGACGGGTCTGCTGAAAGACTTGGATTTTGGTTCTCCCCTGAAGCACCGAAAGTTGGAACGTGGTATGGCATCGGAGAATCAACTGGCTCTGAGAATTTAACGGAGAAAATGGGCAAGCCGACATGGGCCAACCAACAAGAAGCGTCCCTAGAAGCCGGCGACCAGCTCTCGGACCCGAGCATTCGTTACCGCTACCTTCCGTGGTGCTTTCGGGATGGCCAGATCACTTTCTTCGCTGTCGCTTCTTCAATTCTTCTGCTTGCTCTAATCATTGTCTCATTCGTCCCTTCAACGGATATACGCAAAGGTTTCCTTCCTCAGTTGAGCCCTGCTCCTGATGCAGGGGCATTCTCGGCGGCCAACTTCCTCTACTCATTTATTCCTTCACTTCTCGGACTCATATTATTCCTCATGTTCCAGTCCATGGACCTAACGCTAAGAATATTAACACCGTGGGGTGAACTTGCACGCCCGGAAGGCTCGCGAGCGGAGACTTCGCTTCTCTTGGACTACTCCACGAGTTTACCTCTAGAGTCGACTTACAAGGCGTTAAGGAACAAACATTGGCGAGTAGCTGTTGTGTCTTTCCTATCCGTAATTTTTGCCCTTCTGCCAGTCTTGGCTGGTGGACTGTTCATGGCCCTAACTCCTTCTTCCGGAGCGGCGCGCATGTACCCTAATGTTCCTGTTTTTGGCATTATTCTTGGTCTCCTAATCCTGTACGTGGGCGGGATCATCTGCCTGGTGCCCAAGAGGAGCCAATTCCGCCTCCCGCACGCCGTAACCTGCCTCGCTGAGATCATAAGTTTTTGCTACGATGAGCAGCTCTGCACGGATGAGGCGTTTGACTTGCATTTAATGCTAGAGTCCCACGACCTAGCTGGGAAGCTCGATATTGGCAAGGACTGGCACAGACAGGGCCGATGGGCTTTTAACGCCGGTCGAAATAACGACGAACGACTTGGCATCAAGCGATACAGCAAGTACACGGTCAACCCGAAGAAGCTTCGTGCTTATGACAAAAGAGCGAGGGGCCAGCTTATTTCAGCCCCTCTACCTCATAATAGCAGTTCGCTGTTCAACCACTAGGTTACCAACAGCTTTTTACACATCACATAATTGATATCACATTTGATTTGTATATATTCTTTCTTTTCATTCACCTCTTGGCCATTTAGCCAGTCACCAGATTTAACGACAGATTGATACAACGTATCTATCGTACGGAGTAATCGGACCAGGGATATTGAGATTATGGTGTTTATGGCTTACGGATCATGGATTATGGTTTATGCTGATGATTTGGGTTTAAAAAAAGATATGACGGGCCAGCCGGCCGTGACGAAGATAATAAATGATGAGGCCCTTGGTCAGGAAAGGGTCGATATGAGAACGAGAAGAGAAAGAGAAAGAGAACAAGATTGACATACCTTGTTAATTTACGTGATACCTTTTTGAGATTGCATAGGCGACTACTGAAATGGAAACTGAGAGTTTTAGGATCTGTGAATTAGCTTCGTTTCCATCTGTTGGCATTGTTTGTGAATACATATTGCTGAGTCGCGAAGGAGCTGCTCCCGAGACTTAAAACGATACTATCACTTCATACCTCTCAGGTATGTACCCGACGGTTACGTATGCAAAAGACACCATTTCCCGCATCTTTACATCAATCTCCGTATACTGATATTGCGCAGTTCCGATCCAACAGTCTTCTACGTGCATGAGCTAGTTCACGACCAAGCAAATAGCAGTGTTATAGTCCACAGCGATATCGTATGATGCAGTTGCACTAAAGCACATGGTCATATCGGTCTAGATCTGCAGATGTTGAAATATACCTCCTACCTGAAACTATGAAGGTAGGTAGGTAGGTACCTGGCAAATAGCCGCCTGACCTTCGACATGTGCACCTCTCTCCTTGCTGCTGCTAAGCTGCTGTAGATGGATGAGATAGGATATGGTAAGTCACCTTACCTCCTCATCGAACCACCTCGTCATAACCGACAAACTCACATGCTTATCTGTCTAATCTAGTCACCGCACATACCTCGCTTAATCAGTGCATGGCAGTCATACCTACTCCTCACGATGAACGAGCGAATAGATGCGCCAGTCACCGCAGTTAAGTAAGGAGGAGGAGGAGGAGGGCTTTGACTTTTTTGTTTTTCGAAGAAGGGAGGAAACGAGAGAGCGAGATAGAGATAGACAGCCAGGTAGATAGGCAGAGGGGAATCCACGCCGGTCTAGTTATCACTAGCGAATTCCAACGGTGCGGTTGAGGAGGGGTTTTGTCGGTCGATCTGCATGGTGCATGTCTGCATGGCCGGTTTGCGGGGGGGCCACCTTACTTTCCGTCGTTTGGAATTCCATTTTCGGGGGTGCTGTTTACCTATCTGGGAAATATGTAGGGCGTTGGTGTTGGTGCTGGGGTTGGTCGTGGTGTAGCGCTGACCAGAGCCACGGGTCGAGGACCTCGTGGCATGTGCCGGGATACGAAATATATACCTGGTAGGTGGAGGTAGGTGCATATAAATGGAATGGAAAATCGAACCGTTCTTGCGGTAAATTAGTAAATACACCAAATGCTTCCCATGTATTACCTATGCCCTTGCGCATACCTCGCTCACTACCTTAGGTAGTTTGATAAATAAAAACAAAAACATGAATCAACACACGAGGCTAGCAAAGTAAGTATTTACTTTCAGCCGACTGCGCAATAATAACAACCTACCTAACCTGCCGGTTGTCTAAGGTAGATATCTGATACAGGTAACTATTCGAACTAGTTTCCCACGCTATATGCAGTTTGTCTAAAGACCCAAAATATCGGTACCTTTGCCTTACCTTACCCTACACCGTAAAAACCTTACAGCAAGCAGGCTGACAGGCCAATCTTTTTTTTTTTTTCACCTGGGGAATGGCTATGCGCCAGACCATTGGCTACCGACATATGTATGTCTTATCTTAGGTACCTAGTCTTGACCTAATCCCTCTTCCCCAATACGGCGGGACGGGTCTAATTAGCTTATATTCATGTCCACGAAAAAGCCTTGCTTAGTATTCGAACGAATTCTCGGGCCGAGGTAAGATTGGTAAACAAGACACAAGCGGGTGATTTGGAACGAGCATAGTATGTGTAAAACCATGTGTTTGTTTATAGTTAACTATGTAAAATAGTTACGTTGGTTAGATTACGCGATGCGAGATAATATGAGGTAAAGTAAGGTAGAAGGTAAAGGTAAATTTGATGTCTCAGACAACGTTCCCGTAGTTAGAAAGTAAATATAGCAGTATTGTACACAGAGTAATAATAATAGAAGGTAAATAAACAAAGAGAGAGAGAGTAAGAGATCCCTCAAGTTTCGTAGATCGTGTGTGTAGATGGAAGGAAAGAAATGACTGGATGGCCGTTGAAATTAGAAACGCCCTCATAACCACTACCGTAACCCCCTCCCCCCTTTTTTTCTTTACCATCGCCGTCGCTATCGCCATCACCATCGTATTCATTATCGTAGCGATACCGAAAAATAAAGAATCGTACAACTCGTCTCCTTCCTCATGAGCCTGCTCTCGTCTCCTTTTTTTTTCTCTTCTCGTTGCGCCCCCCTCGCCCGAGCGAGTTGTATGCTCTAATCAACATATGTAGCGTGACAAGATTCGTAGTCTCCAGTATCGTACCTTTCATACCCCCCTTTTAGTTAGCGTGTTAATCGTATGCGCCTTTTTCTTTTCATCGGCCATTACGTGCGCGCACGCGCGCGTCTGTGTGTGTGTATGCATGTGTGTTATTCGTGGACATCCTCGTATGAGTTCGTAGAAGCCAGGAAATCCGATTATGACAAAAGAAATAACGTGGTAAAGGCCCATATGGGCCATTGAATAGGCAGACAGGCTGCTTCCAGATAGCCTTCCTAAATCGATACATGAAAATAGAAAGAACGTAGATGAATGATATGGTGATGTTGTTGTGGTTGTAGACGTATGCCAGCCTTAGCGACTTCTAAGTCCTAAGATGCGTCCTAAACTACCTCCACGCTTGCGCTTTTCTTTGTCCGAGCCATGGGCTTCTAAGTCGTCACTACCACGTCGTCCACTACTACGCTTCTCGCTCGCGCTCTTCTTGTGGAACCCGCGGGCGATGCGCTTGGTGAAGCTATTGCTCTCCATGTACGACTCATGATCTGAATCAAACTCGAACACCGAGATAAAAGGCTCAGCCTCTGGTCGCGAAACAGTGTGGAATGCTGGCTCTGGTGTCATTGCTGGTGAGCTGAGCGGCGATAAGGGCGCCATAGCATTGTGCTGCATACGGTTATACGCGCTGCTCTGATCACGTAAGTTGAATGCCGAGGATGTCGGGCGCAGAGCCCTTGGAGGCGGTGGTGGAGGGTAGGCTGGTGATACAGGGACGGAGTTAGCAGACACAGGCGCCATAGGCATCCTAGATATAGGAGGAATGGTATCGGTGGGTTGAAGGTTGTGGTGCGATTTGCTAGGCTTGAGGTTTATAGTCGATTTCGCTGACTTTAGAAGCTGTCGCCGCGGGGGTGAGAGAGGAGCTGGAGCCAACGATGAAGTCCGCGGGGGTAGTGGAAGTCGCAAGATACTATTCGGCTCCGGCTTGGGGTAGATAGAATACGTGGGCGAGCCATTTCTCGTTGCTGGACGTGGAGGCAATGCTTGAGTGGCGACAGCTTTGCTTGAATCCGTGGATTTCTGGGACGACGATACCGACTTTGATACCGCCACTGTATCATCCTTCTCATCTGATCTGCGTTTCGGGAAACTTTTAGGAAGACAATGCGGTGTCTGTGAAGCTCGTAGCAGCACAGGGTACTGCTCGCCCGGACCAGTTGCACTGTCAAGCCAAAATCTATCCCAGAGTTCATTAGTTGATGTGCTGTAATCCTCGTCAAATGAAGTCTCTGAGTCGGACGAATCTGTCATCCCCGGCATAGAGCCATTCGACGTCAGTGATGATCGACGATTATTTGACTCATGGCGACGTAGTTCCTCCTCCGGCTGAGGATAAGAAAAGTTGCTGTTCGTGAGGCTTAAATTTCTTGGTGGCCCGGGTGCGATGACGTCTGTCGAGCGATCTCCTCCATCGACATGTCCTCCTTCATACGGGTGGTTGGCGAGCTCCATGATCCTAACTGTTCTGAATGATCGATCACGATCGGAATACAATTCTGAGTCCCTATGACGGATATGCACAGTTTATAAGTCAAGGTCGAGAAGAAGTTGGTGTGTTACCGAGACAGGTATACGTCGAAAGAGCAGAAAACTCGTCTGCAGATCCTGACGGTCGAGGATAGGATCAGTAAATAATACAACGAAGAAAAAGATAGGCCGAGGTCAGAACGTAAGTCGATCATCCAACCATAGGGATACCTTATTTATCAAGGATTAGCACTGCTCCCTGACTCGCGTCTAAGCCTGGAAACGCTTAAGAGACAGAAAGAGGCAATGTTTGTGCAGAATGCATAACAGCAAGGGAGACCTCAAATACTTTGTGTGTGAGATCCGTCTTGCATTTTAGATGTTATTCATGCTGTTCCAGTCGAACGGTACGCTACGTCAGAGACTAGGGAAACGGAATGTAACTAGGCACTGGATAAAAAAACAACAATTCCAATACGGGAAGACAAACGGACTCACGGAGAGCTGTTAGTGCGTAGTAGATATGAAAGTAGATACGAAAGTCCCACTTCCGTACGTTGGGTGGCGGGATCGAAAAGAAGTAAATTGGGTGATGCAGCATTATCTTGCGTTCTATTCGTCAAGGTGTAACAATAAGAGCCAGATATTATCCATAATGTGGCTACACATCCGCCCAAGTCAACGAGGGGTGGAAGAACACAAACAGCACAGAGGGAAGAGGCAAGGAATCTCTTCCGTATAGCGGAAAGAATGGATCGGGTAGCGCCATTCCAACCACCATGGGGGTACTCGGGCCTACCGTCGGGCTGTCATGGCACGTCCCTCTCAAGTGATGAATCAAACTGAGGAGGGAGACGCGTAGGGAGTGTCGCCGACTTGTCAGAAACGCGCTTGCGCTTCTGGTCAAACTTGCATGGTCGAGCTCGGCTCTGCATCCGACCCCCAGGTTATGGCCATACCGTGCCCACACGGAGGGAAGTGACTTATAAGTCATATCACAAGGTGCTTGATATATATCCTAACATACCTAATAGTAACGACGGAATAGGTATTGGGAAATTCGGTATTGTACCTACCTAATTTATGCAGGTACAGACTTGCTGTGGCTGTCTTCCGTCTCGATATACCTATTGAACGTACAGTGTCCGTAATTCACCAAGCACCGAGACATTACGGCGATATCGACGTCATGACCAACTCCTACAAAGTATAGAATGCTTGTATCCTAGGAGCCAGGAGGCGATTAGATAGGTACCTAGGGTCGAACTTGGATGTGGATATGTATTTCTTTTTGAGGCTCCGGGAGATCGACATCTTTGGGGTATTTGATATTGTAGATCGTCCAATAGTTCGGGGTTGTCCATATACATATGCATATTAGTGCTTCGCGAGACTGAGCAATCGGTTTACGAATCTTGGTTGTAATCTTGGCTCGGGCTTGCTAGTGAAGAAAAAAGATGAATCGGGGCTGCGAACGAGGGCCTTGACATTCTAGATCCAACCAGCACTTGCAGAGGCTGGAGCGGATTCAGTAGATGCGTCCGTCTATGAATGAAGAAGTAACGGCATAGAGCTGTGAGATCGTTCCTCATACGGCTATGTGCAAGAAAATCAGGAAGAGACATCATAATCATAGGGCATACCAAATTAACGGGTAGATACTATAGTCCGTTGTTACCTGACCCTAGCTAACAGAACGATCGATTTTCGATTAGTAGAGCATCGGGATAGGGAGCAAGCAGCAATGGAGGAGGATATGCTACCTAGTACGGGTAAAGGAAAGGGAGAGAAGAGACGGGAGAGGGGGAGCTCGAGCTCCGGCGCCCAACCCCTGCTTTCACCGTCCCCGGGAATCTTTTAAATCTATCTTCTATCCACTGAGGCTGAACCCACCAGGGTCCGGAACGTCTCCGCTGCCTAGGTCTGCATTTACCTACAGCCAAGACCCTAACAATAGGGTATCCTTAAGCTGAACGCTAATGCAATTTTCAAATCGCCTGGAGAAGGCCTGGGACCGAGGCTATTAAAGCCAAGGAAGTCTAGGCTGTGGGATGAAGCCGTTACGGTCTTGGGAAAATCCGCGATATTCAGTCTATATCCCCTATCATATATATGATAGGTACTCGTGTGTCCTGTGTTAGGAGGTAGGTATTATACGTAAGTGTTAAAACAATCCCAACGTTTTCATGCCTCCAAACCAAAGATTTGAATTTGCGTACCTGACATAAAGACGTATTGATGCGAATTCAGACATATAATTGTGCAGAGATTAATTATGAGCTCGCAGACATGTCAAGCCCGACTGGAGAATTCGAAAATTCTATGCTGGAGATCGACATTGCATCCTGCAGGTCCGTAAAGTCCAGCGGTGCCAACCTCACGGAACCGGACCTAATTGATCGCCTTCCGCGACACAGTGGAGGTGACAATGCCGACAGCTGCAGCAAGCAACTCTGCTACTGCAACCCCCTCGAATTCTGCATTCAAGGGTCCCCCAAAGTCTCGGGCTCACCTCCATACCTAGAATTCACCGAGTGCCAACGTCAAAACGAGATTCGTCAATCGATGTTTTAAAGACATGGAGGCTTGTTGGTCGCTAGATCCATTTTCTATCTGCAGAATGTCAATATTCCGATATTTACTGATGTTCGAAGACTTTGCCTATCGCTTTGTTGATGATACTAAAAATTATTATTCCAAGACAGCGTCGGGGAAATGCATGGTTAGCTCGATCGATGGAGTTTTGAGGCTCTCTGATTACTTTTTTTCTTTATTTTTTTATTTTTTTATTCAGGCGGAACAGGCTGTTTCGTTCCGAGTCGACTTGAAAAGAAGAAAAGAAAGAGTACGAAAATTAGTGTGAAATATGTGAGGCAACCCTTTTTTTTTGTTTTTTCTTACCATCGTTTCATATGCTAAGTTGATAAGTCGTAATTGCAGAACTAAAAGCAGAATTTTGCAAAAAGGGTACGTGAAACGACTTACATGTCAAGTTGAGTGATGAGCATTTCACCGAGATAGCCTATTGAAAAAAATAAAGATATGCCGTTGCATTACCTGAAAACAACTAACCGCGACATAATGCATGCCCTGCACATCTACAACATTGGGGCTAGTGCTGTGCATTATGCTTGAGTACCCCGAGGGCTCATGCAGGTCAAGCTTTTCTCCTCAACCTTATTGCTTCCAAGAATACCATCAATACAGGACGCCATCCCCTGAAAGGCACGTCGAAGTTTCCATAAACCCCATAAAATCCATAAATGCCATACATACACACTATGTAAGGTAAGTAAGGATAGGTTAGGTACATATGCGAACACCCTTTAATATTGGCTATTAATGTTGTGGTGCATATTAAATTCGCCGACGATCCGATTGCACCGCCACGAAGATTGCAATTACCTAAATATGGACTTTGCTTTTTACCAGTAGTTAATAAAAAAAAGAAAAGTGGGAAAATTCATTTTTGATACTGCTGCTTCTTCATATGCTAATACGTAAAGCAGTCTGTACTTACGGTTAAAAAGGGGGGTAAATTGGTACTGCTGGATTGACATTTGTGGGTTAAATTAGAGAAATGATTTTGATGTGCTTTTATTACGTAGAAATACGATGCGCATCATCATCGGTCCCCATACTTTATTTTATTTTATTTTATCTTATTTCGTTCTTTATTCTTTTTCTCATATGCTAATCGGTACTAGTCTCGCAGGCTCGCTATATAAATGGGAGTCCTCCGAGCCGTATCGGTACAGGTACCTAAGGTAGGAGGTACCTAGGTAGTGTAGAACTTAGGGGGTAATAGGGGACGTAGATAAGAAGGAAGAGGGGCCGAAGTAAACTGTAAACACCGTCAAATGCCCGAGCAGCTTCAACCGTACAACTGCCGCTTACCGCCCCTCTTGCCGTTGATAAGAAATTAACCACCGTTCGATACGAACCTACTTACTTTTCTCATCAGCCCACATCACGCATATTAAAAAAATGCTTTTGAACATTTTGCTTCCTTTTGGTTTTATCCTATTTTTTTTCTCGTCGTCCTTAGACTGGTGGCATGGCTCTAAAATATGGGCACGGCATACTAACCGAGTTGAGATCTCTTAAAGTAGATCCACGAAATATCTAAAACTATTGATTGGTTGCCTGTCTTCCAGGTCCTCGAACCACGGGGTCTTTCAGGGTTGCATACATAACCATTTTCCATTTTCATATCCAATACCTTAAACGCTGGTGTAAGTAGTAATTTCAGGAAGGTATCTATGTATCAGGACTGCTACCACGTCAGCCCCTGAGCTATTTTCAGCTTCAGGTCGTTGTGTTTTCTCGAGAACCGTTGGATACTCAACAATTGTATGCTACCTTTTTTTTTTTAAATCATTTATCGTCGTGTCGTTGACGGTTTTCTGTTAGTCTATCGTTAAACGCGATCTCACGCAGCACACATCTCCTTTTTTTATTATTTTCTCTAACGAGCGAGTTGGAACCCCTCTCCAATCTGCGCGCGCCAACACTAGAAGGTTAGTCCCTCGTATCCAAAATGTGATGCAGCCGGGTCCCATCGTGGCCAGCGGAGCCGCTAAGGAAGCCCGGCCCTGCATCTCTCGGTGGATATCTACTCTAATTGGCTGATGGTAGGGCTAGACGGCGTTGTCGACAGCCTGTCAGCTACCCAATTCGTACGACAAGCTTACTTTGTATGGTGATGATGTTCGATCCAAGTTAGGATCAGACTTCCCCCTGTTTTTTCTGTGCGAAATCTCCGCTGGCTATTCCCCTTAGTCTGCGCCACAACGATGGTTAATCTCGTATGCTGGCAAGCTGGCACAGCACCCGTCAGCTCCTGAGTCTTGTTCGCACCCACGCGTGGTTAACGACAAGATGCCGTATTACCTAGATGAAGTAATACCACTAGTCACACACCAACCTGGCATCTAAACGTAGGTACCACTTCTGTCTGCAATAGCTCTTAACCCAAGGGTCAGTATAGAAAACGCGCACGGCCGATTCCCGAAATCCATAGGACCGGGGGTGACATGTAGGGTACGATGTAGGCTTTCTCATCTCATACCTACCATACATAGTACCTGCACACACACACCATACTACGTAGTAGTCGGTAACTAACTCCACAAAGGGCTCTAGAAGACAATGAGAGGACCCGCAACTGGTCAAGTGGCCGAGGAGGGTATATAACCTGGTAGGGCGCCTCAATAGGCCATTTTGGCTTAGGCCTTTTACTTCTCCAACGGTTTCGATCGTCTGTCACTCGTTATATTTCCTATAGTCATCGTATATATACAGATATATACGGTTACTATTCGCCACAATGAAGGCCTCAGTCGCTCTTTTTGTATCTGCGGTATCAGCCGCGTCGATCCCGAACCTACACACCGAAGGTCTACCGCTCTCTACGTTCGGACAAGTCCATCACATTTCTATCGAAGATGCCATCGCCAAGCTCGATCTTTCTGGTACTAACTTCACCATTCTGCCCATCTCCGAGGTTAAGGCGGTCCTAGATGACTTCTTCAGCCTCTCTGAGGGGAAGATGAGCACTGCCAGCGTTTCTAACACCGCGGCTGATGGGAACTGCGCCAACCCGGACATTCGCTTCGAGTGGGACAACTACTCGACCTCGGACAAGAAGGCCTTCGTCAACGCCATCCAGTGCTTGATCAACAAGCCCCCGTCCGGCAAGTTCGCCCCGGCCAAGAACCGGTACGAGGACCTCGTGCGTCTGCACCAGTCGTACTCCCCCAACATTCACAGCAAGTCTACCACTCAGCAGACGCACAAGTTCCTGCTGTGGCACCGATACTATGTGTGGGCCTTCGAGCAGATTTTGCGCGACGAGTGCGGCTTCGACAGGGCGATGCCGTGGTGGGATGAGAAGAAGTGGGCTGGAAAGTTCGCCCAGGCGACCATCTTCACCCCTGAGTACTTCGGAAGCCTGCCCGGCCCCAAGAACAACGCCGCCGTCTGTGTTAACGACGGAACATTCGCCGGCCTGCAGCTTTCTCTCGGTCCCGGCATGTCCACCAATAACCCCCACTGTCTCCAGCGCGCCGTCAACGAGCAGACCACCGTCCAGACCGGCCAGAATGCCTGGAACACCTGCATGTCGCGTACTTCGTACCCCGACTTCCACAGTTGCGTTGAGTTCACGTGAGTCTTGACATTCATGTCGATCTATTTATATATTATATGAACCAGTTAATCTAATAAGATATGACAGTTTCCACGCCCAAGGCCACAACGGTGTTGGAGGTGTTATGGCCGATGCCATCGCCTCGCCCGGCGACCCGTCTTTCTTCATGCACCACCTGTTCGTCGACTATGCCTTCCGCAAGTGGCAGCTCGACGACCCAAAGCGCACCACTACCATCAGCGGATGCGCCGACAACCAGAACTGCGCTCCTCTGACCATGGACACCATGGTGTACATCGGCAACATCTGCGGCGAGAAGTGCCCCGACCTCAAGGTCCGCGACCTCCTCAACACCCAGAGCGGCCATTTCTGCTACCGCTACAACTACTAGAGAAGAGTGAAGCGGCGTGGCGTTGGCGTGGCGTAGGAGCATGACCGCGTGTGCGCGGAAAGGTGCTTTTTTGACGAACGAAGAAGGAAGTGTACCTGTATAAAGAACGAAAAAGAAAACTTTGCCATGGCTTTAGACGAGGGGGGGTTGGCGCGTGCCTGGATCGCAACTAAAGATACCATTACATCGAACAAATGAATCTGCCTCTTGCCATATATAGAAAACTAATACTATTGTAATTAGACAAAATCAACCTCTAATGTTCAATGGCACGCTTCCCTTTGACTTGTGTCTTCGTGATGATATTCTGCATTCGTTAGGTACCTAAGCTAAGTTACATCTTAAAAGACGACCTGAGTTTATCTGGGGTCCTGAGGGCATATACAACCTCCTGTACGTAGCCGTTCTAGCTTATCGTGCAGAACATATCGTGCATGGCATATCGTCGATGGGTCGCCCGATTAGGCGTCTTGCGCTCAATTAATATACCGAGTTCCCGATGGCGAGAATAAGCGGCGCGAGCGAGGAAGGGGTGGGGAAGGATATAGCGAAGCCCACCGAGTCTACGAATAACGCAGCCTGGATGTTTCCAGTCATGGGATGCGATGTGATAGGGGAATACCTACCTAACTAACCTAGTAATATTTTGCTTTGATTGTCTATTTTTAGACGCTGTATACTATACTTTACAGCGGCATGCTGTATGCTTGTCTATCACCGCCGTAATAGGCATGTCTGTAAGGTATTCTGGGGAAATGTTTGTTTGTTTGAAGAAGTAGCCCACAAACACACAGGGTTCCTATTCCGCAGAGTTGCAACTTTACTCCTTTGGCTTGTTTCTTTTTCTGTGCGTACCTGAGTTAGTTACCTGGCACCTTTCATCAAACACCATTTCGAATATTTCTAGTTTAGGTAGTTATTTGATGGTTTTCACTAATGGTAGGTAATTAAACAAACTTCTTAGCCCGATCCTACTCGTACGTGCTTGTGATCATATTAGCCTTTTAGCTCTTCTAGCTCTTCTAGCTGACTTGTTAATGTCCTCGTATTACCCTCAAGCTTATGCGTGTACGTGCATACGCAGTAAGCATGATATATAAGAGAAAAGACAGGCCTACTCTTTTCCCGCGTACCGTCTTATCTCGGCATTCACCCTTTGGTACGTCGTAAAGACGGCTGATTGACCCGCTAAGTGAAGTAATATTCCCGACGCCATCTCTTGGTGGTCATCTCAACACCGACCCAAGCGTCTTGGCCCAAGCCAACCAGTCCGGCCGAGGTGGATATCCGGAATGACGTTCTGGAAGTGTTGGTGAGAAAAGATGATGGCACACATACAAGATTGCTAGCGTCGACTTCTTATCCACGAAACGGGTAATTTCTTAAAAAGTTGGTATGAAGTCAACGAAGTCATCTGACAGCTCCATTTAATAAGTTTTGTCTTTTTCCTTTGAAAGAACAGCTGTATTGCTACCCCGCCTTGTTTGCCACAATGTCGACAACATTGAGCTCAGCATAGCTTAAGCTTAAAGATTAGAACCTTGAGTTGAAGCTTCTGATTGGTCAATTGCTCAAAGCTGTAACATTTAGGTGAAGGGACGGGTCGTCCCATGCTGCTTTCGAGGGCTTTTTAGACAAAGGATTATTTTACAGTTTTTTTTTTTGTTTTTGTTTTTTTCTGTGATGAGCTCGTCAAGGTCCGTTGTCAATCAAAATTCTTCCAAGTTTTGAACATGACAGCCGTCTTACACAGGTAGTTACAATGTAAGCTGTCGCTCTCAGCTTCTTACTAAGTGAAACTATGCAGATTCTGCATTGCTAGTGCACCGCTTCCATGGCAAAGACTAAGGAAAGACCTAATTTACCTCGGAACGCCTTCGCTTCTTCATAATCCTACTTGGCGCCCCCTTTTTTCGGCTGCCGGAACAAACGCAAGTAAAAGAATGGATTTCTAAACCGAGGCTTTCAAGTTGGTAATATTATACTCTTTAGGACCAAAAATTAGGTCTCTCTGCGTTTGCTTGCCGTAACTTTAAAATGTCTCAATGTATACCATCGAACCTATTAGATCTTCAGGAACCAACCGAGACACATGGAGAAACCTAGGGTAATTAACCCCCAACTGTCAACGATTCCCGGTGAGATGGGTTGGCGCATGTCCAGCTTTTCGGGACGTTCTCTCGAGCCTGTCAACTTTTGGCGAGTGGGCTTTTCTCTACCAGTGGACTGCATGACACTAATCAGTAATATTTCGTCTCCAAGTTGCCAACGCACACTTTGCTTTGGTTAGGTGTTCTTAACTTGACTTTTTTCCCCCTTTCCTGTCGAGAAGGTTCTTATGTATGATGTTGATGTCAGAAAAGACGTTTTGGGTATCCTAGGCCCCAGCCGAATTCAATTTTCCTACCTTGTTCCCGTGTCTTGGGTATTACCGCCTTGGTGGAAGCGTACGAATGTACGATGAAAGCTGAACAGATCTAGATTTCATTACGGCGTCATACCCTTTCCCCAGCTCTTTGCTTCTACCGCAGAAAATTCTCGAGCTGAAAGTATCTATTTCGATGAAGCTCATTGGAGAAATATCGAAACTCCGATAAACCTTATCGCATCAAGACATCAAGACGGGCATTTGTATGCAGTTGAATTCTGACCAGTCATCTGCCGAGTACATATTGAATTGCTAGAAAGTTCGTCCATAGTAAAAGCGATGGTGTATAAAAGCAGGATACCAACAGGATACCAACGGTGGTATTCTAGGTAAAATAATAGGTAGTAGTCTCAGAGTTGATATACATATTAGGTCTTCGCAACAAACGGGTTGATGTATGATGATACTTAATATAAAGCAATGACGGAGCGGATCTATTGAAACAAGCAAGATATTAAAAATATACCTAATCTCCGTACCACTCATTAATGTCTCTTAATACAATGGTGATAGGTAATGATGCAAGTGCAAGACCGGTTGGAAGTTACAAACTGGAAACAGAAAGTGGACCGTGCGAAAAGCGGAAAAGAAGGAGACAAAAAAAAAAAAAAAAAAAAAAAAAGAGGTAATCATGTCCTTAATCGTACCTTCCAAGTCGTGTCCAGTGTGTGTGCGTTGTGTGTCGTGTCTTCCTGTTGTGTTCAAGAAGGAGCGGCGCTTTAATTTTTTTTAGCCAGCTCCTTTCTTAACAAATTTATTTCAAATCGGCGAGCCATTGAAATTTGAACATGATAACATATATTTCTTTATTATCATCCAAGTATTTCAATCACCTAACCCCGCCATTCGCTAAGTCTGCAGGTTTTCCAGCGACAGAGCAGCGCTGGCGCTGCTGTCGCCGCTGAGTGTGCATGGTAACATAGGTCGTGCATCTTGAGCACCAGGTTGCCGGGACACACTCAAGAGATGCGCAGCTTGAAAAACGCCCTGAACGACAGAAAGGAAAACAAACAATTGTAAAGGGGAAAAAAGGGCTTTTTATTATACCTCGACATCTACGATATTACTGATAATACGCGTCACATTTTTTTTTCTTTTTTTACAATATACATCTGCCTTCTCGTTTGAAAAGCCGTTTGAAGCCTTGTCGTCGCTATCATCGTCGTTCGCGCATCCCTAGCGAAATCTCCCGCGATCGGGTCACCGCGATTATATCTATCCTCAAACACAAAACCAGCCATCCGTATTTTCCACATTGGCCCAACCTCCCTCTTTACAACCCTCATCACTAGATCTTACCATCCCTCACCACAAACACCTTCCCCCTTTGGATCCAGAAGTACCAATTCCTATAACCGCTTACCTAAAGATACTTGCGATATCGTTTCGCATACTTTCTTTCCCTTTCCACATTTTCCCTTTCGACCAGGCCTCAGCACTACTGTGCTCTTTGGTCGTACGTATCACTTACCTACATCTGCAAATCAACCTACATCCTGCAGCCGACCTCTCATATCTGCACTATCTCGATTGTAGCCACGTCTTTGGCTTGTTTACAGTTTTGGTGTGTAGTTAGGGCGCAGTATTTTTTTTTTTTTTTTTTACGAGTGTCTCACCACAATTGTGGTGACAGCTCACATTGTCGAATCCAGCTGCAGCTCGCGCTAGTGGGGAATCGACAGCAAAGTTGACAGAACCAAAGATTACCGCACCTGCTTACGACCGTCACGACCGTTACGAATTTTCTACGCCAATACACCAGCGCCAGCAGCGCGGGCTTCATCAGCAATCGTCTCAAAGTCCTACGCCGGATCGGAGATCAACAGCCACCCCTTCTTCCATTCACCGACTTCGTAGGACCCCGCGCTTTTCAGCCTCACCTGTCTCCCAGCCGGACGCGCAACAAGCGCGTCAACCAGTCAACCGAGTTACTGTTACCATCAGTCCTCAAGGTCGATACGTTCTAGCGGGTCCCGACCAGCAAGCTCGGAGAGGAAGTCCGAAACAACCTAGACGGCAGCTATCCCAAGAGAATTTAAGCAACGACTCCGAAGCGACATCAAATAGCCCTCCCGAGCAAGATTTTGAGACGAATCGGTCTGTTCCAGAACCGGATAGACCCGAGCCACATCCGGCTCTTCGCATCTCGAAGCAAACTCACAGTGCTATCTTGTATGCACTTGAGCAAACACTACGCGGTCCTAAACAGATCTCGGAAGACTTGGTCGAGCTATATTCGCCAATGGCCGATCTCATGGGAGGCAGAGGCCCGACAACCTCAAATGGCAATGGCGCCTCGCCGGCGCGGCCTACTACAGCGCGAGCAGCCGTCGGCTCCCCTTCCGGGATTAGAGGTCCTAGAATGATCATGCAGGAGAGAGCTGCCCGAGAGGCTGCGCGTGAACGACAACGCGAGGAGCAGGAGCGAGAGCGACAAGAGAGAGAACACGCCGAAAACGAAGCGCGTTTGCTGGAAGAGGCAAAGCTAAGAGAAGCAGAGCGGAAAGAGGCGGAGCGCCGAGCCGCCGCCGCCGCTGCTGCTGGCGCTGGTACTTATGGAGCTGGTACCGTCCCCGCCGGCACTGATCCCACTACTTCCCGACGACCGGCGCAGCCAGCCGCGCCTGGTCGCATGACTACAGATAACAGTACCCGCCATCCGGGACAATCACGACTTCCTACAGCAGCCCATGCCCAGCCGTCTCAGTCGGCACGACATGGGCGAACTTCCTCCGGTACACAGGCTGTTCCTGGTTCCTCTTCGGTTCCTGGAGAAGCTGGTCCGTCCGGAACCCAGCCCCAACCGCAGCAACCTCCCCAGCTAGGTGAGACTTCTACAGCACTTGGACGAGGTAGAAACTCGTTCCCTCATGCATTTGAGCGCTGGGAAACCTTGTCAGCTCATTGGGAAGGTCTTACCAGTTTTTGGATCCGTAGACTGGAGCAGAATGCGCAGGAGATCAGCCAGGACCCTATTTCTCAGCAGCTATCACGACAAGTGACAGATTTATCTTCTGCGGGCGCTAATCTTTTCCACGCTGTGGTCGAGCTACAGCGCCTGCGGGCTTCATCGGAGCGTAAGTTCCAACGCTGGTTCTTCGAGACTCGCGCCGAGATAGAGCGTTCTCAAGAGGTCACTGGTATGCTCGAGGCGGCTCTCGAAGAGGAGCGCAGGAGCAGAGCTGATGCGATTCGCGAAGCCGTCGAACGCGAGCAAGGCACCTCCAAGATGCAGAAGCAGATAGCTGAGCTGCGCAAAGAATTGACCATTTCTAAGGAGGAAGCGAGACGTGCATGGGAAGAACTTGGACGACGGGAGCAGGAGGAGCGCGATCGCACTATGTCGTTACAGCTTGGTCAACCCACCATCGTTGGCGGTGTTCAGGTCGTCCCGATGACGCAAGGTGTAGGTCGCGGCGGTCATTCTCAGCGAGACCCCCGTTCCTACAATCAGACGGAGTCGGCGGATTACACCCAGTCGCATACTTCGGCCAACGCTGATCGCCCTCAGTACTCTCAAGCCCCTGCGGTTAAGCCGACTCCTACTTCGCGTGATAATAATCCCGCTTTCCAGACACCCTCGTCTGTTCCGCATGAGCAGAGCTACGGTTCCGAGGGAACCTATAGCGAAGGTCAGTACATCAATGGTGTTACAAATGGCGCAGCGAGAAACCCCGTTCGAAGCACGCAAGACCACAATCCTTCTACATATACAAATCCAGCTCATCATACTTCTCAGGGTTCTGACATTGCAGCAGAAGAGTTCGAGACCCCTGCTACTCAGCCGGCCGTCTACCAGCCGACCGGTTCAGGTTCTCAACAACAACAGCAGCCGCAGTACTCGGCAGCTCCGGATTATAGCGGCGCTGGATATGTGGAGCCTTGGGATGATGATATCGGAACTACTCCGCGTCACCATCACCCCACACGCCTGAGTGACGTGCTTGAAGAAGAGGAGGAGCGTAGCCGAACGAGTGCAAGCCAAAGCCAGGTCAGCCGGCCTTAATGCTTACAGAGTAGCAATTTCTTTTTACGGATCCGACCTATCGTACAACTCGAACTCACTAAGGTTGACGTGCGTTATCAAATTCTGTTCTTGTTTGCGGAAGTCCCGGAGCTATGACTACGGATCGTTTGGGGGGGCGACATCATGTCGTTCATTTGCGTTGGCATACTATTGGCGTTTATGAGATTTCCTAATAATTCGACGTCAACGGGGAACCTTATTTATTAATGAATGGGTCTCGAGGTTCTTTATCTTCGCTTCCTCCTTCTTGGGATGAAGCTTTTCCCTTGGCGTATGGAGGTATTGATGGAAGATAGACAGAGCTGCGTTAGCTGCTTTGTTTTCGTTTTCAACAAAGAATCGCTAATGTTGAGTGGCGATGGCAGTGTAAGGAGTGTACGGAGAATGGTATTGGTTCGGCAGGCGGGCATTCTGAAGGCATTTGCGAAAAAGAAAAAACAAGAGAAAAGACTTGCATTGTGCATTTTATCCTACCATTCACTTCCAACACCTGACCTTTTCCCAAAGGTATTAATGATCAGTTTGATGATTGATGTTTCTTTTGGGGGGAGGGGGAAGGGCTTCGTAACCCCTATCGGACTATGCATAATGAAGACGGGTTGACAAGATCGGTTTCGTTTACGGTGGGAAAGATGTGGCAAGGAGAAGACTCGAGAACAGGCAAGCTGTTGCTCACTTCTCCCTTTCTGAAGAGAACCTGTAAGAATTGGCTCTTGTAGTTATAGTAATAGATGGTAACAACGGAATGCAATTTGCCGTTGCGGACCCCGTTCCATTCCGGAGCATGGCAAGGCGTGCTTCTAGTCTTCGTATCCTTGTTGAACTTCAGCACCTCGATGCGTGGAGGTACATGCGTCTATGTACAATGTAGTACAGCATGTACATGTATGTACATGCACGTCCAGGTCTAATGTTCTATGCGGAAAACGTGTGGCTGAAGCTGCCACAAGCGGCGTCCCTCCAGCCCTCATTGAAGCTATCCCATATCGGTGCCAAGACCTCGGAATTGGCCGATCTTTAACTGAGCATCCGTTAGTAAGGTAAGGTACCTAACCTAAAAGCTCCATACAATAATTTTTAAGCTTTCTACTTGAGTAGCTCAATCGAACCAATTCGAAGAGATAAATCGCAAAAAGTTTATAGCACTTGAGGCGCCTAAACCCGTAAATATGTCGCGCTCTATAGCAACTCCACAGCCGTTTCTACGGGCTCTTCTACAAACTCGCCCGCGAGCACAGCAGTGTCGCCGATTCATCTCGACAAACCCCTCCATTCCCACTTCGTCCCCGCGACGGCCCACAGCAGCATTCTCGGGTCGCCAGCAACAATGCACAGCCAACTCCCGACCCCTCGAGCAGCGACGGTATAAGGCGAAGACGGTAGAAGAGGCGCGCAGCAGATATAGGACAGGACCCTTTTCGTGGAAGGCGGGCTTGCTGTTCGTGCTCACGAGTGTGGGGCTTGTATGGTACTTCGAGCACGAGAAGAAGCGCATGCAGCGCAAGCGCATAGCTGAGGCTACCAAGGGCGTCGGACGACCGAAGGTTGGAGGGGCTTTCCAGCTGATCGACCATGACGGGAACCCGTTTTCGAGTGATGATTTGAAGGGACGGTATTCTCTGGTGGGTTTCCTCTTCCTCTGGCTAAGGATATCTACGATATAGTATTAATCAAATCAACAACAGGTCTACTTCGGATTCACGCACTGCCCGGATATCTGCCCTGAGGAGCTCGACAAGATGGCGCGGATGTTCGACCTGGTGGAGGAGAAGATGCCGGGGGCCTTGGCGCCTGTGTTCGTGACGTGTGACCCGGAGCGCGACGACCCCAAGGTGCTCAAGTCGTACCTGGCCGAGTTCCACCCGCGGTTCGTCGGACTCACGGGCACCTACGAGCAGATCAAGGACATGTGCAAGGCGTACCGCGTGTACTTCAGCACGCCGCGGGACGTGAAGCCCGGCCAGGATTACCTCGTCGACCACAGCATCTACTTCTACCTCATGGACCCCGAGGGAGACTTCGTTGAGGCGCTGGGACGCCAGCATAGCCCCGAGCAGGCGGCTAAGGTTATTCTGGATCATATGAAGGATTGGAAGGGAAATTGGAGAAAATAGGGGAGGATGGATGTGTATAATGCGATAATCCGGATTGGCACCCTGGCACCCTTCTCATCTAAGCTTCTAATATGTATTACCCAACCTAACCAGTCGACCCTATGGAATACTGTAATATGTCGGGTCTACGCCATCCAGATGTGCTTGTATATATTTGTATAATCATGTGTTTGATGTATAAGCTTAGTATAAAGAATTCACCTCTGCATTATACACTTCTAAAGAATTAGGTTACCTAAGGCAACTATTATCAATGTACTACAGAGATAACTAACAGCGATTAATCAGTCGAAATTATGGAGTTCCACAGGCTCCGGAATGAATTTCCGATAAGAACACCGGGTCTACTTTAAGTACCTTAGCTACCTTAGGTACCTATTTCGATAAGACATTAGGAATGGATTCCAACTTTTAGCCAATTTATTATGACGATCAAGTTCATATTTTAAATAAGTCCGAACTTACCTTAGGTACTCAACCCTCAACTCCACCTCAAGGAGAAATGTGGCAGTTATGCCGGCATCTTTTCTTTAGTCTAAGTGAGAAATGATTTATCGATAATTTTACGGCTTACTTTCGGTGCCCTTTCCCCGCTCTCATCCTTCAAAAATGAAGGCATTTCGCGCTCGCCCATTCCTGGGCGGCGCGGTGTCGGGGTATATTCCTCAACCCCACTATCAAGCCCGAACGCCATCGTGTCTGTTTCGAGCTATCAGCTGCAATAGCAGCAGTAGTCCTGCACGAAGACAAGGAATAGCTGCAAGCCACGCGCGGCCGTCTATACGGCCCGGATTCTTCTCCAAACGCCCCTATAGCATCGATGTAAAGGCTCGCGAACCTACCGATCCTCCCTCTTTCGCCTTTGCCTTTGAGTAAGTGAGAAAAAAAAAATAAGACCTTATCTCGAAGGATATTGCTTGATCTAGGGATAACTGGCTTACGCATTTCCAGCATTGATGGCGTGCTTCTACACGTCTCAAAGCCGATCCCCGGCGCGACGCAGACTCTGAGATTCCTCCAGGAGAATAACATCCCGTTCATCCTGCTCACCAACGGCGGTGGCAAGCACGAGGTGGAGCGCGTGGCGGACCTCAACGCGCGCCTCGGCGTCAAGCTGTCGACGGACAACTTCATCCAGTCGCACACGCCGTTCCAGGAGCTCGCGCAGGGCCACAACGGCACCCTCCGCGACAAGAACATCCTCGTCACGGGCTCCGACGCCGCCAAGTGCCGCCTCATCGCCGAGCGCTACGGCTTCCGCAACGTCATCATCCCCGCCGACATCCTCGCCGCGCACCCCACCGTCTGGCCCTTCAACCCGCTGATGGGCGAGCTTTACGCGCGCCAGGCCCGCCCCCTGCCCGACCCCGACCCCAAGATCGACGCCATCTTCGTGTTCAACGACCCGCGCGACTGGGCGCTCGACATCCAGATCATCGTCGACCTGCTGATGTCGAAGGACGGCGTCCTGGGCACGTACTCGCCGCGGAACGGCCTCAGGGACCTGCCCAACGCCGGGTGGCAGCGCGACGGGCAGCCCGAGCTGTTCTTCTCGAACCCGGACCTGTTCTGGGCCGCGGGGTACCCGCACCCGCGGCTCGGGCAGGGCGCGTTCCAGGCCGCGGTCGCGGGGATATGGCGGGAGGTGACGGGGGGCGCGGCGGAGCTCGAGCGGGTGACGATCGGCAAGCCGCACGGGTACACGTACGGGTTCGCGGAGCGGGTGCTGACGGCGCACCGGGCCAGGATGCTGGGGAAGGAAGTGGGAGAGCCGGCGCCGCTCGAGCGCGTGTACATGGTGGGGGACAACCCGGCGAGCGACATCCGTGGGGCGAACGAGTACGTGAGCTCGGAGGGGACGACGTGGGAGTCGGTGCTCGTGCGGACGGGTGTCTGGAACCCGGAGAGAGAAGGGGAGCCGAAGTACAAGCCGAAGGTTATTGTGGACGATGTGAAGAGCGCGGTGGAGTGGGCGCTGAAGGAGGAGGGGTGGGAAAGGGGGATTGAGTAGAGTAAAGATGGAGAGCGTCGGACGAGGATTAAAGGGGTGTTTGAGAGGAGTATGAGTATGAGTACCTGCCTGGAGGTAGGTATGTATGAGTGAGCGCATAAGCATAGGAGGTAAGGAGTTACCTAGTTGTTTATTATAGGTACATATGACGGTTTGGAATTACATGTATATAGGTAGTTCATGTAGAGAGTATGTCCAATTCATACATAATTCTTATCTCGAGCTGGTTTAGGTAACTACGAGCTTTGAAAGTGATATTTAAGATTTTTGTATAAGAAGCCCTTGGTTTTCTTGGTAATAATATGAAAGGTATTTAATATATACGAGAGAAAGATAATAGGTATATACCTTACATCCTTAGGTACTTGAGGAAACTCTTATCCATTTAACTCATTGCCCAGAGTTAGTTCTAGCCACTATCGTCAAAATTGCTTATATGCTGTGTATATATCTATTATCTACATGTAGCAAACAACCTGTTATACTCACGAAGTTCAATAGCGCATATTTGTACCAATTACTTGAGTGAGCTAAAAGAGCTGGTTTTAAGATTAAGTTTGATGTTTATACTTTCCTGGTACTAGTTGTCAGTCCATTCAAATTATGTCACTCTTATTATATGGAGCTCAAGTCTTAGTAGCCAGTTTGACAATATTAATAAATACGATTTCTACTTGTAAGTGGCAACTGAATTCACCAATTGTGTAATGCTTCTTGATATACCAAATTGTCATATAAAAGGTAGTTCAGTGACTATGTGCATGTTATTATTACGTCATTCCAATTGAGCACGTTGCTGCTCGAAATGCATCTGAGAGGTCAGACGAAATAGAATTCTAGAAGTTTAGCACGACGAGAACATTCAAAATAAAAAAGTTGAAAAAACCAACAACTGGCCAACTACAGCTAGGTACGCGATATAACATTGAAATAACAAGTTTTCAAGCTTCAAGTTGATGTTATACAATTTACATATCAATACCCTCGGAATTTATTGTTTGCGCATCAGCACGCTATTAGGTATTGTTCGAATGCCATGGAAAGCAGCCGCTTTTCTCAATTAATTTAAGGTTATCACAAGGGTACATTCCCTGCGACGTATACTGCAAGGGGATCCCGGTCCTGCGGATTCGCGACTACCCGATAGCCCTGGAAACTTACCCTATTTGACAAGAGTTACTTGAATACTTTTTTTTTTTTTTTATCTCATTATTTTCTCGATATGCGACTTCTAATAAAGGTTCTTATCAGTTAATGCAGTCTGGTCTCCAGCCCTTCAGCCAATTCTTCGTCAACAATCTTTCACATTCTCTCTCACATCACACACACACGGAAAAAAAAGAATGCCTTAATTCAATTGACAAGTAGCGAAGCAGGAAAGCCTTGGTTTATAATTCTCTCCTCCTATTGTACAAAGTGGCGCATATCATCTGATCTTTATTTTATTCTTAAACAAAAGTAACTTATCAATAACTAGCCTAAAAACTCATACCATCGTCATTTCTTACCCCTCGTTTATTTGGAGATATATCAACATGTCTACGTCTACACCAATCCTCACCGACGATGGACAGCCCTTTCGGTCTCTTCGATCTGTGCTGAAGCAGGATGATGACCCAGAGAGGCTGTCTTCTCAGAATACTGTCCCGAGCGCAAAAGGTTTGTCAATTTAATTCTATTTGCTTTTTCGCTTTTGAGGGCTTTGATGTCACACGCATCCTTCCATCTACTCACTACGCCACCTTGTCGCGTAAGGTCTTGATAATGATATGTATTACCTTGCTGCCTAGATGGATTCCGCATATGCAGTTCCTTTACTAGGAAGGGTAATAGGTAGTTCCAGACTCTTGAGCACATCGCGACCAGTGAATTCGAGGGTTATATACGCATGCAGGTGCCAAGCGTCAGGTGTCAAGCATCAAGCGTCAAGCAGATGAGACTAGATATGTAGGATAATCTGAGATAGATAAGAAAAGTACAGATGCCGTAGGTATCTATTCGTGGAAGCCCACGAGAAAGAACCTCGGTCGTCTGCATGCCTCACACCCCCCCTCCGTCCCCCTTATAGTTACTTGATGCTTACTCTTTTTTCAGCCGTACAGATAGCTGAGCCTGAACCAGATCAGGACAATTTAGAAGAAGCACATCCCAAAAGACAATACTCGGCTGGACTTGCGAAACGCTTGAGCGGTCGTCCACCTATGCTAGATCATAACTCCTCTTCCAGGACCTCGCTCTTAAGTCAAAGCAGTCTAGAGCCACAAAGTAGCCATACCAGCAACCAGTCCCCTCATCACAATCCACAAGATAGCAGCCGGTCGCATTTACATTCCCATCACCATCATCACCATCACCACTTAGATAAATTCATTGCCCAGATTTCCGATTGGCTAGAACGTGAGCGGGTCAAAAAGCAAAATAGGCGATCGAGAAGGGTTCACTCGAGCAGACGGAAATGCGTAAAGGACGACACTGATAAAACTGACACACAACAGCCGCCCGAGAGGTCTAGGGCATACTCTATTGACTCCGAATCCAGCGACGTTTCTTTTGACAGACTGCAGAAAATCGTTGACGACGGAATGAGTGCCTTAGGTCTTCACGGGATTCCACACATTGGCCCAAGGCCTGGCAAGAAGCCACGGAGACGATCCATCACTATACACCGAACTATCTCATCTGACACAGAGTATCATGATGGTGAAATTCTGGTCCCGTCATGTGACGCAGTTCTCGATAATTCCAAAACATTGGGCTATTCTGGTGGGAAACCCTCTACAGATGACGTTTCTTCGTTTTCGAGCAGGAAAGAAGAAAAGGAGCGGAAAGCATGGATCACCTTCAAGAACGAAATCATAAAGTTGGCCCATACCCTGAGACTCAAGGGTTGGAGACGCGTTCCCCTGGATAGCGGAGAGACTATCGATGTCAAACGTCTTAGTGGAGCTTTGACAAATGCTGTATATGTTGTCTCTCCGCCTGAAAACCTACTACCTACAAAAGAAGCACATAAGAGGGTTCCCGCGAAATTACTATTGCGAGTTTACGGCCCGCAAGCCGATCAAATTATTGATAGGGAAAATGAATTAAATGTATTAAGAAGGCTTGCGAAGAAGAAAATTGGTCCCCGCTTATTGGGGACATTTACTAACGGCCGATTTGAGCAATATCTTAATGCCGTCACTCTTACGGCGGCTGATATCAGAGATCCAGAGACTTCCAAGCAGATTGCCAAGAGAATGAGAGAGTTACATGATGGTATTGAACTCTTAGACAAAGAAATTGATGGCGGGCCTATGGTTTTGAGAAACTGGGACAGCTGGCTGAATAGAACTTCACGCGTGGTCACGTATCTGGATCGAAAAATCCTCTCCGGTAATCCTGGTCCTGTCAGGAGTCCAGCAGATGCGTGGAAAATGCGAGGTCTCGTCTGCGGAGTCGAATGGGCCGTATTTAAGGAACTTGTAGACAAGTATCGGAAGTTCTTGGATGAACACTACGGCAGCCCTCGTGCTTTGCGGGAGAGCCTCGTGTTTGCACATAGTGATGTAAGACCTGATGTTCAAACCAGTTTTCCTTGGTACGTAAACTAATGATAGCAGACACAATACGGTAATATCCTACGCGTCCGGCCCGACGACGAGAAGTCGCCTTTACTCCAACCAAACTACGAGCATAAACAGCTTGTGGTCATAGACTTTGAGTACTCGGCGGCCAACACCAGAGGCTTGGAGTTTGCAAATCATTTCACGGAATGGTGTTATAACTACCACAGCGAGTACGCCCCGTTCGCGTGCAACCCGAAATTATATCCAACGCCAGAGGAACAGCGTCGATTCATTCGGGCGTATGTCAACCACCGGCCCGAATTCCCACATCCGGGCGCCTCAACACCGAACCGTACGCCCCTGGCAACCCCGAACCTACAGCCTAGCACGCCCGGCTTAAGTGATACGAGCCTTGGCCCTACAAGCTCAATTAAGGAGTTCATGCTAGACTCGCGCGCTCCACCCGGTGGCTGGAAGGAAGAGGAGCGCCGTCGTGAAGAGCAGGCCGAGATGCAGGTCGAGGCATTGATGGAAGAGACGCGCATCTGGCGCATCGCAAACAGTGCCCACTGGGTCGCTTGGGGCATCATGCAGGCAAAGATCCCCGGTTTTGATGATAACACTACAGATGACGTAGTGGGGGCAGTGCAGCCGACAGCCATTGCAGCATCGGAGGAGGAAGTAGACGAAGCGGAGGAGTTCGACTACCTGGCATATGCGCAGGACCGAGCCATGTTTTTCCTTGGTGACTGCGTCAAGTTGGGCTTGATCACCGAGGAGGATCTGCCACAGGATGTGAGGGGGAAGCTCAAGTATGTGGAATCCGAAGGAGTATTTGTTAGCGGTGCGATGGCGAGTGGATAACCAGCATATATTTCGGAAAGGCTCAAATAACGAGTGAGTACATCAGCCTTAATCGCACTCACCGGGGACGGGTAGGCGGACAGATACATGAGGGCTCTTCGTAGCATAGGAGGAAGATGGAAAGAGATCATGCGAGATACGAAATTTGGACCCTAGGAACGAGTGATGGATTGGGTACCTTAGGTACTTACTTACGCTTTACGTATGAGATGATAACCGGGTAGCGTGTGAATTATATATATATATATATATATATAAGGTATATAAAAGCAAAAACTAAGAGGTGTGCCTCATGTCTCCAATTTCCGAAGATGCCTCGATTACCTAGGTACCAAGTATCTCTCTTGTCATAGGGAGCAGTCTTATATTAAGATATAAGGGTAAGAACTAGCCTCCTACTCGATGGTTATGGAAGAAGGGGGGAAGGCGATGCGAATAAAATACCGCGCGGTGTTTAGTTTAGATATCTAGATTCCGTCTACCTGCCTCAAATTAGGACCAGCGCGTTTCAACTAAATCCGGCGAGGATGTATATATCTCATCTCGCGTTTTGATGTATATTTCCTCAAGCTATTTTAAGTTAGGTTAGGCAGGTACTCTATGTAAGCTACAACTACGAATATATATACATCGGACATTCCCAGTCCTATGATAATTATCTATACCCTAAGTAGACTTGGATGTAGATAATGTATGTCCGGTAAGCAGTAGACACACACGCACACACCTGCATCTATCAGCCTCATATATTACGTACGTATGTATCTAACTTAGGTATCTACCCAGCTCATGAAGGACCGTTTAAAAGCGCCACTAGGTATGTAATCCAGATATGTGGATAGTTGATCTCACCTAACCTCGGGCGTGACGTTTACAATATATATACATCTAAGTATCTCCCATATACAAGAGCGAAACATACCCCCCCGTAGAGAAACATATTTAAGCTCATGTAAGGTATAACACGATAGTCGGGCAATATATTGAAAATAGAAAAAAAAACGAGATTCACGGGGTCGGAGTCGATAATCATGGATGTCAGTTGATCAGGTAGGTAGACAATTTCTCCCGTCTCCCCATTCCTGGTGTCCGGGAATCCTTCTCGGCAAGTTAGTTGGTGGCGAGTACGTAGACCTTTTCTTGATCGAAACAATTGCCGCAAAGTAGGTCAGGTAGGTAGCTAGCTATCTCACAAGTGAGATCTTATTACCGGCCACTCCGGCACGCTCGCGATTTCTTTACAAGCGGCCTTTTCGAGCACGATCGTCATGTCGGGATAGGAGGTGGAAAGAATGGAGGCTCTGATGGTAAAATGCATAATTTGAATATTATAACATCAATGATGTAAGCCACCTGATGCGACGACCATGCACTCGTCAAATCTGACACACCATCCGGTATTGCCAATAATATATAATAAGTACCCACGAATCACGGGGTCTTTCTTTTTCATCCAAAAGCTTTTCAGCCCGAAGAATAGCTGTATACAAAAAAAAGAAAAAAGCCAATATTTTCAAACACTAAGCCAACCAGAGGTATCTTTTCGCAGTAACAACACACAGCCAACCAACGTAGTAATATAATTAGTGGTACATGAGTAAAATAAGAACTGTATAAGCAGACTTGCTCGCTTGTCGTAGGGATATCCAATCTCGTGACGAATAGGGGTATTGTTGTAAAAGAAGAAAGAAAATAGACAAAGCAGACAAAACACCGACGCCATAGAGTTTCCCAAAAAGTAAGCCGTGAGGCCATCCCCTTTCTTGTCTAGCCGCGAGGCTCCATTCATCTTCGCTAAGTATGGTAAGAAAAAGCAGTAACTAGATTTTGTTTTCCTCCAGATAGTACCTTGAAAGCTGCAGGGAGAAGCATGTCCCATTCCAAACTTCGAATAACGCTTTCCAGAAGACAGCGCTATCGTTACCTCCTAGTGTGCCCGAGGTAGCAATTGACTTGGTACCTTCGGCCGTTTCCCCGTAGTCGTGTGACCTTGTGCTTCTATCCACTCTCGTGTCATAGCTTTTTTTGTGATACTCCTTTCTCTGCATCCAGCAGCAATTTTCCATTAAAGACTATAATCAAATAGGCATTTGATGCCTTTGTATCTCCCGAAGTGGAAACCGTATTCTAATATCCCGATCCACGGGCGTAACAACCAGCTTTTCTCCATCTTGCCGCAATTTTTAGTGTCTGTGTCGGCGGCCGGAAGAGGCGCCTTCTTGTCGATGAGAATGGCCGTGGCTGTGGCTGTGGCGGTGAGAGTGGTGATGATCTCGGCGCGATGAGTTTTCGAATTCACGTTCGAGATTCTCGACTCGTTGGCGGTAATCCCTTACGATATCTCTGATGTGAGCAATGCGATCAAAGTCGAGCTCGAGCTCGTCGATCTGAGCCATGATAGCCTGAAAGCGCGCAATTTCAGCATCGGCATTGTCCACCAGGTTGCCTGCGTGATCATACTGCTGCATAGTCACGACGGAGCTCTGTTCGCTGAGGTACTCAATGCGCTGCTGGATCTGCTGCATCAAGCGGTCAAGGTGTCGTGCTAAGGCAGCAAGGCTAGAACTATCGAGAAGGAGGCGGCCTTGAGAAGAGGCCCGGCTAGCGGCGCGCGAGGAAGATGAACCGGCCTGAGCTTGGTGGTAGCGGAGGAGATTTATTTCCTCATCGGTCAGGCCCAATTGCGTGTCCTCGACGGTATTGGCTTCTGTGGACGGCATGGCTCTGCCGTATGAGGCGGCGTGTTTACTTGTGCGTCTACTCGTGCGTCTGCAAACTCGCTAAGATCGCTAAGAATCGAGCGTTGTGTAGCGTCGGTAGGGCAGGGGGTGAGAGCACGGCGGTAGTAAGCGGGGAGGATTCGGATGCAACGTCGTGTACTGCTGGTAGGGGAAAGGTTGCGACACCCTTTGGTCAAGCGTCGTGTCGGCCGCGACTCGCGGCTTCATTGTCTCGAGATGGCGGGAAAAGACAGTGTCGCGGTTTAGAGCGATGGCAGCATAGCAAAATTGCGAGGGGGAGTCTGGAGAAGGTCTGGAGAAGGTCTGGAGAAAGTCTAGAGGAAACTCGGCCGGATGGGGGACTCGAAGGGGAAACTGTCAAGAATCTCGAAGCTGGATAAAGGTTGGCAGGGTTTGTAGAAAGATGGAGGGGAGATGGACGGCTGAATTTGGACGGACACCCTGTATCCAGGTTCTTTTTGAAATTTGGTGATACAACCGGCAAACCACCTACTCCCACTTCGTCATACTATCTAACACAAATCTACCACACCCATACAAGGAGACCTTGTTGCTTTTCCTCGGCGCAATATGAATCCTTCGCGGGATAAGACAAGGAATGCTAGACGGACAAGACAGAGAGGCCGCGTTTTGGCGGTCAGCTGCAGTAGTTTTTGTCTCTTTCGTTTCCCCGCAAAAGAGCGTGGGTAAAAAAAAGAGGACTGTATCGTTAGGTTATTTACGAAGCGAGGGTCATATCTTCGGTGAGCTTGTGCTACCTTAAGATGAGAGCCGGGAGATGTGACGAGGTAATTAATAAAAATAATAATAATAAATAAAAAGATAGGGAGAGAAAGCTCAGGAACCGATGTTTCAGTACCGAGAAACTACTTCTAACAGTAGATGTAGATAATAAAGCTAGGGCTGTCGTAAGTAGTACCTAAGTTGGTTCGATGTTTTTCTTCAAAAATTAACCCTTGTGAACTGGCGGGGCCAATTGCAACCCAGGGTCTCGGGGCATTTGGAAGAAGATCATAGGCCAACGATCCAACAAAATATCGACCTTTTTCAGATTAGCATCTATTGAATGTTGAATAGGTATGTCCTGGTAAATGACATGTTTAATATTGAATATTGAATATTGGATATTAAGTACCTGGGTTAGGTAGGTAGATGAGCCGAGTTGGTGGTTTTTCCTTATCGTTACAACGCGCCAAATGATACAAATGTCACGCTCCCCTGCGTTGAAGGGTAAAGGGTATGATGTATGGACATGGATCTTACGGCGATCAAAGGTATAGTTAGCGGCTATAAGCACGCATGGGTATGAGATAGAATATATTCCGTACTTATCTTAGGTAGGTAGAATCGTGTAATAAAAGTCCATCTCCGAGCTTCCAATAGCTCGGTGATAGTATTTCAATTTTTTTTCTCTCCTGTGGAATTATCACTTTCAAAATAATAGTTAACTGGTACTAGGAGAATGTAGGAAATTCCCAACCGAGGTGTAAAGTGTAGAGTGTAGAGTGCAGAGTGCAGAATGCAGAGTGCAATGTAAATTGCAGAGTTGGAGTAGACAAATTCGATGTTCTTATTACTTCCCGTAGGGCTAAAACTCCGGCTGAACTAACAATATAGAAAACAGGTAGTCGCAGCAATATATCGTACCTACCTACGTCTTTATATTGTAGGTAGAGTTAAGTAGGAGGTAGCTATACCTAGTATTGTATTGTACCTCTTGCCTGTCAGCACCTAGAGTAACCGACGTCATAGCGACGTTCTTTCCAACATCCAACATCAGCCTTTTCAGGTTACGATACGTCAAAGTACCTTCGTACTTACATCAGGTACAAATCTTACAAGCAAGGTAACAAGATCCAACTCGAGCCGCATCGAAATATTTACATTTAATTCAAGACACATGTACATGTAATACATACCTGTTAAAAAAAAAAAAAATAAAAAAAATAAACGCTATCTTCGTTATCCCACCGCACATAGGGCTTAGACTTACTCAGCTTGTCTGTCTACCCGGTGTCTGCATCGCATCTGCATACACTAGGCCGTGATCTACAATGCATTGCAGAAATTCTATTCGGCACGTCTCAATCTAGAAACGGACGTCGAGCCTCCGTCGTATTCATAGCAATCACCCTACAGAACTACCCAGATCCAGATCCAGATCACATCGTGCAGTTACAATGGAGACTTAGCTTACTTGATTAGACCACTGACAGGTAAGACTATCGGTTCTTAAGCTACATCGCCCCGGAATCAAGGGCCTAGGGCGATTTGGAGATATCGAAAGCCCGGAGCTCGTAAGCTGTCATCACGACGTTGTACGTAGGCCATCCTTCTACATATATATCTGCGATTTCCCATTCCTCTCAGACACCTCGGTCATAAAGCTGGAAGAAAATATATGCTTTGACCACAAGACTCGCACAATTCTTGTCGAAAGTGAGGTTGTCCCATCGGCAAGATGTTACTTAAGAAGCTTTCATACCTCTTAGACCTCTGCGCCTTAGCCACAGGGACAATTCTCCAGAATGGCCAAGTGAGAATTACAGACTACCCTGATACTAAAATTGACATCTCCTCGTATGACTTCCGAACATATGATGCAAATGTTACAGAGCTATCTTATAAGGGTAGATGGGATTCTAACAAGGTTTCCTGGTGGTCGTAAGTCACTCAAGTCTATCACGGAAGAAATATGACACACGAGGGGCCTAACAGAGGAGCTCCTGGTGATTTAGAGCTCCCGGACTTGTCTTCGGCTTCACGGGAAGCACGGTCGCTATCACATTCGGAGAACTGACCACAGATACAACACTCGTCGGGTACCGGATAGGTGGTATGGATTGGACTTTCGGTAAGCATGAGAAGATATCTTGTTGATATCCTCGGCCCTTATTTCTATTTTGCATACCTTTTAAAATCACTTGTATATAACAACTGACACATGGTAGTAAGTAGCGTAAAGCTTGATATTATTATATATTCCACTGCAACTGCCTAGCTTTCGCCATGGGGAAGCCCTTTCGGCGTTTTATGAACGTGGGTAGGACCAGGCGCATAAGAGACTAACGAGATATCTCAACATCAGACCAACGTAACAGCGGGCGCAACGCACCTCCTAGTCACTCCCTCAACCCCTGGCGTCAACGAGACCTACCCCGTTAACCCACTGACCTTCGAGCTTCGCGTCACGAACTGGGCCTACGGCGTCCAAATCAGCAAAGTGCACGTAGCCGCTGGCGAATCCCTGATCAAGATCCCGCCGTACAAGCGCACGATCGAGTTCATCGGTGACAGCCTCTCAGCCGGCATGTATACGAGCTACGAGGGCTTGTCCAGCTTCGCGTACGGCGTCGGCGCTGGTCTCGGCGACACGGAGTACTTCATTACTGCGTACCCGGGCATCTGCGTCTCGGACCAGGAATGCTGGGGCAATCCGCGCGGGCAAGTTCATCAGTGGTTTTATACGTCGGATACGAGCGGGAGAGCAGCGGAGATATGGGGAGGTGTGCTACCCCCTTTTTCCTTAATCAACGTTATATGGCGTGCTAGGCTCTATTTCTGGCGTCGATATATGGGTATCAGATAACAGGTATTCAGTTGGAATAGCAGGTACCTGAGCTAAGTGACAATACAATAGACCACCCGGAGCCGTGGGCCTTCGAAAAGCAGGAGACGACCCCGGATATCGTCGTCGTCAACCTCGGAACTAACGACAATAACGCCGCGAACAACGTCAGCACGGAGACATACGTCGATGCCTACAAGAACCTGATACGGGGTGTCCACGGGAAATACCCCAAAGCGCAAGTCATTGTGATGGTGCCGATCCCCTTTTCCTTTTTGCTCCTTCCCTTCCCGTTACATACCTCTCCCCCTTTACCACTACACTCGGAAAAAGAAAACAAAGACTACCTACCTGTTGCCTACCTGTTACCTACCTCTTTGGATAAACTAACCCCTTTCCAGCAACTATGGATGGGCTTCTACCCCTACGGCAACACCTACCAGCAAGGCCTCGGCTTCGAGCAGGAACTCAAGGACATCGTGGCCTACTTCAACTCGAACGAGTACCTCGACGCGCCGTCGATCTGGGACGGCGCGACGAGCGCGACGACAGTCTTGGACGCCCCGAGCGAGCCTTTCGTGCATTACTTTAGTACCAAGGGTATTAGTAAGTTTTCCCCCTTGCCATTTACCATCTCATATGATATACCGGACACCTGGGCCAGGTCAGGTTGAGTGTTGGATACGTTCTTTTGTGTACGAGGTAGGAGGTACGTATGGGGTTACCTAGCGTATGTATTAACGAGCTTCGCCTTTCCAGTGCAGCATAACGATATCGGTCCGCTGTGGCATCCGACGGATGTTGGTGCCATCAAAGTCGCTAGCCATTTGGCGCAGTTTATCAAGTTGACGTTTGGTTGGGATTTGGTAGCTACTGGTCCCGAGTAAGCTAGCCCCCCCTTTTCTTTTTCCTTTCCCTGCTATCTTATTTATGTCTCCGGTGATCTGGCACAGTCATAAGCTTCTGTGAACACTCTCGTGTATAGCAAGCTATAATCATTGCCATTTACCCCCTTTAGAATAGCTTTCGGAACTTGGTGACGAAACTCTGGGATTGAAATTGACTTGCTCTGTATAGGATATTCCACGACACGCTGTATTGGAACGATCAGCAGAACTATTAGACCGTTGATTTGTTTAAGAGAGGGTACAGTTGATGGCACTTTGAGAGAATTCTTTGGATAGAGTTAAAAGATGGATGGTTTTTGGTTCTATCTAACTCGATTCTATGTTCTATATGAAGTGTCCGGGTAGCCGCCAGTAAAGAAGAGTATCTCGAAGTATGAAGCTCAACACTGGCGAATATATGTGTCTTAACCTGTTGCTATTATATTAACTACTACCAGCCTGCTCGTCCCGTATGGGAGCTGCTAAAAGGAACTCTGGGATACACGATTGCATTCTACTTTCATCTACTCATAGATGCTATCCTACAATTATACTTACCCGACAAGAAAACCTATGCTGATTGCTCTGGTTATGCGCACGATAGCCAGTCGCATAATCCAGCAAATATGCCTCTCGCACCTACAGGTAAGCAAGCTACGAGCAGCGCCAAGTTTCTCGTGTAGACCACCTCTATAACTGGCGCGCACGAGCACCTCCCTCATCTGGGCGAATTCACGGGCTATATTTCGTTCTCTAATGGCGCTTGCCGTATCCGAACGTAGTTTCTCTCGGTAGCTAGCGTCATATCATCAACGAATATGTCCTTGCGCCTGTATTCTATTTTATTTTGATCGTCGTGGTCCGGTATCCTGGATGCTTCGCGATACGCGCACGGACAATCGAATCGCATATTGATCTCTCGCCGTTCGCCCAGCCTCCTATGGATAAGAAAAAAAGGTAAGAGTCGGTGCTCATGAGGCTCTTTCGCTTTGCGTGCGGAACCCAGGCGCAAAACTGCTTCTAATCCTAGCTCTTAAGTCTTCGGACAATATCCAACCCGTGACGTCTGCGACAGCTAGAGTGTGAAGCTACTACCCCTGGGGAGATCGGGACAGGGCAGGGTTAGGTAAGGTATCCGTATCCCCATACCTTTCACAGCCCGAATTTGTGGTCGACGGGTTCCCCACGGCGCATTGACGAACCGGCAAGTTCCTTTTTCCCTTTTTAGCTTCGTATTCATGCCATCCCTTTCCTTCTTGGGCACATATCGAACATCGAAACTGAAGTCGAGCTAGGTTTTCATGCGTCGCGAAGGAGAAGGGGTCTGGCCAGAACCGGCCATTCGAGCTAAGCGAAGTTTCAAACGCGGGAAGAAAAGCCGCATTGATCTGAGGCAGGGAAAAAAAGAGAGTTGTTAGCAGGGCTGAAACGACCGTTGAGAGCAAGGGTTTGTATGCTTTTCTTGGAATTGATCATTTGTCGTCTTCATGACTTAGAGCATCAAAGTTATCCGACGATTGACTACTGAGATGCGGTAAGTTGCATGAATTGGATGCGGAATCTGATGAGCGAAGGCAGTGTCCTCCTGCGTTTACACGGGTTTAGCCAGTGGACATAGGAATTTCACCGCCATACGCTTGCTTGACTGCAAATCTCGATAGAAGCGTGGGATTCCGGTCCGGAGAGGCTCTTAGGTGTCAGGCGTACACGGTATACCAGCCTCCTTAGTTTACGACTTGAGGTTTGCCAACGCATACCGCCAGCGACTATTGAGCTTATCGTCCTGGTTGCATTCCCAAACAGGCAAAACTTTGAAGATAGTTATCTTTTCTTAAAATAGTTTAGGTTAGGTAGTTATTAAAGAATTCTCTCACCGTCAGCAGGTATTACTAAAGCGGTGGGAGCTCCTGAGTACGGTAATTCGATGCCAGACCGCTCTCTACGTGAAATGACCAGGATCCAGATAACCCTTGCGCGGGTAGATCTCGAGCCGTGGATGACGAAACGCTCGGCCACGATACCCCCTTGTTCTTCCTTTCCTATCCTGTGCGCTGGGAAAGAGACGGGTTTTGACGTCGTTGTAGTCATTATCATCATCGCCGGCTCAGTAATACAAGCTCTCAAATCAAAGTGTGCGGGCGACGGAGTATTGAGTCCGTGAAGACACAACCCGACACGGGGAGTAGATCCTATTTTCGCAATTCGACGGGCTCGGAATTTTCCGTGCAGGAGACTCATTACTCTCTTAGGCCGCTGCATCTTCGGACGGGAATAGTTGAGTCGGTCCTTCTAGAAGCTGGACGGTTGCAGAGAGGAGCAGTACGCGCAAGTCTTGTGACCGAAAAAATCACGGGTTATTGTTCACTGTTCCGGCGAGCCACGCTGGCAGAGTTGCGGACGAAACACAAAACACTCAGTTCCATCAGGTACAACGCTGACTGGATGCGTCGTCGGAACTTAGCCAACCGAACCGTGGGGGAACGGGAAATGCCCCCTTGCCCCTGTGTGATACCAAGACTTTGAAACCAAGATAGTTGCAGATCTTCAGGATTAAGTGACCGCTTTTCTTCTTCTGTTTCTGTTTCTGCTTCTATTTCTTCTTTACTCTCGGAGATACGTACCCTACCCTACCTCTAGGTACGTGCTATATAGGCTAGGTATACAGGGCCATGTATGTAGAACTAGTGAGATTTCGTATCTTTACGCATCGTCAGCGTTCATGCCGCCTTTTTGGATGACGGCGGTATCAACGGCTTGAGGCTAGCCCTGCAGAAAACGTACGATTCGCACAGATTAGATCGAGGCTACCCAAATAAGGGCTTACCGGCCGACATGATGTGCTATGTCACAGTCTGCGCTAATGTAGTAGCAGACGGTTGTCCCGGATATCCGCAGGGTGCGGCCGTGTCTAGCGGTGGAGCTCTAGCCGACGCAACGGCGCTGCTGTTACGAGATTAGATGCTGTGCCGAAGCTACGGTAAACCACCGATCTGTGCATTAGTACTAGTGGGCTTTTCCTTAGTCCAAGCTCGGGGATATTACTCCTAAACTTGAGAGGAGGCTGATGACAATTCCATATCCAGACGTGGTACATGTACAGTATCTAGTTGGTGCATCTCAACGTGATATATACCGGGTATTTACCTAATATATAACTACAAGTTACGTCCCGCGCTGAGCTCTATAAGCTTGGAATAAATAAGCGGTTGCTAAGGAGTCGGCCGAGAATAGCGTTTTTCGCGCCGAGAAACGCCAGCGTGTCTCTTGTTGGTGACGTGTGACGCGAAGTTTGGAAAAGGGTGCATGATCTCGCAGAAATGAGGAGCGAATCATTTTCGAGAAAGGAAGGGAAAAAAAAAAAAAAAAAAGGAAGAAGAAGCTAAAAATTGAATACCGCTACCGCTAAGACCGCTATAAGTCCCAAGCGCCTGTATCGGGGATGTGGGGCATTCTTTTTAATCCATGCGATCCGCGCTGCTGCTTGCGTTTGGGGGATGTGTTGCAGGGATTTGATTGGAAGCTCTGAATCTGCGTCTGCATATTAAGTACCTTCGTACCCTACACCTTATGTATAGTACCTACGAAATACCTCGTATATAAAAAAAACTCATCATTCGCAAGGTGAAGGTTGTTAGCATCATACCTATATTTGCAGCCTAAAATTTAGAGGACTTTAATTTGAATTGGTCAATATATTGGTTCGGTCGATCATACTGGCTAGGTACCTAGGTACTATAATTAACTATATTAATTTAGGTACAAGAGTTCAATGAAGTAGATACTCTTTTGTGTGCACCGAATGTCAGGTACCTAATCAAATGTATATTGATCAAGCTTATAGGTACCTAGGTACCTCAGGTATGATCTAAACGCCGACGGGATAATGCACAAATTAGCTCTAGTAGAACTTGATACCTACTACAACAGATTACTGAAGAAACATGTTTCTTCAATAACCTTGTAATCTATCTCATTCAATCAAGGTCTAGATCACATTAGCGCAAACAAGACAACTCCTTGTTTCGTCTAATCTTCAAGGCTTATGTTGAGACTGCAATGAAGCGGTGGCTGTAATCTGAGACTGGAACTGGGCCCTTCGGATCTTTAAATGTGAATTAAGCGACGGTCAAAACGACCTGGGATGTCTAGGTAGTGGAGGATCTTGACGATCATCTCAGCCGAGAGTGGCTCCCGATGCATGTCGGCCAACCACAGACAGCCCCTTGCAGAAGAAGCGGTGGATCACGAATGCCCGAAGGGATTCGCTGGGAAATATTTTCTAGTCTACCTCCTACCTACAGGTGAAGGTCAACTGCGGCTCTGAAGTCGCTGTTGTACGGTCATATGACTTTTGTGCTGTCGAATAATAATTAATTAAATCCTACCTGCTGGGGAATATCAATAAACCAATTTTTATTGTCATACTCCGCATCGGAGCTGGGAGAAGGTTGGTCAACCCCACGGATATTAAATAATCTGCTGGTATATTCATTGACGAAAAGGCAATCAATGTATCATCAAATCTACGACTATGGTCCCGAACAAAGCAGGACGTGAGCTTGGCGCAGTACTATATATATATATGAACAAGAACGCAAGGGCCATTTAACTACCTCCTAGGTATGTGTATATAGTAATTAAGCGGTGGCACGACATCTCGTCTATGTACTACCTCATATACATACGTAAGAGGAAGACTAGAACGACGAGAACAACCGACAGAATGTATGTGACTATCTACCTACCTAAAGGTACCTAACATAACCTTACCTATACCTGCGAGGCAAGTGTTTAATAGGAGGCGGTGTCAGCGGAATAGGTAGCCGATCCAATGGAAACCTCGTCAGGATGATCCCGCAAATGAGGTCCTGCTGGGATTACGACATGCCTCCGTCCCAGAAGGACGGGAACTGCGGATAATTCAAATGCATGGCACGGAAGATCAGTGTTAGTTAATCGAAAAAGAAAAATTAAAAAAAAAAAAAAAGAAATAAGGAAGTAGTAGTGTAGTAGCATCAGCATCAGCATCATCATCAGCAGAAGCAGAAGCATGTAATACCGCGGATGTACGTCTACTACCACCCTGCAATCCCAACTTGCAGCCTGCCTTAGGAGGTACCTAGGTAGGTTAGGAGCCGACCAGAAGGTCAGATCCCTGGGTGGGCAAAGAAAGCTACGGTAAATATGCAGGAAGATGCGAATTGTTCACATCAGGTGATATGTCGTGTAAGTCGATAATGCGACTTGATAGTATGTGTTCGCCGCGCTGTGCTGCGGTCCCGCCGGGCGGATTTACCTCTTTGGAATCGAGGCCGGGGGGATGCGGTTCGACAGCAACGTCATTGGTCTATCGGCCCCCATGGAGATTGGCGGGCGTGAGACCCAATGAGCTGGGTTTTCCCAATGGACAGGTGATGATGCGGACAGCCGAAAAGGCTGACAGACGTCCGATGCTCTCGGACAGGCAGTCGGTAATCCCTTGGCTAGTGGGGGAGGGGGAGAAGAAGAAGAAAGAGAGAACCTACTTTATTGGCGACAGATTGATGGGATATGGGTTAATAGATCGAATAGGATTCGAGGGTTCGAGGGTGCGGCACCGCCAGAGGGGTGTCATCTGTGGGATCTGATCAACAGAAGCTTACTGTTCTCGTTGCGTTACCCGGAAGCCCCGACGCTTTGGGAAATGCGCAACGGGTTTCTTGGGACATCGAGAACGCATGGAAGTTCGATTCAAAAAGAATAAGTCGCCTTTTTTTTCTCTCTCGAGATTTTGATTTGTAGATACTAGGTAGATTGGGATGAGATAGATCACGCGGTCACTGAAAATTTTGCATAGGACTATTATGTACCTAGGTATGAAAGGTATGGAATATTATATAACGACAAAAAGGGGCTTGAATTTAGGTACATACCTCTACCGAAAGGTGACGGGACCTAATACTTTATAAAGATACATAAGGTGAATACCTACCTCTTTAGATACCTGGAAGGTACCTATCCAATAGCCTACACCGATTATGAGAAGTATGCAGAAAATACATGCGTAGAAAAAAACACACACAGATTGAAGCATCTGCTATCTCGCTTGCAGATGCGGTAACACAACACAATGATACGTATATGTAATAAGAATAAGGAGGTGAGTGATAGGTCAGGTAGGGAAGTATTCTCAAGTAATTAAAAGCACAATATTTAGGTACGAGCGGGAGTACGGTATATAGAGAGAGCATGGTCTATTGCTCTTCTTGGTTGTACCTCAGTCATCCCAGCTCATCTCAGCATGATCAACATTGCTGATGAAAATCATCAACTACATAGTACGACTACCACCCACTACCTAAACCCCTGCCCACTCACCCATCCCCCCCCCTTGTCCTCCTCCGCCCATTCGGGCCAGTCCTCGAAAGTCCCCGACGGAAATGGAATTCTCATCTTTCCTTATTACGACGGCCCCCACAGAAAAAGCCTCAGAATGCCTGGCGTTTGCCAAGACCCATCCCGACTCCATCTACCACGCGACCGACCAGGGCTAGGCCCGTGATCGACAGAGGCGCTATTATCAAATAGGCACTCGTCTACGTATATCCAGCTCGCCTAACCCCGTAGCGCCGCATTACTATGCAATGGGAGTTGTTCCCAAGCTTTGCAAAGCTGGGTAAGCTAGAGAAAAAAAATGGTGATGACTTGTTGGGTTGGGAGGTAGTATTTTGTCTTCTTCTCTACTGTTTCTATGTAGGTACTTTCCCCCTCTAAAACGTAATGCAATGTAACTAACAAGTAGGTTGCTGATTACGGCTACGAGGCGATTGGGGGAGCCTTCCGCTTGCGGTAATCGTCATAGTTACACGCCGCGGACCAACAGGTTACATTTCCCTAGAATTGTGCGGGTTGGGTCACAACGCGGTCACAACATGCGGTGCTTCGCAGGTAACGAACGGAACGTGATGGTGTCGCAGCGCCAAGGGGGCGAAGAGACCGGTGATCTGGAAAAACAACTTTCCTCGTCCGCTAGTTACCTTTGGGAGGTAGGTATGCATCTTGGCTGGCTTTTAATCCGTACTTAGGTTAGTATTATATTGTACTTCGCACTTAGGGGTTAACAGCAATACCGAGATCAGCGAGATGCTAGATGAGGAGTGGTGTTAATGCTACACTGTAAAACATCATAGCCCCAAAAGGGAATTAAATACTTAATAACTTAATATACTAGTTAGAACTAATATATCTACATCATATCTCTCTCTCTATTAAGTTGACGTTGGCCTTATGATATGCATAGGATAAGTGCCGTAATGATTACCCGTAGAACGTACTATGTTTGTAGTCCTCTTTTGCCAAAGCGCCTGAGCTTCGAAACCTTCATTTTTATAGGCCTTTATAGGCCTTTATAGACTGGGATCGTTTAATTCAGAGCCGCTAATTTATGCTCAGTTGGCAAACATCCCTCACAAGGACTTGAACACTCTGAGACTGTTGTTCTCTTGGATGATACATGATAGGATAGGTATTCCCCCCTGTGTTACTGTACGTAGTAATAAGCTTGTTTGACTCCTCTTGGTCTTTTGGGGTTTCACCCCTGCGTAAATCTCGAAACGAAAAAAAGGCTTTAGAAACTTGGAGCAAACTTTTTTCTCCACGCAGGGGTTCCTTTTTCTCGACATCTAAACAAGGTCACCTGCATACTAATGTTTCCTTCCTCTCTCCTCATTAGTGTAGCCACATCGAAGGAAGAAAACCCGAATTGTATCAATCTGCTTAGGTTATGTATGCATGCTCCCACGAGTAATGATCCTTGACTTTTATGCTAGCAGTGTATCTTGTTCACGAGTTAAGATCGAGATCTAGAGCCACAATCACAGGAACAAGATTTGACAAAAACATAAAAATTTCGAGTATTTCTTTCTTATTTCTGGTTCTCACGACTTGCTCAAAGCTAAGCCGGTTGTAGTCATCTAGATTCATCTCCCATCATACAGAAGCTATTCCGCCTGTCTCTCTCTTCCACTGAGATCTGCGTTGGGTTTAACCCCATTGCTCTGTTGTTACAGTTTCTCATCCCGCCCCTTCCTTTCTCTTTCTTTGCAGTCCTCTTTCTATACATTAGGACTAAGTTAAAATATCCAAGCGAAAAATAAGTAATAGTAATAATAATAATCCGTGAAAAAATCCGTTAACGAGGGTAAGATTGCTCTTTCTTGTTGTTTTTGTTTTTGGATGTTCCAACACATATCCCTCTTTCAAGTTATGACTCGTAAACGCCGGTGTAAATGCCCCGAGTTGGTAGTCCGATGCGCCTCGTCAATGAACAGTCACATCCTGCGTAGATAATAAGAAAATGCAACCCGTTGCCCTTATCCCGCAAATCCCCAATCCCAGTAAGCAGAAGGCAGACCGCCTGTTTCGCCAACTCATTCCAAAGTGAGAAAATTATACGGCCCTATTTTCAGATAGGTTAGGTACCTTAATTCAACGTAGGCGAAATCCAATGTCGGAAACCGGAAAATGAAAATAAGAAAACAGCGAGTGCTTTTGAGAAACGAAGGCGGCCGTTCATGTTCGTAACGTAGCCCCCCTGGTTGGGTATCAAATGCATCCCTTCATATCCCTGACTCTCTAGTCCTTCCAACCTCCTCTTGAGAGAGCCGCCACAAGACTAAGTCCACATTAGGAATAAAACAATAAATAATAACAGCGTCGAAATATTCATAATATCGATTTTAGGGCTGGTGCCTTTTTTTTCCTCTTTTTTTTTATTTTTTATTTTTTATTTTTCAGTGATGGGAGTTGCCATTGTCGTGACATCCTCGCTCATGTCTCTTCATGTTGCTTCGTACGCTAAATGCCTTCCCACAGCCGGCGTGAGGGCACTTGAAGGGCTTCTCGCCGGTATGAGAGTGGCTGTGAATCCGTAGCGAACTCGGTCTCGAAAACGCCTTGTTGCAGGTCTGGCAGATGTAGCGGTCCTGCGACTGCGGGAAAGACGCCGCCGAAGATGGCGAGATGTAGTGGTGGTGTTGCCACGGGTTCGCTCCTTGCGTTGGCGCTAGAGAAACGGTTACCGGTAAAGGAGGAAATGCCTGTGGCCTTAATGAGCTTACGTTGCTTCATACCCACCGAACTGCGAATAAGAACATACCTGTGGTAATGGCCTCTGGTAGTAGAGTCCCGAGATCTGCGGCTGGCCTGCCTGAACTCCGGAAAGAGTGGCGGGATAGTAAGGTGGTACTGGCGCCTGACCCAAGTATGGCGCAGTAAAAGCGGGTTGCGAGTATACCGGAGCTTGCATGGGCATACGGGGTGCCACCGCTGCTGCCATCTGATGGCGGTGAACATCCTCTAGTGGCGGAGTCGTTTCGTAATAGTAATTGGGCCCCGACACAATAGAAACCGATCTCGTCGACGGTGAATTATACCCCTCTCTACCATCAAACGAAGCATCTGAACTCATAGGGGGGGTAGGAGGTAAAGTGGCCCGAGGAGCGCTGCTCGCACAATGAGCCGAATTTGGTCGAGTCTCTACCTTCACTGACGACGCTACTCCGTAGTTTAGTACCATACCCTTCTTAACGAAGCTGTTGAATCCGCTCATACCTTGCTGAGACTGAGGCGACTGTTCAGTTGTAGGCGATCCACCGTCTGCCATCACTAATAAGTTGGAGATCGAGGGTAGAGAGCATTTCGATGTTTCGTCCATTGGAGGCGAAGGAGGCGGTTGTGGATATCCGTACTGAGCACCAGGCTGACTTGCGTACATGGCTGTGGCCATCTTGTAATGTATATATAGGTATATATAGGTTATTTATATAATATTATGTATGTTGGCGAACTTATTTGTAACTCAAGGCTTCTCTCGAGCTGTTGTTGATATTAGAACTAGTTAGAGACTTTTTTTTGTTCGACGATGGTCGTATATATTAGCTGCTGCGTTTATTCGACAAAGGTATTGGTTTCATGAAATTCTCGGTATGTAAAAAGGCGATTAACGATTCGTAGCACGACGAAGCTGGAGATTATGTACGGGGAGTGTGGATACTTAAGTATAGACGGTAGGTTGGCGGGTGAGTTACGAGGGTTGACGATGTATCTATCAGATCTCCCCGGGAGGTATAATATAAACGACGATCAAGCGTCAATCCATACAATAATCCCTGGAGAACAACTGTCACAAATTGGGTGTGGGTCACGGCAGACCTGGGTTGAAATCAACAGTAGATCCCCCCCCGGTATCGAAGGTACTCCTGCATCATCGGCAAGTACTTATAGCGCCCCTTATTAATGGACGAGCCTTGATGTATTGGAGTTCCATGTGCGGCGATGGGACTCTAGAACTGCTTATGCTTGCCCGCCTCTTTTTAGTGGTCCCAATTCCCCAAGTATGGGCTGATGCAAGGGTGGTAGTACGTACAGTATGTATTGTATCGTGTGTATTGACGAGAGAAGCTGTGGTGTAGTGAAGTATCGCGTACTCTACCTACCTACTATGTAGGTAGTAGTGTATGTACGTACAATACAATAATACATGTGGGTGAGATCGAAGGATGGGCGTACTATGTAGGAGAACGGCTCCGCTGGGATTCTCGTGGGATCGCTGAAGCTCAAACGGCTACTGGCTACGCCCATGCACCGGCAAGGGTCTAATAAGACGTCCGTGTGCGTAGCCTTCTGCACTCTTGGATATCCCCGGCGGACCGTTTAAGCTCATCCCTTCTTCTCTCTCTACCTCCTCGCTCCAAGGTCTTGGCTAGTCAAGGTTAGCACGCTCGCTGTAATGTGTGGTTATGGTGGTTATGGTATTGTACTGCTGGGTGCATAGCGCATCCGGGCCACCATTTCCCCTTACAGTCATACTGCCGTCCGGATAGTTGGTCTGTGACCCCTGTCTTGGTACACTTCGGACAAGGGGCCTGGTTTAGTTCATGTGGAGGTAGGGGACTTGAGACGACTAAAGACGACAAAGTAGGCTTGAGTTTAGTGCCGCAAGCTTCGTTGATACTATCTTTTTAAGCCCTGCCGAGCCTGTGCTGCGACCGGATTGTCAAGCTGATCTTATGCCGTTCCTCCTCCCCACGAGCCTTGACAACACACAACGCTGCAACGCTTCTCCGTGCGTGTGCCATTCTTTCCGATGGCAGCCTTCTCTGCCCCAAAATATTTTGATCTGTTCAGACCATGCTGCAGATTGTCAGATCTACCCGAGAAATAATGTTTGAGATGACCTATTCGGGAACAGAGCATTGATCGTGACTTGCAACAAGGAGGTCTTCGGTAGACAAGTTGCCGTGCCTGACAGATGAACATCCGCGTATAGATGTTTTATTATTTGCTTACTTTGTATTAGGCTATGTAGGTGTTTATCTTGTTCATGCTCTTATTCTTGATAGACGAGCAACGAGGGGGGGGGGACAATCACTTGAGGCGATCCAAAAGAGTTCGTCCGTGTTCATGCGCTCCGTAGGCGGTCTACGGGGTTTAGACCGGTTATCGATTCTATATAGCTTGATCGATATTAATAGGGATCTATTGGTCGCAAATTAGACCGCAGTCGCCCGAATAAGTTCGAAACAGGATGCTGAGATGAGCCTTACCTGTGGGATGGGAATATCCGAGAAAGAGGGTCTTCACATCTTAAGCTCCGTAGGTCTACGCTATGAGACAGGTTTTTCATGACCAGCCCCCCCATAAGAGACTCACTTATAAATCCTTGGCAATAAGAGATAGCCTCATTAAATGAAACTTATGCTTTCATACGTAATACCCTTAGATCCGTAGACACCGCCGAATTCTAAGTCGTAAGATTTTAATAGACGGTACGGTAGGTACGGTAGTTAGCGAGTGTGCATATAGCATAGACGTTAGTTAGTTTTGTCGGTCTGCTAGTAAGATCTAGACATGGCTAAATCGTCATAATGAGATGACATCGTCAATGATACATTACATAGTGCATTATATTTTCGCAAGAAACATTCGGAGGCTTTTTTTTTCCTTGTCCAGAAAACAAATGCCAATCTCATATGATCGGCAACTTGGCTCCAAGAATCTACTTCGCTTAGGCAGGGTGGTCTGTGGCTCAGCATGGGTTTATTTTGTCTTGGGGACTACTATGTACCATTTTAGTTTTTCTTCGGTCATGCCCTTTGGTTTTTAACGTGGTCTATGATCGACCGCCTACTCCCCTTCGGGACGAAAGCTCTTTTACTACCTTAGGTATGTACTTGGACCTGCGAAACCCCTGTCTCCCTGACACTCTACATAGTAGTTCCCAAGGGCCAAGGCGAGACGACGCGGTACAGAGAAATGGCATGAAAGGAACAAGCCAGTTCCGAGTTATCTGGCACGAGTTAAGTTATTACAGAACTTAAACTGTATTGACTTCTACTGCGTATGACATTCGATAAATTGAATTGAGACATATGCAAACTCCATATAGTATTATGATATTCCATAGCCTAAACGCCGGAACAACGAACCGCTGCATTAATCTGTGTAAGTGCACAATCCTAAAGAGTAGCGGCCTTTAGCTAGTCAGTAGTTAAATATCGTCTACTCTTAGAACCGCGCGGCGTCATGCACTATACTACACCAAGGTCCGAAAGACGGGCTTTAGATCTTGCGCTTAGAATTTGCCAACAACAAATAGGCAAAGGCTAAGCGACAGAGAAGCTGGATAAACCACGTGAATTCTTGAAAGTGGCTTGCTTTTTCCTACTACTAGCCCAGCGTACGGATCACTCGAAAGCATGGAACCTGAGTTGAGGCTTGCATAACGGCGCGCTAGATAGACGCCAGAAGAACGCCAGAACGTGTTGGTATATCAGTATTGCATAGTATTCATCAGTATCTGCTGATACCGTCCTTGCTGCCAATGTTATTACTTGCGTAGGCCTGGCTAGGCTTTCCCTCTCCCTTTATTTTTATATATCCTACGTGTCGGTAGCCTATGACATGATCAGGTCTAACGCTATTATGTACTTACGCCCAGCATGAGTAGTTAGTCAGATGAATTAAATTTAATGCTTAATGGAACTTAAAAGGAACGGCTATTGAGTCGGGTTTTTACCATGTGGTAAATTTTTTTTTTCTCTTAGCGCTTGTAAGTGATAATATTAATTTCACCATTGTACACGTGGGAGTACTTTTCTATACGAAGGAAAAGGGGGTATATCCAGCACGGACGTTATTACGATTAAGCTTCACACTTACCAAGGCAATCCTTGTTTCTTTGCCATAGCCGAGCTTATTTCCTATTATTATCAGCTTCATTTGCTAAACATATGGCTTCGCTTCAGTATTCTTCTCGACTTAATTAATTCGAATTAAACTGGTTTTGATTTAAGAAGGTATCTTGAAGCTTAACGTATTTAGATGGTAGCGGTAGCAGTAAGGGTTAAAAAAAAGAGAAAAAAAAACCTACATAGATCTCAAAGCTAATATATTAGATCAAACATGCTCAACTAACTCGAAATAGGTATTTAGAAACGGAACTACCTCGGAGGCTCTAGCTTGATCCCTGTCGAGAATGGTAATATGTTAGTATTCTGGGTGGGTAGCAGAACAACTTACACACTCTCCCCCGCGAACAGCCTCCGTACTATGAGGTATAATGCCAAACAGCATGTAAATTGCTTTATCCACTCCGTTGGTTTTCTCATAGTTATTATAGCTCACCCCACTCCCATCGACATGGAATACCTGGGGATGTTCTCTAAGCGATGGACGCTAAGGCACCATGCTGATCTCATGTCACCCGGCTCCCGCAAGCTACTCCCCCGACGGCGTCCAACACCCATGCTGCCTATGTCGATCTCGACCCCTAATCCAATCTTTTTGGTGAGTAGTCACCTTTTTTTTCGGGTCACTTTCCTGAAATCGATGTCATCACTTCCCGTTAGCAACAATATTACAACTGCTATCGTTTATATTCTCGACCGTATTAGGCATTCTTCTTGTTTCATGTAGTAGTATTCCTTAGATTTGGTAGATGAGTGAAACTAAACTAGGAAATCAAGACTTTCCATCTGGGCCATAGTTACCTACCTGTAGGAACCTATTAATATAATCCACTTAAGTAACAGCCCATTCCCTGATAGGGATTCAGAGTCTAGGCCTCGTCTACGTCGATTCCTCTTTGCCTTACCTTAGGTTAGGTACCTAGGTAGGTAGGTACCTTTCAAATGTGTGTGGAATATGGGGTGCATAAACGCGTTGTGCATTCACGGTCCTTCTGTGTAAAAAGATACGACATTAACGACGACGAAGGATGCTAGGGTTGTAGATGACTATGATCGACGGATTTTCCAGTCAGCCCTACCAATATCCTTTTATTAAAAGACTTGGTCCTGCCGGCACATTGCCGTTTCGTAACACCGACGCTCTTCCAAATGTAAGAATCTTTACACCACATCGTAGACTTTTTCTAATATCCTTTATGTCATCACGTTGCAATGAGATTGAAGCTACTTGCAGCTATGATAATTTTTCCAGAACCTACGACAGTTAAGTCCATCGGGGTTGATAACCGGATTTGTCCAAGACGGGGTAGTGAGATCGACGATCTAAGCAAGGGGCCATTGGTCCAAGCCATGGAATTCTTTCCCATTAATCATCCACGTTTGTCCTGACAGCTTTTTGTAGGGAGTCTGGGATTGGGCATATTCCCAATCAGGATATTCACTCACGAGATTAAATTATCAGAGATAAGTGAATGTCAATCTACATAAGATCGTTAGCTAACGTTATTAAACTATTTCCTTCTGCTATTTTTCTTGACTCAAGTATAGGCGTCGGAGGTTTCATGTGATAATGCAATGGATATTTCAGCTTTAGAAAGCTGGAAATGATTTCAAGCACTTAACGTCAGGTACGTACCAAAAGTCATTCCCAACGCTGTGG